TTATACTGATTTCTAGAACTATAACTTATATTCTCACTCTATATTACCTGATCCTTCTCTTTTGGGATATTGATTATATATATCACCCTAGTAGGTGCTCAAGGATCTAAACCTAGAGTCTCCTGATAGCTTTTTCTTATATAACCTAATCAATAGTGATACTAGTTGTGGCTATGCTTCTTATATATATTTCTCTGCTATCTTGTATAATTAATTTATTATGAGAATTAAATAATAGTATAGCTCTATTAAATATCTTTATCTTTATTTTATCTCTCTATATATTTCTGATCCTTAGATCTATTCCATATGGATTTACTAGACCTGATTTATATATTATATATCACTTTGATTTGATTCTATATTTCTCTCTTCTATACTAGTTTTATATATTATAGATATCCAATACAATCTTTAGATTATACTACTAGTATAGAACACCTAACTTTAATCCTACTATATCTCCTTGTTTAGGCCACTTTAGAAAGTCAGACCTGTAATACTCTCTATAAGGATTTTCATATGAGCTCTTGTATAATTACCTTCCAACTTAGGAAATTAAGGTGATGTGGCTGATCTAGCCTATTAGGGTATTCTCATATTCCATTCTGAGCTAGACTAGACCCCCTGGCAGACTGGTCCCTAAGCATTGAATAGGCTGCAGACCCCTAGATAGCATTGAACCCTACTGGACTAAAGATGAATATAGTGGGATAGGGCTACACAGAAGTTCTATTCTAGCACTGCTATAGTATAATAAAAGATAGAAGATATAGATTAAAAAATAAAATATTAAGGGATGACAAGGATAGTGACAACTTAGCTAAAGAAAATAAGATGATCATGCTAGATCTAAAATATCAGCTCTAAGGTAGTTGAACATGCTTTTCACACCATTCAAAGAAATAGATCACCCCCATAAATGCCTCTGTCTGAAAAGGATCCTCTCAACACTAAAAAGGAGATTGGCAATTGCCTTTTTATGAGGGGGTTTTTCATGAATGAAGCCTTCTTGCTGAAGATGGGTCATCACATCAGGATAAGCTATAATCAGTATAAACCTAGACAAGAAGAACTCCAGGGGAAAAAAGCATTGATCTCCATCTCTAGTGCTATTTCCACAGGCTCTGGTAGGAAGTAGGCAGAGAAAGCATCCCCATGAGGCTCAAAGTGGAACTGGTGGCGATGCTTGTTGAAGCTGGAAATTAGAGATTGGGCATGAGTACATTGCTGATGATGGTGATGATAATCCATTCCTGGCTGGGATGGGTTTACTAGGAACAAAGGCAATTAGTATATATATATATATAAAGAGATAGATGGAGAAAGCACTTACTTTGGGTCATCAGAAAGCAATAGAGGCAGATACCATACTCAAAAAACTTAATGTATGCCTTCAGCTTCAGCCTGAGGCCTTCCCCATCCCCAAGGGCCTCCCTAGCCCTAGCAGAGACCATGTGAAGCTCCTCCTGCCTGACCTGACAGAGGTCACAGGCCTTCTCATGCTGAAAACACCCCTGGCTGACCCTACCATTAAACTCCCGATTGATCAGGGACCGCCGGCACACCCGTTGTTGGAGATACTCGTGGAAGAGCTGTTCTTCGAGATCTGCTGGTTCTGGGAATTGCCCAGGCTCAAGGGGGGGGATGATGGCATATGACCAGCCAATCTCCCCAGCACCCCGCGCCGCACGCCCTGTAGCTTGAAGGAACTGGCTGATGCCCCATCTGGTCCCCCAGTGAATGACCATGGCAGTATGAGCAAAGTCATATCCTTCCCCGATGGCAGCTGTCCCAAGGAGCACCAGCTTCTGCCCATGGTCAAAGCTCTCCACCTCCCTTTTCTTTTCTTCCTCTGGCAGCCCGGCATGGAAATAGGCTGTCTCCTGGGGATAGGCCTGATGGAACTCCTCCACCATGCCCTTATAGGGAAGGTAGATGATCACCTGACCCCTAGGGGGGATCTGCCCAGCCTGGCGTGCATCACGGATCAGGTTCAAAAGATATTGGAAGCGGCGGGCGCCAGAGAGCCTAGGGGGGTGTGCTTGGACCAGATAGTGAATGTCAGGGCGGTTGATATCACCACGGATGACCAGGGGAAGGTGGGCCGGCAGGAGAAATTGGTGGCGGAGCTGGTCCAGGGCAGGCTGGGTCATGGTGGTGTAAAGGGGGGCGTACGTGCGTTGTTCCCTGCGACAGGAACCGGGTTGTGATCGAGGGATCTCAGGAATGGACACACTGAACAATCTAGCAAAACGATATAACGATAAACGAAAACACAACGACGAAGGAGCCTCGCTCCGCTCTATACGACGATAACGATACTAGTGAAGCAACCTAGAAACCAAAAGAATGCTCAATTTGTTGTAACTATCTGGGAGGGAACCCTCCATTAAGTACTCCGGCCGTGGGCTCCACCATACATTAGTATGTCGGAGTCGGCGGTTCTACGGTGTTCCAAGATAGGAAATATGGGAGATCCGGGGTTTCGCAGTGCCCCCGGCACAGTGGCAGAGGCAAAGACTTTGGGGACTGGGACCTGGCTCAGGCGGTTTACATCATTCATCACCCCCCGATAGCTGCGGGCCAGGGGGATCAGATGGGCTTCGTCAAAAATAATGCGGTCCAGGGCGTTTTGGTGGTAGAGCTGCATGGCCCAGTTAATGAAGACCTGGCTGACAGCAGACTCAATGGATACTAGCACTAGCCGGGTAGGAGGGGTCTCCTCATGCCTATATAGAGCATTAGTAAATATATAAAGATAGATAGATAGATAGATAGATAGTACTTACTGATCCTCCCAATTCACCCATGGCAGACCTAGGTTTTGAAGCTTAGATTGCAGGTTCAGCTTCAATGAAACAAGGGGAACCACCAGGACAGTAGTATGCGCCCAGGCAAGGCTTGCAGCAAGCAGAAACAGGGGTGGTCTTGCCTCCAGCAGTTGGTAATGCCATGAGAAGGAATGGGGTTGGCTTCAGCAGATGGTAGAGGCACTCACGCTGTTCTGCGCTTCGAAATTCAGCCTGAGGCGTTCCCATGAATTCTTGAAAGAGCCCAAGCAGGAGGTCTGGTGCTTGAAGGCCCCTAGGGGTTTGAGGGAATGGCTGGTGTGCAAGCAGTCGCAGTCGCTGGCCTGGTTCCAGCTCGGCCAGGCGCGGGTCACCATCGGGAATGCCTTCAGTGACATTGGGGTCGATTGGAGTGAATGTGGGGGTTGTGGAGCCCATGAATGCATTGAACTGACCAATAGGGATCTTAGGGGATGGTGAAGAGGCAGATCTCTGCCACCAGAAGCGCAGGCAGGGCTGGTTGAGAGGAAAGGAGCTGGTAGATAGGCCCTGGGGGGTCTTGGCTGTGGCCTGGGGGGCCTGAGGCAGCGGTCTTCCTTGATAGAGAAAGCTCAAAAAGTCGAAATCAGGCCCCATGCCGATATAGGAATGCCACCGCTGGCTGAAGTCAATGTAGGCGGCCTGCTGGTTGATGGGGAGGTTGCCAAATTGAACCTGTGGCCGGCCATAGACCAGCATGGCCGTGCGGACGCTGTGGTGTGCTTGGCCGGCTGCTAGAGCTTCATTCTCAAGCTCACTCAGCTCTGGCGCTTCAATGGAGTCCCCCTCCATCCGTTCCCCCATGCCATATCGAATGAAGCCTTGGGCGAGATGGCGCCATGAATGGATCTGAATGCCCTGGCCGATCAGGGCGCTGGTCCGATGGCGGAGCGTGTCACTGACCTGGCGGCTGGTAGGGAGGTCGCCCTGAATTGAAAAAAAGAAGACTGCGGCGGTTTCGGAGCTTCAATGCCTGATGGAGATAGTGAATGAATGGCTCCACAACCACCAGATAGACCAGTAGTATATGGGATGGAGCTCTGGGGATGGCTCGGACAGCATTCCGCTCCATGCCAGTGGTCGCCAGCACCTTACTATACCGCAGCCGAATGAGGAAGAGCTTCGATTTCGGGTCCAGAAAGAGGTTTCGGCGGTTGATCATGGAATTGGATGCCAGGAGTGGAATAATCTCAGTGCCTCGGGCAGGGGCGCCACTGGTCATGTGCACCAGAACAAGCAGATGGAGCAGGAACTTCTTGGCCATAAATAAATATCGCTCTGCTGGTAGGGGAATGAGATGGAGCCGATTTCCAGCCTATATAATATTTTATATATATATATATTAGTATGTGAATGCCATTCAGCCAGATAGATGATATACGGGAGATACTGACTGGCTTGAACCATTCTTTTGGCTCGCGTAGGGTCATCCAGGATTTTTTTCACGAGATAGGGCTGGTAGTGGTGTTGGTAGTCCTCATTCAATGTTAGGAAATTGAATCCATTCCCCTCCATGGCAAAATCCTCAAATCGAGCTGCCTCCCCCAGCTGGATCTGGTTGAAAAGCTGGGCATCCTCCCAGATCAGCAGCGAGCCTACTAGGAGTGTGCCAGGTCCAAGGTAGACTTCTGGAAAAATTCCTGGAGCTGCAGACGGCTGACACTAAGATGGTGGAATCTTAGGTGGTGGGGTGCTTGTTCAATCACCTGGTTGCCTTGCACGCTGGAGATCGTGTTGTAGTAGAGAGCATAGGCTCTGAAGGACAGAAGATCTCCAAGGGGGTAAGGAGACTGGTGCTTGAAGTAGGTCTGCAGCCAGGGGCCGAAGACAGCATGAAATGGGGCCGCATTAGCCAGCGCTTGGTCCTGCCCATCCTCTTTCGCTTCAAGGATCCTCCGGATCCATGGGGTCCAATGGTGGTTGATGGCGACCAGCTGCATGGCGTAGATAACGGCAGAGTAGGACTGGCTGATGCGGTCAATTCGCTTGAAGGTCACCTCCTGGTAGTGAATACTGAAACAGGCCAGGAACGCGTAGATAGGGCCCTTCATGTCATATGACTCATGCCTGGTGACCAGGTCAATGAGGAGCTTTTCAATGAGAGCCACCCCTTCGTGCACTGCCGCCTGAGTGAATTGAAAACCACTGGTGGCCTGCCAGGCCTGCCGCTCGAGCTTCTCGAGAACACCAGAGTCCTCAAGATCTTCCTCACCATCATCCCCCTAGGTCCAGGGCCAGATCGATCTCATCCTCTTCATCATTCTCACCATCAAGGTCATCACCAATATAGGCACGGGCACTGCCTGCCTGCAAGGGGCCTGAGGCCTTTGGTGCCTCCTCATCCTCTTCCGCTAGGGTGGGGGATAGTAGCAGGTCCTTGAGCTCCTGAATCCCCGCCTTGACCATGTGATCTATAGCATAGAGTCGATTCAGGTCCCTATCCCTAGGCCCCCTAGTGACCTGGTAGGGATAGCTCTCCAACAGAAAAACGAGAAAGCTGTGAAGCACGCGGGCATATTTCTGGGCACTGGCTGCCTCCTGGAGGGGTTTGAAAGGGCGCAGAGTCACATGCTCAATGTCAAAACTATTGAGAAGGCATCGAACATGGCGAGAAAGGAGAGGGATGATCTTCTGGCCTTTGGCGAATATATAGGTGGTGCAGGCAGTCAGGAAATCATGGATTCGATCTAGAAAAATATGAAAAAAATTAGTGCATGCCATATATATATATATATATATCAATAGGTAGATAGATATAGATATAAGCTCTAAATACTCTTGAACATCAAACACAAGGATACATGCATTGTTAGGGTTGTTCATTTCCCCATACAAAATATATGGCAAAAGAAACATGGGTTAGAGTGGTAGAGGTATCCCTCAGAGAAAAGAAATTAAACTCACCAGAATGCTCTAGGGATAGAGAGAAGAGATTTCTTAGCTTTGGGAGGGAGCGTTGCTGCAGGAACTCTGGATACCTGGTGTGGAGCTGAAATCCATTGAGCTCATCCCTAGACCCAGAGAGATAGATCTTGGCTTGCTCTGGCTGGGGCTTCTGGATTTCCTGGTACTGACGGAGCAGGGAATCCACCAGATCTGGGGTGATGCCAGAGTCAGGCTGCGACGAAGAACCAGGCCTAGAAATACATATTAGTGAAGGCGTAGAGGATACATATCTACATAAATATATAGACCACACCTGGTAGGAAGACTGGCAGAGGGTCCAAAGGCAGAAGGGGCTCTCAGAGAGGTATTGACATCCCTATACAGTGAGAATCAGCAAGATATATATTCAAAATGAGCAGTGGGAATGCTTACCTGGCAGAGACCATCTCAATGTCAGAGTCACTAGACTCAACCACCCTAGGAAATAGTTAGTGAGTGCATATTGCACCTGATACATATTTTCTTACCTAGCGTGGTGGGCATAGTGTGGCTGAGATGGGCCAGGGGTTGGTGAAGGACTAGAGGTGCCTGCCCTAGTAGGAGCATGGTCCCCTAGAGGGTGAGATGGAAGCCGCACTTTGAAAAAGTAACGATTTGGCTGCAATGCCTGGGCCAGAGTATCTATAATGGTAGGATACTGAGCATGACCTCTCTGGTGCTGATGGGCCTTGGTAATATGGCGATTAGCTTTGTCCATGGATTGAAAGAGCTCACCACAAGCACTACATTCCCTAGCTTGAAAAGAGCTCAATCCCTTAATGGGAGCAATTGGCTGGTCATTCTGAATTTGGTGAAGAGACCTAGTAAGAGGGAAGATATCAAGCCTCTCAATGATAGCCTGATAGCCAAGGTTAATAACTTGATGTTGAGTCATCAAATGGTCTTTCCTAAGGTGTTCCACAGCCTTATTCTTAGGAAGAGCAGTATGGCATTCCTTACAAATAAGGATATGGAAGGTAGGGTAGTAAATAAAAAAATCAGGAAGCTCAGTGGCCATAGTGAATAGTAAATCAAAAAGGAAAATAAGTAGAGGGTTTAGAAAGTTGAAGACAGTATAGCAATGGAGATATAGGTAATATGAAAAGAAATATTGCCAATATTACTTAGCTAGAGGACCAACCTCAAGGGATGTCAACCACCTATTTATATTATAATATGAAGAGCTTGAGACATTCCATGTTGTAAATTTAATTTCTTTCAGTTTCAAAAGATGATATCATACTTGTGGTGGTGTCATTTTGGGATCCTCAGGATCCTCTGGGAGGTGGTATTCCTGAAGTCCAGCTGAGCGATCCCCCACTCTGTGCCGTCCCCCCACTCTATGCCGTGTCCCCTATCTAGCTGCGCCACCATAGCAATTGCAGATCTTAAAAAATCCCTCATCTTATTAATCCTGCCATTTATTGATTTCAAATCATCTTATTCTAGGCTGATACCCCTGCCTAGTTGTTTAGGTTTCTTTCTAATATATCGATATATATATATATGTTATCTCATGTATATAATACCTCTACCACCATGTCTAAACTATAGTAATATTATTAGTGTATTAATAAGAGACCTTTTCTACTTCACTGCAATAGAATTTCTAACTCTAAACCTCCATATATCCTTCTCTAAACCACCTTAGAATGCAAGACCTTATTTATTATAATACTCTTATTAGTTGCTATTGTCTTAGCTACTATATTATTAAATGACTACCTTCCTAATTGGGAACTCAAGGTCACATAACCCTGTCACGGAACTCAACTAGACAATAAATAGGATGCTATTCAACTATCTAGGCAGTTATTGACAAGAACTTCAAGCATGGAGAGGAGGGAAAAGGGAAGAGATCTACGTGAAGCTGGATGACGTATTCCTATCCACGTGCCACGCTAATCCAAATAGATATATATGCAATATCAATATATACGCAGTAATTATACCTTATAGATTAGGATTCTATTGTATCACTACTAAAATAGGCCTAACATCCTGACAAATTTAGAGTAAGAGTATAAGAATAGTAGTATAGTCATTTTCTATCTTGCTATGATAGAAGTCCTATATTCAAACTGTGATATCTCCTTATATAGACCACTTCAGGGAGTGCGACTATGTTCATTGTAATCCTGTCATAAAATGCCTGAGAATGAGCTATAGATCAACCACCTTCCTAATTAGGCAGTTTAGGTCACGTGACTTTTTTGGCTCCTGATTCGTTTGATGAATAGTACAAGTCAGAATATACACCTTCCTAATTGGGAAATAAAAGTCCCCTGACCCCTCTAGACCCCAATGACATCAGCATATTCAATTCTGAGTTCAATTGGCCTACTAGATAGCCTATAGCAGTGCTATCTACATATTACCCTATCTGGCTTAGGGTTAATTTAAACCTGCTTATGTCATCAATCTAACTATACTAGCAGAAACTAGACCTGATTAGGATCACTATGATACTAGTCTGACTTCCTAACATGGCCTAGTTCTTGAGATAAAGATGGGTCAGAAATTATTTTGACCCATCTTTTTTAGGGTCACTACCCATTCTAATTTCCCACCAGACCCAAGTTGGGTCATTGTACAGAATATGACTTAGTGCCGGGGGCACTGCGAAACCCCGGATCTCCCATATTTCCTATCTTGGAACACCGTAGAACCGCCGACTCCGACATACTAATGTATGGTGGAGCCCACGGCCGGAGTACTTAATGGAGGGTTCCCTCCCAGATAGTTACAAGAAATAGAGCATTCTTTTGGTTTTTAGGTTGCTTCACTAGTATCGTTATCGTCGTATAGAGCGGAGCGAGGCTCCTTCGTCGTTGTGTTTTCGTTTATCGTTATATCGTTTTGCTAGATTGTTCAGTGTGTCCATTCCTGAGATCCCTCGATCACAACCCGGTTCCTGTCGCAGGGAACAACGCACGTACGCCCCCCTTTACATATTGGCGTCCCCGGGAAGGCCTACGCTTGTTGGCGCTTGCGAACTTCGCTTTGGGTTCTAGGGCGCGTGGGAAGCACCCTGGCTAGGGATTCTTGGGAAAATAATCAACTGAGAGGCTTTTCCCGGAGAGATTGGGACACGGGAGAGTGCGGGAGTGGTGAAAACTCTGAATTCAGCTAAGTTAGCAGTTCCACGGTTCTGTCACGGCGTTCCGTCGGTATTGCCTACTTTGGTAAGGAGATGTCGTCAGAGAGCGACCGCTCGGAGCATCGGCCTCTCCCGGTGCATGTGGAACAAGGGAGTCCACTTCTTACACCGGGAGATGCAAAGGGAATACCGGCGCCGGCCGCAATGCCCACTACTCCGAGCTTGTCTGGAATGTGGCAGCCGGAAGGCATGCCGATGTTGATGATGCAGATGTTGGAGAAACTGTTGGGGACACCCAGAGGTCTGCCGTTGCGAGGAACTTCTGGAGCCCCAACATTCAATGGTAAGGAGGTCAGTGAATTCTTGAGGACCTTACATTCGTTGTTTAGGAACCATGGAATCACGCGAGAGGAGGACAAGATAGGTGCCCTGTGTGATTATGTATCAGTAAGTGTGTGTGAATGGGTAGAGAGCCTCCCTGAATATGAGAGGAAGGACTATGAAGGATTGGAGAAGCGGCTCCTAGAGGAGTATCAGGACCAGGATTCAGCACAGGCCAAGCTCAACATAGGCTGGCTTGGCAGGTTTGTTGCTCAGAAACGGTCAACAGATGACAACTTGACCAAGTATGTTCGCGAATTTAGCAACGTCTCTGGTGAACTGATGCGCTGAGGCCAGCTGGTGGAATTCTTGAGAACAGAGATGTTCCTGCAGGGTCTGCCGGAGGAGGTGCAGGTTGAAGTGGTAAGGAGGGCGAAGATTAGCCCTCAGAAGTTCGAGACTATGAAGTTCGCAAGGGCCCGGGAGGCAGTTGAAGAATATCTGGAGGAAGTGGCTGGATTAAATTTAATTCGGCAGGGTCATGAAGGGAAGCATGTGAACTTCGCAGAGGAAGTGTCAGCTGCGCATAGCTTAGTAGTTGTGCAGCCAGATGGGCGAGTCCCAGATGAACAACGACAGCCAGAGGACAGAGAACCAGTGCCTACAGGGAAGCGGCAGGTGCCAAGAACAGCCCCGGGAACGAGACACCAGGAAACGCTAGATGACCTGGCTGAACGGATGAGGAAAATGGAAATCAGCCTCATGGAGGTGAGACAGAACGACTTCCGAAGACATGGGCTAAATGACATACCCAACCGACGGGGCTATGTGCCAATCGCGGGTGACCAATGCCGGTTCTGTCTGGAAACGGGTCACACCAACATACGGGGACATGTCCACGGTACCAAGCATTGGCTGCCCAGGGTCTATGCCATATTGCTGGAGATGCCAAAGTCCGTTATGGACCGATTGGAGGAGCCGGAGAGGTGGTAAGGGTAATTACCAATGGTAAGAGCATGAAGGAGTCCATTGAGGAATATGGAAAGCAGCACCAGACTGGGAATAGTGCAGTGGGTTATGTACACAACATGTTAAAAGAAACTGCGTACATTGAGGAAGTGGAGGAGGAAGATGAAGAAGGATTTATGGAAAGCTTTGTTGAAATGGAGGTTAATGCGCTGGTCAATGCGGAAAAGAGAAAGATAACCCCAGAGGGGCGTGCAGACCCTAAGCGACGTGCACTGGACGATGTGGCTAGGAGGGAAGAAGAAATTCCCATCTTGAAGACAGTCCGTCCAGGAAGATATGAGGAAATTGATGAACCTGACGCAGATGTGGAGATGGAAGATCGACCGGACTACCGAGTTAGGGATGTGGAGGAAGGTTTGAGAAGATCCTTTGGGGCCCCAAAAGCAAGAGTTCCCCAGAGGAAAGATGCTCCGAAAGCTAAGCTTAACAAATTGGCGGATGAGCTGAAGAATTCAACGGACATTAAGGACATACGGAATCGGATTCTGAACACCACGGTGACATTGTCACTCCAGGAGCTGCTAGGGATGTCTGATGGGCTGCATCGGAGCCTTTTCTCAGGAACCCGACAGCCGGTGACAACGTCTATCGAATTCAGCAAAGGAACAGACCCAGGGGTCGTTGCGCGAGTGGGAAACTTAGGGATGAGAAGCCGCAAGGCGAACCAGATGGATTTGGAAGAAACGGGGTATGATGATGAAGAACCTCCGTTATATGTCTGTGGAACTCTAGCGGCGTGGATCCAGATACTGGAGGATCCACAAAGGGTTCAGGCATTGCTGGATGGAGGTGCGGAAATCAATGTGATGCAAGCCTGGCTAGCGGAAAAACATGCGCTGCCAGTCACTCTGCACGCCAAAGGAACGATGAGAAGTGCCAACGGAGGTCTCACGCCGTTTGTTGGAATCTGCGAGCGGGTCCCAGTACGGATTGGGAGCTTCCAATATTATGTCCCTTTCTTCATTGTGGACACGCGTGGCGGACATGCAGTGGTGCTGGGGAGGCCATTTGAACACATGAGCCGTATGGCGCACACGAACACAGCGTCCGGGGCGGTCATCACAACGATTTATTCAATGGACAGGACGAAGGTCGCGAGAATGAAGGTTTTCACCCCCGGAACGCGTAGGATGGAGACCCGGAGGGACGTTTTCGAAGATCGGAGGTTAATTGGAGAGGAGCCGGGAAACTAGCCGCTGGGTTTGTACCGAGCCCAGGACCCAGCGGACGGAGGGGCTCAAGGCCATCATACCAAAGTATGGCGGATGTTATGTCACGTGATGTTGGAGAACGGACATACATGAGTATTGCGGAGTTGGAGAAAATGGCTCCAGTACGGGAAGTGCGGTTCCAGCCGGCCCTTTGCTGGGATGGAAGGGGAATAGAGCCACGGATAAGCCGACGTGTGGACTTGGTGACACTGAGACAGCAGTATTTGGTAAACACCAAATACAAAAGGAAAGCAGATAAGGTCCTTCCAGTAAACAAGCCCGATCCAACAGGGGCGGCACCAGTTGGAAATGGGGACTGGCGGTTGAAGGTTCTGAAGAAGTATTATTCGAGCCAGTGGTCAAGAGTGGAGGAGGTCAAAGGGGAATTTCAAAGGAGTGTCATTCCCAAAATATCAGGGATCGCGAGAGGGTCACGGTTGACACCGGAACGGGTGACACGATTAAAAATAGGGTTGATAAAGCCAAAGGAGAGAGAGCTCCTTATGGAGGTGTTATATGCGCGGGAAGCAGCTCTAGCTTGGTCGTTCGCGGAGATAGGGCAGGTGCGCGAAGAGGTCTGCCCGCCAGTGGTGATACGGACAGTTCCCCATGAACCATGGCAGGAGAAAGGATTCCCCGTACCAAGGGCACTGAGGCCAATTGCGGCAAAGATGTGCCAGGAGAGGATGGAAAACAGGGTTCTGGAGTATGCGTTCAGCCCATACTCAAATAAGTGGTTCCTAGTGCCGAAAAACGCTGGACCGAATGGGGAGAGGAGATATCGGTTGATAAACAGCTGCACGAGGATGAATGGGGTCACATTGAAAGATGCCAATATTCCCCCTTCAGCAGATGATTTCGCGGAAGAGTACAGTGGCATGGCGGTAACATCAGTGATAGACCTGTTCTCAGGGTATGACCAGATTCCGCTAGATGCTCGTTCAAGGGATATGACGGCGTTCCAATCGCCATTGGGCCTAGTTCGGCAGATGACCTTAACTCAAGGCTGGACAGGGGCGGTGCCAGTGTTCTGCAGAACTGCGGACATAGTGACCACAGATACTAAGGATGAGGTGCACCTCCCACCAGATCCAGGTGGAGAGCCACGAGTTTGGAAACCTAAGGTCCCAGGACCGGGAGGAAGGGCTGCATCGCCATATGTTGACGATATTGCAGTAAAGGGACCAAAGACTATGTATAATGAGGAAGAGGTTATGCCTGGGATTCGGCGATATGTTTACCAGCACATTCGCAACATCGATCGAACCCTATACAACTTGGAGTTGGCGGGGCTCACCGCATCGGGAGATAAGCTAATGTTATGCCAGCCTGCGGTCAAGGTGGTTGGGTATGTGTGTGACTATAACGGACGGCACCCTGAGGCGAATAAAGTGGCCAAGATACTGGATTGGCCTGGGTGCAGGAACCTCACAGAAACGAAGGCATTCATAGGTGTCGTGGTATATTATCGGATATGGATCAAGGACTTTGCTAAAATAGCTGAACCGATATATGCGCTGCAACGAAAGGGAGCGGCATTTGAATGGGGGCGAGCACAGCAGGAAGCAATGGACCAACTTAAAGAAGCACTCACAACTGCTCCAGCCCTAAGGTCAATTGAGTACCCAGTACAGCTATCTGATGGAACCATGTCAGAGGTTGGAGATATTATTGTGGCAACAGATGCTAGTGGAACAGGTTGGGGAGCAGTCCTTATGCAGGCAGAACCTGGATCGAAGAAGAGGCATCCAGCCCGGTTTGAAAGTGGCGTTTGGACAGGAACAGAGCTAAACTATGATGCTGGTAAGCTTGAATGCCGGGGAGTTCTAATGGCGCTCAAGAAATTTCGGTCGTACCTGTATGGGGTGCCCTTTGTTTTGGAAACGGATGCAGCTACGCTGGTTGCGCAACTGAACCGCACTATTACCGATATCCCCAGCGCGGTAGTTACTCGTTGGATTGCGTGGATTCGGATGTTTGATTTCACAGTACAGCACGTGTCAGGAGTGAAGAACTCTGCTGCAGATGGGCTATCTAGGAAGCCAGTTACCCCGGAAGCACTGGAGGAAGCAAAACAGGAGCATATGGAGGAGTTCCTAGACAGGCAGTTTAACCTTACTCTCCATGTCAACAACACCTCACATAGTGAAGACAATGAAAGGCACGCAGAGGAAGGAGGGGGTGCAGTTAATTGGCTCACCAATGAAGAAGAATGGTCTGAAGAGTCCCTCCAGATTGCAGAGTGGCTACAGACACTACAACGGCCAAAGGGAATGAATGCGTCCCAATACCATCGGTTTCGAGCTAAGGCATTAGGTTTCATGGTCCAAGACGGCTATTTATTCAAGCGAATGGCAGCCAACCAGCCAGTACGGCGAGTAGTTGATGATCCCAAGCGACAGAGGGAGATTCTCCACGCGTTACACAATGATAGCGGTCATCGTGGCAGGGAAAGCACTTATCAGAAGGTTCGAGCGCGATACTGGTGGCCAAGGGTTTGGGAGGATGTCAAGGACTGGTGCCAGAGATGTGACCCATGTCAGCGAGCGGCTGAGACTCGGATAGGTGAGGAAATGACGGCAACCCAGCCCATGGGGCTCTTCCAAAAATGGCACATTGACACCACATACGTCTCACGGAGAGGTAGTGGTAAATGTGCGTTGATTCAAGCTCGAGAGTCAGTTTCAGGTTGGGTGGAAGCTGAAGCTGTGGTTGAAGTGACAGCGAGGACTGTTGCTAGCTTTGTCTACCGCAATATCATCACTCGATGGGGCTGTATGGAGGTTATGGTCAGTGACAATGGCCCAGAGCATCAGGAGGTCTTTAGGGAGCTTATGAAGAGGTTTAAGGTGAAGCACGTTACAATCTCACCGTACAATTCGCAGGCCAATGGTTTTATCGAGGTCGCGCATCGCATGTTCATTCTTGGCCTGAGGAAGCTCACTGCGGGCTTTGCCAAGGGCTGGGACAAGCATCTCCCAGCACTTCTCTGGTCAGAAAGAGTCACCATTCGCGATGGGATTGGGATGTCGCCGTTTCATTATGTTGTTGGTTTCGACGCGGTGTTGCCGGTGGAGGTGGAGGTCCCGACCTGGAGGACCCTGCCTTGGCATAAGGTCCAAACACGTGACGAGCTCCTAGCTCTACGAGCTCGCCAGATTGAACGACGTGACGAAGATACACAGGAAGCGCAGGCGCGGATTGTCCGGTTCCGTGAGAAAGGACGAGAGCTTTATAATGAACGCACGAATACTCGATTGCATGCATTAGAAAAGGGGGATTTGGTGTTGGTACACAATACACCATTGAACAAATCCCACTCTGACAAGCTTGGATTTCGATGGCTTGGGCCATTTCGTATTCAGGAAGCTCTTGGAAATGGCTCCTACAAAATTGAGGAGCTAGATGGCACAGCATTCCGTTATCCTGTCCACGGGAACCGGATCAAGATCTATTATAAACCGCTGCCTCTGCCAGAGGAGACCTCGAGCGCGCAAAGTACCACCTCAGTGTCGGAGGACGAGGGAGAATCCATGGGTCACAGAGATGATGACGATTGGAGACTGCAGGACCTTATCCCAGAGGGGGAGTCCTTTGCAGTCGTCATCTGAACGCAATCTCAGGAGTTTCCCACACGTTGCTACCTCTACCGATGAGGGCATCTGCTTTCAAAGGGGGGTAGTAGTGTGTGGTGGATTCAACACACAGCTACGGAACGATTTCAACAATTAGATTCCATGTCATTCATTATTTGTATATTTCATATGTTGCACTTACATTCTACCTGCTTTGTTTTTGGATTTTTGGCACTAAATTGATAGCTGGGAGCTACCGGAGGTTTGATGTTCAGGACCGTCATACAAAAGTATGAAGGAAGATAGGAGCCTACAGGATGGTGGGAGGCATCAGTGCCTTCATTGAAAGGGCAACAACTGGGAGGGATTCACCTCCGTCAACCGACCTCAGGAAGCTCTTCGTCGTCGCCACAGAGAAAAAGACAAGGCATACCATGCGCCTTGGCACGCGAAGCGGAGGAGGACGACCCCAGAAGTTACAGAGAAACGGGACATCGATCTGGACACTTCATCGAAAACAAACGCGGGGCACAAGGGGAAATAGCTCGGAGAGAGGCAATCGTGGATACCATGAAGGCACGAGAGCATCTGGAGCACCTAATCAATGGAGAGCAGGCTGAGGCTGAAAGGAGTAGTCTTCTCGGAGACTCAGAGGTACTACGCGTTGAAGATGCTGACCACCGGGCAAACCCAAGGGCTTTGCTTGAAGATATTGCTGGAGGAACAGGGTTCAAACGGTTCTACGTGCAGCTCGGTCCTGAGGCTGGGGTTTGGAAGGTCTACAAGGTTGTGGCATAGGAGTGACGAGGGCGTCACGACTCTAGGGGGGGTAGTATGTGCCGGGGGCACTGCGAAACCCCGGATCTCCCATATTTCCTATCTTGGAACACCGTAGAACCGCCGACTCCGACATACTAATGTATGGTGGAGCCCACGGCCGGAGTACTTAATGGAGGGTTCCCTCCCAGATAGTTACGAAAAAGAGAGCATTCTTTTGGTTTCTAGGTTGCTTCACTAGTATCGTTATCGTCGTATAGAGCGGAGCGAGGCTCCTTCGTCGTTGTGTTTTCGTTTATCGTTATATCGTTTTGCTAGATTGTTCAGTGTGTCCATTCCTGAGATCCCTCGATCACAACCCGGTTCCTGTCGCAGGGAACAACGCACGTACGCCCCCCTTTACAATACTATCTCACTCTATATTATATTTATATATATATATACACTACTATTTTATTCTTAGCCTTTTTTATTATTTAAAATAACTTAATTTCTTTTTTATTTTTATTATTTTTATTATTTTTATCTTATATACTGATTTTTTTTAAATTATTTTTATTTAAATTTCTTTTTTACTATCTTTCTATTTAAGCTTACTTTCTATTCTCTCTAAACACTATATATCTATTATCTTCTCTATATACTCTTCATCTTATTCCCCCTTAGCTGTTTTAGCTGATCTATCTTACCTATATATACTTCTCATCTTATTTCCCCTTAGCTATGCTAGCCTATCTCTTTTCTATTAGCTATCTATATCTATATACTATATATCCACTATCTTTATATTTATATTTCTACATACTTCTTCTTTATATATATATGCTTTTTACCTTATTCTCTCTTAGCTGTTCTAGCGTATCCTACTATTTTACTGTTATATATACATACTCTATTAATCTCACTGATCTATACTAGCCATCTTACTAATATATATATACCATATTATAAATATATGCCTTTATAGACTATATGTTACAATAATACCAAACCTTAGACTTCTCCATACCTTCTGAAATGCCATGATAAGGACTGCAGATCTCTACTGGATAGCTGAATGGCATTACTTATCCCTCAGCACCTTCCTGATAGCATGCCTACAACCACTGACACCTTCTGCCTGGCCATAGATCTCTATCTGACTGCTTGATGATATATGCAGGGCTGCAGACCCCTATCTGACCTCTAGCCTTAGAAGTTTTGTACTTGATTATGGGCTTTGTCAGAAGGAAATATAACTTTGTTTAGCCATATATATATATATCTATCTCACCTATATATTAGCTATCTCTGTAATATATATCCACCATCTTACATATATATGCCTTCATCAACTGGATATATAATAATGTTACCTAATATGTTTATATATTACTAGATACTATAGATATAGCCTAGTAAATATGACTTAAAAAAGGGAAGGAATTTAATCAGATAGAGTGATAGAGCAGAGTATCTAAGATAGAAAAATGAAAACTAAAAAAAGAAAATTCAAATTAAATACAGAATTTACTTAAGGGAGAATTTCCTTTTGGGCCGCCGCCGCCGTTTCTGGCCCCCCGCCCGTTGCGGTTTAGCGGCCGCCGTGACCGCGCCCCCTCCGGTTTAGCGCGTCCCGATCCGGTTTGGTGCGTTGAGCCATCCCCGAACAGGAACTGCCGCCGTCCACCGCCCGTCGTTGGACCGCCGCAACTATATAAGCATCGGGTGCGTCGCTCGACGACGACTGCTCCTTCTTCCCTTCGCAACACTGCCCCCCTCCCCCTTTTTTTTTCGCCCCCATGCCGCGGTAAGACGCCAATCTCCGACCGTCGGCCGAATTGCCCCGTCGCCTTCAGCCCGTCCGGAAATTTCTGACCGTCACACGACCCGACGTGTCCACTCCTCGGCTTGATGGCAGCTCTCTGACTCGCTCTCTGGAGGCTGCAGGCTCCTTTTTCCGGCGCTCAGCGCGCATGCGTTCAGGACAAGGATCATAGGGGCGCAGGGAGGAATGCTGCTGCCTGAAGAGTGGAGAGGAGAGGAGGAGGAGGAGGAGGAGGAGCTGGTGCTGGTTTCATGCATCTATCGGGGATCGATTCGACCAGGCTGTGTTTCCACCATGATTCACAGCCCCTTGACTTGAAAGTCTTCTCGATACCTTCGACTTCACCACTTGCCTTGTTCTGGGCTTTTTTTTTTCTTCGTCCCTGCGACTGCGAACTGCGACTTCGGTGGGTTGAGGGACGAGCCTGGGGAATCCCCCAAATCCCCCAGAGGCCAGTTTCCCTCCGGCCGTCCGGACAACCGTGTGCGCCTCGCCAAAGGTTATCAGGTCGTAGCCAATCAAAAAAATGCCTCAGGAGCTCCTATCCATGACGACTGTGCCCTGGGTGACGACAGAAGGGCTCATTCCCGCTCCCGGGCAGACAGCATATCTATTTTCGACGCCGATGACGTGTCCGAATTAACGAGCACTGCCTCATACTGGATCTACGGGTTGCCATCGCACCCTGCAGCTGACTGTGGGACTCCTGGCTCCGGTGCTGAGAAATCCGGGCGGACTCGATGTCCCACGCGTTGTTGGAAGAGCTAATTGGCGGCGAGACGTCCGGGATTTGCTCGCATGCGATGGGCGAATTTGGACTGTAATTGGAATTCGAGAGATCATCCACGGACCTGCCGGAGTTCCGTTCGTCGCCCGGCCGTCTCGAGACCTTGTTGGATGCGTTGGATGCCCAACGGCTCTGCTATAAAGCTGGGTCTGTCCTTCTTTGCACCGAAAGCTGAGCGAGCCATTGTCTCTTTAATTGCTTCCCATTGCTCGCCCGAATCCTATCCTCCAGCCCTCCATGATGACCCAGCCGGCGCCCAGAAGAGTTTTGGTAGATCTGGACAATATCGAGTTCTACCGGCCCCAGCCGCCCTCAAAACCACTTCAGCCAGAATCAGCTCTTTCTATTCTCCCGGGTGTGGCTACTCGCAAAACCCTCCCTCGCGGCGATAGTGCCCTGCTTTTTGACCGTCTGTATGGGTGGAATTCTTCATGCAATCCTACGTCACTGAATTCATTTGATGTCGAGTTGGCCAGGTGCGCGAACGCAGCATCACTGGCGACAAGTTCCCCTACAGATGACGAACTCATGCTGAGTGAACCTGGAAACGAGGCTCTTAATGCCTCCACGTTCTGTACGTCTCGACTTTTGGGGATTGGTATTCTGTATTTGGTCGTTTTGCTAACGTTCACACTGTAGTCCCGACTTCGTCTCCATCGCTCTCGAGCCCCCAAAAAGCAACAGATCTGCCAGGCCCCTTTGGAAGTACGGCAAGTCAAGAAAGGATTGAAAGTCCTACAGAACTTGACAGTCATATATGCCATCTATCTCCGGAATTACGGGAGCGGGATCAGCCCCCGGGTAAGGTCTTTCCATACGCACACCTGCTTTGTACAACAATTTGATTGACTTTCGCAGATATACAGCCTTGCGTATCACATGCCGACGAGCCCAGCGTAGACAACCGGCGCTGTTCGAGTATCTCGCACCATGACAACCACGACAACCATGACATGAATATTTGCGGGACCCCATCCAGCCATACAGCACAGAACGTTCAAAGCAACAAGCCTACCGGAGAGCGAGAAAACGATCAGGTTCTTTTGGGTGATGGCCCACAGCAGCTGAAGCAAAATATCTCAATACCAGCCTTGAGCGAGGGGAAACCACTTCTAAACGATCAACAACTGCCTTCGATCAGTGGAGTTGACTCTTGCCCAGAAGACCAACACCATCCAGAGTCGGATAGTTCCCTTTCGGCGGAGTCCAAGAAAGCATCAGTTCGCCAGAGAAGTCCGATGCCTCCTCGCAAGGTAGCTGCTGTTACCCCGAGTCTAGAGCGGCCATCCACAATCACAAAGCCGCCCCGGCGCAAGTCCTTTGAAGTCGCCCAGGCACGAATTGTTGAACGGAGAAGCCGGCCGCGCCGCAACTGCCAACCCGAATTTGATGTTGTTCAGCGCGACTCCTCTGACCAGGAAGAGAGCCCGCATCGCACAAAGAGACGCAAACGTGCCATTCGACGTGCGGGAAAAGTGACCAGCCGGCCATCTTCTGGACCTTTCAGGAAGTCGCTAGGTAGCTCAGCATCCGCGCGGCCAGCTGAGTCCTACCACAGCCAAGATATTTTGGGGCTTGCCGTCCTTACTGTCGAGAGTCACGCGTTGGGGACTTCATACTTTTTCTCTTTCGAGCCAAGTTCACCAAATGAGCTTGACGCACCGCAACTTCGTTTCTCTCTTGACGAGCCGCGCCGCCCGACGGCCCCTTCATCCACGCGTGGGCGGAAGAATATTCAGAGATCTAAGAAGGGAAGACTTCCCTCCAGAAGTGATATTCTTCGTACGGTTTCATGCAACCCCCTCGACGAGCGAGAATGGGAGGTGGAGCAAATCCTGGCGTCCCGGGTATGGAGAGGAAAGCTGCAATATCAGGCTCAGTGGAAAGGATGTGATCCCGACCTTACCTGGTATCCAGCCCGCGGGTTCAAGGGTGCTCCGTATAAGATCCAGAACTTCCACGGCGTGTTTGCAGATCAACCGGGGCCCCTGAAAAGGTTGAGGGAATGGCTAGAAGCTTGGGAGGCGGGGCAAGACCTTGAGGATGTCCCAGATGATGACCTTCCAGAGTAACATGTACCGTTGGACGCCGTACATTATATTTTACATCCTATTATGTTATGCCTAGAAGACGCCTCGGAAAGTAGTCTGAACATACAAAACCCTCTTCAAGAAGCCGGCTGTCGAAGGTTGACCATCTCCAGCCTTCCGGTCTTTTGACATCGTAATGTTGGCACCTGTGAATTTCCCTGCCGAGTTAGTTTTGCCGCTCCGGAATGATGATAGCTAAGATAGACCGTGCTACAAAGTGTCGCATCAAGTTGCAGTCCCAATTTACAATAGGATATGAGGCGGTGTAGAATCGGGTTTGAAATGTGGCATAACATTTGACATGCCCTGGATTACTAAAGCGGTGAACGGAATTTTATTTTTCCTCTGGCCCCCCCTTACCTGCCCAGTACTTAAGTAGTTACGAAGAGCTTCCCAGGTGGTCAAATTTTTCTAATCCATCAAAGTGTACGCTGTTACTGTATCCAACTTTGGGCGCCATCTTCAGAAATAGACAACCATCTGGTATCACAGTTCAGTCCTAGCCTTTCTGTTTGACCCTTGTACTCGAATAAGCCTCCCCCCCTCCCCAAAACAATCTTGGGCTCTTCTCCCGGCAATTCACCACATTGTTTGTTCCTTTCCCTTGCTCGACCGGCGGCTACCAGACATGCATCAAACACTAAGACCGCTTGACTACGGATGCACGGATTGGCGGATCAGTAGTCAAAGAGCCGCAGATCTGTACAGTTCTGGTACCAGGCTCTGGAACAAAGAGGATCTCGAAGACATAGAGCAACAATTGCGCCAGTCCTATACGATGGAAAGATTTTCAGTCCGTCGAATAGATGGAAGCATAATTCAAATCTACAATCCCATGTTCCAAGTGCAGAATCCTATCTGGTACGTGGATATAATATTCTGACCCATTTTCAGCCTGCAATCTAAGTCTTCCTTAGGAAACCCCATGTCAAGTACCAAGAATATTGGCAACTTGTGAAAGCACAACCAAACGGCCCCATCGAGACTTACCTATGCTCTTACATCGTGGATTGGAGCAATCAGACTGCACGAAACTTTCGAGAGCTTATAGCACAGCCTATGCAAGTCTTTGACGAGAAACGATTGTTGTGGCAGAACAGCAATACCTGCAGGCAGTTGGCAGCTTTGGTCCAAGATGTACTCGGTACGAACGCTGTGAAAAAGGTTCTCTGCTTCGGGCTCGGTGATTTTTGCCGCTCCGCGCCTGAGTGGCTCAAGAAGCAGCACGACTGTTGGGATGAGAACTCGGAGGTGAAAAATGTGATGGGCTGCATGATTCAGCATTCAATGGCTCTTACTATTGCTCAACTATGCCGTGGCAAGGAAACATTGCCATTACTTGCTCAGGACCCAGAGTATACGGAAGTCGCAGAAGACATTCTAATCAAGAAGGGATTTAAAATTGTTGGAACTCACGGTGCAGGGGGATTCGCGGAAATTGACGAGGACTCGATCATAATATCTCCATTTGCTGCCGCGCCAGTCAAGCAAATCATCGCTGATCTTGCTCGGCCTTTGCTCATCATCTCCACCGGTTTTGAGGTCTTCAATAACAATGAGTAAGTTCGCTTTGTCGATCCCTGAATATTTCTAACCACGACTCTCCACAGGAAACCATTGGCAGATGCTGAATCTCCGAGAACAAGGCAAATGTGGCTTGATTATGATGTCTATAACCTTCCAAGCCATCCTGATGACGTTGAGGTATGCTCTGCACTGAAAGGGTTGCATTTGTACTGTAGACGCCAACAAAATCTGGATATACGAGAAGCCTGAGTTCAAAGAACCTATTGTTGTATCTAGGGAGGGTGGACTACAAGTCATCGCAAATACGAAATGGATTTCAGAACGGGAAACTTATGTACTTGGTGTCTCATACCCCTTAGGCGCTGCGATCGATTTCGTACACTGTTCCACAAAAGCCCGCAGAGTCATTATTCAGGAGCAACCTCATGTTTGGTTGCCGGTCAAGCAGCTTCAGTGACAGTTCAAAAAACCCCTTGCAGCTATTCACCTCCCGCCTCCGATAGTTTACTCCCTTTTCTTGGAGCAATTGCAACAGGCATAACAAGCGCCACAGTCTGCATGGACAAAGCTCTTCTCCTGTCCGCAGGTGCAACATATGATCGCGTCCACGGGACCGGTTATGTCGGATTCGCAAGCCATGATGGAGGCAGAGACTATACAGATATTAATTAGGGGACCGCCGATCAGCAACAGAGGGCACGGGTACTATACTTGGAAGGACTTGCAGGTGTTTGTCTGAGAGAAGAGGTGTAGGAAAGCAGGCAGAGCAGGTAGTCTGTCGACTAGTTTCAGAGAATCAAAACCGCGAGCGTGATTGTTGAAAATTCAAGTCACAACTGTTCCTTTCGCACTCTTAAAACCAACAAAAAGCGGGGTAATAGACGTGACAGTCACCTGGACATCAAACCGACGAGGTCACTATATCCAATAGCCTCGTGAGTACCAGATGGTTTGTAACGGGCATATCCTGCATGTAGTATCACTGAGGCTGCATCCTCCTGGTTAACTCGAGTGTGATGGCACCTGCATTTGGCGCTAATGATGGCCTACGACACCAATCAATTGATATTACTGAGCAGCTGTGCTGATCAATAGGCTTAAGCGCGACTCAATTTGGGAACTAGGCGCCTACCCGTACGCAGTGTGTAGGCCAGATCTTGCTCTGACCATTATTTGTATTGCAGGCCTATCCATGACGATGGATGCCTAGCGTTAGGAGGTCAGATGAGACATCCATGGGGGTGGGATTGGAGGATGTCGCTTGTATGAAAATGAGGATTCGACGGTACTGGGTAGAGCGATGAAGGGCCAAAGCGCTGAAGCGGCTGAAGTCCTAGATTAGTGACAGTTCAACGCTGAACTTTATCCACGCCAAGCACATTACGCCCCCAGAGCGGAGAAATACGCCATGCAAAATAACGTTTTAGTTTGCCGTCCAGCCACGTAGTCCACCTCCCGTGACCTAGGTCAGGTAATATAAGGATTAAATTTCCCTCTCCGCTACGGAACAGTGTTTTCTTGCATGGCTACACCAAGCGCATGAGGACCATGACCCTATCACCTCGCAGGCAAAATGCAGTCAGCCTGATACTCGCCCAAGGATCTCCTTCCCCTGTTGCGGTGACGCGGCAGACAATAATTGAACAGGCAAGCGAGATATTCGGGAAGCAGCTTCTACAACCATGGAATCGTCAGAGGACCCCCCTGAGGTTGAAGAAAAAGTTTCTGGAAACTCGTGCTTTAGTTTCAAGTTCGACTTCAAGAATCTTCCTGGACCATGGAGGATTCCAAGCTTGGCTTGCCTATTTTCTTGCAACAGAAGGCAAGGCTCATTTTAAAGGCCGTCACGACAGACTGTCTGTGCTCGCCGTATTCACGAGGTTGACGTCAGATGAGCAAGCGAACGTCGCCAGGAGGGTAGCGGATGTATGACCACACGATACCGTTAGCAGCGCCATTGAGAAGATCTCGCAGATATTCGCAAAAGAAGGGAGGTTTTTGAATTAAAAGATCTTTGTTCTTCACTAACGGTGTGAACAGGAATCCCGCTTCGCCCAGTTTCCCAGCTCCACGCAGTACCCAGCTCAACCGGGATAACTTCGCCAAAAGACGGACTGGCCGATTCCCTCCCAATTGCCGACAATGGGTCCTTGCAACATATCATTCTCGAAAAGGCTTCAGTCGAAGGTCTTGTGGATGTTTTTGGCCCTTACCTCTGTGGCGCAATAAGAAGGGACACAGTTGATAACGGAGCATCACTCAAAGCTGCCGTTACCATGGACTTCCCCTTTGATGGATTGGTAGATTGCCTCATGAGCTTGGCTATCCACCAGAATAAAGTCGAATACCTGGCGTTCGCCCTGTTCAACGTACATGTGGAATCAGAGGGCCGGGTTCGTTACGTGATGTTGAACGAAGGAGCCAAGTTGATACCCAACCCAGAAATGACGTTGAAAGGGGCACGAGATGACGCGATTCTTCGTATACTCGGCGTGGAGATTCACGAGGCGATCAAAACCAGTCGTATGCGCAAGAAGGAGCTAGAAGAGGGCAATCTCGTGACGGAATGCGTATCCATGATATTTACGGACAGATCAGATGAAGGAGCTGTGATCAATTTGTCCTTGGGACTGAAAGGTGGCGCTCAAATACAGAACAAGTTATATACATAGAATGCGAACATGCAGAGAGACTATTCTTCCTTAACATTCCCTCCGACGAAGTACAGCTCAATACCAGGAGGTAGCTTTATTTGACTGGTAAGCTTGGGGTGTACAATCCCCTCTCCTTTGTTTTCGTAGTATGTAATTGCCTGACATCCTACCCAGTATACCCATTGATTCTTGCCTTCAACCCACTTGATCTTATTGGGAGGAATCGAGGAAACGTCGATACTGGGGTCGAGGTCCTGGGGTTCAAACGGCTGAGTCGCGTTAGCACCGTCACTCCATGGTTATAGAATGGCTTACCATCAAGAAATATTATCGTCTCGGCTGAAAGGACTTCGTGAACCGGCCAGGCTCTGGAGGAAAAAAAAGGTGCTTGTGCGAAACGCAGGAAGGGCTGGCTCGTCCCAGAGAATGCAGCCTTTGCCACGAAATAGCGAAGCAAGATCTCTAAGATGGTTGTGTTTCGGAAGGCATATCGACAAAATGAGTCTTCTCTTCATCGTCGCAAACCGATCAACATGAAGTTTATGACACTGGCGGGGTAAGCGGTTGAAGTCGGCGCGTCATGTGACTACCGCATCATTGAATTGGGCACCAACTCCAAGACAGAACAGGGTCCAGCAACGATACGATCCTTGGACACACGGCTGCATCCTTCACACACGACTATACATTGTTTATCACTATTTATACCATCTATACTGATCGCTCTTCCCCTCTAGACATGGAGGTAGACGATCCTCCTGCGGACGAAGCTCGCCCAGGGACCCCGCGCCTGTTCGAAAACTCTGATCCATTATCAGGACCTCCCACCCCTACCCCCTCCCCCACATCTCCCTGAAACGGAGGGCGCCACCCTCCCCCTATAGGATGCCTACAGCAATAATAGCTCCTATATCCAACATGCAGGCTGCTGGATCAATTTGCCAGCAGGCTACTGCAGCTGCAAACAACCAGCTCCTGCTCCTAGGTGACTGGAAGCTGGCACTAACCTCCCTTGCAGAGGCACTTGAGACAACTGTCTCCTCTCTATAGGGCTATCCCAAAGAGCTCACTCAAGGGCTTGTAGCCAGGTTTATTACTCTGGCAAATCTCAACACCCCATAGCAAGGGGCAAAGCCTGACATAGCACCCCCCCAGATGGCATAGGCATATCAAGCTAAAAAGACCTTACAGACCTCAACCTGGGCCTCAGTTGCTGCCCTAAAAGCTAGCTAGGACAACTGGCAATCTGATACTCAAGAACATAGTGTGCAAGCCTCTCAGCAGCAGACACAAAAGCTAGCCCAGCAGCAACCCCAGCAGGAAAGCAAAACTGACCCCTGTATCTTTCTCTGGCTGCCAGTCTCCTCCAGCCTATGAGCTATTGGGCCATATGGCATCCAGGTCACCCTAGCAGAAAAAATTCCTGGTGGAATCACATGAGTGCAGGCTGTGGCTACAGAATATGCAATCTCAGCCACTGAAGAAGGTAGGGCTTTCCTACTCTCCCCACAGGCAAATAGGCTAGCAGGAGACAGCAACTTTGAGGCTGCAATAAGTTTCCATCAGGTAGTAGTCCCTAAGATCCCTCAGCAGCTCTGGACCTGAGAGGGATAGGCACCTACCACAATCAGAGATATCAGTACAGAAGCAGAGCACATAACTAGTATGAAGCTGCTTATGACTAAGCTCTCTAAGTACCTTATAGAGGAGGGCTCTATCACAGCAGTCATAGCCTTTCTAAAGAAGCCACAATGTGCCTTGCAACTCTTTGGCTCCTTTGGCCTATCATAGCCTACCCACCCTAAGAAAAGACCACTACAGTGTACCTGCTGCCACTGCTTCTATGATACATGAGCCTTCTGCTCTAGTGAGCACTGCATCTCCTGTGAATCCTCTAAACAAAAGCATACCTGCTGTGTACAATACATGAACTGCTATAGTCTATATACAGCAGACTACCAAAAGTGCCCTGCTAGACTATATACATAAAAGGGTTTTATTATCTGTCTTACAAAGGACACCTTGGCTGCTGTTTGTAAGGCTAGCTAACTTGCCTTTCAACAGCAACTAGCTAAGTCAGCCTCTAGCCACTAAGCTAGCAGTCCACACACCCCTCACCAGTCCTCAAGCCAGCTTGCCCAGGAGCTTGCAAATCAAACCCTCCCATCACCAGAACTATAAAGATATTGCAGGCTAATGTTGGAAGGGGCAGCCCTGCCCATGACCTATTTCTAATATTTGAGGCAGACATTATCCTAGTCCAGGAGCCCTGGACAGACATAGCAAAACAACTCACAAAAACACACCCATGATACCAGCTCTTCAGCCCTGCCACTCAGTGGGAAACTAGGCCTAGAGCTTTGATATATGTTCACCAGGATCTTCCAGCATTCTCTCTCCCTCAGCCTATCTCACCAGATATTGCAGCTATCTGTACAGCTGGCCTAACCATCATAAACATCTACTGCCCCCCAAATGACCCTATTGTGCCAGTAGGATCTAGTTTAACCCTATCTATCCTACACACCCTATTGCAATTCTCCCCTCCACAGAACACTATTATTGTGGGGGACTTTAATACCCACCACCCCCTCTGGCAACTAGGGACAGAACTGCACCAAGTAACAGCAGGTGTAACAGCACTTATAGAGTGGCTAGAAGCCTATGAACTAGTGCTCTGTATGGAGCTAGGCACTCTTATTTGTGGGCCAAACACCCTCAACCTGATCTTCTCCAACATGTTGATAGAGGCAGTAGTTGAAGACTACCTTAATACCTTAAGTAATCATGCAACCATTCTGATTACAATAGACTGGACAGAGCCTATCTCCTATCCAAAGATAGGCTCTACAGACTGAGAGAAGGCTAGATCTCTGCTAACCCCCCTACCTGCGCACCTCCCCATCAACACCCTAGCAGAAGAACTAGTTGATAATGTACAGCTAGCCATCCATGGTGCATCAAAACATAACTCTCACAAGCTCTCATGCACCCCTTGGTGGACACTGAAACTCACAGACCTACTCCACCAAACATAACAGCAGTAGGACCCAGACTACCTACCACTCTAGAAGGTAATATCCTATGCAAAAGCTAATTACTAGAAGAGGCAAATTGAGCAAGCAGTGTCTCCCACAGATGCCTTCCTACTTGCTAAATGGCATAAGCACTCAGATCAGCTCACAGCACCCCCTCTAAATATCTAAAGAAATCAGGTTAGCACTCCACAAGATAAAGTAGATGCTTTTCTTTCATATTTACTGGACAAGGGAGCCTCCCTTCCAGATCAACTAGAGGAGGGCCCTCCAGCAAAATCTCTGGATTCACTAGGGTTGCCAACTAAAGAGGACTGCTGGACTGCCCTTTGTGCCCCTGCCCTATCCACCCTAGGTAAGGATGGGCTTACTACCACAGTTTGGAGAGAGCTTTAGCCTGCTCTAGGTAACACAATCACACTTCTATATCACCACTGCTTAGAGGAAGGTCACTTCCCACAGTGTTTTAAGTCTGCAAAGGTGGTAATGATACCAAAGCCAAGAAAAAGGGACCTCACACAGCTCAGCTCCTGGCAACCTATCAGCCTACTCTCCACCTTAGGAAAAGGCCTAGAGTGCTTTCTAGTGTAGTGCATAGCTGCACAAGCAATCCAGGCAAGGCTACTGGCCCCCTGTTATTTTGGTGCTCTTCCTGGCCACTCTGCAATTGATCTTGTCCAGATCCTGGTCCACAGGATAGAGAAGGCCTTTAGAAAGAAGATAGTGGCTTCACTATTATTACTGGATGTAAAGGGGGCCTTCAATGCTGTAATTCATCAGCAGCTTCTCTCACACCTACACCTGCAGGGATAGGACAAAGGCCTAATCCAGTTAATCCAAGATTGGCTGACTGGCTGCACTGCCTCAGTCTATATTAGAGAGGCTATTGCAACAGCCCTAATCAAGGGTGGTCTCCCCCAAAGGTCCCCTCTATCTCTAATTCTCTTCCTGCTGTACACAGCAATGGTAGTTTCTACCTATAAGGGCTCTTTCTGTTATACAGATGACCTGGGACTGCTATTCATTAGGAACAACCTGGAAGAGACCTCATGGTAACTAGTGGAAGCCTATAAATCAATTATGGCACTTGGGGCTGCATCAGGCCTTTCTTTCTCTTTTGAGAAGACAGAAATACAGCATTTCTCTAGGCAGTGGAGGCAGTCTATCCCTACAATCTTTTTACCAGGCATAGGCGAGATCAAACCATCTCCATACACCTGATGGTTAGGGGTCCTGCTCAACACTAAGCTCACCTTTAGGTCATATATTAACTGGACCTTCAGCTGCGGCAAGCAGCTCACTCAATATCTCCAGAGGCTTAGCAATACCTAGCATGGGTGCCCAATAGTCTTTATGCATACAGTGGTCATGCAGTACATCCTGCCAACAGCTCTTTATGATGCAGAAGTCTTCTATACTGGCTACAAGTAACAAGGGGTGATCAGCTCCCTTCAATCCCTGCTCTGCCTAGCTGCCCTGGCCATTCTTCCAACATATAAAACAACCCCTACTACAGTACTCCTCTGGGAGGCAGACCTACCTGACCCTGAAGCCCTACTCAACAGTACCCTCCAGAAGGTGGCAATCAGATATGCAAGCCTTGACATGAAGCACCCAATTGCTCACATAACTACCACTATAGCCTAGAGCTGTAAGAATAGGACCAGGCTTACCAAGATCCTCCAACTTGTCCCTGGACCAGCGCCAGAACACTTGCATATAGAACCACCCCTCCCACCACTGCACATGCTCCCCACTGACTAGGGTAAGCACCTTCTTTCCTTATTGAAAGTAACAGTCTATTCAGATAGCTCCTGTACAGACCAGGGTGCTGGGTACAGCTATGCAATATACTATGGCCCTATCCTGCTTACCCAGGGATTCAGCCCTGCTGGCATGTGGACAGAGGTTTATAATGCAGAAATTATGGGTGTAGTAGAAGGGCTCCATGCTGCAGTTAGCCAAGACTGCACCAAGTTTGCTACCCAAATCAACATCCTCCTTGATAATCTAGCTGCAGCCAGCCTGCTAGCAGATAGCAGGCCAGCCCCCTATAGATAAAGACTTACTGATACTTTCCACCAACTCTCCACTCAGTGGGACAGCTTGCCTTCACTTTTATCTCTACCTTGCAAACCTGTAGGGGTCTGTTGGGTTCCAGGCCACTCTGGGGTCACAGGGAATGAGCTTGCAGATAAGCTGGCAAAGAAAGGAGCTTTATTAGCCAGTCCTAATATCCCCCCTTCTCCCTCATTCCTTAGATAGGAGGCAAAACAGCAGATCTGCGCAGATACACACATGTCATATTTTAGAGGCACACCTCAGGCCTACTGTGACCTGGGTATTAGACCTCATACAAAAAGCAGTTGTGACCAAGAACATAAGCTCCCCTGCTAGGTCCTGGGCAGGCTCATAGCCACCCATACAGGTCACAAGGATTTTGCAGCATATCATGAAAGATTTCAACATGCAGACTACCTGGCAACCTGTTCCTGCAAGAGACAGAAGTCCCCTGTCTATTTCTACTTCTGCCTACCCACCAGGAAGTGCTGGAAGGATAGATGGAAATGCAAGAGAGGCAGCCTATCAAGTATAATTGACTGGCTACTAGGTACAGCTGCTGGGGCAGAAGAGTTCAGTCACATCATGCAAGATTCATCCTTTTTCAAGGATATATGCCCAAACTGGGCCTACTTAAGCACTGAATAGTGCAACAGTCTACGCTTCTACTGGGATGAACAGGAAAGGCACCCCTGCTCAACTGAAGGTAGCCAAAGCAGGTTCCTCACCTTTAGAAGTCCAGGCCAGGGTAGCGCCTGGTGCTTCTTCCACTTTTTTCCAACACATAGTGTCCAGCTTTGTTGCTTCAAGCATGTATTTATTTTAGTGAGTCTTTGCTTAGGTAGCACGTCCGGATGCCCCTTGGGAGGCCGCGGGTCACGTGTGCCACGTGATCCGCCGAGTGACGTTAAATAGTAATCAAATCAAATCAAAAAAAAAACAGAACAGGGTCCAACTAGAATAGACGCAAGAAGTCGATATCTGACTGAAATAAAAGGAAAGATAGTATAATTTAATTAGAACCGAGACGACTTTGCTGATGATATACTGAACCAAATGCTTTGTTTTTTCTCCCATTCTACATTTCGGTCTTCCCCTCCTCTCTTCCCTGTCGTCCTTTTGACCCGGCCTCCAACCAACTTGAACCCACTCTCGGAGAAGAACCATCCGAACGACCAATGATGTGTCGTTAGGCCTCCGCGCTTGACGTTGAGAGGTAATCTTACATTTGGCTTTTCAGAAAGCGAATTATTATTCTCCTCTGGGTAAGATAGTATTTTATTTTGCGTCGCAAAATGTTTGGGGAAATTGGCTTCATTGTAGTATCAAACACAATCCTTTACGATCTGTACGCGGCAAGTGTGCTTAACACCGATCTAGGCCATGCATCTTCTAAAGCCACTGAGAGCGAAGGGAGATGATCAACATATCTATAGCGTGCGTGACGCGCCTGTAGGCCAAATGTCATGTCAGGTCTATGAAGTGCGAAGACATAAATACTCCCGGCTCATCTCCTCGAGGTCTGATACAACATTTTCCAGCTCATGGCTCTGAAAACTCTCTTTGATATCTTATGTGCCCAGTTGAAGTCATTCTCCGAGACACTCCATCATTGGTTGAAGACTTCTCTACAACGAGAGCAAGCTGTGGATAAGGTCCGTCCGAATTCATTTGCTTGGGACATAGACCTGGAATTACCAGCTCCTACACTTCAACAAGCCAGGAACCCCAACAGGGAAGCCAGTCCAATCTACTACCAGGATCTACCACCATACTTGGAGCCTGTGGAAGTTCGTCCGACTTCCAACATCGATGAGGAGCCTCCCTACTCCTGCAACACCACGCCACCTCTGCCACCTCTTAACGTCAACCCAAGTATGTGATATCGCATTGATGCACCATTCGTATCCGTCCAGGTTGTCTTTGGGTTTCTAATCTGACGTATTATATCATTACCAGGGCTCGCTTAATTTATGACGCTGGAAGAGCTCATTTCGCTGGTATTTTCGCTGGTATTATACCTTGTGGTCGGCTGGTGTATGCTCATCCCACTTGCAGTAGTCTGGTACTATTTCAGTGGCGTATACCGGAGAACACGGGGATATTAAGCGTTTTAAAAGCCAGGGTATCCTATCTTTCATGATGGATATTACGCACTGAGATACCGTGGGCCAGGATACAACGGCCCAACGCACAACGAACAATGGCTTGGTCGAGGCCAAGCTCGTTTCAAGGGAATACTGCCTGTCTCACTGGGTCATCACGCTCCGTCAATTTGACAAGTGCATCAATGTCGACCCGTGGGACAATGAACGATACTCATTCGAAGAACTTCCAGACGTCATCTCTTCCATCGGCTTTCACATCAAGGACGACAAACCTCCAGTTAAGGAGCTGCTGAAAGAATTATGGCTTCCGAAAGAACTCCTGGAACGACCAGAGAAACCCTGCTGCTGCGTTCAATGGGTGTAAGTACACAATGTGACATTCGGCCTTCCCGTACTGATAGGCTACAGATTCGGGGTTATCTACAACTACTCCGCGCTTGACTGTATCGAAGCTGTCTCTACAACTGAAATTTTTCGAGACGATTTGGCTGGGGAGCTAGTCCGCATACAATCAGATGATTTGATCGGTGTTGACATGGACCTTACCTTGTCGGAGCGCGGGTGCATTGAAGACTATGGCAGTCTGGAGATTGGGTCTAATGATCGCAGCGACAGTCATGCAGGTGCTAATTCCCGGGACGCGGAAGTGGATGATGGAAAATGATTTGTCTTGGTGAATGTATCTGGTCCTGCTATACGTGCTTCTTACAATCAATACTGGTGTCACGTCTATCCTTTGTAGGCAAATAATTGTCTGTGGTGTCTGTAGACGGTTTCAAGCTCGAGTGGGTATATTCACGCCTTCTCCAATTGAAGGGCTGCGCGGCTACCTGTAGCTTCCTTGCCTATACGATTATGACTGTATCGCCGAGCTGATGTGCATGGGCTTCGCCGAAAGACCCACCACAACGCTTTGTATCCTTATATATCTTGTGTTCTCGGCGTAGTATCCTCCGTGCTGTGGACTTCACAGCAAGTACTCACTGGTCGCCGATATATTTTGCAGACAATTCGCGCCATGTTATCTCTTGAGGTTTCGGGTAATGCGAGGCCTATCTCGTCAGCGGATAATCCTTGAATGGTGGCGACACCTACCAGTTGCTCCCGTGATAGAGGCCATTGGCTGTTAGAATTGAAAAACACTATTTGGCCGTTGTGTCTGAGCCGTATCATCATGAAGACATCGGCATCACACTCCCGACAATATTCGAAGGACTTCCGTAGAAGACTGCTTCTTCGACGACTCTGTTGCTGGCGTATTGATCTGAGGCTATTAGAGCGGCGTCTGCTGGTGAGATTTCTTTTTGCTGCCATTGTGCATGGGCCAGGAACCTTTTACCCAACTCTCATCCATGAGGAGATGGCAGGTTTAAATAACCACAGGTTGACACTGGGACGATCCATGATCCAGAATTGAACGCGAGGAAAGGCCACGACGAGTCGAGGGGGTGTTATGGGTGCGATGAGCGTTGCTAAGGGCTGTTAATATTCGTTGCGGCGTGATGGGAAGGTTACCCTTTCCGCTGAAGATGTAGACCAGACGCTGAATGCAGGCTGCCTGCGGACATCTTTCTCGTTGGCGGTGTATTTTCGAGGTCGCTGGCCGGGACCGATGGAGACTTGCGGCATGAGAATTCGCTCGACGGATAGGAGCCATGCTTCCTCGATAATGGGAAAGGGGGACTGCGGGAGTCGAACCTGATAGTATCCCTCATGAAACTTCGTGGCCTAGTGCGGGGCAGATAGTACAGTCCATGTGTCTAATCGATCAGTATATCGGCTCGCGGGGGGTGCGATAGACTAATACGCGAGGTGCGACGCCCAAGGCCTCCGTGATGTCGGCTGATAGGGGCTGATGATAATAAGTTGCCTTAGGGATGGTGGCCTCAAATTCTGATCTCTCAGTCATGTAAATTGCTGTTTTCTCGAGCTCTTGTGGAAAATCCGCAAGAAACGCCCGGTAAATCCGACTCTGATCGTGGAGCGTTGGGACGTTGCGCTGCTGAAGGTGACTCTTTCATCCGCCAAACCATGCGGAAGCGCTGAAGCTTACTAGTGCCAATCTAACCGGAAAGGGATTAGCCCTCATCTGCCGGGAGATCTCCGTGGGCTTTCTACCATCTGTGCTGCGGCGACCACATAGATCTCGCATCCTGACATGTATACAATCTCAGAATAGATTCTTCATTGGTAGGAACTAAAGGTCGACATGCCGTAGGTCTATTTGATCTTGACTTTCCTGGGAATGTAGTAGCAGAACCTACCTCAATACTTAGGAGACTCTTTGGGTCTAATGACTTGACTTACCGGCAGGGCAGCCTATACCTCTTGTCCTTCAGAGAACTTCAGCGCTGAGGACGTTGTCTTCAGCCTCCTTTGGTATAAAAAGGGCTACCCTTTACAACATGCCTACCCCTATCCTCTATCCTTTTCTCCGCTATACGCATTGTCTATCCTTCATAGCAGAATGGACATTGTAGCCATCTATGCAGTTGCCGCTGGCGGCATTTTTGTTGCATTCTTCTTTATCCAGACTTTGTCCAGCGTTACAATCTGGGCAGATTTCTTTCGTATCTTTGTATCTCGACACTTGACGCTCCCTTTCGTCATTCGAAGGCATCATCTCTGTGGCCCGTGGACTAGAGCCGGCGTGTTACTGCATCTGACATACATGGCAGTCAACCTCTTACTTCTTTTCTTTAAAATAAACTCTTTGGCCGGGGCTGGTCGCCGGGCTGGAGAGTTGGCTCTCGTCAACTTGGTGTTCCCTTTGTCCGCCATCCATTTAAGCTACCTGGCTGATCTTCTAGGTATCACATGGAAGTCGTGTCGCAAGATACATCGTGCTACCGGCTGGATGGCTGTTTCTCTGCTATTGTTTCATATAATCGTGGCGCTTCAGACACAGGACTTTACATTCCCTCTTCGGGAAGTACGGAACCTCTTCACCCTACTTGTACGTATAGCCTCGGATATCCAATACGACACCCCAAGTGACTGACGTGCAACAGGCCGCAATTTCACTGGGCCTGCTTGTCCTACTTTCTCTCCCATCGGTTCGACGGTTGTGTTACGAGATCTTCCTCCGAGCACATCAGGTTCTCGCTGGGCACTTTGTCTATGGCACTTGGCAACACCTCCCCTCCCACAGCCATGCCTCACAAATATATCTCTTGGTTGCTTTAGGTGTTTTTGGGCTGACCCTACTCTCACAGAGTATAGTTTTCCTATATCGAAACGGCCTGTTCTCGGGGCGCGGCACTCCCAGGGCCGTCGTCTCATTTAGCGTGAGCAAGGCCGAGGAAGATAGTGTGGTGAACGCTGTCCATGTCCGTGTCCTCTTACCTCGACCTGTGAGAGTGGAAGCCGGTCAATATATCAATCTCTGGATGCCGTCGGTCAGTCTATGTTCATGGATGCAGACACATCCATTCACCGTTATATTGTGGTCCAAAGGCAAGCAGGACACCATGGAGCTCCTGGTGAAGCCACGCAGAGGCTTAACGGCGGATCTTGCCCGTTATGCACCCACTGACGAGCAGAGCGAGGGGAGCTCCATTTCCTTTTTGGCCCTCATCACTGGCCCTCATGGGGTGAGTGAAGAAGTTGGTCACTACGAAAGTATATTATTGCTTGCCAGCGGATGTGGCGTCGCTGGGGCCATACCGTATCTGAAGAAAGCGATCTACGGTTACAATACTTGCACCTCTCAGATTCGCCAGCTGCATCTAGTGTGGCAGGTAGAATCAATCGACGAGATGAGCGCAGCCCTAACCCTACTGAATCGCCTTTTGAAGGATGATATCGTGGATGGCGGCTATGTGGGTATTGTGTCAACGCGGGAAATTCCGTCTGAGGCTGATCATATCCACGGGTCTAGATACTCCACATCTCTATTTACGTCATGGACGGCCTTGGCCATAAGAAGTTCCTATTTGGGGACCACAAATGAGTCTATCTATACGAGGGATTACCAGATTACCAAAGCATAATTTCTCTCGAAGCCAGCGGTAACCAGATCGAAAGACTGCTGAACATGTGGGACGAGCAAGGCCGGATGCTGGTCATGGGTAAGGTGTTCTGATTCCCCATGTGGAGTACTGGCTGACTATTCTGGCTAGTCTCGGCAAAGGACGAGCTTCGGGATCGCATACGGGGAGTAGTACGAGAATACCTCCACGAGGGAGTACAACTTTCCGAGTTGGAGTACCAGCCCAGCGATTGAGAAGTCGGTGATAACGCGGGAAATCATGGTTGGAAAGCATAGCGAATTGAAATCATAACCATAGAAATTACGGAGACATTCGGTAGAAGTGAATAGAACGTCATGGAATCGTGAAACTGGACTGTTATTTTTGTTTTCCATACATATTTTTGGAGGCATCGCTGTATTCTTGTGTCCCCTCTGATCTGCAAGGTACGCTGGGGTGCGTGGAGCTGGTGGGGTTGAAGTAATCTATTTAAATTTCCGGTCCAGGGCCACGATTTCAGACCATGGCCATCGATTCTTGTCGGAGGGCGCTCCTCTCTTTGACCATTTTGACCACCTTCACAATGCCTTTCTGGCGGCCGATTTTGGCTCCCCTATAAATAGACGCTACCCCCCACTCTCTCTTTCCGCAATGAATCCACTCTTTCTTCCTCCGATTTCTCTCCCGCCCTCCCTTCCAACTTTCCTGCCGACCGGACAACCTCACACGGGACCATTTTCCCTCGCTACCCTAGGCCACTTTATTGTTCATCCTATTTATTTTTTTACCCTGCGGCTGGTCCGCTATAATGCTCTATCTCTCGCTCAGCCTTCCTGTAAGTGCTCCCTCCTCCCGCCCATGATATCGACCAAACTGCTCACCTTTCTGGTTGGAGATTCATGGTCCAGAAGTGCCTTATCTTGACGAAGACGCACGCTCCGATGTGTGTAGACCGTGTTCCCACTCCAATAAGACGCTCACATTTCTCTAGTTGGTCAACCGGTTCGGCAGGAAGCTCCTATGGTTACTTTCTCTCCCTCCGCAGCAGAAGTTCGACGTGCTGGGATGTTGCAAAAAAGGTGGACATATTCGATGGCACCATCTGGTGACAGACGAAGAGGTGCTGTCGTCCGATTTCCGAGCCGGATGTCTGAATACCTACGAAGTTTGGGTCGGCATCGAGGTAATTTCCAGGCTGTTTGCACTTCCCCCACCGCTCATCGTCGCTTGTAGGAACCCGGTGCTGGCGTTGTTGCCATGGATGCAACGGATCTGCGAAAGGTTAGTCAGGTCCGACCATTCCCCCAAAGTAATCTCACATCTTGCTAGTTTACGCAAGCCTTCGGTGTTGATTTGGATGAGATCCGGAAACTGGGGCAAGAAGAAATGGAATGCCTTTTTGGATGGCTCCGCGATGCCAGCATGATCGAATGGTTTCTGCTGCAGTACCAGATGCCTGTCAATATTAACTCGTCTGAACCCCTGGGTGTGTCTTCCCGTCCATATCACCAGTTTTCCATTGTTCTTCCATCTGACCTTGGGTTCGGCACACCCGGTAGGAAACTACAACTTAACCCCCTCTTGGAACGCGAACGCTGGTGACGAATTTGATTGCTTGTTGGAACAGTCTGACTCCTTCCTGGAGCAATACAACCCTACCGCCGAGCTGCCGCATACTGTTTCTCCTCAGCAGGAACCAGTCACGCCTCCCCAATTCAGTGCAGAAGCGTCCTCGTACCCGACACCTCTTTCCTCCGTCAGCTCACCCCCGAGGGGTCAGCCACTTTCCCCTCCAGCCCCCGGACACGGCCAAGTACGATACCAATTTGTTCATTCTCCACCATCCACTGACAGCCCTTTTACGGCTTCGTCTTATCCGACACCCGTCACATCATCTATCAACTCTCCCCGCGGAGACGAACCAATGGCCCCGCTGGATTCCAACGTTTCAAGCCAGACGAAGCGACAACTGTTGCATTCGTGCAGGTTTGGTGAAGACGGCAATGGATCCTTGGAGGATAAACAAATCACATCAACCCTTAGAGCTGAAGCTGGACTCCACTTGGATAACTGTACCAGGCTGCTGCAGCCCCTCTTGGATGACAGAGAAGATGATCCGCCGGCCTTAGAAGCCCTTGGCCTTCCCCTTCAATGGAGAGGTCTTGAGGGTGCTGTGATTTACTATCGCATGCTCGAGGCCGCGAAGAAGAAGTCAAACCTCAGTCTTCTCGCCAAACGGATTGCACAGATACTGTTTTACCTCAACTATAGGTGGCTGGAAAAACATGAAACAGGGTCTAGTAAATCCGTCGCCACGCTCATCCTTAACGCCTGCCCTGAAGAACCAAAAGACCCCAAGCTCATGAAACCCCGTCGTGACAATATCACTGGCTATCACAAGCGCCGAGGGGAACGATGGTGGCTACATGCGGCGTGTTTAGGACCTGGTGTTTTAACGCACGCTCCTGGTATCATGGAGACTGAGTACGCTCTTCCCGAGAGGTTCTCTACGCTTCAACTAATTCACGTTCATAGAATCATAACCAGCTCTAAAAAGGAGAAAGTCCAGGTCTTTATATCGCTGATTTTGCGCGTTCGACCAGGCAGCGTCAACTTTTTTGGCCGCTGGGCACCAGTTCTCAAGGCAATAGCTCTTGGAGCGCCTACATCCGAGCTTCGCCAGATTCTTGAAGCCAGCAATGCTGACACTGTCAGGCAAGCTGAACTAGCGTGCGCCTATGAATCGGATCAGGAAGCCTTGTCCCGCCAACAAATTGGAGAGACTTGGATGGCGATAGACGTCGAATCTATTGCAGAGAAGAAGATAGCTGAGTTTCTCCCAGGTTATTAACTATCTGGTGCCTGGCGGTCCCACTGTCGGTTGGGGTTTGACGGCCCGAACCAAACCACATGCAACGGAACCACGGTTCGGGACTTAATGCGCCTGGAGCTGCGCCATGCAAGACTATTCAATAGGCTATTGTTTATACTTGTTGCTAAATGACAAATTGAACGGAGGCTCTTTTCGTGTGTCGACATGCGGAGCGCGCTTGACACATTAACCAACTCACGGGATAAGGTATGCATGCAGTGACTGACGGCCTCTGAAATTAGTCTACATAAGAGCCGACTAGCGTTGTGCGGCACCACCCCAGGCCAGCTTCACTCTCCGCAGGTAATGTTGACAGCCTTATTTCCTCGTTCTGCTCCAGAAATGAAACTAAGTAGGGGATATATCCTTCATTGGTCGCCCCATGGAAAGAGGAATCTCCTGCTCGAATTTCCCACTGGATACCAAGCCCCATTAATGTTTTCCATCGTATGCACCAGTTCAGTAACTCCGTCCGCTGCCCGAGCCCCTGGGATAACCTCAGAAGATATGAAGTTTTGAGCCATCCAGGGCCTAGGGATGTTGACAAAGCTAGTTGCGCTGCCTGTGAACACCGTCACCGTACTCTCACAATGGAATACACTGCTAGGTTCCTCTTCGCCGTCAAGCCTGCCGCACCAGAGATAACCTCGTTCGAGGAGGCTTTCCAACAGATCAAAAAACCAGTGGCTCATGTGGTAGTGGTCCGTGGTAAACTCCTTCAGAGAATATCCCAAATTAGTCGCTGTGGCTTCGGTCTCTTCCGCTTTAATGCATGCACACAAAGTGCTTGCAACTCTTGGGAGATTGAGTTCTTGCAGCTCATCAAGGAGATCTGCTAAGAGCGCCCTCAGGGGAGTAGACAAACTTTTCAGGTCTCTAGGCCACTGAAGCTTCTCGAGGAGATGGTAATGTGTCTCACTAACCTTTCGAAGCTCGATCTTTCTGTCAACTATCCAGAGCCATCCGGACGTTTCCAAACCCTCTCTCCTAATTTTAACGTCGGCAAAGCGCTGCTCAACACGACCAGGATGGGCGTGCGTAGATATGTACTTTGGGAAAGCAATGAAATCGTAAATTTTCAGATCCTGCCAGCGGTAAATTGGCTTGCCTGTAGACGCGAATAGGTTCGAGCGGCCCGAAGGAATGATAGCCCCATTGACTAAAGCTAGCGCGAACGCACATACGCTGTAGGTGTATTGCCTTAGCCTCAACGAAGAAGGGTCGATGATTTTTGAATAGTCGCACAGATTCGCTGTGATGGCAAGCCGGTCTGTGACCACTGAGTTGTCTCTATAGCTCATCTGACTTGCGACTTCGTAGCTCTGTGGACGTGTTTTTCGTAAATGCTGTTCCCAAGCTTGCACATACAGCCCGCTCATCGCCTCCATGCCTATATTCTTAACTCCTGACGGTATTTGAGGTAGGAATTTATCTACCGTGGCTCTAATCACCGAGACGACGTCGAAAAGCTCGCAGAGCCGCAAAGAAACTTCGTTAAGGCTTCCGTCGGTGATCAAAAGCTGTTGGCCTGATGCATGCGGTATGAGTAGTTGCATCTGACCCTGAGTACAACTTGCTTCTTGGTATGTCCAATTGCGACGGAACCACCTGTCGGATGAAATTTGGAATAAGAAATGGTTCACGTCTAACAGGCTCTGTGGGTCAACCGGATCATGCCAAGAAGTCTGCCAGGAATTGTCTGAACGGTTAGACTTATTCCGTATGTGGGACAGAATTCGAGTAAATGTTCGCAAGGTCGACTCGGCGTAGAATTTTGTGCTCAACAGTCCGACAGAGTGTGTAGCAGTTTGATAGACTTGGTCCATATACTGGATGCCTTGTTCCAAGTCATTGGAATCATCTTGGTCGATACATTCCTGGTCGATCCACACGAAGCGAACACCGCGTGTAATAGCACAGGATACGGACCTCTCAAGAACACTACTGGGTGCCCTGATTGGTCGGATACCCCTGTCTGTTCGAATTTTGTAAGGCGAGCAAGCACGTGTTCCATCGGACACTTCGAAAGAATCCCAGCAGTACGAAACTGCGAGGTAGTTCTTCTCTCCCGGAAATTCACCCTTATTTGTCAAGTTCAGCAGTTTCGTCCGGCAAAAGTCGTCCAGCTCAGGTGTGTTGATCCTGGGAACCTCTATGAATCGGAGGCTGTCAGCCCATTGTGAGAAATCAGCACGCAGCATGATGTTCTCCTGGATCTCCAACATAGGCTCTATGAAACCGTCAAAAGAGCCGAAGACTGCTCCAAGCTTTCTGTCTATGTCTAGCTCCATTTTGAGCGGTATGCGATACAACGTCACATTACTCGTTCAAATAAACAAATGACGCTCTGCTGCCAGGTCCTTATGGATGTCGTGGATATTGTGGATTCATTACCGCTGGGAAGACTTATGCGCCAGCTGCGCCACATCCCTTAGCATAGAATATGGTCACGTGAGAGCATGTGACGGAAGATGGATCCTGTTAGAGCGATGGGTCCAGCTAGACCTCGCCAAAGTGCAGAAGACATCACTGCCCCACTCGTTTGTGGTTTGCTAGCTTTTCACCTAGTGCGGTGGTTTCTACTTTGGTCCGCCTCGTACTACTAGATTTTTAGTTCATAGACTTATTGGTTCGGTCATCGATAGCCACGCGTTCTTAGATAGAAGCAGGAAATGCAAGCTAACAATATAATTGACAAGATACCGGGCCCTCTTAAGTCACGTAATCCCAGGCTGTTTCCGTTATTTGGTTCCCTGAGACCATGGTTTCAGTATGAAAGTACGCGTGGTTATGAGACAGAGACGGGCAAGCCCGACCAATGCTCCTGCAGCGCAGCGATGCTTGGTGATAAGGGAGTGCTATTGACCCGTAAGATTTTTACTTAACGGCTCCGAATTCAGTAGGGTAACAAACCTTTCTCAATTCTTGGATTGTCGCCACGGATGCCGTAGCGGACAGAAATCCTAGGGGATCTGACTGCCACCGCGTACTGTCGATCCCAATCACACCATCCGGCTTCAAATACTTCTGCATGAGAAGCGTGGTGATGTTGGTCAAAGCGCGGAGAGGCTTCGCTTGGGATTGATTCGGCTGGCGCTCAATGCAGTGCTCCAAGGCCGCTGTCCGGGATCGTAAGCAAGATGTATCCAAATGATTGGCGTACATACCGATTTGAATGACCCCGTCTTGCCCTAGAAGAATATTGGAACACGTCAAGCATTCATGTTCAAAGCCGCATTCCAGCAAATGTGTTAATCCATCAAGGACCTTCCAAGGATGATGTCAGTATCGGCTATGATTTGACTTGTGTTCCCATACCTGTATGAGGATAGAAGCCAGCTGAAGCTCAGACGGGAAGATATCGCAGGCGACGACATGCTCCAAAGTCAGAGGGAGGTCATCGACAATGAAGTAGGTCGTCCCATGGTCCTTGAAAATCTCCCTTGCAGAGATGACATTGGGATGCTTGGTCTTCCGAAGGACTTGCAGCCAGATGTCCGCTTTGTCCCTGGAGAAAGAACGAACAGCGATCACTTCGCGAGGGTCCTCTTTGTGGATGGCCAGAGACACGGGGCCGGCAAGATCGCAGGTAAATAGATCTTTCAATGTGTCCCAGGGACAGCCTCTCCGGATGGCCAGCGAATGCCCCGCCAGACCCTCACCTCGACGGTTGTCTCGTCCATGGTCGCGCAGGACATTCTTGGACAGGTCTTGCTGCGATCGTGGTTTCACCCCCTTCGTTAGTTTATGGGTGCCTAAAGGCTGAGACTCCGTCTGTCTAGGCACTGGTGTGGGTGCCGAAGGACCAGGCCCTGCAATTTCCTCGGTGAATATCTGGGTGACGCGCTTGGCCATGATGTAGGATGTCTAGACCTAAGGTCAGACGAGACATCCATGGGGGAGATTGGCGGACGTCTTTTTATGAAAAATGAGGACCCGACGGTACTGGGTAGAGCGCTGAAGGGCTGAAGTTGTTCTAAATCCGTGGCAGTTCAGCGCTGAACTTTATGCACCGCAACCAGCTTAAATACCTCCATTTCCACGCAAGACTTCCGACCAGGAGGATCAAAGCCACTTCTCTCCTTAGCTATGGAGTTGATGTTGACGGATGCCGAACACCGACTAACCACAGAGCGGCAGCTTAAATACCAAGGGACGGCCAAAGTCAATCTCGACCAGATCTCTCTCCAGCCTCTTGTTAGTACACGTGAGGTACTGCCGTCCTAGACCGCCCTCGCTACCTATCTCACGGCACAGGCAGGCCTACCTAGTAATACGACCATACATGCGCCTATCCATTACCTCTGAGTAGCCGGGAGATCGACCACCAAAATGTGGAGCGATTACGAGAGATCTTTGCCAAGGACGGGTGTAACCGCCTCGACCTACGGAACCACGTGACTGCTGTGGTGTCCAGGCAACACCTGCAGAGAGCCTGCCACGCCACGGGGCTGACTCTGGAGGCACTAAAATCTCTCCAACAACAGTATCCACGCCTGGGCTTTCGTGGTCGACAGGTAAAATGCCTCCATGGACAACATAGACTCAGAGCAGCCGAGGATTTCTTGTCCCCCTCCGATCGATGGTGGACGGTCGACCTATACCTGGATGGTTTGGATCTCCATGATGTCGTGTTCCCGTCTCTTCTGACCCTGGCCTGCAGATATTAGCCCCGACCTACGGAATGCCCTCGTCGATGAATATGCGAATGAGAAGCCCCCAACCGACGGGGAGGTGTACCGCAAGATCCGTCAATACCAACACGAAAGCAACGCGCTCTTTCAAAATCGCTGGTGGTCCCGGCTATCGCCGAACAAAGCCAAGCGGTTACGGCGGCTCACGTCCCCGGACAATACCTACCTCTGCGCCGCGTTTGATGCGTTGCTGGCAATCCCAGGGCTCTGGAATGGGATGAGCCTGGGCTCCTTGAACACCGTGATGGCGCTGAAGTGTGACGAAGTTAGTCTAACTCTCAGTCGCTGTCGCCTGATCTCTGACCTTGGTAGGAGGTGATTCACTACTTGAAGCATGTGAAGGATTTTTGGGCGACACTGGTCAACCATGACCGTGCTCAGATGGCCCGAATCGACCTACATACGGTAGACACACTGCAACTGTATGCCCCTCGGGCGTCTGCAGTTGATCGGAAGATCGTGAAAGGCAAAATCCTCACCGGGGAAGTGTTTTGCAACTTCAGCCGCTCGGAACGTGCCGCGATCTGGGGGCGCCTACGGTCGCACGAGACGTGCGAGGGCATCATCCCGTCCCTCCATACCTTTTTCCGCGACGTGTTGTACTTGGAAGTCTGTGCCAATGCTGTCAAACGGCTGGTTGCTTTGAACAAGCAGCACCCTACCATTCGGCGCGCACTAGTGCACAGTTTTCGACCCGGCCCCGCTGACCCAGATTGTCTCATCCAGACGTCTGAAACCACGTTTCGCCGACAGCCGGGGTCTAACGACGAACGACTGTCGTTGGCTTACCGCCAGATCTGGCTGTATGCTATGCGACATTACCCGGACATGGCCAAGAATATCCGGGGCGGCCAGGCTGCCAACCCGGCCCGGGCCAAGGCGCGAGCGAAGGCGGACGAGAGCGTGATTCATGATATGGCTACTCTTGCTCGGAAGCTGGGCTTTCGGACCACGCAGATTAACGCAATCCTCCAGCAATCGCCTGACCGGCAGATCGCTCGGGCCGCGCTGCTCAAAGCTCGGAAGCCTGATCACTTCCACTACGACCGGGAAACCTTCGAGTCTCTGATCGAGCAGATTGCTAGTTGTTTTGCTCGCGCTATTCCGAACGAAGGCCCGCCAATGACACTTACCGCTGGCCGGGCGATAAAATTGAAAGACCGATATGGAATTCCTCCGGAACATGCTCAGCCGCTGGACCGCCCGCATCTCTTCTTGGACCAGCTACATTCGGCAACGTCGATGCAAAGGAACTTGTCGTCCTTAGAAGTCAGACGGAGCGTATACTACGCCTTTTTCGGCAAGCCATCCTCCCAAACATATATGCCTCACACTCCGCCAGCATGGTCATCGGCCAGCGAGCCTTCTTCGCCCTTGTTTGTTCCGCGTAACAATACACCCGCAGACGAACCGTTCGCTGAGGATATGTCGATAAGCGGTCTGAGTGAAAGGCCATCAAGTAGCCGTCAGGGGCTGTCGGAAACTCGCGAACACCAACCGGAAGGGCGGCGGCAGGGTCAACAGCCTTCGTGGCCGCCGACAGCAATGCACAGTCCGTCTCAGGCCAGAGAGCTGTCTCCAGATAGCTCCGCAGGAAGGGGATCTCCTCCCGCTGCGGGTGGGACTACCGACCATTGGGATAGCCCTGACGCGGAAGATCAGCCAGCCACGAACGAAAGAAGAGAGGGCGGGGCGGGAGAGGATGACTGCACAGAAATAGACGAAAACGAGATTTTGCCCCGAGCGGAGGGGGAGGATTCTACGGCAAGGGATCTCTCTGCGGTTGAGACGTCGATTCCTGGAGAACCAGTGGAGGGGGGTGTATGGGAGGGGTTAGAAGAGAGGACAGTTGGGGACGATACAGGCTCAAGCGGAGCAGTGCAGGCCTCTTCGCCACTACGATCGTCACGCACGTCAAGAACCCAGCCCAGAATACGCAGGAACCGGAATGCCATCTGGCAACCCTATAATCCTGCACAGAGAGGCAATCGCGATGCGGCCCGGACCGTTGCCCCAGAGGAGGAACGAGTTACCATCGGTAACACCACCGAGCCGGGCCCAAGCGCAGAGCACTGGCCCAGTCCAGAACCGTTGCAACCAATCGGGGAACACGCGGGAGTGGAACAGCCAGCCGAAGAACCACAGGCCGTAAACGAGGATGGCACATTAACGGGTGGGCCCCAGCGCGACGCTGCTGGAAATGACGCGCGAGACCTTGCCCAAACGGTGCAGCCAGAACAGCGAAACCGCGAAGGCGACGAACCCGCCTCCTCACAAATCCCGCCGTCTAATGGTGCAGAAGGAATACGCGGGGAGCAATTGACACAGAGCAAAGAGTCAATCGCCGATCAGGTTGAAAAACTTGTCCAGGAAGAGCGACACTCGCAGGAGCAAGCAGATGCACCAGCACGACTAGATGCATCTCGAGCCCATGCGGTCGCCCGCCGTGTCACCGAAATTCCGGTGGATTTGCCCCGTCTCATCGCACAGTTGCGCCAAGGAAGCCAGCGTGATACTGGTGTATCTCCCGCCGATGCCACAAGCGTTGCGCGCCCTGAAGACGAAGCCTCCCTCCGCCCCTTGCCCCTTGAGCCCATCGCGCAGAGCACGGAAGAGGGATGGCCCGGAAGCAATTTGGACGGTACGAATCTACGCCGGTCTCCCCAACGGCGTCCGAAGATCGGTCCGCAGGCACATCAACCAGAAGGAGCCGCCCGTAAGCTGAGGAAGAATCAGACAACGCGTCGAGAGGTCAATCGGGCAGGCGCTCGAGATGCTGCCATCGCTGAGGAGCTGTGGGGTAGCGATGGGGGCGGCGACGAAGCGGGAGGGATCATGGCCGAAACGGCTGCGGTCTCTCCCCAGGATGCTGAGCGATATCCCGCCGTTCTGGCCGATCCAGAGCAGGCCCAACGGGAAGCCATTGCAAGGCAGGAGGGCGAGGACCTCCTCTTTGATACTCCGCATATTATGCCAGAGGCGGAGGACACAGAAATGGACGACTTTGAAGGAGACCGTCCTCCTGCGGTCGCTGCCCGGCGCAACCAGAAGGTCACAAAACCATCCAAGGTAGTCAAGCCAAAGCAGGCTCAGCCGGGGAGATCGTCCAAGGCGTCACGAGCCGGTCTGTCCTCCCGGCGACGAGCGGTCGATGGCGGGGCTCGCGTGCAGGGAGAAGTCACCCAGCTCGATGCCACCCAGCGGGACATAACAAACCCCGTCAGCACAGGTGTGATTGGTAGTATCAATCAAAGTCCTGCTAGCGGTTCGTCACCAGGACGGCGCGTGACAATCACCTTTCGCGCTTACCAGCGAGGGGAATGGATGAGGAGGGACGTGGTGTCTGTGGATTCCGATCATCCAGTTGAGGCGCAGGCCATCGCAGAGCGGTATGCCCGAGACCCGGAGCAGGAGGTCCATTTCTATGATCGTTCACTACGGAAAGTTGCTGTGGACCAGTGTGTCCGCGCGGCGATCGACGACGGAAGTTTCACGGTCCTCATGGGTTTGGGACGGGGCCTCGCAGTGACGCGGAACCTGGTGGCCTCGGTGACAGAATTGTTCGAGAATGTTGGAACCGCCGGGCCAGTCATAGAGGAAGAGGAAGAGGAGTTGTAGCGCCTCTAGATACTCTGGCGGACCGGGCGACCAGCGGGGTCGCAAGCATGTAGATAGATGATCACTGGAGACGTACATCCGATGAGGTCGCCAGTTGGCGGTCCTGCGGTCGAGCTGGTCGTACGACCAGTGTCTGATGATCGTGTCGGTCGGGGGTACCCGGTCTGGCAATACTTGGTCGGATGGCCCAGGGCTGCTGCTTCCGACCTTGTGACGCTGGCCGTCAGTACCTGGGCACGCCGCCCCGGCCGTCTGCTCTCAGGCCTCCGATCTCTTAGGTGGTCAGACCACATGCCTGGGCCCGCCAGGGACCTAAACCCCCAGGTATATCTCCACAGCGGGCTTCAGTTGCTTAGGGTCGTGTGGCCTGGCGCACAGGATCTGAGGGGTCCCACATCGACCATATCCTGGGAGTATCGATTCCGGGAGAAGACGAATCCCAGGATACTCAATCCTGTGATAGAATTCATCACGGGATGGTCAATTTCAGGCAAAAACGTGCCCACGGTAGAGAGGGTCCCAGGATGGAGAGTCATAGGATTGCAAATCTCGGGATTAATTCTATTTCATGATAATCTCTCCTGTGCCATTACACCGTTTGGGTTTTTGCCATCGATAAGGTTGTGAGGGCTGATAAATATTTGGTTGCCGTCCGCCTCGACGAAAGTATTGTGATAGCCGCGAAGTTTTTGATCTAGGCCATGGTAGTCAGAAGTTAGAACTTGCACAGCAATAGAACTTGCACAGCAACGTTCTAGACCCCACCTGTCGTCTATTTAGATCCAAAGACTCCAACTGTTGAAGGTTGTCTTCCTCAAGGATGGCTGCACCTTGCATCGTGCATGCCTTGGACATGAAGTTGACCAGAGATTCCTGCGAGGAGATCAAGGTACTGGACATCATCCATCCATTCTTCCGTAATGTATAACAGCCAGTTTCATCCGTTATTTGGAGTATGTATTTCAGAAAATTGATGCATAATCCAAGATTGACTTTCTTTGCTTGTAATGGTCTTCGTGTCCACTTTTCTGCAATTGTTCGCTGATCCGATACAAGTACAACAGCAACATTTATCCCCTTGCGTCAATATTCTAAGGCAAGCGTACCCGTATTTCCTGGTAGAGCGCAAACGGCCTTGAGAGATGCATGTATATGCCAGGCGTATCACAAGTTGGGTCAGGGCACAGGATGTATTGGAGACAGCTCGTCTTGTGATCATTGGATATTAGCAATCCTTGCTTCCAGAACAGACGCCGCAACTCATTCCTCCCAAAACATACATAATCAAGGACAGCGACAGCAATTAGTGTTACTGCCACTATATATAATGCAACTCCCCGCAAGGAAAACAGCAAGAAATATAGGCCAACAGAAAATTGTGAACCGTGGAGAGTACAAGTCATCTTTTATCTCTGCTCTGCTCTGCCCCCAACCTCCAACATGACCAAGCAGTTACAATCCGAAGTAGCGTCTGCACCTACCACCAGCTTCGCTGCCCGGTACAATCGCATTGACAAATTCACCGAGGAATTTGCCGAAACTCTTGTCAAATTATCAGGAATAAGCCATTCTACCCTTGAGCCTCTAGTTGTGTTTGACAATGCATGCGGAACCGGCGCTGTGTCGAAAGTCCTTGCTCAGACATTGGGTAGAGAAACTGACAGAACATGGCGTTTAACCTGCGGTGATACGGCGGAGACAATGCTTGCATATACCCAATAAAGAATAGACGAGGAGGGATGGTCTTTTGCTGAGGCTATGATCATTGATGCTCAAGACACTAGACTGCCCAGTGGGAGATACACTCATATTTTCACGGCTTTCGGTAAGACTCTCTTCCCAGCCGTGCCTGCTTGAGCGGATGTAATAGGTGTATACGTCAAGTTATCCGGGATGCTGATGGCCCTTGTTGTGAGATCTACAGCCTTTAATCTTTTTCCAGACCCAAAAGCTGCTCTGAGAGGTATCTTGTACGATAATTCCTTGTTGTATTCATTTGCTTACCTTGATCACTAGAATACTTTCGACTCCTTCAGACGAAAGGCACTCTCGCAATCTCGGTTTGGAAGAAATGTAAGGGGGTCCCCTCAAGAGTACAGATCCTCACAGAGCGCCTCGGTCGACTAACACCCGCTCTTTTCTTTAATATCATTCAGGTAACTGGTTTGAAATTGTCAAGGACGCCCTGAGCTTCCTTCCTGGAAATCTTCCCTTACCCACACAGCAGGATGAGATCAGTTCACTCCACAAGAAGGGCTGGGACTCAGAAAGCTGTATCCGCGGGTTTCTCGAGGAGGCCGGTTTTAAGGATGTTGATGCCTCTACTACTGAGAAAAAAAGTGTCCTTCCCTTGGACGAGGTTGCGGACGCTTGTCAGATGATAGCCCCTTTCGTGGTCAGTCAATTCTGGACGGAAGAGCAGCGCGATCAGTATGCAGGGATGGTACCAGAAGCAATCAAAAAACATCTTGCTGAGAAGTTCGGAGAGGGCAAGCCTGGATTCCTGGAGGCCCAGGTGATTATTGCCGTCGCAAGGAAGGGTTGAATTATAGCTGTGTCAACGACTGCAGCCAGATCAGTTGGGAACATCACCACAACAGAATGGTTGGATGGCGAATGAAAGCTACATGAAAGCTATCTTCAACGTTATCTGTTCCTCTTGTGGCTCTATTATACATGATCTCCTGCTTTGGTCCATCAACAGTGCCTGACCTTTTAACATATCTTCCACTCCTGTTCATACCTTTTAAGAATCTGCTTTTAGATGGACGTCTTTTCGTGCAAGATAAAGTAGCTGAAAAGGTGCATTTTTCCCAAGTCAAGCGCCCTTTTGGAGAGCTTGTCTGCTGTGTTATTCCTGGGTATTGTGATTCAGAGGAAGGTTTTAATTATCTTATTCTCATCTGGAAGCCCGAGGATTTATATACAGGGTGAATATCAGATTGATTGGAAATCAATCTGATTATATCCGGAATAAATTCCGTATACGAAGCTCTATTGTTTACGCAGGCTATCCGAGTAAAGCAGATGGTATGAACTATGCCAGAACAATTACGATCAGAAGATTATAATTCAGAGAGAATGCTTGTTGTCTATGTCAAATTGGGAATATAAAGAAGGAAGTGCTCAAGATTAAGCGAGTGTGTGCAGGCCAATGGAGGTGATTCAACCTGAGAACTATCTTAGAACAGCAATTAGCTCCACTGAGGAGCCTATGAGTAACAGCAATGCGGAAGTTCTGTCCAACTCCGGCACTCTGTCAGGGCCCTTGCCATGTAGACCAGGACGAGCACGTGAGTTTCCTTATTTGGATTAGCATGGTGCGTGGATAGGAATACGCCGTCCAGCTTCACGTAGATCTCTCCCTTTTTCCTTCCTCTCCATGCTTGAAGTTCTCGTCGATAGCTGCCTAGATAGTCGAATAGCATCCTATTCATCGTCTAGTTGAGTTCCGTGACAACTGCATTCTCTGGCTCTTTTCAGGCATAGGAATAGATCTTGGTAAGGAGTTTGTCTAGGGAATCGAGTAGTCTTGCGGGCGCGTTGTCGTGTAGTGGTTCGACAGTCAAGGGCCCAGATAGTAACCTGGACTCATCTCTGTGAGAATGGAGCAAGACTCTTTCCAGCTTTCTGAGGGCTTTGAGGGCTTGGTCACAATGTCGTAAGATCTCTTCTTCGTCTCCCATCTCAATGCAATCTAACGCTAGTTGAAATAGCGACATATTGTGGGATGTGAACGAGGCACATGAGGGTAGAATTGATGGCTAGGTTTGTACGAAGGCAGTAATCCTGTGGGAAGAGGTTGCTGATGCATCGCGCTTTTCCTTGTTTCGGATCAAACATTTTTACCAACACTGTAAGAGCACGAATCAGGGGGTCCGTGTTAGTGCTGTGAGCAGTCTCATGACTCTCTTTTCCTCTGGGATGAGCCCTAGTGTCTCAAGGAGGTGCTGCACGAAAGCTCCTGCATATTTCATTGGTCAGCCCGAGCTGTAATGGTAGAACGGACGTAGGTACATGGACCTCAGACTATTTATGTAGTTCTATGGGTGGCAAATGACACACTCAGGAATTCTCGTTTGGGGCCTTTGAGTAGTTAAAACTGAAAGATATTCTAACAAATTGGATCGGATGGATGGTTATGAATAAGTGTGATTCTGAAGCTATGCTACTTTGGAATCGATCGGCTACATCTGCAGTACATGCTCCCCTTCTTCTGTTCAGGTTAACGGCTACGTAATTAGCCGTCTTGTACTCTCTGCTTCATTTGCTTTCACCACCCAGTCCTCCACATCAGTAACAGCATCAGAAGGTGATTTCTTCCGCTCTAGCAGGAACGACAAAACTTCTGCCGGACTGTGAGGAGAATCAAGGTCGTTTCTGGCAAGCCTAATCCCCAAAGCTAAATTATTGACCTCAGCGTCATCATTCGAGTAAGCGCCGAGGCCAACAGGGCTGAAGCCGTGCTGTGAGTAGAAATCTTAGCGCCGAAACCGCTAACAAAGATAAATTATTGGAGCGGCCAAAGTTAGGAAGGTAACCTAATCCAGTGGATGGTCAGCGCCGCTTCTAAAGCCCATTCAGGCACGTCCGGGATGACTTTTTTGACACCGCATTGGATGCCAGGAAGCTAACGTCATGATTCTGGGTCTAATCAAAGGTTGGAAATCTAGGAGATAGTCGCTGTCACTAGAATCTGGGAATGTTTCATACCTGCGTTCGCCCCATGCTCTCGTGGGAAGATAATCTCTGGGGAAAGGCAGTCAGTCCCTCGCCGATCGGCTTAGCGTCAATGATGTCTGCCTTGGGAAAGCTGGGCCATTTCGGCACTGACGGGTGGAATAGAATGAGATATAGAAAAGACCCTATAGAACAAGAGGCGTTTTGGGCGGTAGAAACCCTAAGACCCTGCACACACAACAGGAACAATTTGGAGTGGTCAATATAGAGATAGAAGTCAACTACTAGATTCGACTCGGCATTAACTAGCACGAAAAGAAAATGCTTCTGGTATCCTCTTGAGCCTTCAAGTCATTGAGTATCCAAAACCTGAACTGAGATTGCTGCCATTCTTAGGGCTCTCACTTTCGGTTCTCCTCCTTTTTCTTTTGAAATTCTCTTCCAGTCTTTGTCATCAATTCCTCCTCATCTGGCCCAGCAACTTCATCTCCACGCTCCTGAACTTGTTTCGCCGTGTCGCTGGAGATATCCAGATTGAACCTGGTTTCTTCGCAAGACATGATGTCGGGATTTACCAAGGCCCGGATTCATCTAAAACGGGGCACATGCGAGGTAACTGACTGTTCCAATGCCAAGAGCACAGCGCCAGTCTTTCCTAGCTCTCATCGGCGACAAAAGAATCTCGTTCATTCGCTGATAATTGCGATTATGCCGAGGAGTGCATGCAAATGTCGTTTCACATTTGTTGACATGGCATAATTGGCCGCAGGACGCAAGACAAAGGAAATACGCCTGCATTATCCCCCCTGTTTCCCCCAATCACAAGTGCTGAACGAAGCCTCTGTTTAAAATAGAAATATAGTGGAAACGATGTATGACAGTGGCGACTTGTTTCAACATCAGAGCAAGGAGGGATTGGCTGAGGATCCTGGTTAGCTCCTGGCGTTCACCCCCTTCAGAAGAGGCTGACAACAAAATATAAAGCCTTGAACATCCTAAGTACAGCTGAGCAGGTCCATAAAAAGGGTCATCATTTGCACACAAACATCTTTTTGTGATTTCTATATCACTACTTCGCTTTAAAACGCAGCCATGGCAGTCTACCTCTCCCTACCCATCCTCGACGAGCTCATTCGATCTGTTGAAACTGACCCCACCTATGAAGACTCTGTGAAGGCAATGGCGTCTGGAATCCTCAACTACGATTTTCCAGCGGCCAACGGCTACACAGTCGCACCAGAACAAAATCGAAACGACAACTTCGCAGACTTCATCATCCTCCACATCCAACGTCGTTTCCCAGGAGATCGAGGTGTTATTGATCACACGTTAGTTGAAGCGAAATGCACAAGCGATTCTCTACAGGCGTCGTTGGAGCAACTTGAGAATGCCCTTGAGCATGCCAAATTTGGAAGGTGTTGGGCAATAATGATTCATAGTTTCAGCTTCAAATTCTACGAGTATCATCAAAACCTACCTGAGTACGCCCGTCTTGTCCCTTGGGGACCTCCCAACCAACAGCAGCTTCGCAACTCATTCCATGCGCGCAATGACAGTGTTATAATTGATTGGATGCTGAGACATATGGCGCAACATGATACTCCACCTGCCCGTTAAAAGAACGTTTTAATAGATTCAATAGATGTCATAAAGGATATATGTATACGCTGAGCGAGTGTTGGCCGTAAAGGAATGATTTGAATTTCTTTCGCTTTGAAAATCGCGTTCCTAACTAGGATGCGTCTGCCAAACCATAAGCCAATCCAGAAAATGAGCGGTTGAAAAGAATTGTATAATTTATTAGGCAAGGTGCAATTGAAACAAGATTTCCCAGAAGTTGTAGCTCTCGTCGGAGATGGGAAGGTTTGGAAAGTCGCAGTTGAAGTGACTTGGCAGAACCTGTGACTTGGATCTGGCATCCTCTGCTGTTTTCCTTTTGACAATGGATGACGGATTCGAGGCCATTGTCAAGATTCCGTATCAAATTCCAGGGCCCAGACACTATGCAACTGCTAGTGAAGCTGCCACTCTGCAATTCCTCCATTCGAAAGGTGTTCCTGTGCCTAAACTCTATGGATATTCCTCTTCGGATACAAATCCGGCAGGTGTGGAATATATCATCATGGAAAAGGCTTCAGGCGTTGGGCTGGGGACAAGATGGCTCAATATGTGCAAGCGGGAACAGCACAACTCGCCTTGAGCTTTGTTGAAATTGAGAAGAAATTCTTTGACCTTCCTTTTCAGTCCATCGGAAGTATTTACTTCAAGAAAGACGTTCCCCCTGACCTTCAAGCACCACTTTATAGAGTTGACACTGAAAGCAGCCAAGACTCAGAGACATTTTGCATTGGTCCAACCGTGGACTATATGTTTTGGCGTGGGAAAAGAACCTCTTTTTGTCGCGGTCCATGTAAGTTCACCTTAGATTCTTATAATGTCCATTTTTTGACCGTTGCAGGGAACGATCCCAATGATTATGTCATATCCATTGCATATAAAGAGATCGAATGGACACAGCGGTATGGAAAGCCATTAGAACTTGATTTCCCCCACAATGGTGTCTTCCCAGGAAAAAAATTCCCAGAAGATTACCTGCATCTCCTTGATAAATACCTCACATTGACGCCATACCTACTTCCAAAAGATGCTGACAGTGCACTTAATCGACCTACTCTTTGCCATCCAGGTATGCTCCCATTCCTTGACGTTGCTGTCAGAACCCGACAATTTTCAGACCTGAACCCAAATAACATCTTCATCTCTCTGGACTCTGGCGCTGTCTCCTGTATCATTGACTGGCAGCACACAACAGTGGAGCCACGTCTACTAGTTGCAGGCTACCCCCGTGCGTTTGAGAACCCGGATGCTGAACAATCTCCTCGGCTCGAAGAGCCATCTTTTCCACCGGACTATGAAAGTCTTCCGGCTGAGAAAAAGGTTGAAGCTGATGAACTCCATCGACGTCGTCTCCTCTTTTACTATTACCGTGTATTTAACAGTCACTTGAACAAGGCTCACCTACAAGCTCTTCATGCCCCTATCCTCTTTCCTCGCCAACACCTCGTGGATAGGGCCGGTAGGCAATGGAGTGGGAACCTGATGACTCTGAAGGGAGCGTTAGTTCGGATGGTCGATCATTGGCCTCATTTACCTGATACAAAGGGAATACCCTGCCCGGTGAAGTTCACGGCCACGGAATTGGACGGATTCTCAGAGCAGGAGCAACTGTGGTTTGACCTAAACAAAGTAGTGAATCACTGGTGGGAACAGATTGGGGGTGTTGGTGAGGATGGTTGGGTCAGCAATGATTTATATGAAGAAGCTGTTCAGAAGGTAGCTGAGCTCAAGGCTTCCCTCATAGCCAGTGCAGAGGGTGATGAGGAGGATATCCGTCTTCTGGAGAAGGGATGGCCTTTCAGAGATCGCGAAGAGATTAATTGAGGCTTGTCCTGGAACCAATTCAAAAGTTGACGTTGAAAACCCCGTGAGCGCAGCGGCGACGTCGGGCCAGCTTGTGGAATTGGAAAGCGGCGAAGGCGACTGAGGAGCAGGGTTAAGCAGACTTGGTAGACGAGCCTCCAAGCCCACCTACGTATGTCAAAACAAAGTATATAAGCACACATCTGGTAGTCATGTTCTCAACCGCTTCATTCTGTCCCATAGATATTGCCCCTTCAGAGCTGCAGCTTCCCATGCAAGATGCACAGTTTCCGCCGCGGCAGAGGAACATCAAAGCATTATTTCCAGTGGGCATATGCAGTTTTGGGGCGCCAAAAATTGTCTCAAGTGCTGGGAAGAGACATTCAAAAAACAGTGCTGGTCAGTCCAACAAAGGCCCAGTTATCACAAGAGCGTTTCGTTTCCTAACGTTCGTGCTCAATTCTCGGTCCTTCCAATCGAAGACGGCTATAGTTCCTGCCCTAGCTGTTTGATGGTGTTTTATCACACTCTGTTTCTACACGTGCCACCACCGCTGATGTACCACCTTCGCTCTTTGATTGATTCTCAGGCCTAAACCGTTACCGCCAAAGCAACCCTTGCCTTATGATCCAATTCAAACGTCATGCAGAGGGGAATAATATGAATACCGATTGCAATTATATGTTACAAGGAAAGTCCATAAGAATAACTCCCTGTGTGATCAATTTGATGTGAACCTGGGAGTAATTGGGACCATAATTACTGGACCTAGCCAATATAACAGAGATTTCTTGGGAGTGTATTTTCACCAGTCCAAGATTGTCTAGGACAGTCTCTCCAAGGTTTCCTGTCCTTTTTCATCCAGATTTGGGTACTGTCTCAGATTACACATGTCCGTCCAGAATGCCTTGGCATTTTCGTGTGCCTCACCATGTGCGTCTAAGCGCTCCCGGAGCAACTTTTTCCATTCAACATCCATGTCTGTAAATCCAAAAGAGGCTGAAACATACTCATACCAAATAGGGAAGAAGGCAGCGTATTCCCAGTCAAGTATACCGACAACCTTCCCATCTTGAACCATGATGTTTCCCAAATTGAGATCGCAATGAGTAAGCACATAGGGTTCGCACTTTGGTAGGCGCTTCTTCAAGTTCTCCAAGACTTGTTGAGGGAGGTGGCAAAGGTTAAGGGCCAGAGCATCCCAGAGCTCTTGGTCAGAGTGAAATGGTCCACGGGGCTCAAGATCGAAAAATAATAGGCCTGGATAGCATGGGCTTTGATCGACACACTGAATGGAGGTTGACGTGATGGACCGAAGCTGCTTTCTCACTTCCACAACTTGATCCGCGATATCTATCTTTTGAGGCTCTGACAAAGAAGTCCATGCCTCCTCGAGCGTCTGACCACTGATGCGTTCGTTCAAAACGAAGTACCGCCCATCTCGATCGACCCAGTCACGTAAAACCTTCGGGATGGGGATGTCGGTATGGGTCGCTAAATAGTTCAACGTTTTGACCTCAACTTTTGCTTTTGGACCCTCGTCAGGACGGTCTTTCAGGATTACATCTGATCCGATGGACCACACACCCCGTGTAGATGCACCGTAGAAGAGTTTGAGGTGGCTTGTATAATCGCACCGCCTTTCTTTGTCAAGTGTCCACCCGCATGCGACACAACTTTTCTCGAGCGGTTCACCCATTTTGGATAATTTGTAGGAGGCCAATTTGTTGCAAGAGATGAGGTTTGACTGAAGATTAAAAGCAAAAGTGAAAAAAATCTTCTATATCTGTTTCATTGTATACTTACTCCTTTGCAGGCGGGAGAACAAGAGACGCGATAGGATGCTGGCTCAATCCCAGCCTGAACTGACAGAGTATGAGAAGACAGACGGAGTTTCAGTGGATTCCGATCTCACAGACACTTAGGATCTCGTGTTTCGCTACACACTTTAGCTGGTTAATTGTTGATAAGGAAATATGTGGTTATGTGATCTCTAGTGGCTTCATAATGGAGGTGGTTGGTTACTGTTGTGGAATATGCATGTAACTCAGGGAAGAAAGGCAGAATGAAGCTGTATCGTCCTCACTCATTTCCCAGCAACTCTTCCAGCCCCAGGCCTGAGTTCCTAACAGGTGACTCGTTCAAAGTAAAATAATATCAGCCTCGACCATCCCCCCTCCCGCGCTTCGACTGGTCTTTAGGACTCTTGCCCCCCTCTTTGTCACACACTGTGCTCCGCTGCCATGCCTGCTTCTTAGCCCTCAGTTCCGGCCGACGACGAGAGCAACGCCAGCTCAGTTCTGCCGGATGTCTTCTTGAACAACGCCTCCTACTCTGATTCCTCCATCGCAGCTAGCGACTCCGAACCCAGCAGCGAATCCGAATCCGAGCTTGAGTCTGAGGATGAACTGGCGCTGGATAGGAAGAGGAGCAACTTTCACCAGAACATTACCTTCGAGAGGCGGAGTCTCTAGATGTCTTCAAGCTCCGACAAAAGCGTTACAGCCCAAGAACTCAAGAGCGATTGGATGAGACGCAGGATTTTTGGGACAGGTAGGATACAACTCCGTGAATGGCCGTGTCCGATCCCACCTTGAGGCCCTCTTAGCATCCCCACTAGAGGACATCGACCCGTACCGGAATCAGCTTCAAGGGTTTTATGATAACCTAGAACAGCTAAAAAAGCTCCCATTATGGGTTGCTCACTATGACCTGAACGAAGTAAACGTCCTCATCGACGAGGAATGCAACATCACTGGCTTGATCGATTGGGAGCTTTCCACCCCTCTACCATTTGGTGTGAACTTCGGTCGCATCCACACATATGGTGGCGAATATACGGGCGGAGAATTTTTGGTGCCTGATGAATTTGAGGATGCCGAACGAGCTTTCTGGAATGAGCTGTTTGATGGAATGCCAGCAGAGACCCGTGACAGCTTAAAAAAACAAGTTGACCTTGTTCAGGATGCCGTTATCCTGGGAACCCTCTTGGATTGTCTGTCTTTTGAACAAGGAAGGGTTATTGTTGGCCCAGTTTCTAAGAAGGCTCTCCCCAAGCTTCTTACTTATCGAGTGCCTTTTGTTAGAGGGAGCGCACCACCGTATAAAGAGTAGAGCATGGACAAGCCACACCCCAAGAGATATTTTATCAATTTCTCCTGAACGGATTAAGTTCCTGGTCGTTTGACATGGTTTAAATACCATGTTAATCATTGCAATCCTGAGCCTCTGCCTACCATGTGAGGAAACGCACTAGCCTATACTACTTGTCCAATGAGAAATATAGAGAGGTGATCCGAGAACGGTAGCATAGGAAGAAATACTGGAGGCCAGTCACTCAGTATGCAGTACTAGAGACCGGCCAGGTCCAAGGACCGCGGCCCCTGGACAAAGCCCATTAACGGGCCACCAGTCGGTGTCCCTTACAATTCTAGGTGCTATAACGTCCTATGTCTTTGATTTCGGTGACATAAGATGCTTTGAGTCACAGTGGCAGCCACCTGGCCTGTTCTTGATGTCATTCACGCATCAACTCAACGGTCTGTACTTGATTTCCCATACGGAAGAATCAAAGGCCTCCACACAAACTTATTATGACATGCTAGAAAGCCTGGGAATACTCTGCGGCCGAGGACATCATCTATTGCACTCACTGGAGAACCTGCATGAGCGAGCCAACCAACCTTCTTTTTGGGAATTTTTTTTAGTCTCTCTTTGAGGAGCACTAGCGTTGGCAGATTGGTGTCTGTACATTGTAATTGTGGATGAAGCTCATATCTCTTCCGGCTACAGCCTCAGGAGAACCGTAACTGAGTTCACTATATGACATGCATTTGTCCTCAAGAAAAGGAAAAGAAAAAAGACAGAAAGAAGACAAAATAGCGAGTGTTTAGCAAAGTATTCCTTCATCCCGGAAGCAGTATAGGTCCATCGCGAGAATTTCCTTGCCAATAGAAACCTCAGGTTCAGCAAAGCTCGCAATCTCGGCTTGGGTGTCAGTCAATGTGGGTTTTAGGTTGATATAATGGAGGTGTATCGTTGGTTGGTCACTAGCTAGATAGGCCTACGTGGTGAAAAGGGTCAGCGAGGGCGGACCTATGCGGCAGAATCCCACGTGATGGAGCTAAACCGGAATAGGCCCTGACAGCTACGTCGTTACAGCATGGTATTTTGTGATAATATTGTCAAGATCCGTTTCGACATCAAATACCCATTTACTAGTCGGCCTATCTAGTTAGTTACTAACAAAAATATGCCTCCATTAGACGTTAACTAGTAATCAAATCAAATCAAAGCGCCAGCGATTAGTTTTATTTTTATTTATTTTTTATTTTTTATTTTTTTTTTTCAGATGTTAGATAATGCAATCAATCAATCACCAGCGCATTAGTTCCCATACAATAAGACCCGTACGGGCTGCGCCACGAATTCCTGACCTTAGCACGCTACTCGTACAATCCGCCTACGCTCCGTAGCGCAGGCCTAACAACAACCAACTCAGCGAGTTCGATCCCCATCACCAGATATCTCCGACTTCTGCTTTGATCCCGTTGTAGCTCTTCGAGCCACATCTCGTCTATCTGCCTGTACCGTAGCCTGGCATGTAGCCTGCCGGTGTGTCCATTCCATTCGATGTCTGTCTTCTGAACCTCGACAGGGGGCCAGGAAGTGGAGCAGTGCAATGTCACTTCACAGTGTATGCACGTCTGGCAAAATATGAAGGCAGAGGATATCCTATTCGTCTCCATGTCGGTAAACAGTGCGCCACCTTACCGTATTGATGAAGATGCAGTTCTAAGGCGCTCCCGACTGTACTCCACCATCCATATTAGTCATAATTAATAATAGGAATAGGAATAGCCTCCAGTCTCAACGGCTATATAGGCAGCACTGTATTGCCAATTCCCGTCGGTGCTGTTGTGATTATTTTGGATATCTGCAGCAACCATGGCGAAGACGTACGTGCGCTGTACCCAACTAACCGACTAATGTACTGATGGAACCTCGTTGACACCGTGGCCGGAGCTAGACCCGAACAGCAATTCCACGACTTGATCGAGAGAAATGGTCCTATCGAGGCGGCGGAAATAGCAGCTGTGTTTGACCAGCTCAAGCCCATCCCCCCCGAGTTCCTCATCGGCAAGTGGAAAGGCTTCAGCTTCGACACCGGCCACCCGGCGCATCAGATCCTCGACACGCTCAAGTGGGCCGGCAAAGATTACCGCAGTGTCGATGACGTGGACCCTATTATGATCTACGACGACAGCGGGAAGAGAACCTGGTACAGCGAGTACGGCCATGCCAGAGTAAGTTCGGAGCCGCAAGGGATACTCGCCCACGGCTGTACAGCTGACCGTTCCCGCAGATTCGCGAGGTCAAGTTCCGTGGAACAGTGTCGGCCGCCATGATATACGATAAATTCCCCATCATCGACGTGTTTAAATACGTGGACGACAACACCGTGCTTGGCGCCATGGATAACAAGGATTTCCCAGCAGACGCAGGCGAATACTATTTCTATCTGAAGAGGTTTGAGTAATGGAACACGATACATTCATAAGTCATTAGAATTATTGCTATTGCTGAGCCGCACAAATAATATCATTCCTACCCAACAGAAAGCCCCCAGCCTACCCCGCAAGATTCCCCGCATGCGGACGGTTTAACTAAACATGTTTCCGTGCGGGGATAGGCTTGCTTTCCAGGTTCTGGACCGGCTTGGGGGGTAAATCTGCAATATCATCCCATCCTCGGCTGGTAGTCTTTGCTTCGGAACTAATCCTTCTTGTTTCCCTTCTACTGCAATACGTATAGTTGTATCCCCGCTGCATTATGGTATCCCGCCGCCGTCGGCCTCGCAGTTGTGATCAGTGCCGGAAGGGCAAGCGTGCCTGCGATGCCCCGTATATGAACTCCCCAAGTATTTGCAGCTTTCCATAATCCCGGCTCCCGTACCGTGTCTGACAGATGATGTTTGGTATGACGTAGGGAACAGTTTGAAAACACTCGGTCCCTGTTCGAACTGCAAACGATGGCGGAAGAGATGTTCATTCGACTGGCTGGCCGCACTAGACCCTGCTATCTTGCCCAATACTGCCTCGTCCTCTGCGCCATTGGCACGCGAACATGGGCAGTTGGACACAGCAGCTGGCGAACAGACGATGGCCACAAGTCCTGGCCCGTCGTCGTCCTGGTCCCAACACAGCCTCATTGTACCATTAACCACCTGTGACAGCCTCCACTTACTAGTGTGCAATGCAGTCTGGCCGATGGCGCCTACACATTCAAGTGGGCCGAGCGTCCAAGAATCAACGCCGTCGGCGATGCTCGGGGTACGCCCTGAAGCACCAGAAGAAGCCGGGAGTGTTGATTCTAGGGTTCCGTCGTTGTCACCGCCACGAAGCGGAAGCACCATGGACGTGTCACCCGGGGCCACTGCTGCACTTCGCGGGGAAGTTGTTGACAATGTCCTTTTGGGTCAGAAAGTGGCAGAAGCCCATATGCGCTACACGGTGACGCAAGACCTTTTCCGCATCTACCACGACAGCATGGAGAACAACCTAGCCTGCTGGGTAACGGAGCAGACATGTCCCTACAGTGTGTTCCGAAACGCCCCAGGGACAAACGCCAGGGAGCATATGCCGTCCGTGAAATGGAGAGGTGGGAGTGCAAAGTGGGAGGATCGTTTCTGCGCTCAAGCCTGTCTCCTCGACCGTGCATACTCGCATGTCCGAGAACGGAAACTTACCGCAATCGAAGAAAAGAATGTGTCTCATGCCTTCCACAAGGCAATCATGGCGTTTGCCATGCAATGGGCCCGCCGTAAAACCGATAGAGGTTTGAAGTCTCCAAATAGCGGTATCGCAAAGGCTACCGAGGACTGTTGGAATGAAGCATATCGTTCTCTGCAGATATGCGCAGGTGTTGAGTCCATCCGCGTCCTTTACGCATGTCTGATTTTTGGCTTGACAGCCCGTCCACGCCCCTGTCCTTCGGATCATGAGTTGCTCGACATGGCTCGGATGGATGAGGAAAGCTCCCCATTCGGGGTATTCTCGTCGCAAGCACCGTCCCAGCGGAAACATGCCGCCTCCATCCCTTCTGTCCTCCAAGAGTTGCTGGATGCTGACCAGGCAACTGAATTCTTGGAGCATGCCGCCCGCCAACTTCGCATGATCCGCAATAAGTTGGAAGAAAGGAAGATACACAGAGGCTCATGTGCGGCCGAAAGTCATGGTTTTGGAACCCACGAACTGGACACGTTCAATCTCATCTTCTGGATGGGAGTAGTGTTTGAGACGGTTCATTCTCCAGTATTCAAACGGCCCATCGTGATCACCGAAGAGGACTGTGCGATCCATATCCCCTCGAATAGCTGTGCCTTTAATGATCCTTTACCTTCTTATTCTTCTTCTGCTGCTGCTGCTGCTGCCGCTGACGAACTTCAACAAAAACTTCCACTATGGGGCGACATGCTACTGCAACAACGTGCAGCAGATGTGGATGCCCGGAAAATCGAGCCGGGGTCCTTCTCCACATTCGAGGACATCGCAGAGATCATATCCGAGGCCGCGACGATCAAGACTCTGCTCTTTCGTCGCGTATCCCAGCTTCAAGCGTCAATCCGCGAAATCGCACCCGCTGACAGAGTCGAAAGATTTATCCAGGAGACGCTGCGTGTGATCGGGTTTTGGGACCGCAGCTATGGCCAACATATGAAACAGTACATGCAGCAGCATGATAGCTTGTTACCCCGCCTTCAATCTTGGTACTGTCTGATTCTAGGCCACTGGCAGCTCGGCGTCTTACTCTTCTGCGAAGCAGTCGAGGAGGCTGACCAAGGAGGGTTAAGCCCTCGCTGCAGACTCGAGCACCGGGAAACAAGCCAATCTGTGACCCGACTGCGCATGCGAACGGCCCTGGCTGCATGCAATCTGGCCAAAGCCTGTCTGCATACGCATAAGAAAGACCCAACATCCGTGGAGCCAGCTTTGTTCCATGACGTTTTCCAGCCAGCTGCGCTACTGTTCGAGCCAAGCACCACTCTCCTCGTCCGGCTCTTTACCAAGGCAGCATTGCTCCTTATTGACGAAATTTCCGAAGATGAATGCGAGTATATGATGCTAGATCCGTCCAAGAGCCTCATAAAGCAGCACGTGAATCTGTGTATTAAGGCGCTGGAATGCGTGGGCGCGGTAACGAACGTAGCGGTTTTGATGGCATCGCATGTTTCCCAGAAGCTAACCCAGGCAATTTCCGGAGCTCGGTAGTTGTCACGGCAATTTTATGTTCATGATATAAAGCTGGCATGCAGGGAGACGGGAATGGGAAGGCAGATCGAGAGCAAGGGATATGCAGAATCCCTTGTTTTTTCAAGAGACATATCTCCCTGGTAAATCCACCGTAATATCTAGTAACGTTAATGCATCCACTCCGAGAGCCTGCTGTCGATGTAGTTTGCCATTCATCTGCCCTAACTAGCACCGATCCGAATATAGAGCATATGCTCCTCGTCAGCAGCCTAACTCCAGAGACGTGCGCCATTCTTACAATTTGATAGCGACACCCATCATTGCGCTCTTGGCCGAGGTCCCTTTCCAGATGCCTCACTGTCAATGCACCTGGGCGGCTGGCAATACTCGCTTCGTCAAGAGACCGTCGACTGGAAATCTCCCTCGGCATTGGACATGTCAGTATTCCGCATTCTTCGGTGCGGAGTAGACCGAAGGCAAACAGCAGACCTGTTGAGTTTCGAGAATAGGAGAATAGACATAGCAGAAGCCGACCCCGCGTGCCTTGCCTGGGCGCATGTTTTCCGCAGCAGCGTGCGGACTTTAGATAACCGAGGGCTGAGAAGTGACCCAGCGGCTGTGGAGATCTACCTGCATCATGGGCCACAACACCCAAGTCACCGTTTCTGGGTACGGACAAGTATCCCTGTTCAAGAGCATAGCATTTTCTGTCTGTGGATTTCATCCCGTCGACCGTCCGGGAGCGGGGAAAGAGTACACGACTTAAAAAGGACCACCATGGTTCTCGGATCTGTCAGTAGCACCTCGTCTCCAACTGCCTCAGTCACTAGACCTCACACTGTCTTGTCCAAGTCACGATTGCACAATGGGTTCAAACCCGCAACAGCTCTCTAGGACCAGAGATTTTACCCGGTCCACAGTGGTTATTGTCGGGGCGGGCATATCTGGCAAGCCCCAAGTGACTCCTATCCATCAACTGATACTAACATGTCCCAGGCATGTGCACGGCCATCGATCTTATGAGACGCAGCAAATGCCATGACTTCATTATACTCGAAAAGGGTAGCAGGGTTGGGGGCACCTGGAACGACAACCGGTACCCAGGTGCCTGTTGCGACATCTGGAGTTCCCTATACAGTTATTCGTTCGAGCAGAAGGCCGACTGGACAAGGGAATATCCCGGCCAGGAAGAGCTTCTTGTATGATCCGCACGCATCGTTGGCCATTCACGAAGCTAACCGCCAGAAAAGGAGTACCTCACAGGCGTTGCCCAGAAATACGGACTATACAAGTTCATCCGGTTCAACTCTGCGGTGCAAGAAGCGCGCTGGGACGACTCAGCCCTAAAATGGAAGATCAAAGTCAAGGTTTCCGGGGACAAGGACAGTCAGTTTGTCGACTCGTACGAAGTCACTGCCGATTTTCTTGTATCAGCTGTCGGCCAGCTCAATGTCCCCCAACAGCCAAATATCCCGGGGCTTGATTCCTTTCAGGGAAAGCTCATGCATTCTGCTCGGTGGGATTGGAGCTATGACTTGACGGGAAGAAGAGTCGCAGTCATTGGCAATGGTAAGTCCATTTCCATCCCTCGAGAATGACGAGGCAAGACTGAAGGAGCAACAACAACAGGAGCATCGGCCGCCCAGATCGTCCCCGAGATAGCAAAGAGCGCGTCGCAGGTTACGGTCTACCAGCGGCACCCAAACTGGGTGATCCCACGGCAGGACCGCGTTATCGGTCCCATCGAGCGCGCCCTCTTGAATTACATCCCTCCGCTCCGCTGGCGCAAACGGGCAGAGATGATGGACTACCGTGAGTCGTTCTACGAGGCGGTTACAGATAGTGAGTCGGCATTTGCGGGAGAAATCCGGAGGATGTGCATTACATCCATGCAGGCTCAACTGCCCGACAAGCCAGAGCTATGGAAAAGCCTGACTCCTGACTACTCGCCGGGCTGTAAGCGCGTTCTCATGTCCGATGATTACTATCCTGCCCTGAACCGGAAACATGTCTACCTGGAGACGCGGCCGATAAAGCGCATTACCGGGACGGGGATTGAGACTCTGGACAACGAACTCCGGGAATTCGACCTCATAGTCACCGCCACGGGATTCAGGAGCGTCGAGTTCCTCTATCCGATTCAGATTCACGGCGTGAACGGCAGGGCTCTGTCGGACATTTGGAAGGATGGAGCGGTGGCCTACTGTGGAATGACGGTGGAGGACCTGCCCAATTTTGCGATGCTCTATGGCCCGAATACCAATCTTGGTGCGTTCTTCAGGGCAACTGGCATGATCTTCCTCTGGCTAACCGGAGAAAAACAGGACATAACTCCATTATCCTGATGATTGAAGCCCAGTCCCGGTATATCAGCACCCTGGTTAGCCAGATTATTCTCGCTCAGAGACGCGGTGCTACCCTCGCACTGCGACCCAAGACGGAGGCTTTACAACTCAGCAACGACCAAGTTCAGTCCATCTTGAGGAAGAGTAGTTTCGCCGATCCCAAATGCAACAGCTGGTACAAGACAGAAGATGGCCGAATCACGAACAACTGGTCCGGCACTGTGGTAGAGTACCAGAAACAGCTGTCGAGCGTGCGATGGGACGATTACATCGTAGAGGGCACGGCAAAGCCTCTCATGGAGAAAAAAAGGGCAACGAGTATTGGGCGCGTTAGAGAAGAGACTTTTGTCGGCAGGGCATCGTTACTGCTGGGCATGGCCAGCCTTCTGGTTGCTCTGGGGAGCTACTACACCAAGGGTAGCATTCTTCTGAGATGAAGCGTATTCATGTTCAGTACCGGCATCGTTTTACTGATAGATAAATTGGAAGACTTGTCATACACATCCCTATACCTATGTATATGAGCCCTAGACATCACAGGATCTGCGAAGGCAAGCCTCTGATTGCCGCCCGTTCACTCTTTGACAGGCGAATCTGGAAATATTTCTCGAGAGCAGCGACTCGCTCGTCCTCCGACTCCAGCTTCTCTATACGCTCTGCTGTGGCGCCAATGCGGCGTTTAACCTCATCGTTGAACAGCGTGAGGTCTCCGATGATCTCGTCGCCACCGTCGTCCAACAACATACGCGAGACGACGATATGAATGGTAAACCAGCTTGATTTGTGGGTGCTTGTGAAGAAGTTAATCATCTCGAAGTCATCCGGCGTGAACTCGACCTCAGTAAAGCTGTACGCGGGGGTCCATGGCGCACTGTCGTCTCCATTCTGGATCTCGTAGTGCCACAGCTCCTGCCCGTGGCTGTTGACGTGTTGCAGCAGACTCCCTCGACGCAGCCGACCGTTCTGTTTCCCGTAATTGAAGAAGACATGGCCGGCCACCAGCGGGATCGGTGAGTGTGGTCCGTTCGATCCAAAACCCACGTCGACAAGATACTGCTCCGCACCGATTGTCACCAAGTTTACCATGTGATTCCTGCCGGCTTGGTTAGAGGGACACACGAATGCAGGGAGAGGAGAGACGGAGAGACGGAGAGAGGTACTGACCAGCCGTCAAACTTTGGTCCTTTCCAGTTCCTCCCAGCTGCCACTGGCTGCACGGCCTCGTTCACTCTTGCGCCCACGAAATAGGCGTCATAGCCCAGGCTGCGCAAGACAGTCCCAAAGAGCCCACTGTTTTCCATGCAGTACCCGCCATAGCCGTTTCCTCTCTCGACAATCTTGTGGAAGAGGTCCTGTGGGTTGATGGATATGCTGTGGTGGGCCGAGTAGTGCAGGTAAAGATTCTCGAACGGAACAGCGGCCAGATGGTAGCGTTGGAGTGTAGTTAACAGACGCAACCGTGTCCGGTCATCAGAGTCTTTGTGCGCAAGTAAAGCGGTCCGGATGCGTTCTGGCAAGGAAATCCGGTCGAAATACTGACCCAGTTCCTTGGATGAGTAGGTCTGGCGCTGAGCCCATTCTGGCTGTGCCATGCTCGCAGTATACCAACATAAGCCAATTGCTGCGGGCGAAGGAAAGGAACAGGTTTCCCCTAGGAGGGGAATGTTAAGGAAGCCGAGTCGGCCAGCAGCCTTATCAGCGCTAATTAATCCGCCCAGCTTATGCATATCTCATTTTGAGCTGACCATTTAGGTACAGACATACATCCCGCTGACGGAAAATGAGCCAGGATGCCAGTGTTCAGCATCGCCAATGAGGATACTGCATCTTCGCCTGGCTGATATGACAAGCTGGCCTCTTGAAAGGGCCACTTCTCCGGACGGCACGGATATCCAACTCTCCCAGCTCTGATTCGGCGTGCGTAACGCGGGTTTAGTCTAGTCAAATCAAATAGTTCAAGTCTGTTAAGGACCGACTGGATTAATCGCGCTATTGAAATCACTATACAAAATACGATGGAATTGACACGGTAAGCCTGGACTGGGCGAACATCAGAGTAGCCAGTTGCAAATTCCCCCCGTTACCATCCTCCATGTTCTTATACTACACACTGCATTTGGCCATTAAGGAATGTAAAGACAACGATATGCGCGGTAAGGAGCGTAGGGTATACGCGCTGCAAAGCAGACGGTGCACCGGTTAACAGAGAGCGTTTACCACCAGCGGCGGTGTTCAGCACTGAGGCCAAGTCAGACAATGCTCAAGAAGAGCCACTAGATATAGGCAGGGAACCCGACCTTGTTGTCACTGGTGCGGTAGAAGTGCCCGAAGAAGTCCCGGGTGAGGGTTGAGTGGAAGCAGTTCCAGTATGTGACGGCGTCGGCGTCGGCGTGCCCTTCGGGGGCGGAACTGATCCCGAACCGCTTGGGGGTGGGAGAGATCCTGTGTGGGATGCTGTTCCCGTTGCTGTTCCCGTTCCTTTGGTGGGGGAGAGAGATGCTGGAATGCTCGGGGGTGGGATTGACCCGGTGGGACTTTTGGTCCCTGTGTTTCCAGCGGACTTGGTGACAGTCACAGTACTAACGGCGGGCTTGGTGACCGTTTCTGTCACTGTTGCTGTGCAGCTCTGAATTGGCGGCAGGGCAACTTGGAGAAAAGAGAGCGAGGTCAGCTACGTTGTCGTATTGCGTTCCTTAACCGTGACTTACTGGTTGTAGTGAATACCTCTGTCACCGTCACTGTGGCCTTGTCAGGACAGGCCGATGATGTTACAACTGGCGGCGGTGGCAGCTGGGTGTGCGTGGGCTTAGGGCAACCCGTGGTGCAGGTCCTAACTTCGGTAACGGTGACAGTGCTAGTCTGGGTGATAGGTACAGACCACGTTGAGGTCCCGCTTGTTGTTTTTGAGTAGGTCACTATACGGATATCAGCTCCACATGCCTGGCTTGTCAGGCAGCTCTTTTCCCGGCTTACCAGGGCACGTCGTAGTAATATATGTGGTAGTGATCGTAGTCGGCGGCGGCGGCGGAGGTGGCGGCAGGATTACACCAGTAGGCTTAGGGCAGCCCTTGGTGCAAGTAACGACTTCCGTGACAGTGATGGTGCTTGTGCGTGTCACAGGTATGGTCCAGGTTGACGTTCCGCTTGTCGTTGTGGAGTAGGAAACTTTTGAATCTCAGCCCTGCTCTTTAATCACCTCCGCCAGGGTTATCTTGACTTACCAGGACAGGTCGTGGTGACATAGGTCGTAGTAATCGTCGTAGGGATAGTGATTGTAACAGACGTTCCATTACGATAAGGAGGAGTGGTTATCGACCCGCTAGGGCTGGTGATTGTCTTCGTTTCCCCGGGAGGAGTAATGGTGAATGAGCCACTGGGACCGGTCGGTGTCTGCGTGCCACTGGGAGAGGTTCTGGTGAGCGAGCCACTGGGTGTAGTACATGTCTGTGTTCCACCAGGGGAAGTCTTGCTGAACGAGCCATCAGGGCTGGTAGGTGTCTCCGTTGCGCTGGGAGACGCAGGACTGGTGGGCGTATCTGTTCCACCGGGGGGAGTTTCGGTCAATGAACCAGGGAAGCTAGTAGTGGTCTCCGTCCCTCCAGGGCTGGTAGGCGTTTCCGTTCCACTAGGGCTGGTAACCGTTGTCTCTCCGGGATGGGTAGTGGCTGTGGTCGTCTCAGCAGGACTAGTCGTAGTAGTTGCCTCTCCAGCAGGAGGGGTGGCCGTCATGGTTTCAGAGACCGGGATAGTCGTCGTTGTCTTTGCAAGGCTGGTGGTGGCAGTTAGGGTTGGAGTGGTTCCTGGGAGACCAGAGACTTCCCCACGGGGCTTGATATCAAACCACCTCCGCGAGCGCTCCTGTATGGCACTCGAGAACGCGGAGCCTGCTAAGCAGGCCAGGACCAGTAACGAGGCCCGCATTGTTTCCCACACGCAGATCGAAGACAGCTGGGGGGTCGATTTCGGTAGGAAGAGGGACTTGGGAGCTCGTAGCGAGGTCAAGGTTGGGAAATGATGGAAACAGAGAAGATTGTGCTTGCTATATGCTAGGCGAGAGATGTGCCGGTACGTCTGTAGGCATAGGGCATGGACGATGCAAAAGTTTATATAGCCGAAGAGCTTCGCCCGGCATTCTGGGCCTCCAAGAGAGTCTTTGGTAGCCTGCCTTGGTATGTGCCGCCATTTGGTTTGTTTTAGGTGGATCTTATTATAGTAAGACATGCGATGAGGCCCTAGGAGCTATAAGACATGCCATCGTCAGACCTACGATGTCTTCGATTTAGGGGATGATACATGGCACACGCAGAGATTGCTGCCGGCCTCTTCCGGTCTGACAGCGCCACAATGCAGTCCCATGAAAGCCGTCCGATGAGGATGACTGAAGTCTTGCGGCCTTTTGCAGCCCTAGAATGCTTCTTGTCGCGGATACCCATATCAAGAGAAGAGCCACTAGACACCAACCGGTTTCGTCCTTCCTCGCATTCCTGTCGTTGGTTTGGCGTGTCTAGGGCTCCATGCCTCTACTTGTCATCGTCATGAGAGCTTTGGAAGGGCTCCTCGAATAGTTTCCCTCGTGGCATCTTCCCGAAATAGGCAGAAGAAACCCAGAAACCATGTCTCGGGCACAGCAGTCATGGACAGGAACAGCACCATGGAGATTAGTGGCAGGTGCTGGTGATGGTGCGAAGGTCCGCGTATGCCAATAGTGTCCATACGCTTGGTAATCAGTGGCCTATGGTGGTTTATTTTTGGATCCGACATGATACTGACGGCAAGACTTTGGCCCATGGGGAATACCAAGCCCGGAAGACCTGTCACGATTCGAGAGTGGCTTAGAGCAGACTTCCGTCTTTCTATTTCGAAGCCTGTTTGCACTCGCACGGCTCTCCTCGGGCGAATCATTGCCTCGTGGTGCACTTTTGTTTTAGTGAATAATGCAACCATATAGCAATGGTTGAGACGGTAAATGGCCCCTTCCAGCATTGCTACCTTCTCGTGGAGGAAGAAGGTAACCGAAAGGTGCATAACGCCCCCTCAACGCAGGAAAGCGAAGAGTGTGTTGTATGATGGTAATGTCTCACAATCCGAAGACACCGTGCTTCAGGAGCGAACGACAGCTTGGACCACGACTGGCTCTCCACCCAGCTGCGAATGGCTTTGTGTGTTCCAACAGGACGAAAACGATCCAGCAGCGTCCAGAGGACTTGCTGGCATTTGGTTTGCCGTGGGAACTAGATAGGAAGTCGAGCACATAACGACGATGATATCTGCCCTGCGATGCTGGGACGGTGGCGTTGGCCCGGTCAACCGTCAGCAACAGGAGATGCGCTTCGAAGGTCAAGAGGGACTCGGATTATCTTCCACAAGCAGATGTTCGTATTAATCTCGGGGCATGTGTTGACTGGACCGATGCCAGAAGGGTTCTTCGAGGTTGTCTAGCAATAGACGTCTGTTTGGTCAGCAAGAAGGAAGAACACCAAGTACGCTGGTGATAGACTTGCTGCTAAAAATAGCGTTTGGTAATCAGGTAGGACAGAATTAGACTCTTCCTCTTGTCCAGCATGCCGTATGCAATCCTTGATTCTTGACGCCGGCAGGCAACCAACGTGGCCTACCATGCCATCACAGTTGCTCCGCTGGATACGGTTGTTGCCTTCCCCAGCCTTTGCTGGGATGTTTACAGGAAGCAGATCGTTTCCCGGTGACTTTGACCTAAACCTGTCGGCAGTGTTGCTCTAAACACTTGACTCTATAAGCGCAAATTGCCCTGACGTGCGTCTTTGGCTTTCTGGCAGGTCGTTCAACGGCGGCATTTCCCGTGCTGGCATCAAATCTTGCTTAGGGCTTAGATCTTCTCGGATGAGATTCGTTTAAGCTCTTTGTCCTAGCCGGATATCTAATATACAGTTTCACGAAATAATGGAAGCCACTACGCCGAAAAACCACCCAAAAAGAACACAGACAAATACGGTGCAACACCACTGAAGCTGTACCTGACCAATGCGCGGCTTCAACCTCCGGTTCTTGATCGGTCGACCGTAACTGGCGTCAAGACCTCGCCGGAGGGCAATGGCCCACACCAGCCGTAGACGTCACAACGGCATTGCTCGTAGCGCGGGCAGCTGAACGAGGTGGCAGTTAGCTTGGTCCTTTCTGCGCCAGCATCATGCTCTCTGGCAGGGGAGAAAGGGATCAGCGGATGCGTACTACACCGGTTCCAAGCCAAAGACAATATGCCACATTTTTTCCATGAAAAACCCTATCCCGTAATTGTCCGAGACGTCTGTCGTGGCCACCCACCGCAGCATTCGCTCATAGTCACTCCGTGGCCGCCGACGGATTCTGTCCCGGCTGACCACAAACTGCGCGCAGCAGAGATTCCCCGTGCGCTGCGGCGCGGCATCTTCGGTGGTGTTGAAGAGCTCCGCGTAGATCTTCGGGAGGTAATCCAGCAGGTACATGTAGTCGAGATCCTGCTTCTGGGGGCTCAGAAGATGCCAGCTGTCCGGACAAAGAGGCGCGGTCGTACAACGCAGGTTCACGAAGCCCTGGGCGTCCACGGCCTCGAAGCGCAGGTTGCGCAGGTAGTCGGCGGTCCTGGGTCCAAACATGTCATTGTGCCACTGCTCCTCGTTGCTGTGGATGAAGATGGAGTATGCCGGGAGATCGTTGTAGAATTCAACCATGTACGACAGATATGCACCCGCCTCGTGCCCCTGCGTGGTCTCCGGTATCCACATGCCCGGTTCTGGCTCGGGATCCATGCTGTAGGGGACGATGGCACATCCACTGGGACACCGATCCGTCAGCTGGAGAACAATCGACGTCCGCGAAGCATGGCACATCGCAGAAGGACGTGGAGAGAAGCAAGGGGGCCAACGTACAATTCTCGACAGAACCCTCGCATCCAGTCGATGCTGTCCGTCCTCTGCTTGGGAGTCACAATGACCTTGTCCGAGGCGACAATATTCTGGGTCCGGTAGCTATACGGCGGGAGGTCTGACGGCGGCTCTGTACGAGAACATGGCGATTAGCCTTGTCTCTCTCGTCTCCGTTCGTCTCGAGGACAGAAAGCACCGGTACTCACTCCCCTGTTGGACATCCTGAGGCTCCCTCGCCGGTTGCGAGGAGGCATCGACCGGAAAGATCTTCCGGGTATATAGCAGCAGCAAGAGAATCAGCGTGCCGATGAACAGCGCCCTGAGTATTGACCCCATGGAGCCCCGGAGCGTCTTCGCCATAGTGCATTGGCATTCGTTTGATGGAAAAGGGGCGCGTCCAGCGCTGCAGGCTACATTATAAAAGTGGGCAGAGAGGCTATGGGGTTGTTCTAGAAACGCCAACTGCTACCTACCGACTGCAAGAATAAAGTAGTGGGCCGCACGCATACGCCTCCCATCATAGTCCCGTTAATGGCCCTTCACAGTACCTGGGCATTGCTTGATTCACGCTGGAAGCCGGCCAATCACCCATATCACCCGTATACCTAGGCGCTTCCAAACTCGACGGGTCTGGGTGCGTCCTGCACGCTCGTATCGACCAGGTTACGTACAATGGCGTATGAAGACAGATCGTACGACGGGGTGTTTGGGCAGTGTGAAACACTGCCTATACACGCGGAGATGCTGCGCCAGCATGTCAGACCGCTAAGACAGGCCTCTCGTTCCATGTGTCGTTGCGCTGTTGGGGGTCTCCTCTCAGCAGAAACCGGTGGAGACTCCTACTAGAGTCCTCACCTCGTATTCCCAGACCCGCATCCCTGTCTGTCATCTTTTGCGCAGATCCTTTTGGTGCGCTGCTTGTTTATATTTCCAGCAACGGCTCCGATTCAGGGGTGGAGCATTCTCGCTCCATGGGGACACAATATGAGATGCTGCTTTGTCAATCTTCGCCTCGATTACGGAGGAAATCCCTGCTTACCGGCTACGCCCGGACATGTGAGCCTTTATGAGACATCATAATATAGCCATGCACCGATATTAGCAGCTTATTAGCTTTTGGGTGGATAATCTGCCGGCCGAACGGCAGAAGCCTGCGAAGAGTTTTCTGCATTATGGGCCGTGGCCAGTCTCCGGCCGCAGATGCTTCACTCACTTTACGGCGGATTCTGGTATTCCGGTGTGATCACTGCTGGTGCTATTATTAGGCATGTAAGCAAGATCCGCGCTGACACTGTCCCCTGCCATTTGCCAGCCTGTCGGGCCAGAAAGAACTACGGCAGCACTACTTCGTGTCAGCCCGAGATGTTGGCGTAACTCTTCACTCGGACGGGGACGACTTGCGGCGGCAAACAAAGACGGCTCGTACAAAAAAAAAAAAAAAAAAAAAAACCGTTCCTCACTGCTTTCTAACAGCCCGACGGGTGTCGGGATATGTGCACCGGTGACATCGCAGTGCGGACTCGGTCGGTGATGCCATGCAGCGGACGTAGGCTACTTCATGTGGATACATAGATACTGGGAGCGAGCTGCTTAAGAGATATCTGGTACGAAGAATAGAATAAATGAATACGAGACACCATTGAGTCAAAACCGCCCTTGCTCAGACGCTATTCATGGCCAAGACGACCATCAGGAGCAGTACCCCCAGAACTCCTCATCCTGGTCCAGAATCGACCAGAGTGGCCCGGCGAATGCGAGTGGCATCAAGAACTGGCGGAGCCGGTTGCCCTGCCCGTCGACCTCAAAACCGACGCCCACGTACATGTCGAATGCCGACGACGGGCTCGCCGTGGAATTCCCATCCGCAGAAGCAAAGTCCACCCGGATGCGACTCTTGTCGGGCTGGACGGCAATCCATCTCGCGGTCTGCTCCACGAAGATTGCAGCGTGCGTCCAGAAGCTCCGCTCCTGACCCCAGACGGTCGATCTCGGGACCGCCAGTGTCCAGACTGATGCGCAAGCGGCCCGTCAGATACGTACAATCATCCATGTCAGAGGGATCATGGCTAAGCTGAGCACAGCTAGAGAGTCTCTGCCGTCCCTGAATGCACGGATATACGGACCCCCTTTGTGATTTTCGACTGGTGCATTCGACCACGGTAGACCCCCTCGAAGACACTATCATCGCTGCTGGGCGCTTCAGAGTCGTTTTGAACTTGCTCCCACCCCACAAGAACTTCCGGTCGCCTGGCTGGGAACACTGGCCTCCGATGTTCAGCATATGGTGAGCTTAGTTCGTGCGCATCTCCGCCGGCGAGGTGCGACCGTTTCTTCACGGATCGCGTCAGCGAACGGATACAAGGGATGGAAGCCGTGATGATCACCAGGTAGGTCTCTATGTACAGCCACCGTTCCAGGTTGACCGTGGCGGTTGTCGGGTCGTGGTCCATCTTGGCGAGGATATGTGTTTGGACAGTCTTGATGATGGACGCCGTCATGGCCCTGGGGGGACATAGGGTCAGCTTGGAAGTGCGAGACGCAAACAGGCACACAAGAGGACCCACAGAATGCCCAAGCTGAGCAGAATGATTATCCCGAGTTTGACGTGCAGCTTCAAATTCAGATTCCAGAACATGTACGTAGCGAAGACTGCGAGGTAAAGATCCGTCGCAGAGTTGAACGCTGTATCCGAGCCCTGTTCTTAGCCCGGTGGACGACGATGATCGAGGACGCGGAGAGGATATCCTTACAGCCTTGGAAATACCCATAGTACGCCTGGACATGGGGATCCCAGCATTTTGCCTGCCCGGGGTGCTGCCAGATGGCAGACGCGTGTCCCGGGCACTGCAGAAAAATGATGACGATGAACATCATGTTCACGATGACCTGCAGGCACACCAGAACCCACAGGATGATTCTGTGCGACCGCATTATGCCCAGCAATCCAATGACGAAGACAATGAAGGCGATCCGGCCGATGGTGCCGCCGCTTAGCCCGACCGATTGCGCCACGTAGTCGTACATGATGACTTTTGGAACCATGCGCTCGTTGATGTCCCAGACATGGCGACCGAAGCCGTGCTCGACGGCCAGGGTGACCATGGCCGACCCGGCGATAGAGACGAGCTGTGCGACGGACACCATTGTCTTTAGCACAGAGTAATCGCCGTGCAGGGGGAAGGGGAACGCACCAACGCAACGATCATGAGCACGTCGTCCCAGCCGAATTTTTTGATGCGAAGCTTCGCGATGACCCTGAGACCCATGATGACAATGGCGATGGCCGTGAGCGCCCACACGTCGCGGAGCAGCCTGGGACCGGCGTCGTACGGAGTCTCTGCCGACGAAGGCATCGTGTCGGCTGGCAGTCTGCCAGGATCGAAGCCGAAGGAGGACGGCGGATGAAGGCAGTCGGTCCACGGAGAGGCAAGAAGGCCAGATGATATTCCAGCGGCCTACCACATCGACAATGAAAACGATCTGGATCTTATCAGGACGCCAGTCGGCGATCTCCGCTGCTCTACCTGGCTGGGTGACATTGAGCCGGGATGGACTGATAAGCAGCGGATGGTGTTGGCGTGGTGAGAAGACGACGGGCTGCCGCAATTCACATTCAAGGGAGATGACAGGGCCATGACATCGAAGGAGGATGCACTAGTTCCTGATCCATGGGTGGGCGTCTGCTGTGGCCATCTTCCCCCCAGCGGAGGCCATCGAGGATGGTTCAAGTTATGATCGGGAACCGCCATCGATGATTATCTCGGGAGCTTAAACCCATGCCGGCCTCTCTGATAATGGATGAGACAGTCATTGGGCTCGCAGAACAGATCGAAGAGCATTGGCGCTCTTGAAGATTCCAGGGACGCTAGGGCTGTGTCGGATAGCCCTACAGTTACAGTTCCTGGCGGTGTTCACTGGGATTCCGTTATACCCACGTCATAAGAACCAGAATGGCCACTGTGACAATGCCCTATATAGTATGAGAGAATACTCCGTTGGCGTATCCTGGCAGACCTGCGCGTCAGTTAATGCGGGCCGCTGCAGGCATCCTTGTTTAGCATCACTGCTGTTAGGAAGACATCTAAGACATCTATGGGAGGAGGCTCCAGCCTCCATGTCGTCAATGTAGCGGTAGCCCTCGCGTATCCGATTAAACAAAGACCTTGGCACCTCATATACTCGGGCTCTACCATGGGATCTACTGACGCGGTAGGGTCCCGGCCGGATCGTGATGTCGCCAGTAATCAGCAGATCATGGAGCATTCGTATTCGGAGCACTCGGCGCATGACGAGCTCCCTAGTGACAGACGGTCGCATGAGCAGGTGGTATCAGTCTTCGGCCACCGATGTAGTTGAGCTCTGGCAGCATCTGCTCGGTTGGTCCATGTGGTCGCGGTCGCACTGCAAGGGCACTGCTATCCCACTGTCTCGTACAACGGCGTGAAGGCCATGCTTCCACTGCGTCCAGAGCACTTCACGGTCGTCAAATCTGATGACCGACGAGCAGAATTTTCCACCAGTCAAGGCAATACGGCGTAAGATGAGCCTGTGCAGTGGCTGCAGCTGGCCCAATCCCATTCCGGCCGGGAGGTTAGGGTTGGCGTCGGGCCAGTCACCCATCAACGGCGATCTGTCTCGGCAGGCTTTTGCTTCCCTGACGCAGTCAATCAGAATCTCACACTCGAAGCTATACGATGCGTGGCACAGGCCGTAATCACATGTCGGCGCCAGACCTGGCAGACAGACAGACACAATGGACGGACTGAGACTGCGAGGGGGTATAGCAATCGTCCCCGTTGGAATGCAGCTGCGCAGCTCTGAGGAGACAATGCCGTGGCACAGGACCATCCCCGGGGCATAATAAACTCAGACAAGCAACAGACGACAGCCCTAGTCGGCGATGCGCTTTGTCTCCTCTGGGGAGACATTGCGGGGTTCGGAAAGCAAACCGGGTGAGCTGCATCGTGAGATGCCAGCAGATGCGAGCAGATGGCCTGTCATATGAGATGCACCCCTGCAATTAGCAAAGCGACGCAGCCAGACTCAGCGGACGCGTAGCATTAGGGTTACACTCATTCTCGCATCGAACCATCCTGCCCTCGGTCCACCCCAGCTGGCCGATGCACTGCAGGGATTCCCTTCGCGGGGAAGGGCCTAAGCGCCGCATCTCTTCACGGTTGATGGATTCGCATGGACAGCATTTTGGGGGTACATATGTATCCAGACGCATATATATTGAGATTGCCGCGTCTCTCCCTGGAACGGCCAGCGCTCGCTGCGTGCCAGTGCATCCTTCTCCTCTCTTCCAGGCCTTTCATCGTCCGGACCCGGCCAAGATGTGGCAGTTCAGCAACATCTACGTGATCGCCGGCATCGCCGTCGTCGGCGGCTCGCTGTTCGGGTTCGATATCTCGTCCATGTCTGCTCAGTTGAGCACCAATTCGTACAAATGCTACTACAATCAAGGCCCACACCCGCTGAACGCAACCGACCCCAACTGCAGCGGCCCCCGGTCTCTGGTCCAGGGTGGAATCACCGCAGCCATGCCCGCCGGTTCATGGCTGGGCGCCTTGATCTCAGGTGTGCTTTCGGATAGGATCGGTCGAAAGCCCTCCATCATCATCGGTTGCTGGATCTGGTCCGTTCTGCCGGTGCCACGCTCCCTGTTTTCCTGCCAGTAGCTGACCGGAACAGGTTCATCGGATCTGCCTTGATCTGCGCCTCCCAGGGCAAGGGTATGCTCATCGTCGGACGCATCATCAATGGCTTGTCCGTCGGCATCGAATCCGCCCAGGTCCCCGTGTATATCAGCGAGCTGGCCCCCCCGTCGCTCCGTGGCCGCTTCGTCGGTCTGCAGCAGTGGGCCATTACCTGGGGCATTATGATCATGTACTAGTAAGTCTGCTATGCGGATCATTCCGTGGCTTTCGACCGGCGGCGCTCACCGTCGCCCTTCAGTATTTCCTATGGTTCCTCGTACATCGGCGGCGACAAGCCCTGGAATTACAGCGCCTCGGCCTGGCGGCTTCCCTGGGGCCTGCAGATGATTCCAGCTCTCTTCCTGCATATAGGAATGTTGATGTTGCCCGAGTCCCCTCGATGGCTCGCCCGCCATGACCGATGGGAGGAATGCCACGACGTACTCGCACGCGTCCATGCCAAGGGAGACCGGAACGCCCCGTTCGTCGCCCTCGAGATGCAGGACATCCGGGACATGTGTGAATTCGAGAGAAGATACAAAAATATCACCTACCTTGACCTCTTCACCAAGAAGATGTTCAATCGCACGCAGATCGGCCTGTTTACCCAGATCTGGTCTCAACTGTGTGGCATGAATGTCATGAGTGCGTCGTTCTCCCCGTCCACCGTCCCTGTAGACCACCCCCAGTTGACCTTCTTCTAGTGTACTATATCGGCTGGGTCTTCTCCATGGCCGGTTACCACGGGAATGCCAACCTCCTGGCGTCATCCATCCAGTATGTCATCAACGTCGTCATGACCATCCCCGCCTTGCTGTTCATCGACTGGTATGGCCGTCGAACCGCGCTCCTGGTCGGTTTCTTCCTCATGATGGTCTTCATGTACGCCAATGCCGGCATCATGGCAAGCCATGGAGTCGTAGTCCCCGGGGGTATCGATGGCGTTGCCGAGGCGTCCATGAGTTTGACCGGCGCCCCGGCCAAGGGTCTGATCGCTTGCACATATCTCTTCGTCGCCTCCTTCGCCCCGACGGTAGGCCCTGCCAGCTGGATCTATCCGCCAGAGCTGTATCCGCTTCGTCTGCGTGGGAAGGGCGTGGCTCTCTCCACGTCCGGAAACTGGGCTTTCAACATGGCTCTGGGTCTGTTCACTCCCCCGTCGTTCACGAACATTCGTTGGAAGACGTACATCATCTTCGCCGTCTTCAACACAGTTGCATTCATCCATATCTTCTTCATGTTCCCGGAAACCGCCGGGAAGACGCTTGAAGAGACGGAGCAGATGTTCGAGGACCCCAACGGCATCAAGTATCTGGGAACCCCGGCGTGGAAGACCCGCGTCCAGACCTATCGTACCAGGGCCATGGAGCGCGGCCAGATTGACGTTGAGTCCAAGGCTGTCACCACGAGACACGAGCATACTGCTCCCGCCGCTGAGGCTGCCCCGGCTGCAGAGAACACTGCTGTCGTCGTTGAAGAGAAGAACACCGCTTCTGCGTAAAACCATCCTTTCATTCCAGCGCCACGTACTCTGCTGCTTGTTGGCTATGACAATCGATATATCGCACCTTAATCATGCTTGCTGGTCTGTCAGTCTGCAAGCCTCTCGTGCCTTAGTTTATAATCGGAAATATGAATGCAAATGAAGTATCATCTTTGAATGCATCCTTCCCATTCGAAGCATGTAGATTACGTATACCAGCTACGCACACTAGCCCTAAGCCCAGTCTAGGGCCGTTGCCGGAGAGTATTCCTTTGGCCCAAGAGAGAGCATTCTACGTACTACGGCGTATATCACCAGTGGCCATGGGAACTGCAGTTGCTAGTTTTCTTTCTGTCTACTAATGTGGCGTCGATTGACCTGCTTGCTCGGAGGGAATATGCCATGACAGCTTACGCGGTCTACCAGCTGGATCCCTCGCTCATATTGTTACCCATCACTCTCTCATGATGCTAATCCCGCAGCAGTGCCCAAGAACGTGCAGGATTACACGAATGGCCTCGTCATCGGTTTCGGGCTGAATTAAAACACCCCCTCAGGGGGGCTTATGGTTCACGAAAAGTACCGCTGCTGCGTTAAGGCAAGCTTAAAAGAGATGAACCCCCTTCGCGACAGAACTGGATCCGTCCATCCTGGTGATTTGTATCTTCCGGTTCTTGCATGAAAACTGCAATATATTCCCGCAATGATTTTCCTTGCTAGCCCGTTGGCCGTGTTGGCCGTGTTGGCCGTGCTCACTGCGCCCACGCTCGCATTCCCTCCAGGCCTGGGCTGTTTGGTACGATAAGTAATTCTGTTTCTGGCCATAGTCCATGCATTTCTCTGACACCGGACGCTCCTTTGCAGGATTCGGACTGCGAAAGCAACTGGACATCTTGGAAGGACACGAGCGCCTTCTGCCAGAACAACACTGCGATCGGAGTGATCAATTCGTGTATTGCATCTTCGTCCTGCAGTGAGAGTGAGAAAACCGGTGAGCTTCGCGTCGATCATGCCCCTCCTGCAATACCATGCTAATAGGGGCCACCAGACGCGTACCGGGGTGTAGCTCAGGCGTGCATTAACGCCGACGTCACTATCACGGCGCAGCCTGAAGCTACCTTCTCCATAACCTCCGACGGCAGCCCCTGGCCCTTTACGTGGACCTCTGGAGCGCATCCCTGGGGCTCCGGCGGCCCCTTTGGGCCAGGACGTGGCGGCGGTTGGGGGCCTTGGGGCTCTCAGGGCCAGTGGACTTCCGGTCCGTGGACGTCTTGGTGGAATGATAATGACAGGGGTCCTGGCCACTGTCCAAATCGGAGCTGGCCCGGTTGGACGTCGGGTTCTTGGAGTTCTGGCGCCCCGTGGACAAGTTGGACAGCATGTACATGCTACGCGACATCTACTACCACGGTCACGGCGACGGCGGGCTCTGGTCAGCCAACGACAAGCGTCTCGTACGTCTATCGGGTCGCAGAGGCGGCATCTGTATCCTCGACGTCCTCCGCCGCTACAGCAGACACGTCGAATGCAGCGATGCTAGTGTCTGTTGAGCCTGGAATCTTGGTTGCCGGGGCTCTGGCGGCCGTATTCGCGTTGTAGACGAGACACTGCGTCGGAATTCCTGCATACCAGACTTCAGCTGCGGAGACCGGGAGCCATACCTTGTATTTTCCGGCGGTTCCCTGCGTCGTCGGATTGAATGTTGCATCGCATGTGTCAGACGCCCGCGGATTATGCCCTGTTTCTAGTAAGCTTAGACTGATCAGATGTTGATGTTGGGTGAATGTCCGTTGTCTGTCAGACAGCATTGGACGCCAATTGTTTAGCCTTTGGAAATTAACGTATAGTATATATTAAAGGCAAAATAAAAACTGGTTTCTGGATATATCCGTGATTACTATTACGATCCGTTGTCATAAACGAGCCGAAAATAACAGCAGTCTGACTACAGGCAGCCATTCCTCTCAGCCCCATCAGGGCGATAACAATCCAAGACATGCGTAAACCCCAAAAATCTCATGACGACCCATGTTGACTACACCGGCACCTCTATTCCTCGAGGTGCCGGTGCCGGTGCCGGTGTTGGGGCATAGGAGGCTCTGTATGTGCCATGCAATTAACCATGAGGCCAATACGGGAGAACAGGATTCTTCCACTTACCCATAACCGGATGTCGCTACTTCGGTATTCAGACCAGTCAGGTTGAGACCCTGATTCCCCGCCGCATTGCCTCTGCTGGGCAACGGGTAGCTGTTGCACATGGCCAGATGGTCGTACGGGATCTTCATGCGACGGAGGTGGTCCGGCGCTTCGATGATGGTGGTCATCATGCCAGATTCGACGTGGAACTCGATATGACAATGGAACAGCCAAATGCGTAAAACCAGAACAGCAAGTTAGCAAGGTGAATGTTCGATGAATCAGAAGAAACGATCACGGGAAAGGGGCTACATATCAGGATTGGTGGCACGGAAACGAATCACAAAGTGCCCGTGGCTTTGAACCATCAAGGTATCTCGCTTGATTGGCGTGCTGGAGATGTTGCTGAAGTAGCCATCAAAGTATCCCCCGTTGGGATCTGTCCGTTGGAGGGCTTGGAAGTGATGCCCGTGCAGATGCCACGGGTGGAGGTTGCTGTCGTAGTCGTTGAGAATGATCTCGACCACATCGCCGTAATTGAGCACGTAAGGGTTGACCTGTCCGTATACCTCTTGATTGAATATATACTGCTCTCCAATCGTCAGAGCGGTATACAGCGTGGGAACTTCCGGTGTCAAGTAGGTGATGTTGTTGACGACCCAGCGGTGCACCCCGTCGATGTTCGCCGAGTTGAAATCCATAACGATCCGGTGATTGACTGGCTCCAGCAGAGGCTCATGGTCAGCCGGGACAAGAGCCAAATCATCAACGAAAACTAGCTCTTCCGGTTGATACACGGGGGCTGCAGGAAGTGGTTTTGACTCGTCATAGACTAGCCACGCAGTCGCGTTCTCGTTGAAGCCGGCGGGCTTGGGGCGATTCTCGTTAAAGAACATCATGTTCACGTCCATGGTCGTCCAGAAGGCAAAGTTCTGGCTGGTATCCTCGTGGGTATGGACCAGGACGCTCATCCGCTGCCCAGTTGCGACGCGCAGGAACTCATCATAGGGGACCTCGTACGGGTCTGTCCAGATACCGTCCACCTCAACCACGGTAATATTGTGCCCGATGAATCCGAATCCGAAGCCCGGCCAGTTCCCCAGGTCAATGATACGGAAGAGGTAGGTTTTCAGGGGCTCGACCTTGAAGGTGACGTTGCTGGCGTCGTTGATTAGGGCAGCATCGGGGAGTGGTTCCAACCCCCGGTTGTTGATTTCGTTCTGCGGAGACTCATATTCGTTGAGAAGGTCGACCATCTGGCGGTGGTACCAGTCGGACAGAGTCACGGTGTACTCCTCGTCGTATTCAAAGGGCGTGTCAGGGTCGTGGACGACAATTGCGCCGCGGAGCCCATCGGGGTACTGGCCCATGTTATGGGAGTGATACCAGTAGGTTCCGACTTGGTTGACCTGCATGCAGATTAGAACCCATCTCGCGAGCACAAATGGATGCACGCGGCTGTTCATACATTGACTTCATATCGCATATGTCTCCCCGGGGGAATTGGACACTGCGTCACCCCGGAAGTGCCATCCATATACCCCGTCATATACTCGTGGAGGCCATGCCAGTGGATACCCGTAGATTGGTTTCCAAGATCATTATATACGTCAATTATAAGGCGATCACCCTTGTCCAGGTCGATCTGGAGCAGCATTCACCCAAGTTATATGCCAGTCATGGTAGACATCTTTCGCAAAGGACACCGGAATTACATTCACAACAGACAAGAAGAGCAGCAGATATACCATCATGCTGGGAAGCTGAACGCCGGGCAATATCTCGGGGATGGTATGTTCAACGAAGGGAATGGCCAAACGACCAAACGAGTGTGCAGAGTATGCGTTCAGCGAATAAATTCAGATATAGTTGGGGAAAAAAAGCCAAAAAGATAAAAGAAAGGCGCGCAACTGCAAAGGAAGAACTACAAGAAAGACGACTTCGGCGCGAGTCCTTCGGTGTTTATAGCGCATCCATATACAACCACGGGCTGTCCGCGGTGAATCATGCATGTTCAAGCAGGAGCCTTTGATATTGACTGTGCAATGCCTCAGACAGGATCCAACTGGCCCAAGACTCTTATATATTGGACTGGGCAGCAGCGCTAGTAGATCGTGGTAGACCTGAACAGATCTGAGGCCATCCACGGCCTTCGATTCCTTGCTCTCTCTCGTAAATATGCCATTCCGACGAATCTCTGACCCTGTGCCTACGGTTAATGTCTCATTTACAGGCCGTCAGGGGGGCTTTTTGAACTGGCCAGTAAATTGATTCGTCAGCCCAACCTATTTCGAGTCCGAATTGCAACGCCACACCTTGCTGGCATCTTCCTGAGTGGATGCTATTAACAGAACATAGGCAGGTGTATGCAGCCGGATACACGAACAAGATGCCAGAAACCCGGCTTCTATTATTAAAATCCATTCAGCTGTCTTGTTTAACGGTATCGACCTCCGAGTCATCGGTTGTCCCCTTTCCCACTGTTCCGGACGTCCACACCTTGCCCTCATATGTCTCGGTTGCAGTCGTTATTATCCTTGGTTGAAAGACCAATGCAGAGAGGTAGACTCCCCGCAATTGCGGTGTGCCTGGCATACTGGATTCCACAGCAGATATGCGGGGCTTATTGATATTCTCAGAAATGCTGCTACTGAAGACTCGTCCAGCCGTGGGCCGGTCTGTGTAAGACAGATTCATGTGGAATGCTACATTCAGGGCATTATCGCCGGACCACAAGCAGCCGGAGGCAGCATGACGCTAATTCTTCACAGGAAGTTGCACGAAAATCTTGTCAAATCTATGCTCGTTCCAATAGACTTTCGGACACAGCCCAGCCAGCTTCCAAGAACCATCCACCTTCTTGTACCAATGCTTGATGAATGAATGGCCATGGCCCCGGTTTTCCACGGTCTCAAAGGTAAGATCAGTGTACCGCTGATGCGCTGCGTAGATCTAGTGATGTCCTACGATCTCTGTATCGGAGATGCGTTCGTATTTGGCCGCTCCCATGAGATGTTGCGTTCGAACAAGGGGATCGCCCAGGAATTCCAGGGAGCTCACCATCCCGATGAATTCCTCGGCAGGCATGTTCTCAAAGAGCGTGTATCCCACGATACTGTAGTCGACCTGTTGATATGCATTAGGCACTGGTCTTCCCGGTTTGCCGTTGTTCACCCACTCTCAATGCTGGGGCGAGGACTTTTCTGAGCCGTTCCCAGTCCTGTTGTTGAGAGAGTCAGCCCATATCCATCTGCCTCTGGGTGTGAGCCGTACTTTATTATCATAGCTATCTGCCCATTCGAACACGATTCCCTGGAGCGCGAGATAGTCTTCGAACGAGATTTCCGCCATGGTGGGAAGAGCAAAGTTAGACTTGGAGCAAGATCAACGACGGATCCTGCGCCGGCTCCAGAAAATGCACCACTTTCGGGCTTTTGTATCCACGGGAGAAGGCCGAGGCAGATATAGCAGACTCAAAGCCTGCGTGGAATCAAGAAAATTCGGCATCGTCGTCTGTGCCCTAACCCTGCAGAGTTGGCAGCCCATTGTCGGTTTCTCGTCCTCTCCCACCCTCCCAATACTATCCATTCGACCAACGGATGGCTTGGCTGTGCAGAGGCCACCGTGTAGAGATGGTCATTGCATCATTGTCTTACGTTGGAATCAAGTCAGCCCGTCGATATGACAACACACTGACTGGTTGACTTTGGGATGGCAATGTCCGAACAAGGAAGTCTTCCTATCTGCATGCGAGACCACCAGTGTACATATCTTCCGCCGGCCGTACCGAGCGTGTGTCTGCAGCCCGCATCGAAATGCAACGGGAAATTAAAAATGGGCTGAGACACGCAAGACGGCCATCGTCGCTTCGGCCAGTGTTCCTCTTCGGCATCCATGGAACTCCTGCATGGCAATCCTGCCGGACAACTCCTCCAACAGCAGGTCTCGGATAAGGGCTGGCAGCAGAGTCTAATACCCACTATGTGGTAAGCTATTCCTCGTTATTCCTCCTTTCTATCGGAAGCTTTTGTATTTTCGGTAAATACTATGCTTGTTCTCGCAGTTTGCTCTGCCCTGTCTTGATAGTAGCAGCGGCGATCGATCAGATCCGTTAGGGTGCGCGCCTTTGTAGCTATTTTCGTAGCACGAAGGACGGTCTGCTCTCCAGATTCAGCTACAAGACCGCAGTTCCTTAAATCCTACATGGTCTGTTATTCCTCTTTACCAACTCCATTCTACGCAAGGATTCCTTCCCTGTGTAAGCTACTTGCTGGGAAATGCCCTATCCCTGTTCCACAACGGCTGTGAAACAGAAGGGCCAAGTGATAGGTACCTCAAAATCCGTAGAATGAGGTATTATTTGCATCCTCTGCTTCCCAGAAGGCTGACTGTTAAGGGGATCTCTAGCCTAGCAGCATAGGCTACGTAATGGCAGTGCATGATTGTTTGCTGGTCATAGCCACGAGTCGAGGCAGGATGACGGCGTAACGCAGGTCAGCCACGACATTGGAATGGGCGAACAGAATGGATCTCCTCTTTCTCCTGTTGGGCAGTAGTGCCTTCTCCACTGTTCTGAGCTTTGTGGTCCTCTGGTTACTGCAGGATGCCCAGACACATATCTTGAGTAGGCTACAGGACCTTGCCCAATTGTTTGTCTTCCGGAAATAGCTCAATCGTGTGTGGACGGCTGGACACTGGATCCTTTTTACAATTGTCAGTCAGATTCAGCGATTCTTCCCTTCTTGGTGGGAGGATTCCTTTGGTAGGATACAGTCAGATTCAGCCAGCACCTCAGTGTCGCTCATCTATACCACACAGCTCAGCATCTGCGCGCATGAAAAACCTCCGATATTCAGTCAATGGTACTTACAGAGCTTGGCCAGCGTCTGGAATGACGCGATTGTCGTGTGATCCATTTCTTAGCAGCCCATTATTACAAATTGTAAAGCGTGTCTGCCATTGCACCCGCATTTCTCTCCGGATGATCCTGAAATCATCCAAATTCTACATCCCAGTGGAGATCTCGGTTCAGCCAGCTGCAACGCAGATAGTAGTCAGCCAGAGGCTCTCGTATATGGCCCGGTGTATTAGCTCGTCTAGCTTGTCGGTAGACGCAGGGCGAATATAGGATAGGGCATGTTTTACGTTTTCTACCGACTGGCGCCCGTCAGATAAGACAGTGTGGATTAACATATTAGCCTTGAGCATGGCTGTCGAAGCAAGTTTCCGGTAGTCAGATCTAGACAGCCTCTTCCCTGGCAGAGCTGTTATTGGCTGCTACAACGATCCAAACGGCGGTTTTCCGCGATGAATGCTACGCTGTGATTGTGGCTGTCGTGCAGAGAATGGGATAATCGATGGTACAACCCGGGGTGAATACCGTGGGGGATTGGATATGTATCAGCTGCAGGGCTTTCATGCTCGTCCTGCACCACTTCAAAAGGTTCGATGAGTAATTCTTACTGTGTTGGGGCTTTCCGATTACGGTTTCTTGCGCGAGTCAAAGTCCTCCCTTTGGCCTTTTATTTCATTTATTCATTTTCATCTCATGCTTCTAGAGATAAGCTAAAGCAAGCACTGCATTGCAGATCTATATCGGCATATGACTCTGCAGTCATGGTGACACTAGCGAAACGCCCGTCCACGCCAGGCTTCTGCGCCTTGCGTTCCTTTCCCACATGGCCCCAAGTCACTAAGCACGGAAGAAATGTTGCTCTTCATTCCTAGTAATGGCAATTGTTAGGGTCCTGCAGGGTCTGAAAGCTCACTGTTAAATAGATATCCGTTCCCGGTTTCGTTGGAGGAGAGAAGACAGTCCGTCGAGGCCACGAGAATTATCTTTAGTAATAGTGATTATCCGGTATAGACAGTCTGTCAACTTGCATTCTTAAATTCTCTTTGTTTCAGTTCCTGGTTTAATTCTTCCCCCCTTCTGTCCTGTTTTTTCCCACATCCGCCTCTGTATAAATATCACACTTCACACCACGGACGATATACAATTGTTTTTCCAACAGCTTCACTAACAGACCGTCCATCAAATATGACCAAATTTCTACTATTTGGAGGCCTTGGCGATGTTGATAGTGTTGCTACCATCCACAGTATCATCTCCAAGCGAGAGCATACTCCTCTGGTCGATGCGTTTCTAAGCCAGGCGAGCTCCTTCCTACGGACCAGCTTCGCTCGCCTCCCGCCGCCACGGCAGGATATTCCGCCATTCGTCAATCTTCGTGAATTTCTAGCCGCATATGGTCAGCAATCCAGACGCGATGGTCTCGTTGATAGTGTGTTGCTGTGCATTGCCCAGCTCGTGAGTTTTCTCCGGTAAGTCGTAGTTAGGGCACCAGTCACACGTGTTTCTATCACGTGACTTACTTTTCCAGCGCCGTCGAGGAAGGCCACGACTTCTTCTCCTCCGACAATGACAGCGACGCCACGAAGACTTCCATAATCGGTCTGTCTTCTGGTCTTATCGCCGCTGCAGCTGCCTCCTGCCTTTCTCCTGGCAGTCCATGCATCCCCATCGCACTGGAGGCGGTGCGAATTGCCTTCAAGCTGGGCCTCTACGTGTCGAAAGTCGCTAGCCGTCTGGAGCCCGTGGCTGGAGATAGTCGAGGCTGGTCTGTTGTGTTACCTGAGCTATCTGCATCAGAGGTGCAGTCCGTGCTGGACCATTTTCAAACAGAGACGGTAAGTTCAGAAAGGTCTTTCACACGACGTACCTAAAGTCTTGCTAATTAATGTCAGTCAATTCCCGAGCCAAGTCGTGTATATATCAGTGCTGTCGGCCCCCATGGTACAATAATTAGCGGACCGCCTGCTATTATTTCAAAGGTGCTCCACCATCCTGATGCTTTCCGACATGCTGCCAGTTACGGGATTCCCGTATATGGCCCTTACCATGCTCCACACCTGCATAATGAACTCAATGTCGAGGAGATACTCCAAGGCAACCACCAAGGTAGCCCGGATATTCTTGCATGTAGACCAGCCCTTCCTCTCTTCTTGCATTCAGACGGGGCCGATTATATGGCCTCTTCGTTTGGCGAACTACTGGCGCAAGTCGTCAACGATATCCTTCTCGAATGTCAAAATCTGACCGCGATCACTGAGGCCTGCAGCAATACTGTTAGAAAGGGGAAGTGCGAAATAATTTCCATTACCCCAACCCGGATCGCTTCAGATGTTGCTGCCTCCCTGCATGCGAAGATACCAGATGGTAGTCAACTAGTGCTCTCTGACTTGCAGCAGATCCGCCCTGCCATGCACAATCCAGGGATTCCTGGAAGGGACAAAATTGCCATTGTCGGAATGTCTGGTAGATTTCCTGGTGGACAGGATCTGGAGGAATTCTGGGATGTCCTTCAAAGGGGACTTGATATGCACAAAGAAGTGAGACCCACGGTTCTGACGTACCTAACCTTTCCGTTTCTGACTTTTTCTAGATACCACCGGACCGTTTCGATGCCAAAGCCCACACAGATCCCTCTGGGAAAGGGAAAAATAAAAGCCATACCCCCTTCGGCTGCTTTGTTGAAAATGCCGGTCTATTTGACCCCAGATTCTTCAACATGTCACCCCGTGAGGCGGCTCAGACAGATCCAATGCAGAGATTGGCTTTAATTACGGCTTATGAAGCTCTGGAGATGGCTGGTTATTCGCCTAACCGAACCCCGTCCACCCGTTTGGATAGGATCGGAACGTTTTATGGCCAGACGAGCGACGATTGGCGTGAGGTCAATGAAGCTCAGGATATCGACACCTATTTCATTACGGGAGGTGTAAGAGCGTTTGGACCAGTAAGTCAATTCACGTTATTCCTTTCTTTCTTGATCCTAGTCTCATATGTCCGACCTTCTTCTAGGGCCGTATCAATTATCATTTCAAATTCAGCGGCCCGAGTTTCAATGTCGACACCGCCTGTTCATCCAGTATGGCTGCTCTTCATGTGGCATGTAACTCGCTGTGGACAGGTGACTGCGATATGGCTATCACAGGTGGATTGAACATTATGACCAACCCGGATATCTTTGCCGGTCTGAGCAAAGGCCAATTCCTGTCAAAGGTTGGCCCTTGTCAGACATTTGACAATAATGCTGATGGCTATTGCCGTGGAGATGGTATCGGGACACTCATCCTCAAAAGACTAACCGATGCCCAAGCTGATAAGGACAACATCCTTGGTGTGATCCTCTCCACGGCCACAAACCATTCAGCAGAGGCCATCTCTATAACTCACCCACATGGCAAGACACAGGAAGCTCTCTACAAAAAAGTCCTGGATCAATCGGGAGTGGACCCCGAGGAAATTTGCTATGTTGAAATGCATGGCACAGGTACACAGGCTGGTGACGGCACTGAGATGAGCTCCGTCTCGAATGTCTTTGCCCCAGAGGCCAATAACCGAGGAGCGAATCAAAAGCTTTACTTGGGTTCAGTCAAGGCCAATATTGGACATGGTGAAGCAGCCTCCGGGGTCACTGCCATGATCAAGGTTCTCCTAATGCTTCGCAAAAACGCGATTCCGCCGCATATTGGTATCAAACGAGACATTAATAAGGGCTTTCCCGACCTCGCTGCAAGAAACATCAAAATTGCATTTGATCTGACACCGCTACCTCGTGAAGCTGGGAAGCTTCGCAAGGTCTTTGTCAATAACTTCAGCGCCGCGGGAGGCAATACGGCTGTCGTCCTTGAGGATGGCCCAACGAGGCAGCTCAAGGGTGTAGACCCACGACCACTTCATGTCATATCTGTTTCAGCTCGCTCGTTAGCCTCGTTTAAAGCGAATGCTCTCAGCTTAGCTGAATATTTGGATAGGAACCCCAATGTTTCTCTCGCCAGTCTATCTTACACTACTACGGCTCGTCGCATTCACCACAACTATAGAAGGTCCTTTGCCGCGGACAGCGTCCAGTCCTTGAGGAAGCTCCTCTTAAACACTGCTGAAACCGCTATCGATCCAGTTCCGTCGTCTCCCCGTGTCACGTTCTGCTTCACAGGCCAAGGAGTCGGCTATGCAAGCTTGGGACGGGAGTTATTCGATACCTGCTCCCAATTCCGAGATAGTATACTTGGTTTTAACCATGTTGCGATTTCATTGGGATTCCCCGGTTTTCTTCCCTTGATCGATGGGAGTGTCGATGATATCTCTGTCCTTTCCCCAGTCGTCATGCATGTTGGCTTGACGTCGGTCCAGATGGCCCTCACTCGCCTCTGGGCTGCGTGGGGTATCACACCAGACGTGACAATCGGTCATAGTTTGGGAGAGTATGCTGCCCTTTATGCTGCAGGCATAATATCTGCTAATGATACTATATACCTTGTCGGCTCTCGCGCACAGCTCCTCGAGAGCTGCTGTATTCCTGGGAGCCATGCCATGCTGGCTGTGAGAAGCGGAGTTTCTGCACTGAAAGAGTTCCTGATTGACAGCCAAGTGGAGATTGCATGTATTAACAGTCCAACGGACGTGGTTCTGAGTGGTCCATCCCCTGCTATTGAAGCTTGCAGGTCTGCATTGCAGATGCGTGGACTAAAATCCATTACCTTATGCGTTCCACTCGTCCCAGATCGATGCTATACTTCCTGAATACGAACGCATTGCATCTACGGTTGTCTTCCAATCCCCAAAATGCACCGTACTTTCACCTTTGCTTGGCGAAACACTGCTTGATGGCCAGGTTGATGCCAAGTATCTCTGTCGGCATGCCCGGGAAGCGGTCAACTTTTTGGCTGCCATCGATGCTGGTGCTAGCACCCACCGAATTAATGATCAGACTCTGTTTGTTGAGATTGGGCCTCATCCTGTCTGCGTCAGTTTCGTGAAATCAATCTTGGGCTCTTCAGTTTCTGTGGGCCCCTCTCTTCGGCGCAACGAGACAGGATGGAACTCGCTGGCATCTACAGCCAGTCTTCTGCACAATAAGGGTGCTAGCGTCTCATGGAATGAGTATCACAGAGACTTTGAGGATGCCCTTGAACTCCTTGAGCTTCCCGCCTATAAGTGGTCTCTGTCAAACTACTGGATCCAATACACGAACAATTGGTGCCTCACGAAGGGAGAAAACCTACCATCCTTACCGGCGCTTCCAGCAGCTGAGAGGCTATCGACAAGCACAGTGCAACGGATTATTGAGGAGAAGTTCTCCGATGACCATGCAAGAGTGGTAGCGGAGTCAGATATCTCACGCCCGGACTTGTACAAGGCTGTGTCCACCCATATGGTCAATGGCATTTCGCTATGCCCATCGTCGATATATGGGGATATTGGAGTCACTATTGGAGAATACATTTACCGACGACTACACGGCTTATCATCAGCTGACGAGGTTCCCCCTATCAATGTGCGGGATATGGAAATTCCAAAGCCTCTCATCGCCAGGGAAGGTAATGCGGTAATCCTCCGAATTGTCGCTGAAGCCGACAAGACCAAGGGCTATATCAAAATTGTTCTCTCTTCGACGGAAGGAGAACATGCCCACTTCGTTGCGGAGTTTGGGGATGCGTCACAGTGGGTGGCGGAATGGCAACGCACTTCTTACTTGGTTGAAGAGCGAATCCAGTCCCTCAAGTCCATGGCGAGAGAAAACAAGGCGCACACATTATTGCAGGATGTCGCATACCGGCTATTTGCTACATTTGTGGATTACGGAGAAACATATCAAGGTATGAAGCAAGTCACCTTCAACTCTGACAAAAATGAAGCCACAGCCGATGTCGTTCTGGAATCGTTTGCCGATGGTCAAAAATTCAATTTCCCACCATATTGGATTGACAGCATCGGTCATCTTGGTGGCTTCATTGTAAATGCCAATGAGAGGAACAACGTTTATGTATCCCACGGCTGGGAATCGATGCGGTTCATAAAGCCTCTGCGCCTAGGCCAACAGTACCAATCCTATGTTCGAATGTTGCCGATCGATGGGACAAAAATAGTACGAGGTGACGTCTACTGTTTCGAAGGGTCAACGGTGATAGGGATGATGGGTGGATTGAAATTCCAATGCATCCCCCGCCAAATCCTGAACCTCGTCTTACCACCTGCAGGAGTTCCAACTTCAAGCTCTACCGGAAAGAAACCGATCTCCAAAGAGCAACGTGAACCAGTGGCTGTTGCTCCAGAGCGACCGACAAGGGTCGCTGAGACGCGGACCTCAGCAACCCCATCCGTGTCGGTATCTTCGCAAGTTCTGGCAATCATTGCTGAGGAATGTGGAGTCGATATTAGCGAATTGGCAGATCCGAACAGCTTTGCAGATCTTGGAGTTGACTCGTTAATGCAGCTCTCCATTACCTCTCGCATGCGTGAAGAATTGGAGCTGGAGGTTTCATCCTCGCTGTTCATCGATTATCCCACCGTCGGCACTCTCAAATCCCACTTAGATCAGTCTGATTCGGGACAATCCACTTCATCAGTATCTAGCTACGTTGACATCAGTTCGTCGTCGCAATCGGATTCCGATGAATACCAGTCGACCCCTTTCGTGGAAGTGATAACTCCATCGACCACACCCGCCAAATCGGAGAGAGATAGGTCCGAAGGTGATCTTCTAAAGACCGTCAAACAAAAGCTTGCATGTCACTTTGAACGCTCGGATACATCGTCGACACCATTAAATAAAACGACCTCAGAGATAGTTGTCGAACCATTCAGTTTGCCCCCGATGCTTCCGAACCGCCGCGCTACATCCTTTCTTCTTCAGGGTAATCCGAAAACTGCTACAAAGACTCTTTTTCTGATCCCTGATGGAGGTGGGACTGCGGCTTCATACATGGCAATCCCTCCAATTGGAGAAGACGTTGTGGTTTACGGTCTTAATTCACCATTTATGACAACACCACAGGAGTACAACTGTGGTGTCCCTGGTATAACACAGTACTTTGTCAGAGAAATACAAAGGCGTCAGCCTCATGGTCCGTATAATATTGGGGTAAGTGGGGATTCAGTCAACAAGATATTTGCCGTCAAAACTCACAAGCTTGATGCAGGGTTGGTCCGCCGGTGGCGTCGTCTCCTTTGAAGCCGTTACGCAGCTTATCCGGGCAGGTGAGAAAGTCGAGCGTCTGATATTGATTGATTCACCTTGCCCTCTCACGATCACGCCTTTGCCAAATGGCCTACATCGCTGGTTCAATGGCCTCGGCCTCCTCGGTGACGGTAATCCGAAGAAGACGCCGGAGTGGCTCCTCCCACATTTCCAGGCTTCGGTAAATGCCCTGTCGACGTACTGGGCTCGCTCCCTTGACTATTCGACTGCTCCAAAGACATTGGCTATTTGGTGCGAAGATGGCGTTTGTAAGTACCCGACGGACCCTCGTCCGGATCCTTACCCGTCCGGCCATGCACTTTTCTTGCTCGAAAATAAGACCGACTTCGGGCCACAGCTCTGGGATGCTTTGCTTGGCCCGGAAAATGTAACTACGTGCCGTGTTACCGGAAACCATTTTACTATGATGACGTCCCCACATGTGAGTTATCCCTCGAGAGACTATTTCGTTAATGGTAGATCCATGGCTAACATCGACTGTTAGATTGAGAAACTTGGAGATCAGATTACGAAAGCAATGTTGGCATGATAATGTTACTGTGACGCTTGTTACCTTTGATTTATATCTTTGTTCGGTGGCCTATTTAGTATAATAGTAATATTTAGTCTAGTCTCTCAGTATCTAATGGATTGCGCTTTGATTTTGAATGTTCCGGTTGATTCTAGTGTGTATGTATCATCGATATATTTCTTTCTTGTTTGTGAAAAGTGAAGATAGTGGCAACAATGGTCGAGTAGGTAGCAGTCTTAGTGAGGTCCCATTGATTTCACTCACTTTCTTGAGGGTTTGGTTATCATTGAAATAGATGAGCCTTCTGAGGCTAGGAAAAGACAAGTTATGTGTGTACGATCCAGAGCAAATCGATATGAACATCCTATTCTTTATACATTAATATCCTTCGTCACACATTCTGTACTCCGAGAACCGTTTGCTCTATGCTACCGGCTTCTGTCAGTACACCACATACCTAATGATATGAATGGTAGTTAAAGCATAATATCTCGACACAGACAAAAAGCTCGCGCGGCTATCATGCTTACATGTAATCATATGTATGGATGCTAGGGTTCCAATGATCCTGTCGTGCCTTGGTGAGGTGCACTTGCACTTCGTCTGCAGACCATCCAAGAACACGGCATAGAAGGCCCATTGTCCATCCTTCTATACCTTCCAGGGATGTAGCTGGTTCCAGGCAACAATCTCTTTCTGCATGGACAATTAATTACCGCATGTGAGTTGAAAGTCCCTTACATATACACTTACCAATCTAGTGTCCTTTGGCCATGGCCCACATGGGACTTTAAAAACAAGCTCCCTGATATTTACAAATCCAGTTTTTTTGGCCCACGTCTTCAGTTTTGGTTCCGGACACAATTCTTGACCCAGAATCCGGGTTTCTTCTGTGACCAGCCGTATATTAATCTGCATATATGGGTCTCCTTGAGTGAACCGTCGTCGGAATGCTAGTTGAAGTCGTAATCAAAGAATTCAGCCCATCCTCCTGGTTTTAGATTGCTTGGTATGGGTCAGCAGTGTAGATACTGCGTGGATTAAATCAGCCCTGGACTGCTTAATCAAAGGTTTGCTTGAATAATCGCGGCCAGTCCTTGATGGATGAGGCTAGGAACCTAGCATGGATATAGTCAAAGGGTGATTTGAACGCCCGCTGACTCTCGATGTCATCCACTTCAAATTGGACATTGGGAGGGACCCTGGTTGCAGAGGGTCAGTTCTGGCTACATCAGTAAGTCTATGATACGCACATTTTGGGTTGCATTGGGCTTAGGTCGTTCCCAATGACCTATATAATGGAGTCAGCAAATGCATATCATTGATTGAGGATGCCCCCAGAAAGGGGCAAAGTCAGAATGTAGATTCCCACCTGTGCACGCAGTGATATCTGAGGACGCTGAACTTGAGAGAGGTGGTATCACTGGCACTTTGCAATCCGTCAGTGAGGCAGCACAGCCGGCATATATGCCCTTATCCCTACGAATCAGCAAACGTCGAGTCGAGTTCTGAAACCTGATCCGTGGCGAATTAGTGACTGAAGATTGTATCTGGAACAAGAAACGAACCGAGTCATCAATGACAATGGGCTTGTCATCTGTCGGATTCGAGTCAATTTCAGTTGCAAACACCAACACAGGATGACCGAATTGAAGTGGAATAAAAACTCACTGTCATCGACCGGTGAGTCCGCCATTGCGCAGCAAATCGAACCAAGAACTGGATCCGATGAAAATAGACACGCGCGTACAGCGAGAGAGGTAAATGAAGCCTGCGAGATAGAACGCTCCCCGCTCTCGTCGCACTATTATCATAAAGGCTCTCTCCCTTGGAATGAATCGTACTTTTGCACGACCTTATGATACAGTGCTCGACGATCGACGCGTTAGCTATGTGCAGGCGGCAGGATCCCACGCATTAGCTTCGCATTGTCGCTGACCAGGCTCGGCAACATAGCAATACTTCTCGACTATGCGGAGCAAAACAGCGGTTGTCTTGTCCCCAGGGCGACGGTTTATTCCACCCACGAATGGACACGTACGCTGATACCGGAGGGCCGGGAGTCAATCCGGCTGGGATGGTCATTCTTGAATCTTGACAGCATCAGAGTCCAAACTCAATTATGCTCAGGGTATCGTTACCTGCGCTAGAGCATTTATAGACTTCCTGACAGTACGGAGTACAGCGCAGTGCGGTCTGTTCTACCAATTCCCATAATCGCATCGCTATTTTGAGTGACACTGCACTGATTTTTGCAGATATGACTACCCTTAACTAACTGCATCTTTGAATTAGAGTAAGCGGGCTCCCCACAGAGATCTCCCCATCGGGCAAGTCAACGCGGTATTAATGATACTTCACGGTGCAGAGAAGACATCTCATTATGGAGCCAATCGGCACAGCCGCATCGGCTTGCTTCTTTGGGATTCGCGGCCTCGGATCCTTATCATAGCTTCTTGATCTTGATCCCTGAGCCTGGCTCTGAAGTCTTGAGAAACGAGGTATTTCGGGTGATGGTGATGGTGTTGTGAGCGATTGCTGAGGCATAGGGCATAGGTCATAGGGTTCTCTGCAGGGCTATCACCGACCACGTGCCGCTGCAGTCACGCCGAAGCGACAGGAGCAACAGCGACAGCAACGACGACGACGACGACGACGACAACAACAACGCTTCGAGTTCTTACATTCGATTCTTCCCCCCAAACCACCGTGGACCTGGTGGTGATCGATCGCTCTCTGTTGACCGACAGTACGCCACGCGGCCCGACTAACTCCCTGCAGAAAGCCGACCCGGTCGCAGCGGTCTTGGTCCCACAGCCAGGCACTGGGGATAAAGCCCACGGCCCATATCATCGACCATGGCTCAATATAAATCGCTCATAGCCCACCGGCCAGTACTCTCCTCGGTGTTGTCTCCTTCTGTCTGGTGATCATGGCAAAGACTGCGTTTATTCATGGCCGCATTTTCGCGCCCTCGGGGCCTCCTTCCAACACTCCCGATGACTTCCTCGAAGCGATGATTGTCGCCGATGGCCGGATCGCATACGTCGGGCACAGTGATGATGAACAGGTGCGACAGGCGAAAGATGCAGGGGCGACGGTAATCGATTTGAATGGGCGCATCGTGGCTCCCGGGTTCGTCGATGGGCATGTCCATCTGATAAACTTCGGTATGTCTTTGCGCCAGCTCGACCTACTCTCGTGCAAGTCCCTCGACGACATCCGACACGCCATTAAAACCTACGCCCTAGCCAATACATCGGAGCCGCGGATCGTCTGCAAGGGCTGGATTCAGTCGACCACGGAGGGAGTGACACTGGCAAGCAAGCTGGATGACCTGGATCCGCGACCAATTTTCATCCATTCCATGGACCTTCATTCAGTGTGGTGTAATACTGCCGCGATCCATGCCTTGGGTGTGGAAACCGGCCCTGATCCCCCTGGAGGGCTCATCCACCGCGATGAGCATGGTAAAGCGTCCGGTCTGCTCAGCGAGGCTGCCGCTATCGAGCTCGTCTGGCCGTATTTGGCACAGGTTGCCTCGATGGAGGAAAGGCTGGACGCTCTGGAAAAGGCGACCGCAGCATATTCGGCAGCGGGATACACAGGCCTGATTGATATGGCCATGGACGATCCCTCATGGGACACGTTGAACCTGTTTCGTCAACGGCGCGATCTTCCGTTTCACATCGCAGCGCATTGGTACATACCGTATTCTGATGACCAGGCTACGAATTTGAGTCATGTCGACCGTGCCATCTCAATGAATGAAAAGTACCATCCGTCTACATCACCTGCCTTTTGCATTGCAGGTATTAAACTCATATCTGACGGAACCGTCGATGGCTGTACTGCCGGCTTGAGTCAGCCCTACGGTGGGAAAACGCATCCTGTTGACTCCATCTGGGGTTTGGATGCGATGATACCTGTTATTCAACGCGCCGACGCGGCAGGCCTTCAATGCGCCATACACGCAATCGGTGATCAAGCTGTGAAAAACGCTATTGATGCCTTATCTAGCGTCAGCCCGGCCTCGCCTTCGGGGAAACGTCACCGGATCGAGCATCTGGAGCTTACATCTCCAGAGGATGCGAAGAGACTGGGCTCGCTTGGGATCACGGCGTCCGTCCAGCCCGTCCACTCCGACCCTGCCATTCTCCGTGCGTGGCCGTCCCTTATTGGATCGGACCGCTGTACCCGTGCATTTGCATATAAGGACTTCCACGACGGTGGAGCCAACCTGGCGTTTGGAACCGATGCACCGACAGCTGCGCACTTCCCCTTGCCCAGTCTGTACAATGCGACAACCAGGAGATCGGTGATCGAACCGAACTCACAAGAAACGACGAATAAACACTTTGGATTGGAGTTGGCGACGGCGGTTACAGCGGCAACCACGGGAGCTGCATATTCCCGGTTTGCAGAGACCTGGACGGGACGGTTACAGCCCGGGTTGCAGGCAGATTTTGTGGTGTTGGACATGCAATGGGATCAGACAAAGTTGCTGGAGGCAAAGGTATACCAAACCTGGTACCAGGGAAAGATGGTTTACGCTGTATAGATCAAGGGGTTTCACAGCTCGTGGAGTCTCGCATGTATATATTCCAATTCAAGTTTCTCTGGCTTTATTGAGCAAGGGTAATTGGCGATATTTCTTCTCTGTCTGGAACCACTCTCAACTTCGTAGCAGAATTTTCCTTCTACGTTCTCGTCTGGTCGGCTCTGGTCAATATATATAAGGGTAACAGGCTTAGGAAGGATCCTCAATTTCATAATGCGCTACGGAAAGCAGGGAGCATCTTTCGGCATTTAAGGCCGCAATGCAACATCAGGTCTTCGGAATGGCAGCCGAGATGGTGTATTGGCGATGATAAGACGTTAGAATGCCCCTTGTTTATATATCCGGGCTTTGCATCGTCTGTTGAAGCAAAACATAGCCCCGATACCATAAACCAATGCCGGTTGTGGACTAAGCTAACACAACGAATATGTTCTCAATGCCTTTTCGCTCTGCTAATTTCAAATCCCAAGCTGCCATCACCAGCATGGAGGATCGCATTGTGAGAGTTAGAGAAGATATCAAGGATCTCAAGAGCTTCTACCACATCAGCATCTCGCCGACAAGAGAGTCGCGTCTACGCGAGTACTACAATAGCGAACTCGATTCCCTCGAACAGCTAGACTTTTCATCATTTGACCAGCATGACAAGGTCGACTATCTTCTCCTAAAGAACTACCTTGAACGACAACTACGTGATCTGGATCTGCAGGCCACCATGGACAAAAAGGCAGATGTGCTATTATCCTCGTACGCGCGGCAGATTGTCCAACTCTGCGAGAACCGCGTGCGGGTGGTGCGGATGGACGCGAAGAATGCAGCAGAGGAGCTGTCTCGCGTGCACGAAGAGATTGTGCAGGTCAAGGGACAAGTAGGAAAAGCCCAGATTGCACTGGACAGGTCCAGCGCTTTCCGTGCGGCGAGGATCGTGGACGAGCTGCGATCCAACCTGCAAGAGTGGTTCGGCTTCTACAAGGGCTACGACCCGCTGTTCTCCTGGTGGGTGCCTGCTCCTTACACTGAGGTCGAGAGCAGCCTGTGCGAACTGGCAGCCGCCATCCGCCAGAAGATGGTTGGGGTCCAACCAGACGATAAAGATACCATCGTCGGTCAGCCTATCGGTCGCCAGGGCCTTCTGGAAGAGCTCTCGGCGGAGATGATCGACTACAGCCCGGAAGAAATCATCTGGATCGGCGAACGCGAGCGCCTGTGGTGCGAGACGGAGCTCAAAAAGGTCTCCCAGGAACTGGGCTACGGAAATGACTGGCACCGGGCCATGGAATACGTCAAAGATCTGTACGTCGAGCCCGGGAAGCAGAGGGAGCTCGTGCACGACCTGGCCTGGGAAGCGATCGAGTTCGTCCAGAGACACGACATGGTGACCGTCCCACCGCTGGCGGCGGAGGCCTGGCAGACGTTCATGATGAGTCCGGAACGCCAGAAGATCAACCCGTTCTTCCTGGGGGGCGAATGCATCCAGGTCTCCTACCCGACAGGCGCGATGAGCCACGAGGACAAGCTCATGAGCCTGCGCGGGAACAATATCCATTTCTCGCGCGCGACCGTCTTCCATGAGCTCATTCCAGGCCATCACCTCCAGCTGTTTATGAATGCGCGATATCGCACATACCGACAGCTCTTCGATACCCCGTTCTGGATCGAAGGCTGGTCGCTGTATTGGGAGATGATCCTGTGGGACAACGACCGGTTCCCGAAGACGCTGGAGAACCGCCTGGGGATGCTCTTCTGGCGCCTGCACCGCTGCGCGCGAATCGTCTTCTCCATCAAGTTTCATCTCGGACAGATGACGCCGCAGCAATGCGTGGACTTCCTCGTCCGCAACGTCGGCCACGAGCGCGCGACGGCCGAGGGCGAAGTGCGACGGTCGCTGTCCGGGGAATACCCTCCTCTGTACCAGGCTGGGTACATGCTGGGAGCACTGCAGATCTACTCTTTGCGACAGGAGCAGGTGGGGAGCGGACGCATGACGCAGAAGGAGTTCCACGACGGGATCCTGAGGAACAACTGCATGCCGATTGAGCTGTTGAGGGCGTTATTGCAGCACCAGCCGCTGTCAAGGGAGTACAGGGCCTGCTGGAAGTTCTATGAGCATGGCCTGTAGAATAACTTTGTATCGTCTCTAAGAAGCATGCATGCATATCATGAAAGAAAGTTCAAGCTGTGCCACAGTCCATTTTTACGTCACCGTTCGTAGTTATTTAACTAACTAATATCCCTGGTCTCATAATTTTATCACAAGTTATCTTCTGTGAAGCCAAGGCAATCAAGAGCAATTTCTTAGATTGGATACGGACATATGTAGCCTTTAATAAGAGGTCACTACAGATATGAGGCATGTCGCCACGAGAGAAACCTCGTAGAGAGTTGACAAAAATAAGATGCAGCTCTTACATCCATCTTCGGACTGTGGAGAGCCTCTTGTCAGTAGTGTTGTAAGAAGACGTGAACACAAATTTGTTTTCTGGTAGATCGTCTCAGGAAATATCCTTTTTCGGAGACTTCAGAACAAAAGCCTTCTCTTGAGAGGGCAGATTTCTTGAGAAAATCCTCTTGGGAGGAGAGTCGTCCTATGAGGCCCGACTGGAGAGCACACACCAGACAGAAGGCGGTACGTCATATGAAACCCCTCATCGAACCCCGCCCCTTCCAAAACGGTAATCCTAGAGCTAGTGGAGGATTTAGTAGGCGGTAGATCTAGGCGGTGGAGGTGTACAGAAACTTGTCGGTACAGACTGTAATCCTGTATAGATTACGCCACCCATACAGTCGTATCAATCATGTATTGTAAAATACATTGACCATTGCAAAATAATGGAGGTTGTCAGGGCCCTTGCCATGTAGACCAGGACGAGCACGTGAGTTTCCTTATTTGGATTAGCGTGGTGCGTGGATAGGAATACGTCGTCCAGCTTCACGTAGATCTCTTCCTTTTTACCTCCTCTCCATGCTTGAAGTTCTCGTCAATAGCTGCCTAGATAGTCGAATAGCATCCTATTCATCGTCTAGTTGAGTTCCGTGACAGAGGTATATCGTTGGTTGGTGACTAGCTAGATAGGCCTACGTGGTGAAAAGGGTCAGCGAGGGCGGACCTATGCGGCAGAATCCCACGTGATCCAACACAAAAAGCACTCTAGGTCAAAGTGCTTAAAATAGCATCCAATCAGAACTAGCGTCTTTAGGGTTCATTTTCCGGGAATCAAGTTGGAAGAGTGCAAGGTCAAACTGAATTCGAAAACTACTGTAAGGGAGTTCAATCTCGTCCGTGGCCTGGGGCCGTGTCGGCATTTCAAAGCAGTGTGTGTCAGCATGTTTAGTCATGCCCCTGGAAGCCATTCATCAGGCTGGTGGATGTCTGATCTGGAAGGAGCAGGCTTTCAGCGCATACAACATGAGGAGGAAAGGGCCGATCTCTACTGTGCTTGGCCCAGGGTAAATCGCTGTGACCCTTCCGGTTCCGTCGTTACGATTAGGACACGTTTAGTCATCTTCCTGAATCGTCCATGGAAAAGCCTGAGTCACTGACCTCTAGATAGAGATACGAAGTTATGAGATTTTCAAAGCGGAAATCTCTTGCTATTCATGATGTCAAAGTCATTGACCAGGGAAAACACGCCCATTTAATACCAGCACGCGTTGGCAACATGACCGGCTTGACAACTGAAAGAGGAAAGATCCTTGATAAGCTCTCATGTTCGTGCTCATTCCGAGGAGGTTGGAAGTTGTTCTTTAATGACAGCGGCCTTATTTCTGTTCCGAAAGCTAGGAAAAAGAAACAAAGAACTTCATAGAAGAGCCTAAAGCTGCTGTTACTATGGCTGATTCTTTGGTACATGAACTAATTTGGCCCCGTTGCCTTTTATCAGTCCTGAATGTTTACTCTTGACCGCTATTGGGTCCGTAGTTACTGTTTGTAACCAGTTAACGTAGAGAACGATAGTCAAGAGGCGAATCCATTCCTTTCCCTTGAGTTGCCTAAAAAGGTTTTAGGCCTAAAAGAGCCAGAAAGGCCAATAATTATGTCACAGTGCGGGTTGACCTCCAATTTAGATCCACCGTGTCAACAGTCTTGCGCAAGCCCATGTGCAAATGGTCAACAGATCTGTGGGGCTTTCTAGTAGAACATGCCTTGAACCATTTGTAATGGTCTTCGTTCTTTGTTTCTATGATAAAGATATAACAGATTTGGCCAAATCTCGTTGGGAGCACTCGCGTGGACATAGTTGCTCTGCGCCATGTCCGACATGATGGTATACCTTTTATGGAAGGTCAGTCGGAGTATATTCTGGGAGAACTTTGCGCCAGACTTACACCCACCACCGGCACCCTGAGCCTCCACCAGACATCTTATATCTATCACGTCGACGGTTGTAGATAAGGTGTGCGATGTACGAAACAGAGATCCTCGCCACAACCTGGAAGTCCCAATACCCGATGGCGGATGTAGTTTGAGTATATCCAAGTTTCGTCCACTCGAGGATGCCTGTTGGATCTTCAAATTCAGCCCTCATGTTGATGCGAGTCGATGACACGCCATCAGGATGGATCAAATAAATTGACCAATGGTTGTCACTGGTGTTGGGACCGGCTGCACCAAGGGTGTGTACCACAACGCGGACGTATGTGACAGGTGTGGTGTCCGCTTGAACCACTTGCGGGGCTAATGGAGGCGGCATTGTATAAAGAAACCATCAAGCAACAGATGTAGTTCAACCGAGAGCCTCGAGCCGATAGCCCTCTCGTTCGAATTTATATGGGCACAAGACATTAGGGCACTGAACAATTATACGGTAGCGTCAGAAAATGACGAATCAAATACCAAATACAAGCGCTGGAGCGAGGTGAACTAGCGTAAATTTCACGAACCACGAACCCTGCAACAGGCAATGATTCAACCAGCACGGTTAGAAAGCAAAATATACTTCTAAATTAATTCGATAGGAACAGCATTGACAACGTCCGCGGGTACAAGCGGCTGCAAGAGGAATATACTCCTACTTTGGCAAGTTTGTTTTCAGTGGTCTCTTTGTTCACCGCCTGGTGTTTGGAGTTGTGGAATATGCATGTAACTCAGGGAAGAAGGGCAGAATGAAGCTGTATCGACTACACGTACGTAGCCTACTAAGGAACGGATGCCATTCAGATCTTGTCTCTCTATCTCACTTGCTCTACATACAATCAGGGGCTCGGATTCTCGGGGGTTGGAGAGGAAGCCAAGCCGCCATACCACGTGACCTTTCCATATCAGGAGTCATTGTCTCTTTTCCTTCTGGGTTTGGGTTCTCCCTTTCCATTAGCTTCAACCTCTTACCTTTTCTTTCGTATTTTAGCGACAGAAGAAGGGTCTCTTAACGGCTTCCTCTTCTGTCAGCCATTTTACACAACAGCATGGTTCTTCCCCCAAACTTTCAAGCCTCAGTGATTGCTTCTTGCGCGAATGCGTTGCAGTGCAATGTTGTCAGCCAACACGGAAAGCGCATTATCAGAATATCTGATCATCAAGTGGTCAAGTGGGGCCCAGATGTAACGCAAGAAGAAGCCGAAAATCAAAAAATAGCCTATGAACTCGTGGATAGCCGCATAGTTCGTGTTCCACGGGTATATGCCTTTTTTTCCGATGAACGAGGCTGGGGTTATATTGTGATGGAGTTTATAAAGGGGAGGGTTGTTGACCCGTTAGAGGACGTTAAAGCCATTGAGAAGGTTGCGGGCGTGCTTGATCACTTCGCAACATTGGAACACACTATCCCAGGGTCTCTCTGTAGGGGTTTTTGTCGTGGGCTTCTGTTCCCCGAGACCGAAGATCTTGTTTTTGACAGTCTTGATGACATGGAGAAGTGGTTCAATAGCCGACTTTTCGAGCACAACCCGAAACTGAGTTTCCAGAATTGCAAGCTTGTGCTCTGCCACTTAGATATAGCACCTCGAAATATCTTGTGGCAGGAAGATGGTTCGCTGTGCCTGGTTGATTGGGCATCTGCAGGCTACTATCCAAGGTTGTTCGAGTTCTGTGCGCAGTGGGTTGTTGAAGGAAAAGACGGCAGCTTCAATTCCATTCTCTTGAACTCGATGAGTCCCCTCTCGGATAAAGAGATAGGGCAGAAAGAGGCAATCTTGTGTGCTTGGAGGAATATTCAAAAGTATCCTTTGTGAGTGTACCGACCTGCAGCTATTTTTGATCTAGCTGATCCTCCTAGTCAATCCAAAACGCTAAAGGAGTACCAAGTGACATCAAGAAATTCTACGGATCTTATCCCTGTGCCTCCTCCGCCGATGCCAGAATACCCACCGGACTGGAATGAGCAAAATCAGCGCATAACTTTTGGCTCAACCAGACCCGCGTCTACTGCCTCCCTAAGCTCACCCATAAGAGCCAAAAAGCACAATCGACTTCACAATCGCCTTGGTCATCATTTACGAGCAATTTTATGCACCAAGTCATCTAAAGTTGTCTAGCATCGGAGCTATTGTGGAGGGATATCTGCGAAAAGGAGCGGATAATTATCACCACGTTGCCACATCTATCCGCCAAGCATGAATATTATTGACTAGGTCGCCTCAAAGAATAAGGCGCGCTTGCAGAATTGGATTATGAGGGAGTACTGGAGTCGAAGGCCGGCGGTTACCTGCGCTTCGGGCATTGCGGACATGGGAGGTAGTGGACGTCAACCATATGTGCGCGAGCTCCGCTCCTGGTTTTGAAAGGCTTGTTGCAAGCTGGGCAGGGGTAGGGTTTCAGTTTCAGCTGCGCCATTGTCGCTCAGTAATATTGTTGGCGTAAATAGCTGGCAGGACTAGATTGAACAGGCTCAAATGACGGGATTCCGCCAGGGAGTAGTGACGATATATATATATATATATATGGCCAGTCAGTTTTCGTCGTACATATCGCGCGATGTTGATTAGCCTAGGAATGCAGGCCAGGCGATGTTGTCTTCCATACCTGAGCTTTCTCCACGGAAGTGAGCCCTTCCAAGAACAAGGAAGATCCATATGTATAGTATCCGGCACATGCAACCCGATTTGCTGGTACATCGTCTCCAACGGGCATCTATATGGTGTGGCGTGAGAGGACCTAAGATTCAGCCAACGTAACGCATACTCTTTGACAGTCGGCAGACGTATGAAGGTAGCTATATTTCCGCGAACCGCGACGAGTCCTCAGTCATCACCGCAAAGGCAGTACCGGGAATGGGAGAACAACTTCATCTTCGTAATCCATTCCTATCCTGCACGCCCAAGAATGAATAAAGCCCAGCATAACATTCCTTTCTCATCTATCCGGGTCTTTGCTTAGCGAGGTCACACGGCCCCTTGCCCTTTCCGCCAATCGAACGGCAGCAGACATGTAGACTTCTTTTCTGAAGAGTCGGCTCATACTGTAGAGACTGTTGCCTGTCTGGTCGTGATACAGGCTGGACACGAATCGTTCCCGAGGTCAGAGCGAAAGGAGCACCCATAGTCTGCAACGGAGCGGTGTAGTGAGGAACGGTGTAGCACAGCACGAAATGACTGGAAAATTCAATGTTTCCAGATACCGTATTCATTCCTGCCGAACTATTCCTTACACAAGCACACCGCAGGATGCGAATGCCCGTTGAATTATTTCCACTCAGATATGGGTCTCCTCGCCTGACGGGGTCTGTGACACGGCCGTTCTTTGTTCTTCAGGTCAAAATACGAAAGTGCATCACATCGCATGCGTTATACGGAAGGCCGGTGGCTTGCAGGATGGGTCGAACTCCGGGTTGAAAAAGCCTTCCTCGGCCTTCAGCCCCGGTCCGATCCTTCTCGTTTTCCGTTGCCGGTTTGTTTCATATCCGTTTCCAGAATACACTCAGCCCCGGACAAACAGGACATGGACCCGAATCATTCCAAGATCATACTGGTGACAGGAGCCAATCAAGGCCTCGGCCTCGCGGTCATTGAAGTCGCCGGCATACGCTATCCGTCCAACACGTACATTCTCGGTGCGCGAGACATCCAGAAGGGCAAGGGGGCGATTGCTGAGCTCCGTGACCGCGGAGTCAGCGCCCCCATTGACGTAGTGGAGCTGGACGCGACCAACGACGCCCACATCGCCGCCGCCGTCCGACATGTGGAGACGCAGTACGGGCGGCTCGACGGTAAGGCCCGCGCGCCGCATTCATCTTAGCCGAGGCAAGAAGACGAGGCTAATTTCCAGTGCGACGGTAGTCCTCGTCAATAACGCAGGGAGGGTTCGTCCGACTCGGCCGTCAGGACGCGGACCTCGCCGCGATGCGCGCTACGTACAACGAGTACATGAATGTGCATATTACCTCGGTGGCCGTGGTGACCCAGGCCTTCAGCCCGTTGTTGCACAGGCCGTCGGCACCCAAGGTCATCACCGTTACATCCGGGCTCGGGAGCATCACCAACGTGCTGTCGCCGCGGCGGATGGCGCGCGCCCCGCCGTATGGCGCCAGCAAGGTGGGAATGAACGGGCTGGCGGCACACCTGCAGGTGGGCGAGAACGAGCGCGCGGCAGCGGGGGAGGATGCGAAGCCTCGTATCCGGTTTTTCATCTCGAACCCGGGCCGGTTGAAGACGGCGTTCTCCAATTACATCGCGTGGGGGAAGGAGCCGCAGGCGGGCGCGGAGAGTATCGTGCAGCTGATGGGCGATGAGGAGGGGAAGATGCGCGTTGTGCCGTGGTGATTCCTGCACAGAACAAGAATAGGTCCCTATCATGTCAAGCAATGTGGAACCGAGCCAGATTGCGTTCGGGTCGTTCCGAGCATATATACCCATTATAGTACGGAGTCCAGGGCCGATGTCCCTGATCTAAGACGGTAAAGACAAGCTTTTGGTTGGAGCAAGGAAGTCAAGGAAGTCAAGCCTCCACAGTCATTCCTTGGCCCTTGGCAGCGTCTCCATTCTTTAGGCCCCCCCTTTCTCCATCCGAGTGGTAGAAACCCGTAGGATACCCTCGTATTCAGGAACAGGGGTCCGATCTCACCGCAATACGAGCGCAACAGGGGGTATCAAAACCAACTAGATTGATTCATTTGACAGAAGGTAAGAGAAAAATAAGTAAATAAAATGGCCCGCTATAGTAACTTGGAAGGATGAAAGATGCAACCTGCCAGCTGCATGGTACGAATAAGATGTCGCATCGAATCGGATTGTGGCCACCTTTCTTCCAATGAATTGACCTCGTCTTAGTCCCCTCAAGCTCATGGCTTGGACCGGGACGGTGCGTCCGCCCACATTTTCGAGAGTTGTACGTGGTGACTCCATGCCGATCATCCGGAAGTTACCTACGGTCGTCGGACTAACATCAGCTTCTCGTGTGGCGGTCAATACGAGGAAGAAGAAAAAAAGAATCCACCAGAGTTTCTCCAAGTCCGACGATTGAGTCGGCTCTCCCAATCGACTGAAGTCTTTCGTGATTGGGGGTCAAGGAGACTTGTCTATAAGACGATGGTTTGGAAGCGCTAGAAGTGCACTCGTTTTCATGATTCAAGTATCAGCGATTCAACTGAATTGTCCTGTCCTCTCCTTCGTACGGTTCAGCAATGCGACGGGCAACATTGGTCCCACTAGCGATCTGGGGGGTAAGTGCAGCGGCAGCTGCAGCCGCTTCCTTGCCCCAGGTCCCCTCGTTGCGACATATCCCTAGCCAACATCGGGCTATCTCAGGACTCGCCGATTTTCTTCCCCAACAGCTCACTCAGGGTGGGAGGGCGAGACAATCCGTTGGACGGAGTACCAACAACAAATAGGAAACAAGCTCCGACTGATCTTTCTTCAAAAGGAAACGGCCACCATTGATTGGATTAAGCGACAAGGGTGCCAGGTTAACTCATCACCTGCATCATTCTGGCGGGCTAGATTCCCCTCTTTGTGAATGGGTGTAGATTGACATATTTGCCCCTGCCCGCCACTTGGCAGCACCTTCGCACTCCCAGGTTAGGAACTAAACCCCGGACCCACTACCTAACTACTGGAGCCTTCCTCTCTGTTGTAGTTCAGAGGAAGGTTGATTGTTATTCTTCTCATCCGGAAACATGAGGATTTATACACATGTTGAATTTCCAATCAAACTGATTCAATACGGAATAATTCCGTATGCGAACCTCTATTGTCTACGTGATCGAGCCTCGATTCACAACACTCTCAAATATCAGCTGTGCTGACTTGTAGGTTGGTCAAGCAAGCCCCATTCTACCTGGCAGCACAGCAGCGTGAGGGGCCCGCTACAAGCCACTGGGCTAGCTAGCTAACTAGGCTGTATCTAACAGTTCCTTAATGCCAGGTGGGGTTCTGGTTTGTCTAGCCTAGCTTTTAAGGCTAGTCTAGCTGGTATTCCAGCAGGTTCTTCAGCGTTCCTAGTGACTTGGGCTATTAATTGTGCAAAGCAAACATGCTTTGATGTCTGGCTTCTTATGATAGCCTCTAATTTTATTGATTTCTGGATCTCAGGGTCAAGATTCTCCTTTTTCAAGATTGTCTGACTCTGGTGCAGGAGCCATTTATCCCCTCCTTGGGGAGATTGTCTGACCTCCTGGTCAGAGCATCAGGTTTAACCCCATGCTTTCCCGGCTGATACATAATCTTGAAGTTAAACTGGGACAAGAACTTAGATCAATGGGCTTGTCTTCTGTTCAGCAGCTTTTGTCACGGCGCTGCTGCGGATAGCAGCTCTTTGAGCTACGTCCTGTCTATCGAGCCCACCTGTACCAGCCTGCTTGCAACCTGGAGCTGATAGATAGAGATCCTGTAGCTAGCCTGAGTATCAACTACATAATCTATCTGTTTCTGACCACCTGTGAGCCCGCACCTTGACACCATTCTTAATATGCTTAGTATGTCTAGCATATGCTGGTACAAGTATATCATGTAGCTACCAATAAACTTGTGTGCTTATATTCTCAGCCATATTTAAGAATATTTTTAGCTGCTGTTAATAAGTGAGATATGACTTGCTTTGTTGTATAGGGATCAAGGTCAAAGTGAGAGACAATTCAATTTGATTTTTGTTTCATATATGCATAGCATATGCTAATATACGCATGTACGCGTTGTAACAAGTGTGAATGCATTGTGTATGTATGGAGATGCAACTGTAATGCGTGCTTGCTACAATGCCATTACATGTATGTATGCCCAAGTATATGCACCGTGTACGCCAGACGCCTGTACCGCGAGGTTTCTCCGGGGTGGGCCGAGCTGCTAGCCCCGCACTGTATTGATATCATTTATGGATGCTGCATCTTGTTCAGAGACTGTCAGCTCATCTCAGTGACTATCTATCTTCTTTACCCCGTCCAGATGGCCTCGCAGGACAACTCCTTGCTCTCCGACAACGTCAGGGCCAGATGTGAGTACAGACCGCCCTTCAGCGCACGTGAATCCCCATATTCACGCCTCCATCAACAGATACTTGGCTGGGCAGATTCCAGCTACAGTCTATAGTGGCCCAATTCCTCGTTGAAAATGCTTCCCCTGATACCTCCATCACGTCGTTGAAGGTCTGCTCTGACTCTCCACTGCATCCATCCATCAGACCATGAACTCACGTCAACCAGGAAAGTCACAGCCGGCTACTCTCCAGGGATCTCATGTTCCCCGATGTCTGCCGTTACCTTAGCCTCCGATATACATTCCCGAAATGCGACTGCAGCGCCAAGGAAGAACTATATCTCTTCCTGGGCAAGACAGCGGGGGAAAGCCCCGCCGCGAAAATGGCCGACGTCCAGGCCACACTGTTGACATACCTGGAGAAATTGCTACTGCTCTACCTGCGCTCTGGCAATGATCCACGCAAGGGAGCATCTGGACTCGGAGAAGGTTTGGCTTCTGTGACGAAACGGAGTCGATTGTCGGTTCCTGTTGGCACGGGTACCGAGACTGTGACTGCGACTGCGATCGCGAACCCTGGAGTTGGAAAGGGAGAACTCTATTCGGCGTCTCCGCAGCCTTCCGGACAATACTCGATGGATGCAACGGCTGTGCTAGCAGCAGCGTCCACGGGAGCCGCAGCTTTCTCCCTGGCCGATGGTTCGTCCGTTCTCATGGGAACCAGCACATCGGTCGCGCAATATACAGTCCAGCTCAAGGAGCGAGGTGACCGGGAAGGTGTTGTCCCCGTGTACAAGGAGAAGATGCAACAGGAGTATCCCCCTCTTTGGCAGGTTGACGCTACCTACAGGAGTACAGTGGGCACTGGTCGCGCTAAGTCGAAGAAAGAAGCTAAGCACTTGGCCTCCAGGGATGTTCTGGCCAAGCTGGGGTATTTATGAGGTGTACGGGGCGTTTCTCTTGCTCTTCTCTGTTAGGGGAACTGGATGGAAGCGTTTTCCTGTTTAATGTTTCTTACGATCTCATGACTGTTTTGATATCACCTGCCTGTCCTTGATATTTGACACGGAGTTTATTGCGCTTTTGGCCATCCCGTGTGTATGTCATTATTAACAGTGCTCCCGTAACTGGTTCCTTTACTTATCCCATCTAAATTACTCAATCCGAGATGCTGCGCCATGGGCGGCTAAGGATTGTCAGTGCGCAATGCAAAGCACTGAGTTGAGCCCAGTGGGGATCCTTGCGTATGGTCCACTGTAAACACTGAGTCAGTCAATATGCTTACTAACTACCTGCAGGATCCCTGGCCGTGCCTCGGATACATGTCAATTCACGTCGTCCTATGCTCTCAGCCCGAAATGCAAGACCAACGCACATCCCAACATATGAAACAGTTCTGGCACTCACTACATATACATTTAATTTCCAGCTCTTAGACTGCATCATCTAAATTTTCCGTTGGAACCAGAAATTATCGTCATGGACGGGGCTCTGGCGTCCTCTGTTAACGCAATTGTGGGTGCGTTTACTGGTGTCGCGTCTTCCGCAAGAAATGCCGTCCCTTTTCTCTTCAGACGTCGATCTCTGCAATATGGCGCGTCCCATATTGCCGTTCTCTCTGTGCTGGCATATCTCGTCCTCTGTGCGCGTCTGCGTTGTCAAAGGGTCCGATCCAGACAGCGAAAAATGAACTTCACCAGTCGAGAATCCATGTCCAAGATGACCAATACAGAGGCTCAGAGCATTATACAGACGATGACGCAGTTTGAATTTCCCACAATGTTCAAAATGTCACTGCAGTTTGCATTGTTCAAAGTAGGAGAAAAACCAGTGGAATTGACAACATTCTCATTTCTAACCAGCAAGCTATACATCAGACATATGGAATCCCAACAATCTCCGACTTGCTCGTGGCAACACGCCTGTTTAGCACCCCTGATAATGCCAGTAAGCGATACGAAGACACGACGGTGCTAATTGGAGAGTATGTCGCCCATGATCCCAGCGAGGAGAGGACGCGCAAAGCCATTGCGCGCATGAATTACTTGCACAGTCCGTACATTAAGACAGGGAAGATCTCCAACGCCGATCTCCTGTATACCCTGAGCGTCTTTATTACCGAGCCCATCTCCTGGATCAACGAGTATGAATGGCGAGAAGTGACGGAAATGGAAATCTGCGCGCTGGGGACATTCTGGAAGAGCATCGGAGATGCAATGGAGATTACGTATTCCGGATACCTCAAACGCGATTCCTGGAAGGACGGTATTGAGTTCTACGAAGACATCAAGCAGTGGGCGTTGCAGTATGAGTCCGATAATATGGTGCCCGCTGCGACGAACAAAGAGACGGCAGACCAGCTGATTCCGTTGCTTTTATTCTACGTCCCACGATTCCTGCGACCGATCATCCGTCAGGCTATTGGTGTCTTGATGGGAGAGCGCCTACGACGGGCCATGAAGTGAGTGGTCTTGTTCTATATATATATATATGTATGTATAATGTTGCTGACTGTCTGCGTAGATACGACGACCCCTGGCTCCCATCTTACGGAGCAACATATTGTCTTCTTTCAGCACGACGGTTTGTCCTGCGCCATCTAACACTACCACGCATCTTACCAGTCCTCGAATTCAGCGATAAAGATCCGAAGACGGGTCGTTACTACCACAATGCCTACCTCGTGCATCCGTACTATGTGAAGGCGTCCTTTTGGAACCGCTGGGGCTTCCAGGCATGGATGACTTGGATCCTAGGTGGAACGGTACCTGGCGGGAAAGACAGCGCGAAGTACATGCCGGAGGGCTATCGCTTTGACGAAATTGGCCCAGCAAGGAAGAAGGGGGTTGGGAAGGAGGAGTTGGAGATGTGGGAGAAGAAGATCCAGAAGTCTCGGCCAGTTGGATGTCCTTTTAGCCGTGTGTAAATAGGAGAATTCCCGCAGTAAATGCACAGAATAGGTCACCTGCTAAACCGCTTCATGATATATGCATGGTGGCCATCGGGGCCTACAGGTTCACACCTGCCTCGGCTCATGTCTGCTCCCATTCCCATCATTTCAAAGATTTACCGACCTAGCATCTTCCTCCGGCGGACGAAGCAGATCTATCGAGGGTCGAGGAGTATCCTGACCCCCATTCAAGAGAGCGCTGTATCCGTCCTGGTGACTCTCCTCGTCATCGTAGTCATCATCATAGGCATTGATCTGAATGCCCTGGTGCTGCATTTCGCTCACTGGAACGACCCCTGCTGCCACATTCACCAGTCGCAGGCATTGTATACACAGAACCTGCTGTCTGTGGAACAGAGGAATGATATATCCAGAAAATACAGCCGTGAGTAGGGTATATGAGTGAAGGGATCTCGATTCATCCTTGTCAGTTCTTAATGTACAAAGTGAAAGGGAAATCTACTCACCCAAGACACAACCGGGCTACCTGCGAAATACATATCGGAATGGTCTGTCCAAGATCCTCTCTCTCTTCGTAGACAGGACAATGATGCTAACGAGGCCAACCGTTATAAGGAATACGGCAGAGCTCGGGTCGAATGCGGCATGGGTGAACGGGTAAGGCTGCGGATTCTTCTTAGCAGCCTTGGACAGTCGACTGAGGTACATTCCGATGGACAAGATGCCGGCAACACCGACCTTGTTTGTTCCAAGTGTCAGTGAACTGGGGAGTGTGGAGATGATGCAAAATAAATATCCCTTACTGCTACCACGCCGAGCATCTCTACGCTCTGCACGATACATGCGGAGGCGACGTTGAACGGAAAGATAAATATGGACAGGGCTATTTGGGCCCTGCGGACTGTGGTGAAGGGGTACCCGGAAGGGGTTATAATCGAAGCCTGCAGTTGCTTGTCGGATCCTATACTGGTTATACCGGTTCAACTGCAATAACCACAAATACTTCCGTGGAAGAACCCTGGCAGTTTTATTTCTTCACCCGCGATGCTTATTCCCGCTGCCTGCTACGGATCTCTGTCCAATCAGGAAAAATACAGGCATTGCCACAGCAACTGCTACGGTCGACATTGTTCTTTCTTTCTTGAAATCCCATGCCAGAACCAGAAGAGGAGCGGTTCCAAGAAGCCTTGGCGTAAGCATGTGCCGTGCAGGATCCAAAACGTGTTTGCCTGGCCCTGAGGACGGTTCGATCCTTCAACGGCTGTAAAATAGGAAGCAGAAACCCTCTTTCGTCCAACAACAGTTTCTGCAGAAGCCATAAGGAAAGACCAAGCCTTTAGGAAACCGTCAAAGCATTCAGTAATCTGTCTATTCAACCGCTCGTGGTGGATTACGTTATGACACATTGGACAATGGACTATTGCCACAATGCTCACGTCCCGCACTATGCTAAATACAGCAGAATCTGGGGAATCCGGGGCAGCCTACTGCGCTAGTGGATTTTAGGAAAGAAGCGCGGAGAAATACCGCTGTGGGTTGCGGCAAGATCAATACAGCAAATTTCCATGGAGCCAACCATTCATATAACTATCATGTTCATAAATAGTTCCTCACACAATCCGTGTATATCTATAGTCTACAGCTCCTTCGTCCGCTCCTCACTCTCCTTGATCCACTGCGCCAACCGCGTCGGATCTCTCGGCTTAAATCCGACCTTGAACGGCTTTGGTTCCGTCGTTAATCCCGTTGGGATGGCATTGCACTCGATCGGGTCTAGGATTGGTCGTTCCTTCTCATCCTGAGCTGGGTGCATGGTGAATGCTATGATGAGGCGGATATACGCCGTGTAGAGCTCGCGGTTGGCAAGGTGAGACCCCGCGCACATCCGCGAGCCAGCTCCATAGCCGTAGTGGGGAGTTCCTGATCCCTCGCCCGTGTCGAGGTAACGTTCAGGGAGGAATTCGGTCGGTTGATCGAAGTGTTCTTCGTCGTAGTCTGCAGCCCAGGCATTCTGTGGAATCCCAATTAGCGGAAGGCCAAATGAATGACAAAAATGAAAAAGAGACATGTCTCTACCATGAAGAAGGTGGTTCCAGCAGGGATTTTGACGCCCTGATATACCACGTCCTTGATGCTCTTTCGTGGCAGACAGATAGGAATGACCGTCCAGAATCGCAGCGTCTCCTTGACCAAAGCAGTGACGTACGGGACTTTCTCCTCCACCAAACACCTCTCCCATGCATCACCATTGGGATAGACTTGCATGATTTGGTTATACGCCTTTTGTTGGATCTTCTGCCCCTCTTCAGAAGCTAGGTATGCAATTCCCATGATCAGGTTCCCAGGCACGGTATCCAGACCAGCAGATACCATGGTGAGACAGATAGATTTAAGCTCGGCTGTCCATGCAAATAGGATTGGTTAGAAGGCTCCATTAGTGGGGTGACAAAGGACGATTGGATTACTCCGTACCTTCATTCAACTTGGCCTCAGGGTCCTTCAACACATTTCCCGTAATGCATGGTTTATCCGTGCCCTTGGCCATCCGATCCTTCAGAATATCCAATAGCAGAGTCAAATATCGGTCTCTCCGCAAGCGAAACTCATCCGCCTCGCGGTTTATCGTGGGGAAGATCCGTAACAGAGGGATATAATCCTGCCAGTTATTGCTGGTGGAGCGGAAGTTAGACACGCCCCTCTCAACCACAACAATTTCCCGAAGTAACTCGTCGTCGATGTTACCCTCAATGCGGAAGCCGTAGTTTAATGTCAGGCTGGTGTTCAGGGCAAACCGCTGGAAGTACGCGGCGGGATTGATATCAATGGTGCCGTTCTTGCTGTCCTGGAACAGCTCCCGGATGCTTGTTGTGGACTCCAAGTCGATGATGGGCATGTACGACTGTACTGCTGGACGGTTGAGTGCCGTAGCCGCAGCCTTGCGACGCCGTTTACATGATTCATCCCAGGGCGATGTGCCGATGGTAAAGCCCTGAGAGGTGGACACAACGCTATGGAACGTATGGTATGTCGGTCTCGAGATGAGAGCAGACTGGTCTTTGATCCAAAGCTGCCGGACAGAGTCGAAGCTGTTGACGAATACAACACGCTGGAAATGAAAGAAAAAGGATATTGTCAGCATAGTTTAATACCGTGGGATCAACCTCAAGACAACCTTGTTACCCATCCGCACTTGGAAAACAGGGCCGTATTTCTTCGCCCATCTCCTTGCCACCCGGGCATGATCTATACCCAGTTGTAGAAGATTGCCAAATAAGGGTATGCCAGGTACCTCGGGCAGCCCCTTAATCTTAGGGGTGTCTGTCCGGTTTAATAGCCGCAGTACAAAGTATACGGCTGCAACAATTGCAATAGAAATTGTTTGGTAAGACATGGTGAAAAGGAGTGGTCTGTCTCGCACCTGTGTCAAACCAACACAGAGGGAAGATCAGGAACATAAGACTGATGAATAGGAGGGGGGCCTTTTATAATATATTGCTTCGGCTCCATTGTAACCAACTCCAGCTGGACATCTTCATGGCCCAAGTCATTCTTCCAATTCCGCAGGGACCCCTTCCCCAGACTTTCTACAAGAATTGTATGCCAAGAAAGTTGGAGAGCCTCCAGAAGAGGAAATAGATAGCCAAAACAGCACTGTAATTGTTACTATTATTACTATCACCATTCATTTCTGTCCTAGTTGGCAACAATGCGTGTAACAGCCATGGCAAGGATTTGCTCTATTTTTCCTCTTCCGCGAGCGGCGTATTTCCGGGGGCCTCTCTTGGGAACACGGCCACCCAACGCGGAACAAGAGGTTTCTATCGCAATAGGGGAAGGCCGGGCAGTAGGAGCATGTTGCAGGTATGAACGGTCCATGGCTATTACCGGCCAAGGGTGAGACATCCTGACGATCCGAAGCAACCCCGGATTTGATTCCGCGCTGCGAATTTGCGGGGGAAGAAAAGACAAAATAAAATAAAACGGTTCCAATTTTCTCCAGTTCTACCGAGTAATCGGACAGATTCCAGCCAAAAGTGCCGAGGATCCACACATCATCTTCGTATCTCAATCTCACAAAAGAATTTTTCTGCCGGCCTCCAAATCCTGGATCTCTTTCTTAAGCTGTAAGCGCCGACGATGAACTGTGAATTCTTCCCCCGCAATCTCCTCGAGTTGCTCCTCGGTAAGCTTATTCACCATTGACGGCGAGAATAGCTTCATTGGAGTAGCCGGTCCTCGCACCAGGTAATAGTCTGCCGCCTGCATGCAGACATTGTCCACGAATCGCTTCCGTGCAACCTTGTAGTAGGATTTCAGAATATCGTGGATGTCTTGGGCCGTGTATTCGTCATTGCTCATCGGGTGTTGGTAGACAATGTCCTTGGTGTAGATCGCTTCGGCGCCGCTCTCAGTGTTTATGGTCTTCTTTGCAATCGCCGAGCGCAATCGATCCTGGCGGCTATAGGGTTTATATGCTCGGTTAGTAAGTTCACGGGTTCAAAATATCAAAAGCTTTGATGGATCAAAGGTTGTACAAACCACTTCTCCAGATTATCATTGAAGTAATGATTGAGAGTCTTTAACATGCCGGTGCGTTCAATGTGCAGAAGAAATTCGACCTGCTCGGATGCCTTCTTGTACTTCTCCACCAAATTATCCATCAGGAACGATAGCAGGTTCCTACATACCCGGTCATCATGGCAGCTTAGTTTCAAGACCTTGGTTATGAAATCATGCACCATGACAATGACATCTGAAATGTAACCAAGGGCAAAAGGTTCCCACTTCTGAGACTGCTTTTTCATAATGGTGGCCAGCAAGGAGACGTTAAAGGTCCCAATCTCAAATCCCCTGGAGTTGAGATAGGAATTTTTGATCCATTCGAGAGTATCCGTCCTCAGGCGCTGGGAAATGCCGCTGGGGTCATGAAGGATATCCTCCAATTCGGAGATTCCTTCCTTCTTTCTAGTCGACGTCCACTCTTCATACTCCTCGTCGGACTCGTCTTCAGAACTATAAACAGGCTTCACAGGATCGTTAGCGTCGAAGCTATATTCGTGTCCCCACCGCTCCAGGTCTTCTGCGAAAGCAATATCTCTATTAACCACCACTGTCGCAAGCCTGAGATCCTGATTGTCATCGAATATGTTATTGGCGCCGTAGTTACTGCCAAGGGCCTGCATTGTAGCTTCTTGAAATGAAGAGATAACGTCAAGTAGATAGCTGGCTTGTTGTTCAGCTGTCACTCGTTCGGGTCCGAGGGCTTCAATGGCCTTCCGACTCGCTCGTAAACGCTTGGTAACCTCTGCACGCACCTAATATTGATATCATCGTTACTTGCTTGGTTCCAGAACAACGCGAAAGGGAGTTTAAAACAGAAGCCAGAAGGGTTAAGGAAGTCTGCACATACCAGTGGGAAGGCTCGTCGAACATTCTCAGTAACAATCTCCTGCAGGCGAATCTTGAGCGCTTTTATTCCAAACTTGCTTGGATCCAGACTGTTCCAAGGATGTTTGTGACGGAAGGCCTCTTCTTCCAAATCTCTGTCCGCTCCGTCTAGTAACTCTTGCTGGCCCAGGTTGCGGACGAGAATCCAGCCAAGCTTCATGGAAAGACCATTACTCTGAACAATCTGGATAGTCTTTTGTTCTGCACCTTTGTCGATCAAATCCGGCTTGGTCAAGACTCCCAATGTCCTCTCCCCTTCGGGATCAAGATCACGCGCCATCTCAATGATTTCCTGGGTAGCAATATCCACATTCGCGGGAACCACGGTGAGCATGATGGAACGAGGATTCTTCATGTAGCCAAGAATCATCTCTCGGACCATCTGGATATCCGCCTTGGAGGTTAGACCAGAAGTTGTGTTTTTGAAGATCCCGGGGACATCAATCACGCTGAGGTGATCTTCATTCGGACCGGAAATCTCCAAACGGAACACATCTTTCGAAAAGGTAGGCTTCACAGTTGTACTCGTATCCTTTGGATTGGATAAGCCCATGAGCTCGTGGATCTGGACTGAGTTAGTTTCTCTGAGAGATACGCGTTCTCCACGTAAAAAGTAAGTAAACAGAGAGGCTCCTGGCCATACCTCAACCATCATCCTCGAAAAAGAGGCAGCGACCAGATCCTGTAGATCCTCCCCCTTCCAGGCGCGCAGCTTCGAAGCACGGTCATCGTTTGCATCAGGGGCGGGAATGACTGATGCCACGATTCGTCTGACATCACTATCAACAGCCCTGCGGAAGATAATCTGAGTAGCAAACCTCGTGCAGAGTCCACTGTCTCTAGGGAAGGGTAGTTTTGTCAGGCCCTCCAGCACAGAGCTCTTGCCACTGGACTGGTCACCAACAACAACTAGCTGGGGTAGGTCAATGTACTCGCCGACATTGCAGGCGAAGAGCTTGTCGATCTTCTCAAGCAAGACGGGGTTCGAAAGAGATGGCGATCCAGAACGTCCCTGAGCCTTGGTCATGATGTGTCTTCGTGAACGATGACAGGACGCCGCTGAGAATAGGATAGATACTTTTTGGAGTGTAGTTCTGGAGAAGTAGAGAGGCGATGAGATGGGGGCAGAGAAAGAAGCGAGGGGAGGATGCTGAAAATTTCCAGCTTTTAAGGTCAGAAAAAAAAAAAAAAAAAAAAAGATGTGAATGCAGCCATCATTCACTGCGGCGCAGGAAAGTCTAAATGCCAACAGATATTACTACGTAGGCGAACAACAAATTTACGGCTGATTTTCTGGCTTGCTGCTTTGCGACGCAGTGATGGGAATAGGGAGCTAGGCTTACTCCTGCTGGAAGGGCAGTCAAGGCTGTGCGATCTCCTCAACCACGGCAGAAAGACGCATCTGAACGAAGACAAGGGTGACTGAAGAAAAAAAAAATTGTAGTACAACTAGGCTACAGCACCGTATACATCACAGGGATGCAAGTTAATTCGCGACATGTAGCTCTTTGAAGACCATCTAAATGTCCGTACCAAAGCAATGCCAAACCGAAGTCCATGTCCAAACGAAGCACGTATGTACAAGGCAATATCTGCCGCAGATTACATGGAAAGAGACCCAGCGCAAATATAACGAAAATAAATCGAATGACATTGCTCCGTTTCCAACGGCTAGCAAAAAAAAAAAAAAAAAAAAAATACCCAATATAGTCCACTTCATGCCTTGTCTATCTCGGAGGATGAGGAGCCAATGGCCCGGGAAGTGGATTCGACCCTTGACTATAAGTTCGATGGTGGTCCGACTGAACGGCAAGTCCTACGCCACGCGCGGACTCCGTAAGAGTCCCAAAACCTGAATGACGCTGCTGGAGAGAATGGACTGATGGAGATAGAGCATTTGCAGCATATGCCAAACTACTTAGGGACGACGTCTGTGTGGGGTTGGGATGGAGGACCGCTGGGGGGGTATACGAACGTGCTGAGGCTGCCGGTTGAGTTCCTGATAAGCTCGATGCACGAGCAACTTGAGCTTGAGACGGCGGGGTGTTAACGGCATATTGCCCGGCCCCCGGCCCAGCCAGACTCAAAGCTGTCCGGTGATGTGGCGTTGGCTGTTGTTGAACGTGCGGCTGGTAAGTTGCGTGAGTATTAGACGGAATCTGTGGTGTCGGAGCCGAGGAAGCGTATACCACCTGTCCCGATGGCTGGCGCGACGTGATATTCAGCATATGAACAGGAGACTGAATCGGAGTTGGCGGCCCCTGGCGGGAGACATAAGCAACACTACTGCTTCTGCTGCGTGGAGGAGGGGAACCAACGTTTGGCCGGTAAGTCTGACCTGGGTGAGGCACCTCGCGTGAGCTGGCAATCAAACTTGGAATACGCGGAGATGCCGGCGCAAGTGAAGATGACCCCTGAGAAAGGACACTGTGGTAGGTAGGACGTTGGGCTGATGCTGGTGGCGGAGTAGGCGCGGGTGATGGAGCCGTCAGGGAGCCTGCTTGTTGAGATTGGCTCGCATTGTACGGAGAAAAGACGGGTTGCGGCGTGAGCGCTGGAGCCGCCCGGTTACCAGAGAAACCTGGAAGCTGCTGCTGTTGTTGGCCTCTGGGATCAAATCGCGCCATCCAATCATTACTCGCCCTGCTGCTGGCGCTATTCTGCATAGACTGGTATCCCCCGTATTCCGAATAAGACCGAGACGCAGTAGGTTGCGTTAGATATTGACTAGGCTGTGAATAGCTAAAGACACGCTGTTGGGATGCGGACGCAAAGGCCTCTTCTTGCCGCGACAGGTGCTCTTGGTGAGGCGGTGCCGGTCCTGTATAGACTGATCTAGACAGTGCAGCCGATGGCCCTGGTGTCGATGCAGCTTGTTCGCCGGCAAACCGCTTGCGTGGCTGAGGTTCTTCTGGCTCGTCATTCAAAATGTTAATAATGTTGGACCGCTTAGCAGGCACTTGGCGTGGTGGCTCCGGCGCCTGGGCTGGCGTAGGAGGCTGAGACGTCTCCATGGCCGACAGGACAACCGGTTGCGGCGGCGGGATACCACCCGGCTGTCCAGTTAATGAGGGATACTGTCGGAAAGGGAAAGAATCGCGTCGGACAGGAGAGATTTCGGGCTCAAGCTTCTGCGTTGATCGAACTGGCGAGCTCGGAATCCCTGTCAGGCTAGGATGACGAGAGTGGGAAGATAATGCGAGCGTAGGAGGCTGCTGCACGTATGCCTGCTGTGGTGCTGCCGCGGCGCCTTGCGCTGAAAGTAACGGTGATCCATGAACATCAGGAAGAGTGCTGAATGAACGGTAACTTTGCACAAGGGGCTCTACCCGGGCGACTTCAGGAACTGACACGGGTGTCTGCCGGGGAGGGACCTGCCCTTCCTGTGCTCGGGCAACATTTGTATGGGCCAGCAGGGTAGAATCCCTCCTGTCTTCGGTGAAATATCCTAGGCGAGGACCCTGGAACCGCTGCTGCAACACCACATTGGATCGGGCCACGCGAGAAGGCTCATCATGTAGGGCGGTTGTTGCAATAGTGGCTGTCGCCAGAGGAGCACTAGTCGCTTGAGCAAGAGGCGGATACTTAGTAATACTGCGGTCCTTCTCAGAAGAAGCTGTTCTCGAATGGACGGACACAGTCTGCGATGGTAGACCGGCGGCTTTCCCCTTCCCTTGAAGGCGACTCTCAGACTGAGCGCCAACTTCAGTGTGGGGTGCAAGAGGCCGAGGAACGACCGTCGACGGCGTAGCTTCGTATCGCCGCTTGGGAGCCGCGGTAAGATCAGGCAGAGGGCCCGTGGGTTCACCACGTTCCTTCTTGGCTTCCGCGATGGTCACAATATCAGCAAAGTCCGTCTGGCCGGAATCAATACGTCTCTGAAAGTAATTCTTGACCTGTTCCTCCGTGTTAGTTAACTCCGCCAATGAATATACATGTAGTCCGCTGGATCGAAGAAGCCGGACAGTAAAATATAAGTTAATGCTTATCACCTACCATGACCGTAGTCTTTGTCTTCATAAAGTTCGATATTCCCTCAAAGTCCCTACCGAAGTGCGCCAACAAAAGTGGGAAGTCACGCTGTTCAGGTACAGACCAATAACTCGTCGGCTGAAGCGATCCATAACCCGACTCGACCTGCTGCCTGGGAGTGTTTCCGGTCTCCGTCTCCGTTGATTCGGAGACAAGGGCAGTTTCTTTTCCTCGCACTCGGCCTGACCTAGCTCGTGGATGCGGCGTGTCATGGAACTCTTTTTCGGAATGTTCTTTGGCTTTGGCCAGTGTCACGCCTGTAGTTTCAACTTCAGCCTTAGCAACAACATCGGCGGTAGCTGCATTCGCAGCCGAAGTTTTTGCAGTCTTCTGGTCTTGCGGCGTCTGCGGCTGTTGTTGTGCTGCCTTTCCACGCCGCCCACCCCGGGAGCCAGCGCCGTTCCGTGTGCTTCGTCGAGCAGCAGGTTTCTCTGAGTGGTCTGGGTCCTTTGCTCCATTCCCACGACGACCACTCGAGGTGTGCTCAGTATCGGCCGACAGCTCTCCTCCAAATGTAGGGGCTGCTGCTCGCCGCGGACGGCCAGTCTCAGTTACAGCCAATGGTTCTTCATCGCCATCGTAATTTTTCTTGATAATCCCGAGATCAACCATAAGAGCATCTGACTTCGGGCGAGCAGATCTTCTGGCACGGCCCCTGCGAGACCAACGTTTGTTCAACTTCGCCTTATATTTTATCTCTTCCTTTGTCATATAGTAGTGCATAATGCACTGGTGGAAATCACGACCAGGCAATGCTTCGGCGATTTTCCACCACTTCTTCGGGTGTGCCATAAAGGCATCGGTGAACTTGGCATGTTCCTCCGGTGTGAAGTCATCAGGCGGAGGAAGAAAACCAAATACCTCCATCGCCCGGTCCGGGTCGACAGTGTTGTTCGTGTTTTTAAAGACGGTCGCTTCCTTTTCACTCAGCTCCAACATATCCGGAATGACTGCCTCCCGTGCAAGGTCCGGGTAGGCAGTTGCCATGTTCTCTCGTCGCCGTTCGAGTTCCTCTTGAGCCGAAATTTCAGATGCCTTGAGGGCGAGCTGAAAATCAAGCTCGCTATTTCCCTTGTAGCGCCGTCCTTCAGCGCCAGGAGTAGGTGTCGGTGTCGAATTGAATCCCGGCGGTGTAGTTGGACCTGGAGTACTAGATGACTTCTCCTTCTCGTGATCGAGCACCCAGATATCCAGCCGCCAGGGCTTGTAGTACGACAGAAATTCCTCCCGTAGCGTCTCATTTTTCTTAGAAATCCCCTTTTGTCGCTTACCTAGCTCCGCGCGGAACATCTCCTTGAGATGTTCATGTTTTCGAGCATTTTCCCTATACACATCCAGTTCAGACAGCGGTGTTAGCGGCCCCGTGTTCAGAAATGGAAGGTTTTCGATACAGGCGGTTCCAGTAATGTGGGGTGGCGACAATTTCAGTTTCTCTTGACTCTGTGCCTCTTCGAAACCTCTATCAGCCTTGGGAGAAAGCGGGGTTGAGATATCCACGTTTAGAGCGGGAGTAGCTTCAATTGCAGTGGCTGGCGCAGCCGTTCCGTCTGGGATATGACGATCATTTGCAATCATCCCCAGCAGCTGGATTCTCATAAGTAATGCCACTATGGTAGGATCTTCAAGAGGCGGGGGAGGCATTTCCGCTTTCAGGGCTTGTAAGTCCTTCTCAAAGATTCGCTTCCTCTCATCGAGGTACTCCTGAGTGAAGACAACATGTTCATCCTCCTCCTCGTCCCCCGAATGTATGAAGTCCGGTATGAGCGTATTCTCATCTTGTTCAGCGGGCCCAGAACTTCCACTGCCCGAGACTGCACCATCCGTGATTTTTTCGTTCAGTTCTTTTAACGTCGCCTGAAGGGAACCGACGCTCTCATCAACAAGCACAGTCGATTTTTCCGTCTCCTTTGTATTATTCAATTGGCTTCTTGGCTCTTGTATCCGGTGGGTCTCTGGGGATGGTGGTTCCCGTCTCGACTCCTCACTTAATGACATGCTACGCTCCTTCGCTTCAATAGAGTCGCGCTTAGATGATGAGGCAAAACTAGGCACAGATGGGGCACGATTGTACCCAGGACGAATCCATTGTTTGCTGACCTTAGGTGACCCGCGTTGAGGACGCTGCTGAAGAGCACGTGGACCGGTAGGAATAGCAGTAAACGACTGGCGAGGGGAGGTAGAAGCCGCTCTCCCCACCGGTGGCAACGATCTCTTGAACTCAGGCGAAGCTGGCGCCGCAATCTGTTTATTGGATAGTTGTATCTCTGCCTGTGACATTATCGTGTCTCTCCCCACCATCGCCGCAGGAGCTGTCGGAGGCGAAAGATCGGGCGCTTGACTGACTGCGCTAGCGTCAGGCCCAACAGGAAACTTGGGGACAGGTGGAGAAATCTCCGGCTTGCTTCCAACTTCTAAGAGCTCGGTGCGCTGTTCTTGGGCCTCCGAAGCTAGTGCTCGATGAGGCGCCGGCAATTCTGCACGGTCAGCTTTAGGCGTTGTAGATGCACGGGGAAACACTCGAGACGGAGGCTGGTCCTGTTCTCTTTCTGTTTTGAAAAGGGGCACATCGGCGGGCGTCACACCCTGTGATGGCCTTTCCGCTGGTGGATTGTGGATGGGAGCGCTAAAAGAGCCAAAGGCTGGTACCTGAGGAGCGGCGGGCGGGGGTGACCTCTTAACGGGAGGTAAAGGGTCCTTGATGTGATCAGGCCTTATCGAGTCGCGACGAGCATCTGCAAAAGGAATTCCAGAGGGTATAGCCTCTTTTCGCGGTACGTCCATACTTGGCTTATCCGAGACTTTGTTGGCGGCAGCTGGAGTCGACGACGCAGTGGTTGATACGGGAAGGGAGCTGCCCATTGTAGCGACTCCAGAAGTGCGAGGGTCAGACCGAGAAGGAGGATTGTCTTTCCTTCGTTGGTCCAACGGCCGATCTCGATCATCACGCTCCGGCCAACGGTCCAACTCATCGCGGCGCTCGAACCGATCGCGTCGATCCAAGTCACGTTCCCTGTCACGATCACGGTCCCTATCCCTATCCCTATCACGGTCACGGTCTCGGTCTCTACCGATGATACGGTCTCGATCTCGATCGCGATCTCTCTCGCGGTCCCGGTCTCGGCCTCGGTCCCACCAGCCATCCCTGGAACGACTTCTTCGTCGAAACGTATCACGATCATCTGAATATAGAGCCCGTCCTCTGCCACGGCCGCCTTCCCAGTCACCGCGTCCGCGACCGCGGGTGGGCCGGGTGTGTATTCCAACACCAGAAGATGTATCGGGACCAATGGAGGATGAGGAAACTAGACTATCACGAGAATTTCGCCGCATCCGAATCAGGTCGAGGTCTCGTCCTCCAGGCTCTCTAGCATCACGGAAATCCCGAGCAGGTGATCGAGAACGGCCTCTACCAAAACCGGCGCGTGGGCCTCTCTGGTCGAAAGCTCTGTCACGTCGGCCCCATTCACGATCGGCATCACGACGAAATGGAGGCGGGCCATCGCGGTTATCACGAAAATCTCTATCTCTGTCCCTGTCACGGTCTCGATCACGATCCCGATCACGAAAGTCCCCACGCCCTGGATAGCCTCGCCCACGACCGCCGAAATGGCCTCCCCTGGGTGGATCGATCAACGCCTTAGGGCCACGGGGAGGTTCCCTGCTGAGAGAAAGGGGATTACTATCGTCAGGACCGCGGGGACCTAACGGAGGCCGACGGTCATTAAAACGTTGAGGGGAACGGTCGCGGGGGTTGAACCCAGAGGAGGGAGGAAATCGAGAAGACATATCACCAAACCATACTAAAAACGAAGGGAAGGGTTAAAAAGCGCCAATAAAAGCACAATAGCGTAACTATATGTAAACAATTAGCCGGGTTAAGTGAAGCGGATAAAAAGCAGATCTGGCAGTGAAATTCCTGCGTACTCGAGACACGTTGAGGAGAAGCGCTGCTCTGGAGGAGTCGTCGAAGTCGAAGAGCCAAGCCCACGTGATCTGCAGACAGCGGCGGTTAGAGCGGGCTAGTGCTACTTAGGAATGGTCTAGTGGGGCTGCCGCTTTCAGCCACTAGGCGCATTTTGCATGTTTCAGGGTCTCCATTGCTACATTTACAGGCCAATCACTATTTGCTCATCTATCTGCCAAGATAGGGCTTGGAGATCCCCCGACCCGTTCTGGAACAGACCTGACTCGAGCGGTTAAGGTTAAACTGCAGACCTAAACAGTATTAACGAGCAAGGGAAGCCATTGTCACAGTATGCTACTTTCAGGGCAGCCATGGTGCAGCTCGATGAATCTCTCCTGTAAGCTGTAACTTCCAACAACACCACGTCTTTGAACGCGTTGGAAATTCAATCGGTCTCGAGTCCCCACAGTTCATGATCATATGCGCAAACTCACGTGGTTAAGGCGGTGAAAGTGGTTGCAGAAAAATTGCCACAGAAAATAATGATTATCATTGTTCAGGACCCTCCATGACCTCTCACTTGTTAGTGTCTCCTACTCCTTTTCCGACCACCTTTCTGTCTACATATTAAATCCCATCATGAAAGCCGCTCCGGAGACTTCCTCGCAGGCAGCTGCGCCTTCCGCTGCCATGGATGCGGTGTTGGTCGCGTCTGAACCGGTGCCAGAAGGCTCGCACCAGGTGCGCGGGGTCGACTTCGATCGCTTCCGGGGCCGTGATATCACCGTTGCGGAGATGGTGGACAACATGACTCACATGGGCTTTCAGGGGAGTGCTGTTGCAGAGGCAGCCCAGATTATCAATGAGATGGTAAGTGCTTTTCCCCCGCTAGGTAGGTGTTCGACGGGCTAATGCGCCCACAGCGGGCGTACCATCACCCCGAAACAGGAGAGAAGACTACTATTTTTCTCGGCTACACGTCTAACCTGATTTCTTCTGGTCTTCGGGATACCCTTCGATATCTGGTCCGTCATCGTCATGTCTCCGCTATCGTCACTACCGCCGGCGGGGTGGAAGAGGACCTAATCAAATGTCTCGCGCCTACATACATGGGTTCCTTCACTGCTGCTGGAGCTGGACTTCGTGCCAAGGGCTTAAACCGGATTGGCAATCTACTTGTTCCTAACAACAACTACTGTGCATTTGAAGACTGGTTGATCCCTATCCTAGACAAGATGCTCGAAGAGCAAGAAACGGCAAAGCAGAAGGCGATTGAGACAGGAAATGAAGAAGACGAATTACATTGGACACCGAGTCGCATTATTGAACGCTTAGGTCGTGAGATCAACAACGAAGATTCAGTGCTGTATTGGGCTGCCCGGAACAATATCCCAATCTTCTGTCCTGCCCTCACCGACGGATCTCTTGGAGATATGCTCTACTTCCACACGTACCGCTCCTCCCCAAAACGGTTACGCGTGGATATTGTGGAGGATGTGCGTCGTATCAACACCATGTCCGTCCGGGCTGCCCGTGCAGGAATGATTATTCTGGGTGGAGGAGTGGTTAAGCATCACATCGCGAATGCCTGCCTGATGCGGAATGGGGCGGAAAGTGCCGTTTACATCAACACAGCGCAGGAGTTCGATGGGAGTGATGCTGGGGCTCGTCCGGATGAAGCCGTCAGCTGGGGTAAGATCAAGACGGACGCAAAGGCGGTCAAGGTATGTTGCTTCATGCCCGAGTCGTGCTCTGTGTCCATGGCGCTCTTCTGACTTTCCTAGGTCTATGCGGAAGCAACTGTTGTGTTTCCTCTTATTGTCGCGGCCACATTTGCCCGAGCCAGTCAGCAGTCGACACCCGGATCGAACGGCGACAGTAGACGTGAAAACTAGTTGAAATGCCGGGTTGAACCTTCTCGTGTGTGATATGACTTTAGAGAAAACCCTGACGACGATATATAATGGTTATCCGAATTGAGAAATCCGAAGAACTTGTTGTGGGACCGACAAGAAACTCGGCGTCTCTCTGGTATGCTAACATAATTCAAGCCGGCTATGATGGGTACCTTTAATACCTGTCACTCTTCCCAGTCTGCTTGCTGGGACACAGCCCATATAGCACTATCTCGTCGGTCTAATCTCCTTGGATAGTCGTATTGAAGGCTAACAGGCCATGGACTATACCCCTGTCTCGTCGTTTGAGAACCAAAGTTGGTGTGTCCCAGACAATTTTCGTTTGTCCTTTTCGATTTTGAAACTGGACGAGCGCAACCAGCAGACACAACTGGCTCTGTTGAGGGAGAAGTGTGCTTGCTTATGCTTCGCCCTCTCCCGCTCTCCTATGTCTCTGGAAGTGAACCGACAATGATGTGAATTTGCTAGATGTATCAAACCGTAGCAAATGCGCAGCTACAATTCCCGGACTGTCATGTGGCACTGGATGCTACGAGTAGTCAAAGCGCAATAAATGCTTATCTCCTCCCCTGGCATGGGATCTGTCTGCCTGTATTTTCCTGCCTCCAGGGCCATTCGTATACCGACTGTGTAGTACATCTCCCCAGTCATGGACAAAGCATTCTCCTGATGAGCTAGCTGCCTGGAACCATGAGAGACCTGCGTAGCTAATGACGTTGCATGTGAGACCGACAATAGAAGGAATGCATGACGCGGAGATGCGCCAGCTCACCTACAGTGGGTGATACACAGCACCCAACGGGCGGACGATCTAGTGCTGACAGCTTCGGAATGGGACTGTCTGCGTCGGGGTGAGTCACTTCTGCAGCCTGATCGGGGTCTTTTTGTGACTTCTGCTGCCGCTGGGATAATAACCGTCGTAACGGCCAGTGGAGACGCGGCGCAGGGAACGTCCGCGGCGGAGACGTAGGCTACAACAACGCAGCTTCATCTTCAGCCTCACTCTATCAGCCTGGCCGGTTTCTATTTGTTGTCGCCTTATTTAGTTGACTCTTGCCGCCCTGTCGGTAACCCTCTTTCTCTTCTCCTTCTCCTCCCTCCTCTTCTCTTCTTTCTCCTGTCGTTCGATCTCCCGTTTGTCTCCCTTCTGCCCTTGCGTCATTGCTCCACATCTGTATATCCCCGGACCGACAGACAGAGAGAGGGAGAAAGGGAAAAGGGGAGAAGTAGAAAAAAAAGGAAGAAAAAGCGGCAGCAAAAATAAGAAAACTGAAATTGTGAGAGGAAGAGTACCGTATTAAGGGGACCTGTGAGTTACCTCCCTCGACCTTTTCTCTCACGGTTTCTCATCATCTACGTTCACCTCGATCCCGTTCCACCCTGTTTCTTACTTATGGATCTGCAGTACAGGATTTCTCATCATGGAGACGGCCGAAAATTCCATTCCTGTTGTCACTGGGTCTTCCTCATTGCCATCTGCTGACCAGGCTACATCATCGACTGATAACGCCCCTGCTCGAGCGTCCCTGCCAGAGCGGGAGGAACCGCAAGAAGAGCAGCAGCAGGAACGAAATTCCTCCGAACTTATTCAACGTACCCAGACAGATGTACGAGATACGTCCCAATCGATCCCTCCTTCTAACCCCCAATCACCGAACGTCACTAGTGCGCCCAGGGATGGTCCAGAAGAGGATCTCTCCACGCCGACAGGAGAGGAGCTGAAGGAAATGGAGGCTATGGCAAACAGCCACAGTGCTTTAGACTGTAGGAACTCAAACCTCAAAATAACGGTCATTTCCTATGTCCCAGTGCTAACATCCTACGCTGTGAAGATGACCATTGGGAGAAATCTTTCTTCATGGAACTTGGCGATGACCCCGAACTTCCCCCCGTCGAAAAGGGTCGTATGACATGGATAGTCAAGGGTGCTCGAGCTGTCACAGGGCCCAAAAGCGATTGTCGGATTATACGCTCTCCTCCTGCATACATCGGAGGTTACTGGTGGACGGTCAAGTTCTTTCCTCGCGGGAACGGAGTGGGCCACTTAAGTCTCTATATTGAGTGTTCAAAAACCATGCCGCCACCCAAAAATGATATTCTTGAAACTCGGTTCAGGGTCCTACGTGGGCATCCTGACGCTGTGCTGAGCGATTGCCCTCCTGATGTGGACTTTCAATTTGGCCCGACAGACAACTCACCGACGAACTGGCCTGATGAATTCCTGAAATGCTATTCAGCTGCCGCAAATGATCGGGAGAATTCGTCCACAGATTGCAATAAGGAGTCGAGCCAGTGCGACTGGCGGGTTTCTGCTGAGCTGGGTGTTGTCATGTACAACCCTAATGAACCTCGTACTTACTCGTCAGAGAACTCCTGTCACCAGTTCAATCGTCACAATGAGGACTGGGGCTGGACTATCTTCTACGATAAGTGGGACCAGATACACCTACGCCAGTGGTGCCAACGCCAACCAATGCTCCGTAATGACACATTGGCGTTCGACGTGTATATTCGAGTCGTGAACGATCCCACGTTGTCGCTTTGGTGGCATTCTAGTGATTCCGAGCCACAATGGGACAGCTTCAAGCACACAGGTTACATGCCCATAGGTGATTCGTATGTTGAAGGCAGGCTTGAGGCGGCGGGTTTGGCAGTCTGGTTGAACCTTGCTCCTTTCTACAAGATCATTCAGAATGTGGATATCCTGGAGCACCTCACAAACGTTGATGCCAAGCCCAGACCACTGTGCGATGCACTGCAGACATTGCTCTGGGGCCTGCGATCAGGGGCTTCTGATTTAAGAGAGACCGACCAGATTACGTCTATCCTGGGCAACATGCGTGAGGGTTCGCGCGATGTAATCACATTCTGGGAACGACTGCGTCGGGCACTTGAGCTCGAGCTGGAGGGTACCCAAGAGGCCAATGAATTTGGTAAACTCTTCGACAGTCCATCTCCTCCCTTGGATGTCGCCATCAATACCCTGCCGAAGGAGCTCAACTCCCGTATTCCCGTGCAAGTTGGCCAAGCCAAGTCTATGCAAGTCGCCGTTAACCATTACCTGGGTGAGAAACCGGGACGTTGGGCGTTGCCACCCATCCTCAGCGTAGAGTTTTGTCGTAACAAATATGACTCGACAACTCGACGTTGGCAGCTGCTCTACGATCGGGTTGAGCTGAATGACGAGATCGACCTAACTGCGCGAGTAATGGACAGCGAATGTGGCAAATACGTTCTTTACGGTTACGTCGCCCATACCGGTCCACGTACTTCGGACAAGTACTTCAGTGTCTTGCGTCCTGGGGGTCCAGAAAGCATGTGGCTATCCTTTGATGACTCGGATGAAATAAAGGTCCGTCTTCTGACACGGGCTATGGTGTCGGATTGTTCTGGCCTGGATACGTCGAATGCTTTGGAGACTTCCCAAATGGATCTTATCGAGAAGAATGGGCATGATGCTGCAGTGGCCGCCCTTTATATCCGTGCCGATGCTGTGCAGGAGTATCTTCCAGGACCGCAAGGTCCGTGGAACGCTTCTCAGGAAATGCGGACGTACTATGCAGACCATGTCTTCCCCTTCTGGAACTTGTCGATCGATGACAAGGCAGAACGAAGCCTACAGGTCGAGATTTACTCTTTATCCCAGTACGACCAGCTTCCAAGTCTCTTCCATACATACGATCTCATGTCCCAGGCTAAGTCAACCAACCACGTTCTATATCTAACCGTACCTTCTTCTACCACTTTCGCGGATCTCCGGAGGAAAGTTGCCTTGTGGGATTCAGATAGTGGTGGGGCTAAGACACTTCCAGAACGTATTCGTCTGTGGCGGATTGGGAGTATAGATTCTGAGTTTGGGCCAACACTCGCCTTTGACCGCGTGTCAGACCTAAACCAATCACTGGGCACGAAACTAAAGAATGTACGATTATGGATGCAGCTGGTTTCGGATGGTATGTATTCAGAGGTGATGTTCACCATTGCCTGTTTTCTCCTTTCATTAACGTACTTTTAGCGGACGCCGAATACTTTTCTATGCCAGACCCGCCACCTCAGATCTCCGTAATGGAGGATAAGCCCGAGGGGGCAATCATCGAGCGCGTGGAATCCGATTCTAGCGATGGCCCATTGGTGAATGGGGGTATAGATAGTTCACGTAGCAGTGTCTCCCCCAGCGCCGTTCAATCTGTGTCTAATCTGGAAGGGACTGCTCGCGAACAGCACCGGCGGCCCAGTGAGGGTGTTCGTGTAGATGATTCAACATCAGTCGCTGTTGGCCCTGGCACGTCTGATGCGTCTAACCAGCGCGCTGGGCACAATGATCATACACCAGACGAGGCGCCCACCTTTTTTGCAGAAACCTCCGGCCAAGAAGAGTCGCGGCCTTCCGGTGTTCAGGAATGCCAGAGACAATTATTGCCCGTACGGCACGTGTTCTACTTTATCCAGATATTTGACGCGGAGCAGCAAACACTACGAACCGTGGGCTCGTTCTTTTCACGGTTAGAAGAGAATGTCAAGGACGGTCTCCGGAAGCATCTTGGCTGGCCAGAAGACCGGGACTTTCTGATCTGGGAGCGTACTAGCCGGTTGAATAGCCTATCCGTATACTCAGGTGCAACTTTCGAACCGCCCATTTCAGATGGCACTTGCTTCATTGTGGGTGACAAACTAAGCAAGGAGAGGTAGGCGTTTCCCATGTTGCAAACCATGTTGGAGATAATCCTGACTCGTGATACTTCAGATGTACTCGGTTCGCCTCGGCCGGACTCTTCACTGAACCCAGCCGGCTCGTGGAGTATCTGTGGGCTGAATCGCGCAGGCATCCGACCCTCGCCTTCACTGGGACAAGGACGATCGAGGCGACATTTAACAGTGATTATTACAGCGGGCAGTTCGTTAAGGGCCTGTACCACGGAAAGGGAACGCACATTTCTGACTCAGCAGGCACCTACGTCGGGGACTTTGTCTTGGGCCAGCGCCACGGCCATGGACGGTTGGTGTACCCTTCTGGTGATATCTATGATGGTGATTGGGTGGACAACAAACAGCATGGGCAAGGGACATTCATCGAAAAGAGAACTGGCAACAAGTATGTTGGCGGTTACAGCAATGGTAAACGACACGGCAAGGGCGTCACATACTGGGAGGTCGCCGATGAGGAACTGGATCTATGCCAGATATGCTATGGCGAGCCGCAAGACACGTTGTTCTACGATTGCGGGCATTTGTGCGCCTGCATGGAATGCGCGCAGCAAGTGGAGATCTGCCCGATATGCCGCAAGGATGTCATGAACGTGGTCAAAGTCTACAGAATATAGGACACGGATACCAATGGATATGGGATGGTTTGGGGGGATTCGGCGTTGGATCTTTTGTTTAAGCGCTGGGACGATTGGGTTCTTTGGTTTATGTTCTGTTTCAGAATACCCATACACTTCGGGATCTTGGTTTTCTAATATATCTGCAGTTCAATTCAAGCAGTTGGTGATTTTATTTGATTTCTTTCCCTTGCCCGTTCTGAATCTGATCCGTCTGATGCCGTCCAGCCCTATCGAATGGTCTGTGAGGACCGGGCCCGCCACTAGCCGGAGATCCAATTTCCCAGGTGCAGAAGTTTTGTCATATGGTTAACTCTGCATGACATGAGGATTATTCAATCGTTATTGACCTCGCAGCATTCCAGTTCCAGCGACTGATGGCTGCATATGGAAAGAGGCTGCGAGGATCCTGGCGCGTGCGGGACCGGGGCAATGTTACTTTAGCTTTAATATCGGCATAGCACGCTGGAATGGGGAAAGGAGCGCGAAGCTAGAGACGCCAAGGCGATGCGAGGAATCATACAGTCAGGGCAACTAGCTTCGGCAGAGCAGCTCTGTACTATACAATCCCGTGCTGAAGCTGCAGGAGAATCAGAGCACCCCTGAGCGTTGAGCAGAGAACGGGTAAATAAAAGACTATGTCGCCAGGGATCTCATCATGACTGCTGCTCAGCTTTTCCAGAACCCTCCTGTTAATTAATACCTGGCTACCATGACTGTGCTTTCACGGATCTTGTCTGCGTCCATTCTGACGCTTCCTTGCCTTGTGCAGGCCTACACCCTCAAAACTGACTACATCGGGAACAACGCTGACGGCTTCTTCGACAAGTTCACCTTCTGGACCACTGATGACTTAACGGGTGGCTATGTCGATTATGTCGGCAAAGACACGGCCCAGTCCCAGGGACTGATCTCTGCCAACGACGGTACTGTCTACCTGGGCGTCGACAGCAGATGGAAAGCCACTGGTCGTGGCCGCATGTCTCTTCGTCTGACGTCCACTGAGACCTACAACCCTGGCACCCTGTTCGTAGCTGATGTAGCTCATATGGTACGCTACGCAAATATATATAACCTGGTCTTTTAGTGTTTCCTTTTTTTTTTTTTTTTTTTTTTTTTTTGCTCCACTTCTGACAGCAAGTGATATTCGCAGCCCGATACCTGCGGTACATGGCCCGCTTTCTGGACGACCTCTTCGTCTCACTGGCCTGACGAAGGAGAGATCGATATCATCGAAAATGCCAACAACGCAGCGCAGAACCAAATGTCTCTCCACGTCAGCGAAAACCAAGGCCAATGCAAGATCGCTCCCAACCCGCCCATGAAGGCCCAGAAGGACCGGTGGGATAACTGCTTGGAGGAGCAGACTGGGGGCTGTGATGCCAATGATAACAACGCCAAGGCCTTTGGAAGGGGCTTCAACGACAACAAGGGTGGTGTGTACGCTATGGAGTGGACAGGAGACCACGTCCATATCTGGTTCTGGGAGCGTCAGGATGTCCCTACCGATAACAATGGACCTCTAGGCCAGTCTCCCAACCCCTCGACGTGGGGCACGCCCATTACTGCCTTTGACAGCGAGAACGGCACCGGATGCGACATGACCAAGCATATCAAGAATCAGCGCATCGTTATCAATACCGACCTCTGCGGTCGCTGGGCTGAGGGTACTTGGGGAAATGGTTGCAAGCAGGTCACTGGCAAGAAGACGTGCAAGGAGTACGTCCGCGACGTGCCGCAGGACTTCAGCACTGCCTACTGGACTTTCAACTCGCTCAAGGTCTATACCTAGTAGGCAATTTCTGCAGACAGCACGTCCTAAGGTCGAGTTGGGCTGACCGTTTGAGGATAGACTGGCATTGGGTTAATATTGTATGATAGTCAAAGTGATTCAGTGTAAAGTTCTTTTGTCAAATAATCGAGTACATGTATGTGTCTACCTTTGGATGCGTTCTGCAGTGGGTGATTCCCAACAGCTACAGATGAGGATATGGGATTGGAGTAGATTGCTTCATCATACAGAAGATAGAAAATGAGATCGAATTCAGAGAAATATCTAATCGCAAGAAACAATACAAATACTCAATGCGCCACCCGTACCAGACATGCTTTTGTCGACAGTAAAAGACATCAACCAGGGCAATTAGAAGATGGTGATATACAGCCAGTCCATAAAAATATCAACACTAACCGGTCAAGCTCCCATGGGAATCACGGTTTATCGTTCATTTTTCGGCCCTCTTCGGCTTGTCGGACTTTTTCTTGTCCTTAGACTTTACCTTCACAGGCTTGCTGTCTGTGGAGTTCTTCGTCTTCTCTGATGAGGCGCTCTTAGTCTCTGTTTCTTTCTTCTCCGATTGTGATTCCGTCTTCTTGTCCTTGCTCTTCCCATCTGCTTCAGACTTCCCCTTCGGTTTATTCAGAACAGCCTTGGGGTTAAGACCCTTCCGACGAAGTCGGTTCCTCTCTGCCCTCGCAATCCGCTCTGCGTCCTCATCCTCATCAAATGGACCAAAAGCACCGCCAACATCCATAACAGTTCCATCTTCATCGGCAATAGGCGTCTTGTCCACCATGACATCATCCGCATCGGTGGAGGTTGCATCCTTGTCAGATTTATCTGCAGATCCGGTAGCGGCGGCTGCACCGTCGACAGAGCCCTTCTTCGGAACAGGGCTTGGACCAGTCTTCTTCAGTTTGCAGACGAAGAAACCATCCACGTTCTCGCGGTGTGGGAAGTAGCGTCTTGTCAGTTTCATCTTGGGATCGAACTGCTTGCCCATGTAACTGATGAAGCCTTCGCTGCCGAAATCGCCGAGTCCTGTGTCAACAATCTTGACGTTCGGTCGTTTACGTAGGACATATTGTACGACCGCCTCGTTCTCCTCCACCGTTACGCTACAGGTGGAGTAGACCAAGTAACCGCCCGTTTTGGAAGAGTGGTCGACAGAATCAATGGCTGCGAGGAGAAGCTGTCGCTGCATGTGCGGAATAGCGAGGAAGTCGCGTTCATTCTTGGACGTCTTCACGCTGGGGTCCTTAGAGATAACGCCTGTACCGGTGCACGGTGCATCAAGAAGAACTCGGTCAAAGCCACCCATAGCCTTGGGAAAGGCCGTGCGTGCATCTAGGTTGGTCACGATGGTATTCTTACAACCAAGACGATGGATGTTACCGATCAGACCCTTGGCACGAGGCTTGCTGGCATCGTTGGCAATGACGCAGCCTGTGTTGCGCAAGAGAGCTGAGATATATGTGGTCTTACCACCGGGGGCGGCGGCCATGTCCAAAATGCGCTCATTTGGCTGGGGTGCCAACGCCATGACGGGGAGGAAAGACGATGCAGCCTGCAGGATGTAGTGGCCCGCCAGATACTCCGGGGTCGCACCAAGAGGAACAGCGGACTCGAAAACCTGTAGACCGACCTTTGACCATTTTCCAACTGGTTCAAGTACAACGCCTCGGTTGATCAACGCTTGAGCCAAGGACCGACGGTTCGTACGCAAAGTGTTGGTACGGATGACAACGGGACGCGGCGTCTCGTTGGCTTCGAAGAACGCAAATGCTTCCATCGGGGTGAAGAGGTTGAACAGCTTCTCTGCCAGGAAAGGTGTGTAACCGTAGTACGTGGAGATGTCCTGGATTAGCAGGTTAACGTAGTCTGTACGAGATTTGCCCGGCTGGCCCAGTGACTTCAGATCGCCCAAAATTCGAATAGTGTCCGTAATTCGTGTCCGGAGCAATTGCATATCAGGCGCCAATCCGGCCTTCCCGGCTTCATCAGCGTCAGCAAAGACGTCCGGCCGGTCACCAGCAATATTCGTCTGCATAGCGGATTCCTTCAATTCCTGCTCTGCCTCTTCCTGTTCAGCCCGTTTCTGTGCATCCAACTTCTTCGACAATCCCTCGATATTCGCCGCTGTTAGCTTTTCCTCTGCATCGGAAAGATCTTCATCGTCAGAGAACATGGTCTGGCGGGGGTGGTCTTCTTCGTCCGAGTCCCAAACCGAGTCCTCCTCGTCGTCTTCGTCATCCTCGCTATCCATTGATACATCGCTAACGCCATCCAAGTCATCAAACTCGTCGTTTTCCATCATCTCATCTCCCTCAGATCCAGACATGTCTTCATCCTCCCAAGAGTCCTCATCATCAGACTCCACCAATTTAGCCTTCTTCTCAACCGGCTTGTTCTTGGTCTTCAATTCCTTAGCAACCGCTTTTTTCACATCTTTAGATCCACCGTTGACAGCGCCATTGACCTTCTTCTTAGGTGCTTCTTTCAAAACCGTCTCTTCATCTTCAGTCTCAGCTCTGCGCCGTTTCTTGCCCAAGTCGGTTTTGGTATCTGGCTCGGCCGACTTGCGCTTCTTGATCAAAGAAATCGTTGACTCATCCAGGGGAGCCGGAGGGCCCTGCTTCTTCATGCGACGGCCTTTACCCATGGTGAAGAAGAAAGTACGTGATTGTGAATATATTTGTATGAATTTATCTCCCGCTGAAGAAATGAAACTTTTTTTTCTTTTTTCTGGGTCTCGTAGGCGGTCGGTGATGGCAGAACAATTCAGGGCGGTGAGAGTGTTGCCTGACATATTAAGGCATTGAGGCATTGCTTTTGTATGTGATTTGGCTTCATCCATGCCCGATTAGGTAACCCAGCTATATCTCTCTCCGTCCTATTAGACTCGCTGAGCTTCTCTTTCTCTCCATCTACGTCTATATCTCCATCTAAACACCATACGACATGGCAGAATTAGCATTTACAAAATCCTTCCTCTCCCTACTTGATTCCCGCCCTGTCAAGCTGCGAGCAGACCATGTCTTTGACCCGCAGCAAGTGGGATTGCGAGTTCCGGTATGTTGACATCCATATATACACGAGCTCCCCTCAAAGTTTTATTCATTGTTGTATACGTTGTAAAGAAGATTTTGATTGAACCCCCAAAAATACTCTGTTCATACTGACCGAATTGCTGGATGAATACAGTACATTCTCCCCCGCCTACCACCAAGCCATCCCTCGATGCCTCGCAAGACAAGACAACATGTAGTCCCTGGTAGCTCGAAATCCATTACAATCCAGCTCCGATCCACACGGAACCCAACACTGGAACTCACAGTTGCGAATGCGCCGCTCTCTACGACAAATCTGGATGATTTGAAGGAAACCGTCAGAAGCCGTGTAGTAGATGGACAAGGCAACAAGATCGCAGTGGAAAAGATAAAATTGCTCTACAAGCGGAAGCCGATTACGGGGAAGAAATCTGTCGGGGATATCCTTGCCGATGAGCCTGATATGCTGATCGGTGGGAAGGAAGTGGAGTTTGGGATTATGATTATCGGGGCAGCTGGTGCCAGGGTCGTCGAGGCAGAAGAAGAGACTGAGGAGAAGCAGAAGGGTGCAGAGGAAGCTACGAAGGCAAAGGAGATTGAAGGTCTCTCGCTGTCCGCTGAGGAAGTCCTGAAGTCAGAGGCATTCTGGGAGGACCTAGAAGGTTTCTTGGCTCAGAGGATCAAGGATGAAGATGCAGCGAAGATGAGATCTTTGTTCGAGACCGCTTGGGTGAAGAGGTAGACGCGTCTCGGTGTGATCTTCTCGTTTTCAATCTTCTGCTGGAATATGATCGATCCTCCATTTTTTGATACCTAGTTCGCCATGAATAATACGGTTTGGATAACTTTTACAGACTTTATCTTCTCCTATTTTCCCAGCAATAAGTAGAAGGACAGTTTTGTACATCTATTATTACACCAACTGTAGGGCTTCTGAGCAAGGATACCAAGCTAACACAGTTCATCGTATCCTCTCTACCATATTTCTGTGTTTCTCCTGTTGCTTTTCATCGGGTTCCAGACTGAAAACAAGGAAACCAGTGCCGTTCATGAGAACACAAAAAGAAAGTGGAGGGCAAAGGGGGTTCTAGAAAGAAAAAAGGATGCTAAAGTTATACACGACACATGTCCGCTGAAAAAAAAAATAATTTTCAAAGGGGCGAACTGGCGGCAAGAAAGGTCAAGGGTATATGTAGCCACACAGAAAGACGCATGAATAGACGAAGATAAAAAATTTCGGTAAACACACTGCCCAGAAAGACAACACAGGGAATGCAGAGGTATGGAGGATAGCATTCCAGAACGAAACAGGCAGACGATAAGACAGCAAATGCCGACCACGAACTGAAGAGACAGAGTACATGAAAAGTAATGACAGCTTCTCCTGATCGTCAATATTCCCGGCTGGAAATTCGGATTAACGGAGAAGGCCACGACGAATAGAAAAACAATCATTTCGAAAATAGCATGGAGGCGTTCATTACGGCGGCCAGAGCAAATTGAGGGAGCATCCGTAGTAGGAGCGAGGAGAGGCCAGAAAAGGGGCAAAGGAATACTAGACACAGAAATAAAAAGAAACAAATGCTAGGCAGAGTGTCACCATTTCAAATGCTCGAGAACCAGCCAATCGCTCATTCATTCCATTTGACCAAAGAACAGCGCAGTGAAACGTTAGGGGGGAAAGAAACTATCGGCTCCTAGTATATTGCACATTAGAGGACACGACTTCGTCCTTATCATCTCGAGAAGACTTTGACGACGCCGTCGCCACCACCGCTGACGACCCAGCGACCATCGCAGCTCAAAACAGCGCTGCAGACGCCTTCGCCGCGCATTAACCTGTGACTGGTGATCTCCTGGGTGCAGCTGCGTTTTTCAAGGTCCCAGAATCGAAGACTGGCATCGTGGCCAGCAGAAACTAGCTCACGACCATCAGGTGAAAGGGAGAGGGATGCAATTGCAGCCGGATGCGCCAGCATTGTGTACGTGCATTGGCCTGAAGATGTGGAGACCCAAACATTAGTCAATGCGTTCCTCAAGTCGATGAAAATATCCAAAAAAACACATACCGCTGTTAGCATCGAAGAAACGGATAAACCGGTCTTCATAGCCACTGATTATTACACCTTCCACTCCACTAGAACCTGTTGCACCATGTACCTCTTCCTCCGCCAGACTCCGCTGGGCAGGCTCAAGATTAGCCGTTCCATCAAATCCAACAGTCGTTGCAACTACGCAATTGACTCCTGTCGATGGGGTGCCATCGTAGGTCTCCAGGCTCGCCATTCCGACAATTTCCTCTCCCGTCCTGGTGTCATAGACTATAATTGAAGCATCGGTATAGGACACCACAAAGTTGACGCCAGCGAGAGACAATGGGCTGATGCAGGTAGGTGATGGAGTTTCGGGTCGCACAATATGGTGAACTAAAGTGTAATGGAAAGGTGTGGTGGTGGCCACGCTAGGTTGTGGTGACGATGGGAAATTCGACCCAGAGGAGATGGAGTTCGCACGCCTACCCGTCCGTCGGGAGCCAGCTTGCGGAGATGAGAGTTGAGGAGGAGCACTGACAGCCCAAATCAATACCTTTCCATCCGCAGCTCCAGATGCTAGCAGAAACCGGTCGGCGCCGCCGTAACGACTACAGGAGTCTCCAAAGACAGATCCCGAAGTTCCTGGAAGCACACAGAGTCCCCAAACCGCATCAGTATGACCATCCAGCGTCGCTTTTGGATCAACTCTTCCGCGCTCCCAGACCTTCACACTTGCATCTTGTCCGCCGGAAAAGACCCATCCATCTCCCAAGGCACGACCGCCGTTCGAGAAACTCTGTGAGGGTGAGCAGGCTGCCAGTGCTGTTACCGCCCCGACATGCCCACGGTGTGTGAAGTAACTCGTGATGTCCAAGTCATTGCTCGGATGTGACCCATGAGACCCAAAGGTGCCATACGTTGCCGGAATTATCCATCGCTTGATCGTCCCATCATCACTACAGGTACAGATCTCCGGCTCCGAAGGGCTCCCGCCACCGGTAAAGATAACAGCGCGGACAACGTCCAGGTGGCCTCTTAGAGCAAATCGAACTTTGAAAATGGAATCCTGCTTTTGTCCGACGACCGCACTACTCTTGGAATCGACGGAGTCTTCGCCCTTGCGCTTAGAGCCTGAACCTTTCCGTCGGTGAGAGTGGGCGCCGCCCTTCATTGGTGATTTTGATCGTACGAAGTTCGCGTTGGGGAAAGCATCTGTATCTGGCCGACGACGCGGGATGGGGTCAGGCATCGGTGTCTGGCCAGACGGTTCATCAAAGTTCCAGCCATCAATATCCTCTGAGCGGTCCTCTGACTTATGTTGCGACTGCTGCTTTACATTCTCTTTGGCCGCTCCCCGTTCGCGGTATGCATCATATGCTTGCTTTGCAGATTCCACACGGTCGTTGGGCACAGCGTGCTCAAGCGACGACCTATTTTCTGGGGGAGCGGCAGGGGCTTGCTGGTAGTCCGAAGACTTCCTGTCGGGGATTCCCCTTGGAGCGGCGGGATGGCTGATTTGGTTAGGAAGGCGAGACAAACCAGCATTCTCAGCATAGTGAGCTGCAACGGATTGGTGGTTCTGCAGCCCTACATCTCGTGCCATGATATTGTTCCCTTGCTGTTGTTTCTGTCCTTGATGGAGGTAGGCTTCTTCCAGGTTGTGCTGGGCCACTTGTTGGTTTTCACTTAGATGGTTCGAAAGGTCCTGATCATTGATGTCGGGAATGGGATGCGATACGGGGATGACATGGTAGGCAATCTCCTGTGAACATTTCGCCAGATATACGCGCGACTTCTCTCGTTCCGTCTCGTGTCGAATGTCATTCTGAAGGGGGGGTTCGGAGTCAACGTCGGTTTCGAGATGGTCTGAATTTGGTTTGTGATGTTGAGCTAGAAGTAAAGAAAGTAGGGATTAGCCTTCGAGTCAGTCAACAAGCGTGGATCGAAACTACGCAGGGAAAGAGGGATGAAAAAGGATCAAAGTAATAATACCCTTCAAAGCATTCAAGCTCTCCCGAGCGATCTCCTTGGAATCCCGCACATCCTCAATTTTTTCGCCATTGCTGAGCTTCTTCACCCTTTCACGCTCCTTCTTCAATGCAGCCTCCAGAAGTCTCACATGCTTCCCGACTGACTCATGTAGACGCTTGCTTGTCCGGACGTCCCCCTCCAATCTTCCAATGCGGGACTTCATCTCTGCACGCTCGATCTCCCACGCGTTGCGATCTCTCTCGTGCCGATGCCATTCGGTCTGCAAAAAGCGCATGACACCTGGCCAAACAATCCGACAAGGACCCGTCAGCATGCAAACAAGTTTATGCAACTGAATTCAGCTCCGGGTGTGCAAAATGGTAAAGACAAAGACGTACCTTGCAGTGTATACTCCGTCCCCAGGGGATGTCCGCCATTGGCAGCCCCATCGCCGGCATACCCTCCACCCCCAGCCATGGCAGAGGGAGGCTGCCAAGCCATACGGAATCAGTACGCCAGCTGCGTCTTGAGAATGTAAAAAAATTAGTAGGGAAACTAATCGAAAAAGCAACGGTGCACTAGAGTGCCACCGCAGATCCGGGATCTGTGGAAAAGGCGAGCAATGCTTCAAGCCGGGGGGATATCTGGTAGCTGGTGACTGGCCCAAAGTAGGTCGCGCGCACTAGGCGGTGTTGATGTAAGCGAGAGAAGGGCGGACGACGACGGGCAAGGGGCAATGCGCAGAAGGGGGTGTTTCAAACCCGCGCGGACCTCGCAGAAGGAAAGAGAATGAGGTATAACAGATGGAACACGCGTCTGAGACAAAAAGACAGGATTCGAGACAATGAGCTGGCGAGGGCGTTGGATGGACAGGAAGTCTACAAGTATCAATGCTGTAGATTGTCCTGGAGAAGCAAAAGTCAGTGTTTCCGTCGGCTCTCACAAGCGCCGCACCCGCCATAAGCGCTGATTGGGCCGCATGTCGACAATGGCATTGTTTCTTTCTGCGTTCGAGGGTTCGAGGAACATGTTACAAGAGCAGATAACTGCTGAGGCATCTGCGATTTCTCTACTGCTGCAGGTGTTGACATCCTGTTCTTGTTCTGCAGCACGGCGGCGTTGAGTACGAAGGGGCATACTGATACTATGGGACCAGAGATCACAGGCAGAATTCACTTCCTTCAATGTGTATGATAGCAGCTAACCATGATATCGTTAATATATCTAGTGCAGAAATACCTTACAGAGTCCTGCCGAAGACCCGTCACTTATTCTGTTGGGTGTTGTCTTGGATGGTCCGTGAGCTGGCCTGGAGCAACAAGTCCGTATTCCAAAAGACTGAATAACGGCAAACCGCAAGGCGTAACCAACCAGAGGATGTGCAGGCGACCAATTGCAATGATGCCATGCCCGGGAACGCTCGAGGCAACCATCGCTACGGCGTAGGCAGTCGCCGAGGTCATCATGATACTAACATTGACGGACTACGAGGTTCACACTGAAGCGCAGTTAAAACGGCATTCGAGTAGCCGACTCCTCTACAAATATTTTCTACGTGACGACCTTCGTCGCCCTGTAAAGCCAGCCGGTTGTTCACCCGTTTCTTCATCCCCCCTTTCCTGTCCATATAAAACTTCGCACACGCCTCCTATAGGTACGTCCATCACTGCGTCGGTTCCTTCGCCCCAGATCTCCCGCCAATTCACCTTGCGGTTCTGCGGGCCCATTATCTGATAGGATGTGGCACTCGATTTCATCATTGTGGAGCCTCCTGGTCGCCGACGGCCTTTCCCATCGATGACTGCAACATTTGCAACCTCATCCACGATATTCTCGATACTGTCCATCGGCAGTGTTAGGTATCCGGTGTTGTACGATGCAAGAGCGACATAAATGTAGACTAGGAACATCACGAGCCATGCAGGTATGGCCAGGGACCACCAGCGGTTAGGATAGTAGTATATCCCCAATTGATGGAGGAAGGGCGACGGAAGATATGACCACAGAAGGTAGATCACTGTGTACCAGCAAGACAGGGTCAGAATGGCATATCCATCATTCCAGCCTTTCTTTTGCACTTACAGAAAGCCAATGAAGAAGCAAGATATAGGACAAAGCCGTAGTACTCGTACGTGGGCACTTTGGGACTAGCTCGGGGGACGGTCGTCGCCTGACGAGCTGACTTGGCCACGGCCGCTTCGGTGTCGTTTGTCGTCTCAACATCTGAACTATCTGGAGTCGTCGGACGGGAGGTGGTAGTAGAGAAAGGAGGACGGAGAAGCGATGTGAATGAAGGGGACGGCGGCAGTGGGGTCGGGGGACGGTTGTAGAAGGGGGGAGCAAAGGCATTCAATCCCTGGAGAGAACCGGTCGAGTGTCGGAAAGGGTAGTGCAACGTGGAGACACCATCCTCGGGGGCCTGGTCATCGGAATCTGAGGATGCTTCTGAGAGGGACTGCTTGTTCGGGGAATGTTGCGACTGGAAGTCTGCGTCGTCCTCCGCGTCTACATCATCATATACTGATGACGCTGTGCTCGGCTCTCCCTCCTCCACGTATCTATGTTCCTGAGGATCTTGCGGCATCTGAGCAGTGTCTGAGGGAAATTGCGCGAGTCACTGCTTTTTTCCATGCTTGGGACCGAGATATCAGGCATAAGCGGCACAACAGGGACAAGATGTTTCCCTTCTGCGATTAATTATCACAATTGTCTTGTTGAATGCCGGCGATGCACACTATACTGTCGTCTCTCACCGCCTTGTGGTGATCATCCCGCAATGTCTGAGAAAGCGTTCTAATTTCGCAGATTCCAATGCGAAGAAATATCAGTGCTATATACATTTGATGGGTTTCCCTTTGGCGCCCAACTGTTCGTGATACGAATTATTCTCTGGACTGAGGACTGGATCTACAGGGGAGACTGGACCAGGTCTACATTCTTGCAAAGGCATAATGCAAGCATGGCAGTCTCCGGGAAGCCGGGTTCGACCGACAGAACCTCTAATGACAGGGAACAATTATCGCTCCCGGTTTTAAGATGATCTATTACTTCTTTGATACCAATACAATCCTCTGTCATACTCTTGCTGGCAGCTCGGGGCCGCCTAAGTCGTTTTGGCCGTTTCTTGTGGCCTGCCATATGGGTACATAAAAAGATCCATCAATACACTGCCAGAATCCTCCTATCCAGACTCAATCTCGAAGCAGCCAGCACGACCCCTCCCCCGATGAGGGTTGCCCCGGTAAACATGGAAAGCGACAGATAGCCGTAGTGTTGGACTATTTGACCGCTGATGGGCGTTCCAACCAAAGCGCTATTGCGAATGTATCAGCAAGACGAAGACAAAAAATGGAGGTCGATTTATCGAAAGGCAACTCACAAGCAGGCCAATCCCCCCATGAGACCTCCCACTGCGGTCCCTTGGCTTCCCTGTTTTGCAATCTTCCCAGCACATGCTCCTTGAAGACTCATGATTGCCTATACCAGTTCTAGATCAGCGACCAATTTTGTTGCAAACTACAAGAAACGAAGCGTACCCCCGAGGTGAATCCATAAGCCAAACTCCAGACTATTAAGCCGGCCAGGTTCGAGGTGGCAACCCAGCAGAAACCGATAACGCCCGCTATGAATGTTGCCAATGCGCAAAGGTTGAAGTGTCCGTAACTGTCCGCCCAGTATCCCGGAAGTACTCTACCGAAGAACGAAGCGGCGTTGATTATAGAAATAAGATAAAAGGACATGTTGGTGGATATCCCTATATGGGCTGCATAGGCAGAGACATAGAAGAAAGGGGTAAACAGGCCCAGGTATGCGATGCCTAGTCCGAGACAGAGTAGGATATAGGTCCAATTCTTGAAGATGGAGAAGTCTGACGTTTTCTTCGGCCTCTCGCTGGCCGCTGTTGCAGTATTGCTTTCCGGGTTGGAAGGGGGTTTAGGCGGATCGGTTATTGTCAGACATGCAACGGCCAGTAAGGGCATCATGGTGAACGCAACGGCCCTCATCGTCCAGCTGAAACTGACAGCGTCATGGTAGAGCAACTGCTGAATCATGATGGGCCAGATGACTCCTCCGATAGATGAGCCACCGATGGTAAATCCAAGTGCAAGACCTCGTCGATGAGGCAGACGACGGGACACGACGGCGAGCGGAGGGCAGAAGATTAATGACATGCTGATACCCAGGAGCAAGGACTGTGCGAGAAATACTTGGTAGTATTTTTTACAGAGAGATGTCATGAAGAGAGCGAATAGCTGACCAATACTTCCAGTGCATAGCAGTGCCTGCAGTATTCCATGAGAATAAAGTACTGATACACTCGCGGTAGTGGTAGTAATTGCATCCTTACCGTAGGACCGAATTTATCGGCGAGGACACCGCTCAACCCTGCACCGCAGTAGAGGATGAATATCGAAAACGAGCCAATCCATGATATGTCTGAGTCGGACTTGTGAAGGTAACTTGTGTAGAACCCTTGGAAGACTCCGAAGGCGTTGAGGAAGCCGACAGTGCAGAAGAGCGCAAGGGAGGCCCCGAAGACCGCCAACCACGATCCAACGCTGGATTTGGGTAGATCAGGAGCTGGAATGACGTGCGCAGGGGATGCCTCCTTGTCCATTATGAAGTATGGGGGCTCTGGATGTTCTGATATTCTGAAGATAAATCCTCCAGGGAACAGAGCTGTTTATACTTCGCGGGTTTAGGGCACGCCCGGACCCTCCGCGGATCATCCGTGGTCGATTTCCTTGTCCGCGGATCATCCGCGGTCTCTGGTTTCCTCGACTCTCAGCTGTCTTCCACTTCGGAACACCATCATGAAACGGAAAGTATCTAGCGAGGCCATCGACACGCAGCGTGGACACCGTCAGCCACAGGTTTCATGCAACTCTTGTCGGAAGAAGAAGCTCAAATGCGACCGTCAACAGCCATGCTCCAACTGCGAAGTCCGCGGATTATCATGCAGCGGGTCGCAGAGCGTGAAGCTGCATCACAGGTCAGCTCCCCTACTGCTTGCTTATTACTCGGTGTGCTAATTAATTCAAAGAGTCGAGAAATCAGCGGACAGTATGATCCTGGAGAGACTGAGAAACCTCGAAGAGGCAGTCTTTGGCAATAATTACCGAAGGAGTCGCATTACAATGAATGCAACGCCGGAGAGCGAGTACTACCAGGCGGCCAAGTTCCTTGACTCAACATACACAATGGATAATTTCGGCGTGAGGGGAAGTCTCCATTGTGTCTGAGGAAGCCCATATAGCTCACTGTTCTCAGGTTTCGGGTTCTGAAGACGAATTACGTTTTCAAGTCGCCAACACGGCTACTCAACTTACCAGCACCACGCACAGTGGGGGCTCGGGACAAACGACATGGCTGATGACCAGGGGAGAAGCCCTGTCCTTACTTCAGGACTTTGTCGACCGCTCTTACCATCTTCTTCTAATCATCCATGAATCTTCTACTCGCTCTCTGGTCGACCAGTTCTACACACGGCTGTCCAATGGTCAGCGCGTCAACCCGAGCCATGCATCCCTGATTCTCAGCATCTCTGCTATCAGTGCCTATTTCTGGGACGAAAGCACCACGAGTCATCACGGTTTTGCCTCTGCCGCTGAAGCAATACAGGCATCCCTTGTTTGGCGCACATCGGCCTTGGACATCCTGGACGGGCCACGGCGAGGGTCTTACCCCTGTCTTGAAGAGATTCAAGCCCGTGCTATTCTGGCATATCTGGTCTACAGTTGGGAGGGCTGCTCTGCCCGCTTTAGATTCCTGCATAGCGGTTCGCTGGTTCTTGCTCGGGAAATGTCCCTTCATTTGACAGACAGTCCGAGATCTGAACAAAACGACAGTCCAATAACCAAAGAGATCAAGAGACGATTGTGGTGGCATCTTGCTTCCACCGACTGGTTAGTCACATGTGCCCCATCTGGTTTACAAACAAGTCACTGAACTCGATTCAGGATGCTTGGTTTCATGGGGGGCCCTTTCGATGGCACATATACAGTGCAGCCACGCCATATGAATGTCAAATATCCACGGAACCTCAACGATAACGACTTGAACATGTGTGACAGCACGTTCACCTATCCCATTAATATCCCAACACAAATGTCGTGTTTCATTCAGCGAATCCGTCTCTCGGAAATATGCCGAGCAATTATCGACTCCAGAACGCCAGGCCTCCCTGATATGGAGGTTATAGAGTACAGTCAAGTCCTCGCGTTAGACCGTCTTTTTGAAGACACCATCTCTGAATTGCCTCCTTTCCTGCAACTTGATGGTCCCATCCCTCCTGAAGCACCCCGTCATCTTGCCCTACAACGGTCGATCATCCAACTGGGATTACATTCCCGACGTGCACGTCTTCACCGTCCCTTTCTTTTGGAGGAGACACATGACCCGCGGTACCAGACATCCCGTGTGATATGTCTACGGTCTGCACGCATTGCACTTTCCATCTCCACGAGGATATTAGAGAGCTCGTTGGGTCTCCACCCGGCTTCTCCAGGGGCACCGCCATCGCATCGTGTCGGCGTAGTCATCGGTTCCATGTTCGTGGCTTGTACCGTGTTGGCATTGAGTGCAGGGCAAAGCTCTAATGGTGGTCGCACGGCTCCTACAATAGAGGAGACAGGATTAGATATCGATGTACATGCTGAGCTGGCAAATGCTTGTCGCATCCTCGCTGCGATTGGGGAGAAATCGACTCTAGCAGCTGGACTTGTCCGCAGTCTGACCGGCATCCTACGGCAGTATCGAGTCAAGGGCGTGGATTCTGTCCAGACTCTACATGGAAGTCGTGATGCGGATACTGATGCAGGTCCGGTACACAAGGAAAATCCTGAGATGAGCGAAGGCCAGAAACCGTCTGAGGCTGTGAGCAGCGACGATGCTGAACCCGGACTCGATCAGCTATGGGATGAATTTATGAATACCATGCCGATGATTGAGAGCTGGGACCAGCTCCTAGCTGATCTGGACTCTTACTTTCTGGCGTGATTGTGTTACTGCAATTGGTTGACTCAGTCTAGGGTTTTTGTTAATTTATTCAAGTAGACCTGGCAGTTGGTGAACTCTGCACATGTCTGGCCTAAATAGAGCTCAACATCTTCAACAAGACAAATCCATAATTAATCATTGGCATTTTTGTTATCTATTGGTTCTATTTGCCCACGTCCTGAAGTCAAAAGCACAATGTCGTGTGCTGTAAAGCTCTACAACTTTGATCGCACATGCATGTTCCCTATGCCACGACTCTTAAATTACAGTGAATACTCAGCTGCCCCATCTAAGATGATGCAGTGCCAGCAGTGAATATCCAGAGTTTATACTTCATATTCACTCTAGCTAGTACTGCCACTGTAGCCTATAAAGAAGAAACCGGCTATCCTCCGTCTTCCATGTTCTCTGACCACCATCACCACCACTTTTAACAGTCTCTCAAAGGTCTGTCTTCTTTCCAGACTCATCCTGCAAGGTCAATATTTGAACTCATCACAGGTCCCCGCGCGAGGCTCCAATTGCTCTAAGCTCCTATACGTTTATCTGCCTAGAGAAAAGTCATTTTGTAAAATATTAGCTATGAGGAGCATGACATTAAACACAGGTAAGACTCCCGGCAAATCCCCTACATTTTAGAGGAGACTGTCTCTAAATATAGATATAGTTGTCACTGTGTTAACACGAGTAACGTACTGGAGACTACTAAGCGTCATGAAGTCTTTTCATTTGGATACGGTCCTCTATTCTCAATGGACAATTCAGCCGTCACAACAGCTATGTTACCGGCCAGAGGCGAGGAATGATCTGGGATGGGTGGATCTCACCACTTTCCATCTCCGGGTGCCTCTGTTGACTTGAGTACATACTACAGGTCATCAATGATCTCTTTGGAATGGCTGGGGAAGACATGTGATGTTCCTGACAGTGCATTGTAAAAGATGCGAACATGAAGGCAGGGATAACACGTAGTAAGAGGAGGCATGTGGCTCTTCTCGGCATATCCCGCCGGTATACCCATCACATTTCGTATCATCGCCTTGCAATGTGGCCGGGTACACCAAGAAGACCACTGTAAGCGCCATGCTCTTCCTCGGATGTTGCGCTGGTAATATTGCTAGTCTGTTCCTCTTCTTATGCCGACGAAGTTCTCAAGTATCAGGTAAGCTTACCTTTCCAACGACCATCTGTGCAAAAAAAGGCTCTAACCGACCCCTACGGTAACCTTCGGGGTCGCGCGTATTGCGCGACCCTGACAACCACCCGAGCACCGATTTTAGAACTTCGTAGAATTCCAACCCATCAACTTTATCATATAATTCAACCACCACCACCATGCCCAAATTCAATAAAAATTATGAAGATCGAATGCTCAAAGCTATTGACGCGTTAAGCACACAAAATCCCCCAAATATCGCCAAAACTGCACGTGAATATGGAGTTAAACGGCAAACCCTCTCCGCAAGGTGGAAGGGACGGTCCAATCTATGTGAACGACCACCAACCAACACCAGATTATCAGAAGAGCAAGAAAAGGCTCTGTGTCACTATGTTGATACTCTAGAGCAATTAAATATAAAGCCACTTGCACAAATGATCCAATCAAGTGCCAATTCTATTCTGAGATCAACCCATACCAGCCTAGACACCCCTCCACCTACTGTCAGCGAGAAATGGTTAAACTGATGGCTAGGAAGGCATCCTGAATATAAAAGACGTCGCTCTAGAGCTATAGAGCTTGACCACAAGCGTGCAGAGGATCATGAGGTTATTCAGGAGTGGTTTCAGAAGCTCCATCAGACCATCCAGAACCATGGGATATTAAAGGAGGATATCTACAATTTTGATGAGACTGGCTTCAATATCAGTGTTGGTTGTGATCAATGGATTATTACCAGGGACTTCAATATTAATAAGCCTCATATTGGGATGAATTCAAACTGTGAATATGTTACTGTGGTTGAAGCAGTCAATGCAGATGGCTGGACCTGCCCACCACTTATTCTCATGAGTGGTAGCTGTATACTTACAAATTGGTTTGAAGCTGCTGATATTCAACAAGACTATTCAATTGGAGTATCAGAAAATGGCTATATGACTGATACAATTGCCTTCCAATGGATTCAGTCATTCTATCGGCATACTAAAAGATATAGGAAGGGTCAATATACCCTTCTTATATGTGATGGATACGGCTCCCATCTAACACATGAATTTGTTGAATTCTGTGAGAAGACCAATATCATCACCTTCTTCTTACCTCCATATACAAGTCATTTCTTGCAGCCATTGGATGTTGGTGTTTTTCATGCATATAAGCACTGGCATTCAGAAGCAGTTGCAGATGCAACCTACTCAGAATACAGTAAATTTACTAAGGTTGAATTCCTTCATGCCTTAGGGGCAATTCGCAAGAAGACATTCAAAAAGCGTACTATTCGGCATGGATTCCAAAAGACTGGCATCATACCATTCAATCCATCAATTGTACTCAATCAAATGCCTCAACCACATCATCCATCCTCTTCATCCACCAATACCAATGATGTTGATTCCTGGGGCAGTACGCCAAAAAAAAGCTGAATGATTTAGGGAGATTGGTGATAGGATATGGGAGATTCATGATATCAACAAGGATCAATTTAATGAGGGCCTAGAGCTGCTTATTCATGGTGGTAGTATGCTAGCATCATATTCAGCTGCTATCGAAGCTGAGCTTGACCGGTATATTAAAGCTGCTAGGGACCGCGCAGCTTGATCACAGGCCTCTAGGCGCAGGATTCGCAAGGGAGGCATAGTATCAAGCTCAGAGCTTGAAGCTATAAATCGAAATACTGCGAATATTAATGAGCAGGCTGAAATAAAGAGGTGGAGGACTAAGTATAAGCGTTGCCTACCAGAGCTGCTGGATGTATGCATTCGACGAGGAATTATTATACGAAGGCAACGACATGCTAGGGCCCAAGCTGAAGAGTAGAGCTTTAGTTTAAATATATTTTGAAGTTAAATACTATAGAATTCGTTGAGATATTGAAGCTAGAAGGGGGGGGTCTAAAATTGGTGCTCGGGTGGCTGGGGTGCTCGGGTGGTTGTCAGGGTCGCGCAATACGCGCGACCCCGAAGGTTACCGTAGGGGTCGGTTAACCCGTTTACCCGCAGAGTGCCTGGATATGAATCCTAATTTCACTGTCGCCACGGTCTCTATCCTCGCACTGCGCTTGCTGCTGGGCTTTTGGGATTGGTATCATGATCGTAAGCAGAACGTCAAGATTGGCCCCGAAGTCCGTAAAGAAGACGAGGCTGAAGCTGAGGAGGTCGTCTTTCTTACCAGACAAGGACGAAACGGATTGAGAGAACCCGGGCTTCAGGTATCATCTGTAAACAATTGCTCTGCTTCATTCTAATTAGTATATTTCCATGTTGGTTAGAATAAAGACTGCTAAATTCCGTGCTGTACATATTACATACAACCGAAGGGCTGGGTTGGCTGTGCCCTATTAGTCGGTCCCACGCTTAGGATGACTTGCTTACAGCTTCGTCTTTGGAATCAGTAAGTCGTGGAAGAAGTGTCTGCATTGTTGAGACGGAGCAGTCCAACTTTAGATTTTGATAATACCCTGGCAAATGATATTAATGAAAAGAGCAAGGCATTAGTATTTAGAGAATCTAGAGCAACAGCGATTCCCCAGTGGTGTCTATACACTAGAATACAGGGCAACAGAACTAATGGCGTATCATCATTCAATCATCATACGTATAGAAATTAAAAAAGAAAATCCCAATCCCAAATACGCCAGAGTACCCAACACAGTCCAACTGAACCCTGAACCCTACATAACCACGCAGTCCTTGGTTTTATCTCTATAGCGGTCAGGAACAGTCGCTGGGTGTGGCCTCCGGACAGGCTGCGGCCGGACAGGTGGTCGGATGCCAGCAGCCTGTTCATACGGAGGTGGCGGTTCATCATCTTCCCCTTTATGAGGAGTTAATCCCCCACGCGGTGGGTTCAATCCCGGCGTTGAGAACCGGTTTTGTGCTCTTCTGGACGCATCGGTCTGTTGCGGGCGATAAGGAGTCGAAGCACTTCGATCACGGGCCCGTTGATTATTCTGGTTGCTCTGGTTTCTCTTGTTGTTCTGGTTACTCTGGTTGCTCTGGTTATTTCGCGAAGCTTCGCGCTGTTCTTCTTCCTGGAAATGCAGAGAAAGAGCGTACGCATAATCCGCATCGGCCTGTTCTTGGGGAGATAAAGCCCTCGGCACGGGCTGCTCAGTCACACCAGCATTACCGGTTGCAGCTTTGCCAGAATAACGAGAAGCACTGTCACCGGAAGCCTCAGAAGGGGCATGGCCGACTGGCCGGAAATCGCCCGAAAACATTTCCGCCTTGGAACCATTCACATCCACAAGACTCTCCCAGACGATTTCAGCGTGGCTGGCGTACCCCGCATCAGTGACAAGGGTGAAGAGGGTATGAGAGTCCGGGTGCTTGTAGAGAGTGGAAAAATGATCATTGCGGAAGAGAATGGCGACGGACCCAGGTTGAAGGCTCTTGGTCAGATGCTCAAGACCGAACGTGCTCAACTGAGTTGCATTCTCGACCTCAACAAATTGTTGGATCGTGTAGATGTCCCTTATCTGTCCTTCCTCCTCGAGCGTAAGCGCGCCCCCTTGCATAACACGCTGTTCAAGCTCGTCCCTTCGAAACTGCAGCAACTGGATATCCTCGTGATACTGCGCTACCCGTTTCAATGCAGCATGTGCCTCGGATGAAGGCGGGGCAAGCCAGCCATGTAGCAGAGGTACACCAAAAGTGCCGTACAGTCTGATGTCGCTTGTTTGAAGGAAAGTTCCGGCCAAATCACTCGGCTCCTGTTATACAACATGAGCATGCGGCAAAACAAAAGGAAAATAGATTCATACCAGTGTAAGGAGAGGGTTGACATTCATTCCCGTATGTAACATCGTCAGAAATCGACTGAGTGCCTCGATGTCAGGAATTTCACCGTCGAGTCCAACGCCGGTCATCAGTTCATCAAACAGCGCTTCGATTAGCAGTCCCAGGGAAATCTGCTCTCTACTCTGCAATGCCTTTACAATGGGCAGTTGTGAGTCCTTTCCAGCACTGATCACAAGAGAATTGACCAAGGCGAGTAAGGGGCACGGTCCGTTCTTGTTTTGGACCAGAACAGGAGATTGACGCAGGTTTCCAGAGGCATCCGTCCAGTTCACATGCCTAATTGAATATGTTTCCGCTCTTTGTTCCTTTTGCCGCTTTGCCTCTGCCTCTGAGAGGGGAGCATTTCTCACCACAGGAGGCGGATGCTCTGAGGATTCGGAATTCTCCAGCTCAGGTAATAGCGGCCGGGATTCGGTTGAGGGAACATGGGTTGGTTGTATCGGCACAGATGGCTCATTTGTGTCAGATTCGTATATGGAAGAGGATGGTCTGTAGAAAGTCTGTCCCTCTGGCTTTAAGGGATCATCCAATGCTATGAGATCTTGGGAGGAACCAAGGGTCCCATTGAACATGGGGACTGTCCCAGTTTCCGGACTTAGCCCAGAATGACTAACCTGATGCTGTAACTGTTGTTGTGGATTGCTATACCCCTTATAGTCGGAACTAGACTGGAGTGGCCAAGACATTGCAGCTGACGACCGTCCCGCCCACGACTCCGAGGAGACACCATGTGCCGGACCTTGATCTATGTGGATTTGTAGAGGCAATTCGCCTACAGATGCATTTTGGGATGCCCCTTGTGAAGCAGGTGGCCCTCCTTGAAATGATGGCGATTGTGTGGTAGAAGCCGGATGCTCCTCTGGCCAAAGAGGGGTTGACGGCGGCTGATCGAGAAGGGACAGACGCGCTGTCATGGGTATATAACCCTCACCTAGCGATACGTCAGCCAAATGTTATTTCCAGGAGGTAAGAACATTGCGTACTCTGGCTCAACACGTCACTCTGTTCCGTCGCGCGTGAATCACGTAACCATGTTTCAGTTCCACCTGTACCACAGGGAGTTTGAGAGTTTCCCCATGGATTTTCTTCTGATCGTCTGTTCTTAAGAAAGGGGTTGTTAGATCGTAGTTGAATCGGAGACAGACTTGGCTGCTCCCATCCCAAAGTATCACTGGTGGAATGTGTCGAGTTTCGGCCAGCTGCCAAGACAGACGGGATTCGGGCTGGTGTCCTGTCCTCCGCCGTCACTTCATCCTGGCGCTCGCTATTGACAGGAGTATTCTGGTTTCTCGAATCGAAGGGGTCGCCAGCATCCTGATGGGGAGTTTCCCTCTCCCATTCATCCGTCCACGGGTTCCGAGTCTCATTGTACGGGCCGCCCGCCGGGGACCTCTGCGCTTGCTCCAACGGCATCAGGTCAAAGGCGGGAGATGTGTGGAGATCAGGTGAAAAGACGGACTCTTGTGAAGGTATTCGAGGACTTCGAGGGCTTCGGGGGCTTTGGCGTGAACGCGGAGGACTTCGGGCCTGCTTGCGAGTCAAACGTTTCGGAGACGAGAAACCGTTGCTCGCGGTAGGAGAAGCAGGAGAACTCGATTCACGACTATCATTCCCTTTTCCAGGATTATCAAGACGTGGTGGGACGGGTTTTCGCAAGACCATGAAGACGAGTTGGACAGAAGCAGCAAAGTGAGCTCAAATAAAGTCACCCAACGGCATCGAAGACAAGTGAATTAACTCTAGACAGGCAGAACCACGAGCGGTAAATATAGAAAGAAGGACAGGATTTTCCAAGCCTCGAAAGAGGACAGGTGCAAAACATTTAATGATAGTTAGCTCAGGCTGAATGCGCAGCTAGATAGACTATGGCTGTCTGGCAATAGTGGGTGATGAATCCTATGCTTCCTCGGTACTCCGTGCGTGGGGCGTTCTCTTCTGAAGGGATACGTGCAGCCACGAGATGACAGGAAGTGTGCCAAGATCCACCGCAGGCAGAGAGAAGACACAGCCAGGATGGGGAGCAGCTGTGAGTGCTTGCAGAGGCGCGATTCCAAGAGTACTTACGAGGATGATTACTATTACTAGGCTGCCAAGTTCCATCCATACATGCTGTGGATATAAGAGCGCGCTACTGCGTGTATGTATTAAATTGCCTCGTAATTACTCGGGATATCCTAGCCACTTTCATACATACACGCACTGGTCACAGCCCACCTATGACGTAATCGTGGCATTTCGGTATTTAGTTATTCCCTCCGTTCCATTTTTGGAATAGCGCCCGTTGCAAGTGCAGCATCGGGGACAGCCAAAAAAAGAAAAAAAAAATCGAAGTCGCGCCGGCTGGGATTGTCTGTCAATTTCCTCCTGCAGATGATTCAGGCATTTGCGCGGTGATTGTGGTTGGTATTCTCTGCGTGCACCCTGAGGGACATCCGTCATGCATTCCTACATCCGTCCCCACGAGTACGTTGCTATCCGTCTCCCGTCCGATGCGACGAGGATCGTGGAAGTAGTACCTAATACGTATGTTTTCTGATCCCTTTGCGCTTTGTCTGTCTGCCAACTTGCTGGTCTAAGCCAGTCATCAGTTGTATTTGCTAATTGGCTGACCTTAGAACTGTCTCGCTGGGAAAGTACGGCACCTTCCCTACCAACCAGATCATTGGCCGTCCGTTCTATCTAACCTTTGAAATTCAAGATCCCGTGGGTGGAAAGGGCAATATCGAATTGCGCGTTGTCTCTGCAGCCGAGCTTCATGCAGAAGCCCTGATCTCCGAAGGTTCTGGGGAGGCCGATGGAGAGGGCGAGGAGCTGGAAATGACCGCCAAGGGCGCGGCTCCTATGCGCACAAACCGCGATATCATCGATGAAGCGTCAACCCAGAAACTAACGCTTGAAGAGATTGAGGCGTTGAAGAAGGAATCTACGGGAGCAGGAAAGGAGATCATATCACGCCTACTCGAGTCGCATTCTGCTCTCGACCAGAAAACCGCATTCTCTCTAGCGAAGTACACCCTTCGGAAACGGAAGAAATACATGAAGCGCTTCACCGTCTTTCCCTTAGATGTCCATGTCCTCACTAATTACATGTTGGAAAAGGATGCGCCGAGGGTTATGGAGTTACGGAATGAAGTGGTCGGCATGGTTGGATGCTTCGCAAACGTACATCACGGCGGGAATGTTCCTCTCCAGGAAGCTCTAGCGTCGAAACCAAACGGCCGCTATCTTGTTGTCGATGAAACTGGGGGGTTGATCGTTGCTGCAATGGCTGAAAGAATGGGTATTCTCTATCCACACCATGATGATGACGAAGAGGATCGAAGCGACGCAGAGACAGAGCAGCAAGCACACTCCGGGCCATTGAATAGTGAAACAAATGAAAATATGGAGGTGGATAGCAATGAGCAAGATGACAACGACGCTCCCTCAAAGCCTCGCCACATTCGCCGCCCTGCCATGTCCGCATCTGGCAATACCATTACCCTTCTCCATGCACACGCACAACCAAATCTCTCGCTCCTCAGATATTTTGGCTATGATGCGGACAGCCCGGACGAATCGCACCCTCTTTACACGCATCTGAAAGCCGTATCCTGGCTGCAACTTCTAGACCCCAATGCTGATTCCATCTACGCAAACAAACCCGAGGTAATTCCCGACTCGACTCTATCCACCTGGAAACCCAGCAAACGCAGCATGTACTTCCGCAAGCAGAACAGATGGGCCCGTGTGCGCAGCGTTGTTGATGAAGCCCGCGCAGGCGGCTTCGACGGTCTCGTCGTGGCTACTCTCATGGAGCCAGCCTCGGTCATGAGACATGCAGTCCCGTTACTATCAGGCTCCGCTCCAGCCGTTGTCTACTCACCCTCTGTTGAGCCTCTGGTTGAATTAATAGATCTGTACTCTACGGCTCGAAAAACAGCATACATCAGCCGAAGGCAAGAGCTTCAGTCCCAGAAACAACTACAACAGCCAAGCACTCCGCAGCCGCAACCCGGCGAGCAGAAACAAGGACAAGAACAATCAGAAGATACCAACGATAACGGCAAAAGAGGTGCCTCAGATAGCCCCGGCCCCGACCTTGACCTTCCCGAACTAGATGCCGAGTTCCCAGTCAATCCCACTCTTCTTCTCGCACCCACCTTGCACACGTCCAGGGTACGTCCCTGGCAGGTCTTACCGGGCCGTACACATCCGCTCATGTCCGGTCGCGGTGGCGCAGAAGGATACGTTTTCCATGCAATCCGCGTCTTGCCTACACGGGAATATATCCAGGCTGCGGGGCACCCATGTCGGAAGAGGAGGAAGGTTAAATCTGAGGAACAAACAACTTAGACATGAGTATAAGTGCAGTTTGGCAAGACTGGTGTTGGAAACTAAGGCGCGGTATGACTTTTGACTTTTTCTTTCAGTTTATGTCTAGAGACTAGATATGTTCTTGGCCTTGTATGGATGAAGCCGAGAAGGCGTTCTGTTCAATCGATGTGAGAAACATGAGATCTTGCGTCCGGGTATAGAGGAATGAAAAGACAGGATAGCTTTCCCATATGAATAGATCCTTATGCGGGCTGATGCTCCATGTAAGATGTCCAATCCATCCGTTGTCATAAACATACTATTCAGGATTCGCGACAATGTGCAGGCAATAGGTACTATGGCAGAGGCAGCAACATGACATTCAACGAGTGAAGATAATTGTTTTTGATTTTCCTGAAATCGACATACAACTGAAAGGAAAAGATGAGATATCTAATTGCATCTAAAGGCTCTTTCCCATGAACTTCCTCTTTGCAAAGCTGAGCCACCACTACATTATAAAGCTGTAAGTATACATACCGAGAATCATAGCAATATCAATAAGCACGTGGGAACTATGCGACTTACCTTGGACGGCCCAACACCCCCAGCATATAACCTCGCGTGTAACCGAATGGCAATCTCCTGGCGGACTTGTGAAATGTACCTACGGAGCAATCAAAGTAAGTACCTATCCAAAATTTGTGGAGTGAAGAGAATGGCATACTGTCTGAGTGTCTCTGCATCCTGGCGATCACGCGGGGGTTCATACGCCTGGTTCAGGGGAAACGAAACGTCACCGGGGATTGCGAATTGTTCAAGTGAGACATTGATAAGAGCCTGGAGAGACAATGCAAAAGACATTAGCCCTCTGGTTCCATCGAAGGGAATCCAACACCGTAGAAGCATTGAACAAAGTACAAACAGCTTTCATATACCTTTTCCGCCTCACGAGCCGACATTGTCGGTCTGACCTTGCTCAAGCACTCGCTTACGAATAAGATGCCGTAAATCAGCATCCGGTCAGCGGGGCCATTGATCTCAAAGTTGCGGAACAAGACATTGGCACGGAATAGAGACAGAATCTCGTCTATGCAGTCGTACGACTCGCTGTCTGGGGGAACGTCGAGCTCGGAGACATTTGGGGGCAGCGGGGGGAGAGCGTATGCGGGGCCGCGAGTGCGGGTGCGGAGTGGGAGGACAGGGAAGTTCCCTGGGAGATGAAAGAAGAGACGGTATTAACTTCTGTTCTTGGGTCGTTCTGGCTTCATGCATTGTCCCGGTGAAGGCGACACGGAGAGAAAAGCGTCCGGGAGCATACCTATTACGGGGACATCCTGATCTTGGAGGAAGATGGAGTGATAGGCCTGGATTGTCTTGTTATCAGCCATGCAGTAGAATGGGTTTTGTCATCTTCACATACAGGCATTCCAGCGATGTACAGCAAGGGTATCCACTTGTTGGGAGCTTCCGTGAGAGAAATACTGTGTCTGGGAGCTGCCCGTGAGTTGCGGAGTGTCGCTGTTGGCTGTTCGACGATGCCTGGCGCAAACGGGAGGTCCGCATCATCGATAGCCTTGTTGCCTGAGGCAGAAGTAATGATTTTCCGCCCCGAGCCTCTTTACGCGCCCATGCTGGACGCGTCTTCATACAACACGGTCGTTCTTGGTTCGTCTTTCTTCTTCATTGCGCGTATCACGGCCTTGATTTTCTTGCACTGCTCCAGAATGTCAGACTACGAGGATGATATGGATGTAGACGCTCCGGCGTCCGTACAGTTCAGCTCACACAACACCGACGCAAAGGCTAAGAGGCCTGTTGCCGATCTCCCAGTTGAAGCTGAAGATAACTTACCATGGTCAGTAATTAATCGGTGTTCCTTGTTTGGAAGGATCCATTGCTGACCTGTGTAGGGTAGAAAAGTATCGCCCAAATACCCTCAGTGAGGTCTCCGGACACCAGGACGTCCTAGCTACCATCAACAAATTTGTCGAGTCAAATGTACGAACCGAGCGTCACTTTCCCTTTTCAATGGCACTCGTTACTGAGTTTCGTAAATAGAGGTTACCGCATCTCCTTCTGTATGGTCCTCCGGGAACAGGCAAGACATCCACCATTCTCGCGCTCGCCAGAAAAATATATGGTAGCAAGAATATGCGACAGATGGTGCTCGAGCTCAATGCCAGTGACGACAGAGGCATTGACGTTGTTAGAGAACAGATAAGAACATTTGCTAGTTCGTCTATCGAACTGATTCCGCAATGAAGCGATGGATGCTGAGCTCATTTCTGTCTAGGCACAAAACAGATATTTTCAATGGCGCCGCCGACTACTTCTTCCGGGTCATCCCTAGGGGCATTCAAATTAATCGTCCTTGATGAGGCTGATGCTATGACTGCTACTGCGCAGATGGCTCTCCGCCGAATCATGGAGAAGTACACGGCCAACACGCGATTCTGCATCATTGCGAACTACACGCACAAGCTGTCACCAGCCCTTCTATCGCGATGTACACGCTTTAGATTTAGTCCCTTAAAGGAGGCCGATATTAGGCAATTGGTCGACCAAGTGATCGAGAAGGAGCAAGTACGGATTCAGCCGGGCGCTGTAGACAGCCTAGTAAAGCTAAGCAAGGGCGACATGCGCCGAGCATTGAACGTTCTCCAAGCATGTCATGCAAGCAGTAAGTGCAACTCTAACCTCACTGGTTATGATAAGAATTCTAGGCGCTTATCTTTACCCCAGGCAAGCCTCTCCCGATGAAAGATGCGTCGAAGAACGAGCCACACCGGGAATCGGAAGTTATCACGAACGATACCATCTACAACTGCGTTGCCGCACCTCATCCTTCGGACATTCACGAGATCATGACAACCTTACTGTCTACTAGCGACGTCACGTCGTGCCTCAACACATTAAACACAATGAAGGCGAACAAGGGCCTTGCTCTAGCCGACATCCTGTCAGCATTGGGGGAGCAGTTGCAACGACTGGAGGTCCCTGTGCAGACGAGGATCACATGGCTGGAGGGTCTGGCCGAGATCGAATGGCGCCTATCAGGTGGTGGATCGGAAGCAATACAGACAGGCGGGCTTGTCGGAGTGGTGCGGAACGGATGCGAGCTCATGGGAGACAAGGCGATTCCCATGGATATATGATCCTCACCCGTGCAGCTCTGCTATTTGTCTTCTGTGTGCAGTGTGCAGTGTGCACTGCAGGGTTGGGGTTTCCGAGCGGCTGGTCCGGAGGTGGGGGAGTCCAACACATATCCATGGGGTAGCGTTATTGTGATATCTGATCGAGGCCCATAATTACTATTGTGCCATACGAGGGACATCTCGCTATCATTCGAGCCATTCAACCCAGGAAGCTGATCGGGCTATCGCCGTGCTCCGGCAAACGAATCAAGGCTTTTTTTTCGCCGATCTGATCCAAGCCGGCCATTCTTGTAGATATTATTTTCCTAGCGCGTTGACAGTAAGATGATTAAGCCCAATTGTGGTGCGTTTTACTCGCCCATGGCGTTTCTAGTGAGAAAATTCGTCGTTCTGACCGTCGTCTACAGAATTGACTTCGACCGGACACGCCCAGAACTTGGCATCGCTGGAAAACTGCAAAACCCCTCTGTTAATATTATTACGTACCTGCAAGCCGTGGCGTGCATCATGGTGATAAGGGTGCATTACAGGGTTGCGTCCGCAAAGAATGAAGCTTCAGCATACTTCTATTTAAGCAGCCATCCCTGACACCTGGTCCAGGATCTCCTGTCTACCGTCTGTCACGAAACTAATAAGCTGTAGCGATTTGACAATGTGGAGCCAGACTTTGCAGTCATCCATCGGCCTGCTGGCCCTTATGGCCGTGCATCTTGCACCGGCCTCCGCGGAGAAGGTCTTGGGCGTCTACATCTACTCGCGCCATGGAGATCGTTCCGCGAAAGTATCGGGCAATACTCATTTGACGGATCTGGGATACCGCGAGGTCTTCCTGTCGGGTACTTACTACCATGACCGGTACATCACGTCCAATTCCTCACTGCAGATCGCCGGCATCGACGATTCGGTGATCAACCCCAAGCAGGTGGCAGCCTCTGCTCCGGATGATGGTGTCCTGCAGAATTCCGCCACGGGCTTCATGCAAGGTGTCTATCCTCCTGTCGGCGCATCTGCTGCTCAGACTCTTCGCAACGGATCAACTGTTGAAGCTCCGTTGAACGGTTACCAGTTGGTTACTTTGGCCACCGTCTCGACGGGCACCAACAGTGAGAATACCAACTGGCTGCAGAGTGCAAATGACTGCCAGAAGTCTGAAATTAGCAGCAATGCATTCTACAGCTCGCCCCTGTACATTTCGTTATCGAACTCAACGAAGAGCTTCTACCAGTCCCTCGCGCCCATGCTGACCAGCGCGTTCACGGAATCCCAATTGAGTTTCAAGAATGCGTATACCATCTTCGATTATCTCAACGTCGCTTCCATCCACAATTCCAGCAGCGACTTCCCGTCGGCGGATCTTTTGACTCCCGAAGTCTACCAGCAGCTGCTCCTGCTGGCTAACGTCCATGAATTCAATCTCGCCTACAACCAGTCGGAGCAGGTTCGAGCCATTGCAGGCTCTGTTCTTGCTGGTCAGGTTCTTACGGCCTTGAACGAGACCATCACCTCTCAGGGCAAGTCAAAGTTTAACGTCCAGTTCGGCGCATACGCCACGTTCCTCTCATACTTCGGTCTAGCCCAGCTAGTTTCTGTGAACGACGACTTCACCGGCATCCCGGACTATGCCTCCACGATGACGTGGGAGCTTGTGACGAACTCGACTTCTGACGCATTCCCGGATCCATCGGAGATTAGCGTGCGCTTCCTGTTCCACAACGGTACCATTGCGGACTCATCCAGTACCCCCATCGCATATCCGCTGTTCGGACAGTCAAGCACACTCATGTCGTGGTCTAACTTCTCCCGGAATATGCTGAAGATCGCCGTCACGTCTCAGGATGAGTGGTGCAGCGTCTGCGGCAATACTCAGGGAGTTTGCGCTTCAGATAACGGCTCTTCTCCAACAGCGACGACGACATTTAAATCCTCGGGTCACGGAATGGCCTTGGGCGTTGCGGGTGTGATCGGTGCGATGGTGACTCTAGGAGTGATCCTCGGACTTGAGTTTTTGATTTTCCTTTTGGGGGGATTCAGAATCAGCAGGAAAAGGGCCGGTAGTTCGATTGCAAGCCTAACAGCCGTTGTTGAGAACAAAGCATGAGTGGTCCGGAAGGAGCGAGTTGATATCAGGCATGAGTGACGAATAATCTCCAATATCCGAGTCGTTATTTAATGAAAGAATGATGATTGTTTTCTATGAAATCTTGGCTTGACGGGCTAAGATATGCCGTAAATCCTGTGCGCTGGATGCAGCCATTGCTTTGTTTTGATGCCTTCGCTCACTGCTATATGGTTTTTGACCTAGACAGAGACAAGGCAACCCTACTAAATGACATGTAGTCGCCATGGAGGTAAGCATCTGCTGTTGCCAACACATCAGAGAGCCTATTATTTTTTACGATTCTAGTGGCTATATCCCGCAAAAGGTCATCAAGTTTCATTAGGCGTGTGGTTTTTGTCTCATAGAACGATCGATCAAGCGCGTCTTGGGTGTATGTTGGTCGCAAGGAAGGAATGGGGTCCCAGTATGGTTGATGGACGAGGAAGCAAATCACGGACTTGGAATCAGGGTGCGGAGCTACAGAATTATTAGTTAGGAAATAGTGATAGGAATATACCGCCCTATTGAATCCAAGTAGAAGATGAGCTTCACTATCTGGCCCTGAGGTCCTATACGTCAAGGCGAAGCAGATCATGACTATTGTATCTGTGATGACCATTGTGAAGCTAAAGATTATCCTGAGATCACTCTGGGTGATCGTAAGACCTATGGACGGTATGGCTCCCTTGACTCTCGTCTACAAAATCACCCTATACCCTGCGGTAGAGATGCCCTCAAAACTATTTCAAAGGGTGCTGCCCACATTGTCCCTCGACGGGCTGGTTCTGCCCTGGGTGCAGTGGTGTCAGTGGACGAAATCCAGAACTCTCCGGGAACTGTGCGATCGATCAGTCATGCCCTGTGAGCATACGATAAATACAGTCTTCGGAAACTCGACTGGTTCAAGGATCGGCTCCGGTCCTACAAACAGGGCAGTCGGGAGGGGTCTAGGTCTGACGAGGGACGAAAAGAGTTGCAAGACGCTTTCGCATTGCGTATGAAGCGTTATAGACTCATCAATTCCCGGAGGAAATGGGTCTCCGGCCGGAGAAAATGGAGGACTGCAAAGAGACCTTAAAAAAAAAAAAAAAAAAAGGTTACGTTAATTAGGGGCATTGTTTCCTGTATAACAGCTCTGGTTAGAGATTGCTTAGAATGCTTTATTTATTTAAGCTTTCGTGTTAATTGTCGAGGTAAGTTGTAATGCTGACGATCAACGACTGTCGGCATCGGACACGTAAACTCATAACCCCTCGGCAGGAGGTACAGTGAAATCCTGCAAATCCATCTCGATTGATCAAACATGGCTCATGCAATCAGCAAGACGGCTTGGCAAAACTGTATCCTGCGCTCTGAGAATGGCCCGTCTGTGATCATGCCGGTTCATCTACGGCACGGCATGGAAGAAAGATCGGAGGACTTGGTGTACCAGGCAGGCATTCAAGGACGGGTTCCGAGCTGTAGACACGACAGTCCAATCCAAGCACTACCGTGAGAACCTGGTGGGAGAGGGTGTCCGCAGAGCAATCCAAGACGGGATTGTTAAACGAGAGGGCCTCTATGAAAGCTGCATGCTTGTCATACATAGCTCAGGACCAGCTGTTGAAAAATACCACGATCAGATTCAACCCAAATTTTCCCCTATACATGCACAGGATCCGATGAGCGTGCCCTACGATCCCAGCCTCTCTTTGAAGGAGCAGGTCCATGCATCCATCAAGCGGTTCTACAATGAAACCAACCGTGGTGCGGAATCCACTCGACCCAGACACTGGATATGATACCCCGCTGCGCGCTTTCTGTCGCAAAAGCCAGCTCATCTACCAGGGTTTCTGGATGCTGACAGCCAATCGCACATCACTGCAATCGAGGCCAGTTTAGAAGCTTGCTGAGGGCGCGAACATCAGCCCCGCAACAGCCTTCTACTGCCTTATCATGGGTCTGGGAAATACGGCCGTATTGAATGGAATGATGGATGAGAGTCGCATGGCAGAGGACCTGGCAGCTCCGAAGGTAGTGGAGTTGGTTCAGGAACAACCCGCACTGTGGGATGCAGCAATTGATAGCTTCCGGAAGCTAGTTGGAGATGTATGATCGACGGTTGCAGGGAGGATGGGGCGTTCATCGAGCTAGAAATAACAATCTGCAGAGCATGAAGCAAGTCAATGGGACCACTGGGTCTGGATATTAGCGAAGCATCTAGAAACACGGGCTGTTTTCTGCAGCGCGTAGATACTTAAGATGTCAGCCGGTTTTTTCCAGAGGATTAATTGTTCTATATCCTCGTGCCAGGAAGCCAGTCACCATCCACGCACCAGCATAGAAGGTAAACGATCAGCGACTGCTGGCCATTGGCCTGTATCTCGTTGGTGCTGTGTATATCATCAATAGCGAGCGATTCTAATTACTCCTCCATACTGTGTGGTGGACTGGAAGCAGGATGGCCGTGTTACTAAGCAGGTGATGACTAAGAATCTCCACGTGATTATAGTCTGAGTCAGCAGCACGTGCCTGTCACTGACCTCATCGCGGCTTGGCAGGAAACTCTCACGACTCAGAGTCAGTTCGGTTTCTGCGTTGCAGCGTCGGCCCTGCGAGCACCTGGGTTCATTGCGCTCCATCAGAAGAGAAGAGGGCAATAATCGTGGACAAGACACCCATCCGAATCCCCTGCGGCCATTGTCTGCCATCGCGTCTCAGTGGTTTGCCCCTCACATACCATTGAAAGATCAGACAGGCTCCATCGATTTGCTCTGCTCTCGACTGACATAATTCACCTTGGCTCTCTAACGTAATCGGTAAGCGAACCGGCCACGTAAACGAACCGGCCACATCTCCCAAAAATAACTCTATATATTGATTTCAAATCCCAATTTCAAATCCACATACAAAATGTATACAAAAATCTAACTAGCATTACGATTAGGACATCTGTTAATTCGATGCCCAATAACTCCACAACCACTACACTGAAATTGGCGTCGTACAATTGTTTGAGAGGCTGGGAGCTCCGGCTCGGCCGGAGCAGTAGTAACAGCTTGAGATGCTTCAACCTGACCTTGTACGAGTGCTTGAGCTTCTTCTCTAGTAATCCCTTGCTCAGTAGATATCTGTTTCTTAGATCTTTGGCGTTTTTGCTTCTCTTTTTCATTCGCAGCTCGAAAATCATGGCTTTCTTTCCGTACGAGTAACAGATCATTCATTGTGATTTCATAGGCTTTTGACATCCGCGTAATTACTTGATCAATCACTTGATTTGGATTTCCTGTACATTCACTTATACGTCTCTTTAATGTAGTTGACTGGCGTAGGAATTGACGTATATTTTGAGGTGTCTGTAAACAGGATGATTGTGTATTGCTGGATTGACTTGGAGGGGGGGTTGGCGTTTTCAATTGAATATTAAGTTGTTGAATAACTCGATCCGGATTGAAAGGCACTAATCCAGTGGCTGTGAAGCTATTCCGGATAGTTTGAGCTTTATAGGCCATCGTACGAGCCTGTGGAAATGCTGTTAAAAAGTCAATTTTGTCAATATGGTTGAAGCCAAGCCTCATTCGCTGCTCAACAAGCTGCCCATAATGCCGTTTTAAAACAGCAAAACAGCCAACATCAAGAGGCTGTACGAGATGTGAAGAATGAGCTGGCATACAGACTGGAATAATACTATTCTCAGTACATGTACGGTCAAATTCTGGTGTTAAATGGCTTCCATGGCCATCAAGAATCAACATAGCATATGTTCCCAATGTATGAGCACGAACAAGAGGAATAAAATGGGTTTTAAGCCATTCTAATCCTATTTGATCTGTAGTCCAGCCATTTTCACTAATATTGATTCTCCAATCATCTGGGAGCTCATCAAACCAGCCTAATCGTACATTTTTTTTGGCTTTGAAGATAATGTACGAAGGCAGGGCCCATCCAGTTGAATTTGTTGCTTCAATTGCAGTCACCCATTCTCGATTTCCAGGTTGTAAAAGCTTTGGCTGAGCGTATCAATCGCTTCCAGTAATAACCTTTGCAGTTGCGCAGAGTCCCATAGCAAAGCCAGTCTCATCAAAATTGTAGATATCTTCTGGTAGGATTCCGTACGTAGATATAGTAGTTTGTACGCGGTCAAAATATTCTTGAATAATCTTCGGATCTTCACATTTCGCACGTTCATAATTGTATCTTCATGAGAACTTCGAACTGATCTCTGGGCGACGTTTAACAAGATTATATACCCATTTTTCTCCAACCCGTTGATCTCCAGATTGTGAGAGAAGATAATTGGCCATTTCTCGTACGAGAGAGTGCCGGGGGGTAATCCACGTCGATCTAAATCGAGCACCCATTTGACAAGCGATTCCTCCTCAAATTGAGCTAATTTATGGTTGTTGGCGCGTATTAGCTGTCGATATTGTCTTCCCTTTAATCGATCCTGAAGAGTTGTACGAGGGATTGTATAGATTCGTGCAGCTTCACGAATACTGCGAATTTTTCCATTTTTCAAGTCGGAAATAGCTAATTCAATCTTTCCCTCTATTTGGGCTATTTGTAATGGATCTTTTTTGCGAATTTGTGGCATTTTGACGCGTTGAAATATAGTAAATCAATATATAGAGTTATTCCTGGGAGATGTGGCCGGTTCGTTTACGTGGCCGGTTCGCTTACCGATTACGTTATCTTATTTATTATTAACCCGACTCGGATCCGAACTGCTCGGTTTGCAGCCACCCGCCTCTCCAAGTCTCGACCTCAGGGCAATTGGCCGCTGCAAGAAAGACTTCAATCTCCTACGACTATCCTTTTCCCCGCCGCCTCTGCCGTCATCACTCCTGCTGGGATTAAGCGCCCTCGAGCGCCTGTCGCGTCTCTCCTTCGCCATCTGAGTCGTGTCCGTCTCGTTCCACCGTCAGCCTTGAAATAGGCATTCCTACACGTCGTCCCCATTTCGCCTGCAAAAAAAAAACCGTTTCTTTTATCAATTTCCAATCTCGTCGCATCCATCCGCATATACGCCCTCCTTCCGTCAACACTCTCTCCCTCCCGTGCGCTGCCTCTCAGCGGGCACGCAAATCCATCTCTCTAATAGCTGCAGTTAGCAGCTCACTACCATCGGCCTATCTACATGCTATCGACCTACCCTGAGTTATGACTTCTCAGGGTGTTTCTCGCAAGCGACCTGCTCCTGGCACATCACCCATCGTTCACCCCGCAATACCTGCCATGTCGAATTTTCCGCCAAATCCCGGTTCCCAGCTTTCAAATGATCAATTCTTACAGTGGGGTCAGAATCCTCCTGCGGCCGTTGTCAACCCTGCGTCATTCCCTGATGCTGGTTCGTACAGTGCCCCTATCTTCCCTGCAACCCAGGATGTGCCCACTGCTCCTCCTACTACTACTACTACTACTGCCACCAACACTACTTCTACAACCAGTCAGCTTGCACGCAGGCAACCACCAAACCAACTTGTCTCCCGCGGTCGAGGATACGATCAGTCTCCAACCATATTCTCGGACTCGGGTACTTCTACATCTGAACCTGCTGGTGGATGGGGGGAGAGCTTGGACCATCTCTATCAACGAGCCTTGATCGCCAAGAAGGATGCCCAGGCGAAGAGGAAGCAGATTCCTCCATTCGTGCAGAAGTTGAGCAGGTAAATCACACTGTCCTTTTTAGAGGCGCTGTTGCCGCATGACTAACCAAGTCTAGTTTTCTGGATGAGTCTAAGAATACCGATCTGATACGGTGGTCTGATGATGGTAATTCGTTCATTGTCTTGGATGAAGATGAGTTTGCCAGGACTCTGATTCCCGAGCTTTTCAAGCACAACAATTATGCTTCCTTTGTTCGTCAACTGAATATGTATGGCTTCCACAAGAAGGTCGGCCTATCGGACAATTCCATGCGTGCTAGCGAACGGAAGAACAAGAGCCCTAGCGAATACGCAAACCCGTACTTCAAACGTGGTCACCCTGACCTGCTGTGGCTGATTCAAAAGCCCAAAAATACGGGGCAGGGAGCTAAGTCGGCAAAGGCTAATATGCGGGTGAAGGCAGAGGACGGTGACGATCATGAGGCCGATGACTATGGAGAAGATGCATCTCGGGATGATCGCGGTCGATCTCGCAGCCAACTCTCCCTCATCTCGAATGGTCTTTTACCGAAGGACCAACTTGCGGGGGTTTATCGGGAGCTGCAAGCCATCCGTCAACAGCAGCAGATAATATCTAACACTATCAACAAACTACGGAGAGAACATGAACAGCTGTGCGCACAGGCCGCTAATTTTCAGGAGCAACATACCCGGCACGAGAATTCCATCAACGCGATCCTCACATTTCTGGCGACAGTGTACAACCGCAGTCTCCAGGGACAGGATGGTTCACCGAACCTGGCCAACTCTCTTGCCGGTGCGATTTCACAAGACCAGGGTAACGTTGTGGATATGGGAGATGACTACTCGCTAAGCTCTCTGAACTCCGGTTTGAATAGTCCAAATGCTCAGAAGACGTTAAAGAAACAACCATTGTTGTTGAAAGCTCCACCGGTGCCCGTCCGCCAGGGTCGCACACCCGCCCTCTCGCCTTCTTCCAATGTCTCGCTCAATTCATCACGATCACACATTCGACAACCGAGTGCACCCGGTCATGTTGAGGAAGTCTTCGATAATAGCCCTCGTCAGAATAATACGCCCGATTCTATCCAAACCGACAGCTTTCCTCAGCGGGATATCATGTCCGTCATTCAGAACTCGAATGCACGGAGTGGCATGCCTTCGAGCTATACCGATTTTCCGAACGTCCTCTCCTCTCTCGAAAATTCTGGTGGCCAAATTCCACTCACCCCGAATCAGCGTGCTGATATGCTCCGACTTATGGCTAACGAAACGAATTCAGCTGACCCGAATGTATCGGCGACGTCGAACAATGCCCTCATCACTCCCACACCACCTCCGATGCCACACAATTATACGGGTCGACTTGCAAATACCCGTGCCGAGATCGACAACCTTGTCAAGATGCAGGCGGAGCAGGATCGCTCGGTCCAAAACTTGACCGATCTCTTACAGCCCCTCAGCCCAACAGGAACTATCCCCGGCCTTGGGAGGAACGGTGCGAACGTACCCCCTCCGCCTCTTGACCTCGACCAAATATTCAACAATGACTACTTCACTGATATTGACGATGTCGATTCCAAACACAACCTTGGTTTCGGCGACTCGACTACTTCCACTGGACCCGCTCCCGCGGCAGGTTTGGATAATGACTCGATAAAAGATGCAAACGACCTATTCGACTTCGATCACCTTCCAGCTGAAGGTGATCTATTTGGTGACACTTCGGCAACAACCAATACGCCACAGAATGCAGGCTACTTCGGTGGATTTGATGGCACAAGTGTCGCCGGCAAACCAATCAACTCGACAGCGCCGGATCCCAATTTCACCGACGGCAATAACAATATAGATTCTGGTCGTGTTATCGAAACACTTACTGATAGCGAGGGAACGAGTCCTTCAAATACGGTTGCCGAGAACTCGCCCCAGATAGGCGCGAAAGATTCTCAAGGGACTAATGGAAATGATAACAAGGGAAAACGTCGAAGATTGTCTTAACTTTCCCCTTCTATGTCTTCCTTCTCTTTCTTTTTCTCCCTTTCCTTCTCCATTTTCTTTCGTCTTTATTTCTCTCTTCCTCGCCTTCTTTTTCATTTCTTTCCCCTTCCGTCCAGCCATTTTGGCTAACAAAAATGCTGAGAGTGGCCATCGAGCTCCCAGTCTAGAAGCAACCGAAATGGCACTAACCTTGATATAAGAGGGAATGCAAAAAGGGAGGAGATGAGAAAGAAGAACGAAGAACAACAGAATAGAAAGAGGAAGCAATGGAGTGGACTACTGAGAAGCGCCGACTGAAAACAAAATTGGTGGATTTGGCGTTGATGGAACTTTTGAGAAGTCGTCTCTTCGAGTCTCGTGAGTCTTGACGACCTCGTTTCCCTGAAGGCGTCCTCTTTCCATCCGTTGGTCCCATCCACCCTGTGTACAGGGTATCGGCTTATCACGGCGGCATTTTGTCCCATTTCCGTTTCTCTTGCATGTGTCGCCTCATTTTCTCTTTAGATACGACAAGTATGACTTCTCTGAGTTTCTGGTAACGGTGTTTTTGTTCTACATGAAGCTAAGATTGCATTGTCTCACCTACGATATGCTTGTACGGGGTTATGTAATGACGTCTGATTATGATGAATTAGCCGGTCGGGAGATGGTTCTTGGTCAATGTCGGGTGTGCGGTGCCGTTGGTGTCAATGTGTCTTATTTGTTGTCCATCACGGCTGGGTAGACGAGAAGACGGCGAACGAAGGAGAAGACAGGAGTTAATAGCTGTCAAGGAGCTTTCCATTATTTCATCGTCGAAGCGCACGTTGCATACTGCATTGCTGCGTACATATCATATGTATGGACGTGTCTATATCTGACTTGATTTCATATTAATTCAGCCGAGGCTTTAGAGTGTGGATTGCCCAGTTATCCGTATCTCAGAACTACTGACGTGCAGAATTGAAGTAATGAAAGCCCTGGTACATCACGATGTTGATTATAGTTGATCACACCATATAGCTCTAGCAGATGATTCTTCCTAAGGAGTTCAAAGAGTACAGCCATCCGATTCATTACCTGACACTGGATGATTAGTTAACATATTCATCATTAACTAACATTACGAGCCTGAGCGCCACATTGCTAGATTAGCGCCATCCGTCTCATGCGTTCTTGAGGCCTAGTTGGTGCCCCGCGTGTTCACCAAGGACTCAGACCAACCCTCATCTTACCACGCACGAGAAACAACAAGAATCAGCAAACCAAAGCAATGACAAGCAGAATCCAAGATCCCATAGACCCGGCCATCGCCACCCAAGTGGACGCCTACCTAGACACCGAACTCACGTCAAAGGGCACAGCGACATCACTATACGACCGCGTCCTCCAGCGCATCCGCACCAACTCCCACGCAAAAGGACTAGCAGATATCTCCGTCTCGCCATCCCAAGGCAAATTCCTCGCCCTACAAGCGCGACTCGCGCGGGCCAAGAACATCCTCGAAGTCGGCACGCTGGGAGCATACTCCACGGTATGGTTCACGACAGCCTCCCCCGACACACGGGTGACGAGCATCGAGATCGATGAGAACACTCTGTCCGTAGCGAGGGAGAATATATCCTTCGCCGATGAGAGCGTCTCGAGCCGGATCAGTCTGAACCTCGGGAACGCGCTTGACGTGCTTCCGCGGTTGTTGGGGGAGATCGAGGCTGGGACGCGGCGGCGGTTTGATTTTGTCTTTATCGATGCTGATAAGCAGAGCAATTTGGCCTATTTCGAGTATGCCGTTAGAATGGTGGAGCGTGGGTCTGTGATCATTGTGGATAATGTGGTGAGACGTGGGAGGGTCGTGGATGAGGCTGCTTGTCGGGATGATGAGAGGATCGTCGGTGTGCGAAAGGTCATTGAGGCCATGAAGGGGAATGAGAGGGTTGAGGATGCGGTTGCTCTGCAGACTTTGGGCCAGAAGGGGTACGATGGGTTTTTGCTGGCTATTGTTAAATAGTTTACTTGCTTTACAAAGCATCCTCTGTGCATTCGGAGCGAGGACTTCATTCGAAATAGCATCTATCTAGTGAACCACGTAACTCATAATTCTCGAACCCACGAGATACTCTTCTTCAACGAAACCCCCTCTGTATGTCCATCCAACGTTCCACTCTCAGAGTCAACCTGGGACTCAGACCAAGTAGCCCTTTCACAGCTCTCCCCGAACGGGGAGTACCTCTGTCCACCCAACACGTTCTGCCTCCTGCCACTGCAACTAGGAAGGTTGGGGTATTTGGAGGTCTTCGTGAGCAGCTGTCGAGGGAACATCCTGGATAGTAAGGGCCAGCTCGGGGGGAGACAGGCGGCGATGATGATGGTTCCGCTTTCGAGGATGGTCCAGATGCCTAGGTCGACGGAGACCCCTGTAGCATGTTAATTACCTCACTTTTCTCGAGGAGTAATGAATGTTGAAACGGTTCATACACGTTGGGTCGGTCATGGCATTGTGTTGGAAGAAGGTTGTCATGCGCAGAATGCTGAAGACAATCCCTCTGTGGCTGTTAGACACATGGGGAGAGAGAGAGAGAGAGAGAGAGGGACATACAAAGATCCCAATAGAAACACCCCCGTCAGCGCAAGCTTCTGTCCAAGCCGAGTATGAAGCCCCCAGACAAAAGGCAACGGCATCAACAAGATCAGAACATCCGTCAAGATATTCGGCGGCGAGACATAACGATAAAAGGCCTCCTGGTCAAAACAGGACCCTCCCACAATCGTCTTGTCCCAGGTATACGCAATAGGCGAGCATTGAAAGATAGCCGAGAGAAGAACCCCGATGCCGTGGCCGAGCACGAGTGCACCGACGACATAGGCAAGGATCTTGAACTTGGTGAAGTCGAAGATGCGGATGAAGAACAGGAGGATTGACAGCTTGGCGGGCGCTACGGTAAAGGGGAAATCGAGGATTTGGTTTGCGTAGAGGCCCTGGACCGTTAGATTGGGATTATATTAATCTTGACGATGAAAGGTTCTCACCTTTTGGAGTATCACCAGCTTCTCGGGGCGTTGGGCGACGTATGCAACATGGCGGCCGATTGTTCCTAGTTCGACCACTGGGTCCAAAGGTCAATTATGTTCGAAGAAGAGGCAAAGCATGACATACAGAGAACATAGAGAACAGACTGTCCTATACTGGCCATCTGGTAAGAGTCAGTATCCTGTCAACGACAACAACAGATGGACTCACCAATGCAAGAATGATCAGGTAGTCATCCAATCCACACTTCACCCTCTGCATCAACCTCGTGTAGAACCGCGCCGCCACGACGATAGTCTGGACGACGGCGATGGCAATGGAGACGCCGATGAGCGAGTCACCACAGTAGCCATCGATGTCCTCCTGCAACGCCGCCGGGGGAGCCATATCGTAGCAGACGATGTGATAGACGAGGCATTTACTCCCGTGCCCCTTCGCGTGCCCCTTCGCGTACCCCCGGGGGACTGGTTAATATATATGCTATATGCCGGGAAGATAGTAAACTCCTTGGACATCCATAAATCCCCTCTTCTCTGCCCCACAGCTCCATTAGGACGCGGGAGAGGCGCCTCAGAAAAGCTTCTCCATCTGTCTCGACTCCGGACTCCGGACTCCGGACTCTAGACTCTCGACTCTCCACTCACGGACTTGTTGTAGGAAATCAAGGATGTGGTGAGCCGTGGTTCTTCTTGTATTCTTCCGTGCTGAAAGCCGAAAGATGGATGGACTGCTCTGGGACACTTGCGGATATGTGTCCCGCATTGGGTGCTCTAGCAGCATGCGGCGGTATCGCGGCAAGGGGTGCATATTCATAATGCATATTAATTAATCATAATCATATGCTTTATATGATAAATGCTCGAAGGGACGAACCCTGATTGAGGTCCCACGGTGGCTTTCATCCACCGAGCTGAGGTCTAGTGAAGCCAATCCAGGGTTCGCGGGATTCAGACCCTAACCTCCACTTTCTCGTGGATCCCGGTGGACACAGAGTAGACCCTGTAGACAAATGCGCTCAGTCCCACGGAGAAATACGTGGCTGCAACCCTTAGTGATATCAATCGAGTATGGATGGTTCGGACCATTCGTTTAGCGCTTATGCTCCGAGATTAAAATAAATTAGTGCAGATAGACAGAGCTCGGCCGTAGTGCTACGGCGTACAGCGCTGGGTAGAGCTGCTGCAGGGACGTGCAGGGATCATCTCTTCGGCATCCCTCTCCTCGTCTCTAACTCCAAAGCAATAAGGCAATATCAATACCAACATGAGCCCAAATCCATCGATTGCCGCACAAATCGCTTCTCTGGCCCGCTCCGTCCAGTCCACAGGCTTTGCCGATGAGGCCGCTCGGCAAGAAGCGCTGGGCTCTGCGCGGGGCTTGCTGCAGGCGCTGGAATCGCCGGTTGAAAGGATCTTGCAAGATGTCGTGGTGGTTCGTTGTCTTTCTTTGCATCCCTGCCATCTTTGATTCCGTATGCTAATATGGCAGAACTGCTCCGTCTTGATGGCTCTCCGCATGGGCGTCCAGCTGGGTATATTCACTCGGATCAGTCAGAGTGCGGAATCCGGTATTACTGCTGAAGAAATCACCAGGGCGTCCGGGGCGAGTCTTGTTCTTGTCGGTATGATCCGGGTTGCATCAGATATCTGACTGTCTCATGACGGTAGGCTTGCTCGATATCTGACATGATACTCCATCAGAACAAGTCATCCGACTGCTCGTGGCCTCTGGATATGTCAAGCAAGAAGATGCGCAGACATTCAAGCCGTCCGCTCTGACGACGGTCATGGCCGACCCTACAATGGAGGCAACCACACGGGCCTGGTAGTTTATCTTCCATATAGAGGATATAGAAGACATCCATCTAACAGATCTAGCTGCGACATGGGCAACCTATGCGCTCTCAAGGCCCCCGAGTTCTTCCGCAGGAACAACAACCAATTCCCCAGCTCAGCCAAAGACACCCCCTTCCAGCTCGCGATGAACACCAGCCTCGGTTACTTCGAATGGCTCGGCCAGAACCCAGACCTAGCCAAGGATTTCCAGCAGTGGATGACAATGAAGCAGAAAGCGACACCAAACTGGGTCGACTGGTTCGACATCCAGGGAGAAGTCATCGATGGCTTCAAGTCGGATTCTCCAGAGAACGGCGTCCTCCTCGTGGACGTCGGCGGCGGCGAGGGCCACTATCTACGAGAATTCAGGGGGAAGTTCCCCCATGCTCCTGGTCGGTTGATTCTGCAGGACCTCCCGCATGTCGTTTCAAGTATCGAGAGTCCACCACGGGGTATCGAGGTGACCGTGCATGACTTCTTCACTCCGCAGCCTGTGAGAGGTAACTGGACTGCAGCCGCAACCAGTCCCCTGGTTTAAAAGACACTAGCTTATTGTGCTTTCGTCCAGGTGCACGGGCATATTTCATGCACTGGGTCCTCCACGACTGGTCCAACGAGAAATGCCAGTCCATCTTGCTTAACATTGTGGATGCAATGGAGCCTGGATACTCCCGTCTGATCATCCACGAGCACATCCTGCCCGACGTGAACTGTGATCTGCCCTCTGCGTGTATGAGCGTCATGATGATGGTGCAGGTTGCTTCTTTTGAGCGCTCCGAAAACCAGTGGCGTGGGTTGCTTGAGTCGGTAGGGTTGAGGCAGATTCGGTTCTATCAGCCTCCTGCCACGGGTGAGGGGATTATTGAGGCTGTTAAATGATAGACGAATAGAATGTAGATCCATGTATTCTCCGGGATTCTCTTCTCCTGTCGAGACATACGTAGAGCCATTGGCCGCGGCGTTGATCAAGGATGTAATGTAGAGTCTGGTGGTGATTGCCCTGTTAGGGCTCTGGAATATTGGTTTGCGTTGTCCGCAGAGCATGTTGTATTCTTGATATTCAATGGATTGATTCCTCATTCTGTAAAGAACATGGAATTATGTCAGACGCAAAAAAATAAAAAATAAAAAAAGAGTATGAGGCATTTATTTCTTATATTAATTACCCTTGCGCAAAGCTTACCAGCAGCCTGTTCCCAAGCCAGGCCGTAGCAGTGCCAGATGTCCGCATGAGAAAATGCATCATTACGCTGTACAGCATCCTCCGATTACCTCCTTCTTCGATCCCACTCCGTCTCCCCGACCTTCTGGCTCTTCCTCTCCCGTTCCCGATCCCTCTCGAGTCCCCTTCCCTTCCCTTTCCCCCGTCCAGACCTGGAGAGAAGCTCCTTCTCCCTCTCCCTGGGATCAATCACGACCAACGAGTCTAGATCATCCGGATGCTCGTGTTTCCACTTCAGATCTTTGCCTAGAGTATCCTTCCCAAAACGGAGCTGGTGCGTAAGCCAACCTTGATCGTCATCGCCATGTTCATCGTCCAGCGCACCGCCCGCCTCTGCGTCGGGTTTGTGGGCATCCCATGATTTGCAGGATTGGCAGTTCGCGATGAAATGTAGGTCACAGATCTGTGCTTCTTCATCCTCTGCTTCTTCCTCCACGTCCCGCAGCCTGTGGGGGGATTTCTCGGCTTGAGGGCTAAGTTGTTTCTTCTTCTCCTTCTTTTCTTCTCGATCTGCTCCTCCTTCTCTGCTGGATGTGTGGTTCGTCTTTACATGGGAGTCGGCACTTTCGAGTTTAGCTTTGAAGGCATTAAAGAGACGCAATGATTCGCTTTCACTCGCGCTGCTGAACCCTGTAGTCCCATTCGTGTTGCTGCCTCGGGGTCCACCGTTTGCGGTCGGGCGCTTGCGGCCCCGGATGGCGGTTTCGGGAATCAGGGCTTCCAGGGCGGATTTCTTGTGGCCTATGTCACTTGCTGGGGCGGCGGTGTTGCGACGCATTGAGTTCTTCAGGGCGTCGATCTGAGCGTTCGTTCGGGAGAGGATGGACTGCCTTGCCGGTGGGGAGCCAGGGGGGGACCGCGAAGGAACCTCTGGGTCAACTAATGGGAGTTGTTCCAAGGGGTTTGGAGATCTAGGTCGATGTCTTGTTTCCTTGTGGGGATCTCGAGACATGGGCGGGGACGGAGAACGGGGTCGTTTTCGAGATTCTGGTTCCTTGGTCTTCGTAGCCTCTGTCGGCGGCGGCATTGTCTCTTCTTTTTTCTTCTGCTTTTTATCACCACTCGGTTCTTCCGCCTCTGCTAGGTGCTGGACGTTAAATTTCGGCTTGGCGGGGAGAATAGGCACATCCTCATCGCCCTCTTCAGCCCCAAAACTTAATAGCGCCTTGCCTGCTTTGGTTTTCTTCTTCTTCTTCGGGGCTGGTTTCTCTTCCTCTTTCGTTGTAGGCACCCGGGGAGCCGTAAGCTGTCTCTTCAACAATTTCCCTGCAAGCGGTCCCTGCTCTCCAATTTCACAGGAAGTGATTTTAACCGGGTAGACGGGCCGCTCACTCCCCTCGACACGCTCCGCATCTGCAATCTTCAGCACATTGTAAATGCTATCCCCTTCAATCCGTCCGAAAAGCGTACACTTCCCATTGAGCTCCCGCTCTGTATTCGCGAGGGTGATGAAGAACTGGCTACCGTAGCTCCCGTCCTCGCTTTTTGCCATACCCACCAGTCCCCGCCGGTTGAAACGCAGCCTACTGTGCAGTTCATCTTTCAGTATAACCTTCTCGTCTGGTTCTCGGCTCTCTGGGTCGTATTCGAATTCGGGGTATTCATAGATGGAGGTTCCGCCGGACCCTGTGCCGGTGGGGTCGCCGCCCTGGATGATGAAGTCGGGGACAACACGGTGGAAGATAGTGCCAACATAGTATCCGTCCAAACAGTGCTGGAGGAAATTCTTGCATGTCAGTGGTGTTTGCTTCGCGAATAGAGAGATGTGGAGGGGACCGAATGTAGTGTTCAAGGTGGCGGAGGCGGTTGGCGCGGGCTCGGTAGAATAATGGGCTGACATGTTGTCTTGGGGGTGGCTAGAACAGGATACAGTGGTATGTGATAGGTAGGCGACTCTCGAGATGTGTCTTTTCTATCGGACATGTGAATTCGTCGGTGGTGGTTGCGGAGTTGACGGTGGACTGAGGTGTCGAAGCCAGGAACGCGATGAACCGGGAGTAAGATCACTGGTCAACGTCTTGATAAATCTCCACAGTGATTCTCATTCTAGCTTCAGACTCATTTCTGATTGCTGGGAGTCTTTGTCGCCGTGGACCGTCAATTTGGCACAGTTGATTGAACCTGTCGAGATGGTTGCTCTGGTGAAAAGTTGAAGATGCCGGGGAAAGCTTTCAAGGCGGTCACGTCACGGACCCAACTTCATCGCCATCGACTGGTCTGAAGCATCAAATGCATCGAAACGAGATTCCTTCATCTATTCTCGGTTGATGTCTGATTCTGGTGTGCTACGGGTGCTTTTTGACTGGCTGTGAGTTGTTCTACGCAATGTTGTGACAATGCATGGTCAAGCTATGTTGTGATATATATTTCTTGTATACAGAGCTCCTTGGGATATACAGCGTCAGCTTCAGCAAATGCCAATAACACACTACTATCGCCGGGCAATTCTTTCAAATGGCAAATCGATCACCGATGAATATCCCCAATGATCCCATGAACCAATTCATTTCATCCAACATTGACCTGTTTGTTATAACATCACTGTTTTCACCAGAAAGCCACATTACCCTGGAGCCTGTACTGTACTGCTGCACAGCACCCACTACCCAGCCATCGACTAATTTGAGACATGACCCGTATCCCGCACCGCGCCGAATGAAACTCACAAAGTTTACAGAGCAGAAATCATGCATGCAAAAGAGACATTATGTACTCCGTATCCGAAAGTAGACGCCACAGTAGCAGAGCCATGCGTTTAGATGCACAGAGTAGTACGGAGTATAGCGCTGTATGGAGTAAGGGGAGGCTGGACGAAATTTACCACCAAGACACTAACTATACCATGCCTAGTTAGATTCGGTTAAATAGTGAAAAAAAAAAAAGACATGTCAGATTGATAGCAATGAATATGGAGCAAATATGAAAAGGTAAAATAATAACTAACTGGAAGGAGCTGAATCGAATAAAAATTCAAAAAAGGAAAGCCGAACGCGGGGGTCGAACCCGCAACCTTGAGATTAAGAGTCTCACGCTCTACCGATTGAGCTAGCCCGGCTCTTGTTGAAATACAGACGCCAGTACTATAATACATAAACCTTTTCAATAAACAAATCGCAATGGCGCTAGCTGCCACGTGGATGATATTTACACTGACTCCAGGTAGTAACCACTACATACAGCGCACGACACTAGAATGACATTGTACGCACGATGACCCCAGCTGTAAGGATGTTGTGCCTTATGAACCTCTTGGCCAAATATCATGCCCTAGCACGAGAATGAATACTATGAATGAATCCCACGATTCTGTACGGACCACGTTGGGAGTCATGCGTACCACAATACCCAAGTAGTCACCATTGGCGACTATCGGTCATAAGATTGATTTCCAGGGGAAACTAGGGAACCTTACGGAGTCAGGCTAAGGTACTGACAAGTTATCCCCCGTGGCTGCTTGCGTGGCATCCGTATCATAATTGAGGATGCCTGAAGCTAACTAACCACGGCGGATTTTGTTAAATGTTCCCCGTAGGTACGGGGTACCCGGTAGTATCTAAATAGGCTACACCCACTCCGTAAAGCGGGAAGGAATCGATTCCTTCATATCTCCTAGGAATGAACGTCGACAATTACTATTGAAAACTGAAACAAATAGACTGCGTTCCGAGACATGTAGGGCGTTCGAAAATACGTAATTCCATTTTTAGGTGGATAAATTATTATTATTTGTTCTTATTTCACTTTCCCCTAATAGTTATTATGGAAGGCGGAAAGGGGGGAGGCATTTGGAATATTTGGATGTGTGAGAAAAATAATGGGATGCCTACGGAGTATACACTGTGTCCTGTAGCAGGCAGAAAGCATAGGAATACTCCGTAAGAACTCTAGGAGCATGAATACCAACATATAGATGGATTCGTAACTAACGCCCCTGAGGTCGAGACCTCAGTGCAGATCAAAATTAGACACCGTCCCGGAGCTGCCATAGGCTGCATTGCAAGGGAGAAGATGCATAAAGCATGAGGCATATAGCCACATAAGCCCTTGAAACAATGACAGCAGGCGAAAATGAGGCACGGTAATATTAAACAGCAATCTGGAAATGTGAAGAGATCCGCATGGCTTCTAGAGAGCGTCTAGCAGATTCTATCATAGCTGGCAGGGTCCCCTCAGACCCAAATTTGATCTATGGCACAACGGGCCGGCGGTTGCCACTGCCACAAATTTGGGTCGGATGGACGGATAATCTGACAGTGCCAATAATGTTTCGCCCATCCGAGAAAGGGGTGAGGTTCGAGGATCACCGGGGACTATTTGATATTGTCAGCGGAAACGAGTCTGTGAACTATTTACGGAAAGATAGGCACGGGGCGGCCGGGACGATGGCTAGGGTTTGTCCCTGAGGTTGAGATTGAAGCCATGGACGGAGCAGTATTGTATTTTTGATGATAACGACCTTTTTCAGCTTTCGAATGGATCGTTCGAGTGTCTGATTAGACGCTTCATCTCTTTTCGACGCCGCGTCCAAATTTGGGAGCACTCTGTCTCTGTCGCCACCTCTGGAGCATAATCCAAAGAGCGCCTTGGGACATGCTAGAGAGCCGGAACGAGGAACCGTTGGCCAGCGAGGAACTACAGGGAGCCGTTGGACCCGAGAGTTCAAGTAGGCGGACTAGTGAGACGACCATCGGGTTCTGGAAAAGAGAGAAAGGGGATCCACGAGCGAGACTTAGCGTCCTGCGATGTTTTTAATCTTGAGGATGCTAAATGATCACGATCGCCAAGTGGGGACAGCGAAATGATTTGAATTCAGGCGCTGTAGGCGCAGCAAGGGGCTCGTGGGTGAGCGCACGAGAACAGGGAATAGGGAAGGCAACAAGAGGAATTATCCAGCAAATGAGTGAGGCAGGATATGCGGCAGTGTATTCTATTTTATACGCGATTTTGCAATGTGATGCGAATGTTGAGGGGCAAAGGTTGTGGGGTGTATGCAATGTATGTATGCATGCGCTGGAAGGGCAAAAAAAGAAAACGAAAACCAAAAAAATGCAAAACAGGTCGAGGAAGACTAGTAATAAGTTTAATTAGAGCGCGCTATTCTGCGAGTTGCATGCCGATTGATTCCTGGGGATTAATACTAACTGGTTGATGGATAGATTGCTGGAGTCGCTGGGAGAGGCGAAATGGCCACAGTGGCATAGCTAATGCATGCATTGCCATGGCCTAGCCTACTGTGCAGAAGCAGAGGCAAACCTGCAGAAATGCATCAATTATGTATCATCGTGATAATAATAGGAGGAAGAAGAAGCAGCAGCAGCAGCCGCAAGTGACTCCGACGGCCGTAAATACCGTAATACGCCGTTACCGTAAGAAGAGAATCCTCCTGGCTCCATCCCTGCTCGCTCGCTCTCTCTCCCCTTTCATCTCCATCTCGTCCGTTCTTTCATCCCATCCTCATTTATTCCGCTTCCCCATCCAGGCCGTCCTCTTGGATGCGTTCCATTGCTGCTCCTTGAGTGCGTCGACTCCTGCGCGGAGGTGCGGAACAGCCTTACTGCTTGTATTACCTGGCGGTCACCGAACTCGTCCCGTTTGGCCAGCCAGTCACCTGCCATCGCGCTCCCCTCCCTAATTAAATTACCCTTCGTCTCTTCGCTTCTCTTCTGCTCCCGTCACGGCTTTTCCTGCGTTTCGGTCGAGTCCGTCGAAGCTGGTTATATCCGGCCCTCGTCAATTTCCTTCTGATTCTTCTCTTTGATCTTTTATTCTCCGTCCCTTGTTCCCATCACTGGGTCACCAGTCCCGAGATCCCCCTGCTTGTCGGAAACGGAGAGTGAAGGGGAGAAAAAAATTCCAAAAAAGAGAGAAATAAAAAGCAAAGAAAAAAAAAAAAAAGAAAGGAAAAAAAAAGAAAAGCAATTAATGCGAGCACACGTCTAATTTTGATGACCCAAACCATCACGACAACGAATTTCATACTGTTATTGAGCTGTCTGGTTAAATCTTTGTGTGTGTGTGTGGTACGACTCTTTTCCCCATCCTCCTCGATCTTGGACGCATCAAACCGATTTCGCGGATAATAAAGCCTCATATTTTCGCTGTCCTCAATTGGCTGATCACTTTCAGCCCTTGCGTCCTCTCCGTCGTTTGCATTTTCTCGCCCTTTCAAATACTCGATTGGTTGCTCCTATGTTTGAGTAGACTGCAGGTGGTTTGCTTTTCGCTGTCCTGGATTACTGCGTGGTTGGTGCAATTTTTCGGTGCTCTCGTCCCACGGAATCCTCGCTCGTTCGCCATGAGTTTTCAACAATCGCAAGACATGTATCATGACAATCCCTCGGCGCGCTCCCCCGGGTCTCAGCGTCACCAGCAGACGCTGCACCGCCAACCTTCCCGCCAATTCGATGCCTACGGGGCTATGCCCATGAACTTTTATGAGGACCCCATGGCTCGTTACGATTCCAACCGCTTGGACCGTCTGGCTCCCTCTTTGCAAAATTCCTACGCGTACGACATGTCTGGCTCGCAGACGTGGAATCCCAACGGATTCGCCGGTAACCAGGCCCTGGGAGCCATTAGGTCCGCATCGGCCAGTTTGAAGACCGCTACCAATCGCGGTAGGGCTGGTCTGCCAACGGTACGTTGTCCACCTGCCCCTGTTCACGGAGAAGTTGCCCCTTTAGTACAATAGTCGGATGGCATCTGGTAGTCGGGTAAAACTAACATACTATTCCAAAAAGACATGGCTAGATCAACAGCCAGGGGTCCCAGGCCCTTTTACAAATCTCGGACCTGGCCCACTTCAAGGCGGTGCTCTCCGGCCCGAAGCCTCGGCTTCGCAGGAGACCGAGGATGAACTGATCCCAACTGCCATCGTCATCAAGAACATCCCGTTCGCCGTCAAAAAGGAACAGTTGGTACAGTTGATGACGGAGCTGAACCTTCCCCTACCCTACGCCTTCAACTACCACTTTGACAATGGCGTCTTCCGTGGCCTGGCCTTTGCCAACTTCACATCTGCAGAGGAGACGGCTACTGTTATTGAGGTGCTCAACCACTTTGAGCTACAGGGCCGCAAGTTGCGAGTGGAGTATAAAAAGATGCTGCCGCTACAAGAGCGCGAGCGCATTGAACGGGAGAAGCGGGAGCGTCGCGGACAGTTGGAGGAGCAGCATCGACCGATGGCTACTTCGCAGCTCCATTCCCAGAACTCCATGTCGTCTCTCACCTCCCATATACCTGCTACGTCACCTTCCCCCGTCTCCCAACGCAGCCAGAAACTAGGTGAGTAAAATCCAATACTGTCTCCGCTCCCACCCTTCCTCGGCTAACAGGGTTGCTTTTTCAACTACAGAGGTTGATCTGAATGACAGCACAACGCTTTCATATTACTCTCAACTGCTTCTCTTCAAGGAGGATCCGAGTCGAGATACCCTCGTCTTCACCCCGACTCTTTCCCCTCTCCATCGCCGCACGGTGCATACTCTCGCGCACAACATGGGATTGGGCCACGCCTCTCGGGGAACAGGTGACCAGAGGCAGGTGCACGTTTTCAAGGTTGCTCCCGGTGCTAATGTCAGCCCCCCCCTGAGTGCAATGCCCACGGCAGTCCAGTCTACGGATACTGCGCGTCGCGGACTCAGCCGCGCAGCTACGATTGACTTTAGCGATGCTCGAAATGATGGCTCTGGCCATTTTTCGACTCTCCGTAACCAGAATTCGGGATACCTCGGCGTCTTGGATTCGGGTAACTTTGGGGCCGCACAGAACCTGCGGGCTGCTAAGTCATTTGCGGATCTACGTTCATATACTCCGTCGCCAGTCCCCTCTTCTGCAAGCTTTCCCGCTGCGCTGCAGTCCAATGGAGCTCGCCTACAACAGTACGATGCCGTCTCGAGTGCCGCATCGAACACACCGGCCCTTACGTCGGCAGCATCTGCTACCTCTCTTGGTATGCGAGATGACAGCCTGCTCGTGAACAGCTTGAGTGGCTTGTCTCTTGGGACTGGCATTGGCGGACCTGGTTCAAGTCCGCGAAGATTACGAGGCATGTTTTCCTGGGAGCAAGATAACCATACCTCTAATGCGGGCCCCATTGGTAGTAACCGATCCATCGGGGTTGGATATGACTCTCAATCGCAGGAGCGAGTTCCTATCAGACAGCCACGGGGCCCTGCGCCGGAAAAGGGTCCCGGTTTCCGTCGCCAAAATGGACATCAGTCGCGTGGCAGCGAAGAGTTACGCACTAACTCTGGGGTGGAGATAATTGTCGAGTAAACGAGGCATGAGGAAATGAAGCATATGCAGAAAAGAAAAGATGGATCTTGTCAGATTGCAAGGATGAATACGACTCTTTTATCATGAGGCCCTTTGATTGAATCCCATTTTTAGCTTGGGATCGCTGACTTACGATTCGATGAGGGATGACGAGATGACACTCAACGGGAACCCAGCGGTTTCTCGACCTTGCCAAGTTTTAGACGTTATTTTGGGGCAGCCCAACAGATATGCTGTTTGGACGAATTTTCATTTACTCAGATCAATAAAAAAAAAAAACTTAAAAAGAAAGGAAGAATAAGTTTTTTTTTTTGATATTTCTGAGACGCGGGCGCCTTGAATGCTAAAAATTTCTTCCCCATTGGTCTCTTTTTGTTGCCTGTTTCTTTTATTTGGGTCTGGGAGGAGGAGGCCTTTTAAAGAGAATATGAAGAGCCACAGACGAAATATTTTCGACGTTCTGTTACAATGGCCGAAGAGATGACATACCAGCATTTGCATATCATATTTTTGTCTACTTTTTTTTTATTTTTATTTTTCCATATTTTCTGTATATGGGGAGAGAATGTGTATCGTTTAATCTTATCGATCTATCTTACCCTGGTGACGTGTTCTCCATCTCCATCTCCCGCTGATTTGTGGTGTTATGGCTCGGACTTCGTCCAGGTGATTTTATTTGATGTGACTGTTCCTGGTGTTCGTTTGTGTCGCCTTCGACCTACAGGATGGACTTGCTTCATATCTGTATTACTCCAAGGAAACCGGCGACTGTTGCGGACGGGAGGGGGAAATTAAAAAAAAAAAAAGGTAACTATTTTTTATATATTTCTTTTTACTAACGTTGATTAATTATTTGATGGGAGAAACAGACAGCAGGCTAAAGGAACGGACTTGGTCCACGATGGTTACTATCTGACATCTGCTTCTCTTATCCCTGCCCTCCCCATTCTGTATTCAGAATGCCTTTTCTTGCCCCTTCCGTTTCTATCTTGATTTGCTCGAAATATTGTGTTTAGTAACTATCCCAGATCTACCTTGAATGTACCACTTAACTACCATAGATCTCTCGTAGAAGTCATATCAGCACCAGAACAGGTACTAGGTGTAGTAATGTAGTCATGCAATGATTGATGCTTCGGACAGAAAGTAAATTCTAAAGGCATTTTTGAATTTTTTTTTTTTTAAAGTCAGGGTCAACCCAAAAAGATAGATAAAACGCTTCCCATAAAATATCTCCCTATTCCGTTACAGCGCCCTGTGAGTCTCGAACTCAACCTGTGATAAAAACGAGCATGAAAGAAACAGAAGTTGAAATAACTACCGAGGGGGAATCGACACCAGAAGACAACAGTCGGACAAGGAAACATAAGGGGGGAATTATAGTGGAACAATGTCGGGGTTGGAACAACGTATGAAGACGACCGGTCCGAGAAGCTAAGGACTCAACAAGGCGTATGTCAAAATCTAGCTTCATGCGACTGCCTGTCGCATTGGACGAAGTCCACTGTTGAACCGACCGGATCGAAGCTCCATTCGCGATGGAAAGGAAAGAAAATAAGCCATCTGGCAGACATGCGTTTCGCCTCTCCCCCTTCTTTTATCTTTCTTTCGTTTTGCTGACATTAAATTCAATTTCGTCGCAATCTCCCGTAAAATTACGCTTCCGTCTTCTTCTTCTTCTGCTCGACCTTGAGCAATAGCGCACGATTGATTCGCGGCAAGACACCTCCGAAAGCGATGGTCGCACGGATAAGGGTATCTAACTCTTCGTCTCCACGGATGGCGAGTTGCAAGTGACGAGGGGTGATACGCTTGACCTTTAGATCCTTGGCGGCGTTACCGGCGAGTTCGAGAACTTCAGCAGTTAGATATTCTAAGACGGCGGTAACATAGACGGCAGCTGCCAAATAAAAGCCATCAGCGAATTATTCAGCCATCGAAGGGTAAAGGTGGCGCGATGCAGAGAATGAAACCTCCATCTAAAGACTTAAGAAAACTAATATGGAAAATGTAAGCGTACCTTTGGCCCCAACGCGCATCTTGTTCTGAGTGTTGTTCTTCAGAAAACGCTTAACACGACCGCAAGGGAACTGCACAGGGAAAGAAAATGTCAGTCTAAGGCCTGATAATTGTTGGTATGAACATGGCCGTTTCGACGTCAATTATGAGAAAATTCGGCCAAAAAGGTTAAAAAAGAATAGAAACACGATGGATATCCCTGTACAGAGGCGCCTTGTCGCCCTCGGACCGGATGGAATCCCATCGAGCACGCTCCGGGCATTATGCGCGGGGTAGGGATAGGGGACAGAGTCTTATGAGATGGAATAACAGGACAAGACACAAAAAGCAACGCGATCTACCACTGACCTGCAGGCCGGCCTTCGCGCTGTGGGATTTCTGAGCCTTCCCCGAACCCTTGGGATCACCCTTTCCACCGATAGACTTTCCCTTTCCGCCAGGCATGTTGAGAGGGGGTGAAAATGGGCAGGAGTTTGAGAAGTTATGTCGCAGTGATGGATTATTCGCGCCAAGGGGATATTAGAAGCAATATGGCGTAAGGGTGGCCGTTAGAGAGATCAGAAAGGCCGTTGGGACGCGTCTTGTTGATGGATGAAGAAGTTGGAAACGACCGAGCCATCCTGGTCGCTAAAAGAAGAACGGAGGTCGGGCGTGGAACAACGCTAGTCCCGATTGGGAAACCACTCCAACCTCAAATGCAGCGTCGAGTCTGCAGGCAGGCCGTTAGTGAGCAGGCAGCACTGGACGGACATCAACGCAATTCGACCTCATTCCGAAGACCACAGAATGCAAGAGACGGTACCAATACAGGTATATGCTAGGAACAGTCAGTATCAGCCACCGGGCACCATGAGGAACTCGGTCTCGTAGCTGCAGCGAGCAGCTCTGACAGAGCTGCAAGCAATCAGCCGAACAATGTAGGACGACACAAGAGTGTGTTTCCGATTGTAGGCACAGGCCTTGTCTGCTGAACCTTGCAGTGGTTAGACAAGAACCTAGCGAGGTTGTGCTGGTTGGATGCCTTTCATAAGAGCTGGGCGCACTCTCTTGGTAGGAAGCGTCCCAGGCCAGATACGTCGACGGCGTTCAGGTACGTCACGTGCGATAATGACTAATAATTAATTCCTCAGGCCCCAAGTTAGGTACTTAATCACGTGCACACGTGTTCTGGACAACTTTTCTTTTCTCCGATGTAACCCCCGCGACTCCTCGATCCCAGCAGTCGTTCGCTGTCCTTATTACTTCGCTATCACGGTTTCTGTGACGCTTCGGCACCCCGGCAAAATGGTATCTTCTCAAGTGTGAGTAATCTCGATTATTTCTAACGTCTTACTTTTGAAAATGTAGTGTAATGAAAAGTGATAAATTCGAGCCATGGCTGATATAAGTCGTCCTCGCACAGAACGAACTTGGGCATCATCATTATGATGATGCAGCTGTCCAAGAAGATTCCCTTTGATGATCCTGAAGTGCTCCTTGTCGTGCGCGCCTTGTACATCCTGTCTAACGTGATCATCGCGGGGATCTATTTCTACGTGCAGACCAAGGTGAACAAGAAAAAAGGTATGCTTGTGGCCTCCTCCGCCCTAATTTCTGTTCGCATGGCCGGCTAAATCTTATGGTTATCATTGATAGATATGGCCGTCCTCAAGTACGTTGAGCCCGCACCGCTGGGCAGCGGCGAGGAGCCCCGTCCAGTGACGACTACCGTGATGGAGTACGACAAGCAGCAGCTGCGCCAGCTGTACAGGAGCCAGCTGATGGGTGTTGGTATGATGTGTGTCATGCACCTCTACTTCAAGTACACCAATCCTCTCCTTGTGCAGTCCGTCATCCCGCTCAAGAGTGCCCTGGAGTCGAACCTAGTCAAGATCCACTTGTTTGGCAAGCCTGCAACCGGCGACTTGCAGCGACCTTTCAAGGCCACTGGTTTTGGCTCTCAGGGTCAGATCCGGAGCGACAAGGCCTCCGTTGAGAGTGCTGAGAAGAAATGGCGGGGTGGTGTCAAGGAGGAGTAAGAAGGGGAACCTTTTGTGCGCGTCAGAGCATTCTGAAAGGAATCAGATAGCAGTTTTGATATGTAACAGACTCAAATAGAATGGCAATTGGAACGGTTATGGTGCTATATACTTTGAACAGTTCATCTCAATACCTGCTAAAGGTTTAAAAAGACGGAAATATAGACAAACCACGGGTGATGTTATACAGGTACGGGAGTATGAATTGCTTTTCATGTAGCTTCAGCCTTCTACGTTCTGCCATCCTAGTCCTTGCAGCTTCCTATGGCGTAGGTTGGTCTTGGTGGCTGTGGATCCGACCGATTGGATGAAGCATGCTACGATTCATGGGGTCTAATAATAGACCGAACGGCTGCATCTTCAGTCAATGGGAATCCACTCGATCGGTGGAAATCTTATGATCGATTGGGTTGGGCGGTAGATTGATGTGTGATGACGCAGTGAGAGCCTCGTTCCAAGACAGGACGTAGATATTCAGGAGGCATAGACCCATATGCCGATGTTGCCGGTCCAGATAAACTTTGGTTAGATGGGGAGGCAAAGGATGTGATATCAATGAGTACAACTATATCAGGCTGGTTCTGAGACATGAATCGAGCAATCAGTTGATAATGCAACTAGTGTCGTGCAGAGCAGACATGCTCGAGGAATGATGCAAGTATGGTCTGATAATCGAGTGCAATCAGCCCAGAAGAATATCTACATGGACTTTTTGAGACGTATGGAACATCAGGTCATGGCCAGTGCCAGATAATCAGACAATGACGAGAGGGCAAAGACATGAGGAGAGGATGCATTGACTCTTGAGATAGTAGCATGATGGGGATAACGTTGTATGGCTTAATTCATTTCTGACATCTGATAGTAATGCCATGAATCATGGAACAAGAAAAATAGCACCAGAAAGCACTTCGGTGTGGCAGATATGTAGTGCAGCCGGTGAGTGCTTTGAGGAATCCCATCAGCAGACGCGATGGAAGCATCTGGAAGCATTATATAAGCCATTGGTGCCTGAGGGGACCAGGGCCCGGGCCAACTGTTGTTCCGTGGGTAGATCAGGTGACCTGCCATAGCCCCTTCTAGCGGGGATAATCGTACATTTTATAGTTCATTAGGTATATACCGTGTTACATCACCACTGGGGCCGCGACGAAGATCCCCTTGTCCCTACGGAGCGACGGAGGACGTTGGCGGGGGATTATCGCGTAGAGAATAGCCTAGGCAGAGCGCTGCAGGGAATACCCGAGAAATCAGGCAAGAAGAGCAGCGGCGATGGATCTATGATGCGTGGCAGTCACCTGATTGGCGGGCGTGGAGTCTGCAGCGCGCAAAATATCGTGATTCTTCCTGCTTTGCCCGGTGTCTGAAACCGGAAAACCAGCTCCAGGCAGGCCATTGCCGCGTCCGCGGCACAACTCGGGGCACGGCAGTGTCAAGGACAACGAGGCGAATCACTGGCTGCGTTTGGCCACCCGGTGTGTGCGGTGTGCGCCGGTGGAAGACAACCAGCAGAGCTGCGCTGTTTGATGACCCCTCCGTTGCGTCAGTCCATTCCTCCCCCTCCCTGCCCCGCCCCGCGCTGCCTGGCGACGTCCCATACTATATTACTCCCGTCCTCCTCTCTTCCTGGCTCTCTCTTTTTCAGATTCATCAATCCATCACATCTCATCAACCCATCTCGATCCATCTCGATACATCTCGATTTCGTCTAATATCTATCACTCTATCAAAATGGTTGTCCCCAAGGTTGGAATCAACGGCTTCGGTCGTATCGGCCGTATTGTAAGTTCCCTCTCCCTATCCTCTTGCTCGTCTCGTGCCAATAAATCCCTAACAATGTTTCCAAGGTCTTCCGTAACGCGTAAGTAGCTTTCTCGGGCGTTTTCCCTGGATCCCCAGAGAGTATCCTAACCCTTCGCCTACAGTATCGAGCACGAGGGTGTTGACATCGTTGCCGTCAACGACCCCTTCATTGAGGTCCACTATGCTGTACGTTCCGTTCCATTCCTGCCCAGCATCGTCACCTCGCTCGAGAAGCTAACCAGACACGATATCGATTAGGCCTACATGCTCAAGTATGACAGCACCCACGGCCGCTTCAACGGCACCGTCGAGTTCGACGGCAACACGCTCATCGTCAACGGCAAGAAGATCAAGTTCTACGCAGAGAGGGACCCCGCTCAGATCCCCTGGAGCGAGACTGGCGCCGAGTACGTCGTTGAGTCCACTGGTGTCTTCACCAAGCAGGAGAAGGCCTCCCTTCACCTGAAGGGTGGTGCCAAGAAGGTCATCATCTCCGCTCCCTCTTCCGACTCCCCCATGTTTGTCATGGGTGTCAACAACGACCAATACACCAAGGACATCACCGTCCTTTCCAACGCCTCTTGCACCACCAACTGCTTGGCTCCCCTTGCCAAGGTCATCAATGACAAGTTCGGCATCGTCGAGGGTCTGATGACCACAGTCCACTCCTACACTGCTACCCAGAAGGTCGTCGATGGCCCCTCCAACAAGGACTGGAGAGGTGGCCGTACCGCTGCCCAGAACATCATCCCCAGCTCCACCGGTGCTGCTAAGGCAGTCGGCAAGGTCATTCCTTCCTTGAACGGCAAGCTCACTGGCATGTCTATGCGTGTGCCTACTTCCAACGTCTCCGTTGTCGACCTTACTGCCCGTCTCGAGAAGGCCGCCACCTACGACGAGATCAAGCAGGCCGTCAAGGAGGCCTCTGAGGGCCCTCTGAAGGGTGAGTTTAAAATGACGCTGATATGTTGCACACGGACTCGATTACTGACTAGGACTAGGCGTCCTCGGCTACACTGAGGATGACGTTGTCTCCTCCGATCTCAACGGAGACCCCCACTCCTCCATCTTCGATGCCAAGGCTGGTATCGCCCTCAACTCGAACTTCGTCAAGCTCGTTTCCTGGTACGACAACGAGTGGGGTTACTCCCGCCGTGTTATCGACCTCATTGCCTACATCGCCCAGGTCGATGCCCAGTAATTATTAGGACGGCGTCCTGAGACGAAAAGTCTCCTATGAAATCAGAATGAGCAATCCCTCAACGTACTATCCCCACTTCAGCTGAAGTCCCTGGGCCACCGGCAGAGGCCTACGAGGTCAGGCGCTGCAGGGGTTGGACTCACGACATACTGCTCGGATTACGAAGAACTTGTTTGGTAGATAAAATTCATATAACGTATTAATGAATTGTAAAGATTTTTTTTTCCCCCTCTTCAATACTCTTCCTGTATAATATGGTCACAAGCACTCGAAGAGTGCCACAAGTCCATGGCATCAGTATCTTTTTACATGAGATCAAAAACCCATTTAAATGGACTATTGCAAATGGGATAAATTAGGAAGAAGAAAAAAGAAGCTTGAGATTTACGAACCAACTTGATCTCCTATAAATGCCATATATCAAGCCGCATGGCTCTCTCCGCGACTCTTGGCACAGTCTTGGCCCGCTTGGAGCATCTAGCATTCTTAAGCTCCCTCTCATACGAGGCAGTCACAGAAGCGGCCACCCCACAGATGGCGCGTAGATGCCTCCTTGTATGGACGCGCCAGAATGGCAGCAGTGTAACGGAACGGAATATAGGACGCTGATTCCCGGGGCATAATTCACTCGGTGCATGTTCGATCAGAGTACTCCCTCAGCTCAACTCGACCATAATATCGCCTATGTTCACCACCAAACAGCCTGGTTGAGGCCGTACCCACTACCGTGCACCCTCCCGAGGGTCTTTGGGCGAGCAGTCAGGCGCAAGCACCTGCAGCCCTCCCAAAACGTTGGCCAGCAAGGTGACACTACCAAAGTCCGCATGCGGCAGTATGCCAGTGCGCATGTTGGCCACGGCCAAGCTGGGTGGGTACCGGAAGAGCCGTAGGATGGCCCCGAAGGCCGGTTTGGAGGCTGCTGCAGTTACCGAGAAGAGTCATCTTGCGAGACATTGTAGAATGCACACCTGTCCGGGGTGCTGGTTTCTTTCTTCATGATGCCGAATGTCTTGTATCTAGATGTCCATCATCAGCATTGCTAGCCTATTTCTTGTTTGGCTTACACATGTGGATTACTGGCAACCGACATCCAATATCTTTGGAGTACATCGTGTACTCCAGTAGCTCGTTTCCCAGTGGATGGTAGTACAGTGTAGTATACATTTTACTACCATTCTTCAGTCAGTGGGTTAGAGGAGATTGGGATCATATCCTGAGGTTTCCTTGGGAAGAATGAATATTTCTTCTTTCTTTTCCCCTTATCTTTCGTTGTTCATGGACCGATTTTCTTCGTAGCAGACCAGCCCACAGATGTATCTCAGGTAGCCAAGATCCTTCAGACAATAGTATCTTCAGTGTAACCAGCGGCTCCAATCAGACAGGATATTGCCAATATATTCAGTGTCCGTTGACATCTGCAGTCGATGAACCGGCAGTAGATCGATCATGTGGCATGACTAACCAGCGCGGCGAACTCTCGGAGATAGACTGGCAGTGAGGTACTCCATCCAGAGTGCCATTATTATTTGAGATGAGGAGCTCAACCCTCTCTCTGTTTATTCCACTACTGGACAACTTGCTACGTCCCAGCTGCTTCTCTTCCCCGTTCTCTTTCTTATCCAAGATAGCTCCTGCAGGGACTCGTGGTGGTCACGTGCACGAAGCGCCGTGATCAGCAGTGGACCTGCAAGTGCCGAGCTTCCTTCTGTAAGAACGCCCTATATCCATGGTTGACTTGATGCGCGTCTGCTGTTGATTCCTCGTTTGTGTCTGGAAATTCCTATTCTCTATTGCAGTCATTCTACATCCATACCTCTTCCCAAAGCTTTGGCTCCACTGCGTTTGTTGGTTTCTTGTCCATTGTTGCTGGACTTAGGTCGTTGCTACTAGTATTACTGCTACCTTCGCAAGTGCTGTATTTCTGTTGACATATTCACTGTTCTTTTATTCTCTTCTTATCTCTATTGTAAAAATTTTCGATTGTTTACCCGCTTATTGTCAAGTCCGAACATTTCTTTGCAGTGTCAGTTGCGGAGGGATGGCTGTCTAACTCTACACAGACCCATTTGTCAAAACAAGAGATTGGTCATGAAGCGTTCTGACTGCTAGACCTCGCGGTATAGAGAGAAAGGATACAAGAAAGCATCCCTAATTGATATCGTCCTTGCCTGATGAACATGCAACGAGATGAAGACACTGTCATGGGGGAAGCGGGCCCCCATAATCTCAATCCCGTCCCTCCACTTCATCCCGCAAGCGGAGGTCCCAGCAGGCATCCAGTCCCGGTGCGTTTGAATGGGGAAGCTGATCCTCCAATTGCTCCTCCACTACTTGGACCTTCAGCGGGCGTGTCCTTACCCCCACGCCCACCAAGTCCACGAGCACTCGACAGCCGGAGCGTGTCTCCTCAAAAGGGCCTGGTCAAGTCCATTGAGTCTGGACCTGTAACTGAGGAAGACCTTCTAATAGAAGAGAACTCTGACTGGTCGGAAGATGATACGGCGACTCACGGGGTTCTCCCGCTTGCATCGCTTCCAACGGGACTCTGCTACGACATCAGGATGCGCTATCATTGCGAGGTTCGGCCGACAGCAGACGTTCACCCAGAAGACCCTAGGAGAATCTACTACATCTACAAAGAATTATGCCGAGCAGGTCTAGTGGACGATCCGGAGTCATCTAGACCGCTGGCATGTCGGCCCTTGAAGCGAATCGACGTGCGCAATGCGACTGTAGAAGAGATATGTCTAGTTCATACGCCAGAGCATTATATATTTGTCGAAAGCACAAAGGGTATGTCTAATTCTGCTATTATTGCTTCGATATCATGCATGACTAATATCACTAGACATGTCTGATGACCAGCTTATCGACTTGGAACATACGCGAGACTCGATCTATTTCAACAAGCTTACCTTTGCATCTGCCCTTCTCTCTACCGGAGGAGCGATCGAAACCTGCTTGGCCGTGGCCACGCGGAAAGTGAAAAATGCCATTGCGGTTGTGAGACCGCCAGGGCATCATGCAGAGCATGACAAGACAATGGGATTCTGTCTGTTTAACAACGTATCCGTTGCCGCACGGGTGTGTCAAAAGCAGCTGGGGGAGAAATGCAGGAAGATTATGATTCTTGACTGGTAGGTTATTGACAGTTTTTAAGAGTTGTAGGGCAAATATGCTGACTGGTACAGGGATGTCCATCATGGTAAATCTAAACCGCGCTCTGTTCTTGCTTCTCACCATAGAAACGCTTACCCTGTGCAGGCAACGGTATTCAAAAGGCTTTCTACAGTGACCCCAACGTCCTATACATTTCTTTCCATGTGTATGCTGGTGGGAAGTATTACCCCGGAGGGGACGAAGGCAATTGGGATCATTGCGGCGCTGGCCCTGGTCTTGGACGGTGGGTACTTGAGGAAACCCGTAGATAAGGACCTGGTGCTGACACCGACAGAAACGTCAACATTCCTTGGCCTCAACAGGGAATGGGTGATGGTGATTACATGTTTGCTTTCCAGCAAATTGTAATGCCAATTGCCAATGAATTTGACCCCGACTTGGTTATCGGTATGGTCCTTTTACGTTACAGGATAACGGCCACATTAACTAACTAACCTGCCGCAGTTGCCTCTGGATTTGATGCCGCAGCGGGTGATGAACTTGGGGGTTGTTTTGTTACACCAGCCTGCTACGCCCAGATGACACACATGCTTATGACTCTTGCTAATGGAAAAGTGGCCGTTTGTTTGGAGGTCTGATAATTTCACCTTTTCAACTTATAAGGATTGGACCCTAACGCTCTCGGAGTAACAGGGTGGATACAATTTCAGGTCGATTTCAAAGTCTGCTTTGGCCGTTACGAAAACGCTGATGGGGGAGCCGCCTGACCGTCTGTTGTCAACCTCCCCCTCGACTTTTGCTACGCAGACGGTGCGGCAGGTCATGATGATCCAGTCTCAATACTGGCGGTGCATGTACCCGAAGACACCCAAGGATGAGGGTCTCTGGACTGACAGGTTGCATGGTAAGTGAGTCAGCGGCGACGCAATGGGACGTGAAGATAACAGATATTTCGCAGATGTTATTCGAGCTTATCAGTCCAAACAACTGTATGACAATTTTAAGCTTACTTCACTTTACATTTATCGCACGGCGATTTCAAAGTCGTTTGAAAACCAGGTCCTAGCGAGGTAAAATCCCGGAGAAAGCCCAAACCCGTTGGAAACTGAAATTGACCTCTGATCATAGTTCGAATTATTATCAAGCCGTTCCTCTCATTCTCATATTCCATGATCCGTCAGTTCACAGTTTTCTATGAATCCCAGACAAAGACATCAAAAAAACTGACACTTGGATAGACCGGAGATCATGGGCTTACCTCACCCTGCAACAAATAAGCTGGAAGCCCACAACTGTTGGCTTGTATGTACTCTATCGAATATCAATCTGAGTGCTGGGACTAACGAGACCAAGGCTGATGTGGTCAAGGATTACATTGGATGGGCTGTTGGTAAAGGCTATGCAGTTATTGATGTGAACATTCCCAAGTTTGTGACAAACCAGTCGGTAAGTATTGAAGGATATACAATTGCGCCTTTTCCTGAGGCTGACATTCTTGGATTCTCTCAGTCGGTGGGGAAATATGAAAATGAAGACGAGAACCGGCCGAGTGCCACGGAAGAGTTGGCTGGATATTTATGGGACAATTACATTGAGTAAGTGGATTGGCAAGTACTTATCGGAAGATATTAACATTGGAATAATCAAAGACCCAACGAGGCAACGGAGATATTCTTCATGGGTATTGGCAATGCTTTCTACGGCGTGGCAAACCTCCTAATCAACAGAGGTGGGTTATATCCGGATAAGTTTTACGTTGTCCCACTGATCGAGAATAGACAATCTCTACCGACGAATCAATGGAGTCGTTTCATTTGTTGCGGAGAATCCGGTTCGAGCCGTGGCATCTCACACTCAGACATGGCTTTCCAAGTGGTATAGAGAGGTGAGATTTAAGCGTATATCGAACTGGGTATGATGACCCGGAAGCTGATCAACAAATGAACAAAAACAGAACTCACAAGTATTCGTCTCGCACACGCACGGCGTATGGAGCAGCGGATTTGAACGTGGGAAACCGTCGAAACGCTACGGCCAACTTATCAAGTCTCCGGCAACGGGACTCAGCGAGATGCTGATGTGCCATAAAGATGAGGTATTCAAGTGGATCGAGGAACGGGCGGATGTGAATGACGAGAGTGATTAACATTGAATGTGGGAGTTTGTAAGCGAGGGCGAAAGGGATTCGAATCCGGGTTCGCGCGAAGCTAACCATGGTGTTCACTAAGGTTCTTAAGACATGATGCGGAGAAAGGAATAACTGCAACCCTAGCTTTGTAAGATGAATGGGGGGAGACCCGTCGAGCCACCTGAACTGCTCTTGGACTGTCCATGATCTGTAGAAAAAAAAAAAAAAAAAAAGCTCGAGCAGGAAGCACAAAAATGGACAACACGGCAATGTCAGCAAGCTGCCAAGCCGCTGCATGTCTTAGGTACTTGACATCATCGCAACTCATGGCTTGAAGAGAAAGGAAAATAGAGAGGAAGACCACAGAATGCAGCATCAGATGATGAGACTTCCTCACGGCAAGAGTCTTATACGGGGAATCTTCATGAAGATCCATCATTTGACCCATATTTCTGACCATGTCTATTCTTTCCCCATATCCATCTGGATGGAGCATGGCATCCAGAGACCGGAACCATGAACAAGCACACAGACAGCCCAAAGAAACATAACCTATCACCTACCTGCTGGGCATGGAGAGATGCAACCGTTCCATGAACGAGAAGTAACCGCAGTTCGAACGCTACGGCCCAGATCTATTAATATATGCCACAATACTGGATGATCGCTCTTCATGGAAACGGGTGGCTTTTTTCCCCAAGAGACCGTTCCGTGTGGATGATACGGGTGGCTTTCACTACCCCATGCCATGGATGTCTCCCTTCGACGATAGCGCTATTGCAGATGGGATGAGAAACGCGAGCAATAGCCTGTATTCCCCTTTGTTCGTGCTTTCGATCAATATAGCCAACTCTACTTGCTTGGCTTCTGTCATTAGTCCTAATCACCATGTCATCCAACATGGGCGTCGAAGAAATAGACAGATATAGAAATCATCGTCACTCGTCTCTTGATCGCTGCATTTGACTGGAAGGGAAGTCTCGGAAACCTTCTCTCTCTCTCTCCCTGAGTCTGCAGTCTCCACATTAGAGTGAATCCATGGCGTCGTCCGATCAAACTCCGGATCAGATCGTGCCTGCAGGCCTGTGTTACGGCTTGGGTTCGTTTGTCTTACTGGCGATCCCTTGTCAGCAGGCATTTGTTGCTAAAAGTAGATTTCCAGTGGCGGAAGAGCAAATAGATGAACTGGAAGAGGGCAGCAGTGAGTGAGTGGCTTGGCTGGGGTATAAAAGGATGGTGAATGTCCTCCAAATCGAATCGATCATCACAGCTACAATCCACTCCAATTTGACAGAATCAAGAACAAGCAAACATGCACGTCTCAACCCTAAGTCTCCTCTCTCTCTCCGCCCTCTCCCCCCTTGTCAACGCTGTGGGCAACGCCATCGTCCTCAACGAATTGACAGCCCCCGTCTACCTCTGGTCCGTCGGCAGCTCCGTGGGACCAGCACAAATCGTTCCCCCCGGCGAAGCCTACAGTGAACCCTTCCGTGTGGACCCCTCATCCGGCGGCATCGCCATCAAGATCACCGCGACCGAGAATGGGTTGTACGATGGCAGCCCGCAGACCATCTTCTCATACAGTCTGGTCAATGACCGTGTCTTCTATGACCTGAGCGATGTCTATGGGGATGCCTTCTCTGGGGACTATGTTGCCCTAGCCCCGTCGGACCCTAGTTGTCCGCTTATTGTGTGGCAGAATGGGGTCCCTGGTGGTGGGAGCAATGTCAAGGATTGCCAGTCTGAGGCTAATGTTACTTTGAACTTGGGTTAATTGTGAGTTTATTGTTGGTTGAAGTTGAGTAGGCGAGGAAGAGCATAGGAAAAGCGAACAGGGATTGGGGAGGAAAATGGATGACAATTGGATTATGTTTATGCCGTTGTTTCTTCGAATGACATGAGTTGTATCGATGAACGAATGCATGACGGCTTTTACTTCTACTGAGATATCTCAAGATGCTGTACTACTTGACTGGGTACACAGTTTAGGGTTGGCAATATCAAGTTGTACTGGCGAAACAAGATGCAACACGGAGGATTCTGTCCGTCCTCCCATTCCTCGAGTAGAATTCACTGGCTCTTCAGTGAATTGCCTCGCAGGGAATATGTAAAAATATAAACCCAAAGGCTCCTTTTTTAACCCCCCAGCGTCCACTCACACAGCAATCATAAACTCCTTTGACAAATGACTGGTTCACTATGCTGGTCATAACAAGACTCGAAGCCTCACGTAACGACTACCAGAAACCATCTGGCACAGAAAATACAAGGGACATAATATACCGCTTAAGCGACTCGGGAACAGGTCCTGTTCCAGGTGCACTCTCTTGAGCTACTGAAGAAGCTTTAGCTCATGGAGCCCAGTATACCTGAGACATTAAAGACCCGTCAACCAGCAGTACCTTCAATGATGAACTATCTACAACAGCGACAGGAGCATCAGTGATGAGTTCCTCCAATTTTAAAAGACCCAACCAACTATTGATTACGCAACTTGAGCAGTATTTCGTCTTGATCCAGATAGCAAGTTACGATGAAGAAAGGCGTTCAGGACAGAACCTGGTGTGAAAACAGCTCTCACTATCTCAGTACTATCGATAGGTGGGAAATGATTGATAGGAAACAAAGACTGGAATGCATGGATTCGAACGATGTTCGATACTCCAGAGACGGTTGTCACGGAGCAGGAATAGCTTTGGCTCTACTGATAATGGTGGATAGTCTTAGTAGCTAGCCTCCCGCGTGGATTGCTTTGGCATTCAACATCTTCTTCTCCAATAGAAGGGATCTTCATAGGTTGCACCATGCATCTTCGCTACAACTAGTAGCATGTGAAGGAAGACCTGAAGGAAGGGCATGGTGAGTTGAACGTGGAACGGAATTGACATTTAGGAAGCTTTCTAACCCATCATGATATATAACAGGTCAGGGAAATGCCTTCGAACGAGATAGACCTCAGTCGCAATCGAACCGAATTGAACTTGGTTATTGGAATGCGCCCAGCCTCCTATTAACGTCAAAAAATGCCATGACGCTGAAGTGGTGTCTAGATGTTACGTTACTCAACACCAGCGAAGAAATCCCGTCATTTTGGCTCAATGGGATCCAACAAAATAGACAAACAGGTGCTGGAAAAGACGCCAGTAACATACAGCAGATTAATGGAGTGGATAATGATGCCGAGTATCTCAACCATGTCTGTGGTTCACTGGTTATACGTTATCTCAAAGCCAAGATATCTACTAGGAGGTTGAATCCAACTGAGCTATTCAAGTAGAGCAGTCAATTCTTCCTAATCGGAAAGGATACCAGTCCCAGATAGGGCATTGCAAGCCTAGCGACAGAAGGCATAATTATATTACCTTCCCAGCCTGGAATAAGCAGTAAATCAGATAGCGCAAAGATATTCCTACGAACTATCGTTCCGTCCATTGCCTAGTGCTTCTCAGCGTGATTGATCATCGGCAATGGTTTAGAGCATAAGCATCGCCAACGCATGTCTGGACCCTTCTGGGCCCTTGGCTCCAACTTCCCCGTCAGAGTTGACCAATGGTTTGGTGGCTGTTTTATCTGTCGGGGTTCCCTCTCCAGTCGGATCGTCGACGGTGGTGTATCCTCGGTGTAGAACAGGGAGTACTACGTCTCACTGCGGGTACGTGGATGCAGTAGCACGGTGGACTGTGATACTTTAATGCGATATTGTTGCTGTATTATTCGGGAATGAGAGAATTGAGAGAAGAGACCCACGTGCTGCATTGATTAGTAATGATACAGACTGTACTGATGGATACCTTCGTACTGTACATACCGTACCGTAACGTACATATCATAAAGATACTTCACCGCCCTGGCGGCCGCCCGCATGGCCTGGCTTATAGGTTCTTTTCTCTTTTTGGCTGCGATGGCCTCATCTCCAACCTCCTCGGCTATCTCCTGCTGAGGCGCTCCTGAGTCTGATCCTTCGTCCCTGTGGTCTGTCCGGATCGACTCTCCCTGTTTCTTTTCCCTTGTCTTGCCGTTCTCCGTTTGCTCCTCTGCGCCGTTGCTGCTCCGCCCCATTGGCAGCATTCCTTTGGGTACTGCATGCCTCCAAGGTACTCTGCAGCTCTCCGCTCGTGGCACGCCCCCAGCTTATTGCGATCACAATCACAATCACAATCACCCACCTTACGACCTCGCTTCCCGTCCATTGTACACGCCTCTACGGCGGTTCTGGCGCTTGGCTATCCTTCTTTGCTGCCTCCTGCCTCCTGTTCACTTGCAACCCCGCCCTTTCGCTCCTTTACCCTCTCTGCGCGCCTCGCCCTCTCCACCACCATGAGCCAGATCGAACGCATCACGGAGAACCTGGAGAAGCCAGAGCTGGATGATCGCTCCTATCGCGTCATCCGTCTGCCCAACAAGCTAGAGGCTCTCTTGGTCCATGATCCAGACTCCGATAAAGCCAGTGCCGCCGTCAACGTCAATGTCGGCAATTTCTCAGACGACGATGATATGCCGGGTATGGCACATGCGGTAGAGCATCTGCTGTTCATGGGCACCCACAAGGTGAGTCTTATCTTACCCTTGTTCTATCGTCTCCACTGCAGAGGCTGATTAATTGATCGTATTACTCTAGTACCCCGTAGAAAATGCCTACAATCAATTCCTCACATCCCACTCGGGTTCATCCAACGCATACACAGCGTCCACCGAAACGAACTACTTCTTCGAGGTATCTGCTACTTCGGAGTCCAGCGACCAGAAGTCGAGCGGCCAATCTACTCCAACCGAGTCGACAGACGGTAGCAGCTTTGCCAGTAATACGAACAGCACTGGCTCCTCCAGCGATGGGGTGGGTCCCCTCTACGGCGCTCTGGATCGCTTTGCTCAGTTCTTTGTCTCCCCGCTTTTCCTGGAGTCAACGCTGGATCGCGAGCTGAAGGCGGTAGATTCGGAAAACAAGAAGAACCTCCAGAGTGACTTGTGGCGTCTGATGCAGCTGAACAAGTCTCTGTCTAACCCTAAACATCCCTACCACCACTTTTCTACTGGAAACCTCCACACTCTAAAAGAGGAGCCCGAGAAGCGGGGTCTGGATGTTCGTAGTGAATTCATCAAATTCTATGAGAAGCACTACTCCGCCAACCGGATGAAACTCGCCGTTTTGGGACGGGAATCGCTAGACGAGCTGGAACAATGGGTTTCAGAGTTATTCTCCCACGTGAAGAACAAGGATCTTCCTCAGAATCGCTGGGATGGCATCAGCCCCTTCTTAAAAGAGGACATGTGTACTCAGGTGTTTGCCAAGCCTGTCATGGATACCAGATCCATGGACATCTACTTTCCATTCCTTGACGAGGAATACTTGTACGAATCCCACCCAAGCCGCTATGTCAGCCATCTACTTGGCCACGAGGGACCAGGCAGCATCCTGGCTTATATCAAGGCGAAGGGCTGGGCAAATGGACTCTCTGCTGGTGCCATGCCAGTCTGTCCAGGGGCTGCGTTCTTCACTGTTTCTGTTCGTCTGACGAAGGAAGGACTCAAGCAACACCGTGAAGTTGCCAAGGTGATTTTCGAATACATCTCCATGATCAAGGAGCGAGAGCCCGAACAGTGGATCTTCGACGAGATGAAGAATCTGGCTGCCGTCGACTTCAGGTTCAAGCAGAAAACCCCAGCTAGTCGGTTCACCAGTAAACTGAGCAGTGTGATGCAGAAACCGCTGCCCAGGGAATGGCTGCTTAGCGAGAGTCTATTTAGAAAGTTCAACCCCGAAAAGATCAAGGAAGCCCTGTCGTACTTCCGAGCTGATAATTTCAGAATCATCATTGTGGCCCCGGACTACCCCGGTGACTGGAACTGCAAGGAAAAATGGTACGGAACGGAATACAAGGTCGAGAAGGTTCCTGAAGACTTCCTGGCCGATATCCGCAAGGCGCTGAGCTCAACGCCAGAGACCAGGCTGCCTGATTTGCACATGCCCCATAAGAACGAGTTCGTTCCGACTAGGCTGTCGGTGGAGAAGAAAGAGGTCGCCGAACCAGCCAAGACACCCAAGCTCATCCGCCATGATGATCGTGTGAGGCTTTGGTTCAAAAAAGATGATCGTTTCTGGGTCCCCAAGGCCACTGTGTATGTCACTCTGCGAAACCCCCTGGTGTGGGCTACGCCTGCCAACCTGGTCAAGTCGAAGATGTATTGCGAATTGGTGAGAGACGCGTTGGTTGAATATTCCTATGATGCCGAGCTTGCTGGTTTGGATTATCATCTTTCCTCCAGTGTCTTTGGATTAGACGTTTCAGTGGGCGGCTACAACGACAAAATGTCCGTTCTTTTGGAGAAGGTCTTGACCAGCATGCGTGATTTGGTTGTTGACCCCGATCGGTTCCATGTAATCAAGGAGCGCATGGCCAGAGCGTACCACAATTCTGAGTACCAACAGCCGTTCTACCAGGTTGGTGACTACACGCGGTATCTGACGTCGGAGAAAACGTGGATCAACGAGCAGTACGCCGCCGAGCTACCGCATATCGAGCCCGAGGATGTTGCGGCCTTCTTCCCCCAGCTTCTGCAGCAGACCTACATTGAAGTATTGGCGCATGGCAACCTGTATAAGGAGGATGCACTGAAAATGACCGATTCGGTGGAGGCGATCCTGAAGAGTCGCCCCTTGCCCCAGTCTCAGTGGCATGTGCGGCGCAATTTGATTATTCCTCCCGGCGGCAACTTCGTGTATGACCGGCTACTCAAAGATCCTGCAAATGTGAACCACTGTATTGAATACTACCTGTTTATCGGAGGCTTTCCAGATGATGTTCTCCGAGCGAAGCTCCTGCTATTTGCCCAGATGACCGACGAACCTGCATTTGACCAGCTTCGAAGCAAGGAACAGCTTGGATACGTCGTCTGGAGCGGTGCACGCTACTCCGCTACTACTATTGGATACAGAGTCATTATCCAGAGCGAGCGCACGGCCAGGTATCTGGAAACTCGCATAGATGCATTCCTCACCAGGTTCGGAGAGACTTTGGAAGCGATGAGGGATGAGGAATTCGAGGGTCACAAGCGCAGTGTGATCAACAAGAGACTCGAGAAACTCAAGAATCTTGGATCCGAAACTGGCCGCTTCTGGTCCCACATCGGCTCCGAGTATTTTGACTTCCTGCAGCACGAGAAAGATGCCGCGAATGTTCGTGCGCTGAATAAATCCGACATCGTTGACTTCTACAAGAAATATGTTGATCCTCAATCGCCCACCCGGGCCAAGCTGTCCGTTCATCTTAACGCGCAGTCTGGTGCCCATGAAGCTGCGACCGACCCGCAGGAACAGAAGTCCCGGCTGACCTCGCTGCTGGGAAAGCAGTTGGAAGACGCTGGATTAACGGTCGATACCGCCTGTCTTGGTGCTGCTTTTGAGAAGCCTGACGTGTCGATTGATGATAAGGACAAGATTCTGTCCATTTTTGGTACATTCCTCGTCTCGGAATTGGGACTCTCTGAGCAGCAGGCCAAACCGGTGCTGGAGAAAGCTGAACAGAACCTTGGACAGCAGTTGAATCAACTCGCCGTCACCTCTGTTGGGAAGGGCAGCGAGGAGATGACCAACAGCTCCCACAGTAACGGTGTCGTGAAGCCCACGGAGCCCAGGAAGGTGACCTACATTACGAATGTTCCGGAATTCAAGGCGCGCCTGGCAGTTAGCGCTGGACCCAGTCCGGTTACCGACCTTAGTGAGTTTGAGGATTTTGAGCCCAAGCTTTAATTCCGATGCTGATTGGAAAAGGCGTGTATTCTTTCTAGCTGGTTGAAAAGACATGATTTCCTATTTCCTTTGTCCCATTCATAGATCTGGTACCATGCGTTGGGATACGGCGAGCGTTTTGGTTTTGGTAGACTCGGGGATAGCTATGCGTTGCTGTGTCACGTCAGTGTAATGCATGTACTGTAGAAAAGAATCATAGCAATTATCATGGATGAAGCTTTCTGTCTTTTTTGAGTCTAAAGAAGATCCGGACACGGTTGAATGTTTTCGCGGGAGCTCTCCGCTGTGTCGGAGCTGGAGTCGCGACAACTGCTTGGACGCTGTCACTGCTGCAGCTCGATCATCCTCGTCCCTCAATTCGCAGCTGTTTTCTTTTATTTCTTATATTCTGAAGCGCTCATATTCGTTTCACTGTCATCCACAAAGCAAGAAAGATGTCGACGACAACGGCATCCGCAATGCAAAGCTCTTGCCCGTACGTACCTGAGCAAGCATTCACCACCCCAAGATCCTAGACAAATATCTTTTGAATCTGTAACAGCAATGTGCTGACATACATTTCTTCAGTCCCATCCCCCCCAAAGTCTTCTCCGCAAAACAACCAGAGACAATCCGCCTATACCCTCTGTCCAACTACACATTCGGCACAAAGGAGACGCAACCGGAGGAAGACCCCTCGGTCCCAGCCCGTCTGAAGCGTCTCGAGGAACACTACGAGAAGTATGGCATGAGACGGACATGCGAGGGTGTTCTGGTCTGTCATGAACATAATCATCCGCACGTGTTGATGTTGCAGATTGCGAACGCGTTTTTCAAGCTGTACGTACTTGCTATAGAAAGAACTCTTTTACAATTTCTATTATTCCAAGCTACGCGGAGACATTTATCTGACAATATTCCTATTTCTCTTACCTATGCTTTATCTATAGCCCAGGCGATTACCTTCATCATGACGATGACGAGATCGAAGGATTCAAGAAGCGACTGAACGAGCGTCTCGCGCCTGTCGGCACGCAATTTACCGGAGAAGGAGTGAACGAGGATTGGGAAATCGGCGACACACTCGCGCAGTGGTGGCGTCCGAATTTCGAGACGTTCATGTACCCTTTCCTGCCGGGACATGTTACCAGACCTAAGGAGTGCAAGAAGTTGTATTTTATCCAGTTGCCTAAGAAGAGTGAGCTCTCCATCTATCCCAACTACCCTGGTCCATATTTATATGAAGGGAAAAAAAAGGATAATCTAACGAATGACAGAGGTCCTCTCCGTACCAAAGAACATGAAGCTCCTCGCCGTCCCTCTCTTCGAACTGTACGATAACACGGCGCGCTACGGCCCGCAACTCTCAGCCATCCCCCACCTCCTGTCGCGGTATAACTTTGAATTCGTGGATGAGAATGACAACATCGTCGCTGCTACCCCGGGAACACCTTTACCGGAAAACGAAATTCCGCGGCCCAAAGTGGTCGCTGGTAGTGAAGGTGAAGGGGCAGGTGAGAGCCACGACCCGGGGACAATGGATATCAAGTTGGATAATGAGGAGCAGTAGATGGAAAAGGATTCTGGGGCATTGGCTCTGCTCAATCCATGCCCATAGGTCTGGATGACAAGCTATCTTATCTCTTTCCCCTTTTTCTTTCTTCCCGGGAATCGAATCGAATATTTTATTTATTCTACCTGGTTGGCGTTTATTCAAGGAGCGAACTCATATTTTCACTGTCAGTTGTGTTATTTTAGTTTCTGCTTGTTACTTATTGTTTCAACGAAAATGGTTCTCTTATTTTATGTATATGTCTTGTATACAGATTCTTTTAGAGTCGTTTCCCTTTCAAGGGCATGCATGTTTGAATGGAACCAGGTCATTATCCAGACTAGATAAAAACGCAAAGAGCAAAAACAAAACAAAAACATGCAACAGCCGGGATTCGCTGGTGGTCACCCACCCAACTACTAACCGGCCGGCGTGTGGCTTAAGTACGGCTGAGCGGACGGGAAGCCCTGTTTTCCACACCCTGTGGTCGCATGTACTAGACTTTTCAAGAGAAGGGATTGATGGAGAACAATATAGCGGTGCTTCTAGATTTCACTGGGATAACCCGAGGATTAAATTAGGCATTGATTGAAGAGAAAATCATGAACATAGAATTCATCACATCAATATCAACAAGCATATATACATCATAAAATTCTATCCATCTATGATATCAAACAACCCAGAAATCTGAACACCAATGAATTATAACAAAATAAGCGTGCTTTCCGCATTCAAAAAGGAAAAGTCCTCATGAGTTTGATTGACAGTTGGGAAGCTAATGTAAGTATACTATGCTCAATATTTATGGAACAGCCGTACTAGATGAAGTAGATGTAAAGAAAATGCAGATGGAGAAAGAGACGGAGAAACTTCCGTCCTTGGGGCGCCATTGTCCCCAAATCATCGAATAGACAAAAAAATAAACCAAAAAAAAATTAAATATCACATTATCATATCTCAGGGAGCTGGTCCGAGTTCGGATCCTGTTCCTGTCCATGCCAGCCGATGTATGGCCATCCCTTGGGTAGAGTGGAGTAAGGAGGGAGAGAGTAGCGGCCTACGCAACCTCCATCTTCGTGGCAGGTGAGATTGCACTGGTTGAAGACCTTGCAGTAGCACTCCTCGGCTTTGGGGCAGTGGACTGGGCCTTTTCCGAAGATCACTGTTATATGTTAGTCGGAGAATATAGATTGTTTTCCTGCAAGGCTAGTCGCTAGGAGCGAACGTACTATGCCATGAATACTCCATTATCCTCCCGCTCAAATCATCCTTTAAAGGCGTCTCTAGCAGCCATTTCTGGAATCGTTCGTAATCGCTCTTCGGCCGTTCCAGGACTTTCTCCCGTGTCACGCCGAACTGTGCGCAGCATGATGCGCCGACTTCTTCGGGTACGGTGGCGCCGGGGAAGAGCTCCATGAATCCCGTCTTGAAGTATTCGCCTGCGTGGACGTCTTCGCGGTGTAGATCGGAGAGCGGGTGGATTTCGGCCGGACATCCCAGGATCCAGACACAGCGGAGGTTCACATAGCCCTGTTCCTGTATATAGGGTATCTGGAGGTTCTTGAGCATTCGGAGGCCGTCGTAGTAGGGATCGTCGTTGTGCCATTGGTATCGTTCGGGGTGGATGAAGAGCATTACATCCGGGAGATGGTAATAGTTGTCGATTATATACCTATACATGATAATAAATGTGGTTAGAACAGAGGTTTATGTTGATAATTAAAGAAAACCCACGTCAAATACACCATCGACTCCCTCCCCTTATTTGTCTGCACGGTCAACTCCGCGTTCTTATCGTCCACTACATAGATACTCTTATGCCACTCGGGAAATTCCTCGAACAACCACGACGTATTATCCCGTTTCATACTGGCCAAGACCATATCCCTGCGCCTTCGCACCGCGGGACGCTCCCGCGCATCTTGTTTTGCGCGATCTCTAGATCCAGCGTAGGCGGCCTTATCATCGGACACTCCCAGCTGCCGGGCAGATTGGGAGTCTGAGAAGAACAGGAAATAAAGCGCATAGATGACCAGAATGGTGAAGATGATGGCTTTCGTTTGAGTGCGACGGCGGGGATTGCGCGTTCTGCGGGGGCCAAAGAGCATGGCTGGGGAGTTCGCGGAGATCGATTTGGCTGGACTAGGGTAAAGAACAAGATAAAAAAAACCAAACAAATATACAGAATGCTGACTTATGTGCAGTTAACGAAAGACTGGTATATAATAGTTATGGACTTGGAAAAATCATGTCAGCATGGTTGATTGACCTGCTTGAGCGGCCGGGGCTCCTTGGCAGTCGTAGCCTGGAAGTTTCCTCGGCTTGTCCTGTCTTCTCAGCGAGCCTGTCTGTAATGCGAAAAGGCCAAAGGCCGCATTGATGCCGCGAGAGAGATGAATCGTTTGCAAGATGAAGGGAAGAGGCGAGGAAAAGGGGAGACTGTAAGCAGTGGCGATCTGTCCCCTGGTTGACTTCGGTCTGGGCCCGTCGGGAAGATGCTTTTCGATGAAGTATAATAAATAAATAGTTCAACGAGTCCTCTACGTCAAGCTCACTCCCTACGGCTTTGTACTGCTCGACCATGTTCAGAGAAACAAGAATATGCTGGCGTAGCCTGGGACGCTGTCTGTTCGTTCCTCACAGCTTCAACAGTCCAGAATCGGACACTCTCAATAGTCATGATTGGAGCATAGGTGACGGTGGATGTCTTTTCACCACTTCGATCGCGCATTCAGGATTTGGCAGAGTTGATTTAGATGTAGCTGTTTATGATTCGCAAGTATCACTGCAGTAACTGCACAGTGTAAATGTCTTTGGGAGCAGACAGAGCGTCGAGTCCAAGATCGCGATGTAGAACCAGGGCATGCGTAACCGGCAGGACCGTCGTGTGAAGTTGTCAAGAAATCATTCTTCTGCTGGTCTTCCAATGCAGATTGATTAAAGATAAGAAAGAGTAGTGGTGGTGATGTTCTTCAACTCCAGCGAGAGTCTTTACAGTCAGAAGCGTCAAAGCGATAAGCTGTTCTCCCGAGGTTCATTTCCCCTTCATATTCCCCGCAACAACTCCTTCGCTTTCAGATAGAACATCCAACCCACCAGAAACCGCAAACATGCTGATAATCGGCCTCACCGGCTCAATCGCAACAGGAAAATCAACTGTATCCTCCCTCCTCTCCTCCCCGCCATACTCCCTCCCCATCATCGACGCAGACCTCATCGCCCGTCAAGTCGTCGAACCGGGCAAACCCGCTTACAGAGCAATAGTCAATTACTTCGGACCAAGCACACCAGACCTCCTCCTCCCAGGACCATCCTTATCGTCTTCTTCATCCTCAGATCTCAATGACAATTCTACATCCACGTCCGCATCCACATCAGAAAACAGACCCCTCAATCGCCCCGCATTGGGTAGGAGAGTCTTCGGAGACACGCCCGAACGCAAACGGGACCGAATGATTCTCAACAAGATAGTGCATCCCGCCGTACGACGCGAAGTCTACAAGGCGCTAGTGAAGAATTACCTCCGTGGGTCGTGGGCCGTGGTTCTCGATGTCCCTCTCCTCTTCGAAAGCGGTATGGATATCATCTGCGGGACCGTCATGGTCGTCAGCGTCAGCGATCCGAAGACCCAGATGGAGCGGCTGAGGGCGCGCGATCCGCATCTCTCCGCTGAAGATGCGGCAAACCGCGTCCGGAGCCAGGGGGATGTCAAGGGGAAGGTGGCCAAGGCTGAGTTCCGAGGTGCGTGGAAGGCGAGGGGCGTTATTGTCGTTAATGATGGTGATAAGGATCAGTTACGAGGGGAGGTCTCGAGGACTATGAGGATTGTCTCAGGGAGTAGTCCCAGATGGTGGTCATGGATACTTTTGTCGCTGCCGCCGTTGGCAGTGGGAGTTGCGTTGTGGAATATGCTGGTAAATTTCCAGCTGAGGAAGGGTTGGGAGCGGAAAGAAAGACAGGAGAAGGCCAATTCATGATGAATAAATATATGATGGATAATTTAAATTTCTATAATAGGGCCGTCGTCTTTTCCGGCGGCTAGAAATATATGTGACGCGCCAATTGGGTTTATTTGAGATCACCTTGCTAGAGGCATTCACTATATTACCCTCCATCAGAATATGTAGACAAACAAAGACAACCGATCGAGACAGCTTTCGTCAATCCTGCTGCTTCCGTCAGTTTATATCGGGATTGACACAGCGCACAGTCCCGGTCATCAAGTTCTTGGCGAATGCAGTATGTCCTAATCACTATTAAGGGTAATCCGGTCGTGTATGTGCATGGCCGTAAACAGCTGAGACGGTCCTGGCGTTGCGTCTCCCGATTTCTAGTCTTATCTGAGTTTTTTCCATGTAACTTAGTTGAACGTTGAGTCACTCCTGTAGGACTTCACCCTTGGCGAGTAGCTGATCCTTGAGTCCCATATCCAGCATTCAATTTTGCCAGGGATAGCATTCGGTTGACGGAGTTATATGTAACTGGTCCAGCAATATCAAGTGGAAACACGGCCATGAAAGTTTGCGAGTGCAACAGATAAATATTTCTCTTCAACTCAGAGCACTTGAGACACGGAGGTCAGCTGGTACGGGCTATCCGATGTGAAGCTGAATGGCTTGACTCTTTTTGATCCCTTCAGAATGAAGGCAACGGAACTGCCAGAGCTGGGTAGCATTCCGCATCCGTTCTGTACGGAAACTGCAGACTGAAAAAAACTATTCCCTTTGAAAAAGACAGGATCCTATTTATCGGTGCTTGCGCTTCTTCTGTGACTTTTTAGACGGCGGAGGACCGTGATGACCAGAACCAGATATACTGGACAGCCCACGCAGATCGACTTGTGACTTCTGCTTCTTCGCCTGGGCTTTAGCCTCATTAATCAACTCATCTGCATGAGAGTCCTCGGGTGATCCATCATCATTGATATTATCAATCCATGCATTTGCCTGAAATTTCCGTATAAGCAAAGACACGGGCAGGCAAAGTAAGAGACAACAGACCTTCTTCTTTTTCTTGAAATTCCCGTAGGATTGCCGACCACCATTGAGCAATTCGTCACCATCATCAAGCGATCCAGCAGAAACGACAAAAGGCGGCGGTGGATAGTTATCAGCTGTCTCTGCGGCGGCGCCTGAAAAATCAAGCACCCATTCCGACTCGCCGGCTTCGGCTGCTTGACGCGCAAGGGCTTCTCTTCGTTTATCCTCTTCAGCAGCAACTGCGGCAGAAATTGCTTCGAGGTCTGACAAGGGAGGTGTGCTAGATGGATCTTCTGTAGATACCCGTTGGCGCTTGGGGGAAGGAATGTGGGAGTCACCAGTTGACAGTAACTTGGAGGACTCTTTGGAGGCATTTGTAGCAGCAGCTCGTTGCATGAACTGCAGCAAAGATTGTCAGCTTATTCAACGGAGAAATATACGATTTTTTTTGTCACCAGACGAAACAGCATGGAAGACGTACTTTCATCGTCAACAGACGCGAAGACATGGTCTTCTCCGGCCTGGAGCTAGCTGAGGAACTGGACATGGTGACTGTAATGAAATATATCTAATGTTCAAGGTGTTGTCGATTCAATGAAGTTGGAAACGACTTCCTGCAGAAGAAGAATTGAAGCAAAAACGTAAGGCGAGGCGCGGGTAGACAAACAAGACAAACACGCTTGCAAATGGATCTCATCTCTATCGCCCGCCTCCCGCCGACATCACTGGCTTTGCTCTATCCCTCTGCAAGCCACCGTCTCTCCCTCCAGGGAAACGGAAGAAAACAAAATACCACGGAGGTTGCAATTATGCTGTCCTCCGCCAGAAGCCGCATTGCGGCCTTTTCCGCGTTGACAGCTCGCTTCGCCGCCCGCGCTAGCTACTCCTCGACTGTTCCTCGCTTCTCTGAGAACCCCAACCCGGCCAATGTGGAAGCCCAGCCGCCCAAGCCCAACGTGTCTGCGAGCAATGCCACTCCTATCGAGAACCCCAGTGCCACGAATGTGGCATTGCAGGAGGATCCGGAAGTTGGAGAGCGTTACCGTCAGCTTCAAGCTCCTAACCGGTCCAAGACATGGGCCCGAAGTCAGCAGCCCAGGGAGTTGGCCATGACTGGACCGCGGTTTGAGCAGACGATTATGGGGTATCAGGTTTGTTATTCCCTTTTTCTTTGTTCTTGGAATATTTTATAACCAATTGCTGTTACGGACTGTGCTTTGTTGCTAACAATACTTCTAGCCTCAACCGTACGCCGCCATTGAACTTATCCACAAGCAGCCTGTGCGCTGGACAAAGGACAGGATTGTCTCCTGCGATGGCGGTGGCGGGCCATTGGGCCATCCCAAGATCTTCATCAACACCGACAAGCCCGAAATCGCTACATGCAACTACTGCGGGCTTCCTTTTGTATGTTGATTCCCATGCCTTTGTATCAGATGCCGAAAAAAGAGGCACGCCACTTCAATGCTAATGAGTACTTACGAATAGGCCCACGAATCGCATCGTGCATATCTCAAGTCCCTCCCTGCGACTTCCTATCCTCTGGAGCCGGTGGGTGATGCGGCCGAGGTGAATGAGTCTCAGCGTGTTACTGAAGGTGGATGGGAGCAGCGATAGATGTGGTGGCTGTCTTTCGTTGGCGTTGACGAATTAATCTGTTTTCATGCGTGTCCTCGACTGAGGTTGTACAGTTTGTCAGACGTGATCAGTGCTAGAATCAATTCCTAGTGTATGTGAACTGATCTTAAAGTGCCACTCTTGTGCTATCAGAAATTGTTCAACAGATGCTTGACTAAGAAAACAACGATCATCACGATATTGAAGATGATCATCCAGCCCTGCAGTGGACTGTGCATTAAATACAATCGTATCCTACTCGACCTCACATAATTACAGCCCCATCCCCATCCACACACACACACACACACACATAAGTAGGTATCTTATAAAACTCATCAAAGCGCGGCAGAAGCATCTAGTCAGGCTTTCTCTCCTTGAATGGTAGCAACGACTCTCCGACTGTGCCTACTTGTGCGGAACTCCAAAAACCAAATCCCCTGCCAGGTACCGGTAGCCAGCCGACCGTTGGAGATGGGAATAGTAACCGAAGCGCCAATGAGGGCTGACTTGACATGTGCCTAGAACTCGGTTAGAATAAAACCTCGAATTAGATCCTACAAAGATGTAAGGGAAAAAAAGAAAGGGAAGGAAAAGGGAAACAAACAGGCATATCATCCTCCCCCTCAGCAGAGTGTCTATACAATGTTCCCTTCCTGTCAACCGGTACAATCCTGTCCAGAGCATCACTCATGTCATCGCGGACGTCTTCATCCCAGTTCTCATTTAGCGATAAGGCGCAGCTCGTGTGCTGGACGAAGAGGGTCAAGAGGCCGACTTTGTAGTTTTTTATCTCGGGAAGTTCGCCCAGGATGTGGTCGGTTATGAGGTAGGAACCGCGCGATCTGGAGGGGAGGGTGAAATTTTTTTGGAACCAGGACATTTTTTCTTTGTTCTTTCTATTTATCGCTTCTCTCTCTCTTTTCTGGGTCATTTTGGGTTTGTTAGCTGTGGTCTTGTGGAAGATGCTTCTTTGTGTGTATAGCTGCTTGATGTGATGGTGTGATGGTTACAACATACGGGATTAATTCTGACCAGGCGTACTGATGGGAATGACGCTCTCCAGGATATTTGATGGAATGAGAGAATGAGGTGGCAGTTGATGAGTTGTGGTTGATAGTGGGACAATTTGTATCGACGTCATGGCAACCCCGCCTTGTCTTCATTTCATGCCTTTAAAATGCATCAACTCCAAGGTATACCTATTAGGTATATAATTTCTGTAGGAAAGCTCTCAATTAAATGCCACTCGACTTTTCTTTACTGGCCAAAAAGCAAAGGAATGTGCAGAGTGTGTCACGACTCACTACCGAACCACCAGCAAAGCATTGTATATGCAAACCGTATGCTCTTTATACACATCTGTTTATTTAACGATCACAGAGCCATCCAGTTCCCTCCTTAGAAGGCGACGGCGTCCATTTCTGTATGATATTGCCCAAGTCATCCAGCAAGTCGCTCTTCCCGTCCATCCCAGCCCATTTGGGCTTCCCATCCAGTATATCAACCACGCGTGAAGTGTAGAAGATATGACAACTATTGCACGAAGATATATATCAGCTGCCAGCTCGTGGTGCAAATGCTCTACAGACCTCCCGCTCCACGTGAGCAGCATACCTCGCTTCAAACGCCTTCCTTCGCTCCATGGTCTCATTGTCCCAACCAGACAGGTCAATCAGCGTCGGAAAAAGCAAGCAGACACGCCTTCCCTCGTCCATGATCGGTGTCCGACAGTGACAGCAGGAGACCTTGGTAGGGGTCCCGTATTCAGAGGACTGGTTAAGGGATGAGTAGAATTCAAGCCCACAGGACCCATTGGCGAATGTCATGTCTGATTTGTGGAAAATGGCGGCCCATTGAAAGGGAGCTCCTGTATCAAGTGTCAACTGATGAAAACCATAACAAGCGCTGAATACTAAGAGTGCTAACCGTGCATAACCTGGCAACCTCGGCAGTGACAGTATTTCGCATTCAATGGCATCTCCCGTCGTAGAGAGTACCGAATATTTCCACAATGACATCTCCCACGCCAGGTAACTGGACCAAACTCGTCGGGTTTCAGAGTGAGATATGGAGGGCGGTGTTTAAATGCTTCGTCGTCGGTTGTGAGTTCCGAGGTGACATTAGTGTAGGCGGGTTTAGGGAGAGGGCCACTCCCGTCAGGAGCATCTTCAGCCATGCTAGAACCGATAGCTCTTCTGGATGCTGTAGCAAAAAGCGAGGATGGAGGGAGCAGATATCCTTGTCTGGCTCCGTGCTTCTTAGCCAAGAAGCCGGGAGAAGATGGCAATGTCCAGGAGGCAGCCAGAGGAGGAATAAGGAGACAGTCATGAAGATACGGTCTGCATCGACGAGTGCAGCATGAAGCACAGGCTTGCATGCTGTTCGACGCTACATAGACTGGATGATGATGATGTCCTCAAAGAGTGAACCCTTGAGCAGCATGATGTCATGGCGATGTATGGAACAGGCATGTTCACGACGAATCAGACACCCGGTAGGAGATCGAGAATGCCCTCAAGGTATACTCAAGGATAGAGACGAATGGATATAAGGATACGTCCCCCTGAGGAATGATTCAGGACATGTTGTCCAAGCACAAAGGGCTGCATCAGTCGGCCGATCATCTCGTCTCGCGATTCCCACTGCGAATCGAATCAAGCACTGGAAAGTCAATCGAACGGCTGCTGCTAATAATATCACATTGCCCTTGCAAGAGCCGGGAGGCTGTGGTTGCAGGGAACCTTGGCTTCGTGGGCTGAAACAGCTGCGCGCTTCAGTTCTCGGCAGTGTTTTATTCGCAGCTGATTATAATTCTCTGCGTTTGTGCTTGCCGAGTATCTTTGTCTTCTCTCCTTCAATATTAATGCGTTCCCTCTGGCCGGCAGTCCGTGTCCCTCCAGACTGTCTTCGCAGCCATGAAGCTCCTCCAGCGACTTCGCGAAAAGTGCACCGGTTCTCCACGCGACGACTATCCTCCATTCGAAGCCAAAGAACCCTTCACGCAACACAATCATGTCTTTTCTCCGCCTGCTTCCCGTCGAGGTCCGACGAGGAATCTCCCCGAGAGCATCTTGACTCGAATTTTCATTTTCGTCTGCCCTCATGCGGTGGATACTTCCTACGCGACATCCGAGGAGTCAATGACGGAGGATGGCTGCATGCTATGTGACATGCGGGATCTGGCCTGCTGTGCTTTGGTGTGTAGGCGCTGGTATGGAGCGGCCAGGGATTTGCTGTATGTTTGATGTTGTCGTTTCCTTCTGTTCACTAGTGGGAGGTTGCTTGCTCACCCTCTGTCCATCTATGCAGATACTCCCATGTCCGCATCGACCCCGTTCATTACTGTGAACTGGAAGTTGAACTGGCCGCCAAACGGAAGCGTGGATCCTTCCTCAATCGCCGGAATGCTGAGCCCATTGATGTGCCTGAGGTTCGACTGCATCTGTTCATGCGGACGGTTCGAGAGTCCTCCGATCTGGGGAGGATGGTTCTGTCCCTACGCACGCCGTACATGACTCGACAGGCAAACAAAGCTGAACTGGCACGCACCGTGTCTGTGTTACCCAATCTACGCTTCGTCGACCTTCCAACAGGCGTCTATACCGATGACCCATCGTGCTATGTGTTGAAGCAGGAGCTTATGGCGCGCTGTCCCGATATTCGTCGAATGGGCTACCACCACGGGTCCGAGGGGAGTTTCTCACAATTAGCTGGTTCCCAGCTTTGGAGGAATTTGGAGGTTCTAGAGCTGTCTGGGCTGCAGGTTGAGACGAGGGTCTTCCGGTGTGCGCTGAGTTCGTTCCCTAACCTTCGTGACTTGACCCTGGAGGAGCTTCCCAGACTTGACGATACTACCTTTACAACCAATCCGTCTCTCCCTCCCTTTCCCGCAATCCAAAATCTTGCACTCCGAAATACTCCCAATGTCACGGCAAGCGGGCTTGCCGGCTTCCTATCCCAACCGGCCAACCGGATGGCCTTGCTTCATCTAACCCTCTCATCTACCGGAGTCCTCCCGCAGACTTTACATCAGATCCTCTCTTTGACTCCACACCTCCGTGAACTCTCAGTCCTCCAAGAGGTGTCGAGCTCTTTCCCCATCGAGCCGGTTCCCCCATTGGCATCTAAGTCGCTCGTTCTCCTCCATTACGAAATCACCTCTGGTCACAGTTACAACGTCTCCGAGATTACAAAGCCGTTTTATAGCCACCTGATTTCATCTCTGGTATCCAACTCTCTCCCTGCCCTTGCTGAGCTGTATGTGCGCGACTCCGACTTCCCGGAGACCCTACTCCTCGCACCACCCCCACGACTGCTTGCCGAAGGCGGCACGGGTGGCCCCCAGTCATTCGGCATCCTCTCACAACCACTCAACGTTTACAGCAAAGGACTTGACGAGCTGGAGTGGAATTTCACGCCCTATGAGCCACCTTCTGCCCGGCCTCGCGGGAATCGAGACAGCACGACTCGCCCGGTTAGCCTGCGCAGCGCGCACCTAAGCGCATCCTGGGGCGGGGATGCAAGGAAGAGTGTTCTGGTCGGGAACGGGTTCGGCGGATTTCTCGCCGTGCCTGCAGATGACGGTCGACCGAAGAGCGGTGCCGGATCGAGGCGTAGCAGTAGGCAGGACCTATGGCGGTGATTTTTGCTGTTATATTGCTTTGTCCAGACTGCTCAGTGAGTGGTTTGACAACCATAGTTTGAGATCTGGTATCTATGTGTGAGAATGAATCAATGAACTAAGCTTATGTCCATGAAGACGCAAATATTTACTCAAAAAGGAACAAATCACCACCCACTATGCTCGTAGCAGTCTCAACATTCTTCCCAAATCAGCCCTTGCATCCACATCCCCAGCCACACCCATAACGATACGGCTGGTAGTAGTGGCTAGATTCGAATGGCCAAGGATGAATTTTTGAATTTTTGCTCGCACTGTAGGGATCATCAGTAAGGGATTTAATCCATTACTCCTTGCAGTACTTGCATTATACACGACAGTGCCTGCAAGGACAGCCATGCAGGGAGAGAACATGGTGAGCTTACAACAACAGAGACTGTATAGGCGAGTCTTCCTTGTTCTCTAGCCGGGGAAATAGGGGAAGTTGGGGAAGGCTTCTCCAGGAGTTCCCCTGGGGATATCCGCATTTTAAGCCTTTGACCTGACCATAGACACGATCGACTGGTGGGAAGAAAGTAGGGATCTGCTTGCGATCTGCTGAGGCTCCAACTTGGATTTCGCGTCGCCTTCCGCGCCACAGGCATTCTGCCGCGAGACCGCCCTCACTAGGCAGTCGCGTCTGCCTGCAGATTGGTCTTCTGTCCTCAAGGTCAACTCTCCATCCTGGTATTCACGTCCCAGAGAAGTCCACATCGCACTGGATGTCATCCTCGGAGAGCCGAAGAGCGCAGAATTCGTCCGAGGAGTCGGCATCATCCGCGATGACTGCTGATTCTGGAGTTATCGATGTATCTGTCACTGGCCGCCTTGGCTTTCCTGCTCCCCTCCCACCAGTCAATACGCATCAGATTGGATGACAGCTGGCCCTGTTGGCTTTCCTATGATCACATCAAGACAGTTACCGCTCATCTTTGTGTTCTTGTATCAGGGGGTGAGGGCCTACTGAGGGCCGGCTGGGGACAGTTCGCAGGGAGTTGTAAAAAACGAGGGATGCTGGATACGGCGGCTCCTATAGGTGAATTGCATTAGTACTACGAATAGAAGAAGAAGAAGAAGAAGAAGAAGAAGAAGAAGAAGAAGAAGAAGAAGAAGAAGAAGAAGAAGAAGAAGAAGAAGAAGAAGAAGAAGAAGAAGAAGAAGAAGAAGAAGAAGAAGAAGAAGAAGAAGAAGAAGAAGAAGCAAATATATGCTATTCAGACATGGGAGGAGAGAGGAGAAAAGAAGAAGAACTGAAGGGCGTGTAGATGCAATATGTAACTGTTGGTAGTTCCCGTGGTTTACTCCTTCCTAGTTAGCATAGCGTAGATAACTACCTCTACTAGTGAACTCCTAGCTAGAACAACCCACTTAGCGAGTTCGACCCCTATCAACATCTCCAACTTCTGTTTTGACCCTGTTGTTCTTGTCTACCTTCCTGTACCATAGCCTGACCTGTAGCCTGCCTGGCGTCCAATCCAGTCGATATCTGTTTCCTGACCTCCCGAACCCGCACCTTGACATCTTCATCAATCTATTGATTGGTCATGTTGATGTTGAGATAATTGAATTTATTTAATGAATTCAAAAAAGTGTCATTGAACTTGGGCGCGGGCAGGTACCTAGCTACAATAGGAGTAGTAGCCAGCAACAACGTCAACAAGAGCTCAGATAGCATAGCGAATAGAAGTAATTTCGTACCTTCCTTCATGCTCGGACCTCAGTTCAGCTCCCACGATGCCATCAGCCGGTATGCCCCCGCTTTTCAGATGAAGAGAAGACTCGCAAGTAAGAGTGGACCCCCATGATTGTCTTGCACGCCTTTCTATACCCCTGAAGGTGCCGGGAAATGCTTAACTCCACCTCTTGGCCTCATATGGCAGCGCAAAGAGAGCAGAGAGGATGCCTACCCAGTCTGTGATCATTTTTACCAGGATGCGGTGGTTGGAGGCATATGGAAAGCTGATGGACATGAGGGTATTGTGGAACTCCCACAAAGGGCCTGCACAGCCCGGGAGGTGGTGAGTGAGAGACCAATATCCACAGGAAATAGAATGATCAATTGATCAGGAATTGTGGCATTTCTCGTTTTGTTGTTTATGGACGAATGGTGGTGGATATTAACCCTAATTTATATATATCTAATATTTAGTTATCCCATCTTAACTAGGCTTTTTCAACAGAGATCAGTTTCCACATTTCCTGCGTTCCTAAAGCTATATATATATATCCCACATCTATTCACCCACCCTCACCCCATCAATACCTATAATTAATCGATACTAAATACATAATAGTCTATCATGGAAGTCATCAGTCGTACGCGTACGCGTACAGCAAGCCAAACCAGACCAAACCTCATCCATCCCAACATTCAACATCAATATCAGTATCGCCACCCATCCAGCTATGCAATGGCCAAGTTGAGCCTTGTTGAGTCCAGAAATTGCTGTCACAAACTGCTACATTGACAGTGAGCAGCAGGCATTCAACAGTGAAAGATCAAACAAACGAAAAATAAAGCACAAAAGAAACCAGCACAACTCTATTACGTGTCGAGTCATCAATAACAGATGACAAAATCACACATGTCTCCCGACTCCCAGAGCTCCCAATACCCTTGAGCTTTCTGGGGGGAGATGGTGGGAAAGAAAAGTGCCTGCAGTCAGGTTCCCCAAAACCGACTCAGCAGAGCAAGGGACAGAATAAATAAAAGCCAAACGCACTTTGCTTCACCAGCAAATGCAACGGAAAGGGTGTATAGTTCACTGAACATGATAAGAGGTAATGACAATATAACTCGTAACTGTATTGCTTGGAGCCGGGTCGGTCGTGAAATAGGTCCGTATTTATTTTTTGGCATCATGTTCAAGGATCAGTTTACGTGCTTCGTTAGGTTCAGTTCCGAGGATGTTGATAAGATATTCGATGCTAGGGATGAAGTGAGCAAATATGCAGACCGAGAGATGTAGTAAGAAAAAAAAAAAAAAAAAAAAAACTAACCTAGCTTCAGATGCCAATCTCCGTCTCTCCAGTTGGAATTCCTCCTGGCACACTTCCCAAGTCGTCGCACGTTCGTTGGGCATCACTGTCTTAATCCGAAGCTTGAACAGTGCACTCACAGGCCGATGATCCGACGCGCGAACTTCATGTCGCCGATATTCGACCTGCTTGATCTTCCCCAATCCGCGATAGAGCACCCGATCACACCATGCCGGCGCACGCTTCTTTTCGCTCGAATCATAATTATCAGTGCCAACATCATACTTGTACGTCGGCGCAAAGGTGATGGCACCCTCATTGAAAGACCGCAGGCGGAAACCGGGGTTCTTCCGTCTCGACGCGAGAAGTTGATCACGGTCCAGCAGTTTGGTGAGATTATTGTTCCTGATATCATCAATGACAACGTTTCGAGGAATAGAGTCAATGCGGTAGTTGAGGTCCCCGTTTAAGATGCAAATTTCGTGATCCGGAATCATAGAACCATCGCCGCCACCGACGAAGCGGTCCGCGCGGGTCGTGGGGCTATTTTCCGGCGCGAGAGAGTCACTTTCTAAAATGGCAGCGATATCGTTATTACGATGTGCCGTCTGTGACTGACCAGCCGCCAAATGACAATTGACGAAGCAAAGAGACGTATCATCAAGAATAAAGCGAAGAATGAGAGCGCCCTGGGAAGAAGTCAGTGTCAAGATATGCAAGAAGAAAAGAACAGCAAGAGTGAGGACCATACCTTATTCCCGTGCAGGCCACCCATTCCACGTTTAACCTCTGCGGCACTGATGTTTTTAATCCTCTGACGTTCACTGTGTTTGATGAAAATACATGTGAAGAGGCCAACAAGATTTGCCGTGTGAAGGAGCACATATGACTCGTCCAGGGGCATACAGTCATTAATACGCCTAGTCAGATGCTCAATCCAGACCCGATACTGCCGACTCATATGCTCCTTTTCCCCGCTGTCCTTTTTCTTGCTGCCCAGAAGCAAGGACTCTGTAGTACGAAGTTAATGAACTGTCATTGACCGAGTTATAAATGGGAAAGGATTCGAGGAAACAGGGAACGAACTGGCTGTGATCGTCTTGTTCTCCAGGTCTACAAGTTCCTGGAACCCGAAGATCAAGATCTCGGGAGGGTTGTCTGGATGGATTGCATCCTCGATGAAGTCGTTGTCGCGTACACTGCCTGGAGATGAAGCGCCAGCATTCCAAGTCAAAATAGAAGCCTGTATTTCACGGAATGTGCAGTATTCAACATCCTTGGCTTGCATTCGAGCATCTAGATGTTGGCAATCAAAAATTGTCAGTCGTCAATCAATAAGCTAATGGACATGGAAAAGTCTTCAGCTCACCGAGCCAATCATCCTCCAACGAACCATCCCAGAGACGGATGCAGTTGTCTCCCAACGATGTGACCTGCATACGATTCAACGTCCAGAGACTGCTTGCATCTAGCAGAAAGCCACAGACGGGTTTATCGTGGGCGCGCCAGTCCTTCTTCACAACCCACGGATTTGCTGATGTGTCGTAGACATACATCATACCAGTATTATACGCCGCCCATAGATAGTCACCGACCATACTCAGGCAGTTGATTTTATAGGTGCTCACAGAGACGGAAGTTATGCACGAGAAATCCGTCGGTGAATAGACGGTAATTTTACCGTCTGCGTGACCGAGGTAAACAAGGCCACCATTCTTGGAGGTGTACGCGCCAGACGTGACGTCTCCAGTGTGCAGCCGACTTAAAGGTCGTTTCAGGACCTTAAATGATGCAGCATCCTGAGCGCCGGGCTCATAGACATGAACCTCCCTGCCCGTAGCTAACCAAAGCCGATCGCCTATAACCATGGAAAACGTGTGGCCTTTGGCAACACGGTCGACCGGAGTGTGGTAACTGTACTGCAGATTGGGCGTACCAGTCTCATCTGGATACCACACAAGTAGCTTACCTTCATCATCAATAGTCCAAAGTTCCTTCTTATGTCGAAGAATCTTGATGACTTCGCGACGTGAAGGATAAGACCTGGATGCCACTATGGACTGGGTAGCAATATCAACTTCATGAAGTTCGCCAACGCTCGTGCCAAGCCATAACCGCTGGCCCTCATCTTGCAGTCCTTGGCCGGGCTTGAAAGCAACGGACAGGCATTTGACAGTCTCGCCATGACTCAAACTCATAATTTGTTCGCCAGTCGCAAGATCCCAGACCCGCGTCAAGTAGCCAGTCGTACAAACATACTTCCCGCAGACGTCGAACAGCCGGGTATCGTATCTCGTGGGGATTTCTCTGGGGCCGCTCTTCAGGTAGGGTGGACGTCGGTTCACTTGCGTAGAGTCCGGGAAATCAGACCGGTACTTTGGTTCCTCCAGCGGCAGATCCTCTCCCTCAGGTTCCGCACGGGTTGGCGATTGCCGGTCCGGCTGCATACCAGGCTTTGTGGATCGCGAAACTGGTGTTGGATGAAGCACTGGGGGAGGAGGTGGTGGTGGTAGTGGTTGGACATGTATCAAAGCCCGAGTCCCATTGGGATGTAATGAAGTGCCTTCCACCTTTGCAACCGATGTCGGACGCACAGAAAGATCTGGTGCATTAAGCGTCGATTGTTGGCGAGATGGAGACACATGGCCCCGACGCGCAGGCAGGGTTGGTTGTCGAGGCGGTAGGCTCGGACGGTCGTGCTGAGCGTCACTGATGGAGCCTCTTGAAACTGGAAACGGCGCCGCATGAGTACCCGGGCGCGCGGGCATCCGTGGCGGTGGCGGGACATGCTGCATCATCGACGGCTTTGTATCCCGAGAAGGCTCTGGTATGGGCCGTCGCCGGGTGAACCCCAGTTCCCTTGCATCCCGCGCAGGCAGACGAGGCACACGCCCTTCGGAAGACCTGGCACGTATAGGTTCGGTTGATGACTGTGAAGAGGGAGTGAGCTTGTTAATATTCTCGGGAGAGGCCTGACGCTCTGGCTTCATCTCTGGACTTTCCGGCGGCGTGGCGAAGGGGGAAACTGGCCTCGCCAAAGATGATGACCGCTCTGGATGCGGAGTGGGTGATACCGTATCAGCATTCTGTGCCAAGTTCGGCGGCTTTATGGGAATCTTTGGCTTTTCCGCCCTGTTAACAGGCGGAGGCACCGACGAGCTCTTTGCTTTCCCACTCATTGGACTGGGGCTCAACCGTCCATCACTAGCCGAAAATGGGGGTGTGCTCGGTGATAGACGGCTCAAACGCTGTTCTCGTGGAATCAAAGACCCAGAGATGGGAGTTGTCGGTCGAGGTGATAACCTGGGAGGAATTGGAGGCATGGACTCGCGCGCCAGATCGGGCGGACTCTGGGAGAGTTTAGTCCCCGTGACATTATTTAGAGTCTCTTCATATTTGCGATCTCCATTTGAGCGAGGCGGAGACCGAGGAGAGTTTATAGTCAGGGTCGGAGCCGGTTGCGGTGACGGGGGAGGAAAGACAGCAGAGAGCGGCCTCTCTCTCCGGGCGGCCGAGGACCCGCGCCGTCGCAAGCCATCTCCATTGGCATGACCATACCGCTGGGGAGGGCGCGAGTCTGGATTCAAGCCCCAAGGAGAGCGCGGTCGCTCTAGATCGCAAGAGGCGCGAACTGGGCTTCGAGGATCATCACTTTTCGTAGGATCCGTAGCGTTTAGGAAGCGCGACGTTTCGTCAAGCCTGGGATGAGAGAGATTTTCGAAATGCGAGAGAAGACTAGAAACAGGTCTCTGTAGTTGTAATGAAACAGATCAGCAAGCTGTTTCCCCCTTCTTTATCCACAGGGGTTCTATTCAACAGCGCATACAATGGGAGCGTCATCCGGACGGTCCTTAACCCTGCCGTTCACTTGCATGGCGTAAACCACAATACCAACGCAAAGATTGCTTCGAAGAGATAGGCCGTAAAACTCATGAACCGTACTCGTCCGCAGGTATCCCCCGAGAGAGAAAGACTATGCCTTACCTCACATAGAAGGAGTGGAGAGACGGAGGGGAGGGGTGGCTGGGCGGGCCTGCGGAGAAGCTGAAACAACCGAGAAAATTCGTAGACGGAGGAGTCGTATAGAGGAACAAGAAGCCAGATGACGCAGGAGACGGACAGGATATACGGAAGATCAACGGGTGTCAACGTAAGGGAGGGAAAGGGGCATGGAACAGCGGCGGTGATGGCGATAGGTGGATGTAGCAGCAGGAACCGACGAGAGCGAGAGCGAGAACGAGGAGGTCAGCACAGCACGCGAGCATGGAGATGGGGAGGAAGCAGACACAAAGAGAGGAGAGAATGTGAGAGATTGGAGAGAGAAGGAGAGAAAGGAAGAAAGAAAGAAAGAAGACGATGATGAAGCCGAAGGACTCCGTGTGGACTGGGCGGGAACAGAAGAAGGGAAGAGGCCAGTCGAGCGTTGGTGGATCTGAATATGCATAATTCCTACTAAATACTAAATGGATATTTTTAGCCTGTTCCCGCGGTCTCCTGTCGACGTCCTGTCTTATTCCAACTTCTTCAGGTTCTCACGCAACGCTCCATCCTCTGCAATCTCTACAATGTGGTGGGTGCTGTCCTTCCGCTACCCTTCAGAATTATCCTGACTGCGGCATCCTCCAACAGCAAGCACGTCCTCAACGCCCAGGTATCCATTCGCGCGCCATGCTGTGAGTCTAACTGTCTACCTCTTGGCCACACGAATTACCGGTTTAGAAACCTAATCCCATTGTCTCTCCCAGGCCGAAAGTGGTTCGACTGCGCCGAATGCCACCGTGAGCAGGAAACACACCCCTTGAAGAAAACCACAGAAATGGTGCGTTTCTCCCATCGATAAATGCGAAATAGTCAACACATATTGATCGATACCTTTAAAATACAGACATTTGCCTGCAAGAAATGCAAAAAGTGTTTCCGCAAAGATGCCACCGAGTTTGACGAGACGTATGCCATTGCCTTCCTTTTTTGATAAATATCCTGAGTGAACCGTTTGTCCTGACATGGAATGGACAGCGATGAATACTGCCCTCACTGCGATAACCATTTCGTCATTGAAGCAGTCACTCCCAAGCCTGCCTTACGAGTCGAAGGAGAGGATGCCCGTATGGATGCAAGGTATATCTCTGTACCCTCTATTTGTCTATATTTAGATGATCTATTGACACAGCTTAGGATGCTCAAGGACGATCGCGTACGAAAAGATACGGAACGGTCTATATTCAACATCAAAGATGCATATGAACGGTTGGGCTGAGGTTGGGAATGTGAGGTAGACTTGTATCACTTGCAATGACTTACGACCTTATGCTTCCTCGTCCCAGTTGCCGTCCCCGTGTATCATAATATAGAACAGAACAGATATCCAGGAGATATATAGAATCGTGCCATAAAAATTGAGTTTTTTCTAGGCAAAAGAAACATAACCGCTCTTGCAAAACGAGTAGAAGATTAAAAAAATAAGGTCCCACAGTCAGCTTGGTCTATTTAATTAACCATTCCCTCAATCAGCAGTTTCCCCACCACCAGGCCGTGTGAGAATAGCGGCAGTTGTGGTCCCCGTACGACCCGTCTTCTTCTTCGCAGCCTCCTCCTGCTTCTCCGCCTCTATGCTCTTGACATACGCCTCGACCTGCTCGTCGGGAAGTATCTCGATCAATTTCCCAGGTGCCATGACGGCAATCTCGATGTTCTTTGCGCCAGTTTGAACAACCTCCAAAAGCGACCGGATGGTGAGCTGAATGGTCTCTTCACGATCCATATCATCCTTATGATTACGCTCGAGGAACTCGCGGACCGTCTTGCTGGACCGACCGATCGAATTTGCCTTCCTATGATGCAAGTCAGAAAGCCAGTTCCGGGAAAGAGGGTCTAAATAATATAAAAATGTACCAAGCAGAGTAAATCCCAGAAGGCTCCGTCAAATACAACCGCGGCACGGTATCTCCCTTATCGAAACCAACGACCAAGGTACTAATTCCAAACGGCCTCACCCCGCCACTTTGCGTATACCGCTGCTGTACCGTAGCAATGTACTTGGTAATGTACTCGATAGAGACGGGATCCTCAACAGTCAACCGGTGCGATTGGGCCTCCAACCTAGCCTTGTCGATGAGGATGCGCGAATCGGCATTCAACCCGGCAAAAGCGAGACAAACGTGGTCGTCCAGCTTGGCAATCTTCGAAGGCGTAATTCGGGTATCTTGGAGCTTAAGAGCAGATCGCTTCTCACAGCCTAGAACGACGACATCTTTGCCCTTTACGCCGACAGCGCAGGTTCCTGGCCATAAATGTAAACATGATATATTCATCCCACATTTTTTTTCTCCCATAATAAGTCATCAAACAGACGTACCCCGCTTAACGGCTTCCATGGCATATTCGACCTGGAAGACGTGTCCATCGGGACTGTGGACAGAATCATCGTCAGAAACGGACCGAAAAGAAACAGACAGCTACACCCCCGCCCACCGCTCTCATTCAGAGGAAGTTTGAATAGCCATACCTAAATACTAAACGAAAGATGAAGTTAGTAACCGATCACAATAAGACAAAAAGAACAAGACATCCTGGAATAGCTCAAGCTACCTGGTGGATAGTTAGGAAGCTGTCATTTACTCACCTGAAAGAGCACGGTCATATCCAGACATTATGGTACGAATCGTTCAGAGGTGAGGAGATACAAGGAGAAGATAATAGAGAAAGCAGAAGGTAAAGCCGGCAAAAAGAACAGCAGGGTACGTTAAAGGGGGAGACTATGCGTATACAACGACACTAGAGACGATGACGGTACGTAGCTCGGAGAACGCGAGACAGCCGCCTCCAGAGCTCCAGAAGCGCCAGGCGCGCAACTAGCCGCTCACATGTTCCTAGTTCCTTCAACTCCAGCCATCAGTAAGATGTTGTCTACTTAGTACTAACTACAGCAGGCTGTACAGAATGATTCAATTTGTACGATTTGCAATTAATAACATCAACCTAATCTGGTCCCCTTTTCTACGCGAGAGGACCAAGTTGGAAACAGTGTATAGACATTTTAATCTCTTCCACCGACAGCTCCCAATCCATCACATCTCGATCCAATTCCCGATAAGTCGCCTCGCTGCATGTCGAAATTTTGCTGGATCAAACGAAGAGATAAAAGATAAAAGAAAAAAGAAGAAAAGAAAAAGTGATCCCCAACACCCCCAACAGAGTCCGTTCCATTTGTATCCCATCGTGATCATGCCATGATTCTCCAAAGATCCCCATTCGTTGAGAGCGCTGAAATGGACACGGGAACGAAACATCTAGAAATGCGATGCCAAAAAAATGCTGTTGACCTTCCATCCAATCTGCGTCCCGAGTCTCAAAAGAAAAAGAGGAAATCCTCGGTCTAAGACGTGCCTTCCCGCTGAAGAAAAAAACAAAACCAAAAGAAATCAATGTATAATGCGCACGAAAACGAAGCGAACAAAAAAAAAATAAACATCGGAGAATCGACGTTGAAAGCGCCCCCGTGCCACCTTGCTTTTTTGCCGTCCTGGAGCTTTTGCTGAATCCTCTCTTAAAGAATCATTCCCAAAGACGGGATCGTAAAACCAAAACAACCGAAGGATGTCTCAACGAAATAACCGAGAGACTAGGCGAAATCCCATATGAACCAACGACGTACTACCAGCCTGCTCCTTCCCAACCGGATGCACCAGAACTGCAGGATTCCCGTATACAACCGTGCGGCGACGAGTACCAAAAAATTGCGTTATCCAACAACAAAACAAACTTCAATATTGACAACCAGATAAACCTCTGGTCCCTTCTCTAGTTCCGTTCCTTGCTCTCTGTTTTCTGTTTCTTTCAGATTTTTGAATTAGGCTTGGGACTTGGCGCCAGCGCCATTGCGACGTGAGTGGTCGTCTGCCACCGTCAAACCACCGAGTCCTGTCGAGAGGAAGGCAAAGGGATCAGCGGAACCATCATGACCGTAGAAAGTCCCGTTGGAGACGCTAGTGGATGGTGTAGCATGATCAGCAGCGCTGAACGCAGCTTGGGTGGCTGGGTTAGCAAATGCAGCGGCCGACTGAGAGCTGTTCGTAGAGGCATAACCGGCATTCATCTGGCCCATCGGGGGATATGCCCCGGGAGTAGTTCCCAGCCCAGAGGGCAGAGCATAACTGTTAGGTGGAGCCGCAAATTGTTGGTTGAAGCCCCCGAAAGCACCCGCAGTGGAGGCGAAAGGGGCCGGAGCAGGCGTGCTTGCGATAGAGCTGGGACCCATGCCAAATCCCGATGGTGGATCCATGGGGGAGGGGAAGCCGGATTCAGCGATAATAGCCGCTCCCGAACGGGGGGCACCGCAGCGCAGGCAGTTGATATTCTTGGCAAAGTTGTGATAGCCACATCCCTCAGAGCCACACTTCCAGTCGCCGGCGCGGAAGGGCACAGGCCCACCGCCGCCTCCCATTACACGGGAGTGGCCCATGCCGTGAGCACCGTGGCCGATGTGAGGGGGAAGCATTGATGGCGGAGCATAGCCGTAAGGGTATCCCATCGGGTCTGGAGCGGCAGCCATGGCAGGGAACGAACAACGGAAACAAGCGGTACGGCGTTGGAAGTTGGAGAAGCCGCAAGACGGGCAGGTCCAGTCGCCGGGTCTGGGCCGGTTCTTCGACGGTGGGAAGGGAGTAAGGATCTCAGCTGCACGATCCAGAACACGGCTTGAAGAAGGAGAAACCTCGATAGCCTTCTCATTGAGAGCGCGACCGTTCATGCATAGACTCTCAGCGGCCTGTGGGATAGATAGATGTCAGCCAAATACCGATATGGATAATATAATGATACCAGACAGATCGCATACCTCCTCGTGGGACGAGAAAACAGCAAACCCAGTGCCGGTGGGCTTGTGCTGATCGGGAGTACGGAGCGTCCAGAAAGCAATGGGACGCCCGCCAAACTGGGTAAACCAGCTTTCCAACTCCGACTGTGTAGTATCATGGGGAAGGCCACTGAGATGGAGCACCTTGCTACGCTCAGCCAGGAAAGCACGAACGTCCGCTCTGGCATCCATGGGCCGCGTCAGGATTTCCGGATGCTCGTGAGGAGGCTGGGACTTGCGGATCAAACCGCGGAGCACACGCGCGAGGGTAATAGCTTCCTCCATGGCCCGTCGAGGCGAAGCGGGCGCCAAGGCCTGCAGGTGGAAGGGAAGGTTGTGCTTAATGGGGGCCGAGGATTGAACGGGTTCGACTTCCAGAGCGGCACAGATGTTGGAGAGGGAGCTGGGACCGAATGGAAGCGACTCGGGATGGTGAGTCTGCCAACGCTGGTACTCGGTACGAAGATCAAAGGTGCGCGAGTGTTGCAGGTAGGGAGGGAGGACGACGGCCTTGTCTCGAGCCTCCCGAGGAAGCTGCACACGGAGATCCCACGAGTCCAACGTCACAAAGGCAAACTCCAAGTTTTGGCCGATGAGGTGTTCCTGAGCGAAGGCGTCGAAGCGGTTGATGGCATCGCGGAAAGTGCCTGCAGAGCGCACATGTTCCCAGGTGAGAGTAGTCAAGCTCGCTATGGGTTAAAAAAAAACGACTTGGGTCAGCCATTGGCCTCACAACACCGATGTACTAAAACCGCCAACTTACTGCAGAGAGGCGTGATGGGGGTGTTGACCGGTTTAACGAGGACGCTCTCGCGGTGGAGCTATAACAGGAGCAAGAACGAATCCCAAGTCAGCGGAAGAAGGCAAAAAGGGGAAACAATCAGGATTTTTTAGGAAATTTAAAAAATCGACAGCAGAGACAAAAAATGGCATTGACAACAATGACGTCGAAAATAAGCATCGACAGATATTTTCCAATGGTAAACTTACCTCCTCGCAGGTCTTGGTATCCAACAGAATCCATCCCAGTTCAATCACCTCCGCAGAGTCCTTGGTCACATAGACACCATGTTCGTCGCAGGTAGTTGCGACGTGGATGACTATGTAGCGATCCAGCTTGGGAGTAGGGGCTGAAACGGCTGCCATCTCTGACACTCTCTGACGCTCTCGCAGTCTATTAGCAGGAAAGGGGGAGGGGAGTCGTAGAGGCTTGAGAGGTCGAACAAGGATGGGGGAGGGGAGGGAAGAGAACCAGGTGCCTCAGCAGGAGACACGAAGGGTGGTGCAAGAAAAAGACCGGGAGAAACAGACGGGAGAGGAAGAAGGGAAAAGGGAGGGAGAAGAAGAGAAAGAAAGAAAGAGAGAAAGAAGGTAAAAGGGAGACGGAGACGGCGAGCAGGGGAGATAGGAGGCCTTTGCAGGATGGGATGAAATGAGATGATGGCGAGAGGCTCGCAGACTTCGGTGGAGCGTGGCTTTAACGAGGCGGGTTTGGTGAATAGTACTGGTTTTAATGTACCTCCCTCACCACGTCGGACAACTCACTCCACGCGCAGTTCAGTTCAACTCCAGGATCCCAGTCGAAGCTGAAGCTCTATTTGGCATTCTGTATTCACTGTCCTTGGATGCATCGACCCGTCATCGCCAGACTCTCGTGGCTCAGCCGCCGGTGAAGACATCCTTCGAAGGAACAACGCAACATGCACCTCCACGCCCGTGCCATACATCCATGGCATGCCATAATAAATGATAACCAACGCCATCCTTTCATGTGCCTGGCAGAATTGCTATTATTATACCTGGACGGACTAGGATCTACTCCGACTGCCCAGTCGCTCCCACGATCGCTCGTCTCTGGGGAAGAGGCCGGACACTGAAAGAATAAACTTCTGCCATCCAGTCTGATATCTGCATTATTGGCTGATCCTGCAGCGTTTCTTCCGTATCCATCTTCCATGGCATTTCGCCTTTTTCCCCTTCTTTAATCTCCTTCCGCATTCTAGAAAATCGCCATCAATGCGGCTTCTGGGTCGGTCCAGACATCACGTATACCGAACCGCAGAACCGCACGTTAAGCTCCGTTAATAGAAGCAAATATAGACAGTAACTACTCAGACTTGTGGTGAAAAAAATAAAAGAAAGAAAGGAAAGGAAATGCTTCAATAGTCCCAAATATACAAGACTAACAATTACCGAATCGTGAACTTCAGATCTTATAAACCAGCCTGCCCAGTCCAAACGCCGCCTGAACCTCATTTCTCCGAACACAAGACGCATCTGCGGACACGTCAATCATCTTGATTCTCTGTCTTGATCACAACTGAAACCCGACTGCGATCGTCTTCATCCTCATCCTCCTCGGCGATACTTGGTTCAACGGCCACTCCTCTCCGGCTGGCAGAAACAAAGGCTGGAGGTTCAACAGACCCCCGCAGACTTGCAGACCGGACACTCATGGCATCTGTCTCGGGTTCCTCCGTGCTATCTCGCTCACGGAGATTAACGGGCAGTCCTTTTCCTCCTTGTGACGCTGCCAACAGCTTAAGGACCGAGTTCTTCGCTTTCACGAGGGCATTCCTCCCTGCTGCATCGGCGGCCAGACCCTCCTGGATGGTTTCGTCGAGAAGCTCTTTGACTTCCTGAATAAGCTCGACGTTATCAGCATCAATAACTACAGCTTGTTCGCTGTTGACGCTTCGCAGGCTGGATCGGAATTGACTCTGGCTGTCTCCCATCTCGGGTGGACGGGAGCTTGACCGGGAGGGCTGTGGCGGCGGTGGAGGAGGAGCAATGTACAGTTTGCTCAATAGGGAAAAGAGTAGCTTCATCTCCTCTTTGGAGCATCTGTTGGGACCCGTGCTGATTCCCAGGACACGCTCCAGGATATCTTTGACCAGGGCCAGGTGGACGAACCCGCAAGCAGTCGGGCTAGCAGCACCGTTAGCGAGAACCTTCTCGCCGCCCAGACCAACGACCCTGCGCTCGTCCGTCCACTCTGCCAGCATACCAAGCAGACCGGTCATTAGCACCTTGAGTTCTCTCTGTCCAGCCGTTTCGTCGATATCTCCGTCACTGTTCTCCTCCGCCTCGAGTGAATAATACTCCTCCGCAGCGTTGAGGACCGCACGCACCGCTGGCACGCACACTTTCCGCATATTGTGTGTATTTCCTATTCTCGAGTGACAATAGACGGGTAAGAAATACGCAAGCACCTGCCGTAGCGCTGGATTCTGACGGGTACGAGGATGGAAGAAAGATACGATCAACGACTGCAGGAGAGCTTCAATTGCAGATTGGTTGTATTCTTGAATTGCAGGAGGAATGTTTTGGCCAGCTGGGGTGAATGCGTTCGTCAGCAACAGCTTCGAGAGAGCGGTCGCTGCTGCGGTCTGCACCGTTTCCGGTGAGCTAGCTTTCAGCGCTCGTGCAAAGCACTTGAACAGTGGCTTTTGGAATGCCGGAGGTGAAACTGTTTCTCCATCTGGCTGGGCAACTGGTGCAAGCAACGAGGGATGGGTGGTTATCATGTCACACAGAATATGCAAAGCCGTAACTTGTAATCCCTCGTGACCTTTACTATAGCAATGGATGAAGAGGGTCATATTCTCCTCAGCCAACGACTGCGGAAAACTTGTCAGCATACTCATAATTTCAATTATAGGGAAGTATAATTAAGCACACCAACCTTATCCAGCAGGCAGCAAAGGCCTAGACATTCCAGTCCTCGCTCACGGATGGGAGCTTCGCGACTCCGGACAGCGGGGACAACGAGGTTGTTGAGCATAGTAACCAGATTGATGTTTTGCTGCAGATGCCCCTGAACATTTTGGAGCATGCACTGGGCAATGTACAGACACTTCATGTTGATCACAATTTCCCGGAGAAGCTTGGCTTTAGCCTCTTCTTTGTTGAAAGGCTTCTCCTCTTCATAGGGGGTCTCGGAACGGGCACGCGTGGAATTAGTATCAGAGCTGATCTCCGACTTCGCCGAGGCGAAGCTGTCATCAGACAACACATTGTCATGAACCTCAGCGATGGCTTCGAGGACGACGCTGCAGAATTCACTTTCACCTGCCAAATCTGGGCCGCAAACACATCTTAATGTCTCAACGGTGAGCTTCGTCCATCCCTCGGGCAACTCCGACACAGCCAACAGCTCTCTGAGCAGGGAGAACATCTTCCGTCGTCCAACTTCGTCACTGTAGTCAAGAGTAATAGCAATATGGAGAAGCTGTTCCACGACAAATTCTCGTTCCACGGTGTCTTCATCATTCACTTGCCCGTTTTCTTTCGCCATCTGCGCCCTCTGCAAGTAGCTAGACGTATATTTTTCAAGAAAATAAGCGAGTGCTGTAACCTCAGGCATCTTCTCATCAACGAGTTTATCGTACTTGCCCTCGTTTTCCACGCGGCAGAAATCATTGAAGGACCGGATAAGGAATGCAGATTCGGCAGTGAGTGATTCCCAGAATGGTTCGTCAAATTCAACAGCTTCTCGATAATCCGGTCGGCCCTCCCAGAAACTGCGCATCGCCTCATGCGCGATGCCCCCATCTGTTCCAGAACTAACAACGTCAATTCGTTCAAGCAATTCTAGCAGTGCGGGAATATTTGGAGGGGAGTGTTGACCGACAGGGCCCCCTGCAGTAGACGCTTCGCCGGAACCGGCACAGTCCTCAATCCACCGGTCGTAGAACAACTTGCCAGTGGCCTTACGTACACTTTCATCTCGATCACGGAGGCCCCATCGAAGGAGCTTTTCACGCATAGATAGGGACAGATGGCGAAAGTCGCCTAGAGTAGGTAGTAAGCGTGAATATAAAGCGCGTCTTGTAGCTGCGTCTAGGTCACGAGCACGTTCCAGGAGATATTTCAATGTGGCCGCGGTGGCGGGCAAATTGATCAAGAGGGTCTTTCGCACATCCGCGCTCGTGTCATTTTGCATGATGTCGATCAACCGTTCCAGAAGAGCGGATGTGCTCTCATCACCACCTTCATCTTCTTCGTCGTTCCCGGCCAGCCGGCCCAAACCCATAACGGCTTGAACGCGAACCGAAGCCTCCTTATCTCGGATCCGTTTGAGGAGCCCCCCACGGAGGGTATGATACAGGTCATCATCGATAGAGTCGAGGGAATTGACGATGTTGACAGTAATCTGCGTTGCTCGAAATCGCACTGTCCTATCCTTCGCCATAAGCAGGGGCTCCAATAACGCAACAAGACTAGACGTTAATCTCGCAGTTGGCGTCTCCGGAAAACCCTGCAGGTCACCGTCTTCATCATCATTGGAACCGAAAACCTCCGCATCCTTCTCCGATGCATGCGTCAAAAAGCTACCCAGAAATCGAACAATGCGGTCGCCGACAGGCTCACTCTTCTTGACTGGAAGGACGCGCAGCATACATCGACCGATTTCCACGTTGAATTCCTTCTCAGCAACAGTCTCTTCTCCAGGAATCAAGACTTCCTTCTCCTGGACCTGTGAGTTCTTTTCTTTCTTGTTATCCTTTTTCACTTTAGGAGTAATACCGCAGCAAATCTCTTGAAGTTTCCGGAGGCGCACAATTAGTTTTCGATGGCCGGTAGTCGAACGCTGGGCATCCGCAAAGAGGGTGCAGACATCGCGACGGAGATTAGGAGATGATGATGGTAATGCTGGTTCCTCTGGAATTCTGACCGAAGGCGTCACAGAAGCTGCGCGCGCGTTTGACGCTGAAGACTTGTCGGCTTTGCGTGTCGTCGCACTGGACGAGCGGGCGCCAACTCGGCCAGGCATGGCTAGATGGCGATTGGGTCACTTCGCACTATGGTGTCCCTTATTCAAAGAAAAAGTTAAAAATAAATAAATACGAGTCCACTTCAAGAAAGACTCATGGATGCTGGGCGGAGCATTGGATTATTATCGTTGATGAAGTTGTTGTCGGAGATGTCACGGGGCGGGGAAAAGTAAACAAACAGCCCGGACAGGAAACGCTAAGATAAGGGCTAGGGCTGGCTTCCGCTCATGTGACCTCAATCCAGCCTAAGTAGGGTTGTACGGAAATACTCCAAGATAACTTTCAATTGTATAGGTGTACCATTGCCTTCGTATGCAGTCATTGACACGTATTTGTCCTATTTATAGCTTATACACAATATTGTAGGCCGAGATATCCCCATCTCTGTGTTCCTGAAATCCCTCTGGAACCGCATCCAGTCCTGTAAGCACCTTGGGATTACTGGACAGTGCCATTATCTAACCATGCGGGCAATTTCTCAAACAGTTCTCTGAAAAGCCCATAGTCTTCTTTCGAAGACTGGAATATTTTGCACACATAAAACGTCATTATATACCCACAAGCAAGACGTGAACGTCAAAGAGGACGTAGACGCTAACGGTTGGCATCAGAACTGGGGGGTACTTACAGGCCACTTAAATTCACCATAGCTGTGATCTTTCAAGAAAGCTGTCCATACCAGTACGTCGGTGACGTGCGTACCAGCAGCGAAATTCTCAGTATTGGCCTTGCCAGGTCGCACGGTACAGAGATTTCCACCCTCTCTGCAGAGTGCGCCGGAAGCGGTGGCTTATGACGTGAGATTTCCGATAGTGTCAAAGACATGCTTTAGATTTGAGGCCACTTCATGGATCTTCTCGACTACCTGCGGGTCACTGTAGTCGAAGACGTGCTTCGCGCCGTACGAGCGGACTCAAGCGGCATTCTTTAAGCTGCAAGTTGTCACTACGTCCAAGCCGTAGATCAAAGCGAGCTGAATCGCATACAAGCCAACACTTTGCTATGAGGAGTTAGAACGCAGGCACTACTTTGGTGTGCGAGACTTACAGCTGCCACCCCAAGTCAGCACGCTGGTACCCTTGTCCTGGAAGCGATTGAGGGCGAGACAACTATTGGAAAACAAGGCAAGCCATGCTGTAGCCGAGGCCATGGAACGGTGCTGGCATGTTCGCATGATATGCTCTGAGGAACTTGGAATGATATTCGATCGTCGGCCACGCAGTACTGACTGTACCCGCCCAGACCTTTGATTTTGCCTGCAAGGTGGGAACGCGTGAGTGCTAGTACTACGTATAGCTTTTAAATTGCTTACCTCTCCAGATCAAACCTGCCTGCCACAACATCACCCTTTGCGAACCGGATGACGTTACTACCCAGCTCAACAATATTCCCGACAAAATCACATCCAAGGACAGCTCCCGGCGTTTCTATCAAAGGACTGGATTAATGAATGAGCGGAACTAATAACTCACTCATCTGGGAATCCAGAGCGGGGCATACCATCGGTCGGGTTCTGCGCGACATGGGATATCTTAACAAGCACTTGGTTCGCCGATGGAGAAAGGATGGCAATGGTTTCTTTGGATGATACTGGAGACTGTCCGTCGGCAACGCGTACAACCAGAACTGTCATGGACTCTCCATCCATTTTTTTTTTCTGATGATTGCTACATTTGAGCTGTGAATCCCGAGAGATGCAGGCCATACTCTACAGTTAACTAACTAGTTAGTTAACTGGACAGAGGGGATGATGACAAATGAAATATTGCCGTTCAGTGCCATATGATTATATAAGCAGGACGCCGACACCGCCGGGCAAGTCCCGACAATCGGCCGCGAAGACTGAAGAATGCAGAATGTCACTGCTCGAGATTCTCCTGTCTCACTTCGCGAGGATCTCAGCATTGTGAGTGACGGGTATTCCATTTATTTATTTGCACAAAATGTTCCGATCCAGCATCAGGAAATTCGGCACAACGGCCCTGCGCGCCGCAGCGGCTGAAACATCGTCGTATGGCGTGCGAGTCTCCAAGGCGCAGGGCGTCGTCAATGGGCTGACAGAAGGTAGGAGACCAGTCGAGCTAGTTTCTCGGATATTCTTTGCTAATATCAGCCATTTGTGAATAGCAATTGGAAATACACCTCTTATTCGTCTAAAACGCCTCTCCGAACAAACCGGCTGCAATATCCTAGGCAAGGCAGAGTTCCAGAATCCTGGCGGCAGCGTGAAGGACCGAGCTGCCCTGTTCGTAGTAGAGGACGCAGAGAGAAAGGGACTTCTGCGACCCGGTGGTACTGTTGTTGAAGGAACTGCCGGAAACACGGGCATCGGACTTGCGCACGTCTGCCGTTCCAAGGGCTACAAGCTCGTTATCTACATGCCCAACACCCAGTCGCAGGGTAAAATCGATCTTTTGCGCTTGCTCGGTGCTGAGGTTTACCCTGTTCCTGCTGTGGCATTCGATAACCCGCAGAACTATAACCACCAGGCTCGACGACATGCCGAGTCTCTCGACAATGCCGTCTGGACGAACCAGTTCGACAACACGGCCAACCGCCAAGCACATATCGAGACGACAGGTCCTGAGATCTGGGCACAGACTGGCGGAAAGGTTGATGCCTTCACCTGCGCTACTGGTACGGGCGGCACCTTTGCTGGTACTACGCGGTATCTCAAGACCGTCAGCAACGGACGGGTAAAGGCCATCCTCGCCGACCCACCGGGCAGCGTCCTACACAGCTACATCCAGAGCGGTGGAAAGCTGACAGAGCGGTCCGGCGGCAGTATCACCGAGGGTATTGGACAGGGTCGTATTACGGATAACCTGAAGCCAGACATTGGTCTTGTTGATGGATCATTGAATATCAGCGACGAGAAATCCATCGAGATGATCTACCGGTGTCTTGACGAGGAGGGTCTCTACCTGGGTGCTAGTTCGGCACTCAATGTCGTGGCTGCCAAAGAGGTTGCTGAGAAAATGGGCAAGGGGCACACGGTTGTGACGATTCTCTGCGATGGTGCCTATCGGTATGCTGACCGCCTGTTCTCGGATACGTGGCTGCGCAGTAAGAACTTGCGGGATGTCATTCCTAAGCATTTGGAGAAATATATTGTATTGCCATAATACCATAGTGCGATTGACTGGGATAGCCTCGGGCCATTAGAACATGAAGAAAAGGAAAAAAAAAAAAAAACCAAAACCACAAGAGAATGTATATAGAGAGTCGACTTTTACCGGGAATATAAATAAGCACATAGACATGACTTAAATATCTGAGAGCTATCCACGTCTCTCCAGCGCCAGGCTCTTCGCTGAGACCACTAACTAACCCTCTTTTTTATACCGCTAGCTTGGGCCACATCTACAAGTGAATCCTCGCAGCACTATAAGCTCATTCGCAGGGTCCCACAGGTGTTCGGGCTGAAATATTATTTGTTTACAATAATAGCAAAGTAAAGCAGTTTTGACCTGAGTAACAACCGAAGAAGTATCTACCATACCATCTTTTCAGCCCAATGACAAGACACAGTTCAAGTGTACGGAGTAATATCCAGCTGTTTTTTCATAGATTGAACCAAAAAGGTGCCACAAAACCATGTTACTCAGGTCAACAAATTCCATAAATAATAAACCGCATGCTCTGCCAATGATGCTGGTGCCTAGAATTGAATGAGATTTAAGGGAATTGCAAAGGATCAGTGATATTTCTGTAAACTTGTCTATCAAGTGTTGGAGGAGAACATACCGCTATAGTAAGCCATGTATGCTTTGATCCAATGGCCCTTCAAGAGATAGTCGAAGGCATAAAAGTCAGATATGGACCAGACAATAGGAGCTTCTGCTCACTTTCCACCCTGTGAAATGTCGTAACCTCCGCTTAGAGTTTTCAGATCCAATATATTGTATTGGGCTGAAAGATCCATGATATCCAAGTAGTTCTTAGTTCTTAGATGACGCCTAAACCCTTCCGGGGCCCCAGTACACCGCCATGGTCAACAGTGCCTGAAAGTTTAATGTCTTCGGTGTCTTCAGAGGACTGAAGAAAAATGTAACACCAGTAGAACTTAATTATAATGAGAGTGCTGCATGTCCATAAAGTTCGTGCTTTGCTCCCTCATAAAGATGAGAGCATGAAGGAGAAAACGAGGAGGACAATATGGAAAAGGGCAGTTCGACTATATAAATAGCTCTAATCAGTGGCAATCTTCTATATGGGAAAGGGAAAGGCCTTACTGCAACTGTTAGGTAGGTTGAAGCAAAATACGGCCCCTATGCCGAAACCAATGCTGGTTAGGGACTGAGCTCGCACGAGGAATAAATCTCAGCAAGGGATAGATTAGTGAGACGGAGGATGAAGAAGGAAAAGAAGCTACATATGTCCTGGTCCATGCCCTGAGCCCTACCTAAACCCATTAAGGAAGTGAATGCATTCTGTAAATGATACTCATCATAGTAATCACCTTTGTGAATTAATTGAGCCTCTTAAACAATGCTGACTGCTATGTAATCATGCTGACAATAAAGACTGGGCACAGATACCATGCATAGCCTGCAAGTAGGCCCTTTTGACGATTCTGTGCCCCAGAACAGCTATTTCCAAGGAAATAAACCTAAACCAGGTCCGTTGAACACAAGACCATCCTTCCCAGGGAGCATTTCCGGACGTCAAATCCGACGCACCGTATAAGGCAGACCACCCGATGCTCAAGACACTTTCACCAGCTACGTTGACAAACACGGTCCGAAACGAGACTCTGGCCATCCATGTTTTCTGCAGTTCTCTGGTCGAAGAGATCACTTCCCTAGCTGATGCAGCTGGAAGAGTGATCGTCGGATCCAGGGCGAATATCTCTGGCAGCGGGCAGGAGTTCCTCGTTGAGGATATTGAGCCGGAGATTTAAATGCGGCTTATTTAGTCGCTAGTTACGGCTTGTAGCGCTATCATATATACGGACAGCCGTCGATTATTATGGATTTTGAGAATATGAAATGGTTCGGATGGGCTCTTGCTATGGGCTGTTTCGGGAGAGGATGCGGAAGTTTTGGGGCGTTCAGTTACCTGAGGATCCAGTGTTCAAGACAGATGCGGCTTCATAATACAATCAGTGAGACTTCTCACTATATCCTATGCCAGCTGTACGTCCATCCTATGCTGGCTATACGTCTCATCTTATTTGCAAACAAGACTGTTGGATCGGATCAACCCGACGCATTTGCGCATTGTCAGGTTAGGGTTAGGGCTAGAACAGCGTTACTTGTCTGACGCCACTTCAACGTCGAAAGAACGAACAAGGCCACTTGAAATCCAAGATAGAGATCTAGCTATACAGTTTCATATAGAGCCTCAATTTATCTAAAGATGTGTCGACGATACCACTGTCAAGTCGCTCGCCCGTCCGTACCCGTTGTATCCCACGCCTCTGAGGTTCCATTCCGAATGCTCCTTCTGCCTATTATAGCCTCTATCCATGGCACGACTGACAATTTCCCTCCCCTTCCCCATTGGCAAATGGATGCTCGCCTTCCAAAGCACCCAGCACCATTTCATCGATGCCCCGGGCTCTTCCAGGGTGGCATCGACCCAAGTTTTCCCACCGTCCCCCGAGACCTCGACACGGGTGACCGGGGCCATCTGCACCATGCGGCAGCGCATATCCTTTGACTTCGACCAGTCCTGAACCCGGATCAGAGAGATGAATCGTCTCACCAGATTCTGGGACAGCAATGGCAGAGTTAACAGGTATGTCGTACAGGGGAGGAGAAATGGGCCAGAACTTCTCTGCCGTGTCCTTATCGGTTACCTCCGGGGGGAGAACACGGTAGTCGTGTCTTTGGTAGAAGTTAGGGGATTCATGGTCCTGGACGGTGATTCTGTCGAGCCATTTGACCCATTTCGAGCCCGAGATGCCGGGGATGACGGCGCGGACGGGGTGGCCATGCCGGGCAGTGAGGGGGGTGCCATTCATCTAGACGGTCAGATATAGAGAAAAGGGACGATGAAAACACGAGAAGAACCAAACATACTTCCAAGGCCAGAATAACATCGCCTTCCTCCGCCAGACATCTGCCCAGCTCCACACTCCCCCCAAACCATTTATCTTCCTGACACCGAACTTGATACGACGAGAAACACACATGCATCCATCTCCCCCTTGTCCACTGAATCTTGTCTTCGTCCTCTGCCATTCCGGTTCGGAGCAAGACATCTCTCAACCGCGGCCCCTTCCATGTGCAGTTCATCACAGCGGCATCGCCCCAGTCAATGCCATCAACCTCCTTGAGCAACGTGCGCATCGCATGTCGTCGGTTCCCGGCACACTCAAGCGCACATGTTACCTCGTGTTGGGGGAATTCAGTCGCAAGCTGGTGAACAGTTAGGTTGTAGGAATGAGGGACTTGGCCGTTCACACGGACGAAGTGTTTCGAGGAGGCTATATGCGGTATTGCGCCGTGATTGCGGTCATAGGCAATATTGGAGGGTGTAATGAAGCTGAGATACTAGTCAAATGGGTTGACTTGATATGATACTTCCAGCAAAGTTGAAAACTAACCTAGATACCAATTCTTTAGTACTGGGTTCCCGGTTCAACGGGTCGTCGACCGAGTAGTCGATCCCCCGTACCTCGTCGATTGAGCAGTAAGAGAGGAGTTCCATCGTTAAGACAGACGGATTGGATGATTCCCATTCTAATTTTTGCCGAGTCCCAGTTTGTGGCTGCAGAGGCAACGTTCTGTAGGAACGAAGCAATACGTCATGGAGGCGAGCAGCACATCCATCTATGGCTTGCGTAGGCCAGGCAAGAAGCATCAGAGAAAAGGCTTGCAAAAGTAATTTCAAATGGAGTAGCTATGAATATTGTGATGCTATGCTGCACGCAAAAACAAACCCTAACGGGCAATCTCTCATCCCCCTCCGAGCTGTCGTGGCTTTGGCCGGGAAACGGACAGAATGTGGCGCTGCCTTCAATTGTTGTCGCGAATCATATGTAAATAAACAACTTCGGAATAATTGACGTGTTGGCTGACTATCCTTGCCATGTATTTCTCGTTGAGGGCTGGCACACGTAGGAGGAATTGGCTCGTGGATGCTCTAAACCCCGGGCATCTCGGTTGTACGTGTGCAACCCTAACTTTGTGCAATAGTTCCTAGTGAACTAGTTATGAAAGATATTGTCTCGGAAATGGAAGTAATTGAAACGACTGAAACGATTGAAACGATCGATATAGCAAGCATTGCAATCTCAATCCCGTACCATCACAATGCATACATACCCAAACACCGAACATATATATATACACATACAAGAATCAACCTTCAATAATAATACTTAAAGTCCACCGCCCCATCACCGGTCTGCACGCGCCTCGTATCCTCTTTCTCCCCATTCTCAATCTGCCCCTTAACCGCATTCTCCCGGCGCAGGTACAATGCATGCGCGACAATAGCCACCTGAGCCACCACCATCGATCCCAGGGAAAACGCGTTCCCCAGGACATACGGGGATTTGCGGTAGATCTGTCCCGCGACGATGCCGGCACAGTTTCCTATGGACTGCTGCAGACCGATGGCGAGGGCACGGCGGTACTGCGGTGCGACGTTGACGTTCAGCCAGGCCACGTTCAGTCCGGGACCGGTGTATGTCGCGACGGCGCAAAGGTAGGTGCCGAAGTATTTGACGGCGTCGCTGGAGGAGGCGAGGAGGATGATGTAGCCTGCTATACCGAAGAAGTTGCCTCCGATGAGGAACTGCATACCCAATCGTTAGCCGGGATGGAGGGGAGGAGGGGGCCGGGGGAACATACGACTGCATATTTGGAATACCGATCCGCAAAATAAGCCATAGCAATGTAAATAATAGCTGCCCACGCGTACACCGGGACGGTGAGAACATTACTCATAAGCGAACTGTACCCCAGACTCCTGAGAACGGCGGGCAAAAAGGTACTGAACCCGTAGAGAAGGATATCCTGGCAGAACTGGATGACAGAACTAAAGTAGACCTTGGGGTCTCTTAGTTCAATCCTCATCTCTTCCCAGCTGAACTTCTCGCTGCCCATGTATTTGCGGCGTTGTTCGTTGCGCACGCTCATCATCCACTTCTCCTCATCGGTGAGGAAGTAGGCATTTGAGGGGTCGTTGGGGAGTCCGAACCAGATGATCAGGGCGCAGACGAAGCTGAAGAGGCCTTCGATGATGTAGACCCATCTTTTTGTTTTTTTATTTCTTGTCAGCTGGGATGGAAAGCAGAACAGTAAGGGGTAGCCGAAGCCTACCTCCATCCGGCTTTTCCTGCTACTCCATCCATATGCAGCAGGCCATAAGCCAAAAGACCGCCGACAGCACCGGAGATGGCCGCACAGCTCATAAGGTAGGAGACTCGTTTGGCCTGCTCCTCTCGTCGATAGACCATGGTGAGATACAGGTTCAGACAGGGAAACAGACCGGCCTCACAGCCCCCGAGGATCAAGCGCGTGGCGTACAGGGAGGCGACATTTTCGATAAAGCCCGTGAAGACGGTGGTGATGGACCAGATAATGCACAGGCCCGTGAGGATGTACCGGGGCGTCAGCTTCTTCATGAGCACCGCCCACGGCGCCTCGAGGATGACATAGGTCGCGTAGAAGATGGACACGGCCGTGGAGAACTGGGTGGGAGAGGCGTGGATGGCCTCTGGCATGCCCGCGACCTTGACATTTCCTGATTCCTTGTTAGCCGGTGGTTATCATCATCATCATGGATGCTGGATGCTCAGCAGGTTGGATGCTCAACGGGCACATACCGATGTTGGACCGATCCAAGAAACAGGACAGATAGGTCAACATGATAATGGGAACAAAGACAGCGTCCAGCTTCATGAGCAGCTTCCTCTCCTTCCTCGGGTCCAAGACCGCTTCATCGGCCTCATGGATGCTCCCAGACTCAGCCTTCTGCTCGAGGGCACCGAAGTCTTTGGCATCGTCGGGGGGGGCGACTACATCGTCTGCCACAGCCATGTCGTCGGGATGCTTTGTCAGTCTAATGTTTGGTTGTTAGAATTCTCCTTTTCTTCCCCGATGCGAGAACTATAAGCAAGAGGCAGGGACGCGTTCAAATAGTCGATGGCCGATGGCCGGGAGCACATCCTCCGTGCCCTGACAGCGTAAATAGTCCACAGTCATACAGCATATAAGACAGCATAGTTATCTCCCAGGAATCACAGTCGCTCGATAACAGGGCCAAGTATATCTTGCCCGCACATTATTCGCGCCTGTTATCACTATCCGTTCGTAATACATATTAATATCGAATAGATCTCTGTCTATTCCCTGCATGCTCCATCGGCGCGCGTCGCCGATGCTCCTCCTCATCGGCCCGACGCTTCAGGGCTATTCAAGCTCCTGAGTGCTGAGTGTTGACCGTTGACGGTTCAGTGTTGAGCAGTTGACTGTCTCTTGGCTCTCGTATCTGCTATCACTGGCATAGGATAGTATGGGCCATTGACAACATAAGGAATTCTTCTGTCGGATAGCGTGTCCGAAACAATTAGGGCATCGTGAGCTTGGATGGATTGGCGTCGAGATAAGCCTATACTGAACCCTTTTATTGTCTGACTCTTGTTCATCCAGCATGCTCCGGTGAACCCATAGACCCATAGACTGTACTCCATACACATCGAACCTCCAAATACACCATGGGCAGCATACCAAATGCGGCCCACGAAGCCCGTCTCCTCAGCCGCGAAAACCGCATCACCAACACGTCCGGCCTGGCCCCAAACTACCTGCAAGCAAACCTCCTCATCCTCCCCTCCAAATATGCCTCTCACTTCCACGACCTCTGTCTCCGCAATCCCGTCCCCTGCCCCATCCTCGGCATAACACCCAAGGGCGATCCGCACTCCATCCAGCCAAAGGGGTGCATAACCACGTCCGACTTCGACATCCGCACGGACTTCCCTGCCTACCGCGTCTACGAGAAAGGGAAATGTAAAGCCTCCCGTCGAGACCTGCTAGATGTCTGGACAGACGACCACATCGGGTTTCTAATCGGGTGCTCGTTTTCCTTCGAGGATGCTTTGTCTGCGGCGGGATTACAACCCAGGCACCAGAAGACGGGGACAATAGTCGCTATGTACCGGACTAATATTCCCTTGCTGCCTGCGGGGGTGTTCGCTGATGCGACGTTCATCGTATCCATGCGCCCGTATAAGCTGCAGGATATTGAGAAAGTTCGCGAGATCTGTAGGCCGTATTTGGCTACGCATGGAGAGCCGCTTGCGTGGGGTTGGGATGGCGCGGAGAGGATTGGGATTAGGGATGTTGCGAGGCCGGATTTTGGGGAGCCGCAGGTTTTCGAGGAGGGGGAGGTGCCTGTTTTCTGGGTATGTAGTCTCTCTCTTTCTCTCTCTCTCTTTTTCTTTTTTCTTTTCTTTTTTTTTTTTCCCCTCTCTAGCTGACTTGACAGGCCTGTGGTGTTACTCCCCAAGTAGCCGTGGAATCGGCCGGGGACAAGATAGACGGCCTCGTCTTCGCCCATGAGCCGGGAAATATGCTGGTTACGGACTGGACAGCAGATGACCTGCAGAAATTGAGGGCAGGAGATGTGAGTCGATGAATTGACCTTGAAATATCTATGAACAGTGTATGTAGCGATATACCGTAACTATTATACAAGAGCAGTGAGTCTCGATAAGATACATGATACATGAATCTGAAGAATGCTTGAAGTGCTTGAAACCATCACCCATATAAAGACCAAACTTACCAATTCTATCCCCAACACCAAGCGCCATAATTTTGATACATTTCAAAAGGACCAACGAATCACTCCTCCGAAGGCATCCTCATATACGCATCAATCGCTGCACTGAATGCCGCAAATCCCACACATCCTGCAGCAGCCGCCTGCGGGCCAGCCTTCGCACCCAGAATGCCTCCCGTAATACAACCCGCCGCAACGCTATTCGTGAGATCGTTCTTCGCCCGGAGTCCCTCGATACAGCATTCCGTACCAGAGTACAACGCGCCGACGATGCCGAAGTTCTTTGCGCTGGAATATGACCGGGCACCCATATCCTTGAATCCGTGCCGGAGCTGTTGGCGCCAGGGGAGGTTGGAGATTTCGCGGCCTTGGGGGGTGAGGGAGCTATCGTAGGACATCTATACAATCGATAATCGACGGTGAGCTGACAGTCTCACATTATAAGAGGCTGGTAAACGTACACTAGCCATGAACAAACCAAAAGCACCGCCAAGTGCGAATCCCATCGTTCCTGAAATGGCGGTTTTCATGGGACATGATTCCATCGCGGCGTACATCTACATAGTTAGCAGTTGTCAACAGACATGACAGAAAAGGACAAAACAAACCATCTTAACCATCGCCTGCTCCTGCTCAGTCATCCCTTGCATATTACTACCCCCTCCAGCACCGCCTATGCCTGGCGGAGTCATGCCTGGGAAGCTCATGATGGTTTGCTCAAAACTTCCGAAGGAGCTCCTAGCTGCAGTGGTATATGCAGTTTTGCGCAACAAAGGGATCGATATAAAATCGATCAAAAATAAACTGATTTGTCAACACAGTTTAGCGATAGATATTATGATCGCAGGCTTGCAGCGAAAATTGTATCCGCTTCGGAGAAAGAATAGATTGGTGACACGGTCGGAGATCAAGCTACAGCCGTGATCATACGGGGGCCTGATCCTCTGAGCTTAGCGGGCTAAACGGGGATATGCAGGCCAGATCCAGATCGTATTGGCCTGCGATCAAAACGCCGAATTAAGACGAGGCTCGACGTCGTTTTCTTTTGCGGAGATGGACGTATTTCGCGGCGATGTATTGAGCTCCACAGAATTATTTTACGGGCGTCGCGGAAGACCAAAAACGTATGAATCACGTGCCTTATTTGTCAGCGGGTTGATCTCCTCTAACTAGTTATACAACCAATCTACTGCTGATACAGCCTGAATTCATATCAAAAAGAACAATGCCAGGCCGGGGGGCAGATGCTCAGGTCGTAAAAGAGTACTTTATATATATACATGTATGGGACAAAACGAAAATCGTAGCCCGTCATCCTCAAGATAGACAGAAGACATGGTAGCCTGAAATACACTGGCTGTTCATATATATACGCCTGGTATAGTCGCAGGCCGAATATATGTATACAATAAAATATCCCATAGATATACGGAATATAGTAACCACAAACGAATGTCTAATCCTGCTTTGCGGCCAATGGAGATCGAGACCGGCTCCTGTTATCGACTGCAGGGGAGAGGCTTCGTTCCCATTCAGCCATGAAATTGGATGCGGTCTGAGTGAGCTTCGACGGGGTAAACTTGGTGAGAGACGTCCAGGGTATGCCTTCAAGTAAGCTGCGATCGAGAACGGAATCGGAGGTGGCTTGGTTGTGATCTCCAAAGCTAGTATCAGTCAGCGAATTAACAATGGATTAACAAGCCAGTGAAGAAGAAATATAACTACCTGGCACTTGTCCGTGGGCTGCTTGTCTGCGTCTGTGGTGACTGGTCCTGTTTCGACTCAAGAGTCGAGCGACTGGACGAAGGAGTGTGCAGATTCCGAGATTCTGATTGCAGCTGCTGTTGAGGCTGCGCTGCATCCCAGCCATCCCAGTTATCATCAAGGTCGAGCAGGCTCATGCCTTGTCGTCCGCTCGGTCCGTTTTGGGTATTTGTATTTGATGGCTCGGCCATCTTGGCTGTAGATACGACCTTGCTTGTGGTTGAGTATCCCTGACCTGGTGCATCAATTCCGAATTCACTCCAAAACGAAGCACCGATATCCATAGAAGAAGACTTGGAGTCTTTACCAGAATTGGCCGTCTCAGCCTCCTTCCTCCGCGAAGACGACGACGACCGCGATGCGCTGTCTGTCTGGACAGATGACAGGCGATCCCGACTTCGAGGGGCACTACTCGAATCCCTCTTGCGTGTAGACGATGAAGGATGCGATGACGGCGGCACCGTCCGCGATTCGGTAGCGCTGACCCCTTCTTCTCCAACGGTAGCCTGTCTGATATCCTCCAAGAATGTCCATAGGCCTTCTCTCAAATCCGAGGCCATCTGTTTACCAGTACGCATGAGCATTTCCCGAGACGGAGGAGGAACGGATTTCCGCAAACTCGTCAAGACATCTTCGTGCTTCTTAGGATCATATGTGCCCGCCTGGAATCTGGCATTATTCTCGCGTCGATCACGATCGATAGAAGGCAAAGTAGCCGAGCGAGGAGTCCTTGGAATACCCCTCTCCGAACCGGACATTCCTGACCCAGTACCTGCAATGGGCTGTGCTAGCAACGACAACGTCCTTGTATGCGACCCCCGAAATACCCTCCGCCCATTAGGAGAGATCATGGTCCCCGCAGTCGCGGCGGTGCGAAGACTATTCCGTCGATCCAGCTCGCGACTCAACCTCGCTTGTACAGCCGACGGAGGCGTGTCCAATGCGTTGTCGAACTCGCCACTAGCTCTGGATGCCGGCGACCGCAGTGCCAACAACGGTTCAGCATGATGGTTGACCTCGGTCGTCTTTCTAGATCTCTCCGATAAAGCCCATTGTTTCTTCAACGTAGCGAGCTCCGTCTCTGCACGCTGAAGTTCTTCTCGAAGCTCGAGGACTTTTCGTTCCTGTGACGCAATGGCGGTGAGGATGTCGTAGCCTCCATCATCATGTTCGTCGGCGATCGCTGTGCCAGGGACGTGGGAAGGGTGACGGCTGAACGACGACTGTCGACTGGGTCTTGTCGTCGACGCAGACGGCGGTGTGCTACGATCGGGTGCTGGGAGTGTCGGGGGATTGATGGGGAAGTTCAGGGTTAGACGTTTGGCGTGTTGTGCGGCGCCATGTGGCCGGGCACGGGACGGGATGGGCGTTTTCTGCAGTGGCTCAGGCTGAGTCGGATAGTGAAAGTCCTCCTGTTGCTGCTGACGGGAGTCTTCTGAAGACTGTTCGTCGTGTTTTTCCGTGGTGGATGAAGGGGACAATGCAGGGAAGGCCAGAGTCAGACTGTTATCGTCATCCATGGCGGGAACCAGCCTGCTGGGTGAAGAATGCACGGCAAACAATAACAGTGTCTAGGAGCAATCGACAAAAGCATTCATGTCATGACAAACAATGAAATAACAAGAAAGGAGAGAACAGAAAAGACAGAGAAAAGAAAGGTGTAGCAGCGGACAAAAGAGAGAGAGAGAGAAACGGGAGAAGAAGATGACGATCTGGACCAAGCGTCGAAGCTACGGAGGCGTTGGTCGATGACGGCCCGCGAGAGCCTGGGCTGGTTTCAGGGGCTGCACTCAGCACTGTACATGATTATTATTATTCCTCCCGCTCCCTCATTCTCATTTTCTCATTCCGCTGGAGATGACAGCTAGGACCTGGTGATGTTCGCTGGCCTTTTCGTGGCCCGAGTTCCAGAATCCAGACACATCCATGCTCCCCCATAATAATCTCCAGGCGTGTCGCAGTTTCACACGGCCAAAAGAGGTGGACCCAAGTAATGCCACCAAATTTGTTTCCGCTGATGGCCGCGGGCGAAAATAAAGCTTACGCCAATCAACTCATACTGTTTGCTGTGGACGCTTGTACACGGCTTGGCAAGGACGGTGCGGTATCAAATGGACATATTTAACTGTTCTGAAGCAGGAGTAATTACCCAGATACATCCTCAAATTAAGACCGGAAATGAATTAGACCCAACAGCAATAAGCTAAAAAACGGGTACGCCAGATGCAAGAGTTTCCTATTCAGACAATGGATGACGGGGGAATCGACAAGGCAGAGAAACGCCGGCGAAAGAGAGACAGATAATCCGGGAATCACAACGCGTGTATAGAACATTGGACTGTCCAAGGGAGGTTGCTTCAGACCGACCAAACCAACCCATATATCACAAACGAAGGTGAAAAATACCAAACTCCCTTGCTAACCCTGAGAAGAAGGAAATTTGTGTATGACCGGGAAAAAAAAAAAAAATAATACAAGGGTAGAGAGACAACAAAAGAAAGAGAGAAAGGTGGGTGACAACTATTACAGATTTGTGAGCTCTGCAACAAGAATCCTGGCGGCCATATAAACATAAGCCCTTGGTCAATTAGCAGTCAAAAGGAAAAGATGTCTAACAATCCATCGCAGCGAAAGTATTTGCAAAAGGTAAAGATATGAAAAATATACAAGCTCACCACAACGCCGGAACCCTGTCTGTACAATAGTTATATTTGCAAGGAGACCCGGTATTGAGGAATGGCAGTTTAGATACCATGCCAGCGGTTGCAAAGGCCGTCCGACCATCGTTGATACAACACTTCTGATAGCTGCCGGGTGTGTTCCATCCCGGGTGCGTGCTGTCCGGGTAGATTGGACAACTGCGACGGTGACAGGTTAGCTTCTGTAGCTTGCTCGGATTGCCGTCGTCGATGGCTTTTAAGATGTGGGTTATTCTGGGCCAGGACCAGTTTTGACTTCTGCGGTGACTCCGGTGTTGAAGGACGGGAAACAAGTGGGGATAGTTTCGGGTCACTTATACGAAATGCCAATCAGCAAAAAATCCGGGGATAAAAACAAAAGAAAGAGAGAAGCACCTGTGAAGTTTCTCATTCATTGCCCGGATGATATGGTAAAGACCCTCTGGATCGACCATTTCCAGATCGCTCCAGGCCTCTGCCAACCGAGAAATCGCTTCCCGTTTCTCCTGGTCCCCCGTAGTGCCCAAGACTTCCTGGCAGGCCATGCCCACAGCCTTGCCGTATGCCCGTCTACCCAGCAGGGCTTCTTTACTTTTCAATTCGGAATGTAATTCCTTGGGGTTGGTGTTTTCATCTGGAGCTGAAGATGGTGAATAGGATGACCCAGTGAGTGCCTTATCGGACACCCGACGGAATTGGCGTACTGCCGACGGACTGTTCCCAAAACTCAAATCCAAAGCCAGAGGCTGCTTCACGCTGCTGGATCGGCGCTTACGGGTTGACCGCCGGACAGACGGACTCCGGTCTGCACCTGGCGTTCGCCGAACGGTAGAGTTGAGAGGATATTTTGAAGGAGTCGACGAGGAAAGATGCAAGTGCTCCATCATCTCCGTTGGCTCATCCAAATCCTCATTGTAGTCCTCATCCTCTGCGATGTCCAAGATATCCTTTGGGGCCTTCATCGTCTGGGGTTTGACTGTATCAAACACCCACCCATCGTCATCGTCCAACTTTGTGATCGTATTGCTAGAGAGGGAAGAAATACATCAGTCAGTTGCTGACACAAACATGAACAGGAACTAGCAGGATGAGCGACGTACAGTGACTCTGCATAGTACTTGAGATTCTCCGTGACTCCTCTCCCAGCATCCCAATCCTGCTTGCGCTGGATGAGTTCCTGCAAAGCCTCCGTTTTCCCAGCATTGCGGATGAACTTGTGCCTCAAGAGCTCCCGAGCGGTGGGCCTCCGATCCGGATCCTTGGTCAAACATTGAGAGACAAAGTCCTTGAATGTATTGCTGTACTGAGAACCTTCTAATCTCGGGGCGGGATGTTTCGGGATCAAGAAGAGGACTTTCATGGGATGCGTGCTGGCGTGCGGTGGTTCCCCGTTAATCATCTCAATTGCAGTGATACCCAACGACCAGATATCCGCCTTGAAGTCATATCCAGCCTGCTGGATCACTTCGGGGGCCATCCAGAACGGGGTGCCAACAAAGGTATTGCGTTGAGATTTGATATTGGTGAGCTGCGCAGCAACTCCAAAATCCGCTAGCTTTACCTTTCCTGTTTGTGAGAGTAGAACATTGGCAGCCTTAATATCTCGGTGGATCTTCCCTTCGCTGTGCAAGTAGTCTAACCCCTGCAGCAGCTGCTGGCAGATGATGGCGACATGGGCTTCGTTGAAGACGCCTGGTTTCAACTAGATTCGCCATCTCAGTAAAGATGATTCTAAAAAGCTTTCAGATTAATTATTTTCTTACCAGATCAAGACAAGAACCACCCCCGAGATATTCCATGATGATCCACAGCTTGGTACCTCGCAGGAAACTCCCGCGGTACTGCGTCACATATGGACTAGCGCATGTTGCCAAAACCGCGATCTCCTGCTGGATCTCTTGGATGTCATCTTCGCTCGATTCAAGGTCGATCTGGAGGATGAAAACGATCAATCGACGGAACCGCGCTAGGACGAAACGCATTTTCCCAACAGACCAAAACAATCAGGAAAGCAGACCAAACAAACGTACATGCTTCACCGCAACGATCTCCCCCGTGGCCTTGTCAATGGCCTTGTATACCGTGCCGAAGCTCCCGCCTAATCGTAGAAAGAGTCAGCATCTGCAGTTAGCTAATTTTAATAAACAAGGGTTCCCCGCCCAACTTACATCCCAACTCCTCCATCATCTGATACTGACTCGCCATATCTGTCGCCATTGCACGATCCGATTGTAGTAGAGGTACCGGGGAGAGTAATAGAAGCAATATAATCACAAAGGAAGACAACGACCGAAATCACGACCCGTGCACCCAGCTACTCCTACCGATCTATCTCACCTGTTTGGTTGGGCACGACGCAACCAAATAAAACCCAGTGAAAAGGGGGCATGAATAGCGACGAGATGGAGGACAGGAGTAGCGAGGCAAGACCAGCAGAGCAAATATTGACTTGCTCGCTACTGTCCTACAGGGGTAGGATGGGCGATGAACGTGCAGTCCATCGTTTTTCCCTGTCTCCCATGGCCCCGACAGCTAGTATTTCCGTAGCGCATGGCAACCGCCGGCGCTAGCTGTGTTGGGTTACGCCCCCTCACGTGCGCGTCTTTCCTGACCCTGCAGGAACCGTTATTAATAACTCTGCAGAAGCACCAGCAATACTAACTAGCATTGCCCTTGTCAACTTCCTTTCAATCTGGTTTCTGCATCTGCGGCAGCATGCAGCAGTCTGGGGAACACGGGTTTCAAGCCTGATACTTCCCCCCTGATGCACCCCGAGTATACACATGTCACCGATAGGGCATCGATCTCAGATGCCCGACGTTTCCGCCAAATACAAAACAGGAAATTTCATATGATACATCGCATTGTTCGGCGATCATTGCTTCTTGGAGAATATAGGAAATGAATACGGAGTACGGAGCAGGGAGATTACCGTGCAATTTGCGGATATGGCTATTCCCTCCGTGGTACAGAAGACCAAGTGCACAATGCTCTTCGCCTATGACTTTCCGAACCAGTTGCCACGAGCGACTGTTCATCGGTTTCATGGAAGATATGATTTAAGTCTTTGGCTCATTCATTGTAACCTAAGGTCGCAATAGGGCATGTCAACTGCCGTTGTCAACGGACTCCCTATACAACCGGCAATGAATCTAATGCCGAGTAAAGTGCTAGCTCGTCTATGAATGAATGTTGCAAGCCATCAACACAAGTAATCAATGTTAATTTAACTCAACAATGAAGCAGATCCAACAAAGCGCCCTAATGGAAATCCTGTTTCGAAAGCTTTCCAATAGATGCGATCCTAAAGATTTTACCCGGGATGACCTACTTACTTTCCACAACCACAGCATCGACACTATTGCAATCCTACATTTTCACACCACAAAAGTACAAAGACATACACCTAGTGCACGTATAAACGAGTAGGCAGGAAAGACAGCAATGATCTTCCTGCACAGTCTTTGTTCTCAACTATGATCTGTCCCAAGACAGCAAAACTTACATCACCGCGTCTGAGGAATGGCCCGGGCTGGCAGGAGTGGCATTGCCATTTCATTCGTTATCCAGTATGATGTTGGGATCTGGCTAAGGATAGAAGAGGCTTTGGCTAAGAAGGCGGACAGGTGTATGGTAATCGAGGAGGCTATGGTTTTCGCGGAGAGAGTAGGTGAAGCGCAGAGACAGGCTATATTGGAAATAAAGAATCTGCATGAGGACAAAACAGGGAGTTTGGGGGCTGCTGAGCGGCGGAAGAGGAATGGGAAGAGGGGTATGGATGAGATGGATCAGGAGGAGGTTTAGGGGTTGCTCTTCTATTCCAGATTGTTTCGAGCTCTTCCAAAGGAGATTAATTAACTCTTGTAGTTGTTCTAACATTCCAGCGAAAAACATTCACTTCGTAAATAAACATTATTATGGTCATTATAGCAAATTCATCAGAACCAAATTAACCCAAAGAAACAGTCTAACTCGCTTGGTAGACCTTGAAGCTAGCAAACTCCCAATACGCTGTCCGAAAACTTGTCGCATTCGTAGCAACAAACCTCTTACACGTCCCCGGACAGTGAGACATGCCCTTGTATAACCGGGGTTGAGCGCCCAGTTCACCACACAGATCGATATTAACGATGATGCTCTGGTTGCGGAAGTGCGAGGGAATATCGCAGTGTGTGCTGGGGAAATCAGCCAAGGGCTCCTCCCAGCTCGAGGGATCCGGGGAACCGGTCGTGTTGGTGATGTCGTTGGGGATGGAATCGCGAGGGAAGAACCAGGTTCTGATACCGGCATCTCGGAGTTCCAGGGCGTATATCTGTCAGATTAACAGATTAATATCAACTGAAAGTTTGAAAGAATGGAGTACTTACTCCCCCGCCGTTCTCGTTAAATGCCTTCCCACCGCTACTAGGCGGGCCTTGAACCTCGCAGCCGATATTCCCGTGCTTGGTATCACAGTCGGTCATCACCGAAGACCCCGTCTGCTTCCGCTTCGCCTTCATCGAGCAGCCGGATGTCGTGTGCAGAGTCACCTCGTTTCCCTTGTTCGCCATGTTGGTCCATTCCATGACGTCGATTTCACCATTTGTAGGCCAATTATTGGGGTCTGTCAGCCAAAGGGCTGGCCAGGTGCCACAGCCATACGGAGAGTGAATGACATCGAACAGGAAGAGGCCAGTGTCGTAGGCCTGCTTGGATTCAATCCGGACCGATTGTCGTCCATTTACCGCGTTGGTGTTGGACGTGTCGACTCTGAGAATGGCGGAATAATCCGTCGCATGGGTCAGGTTCAAGTCCTGTGCCACCTCTTGGTTGACATATCTGCGCCGGTAACATATGGTCAGTCCAAGTCGAAAAGAGATTCTGAGTTTTGTCCACATACTGAACGAATCCGTACGTCGGATCCTCGCCGGAAAAGAAATCGAAGTTGTCGAAGAACGACGGCCCCTCATAGGTATCCACCAACGTATAGTTGAGCTTGGAGTAGTTAGGATATCGATTGTTGTTACGGTTGCGGACTCCGACAACAGCGCCGACCACCACGGCCACGATCAGGGCTGTAACAACGAGGGCCCCCACTCGCCATTTCGTTATGCGGGACCACCCACATGGACCGGACGGAGGCTGCGGAGGCTGCGGCGCGGGATTATTGCCTGTCTCAGCGACGGTAATAGGGCCAGTATATTTCGGCGGAGGAGGATAGGGAGGTGCAGGGTCCTTGGGATCCAATTCGAAAACGGACGGCGGATTCATACTGTCGAGTGGTAGAACCGATCGGCAGGCCGTTTTTCGAGGCTGAAGGACGTCAACATCAGTTGGGAGTGTGTGGATAAGGAAGGGAAGTCGAGAAGAACCGTACACTTATCTTTGTATCGCCATTAGGCAACCAGACCGTTTCCTTGGGTTGCAGGGTTCAGCCGTCAGGATGAGGTGGTTGACAAGACAGGATTATGCGTTCCCTCCATAAATAGAAACAGCTGCGTGCCACGGGACTCCATGGGTCCAGAGCATCTGCAAGGAGCTTGATGAAGGATGGGATTTGATAGAATGAGCAGGGATGGCAGGACGATCGTCAGGGAAGCTGAGAGACATGCTATGCTGCGTGTAGCATGTATGCTGTATGCGTACGCGTCCAGAGAGCCTCCCACTCGGACAATTATCGGTGTCTGCGCCGTACGAGAATTAAATCACGCTCTATAGGGCCAGGAAACAAGCCTTTCTGGGCCCATTCTCCCGCAGCAGCCGGACGCACAATTCGAGAAGCAATCGAGATTACCCACTCGCTGCATTCTCTGCGCACATTAATTCGAAGTATCCAAATGCAGCACGTCACCAAGATCTGGCCCGTGCACGGCCAAGCCAGGGAGCTTTGCAGAGCTTGCTTTTCTTTTCATAACGCTCAAGATCGGTTTTATCATTATTCGAGTCTGCTGTTGCTGTGTCAGGCTGGTGCCGAAGACGCACCGCCACGGCTCTTGGCTGCTGCTGCTGCTGCGGTGGATTGGCCGTCATTTATCCCTCATAATACTCGTCTTCTCTTCCCTCTTCTCTTCCCTCTTCTCCCATCCCCTTCCCTGTCGCTAGCCTCACTTTAATTCCCTTTGGATTTATCTCTCCATTAGCCTCCAATTATTCATCTCCTTCACTAATCCAAACCCCTTATCGCGGTCGCAGCTGAGTCGTATTCCGCCATTTTAACCTTAGGCCAAGCCTGATCGATCTTCGCCTCCCCGATTTTGCTCTCCTCCATCATGAATTTTGGCCCGCACAAGCTGTCCCTCTTGCCCATGCTATCCTTCTGTGTTCCCAGAAGATAACACCGGCCGATTCTTGCTTCCTTTTACCGGGATCCAGGTTTCAGATCCCAGATTTTGCCGAGTCAACGGGAGATCTGCTGTTATTGGTCTTCAACCCCTGCAACGTCTTGCATCGGTGACTGCGTGGCGGTGCAGCTTATCCCTCCGTCGGATTTCTAGATCACAAAAGAAGCGAAAAGAGCAGAGCTCCTGTGGGTACCCCTCCCGGGTGGTGGTTATATGTGAGAGAAAAGTCATCACGTCTCGTGCTACACCGAGATCGCTGGTCCTCCATGGACGAGGAAGAAGACGTACGCCCGAGGCGTATTAAACCCGGCGCGAGATTCCTCTCGGGCCTTCGTTCACTGCAGCGGTGGTTGGTTTTCCTAAAGTCCAAGATCCCTTTCCTGAGAGAGATCCATGTCAACTTCATCTTCCTCCATTACGTCTACATTCTTTCCTGGATCATCATCGGATCCGTCATCGTTTACCCCAGTGCAAACCTCCGCTATATCGATGCTCTTTTCTTCGCAGCTGGGGCCGCTACGCAGTGCGGTCTGAATCCGGTGGATTTCAATTTGTTGCGTACATACCAGCAGGTCATTCTATATATCATATCCATGTTTACAACCCCCATTTTCATCAATTCCTGCGTGGTGTTTTTTCGTCTGTATTGGTTCGAGAAGCGCTTCGAGAATGTCGTTCGCGAGGCCAAAGAGACGCGTCGCTCCCGCGCAAGAACCTTCACCTTCACCAGCAAGGATGAGCGCGATGTTGACCGGGAAGAAAGGGGCATCGGGGGTCGACCGATCGTTGTTCTTCGCGATGAAGCGGGAGAGGCCCGCGGCCGGGGCCTGAACCACCCCGTGGCCAAGACGTCCGATAATGGCAACTCCGAGTCCGAGACCGAGTCACCCTCAGGGCGCAGCGCTGCCGACCCCATTGACCATGAGAAGCATTCCTCAGACTTTCCTCACCGATTTGGATTGGGGAACTTGCGAGTTCCTGTTCAGTTGAGTCCCGAACATCATATCGCCTTCCTGGAGAAACAGCGGAAGAACCGAGGTGCTCTACGGATTCCCAGCCCCCGGGAGTATGACCGTGGTGGAGGGCCGCAGACATTGGAAGACGAGGAGGATAGTATTACCCGAACCGACACCCATCAGTCTAGGTCTGCAAATGGATCCGACGTCACCGACACGATAAGTCCACTTGATAACCAGCATGTCATGTTCACCGAGCCGGATATGTCGCGCACGCGAACACGAGGGACGACCATTCCTCGAACAGAGACTCGTGCTAGCTGGCGTGACAACTTCACGCGGCCGTGGCATCGAGTCCGCCCGCTGCATACCATACGGAAATCATTGACGGGGGAGAGAGATCGGACAACCTTACCGTATCTCAGTTGGAATGCTACTGTCGGTCGCAATTCTAGATTCTTCGACTTGACCGAGGAACAGAGAAACGAGCTAGGCGGGATTGAGTACCGCGCCCTGAAGACCCTGGCCGTCGTGCTGATCAGCTACTACCTTTTCTTCCACATCTTCGGGATCATCGGTCTTGTGGGCTGGATTATGTGCAATTCGAAATGGGGTTCCGTCGTCACACAAGATGGACAAGGACGTCCGTGGTGGGGTGTCTTCATGTCCCAGTCCGCCTTCAACGATGTCGGGTTCACCTTGACTCCGGACTCGATGAACTCCTTTCAAAACGCTGTCTGGCCCCTTCTGCTGATGGCATTCCTCATCATCATCGGCAATACCGGTTTTCCTTGCATGCTTAGGTTGATCATCTGGGTCCTCTCAAAACTCGTAAGGTCAGGGTCCGCCCTCTGGGAGGAATTGCGGTTTCTCCTCGATCATCCCCGTCGCTGTTTTACCCTCCTTTTCCCTCGGAATGCAACATGGTGGCTTTTTGCGATTCTCATTATTCTCAATGGGACAGATCTGATCTTATTCATCATTCTGGATGTGAGCCTTTTCCCGTCCGCATTAACCAAGGGTTTTAATTGACGCTTTCTTTTTCTATTCTAGCTTAACGATGAGGCCGTCATTGGTCTTCCTCCTGGCTACCGCGTCTTGGATGGTTTCTTTCAGGCTGCATCCACCAGAACTGCTGGTTTCGCGGTTGTCAACCTAGCAGATCTGCACCCTGCCGTGCAAGTGTCCTATTTGATCATGATGTATATCTCTGTTTTCCCTATTGCTATCTCCCTGCGTCGCACGAATGTGTACGAGGAGAGAAGTCTGGGGATATATCACGACGATTCGGCCGACGAAACTGAGGAACCGAACACTGCGCGCACTTACATTGGAACTCACTTGCGCAAGCAACTTAGCTTCGACCTGTGGTATGTCTTCTTGGGATTATTCATTATCGCGATTGCCGAGGGCGGCCCTCTCCGAGATACGAACAAGCCTGCCTTCGAATTATTCAGTGTTCTGTTCGAAGTTATCTCCGCCTATGGCACCGTCGGCCTATCGCTCGGCTATCCGAATAGCAACGCCTCGTTTTCCGCCCAATTCAATGTCATCGGGAAACTGGTTATCATTGCCATGCAGATCCGCGGTAGACACCGTGGCTTACCGTATGCTCTTGACCGCGCTATTTTGCTTCCGTCGGAGTCGCTCCACCATGAGATGTCGGAGGCAGACAAGAAGCCTTATCGCAAACAGTCGACCGCCAGTGATATATCTCGACGGCAATCCAACGCGCAAAACCAACCGGATGCTGGTATTTCCACAGGGATGGACGTGCAGGATCACGCCCTACCTTCAGCAATCAATAATCGGGAACCTATCCTTCGTCGTCAGTCGACTTTACGAGGCTGAGAAGAGACTCCAGATCTCAATAGAGTTGCTGTCTCTAGCAATGGCGTTTGTGGATACCTTTCTGTCACTGGTGACTTAAACATGTTCGATTACAGCAGGACATATTTATGGTGCATACTTTGTGCCTGTATTGCATATATGCTTTTAATATTAGTAGCATACTGTTTGACTGGTTGATTTCCTTATTGGAAGGATGTGGATGTTATGTAAATGACTCTGGCAATATGTCTCTTCTTAACCATAATTTCCCAGTAGTTAACTAAATGTCAAAGATTTGTCATCAGCAGACAGAGGCTTCTGATAGATCTTTTCTGCAGGCATCCGACCTCAAACAGAGACACAGCAGGCATGCATATCACGTACAGAAGATTGGTAAAATGACAATTCTGCCATTGCTAGCAATCATACAAGGAACAAGGAACAAGCCATGTCTACATCTGTTGTCTTGGAGGTAGAAAGCTAGCCAAAATCCCCTTCACCCCCAGCGGCCATATGCGGATTTCCGTCTGATTCATAAATCACCTTGATGACGCGCTTATGAAAGCAAACAGTGGATATTTCTTGGCATGTAGGTATAGATGTGTAGTATTTTCCTGCTGATTCTTTCGTTAAAATCAGTCCTAGCTCCTTTTCCCCTTTTGTATATATTCACTGGCCATCGTGCCCTGGAAAGCAAGTCCTGTATGGCATTGAATACAGTCAATGGTCCCTCTTCTCTAGCATCGCCTCCTCAGAGGCACATCATACCATATACTATATAATCTCAGAAGACCGTTGAAGTGACTATTCACAAACAGACATCTATGCACTTGTGAGAAGGTCCATTTGCCGGATCATAACGAGTACGGCGACGATATCGGTTCCTTATATGGATCCGTTCACTGGCAGATACTAATGCAATATGGGTGAGTAACTAGTGCAAATGAGCTAGACTATGAGCACTGACTTCCTGGAGTCAATTCGGCAAGACATCATCTTTTGCCCTGTCCTGTCCTTGCAGTCTCTCAACCAGAGTCTAAGTGACACTACGCTCAAAAGTCGGAAATGATCTGGATATATATTTTTGTCTTATACATAAAGCCTTTAAATTGCGGTTGGATATGGTATATAGGGTGATTTTGTACTAAATCGAGCTTGTTTGCCTGTGGACCGGAAGATTCAAACGGTATGTCTGCTACATCCTGGAATCATGATATGGAATGGAATGGATACTGACTTGTTTCTGTAGATGCCAGGGGCAATAACGTTTGGTCAGATGGGATGCATATAACACGTTCACTCTGGTGCGAATATAACCTTCGAGAGACATTTTGTTCTACACAGAATGTACAGCGGTGACACACGCCAGGGACGTGGGTGGAACCTTTTTAAAAAATATTTCTAAAAGCCAAACTCTTCTGACTGTGAATCAAAGCTGGGGGAGGACGGTTCCAGGGCTACATCGAGACCAGAAGGGCAATCCTTGAAAGATGCCGGATGGCCATAAATTTGAAATGAACCCTGGATTCGGTCAAACCATGCAGTTTTTGTGACACCTGGCTGTCAACAACGCCACAAGCAGAAGCTACTATATTCGTTGGATAAAATTCTTGGACTTGATTATTGGTATAATGGCCACACATGTTACTGATTCCCACTCACGGTGCTACCATCCGAAGGTCGATATATCCAGATACCAGAACTACCGTGGCCAATGGCTTCAGCGGCGGAGAAAGTCGGTTTTAGATACTTAGGTGTCATGTCATATTTTTAGTCTATAGAAGAAATAATGCAAGACCAGTATTGCTTAATGTCCGTCCATATCTCGCAGGTTGCTGGAACCTGCGAGTAAGCAGTTCGGACAGATGGTTCTTGGTTGTTTATGTATCAGAGAGCATCCTTTGAAAGCAACTGTACCACGAGTTCCATGAATAAACGGACAGACAGACAGAAACTACCCATATCTAGCATTCTCCGCCTCATCATCAAACCATTCCGGCATAATCCCATAATTGTACACAGTGCTCTTCACCCTCGTATAGCTCTCATACGCCTCCCGACCATTCTCCTTCCCGATCCCGCTCTCCTTGAACCCTCCCCACGGCGACGAGGGATCGTTGAGATGATGTCCATTAATCCAGACTATGCCCGCGTCGATCTTCTGCGATACACGGTGCGCCTGGGTAAAGTCGCGCGTCCATATAGACGCGCCCAGGGCAAAACTGGTCCCGTTGGCAATGTTAATGATCTCCTCTTCATCCTTGCACCGGATGACAGCGATAACGGGACCGAAAACCTCGTTACAGGATAGATGCGAGGTCGACGATGTTTCGATGATGGTTGGTTCGAAGAAGAAGCCTTTCCCGGTAACAGTGACTGCCTTCCCGCCGCAGAGGATCTTGCCTCCTTCTTCGACGGCTTGGGAGACAAATGCTGTGCAGCGCTCCACGGCCGCCTTGTTGATTACGGCGCCTATCTGTGTTTTGGGATCGGTCGGTGCGCCGATTCGTAAAGCCTTTGTCCGTTTCTGGAGTAGATTGACGAAGTCGTCGTATATCTCCATGTGGACTAGCAGCCTGCTACCTGTAACGCAGGTCTGGCCACTGGCTATGAAGCTTGCGAACAGGGACGCCTTGACGGCTTGTTGGACGTCCATGCTTGGGAAAATGCAAACGGGGGCTTTTCCTCCCAGTTCTGCTGTGATGGGGATCATGTTCTGGCTGGCTACGGATGCGATGGCTTTATACGTCGCCAGACCACCGGTGATATCGATCTTGGACAGATGGGAATTCTCGCATAGGAATTTCCCCGTGTCTCGTCCATAGCCGGAGATAATCTGTAACGTCCCATCGGGCAAACCGGCCTCCTTGAACAAGGCACCGAGCTTTAGGATCGACAACGGCGCAAGTTCCGACGGTTTGACAATGACAACATTCCCAGCTGCAAGGGCTGCGCCGATCTTCTTCATGCTGATGAGCAATGGATGATTCCACGGCGTGATCTGAGCGACAACGCCCAAGGGTAGACGAACGAGCGTGTTGACGACAGGACCCTTGAACGGCGTCACAGCACCCTCCTGCACGCGAGCAAGGCCAGCGAAGTACTCCAGCCATTCCGGGATACGCGCCAGTTGAGCACGCATTTCCCGGATAGGACGACCAGTCTGGCGGACTTCGAGTTCGACGAACTCGGGGATGCGAGCTCGTAGCAATGATGCCGCTTTGACGAGCACTGCGAATCGGTCGGATGCTTCAGCTCGCGACCATGGCCCTTCCTTGAAAGTAACGAGGGATTTAGACACGATCTCGTCTACGGTGGCATGGGGAGTGGCGTCGACTGTGGCTATGGGCGACTCGTCCGCCGGGTTGATCACCACCAGACGGTCTGACGCTGCAGCTGCATGGGTGCCGTCAACCCAGTTCGAGATATGCGGGAGATTGCTCATTGCAGGTATTCTTTTATTGCGAGACGAAGATAGCAGGTGTACGCAATGGCTGTCCTTGAGAGCTAAATAGCTGCACAACGTTATCACTTATCAGGATGTCGGGGATGTTGGAGATATTGGAGATATTCGATTGAGGTGAAGATAAGCCTAATAATAGTAATTAATTCAACGATAAGCTGCAGCCTGGAAAGGAAGCGTTGTTCTGCACATGGATTGGGATTTCTGGAACTGACATTGAGCTGGGTGTTTACTGACCAGTGAATATTACTTCGGCTTTCACCTCTTTCACCTTTCCCCCCCAAACTTCTCCTCCCAATCCTCCTGAACACCTTGACCCATCCAGTTCTGAATTCCCTTATTCCCATCTGAAATGACATGTTGATGTTTTCTGTCTTTCTCGATAGGACAGCATGTCTCTGATCAGTAGAGATTCCCCCGCATCCTGCCGTTCATACAGCATCGCTCCTAATTCAGGGACTAGATTTGTCAACATCGACAATGCGATCAAGCGCACAGAGGCCAAATTCGAAGCCATGATGATTTTCCTTCGTTTATTGTGGAAGTTGGGGAAAGCGAATCCATAAACAGGCTACGCGTCGATGCGCGGATCTGGCTGGACACCAGTGATGGGCAGACCAAACATATTTTACTCCTGTCCATTGACAAAGCCGGCAAGAATCTTCTCTTCGAAAGATGGGAGAGAATTCAAAATCCCAATGCGATGACAACACGGTCCAATTGGCTTCTTATCCAGAGAGTTACCGTTGACTGTGCAAATGAGAATACTGTGACGAACGTGCCATTGCTTCTCCCGGTTACATGAATTCGATGATCCTATCTGTCTTCGCCATAGTATCAATCTCTGCCTTCGAAATCTCGCAGAGGGGTTGTTTCGCGGACGAGCTTTTGGTGATTCACCTTCTATCACCTTCATATAAATGAAACAATGGAATTGGAAGATCAAAAAAATACAGGCTAAAAAGCCAACGCCTTCTTATCGACAACCTGCGCATCCTCAAGGTCATCCTCCGACGCAGGATGAACAGTGAACAACGTCTTCGAATGCTGCTCCCAGCCTATTCCCTCCTCGCGGATCATGACCTGGTTCTTCGTCGGCCATACCTTACAGATAACCAGATACACAACGAATGAAACGAAGAAGGACAGTAGCCAGCCTAGATCGAAGAGACGCTGACCCCCCACGCTGACTCCAGTTGCACCGAGGGATTGCACGAATCCGGGAAATGGAAGGGCAACCCCGAAGAGGTAGGCGATGATGGCTTGCAGGTTGAAGCCTTTGTTGTAGCGGTAGCGGGGGTTTGTCCTTGTGGGGTTAAAGAGGAGTTCTGGGAAGACGTTGCCTTTCGTGAAGAAGAAGTCTGACAGAAGATCAGCGTATTTCCTTCGCATTGTACGGAGTGATACGACTTACAGTCGACAATCATAATGGCTACAATACTCGCCATGAACAGAGCATATCCCGATAGGAAATTCGTAAATGTCGTTGCGGACGCCAGGATCTTCCACGGAACAATCCCGTAGGCGAGAAACTCGACAATGAAGAATCCCCGACGCATGTCGGTGTATCTGGGGAAAAGAAGAGACATGTCCGATCCGAAGGGAATCATGTTGCAGGCGATATTGGTGCCGAGGACACCGACCATCCAGCCGAATGCTGCGAGAAACACTGCGAAACGCGCCCCGGAGTTATGGTGGTGATTGAGGATTTCGTCGAGGAGATCCCAGGGATTCCTGTCATGGCATCATTAGAATGATCGGTTACTACGAGTAATAGGAATCATACCATAGTTCAAGGTCCCAGAGCTTGTTCATCCCGGCAGTTGAGAGGATTCCAAAGGTTGCAGAGAGAGTAACAGCGAGAGGTTGGATAACCTTCACCCGTTAGCATATTCACGGTAACAAGGAGATAGGGGTATATACAATCTGCGGCCAGACAGCAGCGCCTCTGGTCTTACTCCAACGAGCAATATCCGGTTGATTGGTGATCAGAGTCGCGGTGTTCCTATTCCACGATCAGTACCTCATCCCCATCAACAAGAGATCCATATGCTCACCCCATCCCACTGTTTATCGCATGCATAAAGAACCATCCAAGTCCCCCTGTCGATGTCCTGCGCGGCAGAGCACCGCCCATATCCCCCTTACACGCAATCATGCAGTAGATGAAGACACCGATGATGGACGGTGTCATGACAAAGCCCTTGAACCAGAAGAACTTCTTCAACTGATACGGCCGGAAGAAGCAGAAAAAGAAATGGATCAGCCAGAACAGGAAGAAGGCCAGCATGCCTTTTGTCGTGATCCCGACGGATTCGGGGATATGGTTGGGGATATCGTTGTAGCCGTTTCCAAAGATGGCTCGGAGGATGTTGCCCATGTACCCTGAGCCGATGTCCACTGTTTCGATCAGGTCTGAACATGGAGAACTTTGTCTTTAAACGGACTCTGATATCACGTACTCTGCACACCATACCAAATAATAGCCAGGACAGCTCTGGCCCCGACGAAGTAATAGCTCCCGGAAAACCCAAAGACGGTCCTCGCAACGGCGGGATAGCCAATATGATAAACAGTCGCCACGCGCGAGTTGAATGCCATCGCGATTGACGAAATGAAATGACGAAATGAACTGCGAGACGAAGATGACGATGATAGCCTGCCACCAGTTGAGACCGATTCCGATCATAGCCTGTTTACACTGAGCAGGGTACTCTTTTATAACAGAGGAAGATGGGTGGAACTACCGATCCCAGATTCCAATTACCAAACGACACACCAAGATAGAAGAAGCAATACGTCAAGGTGTCCCATGCTGTCGATCAGCTTAGAAATACCCAATCCCTGGCGCGTCGAACGAGTATCCAACTCACTTTGCTTCTCTGGCGGTGTTGGCTCCAGATCTGCACGAGGAACGTTAGAACGCAGTTCCATAATGAAATGAGACGAAATGCAATGTCCGAAATAATAGAGCACCTTCGTTCATCCACAGAGGATCAGCATCAACATACGTCCTCTCGGTGGTAGCCAGCGTATCCTTCACCTGGACAGCCTTTTTGAAGGCGTCCCAGCTGGAGAAGGCCCGACGGCATTTGGTTTTAGCATCATGGACGGAAGAAGTGAGTCTTTCCATGGCAAAGTAGTTATGAAGAAAATAACTACAAGTATGCTCTAAGCATACGACGCCCGAGCGAAGGATTCTATAAGTACCAGACACCCGCCACTTTTCTTGTGCAAAGCTTATCTCGAAGACAGCATCGTACAGACCGTGTGAGCCACAGCAACGAATGATATCCTGGCTAATACTTTGGCCCTCAGTGAATACTCAACAGCCACTGACGGAGATAGCACAGCACTAGGGGAGTTAGTACCTGCATTGGAGATAACACCAGATAACACGCTGCAGATAGCAACCGACGAGATAGCAGGGAGAAGATAGCCAGTCCAGACGTAATTCGAGGGAGATATGGCCGAGTAAGACGAGATGGATAGATAAATGCAGTGACGAGTCGTGGTTGTGTCGTTGTCGTCTGCATCTTGCATAAGCTGGGGATTGAAGTGGCTAAATCCACCTGGCCACCCCGTGATGCCCTAATTTCTGGACAACTGTTGGTTGAAAGGAGCATCCGACAGCATCCACTCCAGATTCATTAAGATCAGCTACTTCACCGTGAAACAATGCCCCAGACGCACCGAACAAGCCCAAGCTGTGACGCTCTCTGACGGGGAACGCCGCGGGGGGAAGTACTCGGCATGCGCGGATGCCGAGTGAGACGGGCCAGCATCGGAATATGCTTGGGTTGGGGTATCAGGTGGGTTACTACGAATATCTACTCCAAGCAAAGACTGGGGAGTCTCTAATTGACGTGCGTAGAATCCCGTGTTCCCGTACTATAGCATGAGATGCCATCTCCCGGTCTCGCAGCAGGAGTTCTTCGTGAAGAATGCCACGGATACCCAGCTGCGTGCCAGCTATCATGAGGATGAAGGGTTTGAGACCATGATCAAGGACACGCTTTTTGATCTCCGGCGAGTAATGGCTTTTTTCGAAGTTGTGTAGGTGACATCGGACACTTATGGAAATTGCTTGTATGTAAATAGTACAGGGGTACAGGTACCACTTTCGCACGCGTAGTAGAGACAATTGATTAAATAACCTCCTCATATCTACCCCATAATGAAAGAGAAAAGGTACCCTAATTAGACATGCTAGGAAAGTGGGGAGCATTCAAAAACAACCCCATAAGTATCCCCCCCAGGGTACCAGCGACAGGAATCGTCATGATCCACGAAAGGAGCAAGAGGAAGACACGCTGGAAATTGACGGCTTTGAGCGTACCGTTGCAGAGACCCACGCCCACGGTGGCGCCTGTGATGCACATCGAGGTCGACACGGGGAGGGAGTACTGGGAGAAGACGAGAACCGTGATTGCGGCGCCCATTTCCATGGAGCATCCTGCATAGTCAAGTTAGTTTTCTGTTCTAGAGCCAACATATGGAGGGAACTAACCTCTGCTAGGCGAGTGGTAGGTGATTTTGTTGCCCATGACTATGCGAGAAGAGTTAGCACGAGTGAGATATACAGCCAGGGTAGCCAAACCCACCCTTCATGATATTGTAGCCGTAGGTAATAAGACCAACGGAAATCGCTCCAGCCAGAACAGCAAGTTGCCAAATAGGAACAGGGGCCTTGGATTTTGCAGCATCACCCGTCGACCAGGCGGAGTAGATGACAGCCCATGGCCCGACGGAGTTGCCAATATCGTTGGCACCGTGAGCGAAAGACGCAGTGCAGGCCGTAAGAACCTGGACAAACGAGTAGGTATGCTCGACTTCATTGGGATACTTCTCCGCATGTGCGTAGACGCGCTGCATTCGGGCTCCCTCTGGAGTGCCAGAAATGCCGGACTGGGCAGCGTGGATGTCGTAGTGCATACCATAGAGAGCGCCGACGACAATCATAGCGGGAATGCGCTTGCATAGGATCTTTATGTTCTGAAACTCGTAGATCTCTCCAGGTCCCATGGGGTTGTCGTGGAGGGTACGCATGGCCCAGCCAAGAGGACCGCGCTTCTTCCTCAGCTTAGCGTGGAATTTCTCCCGACCCTGAGCCATCAGCTCTTTGTAGGTAGGGTGTGACGCCTCAGCGGTGGCGATGCTCTTTTCATTCCCGTTGGGAGAAGGGGTGATGGCCAGATCGTTGTCGTCGGTCTTGGTCCTGTTGGCTTCATACTCGGTGACGGATCCACGGGTCGAGGGCTGATCCTCTTCCTCGCCCTGGACAACGGCATAGTCAGGAACCACGGCGAGTTCTGCGTCCGGCGGTGGAGGACGGTAGAAGAGAAGAGGGCCATAGATGATCATCCACCACTTGACCGTGTAATCCTTCTTGATGACACGAGCGTGGACGAAGGGAACGAAGAAGAAAGCCGCCAGGGCACCGACACCACAACCACAACTCACGGTGACGGCCGCAATGTACCACGAGGGCTTCTTCGCCAGGCCCAGACTGGGAGAGCCCTTGTAGACGATGGACAGCGTGCAGACGGTACCGGCAATGAGGAAGAAGAAGGGCGAGGTGTATATAGCCCAGGGAACGGGATTCTTGCGCATGTGCACGACCAACTTGATAAGCATGAAGATGATAGCACCAAAGCCACCGGAGATGACAGGCGCCATTCCCAGACCAGCAAAGATAGCACCGAGACCCTTGCCATTGTTCCATCCCCACTGGACCTTGGAAGCGCCTGCAGTCGCGACACCGACTCCAGCGACGGCGGAGATGAGCGAGTAGGTCGACGAGACATGGGCGGAATGCTTCGTACACCACATAACCCACGACGAGGCAGCTGCGAGAGCACAGGTGAATGCGAGCATCTGGACGCCGGCGTCTTCACGGAAGGCTGTGATGGGGATGATTCCGTTCTTGATCGTGTCCGCTGTTCTGGCCCCAACGGCGATTGCTCCGACCATCTCGAACACGGTGCCGAATATCATGGCCTGCCAGTAGGTGACGGATCTCGACGAGACGCTGGTTGCCCAGGAGTTTGCTACATCGTCTATGAACAGTTAGCGGGACTCAGACGAAGTGGCAGAGGAGATAGCGTTAGGGATTGCGTACTAGCGCCGTTGTTGTAAGCGTCCAGCAGGGCAAACAAAGTGCCAATGGCGAAAATGTAGGTATACTCGTGCGGCTCCATGGTGATGGACAAGGGAACCAGTTGATCGGAGTAATGAAAGTAACTGTGCTCAAATCATCGAGGGAGGGAGAGCATTTATACGTTTCTCGGGGCATCTACAGAGACTTGCACTCCCTCAGCCCGCCCAGGAAATGCACTCTGAGCCGCCCTGACTGGCGAGCATCTTGCCCAGGAAACGCCAAGAGAAGCCTACCATACTCCCACGCTCTCTTCCCTGCCACGTTCTCTGGTCCAAGGGTATAATTCGCATCGCCGGACAGCCCTCATGCTTGGTAGTCGCGAGACACAGTTGTATTCGACTGGATCAGCGCACGGGTCCTGGAACGATTTCCATGGTGGCTATGGCACCAAGACACGCTTTGCAGGCTGGAAACCCCCGGCGATGGCCCCACGAGGGAGACATGCTGGTCTTCTGGAATGCCTTGGCGGAGCGTCTAGGGCTTTAACCGTCACGCACACGAGCCTTGGCGGGCTGGGCGGAGCGTCTTGGCACGCCGGGGGGGGCCTTGGCGAAACCCTAACTCGCTGCCTATGAGAACCACAGATGCCCACACGTGCGCGGCGGGAATACGGCTGATATTGTCCTGCGCGAGACGCCTGCCGCGAAACATCGGGCAACGGGGCTGCAATCGTTGCAATGGGGTCCGCGGGATGCCAGTCATCTGTTCGGGTTGAACACGAAGAACCCGGCCTGGTGTCTGTCTCCTTTTCTCGTTCGCCTCTGGCTCACCTCCCGTTCGTGGCTCTGAAGTACGGTGCGTTTCTACCACCTGTTTCCGCCGTTGAGATCGGATGGCCGCCCGTGTCGTTGTGGTCTGTACTCGCAGCTGATATGTGGCGGCCATTGACCAAATCCGGTGTAAACTCCACGGAAATGCAGCCTATTTCCCTTGACAATCGACAATTGCACAGTCACATCACACGGGAAGATCTGGTAATGACACACCAGAGCTGCCTTGTGCTTCTGCCAGGGACAGCTCTGGTCATTTTCACTGACAAGATGACTGTACCTGAGCCTACACAGGAATATTCACCCCCTCCTGCCAGTTTCCGACGTCCGGAATGCTGCGTGCGTCGAGCTTCCTTTCCTCCAGTACAACCAGATGATATTGATTGGTATGTGGAATGTCTGCGGTTCATGCGGTTCATGCGGTTCATGGAGGCCCGACTACCCTCCGTAGGGATCTCACCATGGCTACTGCGTCGGTGGTAAGCATGGCTATTCTTGGAGCAAGTACTGACGTTGTACCCTGCGCTGTAGCACCAGAATGCCTTGAGCGACTGTTCCTCCGAATCAAGGAAGATGACGCGCATCGTCCAGTCAGCGTAGGACAAGCTCTTCCTCCTGAATCACTGCCGAACAGCCCGAACAGCCCGAACAGCACCTCAATCCTGCAATCCACTTCTTATCTAAGCCGAACTGCATAAGAAAGTGCAGATCGCGTGATTGATTACCGAAAGAGACGGTCAAAAAGCAGTCAGAATAAACCCCGCTCTTTCGCGGCCCAGAAAACACGCTTGAAGCAACTCCAGCAGAAAACCCTGCTGCATTGCAGGTTGCACGGGCTGGGAATGTGGTCCCTCTCCAGGCCCATTGCATGGCTCTACATTGAGTTCGGCGTCGCCTCTCTCGTCGACACCGGCCGCGATGCGTGGTTCATCATTCTGGCTCGCACCTGTCGCATGTTCGCTTTCGGGGCCATTTCTCTCGTGATTGCCCTCTTCTTCAACTCTCTGGAATTCTCCGACTTTCAGATTGGGCTCTTTATGTCTCTGACTTTGTTCGGGGATGTTCTTCTCTCGCTCTCCCTGTCTCTGGTGGCTGACCAGATCGGCCGCCGCCGTATCCTGTGTGCCGGGGGCGTTCTGATGGCCGTGTCCGGCGCAATATTCACGGTCTCGGAGAATTTCTGGATCCTCCTCCCTGCCGCTGTGGTGGGTGTCATCAGTATCGCGGGAGGCGATTGTGGGCCTTTCCGGGCGATCGAAGAGTCGACACTGTCGCATCTGACGACCCCGAGAACTCGCTCGGATGTGCTGTCCTGGTATGTGACGACGTCCTCGCTTGGGTCTGCACTGGGGACGGAATTCTCAGGCCGTACGATTGACTTCTTGTCGAAGGTCGACGGCTGGGATGTCATCGATGCGTACCACGCTATATTCTGGCTGTACATTGTCATGGGAACGTTGACGGTTATCCTCACCCTGTCCATGACGGATAAGTGTGAACTCTCTGAGCACCCACGGAGCGCTGAGGGCTACGAGATGCTGTCCAACGGAAGACAGCAAAGGGCATCTGATGCAGATCAGGCAGAAGAAGACGAAGGGCGCGAGGATTCGGGCCCTCTGCCCCCATACGAACAAGAGGCGGAGCTCTCGGAGAAGCAGAAGAAAAGCTTGTTTGCTCAGGTCTCGTCCGGGACGCGGACGATCATGTACAAGCTATGGCTTCTGCTAGCCGTTGATTCCCTCGCGGACGGAATGGTTTCGTATTCCCTGACCAACTACTACCTGGACCGGAAATTCCATCTGTCAAAATCCACCCTGGGCGACATCATGTCTGCCGGTTACTTCCTCATGTCCTGCTCTTCGGTATTCGCAGGTCCCTTGGCTCGACGTCTCGGTCTGATCAACACCATGGTCTTCACCCATCTACCGTCCTCCACGGCAGTCCTGCTCTTTCCAATCCCCCAGAGCGTTCCCCTGACGGTAATCTTATTCTTCATCCGCACCGGCCTGAACAGCATGGACCAAGCGCCCCGAACAGCCTTCATCGCTGCGGTGGTGAAACCCGAGGAGCGCACGGCCGTCATGGGAATCACAAGTATGCTGAGGACATTGGCGACGACGGTGGGTCCCAGCTTTACTGGTTTACTTGCCGGTCATGGTCGGTTTTGGATTGCCTTTGTCGTTGCGGGGGCTTTGAGGATTAGCTATGATCTGGGGTTATTTACGATGTTTGTGAACATGAAGCTGCACACGCATGAGACGACTGATGAGGAGAGTCCGGCTTGAGGGTGTCGGACTTTCCGGTAATGCACCCATGCCTCGATAGAAACGTGGATGCATTCATGCAGTGGATGATGCTAGGGACAGCACTAAAATCTATAATACAATATTCTCGTCAGATAATCGGGACATCACATTCGTTAAAAACACCAAGAAAGCAACCAGGAAGCGAAAGGAAAAAGAAAAAGCAAAGAATATGGTACATAAACGTCATGTCTAAAGCGTCCAGAATAAATCAATCCCGCCACGGACTCCGGCACGTTGGACAGGTTACATCCCTCATCCCATCCAGACACCGAGCAGCCCAGTGGTCCAGGCATCCCTCGTGAAAGTTTGCTCCGCATCGAGCTTTGCACCAGACAAGGTGCGATCCATCGTCAGTATGCTCGTTGTCGTCTGCTTCTGTTTCTTCCTGGCGCAAAGATGCATAGCAAATCGGACAGTCGCCTTCGATGGGCTGACGTCTGGCTCCATTGGGGGTTTGTGGAGTTGTCGCAACAGATGAAATAGAAGTGGAAGTAGAAACCGAGGAGAACGAGCTAGATCGAGAGCGAGAGCTGGAGCGAGAGCTAGAGCGAGAAACGGGAGTCCTCCGAGACGAGGAAGCCGGGCTTCTCTGTGTTTCTCTGGCCTGGACGCTGGTCGATGTGGGAGACGACAAGGCATTTCGGGCATCAACATTCCTCGTCCGATTGACTCTGGGCGTGACAGACGGAACTGAAGCCGCCGGCCTTGGTGATTGGCCTTCAATGGAAATGGTGTTTTCAGACTGGACGCGAGCATGTCTCTGGAACTCGCAGACCTTTGTCCTCCAGTCATCTACCAGATCAGACGCGCCATCCTTATGGCGCCAGCACAGAGTCCGCAACACCGCGTCTTCCAAAATCTCATCGACAGGTTGACCCTGCCGGAGCATCCGGGTACCTAAGTTCAGCAAGCGGGCTGCTTCGGTTCGACGGTCTCGACCGATGGGATTCCGACAGCGGCGTCTTGTTGATCTTGCCTGTCCATGGCAGTGTGTGAGGTCATCGAGCGGCAGTCCGATGATTTCGCAGAGCTCGGGCGAGGAAATGTTCTGATCATTCGAGGACATGTTTGAAAGGAGAAGTTTGTCGTTTGTCTGTGAATTCCTCAGAAAGGTTTTGTTGGACTGTCTGGTTCTCTGCATCCTCCCAGATATCCAGACATGTTATATACCTACCATTCTTGCACCTCATCTCTGCTTTTCCTAACTGGGATGCTGCCTGTGTGGCTTATACGTAGTAGTTTTAATATTTGAATCCTTCCAATGTTATGATGGCTGGCCTCAGACAGTCCATGGCTGGCCGGGTCTGTGGTTTCTGCATTAGCGCGAGGCTGGTGGTGGCTCATACATGCAAGAGTACCTGATACCATTCAATGCTCCCGGAATCTAAACTGTAAGAATTAACCGGTGGTGAACTGGATAAACTAGATCAAGCTTCTGGCCCTTAACGAAGGAATGGGCAGTGCCTGGAGCTCGTGGCGCTTGCTGGCCTGTCTCAACCCTATCCAGTTCCTATTACAGTCAACTCTACAAAACCCCCCATAACTCCCCATAACCCTCCATAACCCATCTATTTCCCATGGCGTTAGCTCGGCACTGTCGGATCGGCTTAGCCAGCTTCGACATCAGGAGCATCTCGGCCTAAGAATACGTCACCGCGCATATCCTGGCAGATGGTTCTATTCTGGCCAGGACAATCCAATTGGAACAACACCCGTTACCCCTGAAACTTGGAAGGAAGACCCAGCTAGTTTGAACTATCTATCATGTGAAATTGCCAGTTGGATGTATTAAGCGCCGTTGCGTCTGCGCCACACCGATGTCTTCGGGATCCTGGTCTAGGCTGCACCACGGCGGTTGCTCTCCTGTAGCTGGACAGATTTAGATAACGAATGCTCTTTCGGGTCTTAATCCGGAGTCTTAGGACACATGATGCCAGATAGCTGAGGGACTCTTGATGTTATGGCCTGTGTTCATCCTTTTCCCGTGGCGTACAAGCTGCATCGTGCGATATGGTCTTTATTCTCATCACGTAGTCGAACTCTATTAAGTATATTAGCAGCTGCACTTCCTGTTGGCTGTGTCCCTGTCCTTTATTTGTTAGGAATTTGGGAGCCTGGGCACTAAGAAAGATGGGAGATAACCCAGGAGTGTGCCTTGCCAGCCATGTTTTTGGATACTTCCGACTGTGGAGTCAGGATGTATGCCCTCCGAGAAAGACTCCTGACCAAGACAAAGCCCACTGTCGTCAGGGACGGTGGTAAGACTGCAATGATTCACTCACTTATCACTACGAGTCCTACAGGTCTTCCGGAATAAACAAAGCACCACGACGCGTGGATGAAGGAGTTCGTACTCCGGTTTCAAAACGTCAGTGCAGACGACTTCGATGAAGTGTATCATGGGCATGGGGTGATAGATAGAAAGTTGAATCCATACTACTTGCAGACAAACGCCCTCCGAAAATGTCATGTCCTCGCATGAGATGGAAAAAGAAAAAGAGAAGCAAACGGGAAAAGGGAAAAGGGAAACGATAGTCAGCAGTCGACAAAGACGAACCTAGAAGAAATAGCTATCATCAAGCTCCTGTCCGATGTCCACGTACTCGTCTTCGGGATAGACGTCAACGACTTCGAAACGCTCTTCGCCATCAGAGGACCCGGAGTCGTTGCTATCATCACCGTCCTCATCCGAAGTATCGGATTCCCACACAGAGCGAATAGAGTGAGGAATCTCATCATTACAGAACTTATCAACTCGCTCCGTGAACTAACCCGTAACGGCAAGTAAATGCCAGTCCGTGAGAACAGCAATAATAGAAGAAAAGACGTAAGAGGGCATCACTCACGACTTCCAACTTCTTCCCGTTCTTCTCGCGCTCGCATCCAGGACAGGCATCATGAAAACCCCGATCCCCCACCAGGAACGGCGGCTTTGACATACGGTAGGCCTCAAAAATATTCACCTGCTCTGAATGCTCATCGTCGCAGAACTCGGAGTCCTTATCGGCATTAACCGGTTTGTCATGCACCTCGAAATACACCCGGGTGTACAGGACGTGTCTCGGTGCCGCAGTGCAAACAGGCGAGACAGCCGGGAATACGTAATATTTGCACATCTTGTTCGAGAGCTTGATGTCTGTTTTCAAAGTGGAATAAAGAGAGAATATTCTTTGAGATGAGTGAGTGGGCACGTAAGTAAGTAGTTTGATCTTGATCTTCGACTTTGAGCTTTGACTTGAGTCTTCGGGTTTCAGTTAAGATACGGAAAGAATCCTACAGGAAAAGGATGAGTTCCAATAAAACAGATCCAAGAAGAGACAGGTGGATGGATGGATGGATGGAGAAGAAGGGGAATAAGAGAGGGAGGGGGAGGGGATGTAAGTACCTATCAGCTCTGACAACTGTGCTGCCTCATTCTATTCACTGAATTGCTATGTGCCATATCCCCTCATAACGATGCCATCTCTCAATACCCAAGGAGGATGGGTTCTGATCTGTGAATTTGTAGGCCTATGTGTGAGGTACAAAGGAATGTGATCATGACCAGGTTAGGGGTTCAGCAAGCACGTGCTCTGCTAGCCCCTGAACATCTATCCACTTCATGGCTCAATACTGATGTGTTAACAACTTCTTCTGTCAAGCTATACCCTTGCTTTAGAACTGATAAGACATATGTGGCTGAACTGCAGTACATGTGCCCGCTGGTGAATTAAAGGCAATTCATCATCTCATCCTTCCCCTCGGTCAGCTGGACATGTACAGCTGACTGCTGCTGAGGGTAACTAATGCAGATGGAATACTGGACTCTGCCATGACATCTCAATATCAAGTAGTTCGTCTTCGTAAGGAACTAGCATCTTGGCTACCCAAGCTACAGCTCCATGCTTGGCTCATCCAGCTCATCAACTGCATGCCAGATAGTAAATACAGTGCCAGGCCAGAAGGATATCAAGTTTTAACCATCGTCAGACCAAGGCGCTGAAGAATAAACCGAGAAAACGCGCATCCTTAGGCAAACAGAACACAGAAAAAGACAATAAGGAAATCTGGCCTGCATTCTAGACGAGGGAATATCGAAAGACAACGTAAAGATAGCACAAAAGAAAGTGTCATAGCCCAGAAATAAAAAAAGAAAAAAAAGAAAAAGATACAAAGTCATAGCACTAAACAAGCTCCTCTTGACAAAATATAGGCAAGGTTATAATATGAAGGTGAAGCTGAAGTCAACTCCTGCTAAGATAAAGATCCACAAAACCGGAAAGGGACAGTCACACCTCCGACCGAAACCATTTACATCATTACCATCGAATGAATCGGAATGCGAGCGGTCATGGTTTTCATTCCGACTTTACTGAACCTGGGACACAATCTCGTTGGCCCGCGATAGGCTTTCGACCATCTGCTGGCATTCCTTTCGTCGGCGGACGGTGTAGTCGCTCTCCTTCAAGAGGTCATCGAGTTCAGCATTGCGATACATGTTCTCTAGTAGTTCGCGCTGCATTTCGTCCTTGGAGTGCCTGAAGTTCGCAAATAAGCATCAACAGCCCCACAGACAAAAGGAATATCATTACTTACTGGACCAAGTTATACATTATGGCCTTTGGAACCATGTCGATCATGGTTCGCTTCACGATGTTGAAGTACGAAGTGATGAGGAGCTCTGTAGCCATGTCAGTTTCTATCCGCGGCAGCGGGCGCGGTAGGATATGCTTACTAATAACCTCAACCTCTGTGCTCTCACGCTCTGACAGCGTAGCAGATGCTTTGAGTGTCGGTGGCGGGGGTTCCATAGCAGCCATCTTCTTCTTATTCTTCGATGCCCAAAAGCTTCCGAAAAACCCACCAGAGCCGCTGTTGTCCGTGGTTTCCACTGTTGGACTGGCAGCCCGCTGGGGTAGAGGCTTCCCCGTTTTGGGGTCCACTTGTGTGGGTTTACCGGCAATGTGACGCTCATTAACAATAGCCATGGCCTGCTCTCAATCAGTTTCCCGCTGCTGTCATAAAAAATACAGGTGGCAACTTACACGGTGTCCATTGAGGAAATCAGGGTGACCGGTGTTGATGTAGCAAGCTTCCATGGCTATCAGATCCCTGACGAGCTTATTTGTTGGCTCCATGGCCTTCTTGAAGAAAGAGATGACTACCATGTGGAATTTCTCTTTCAGCAAGGGGTACCTCCGGAATAGTTGTTTGTTAAGGAGCTGGCCCAGAATGCGAACTAACTCGTCGTAGACCAAGGAGCTGCACTTCAGACTGGGGTCTTCCAATCGCCTGATCTGCTGCTTCACGATCAACTCAAAGGCGGTCGTTCCAACGAACAGAGCGGGGGATGAACCAGAGGAGTTGTAAAGGATTGTCCTGATGTCAATGTCCTTCACCTGGTCAAAAGGATCCACAGCCTTGATACCGTTTGAGTATAGTTCGTGGAAAACGAAACTGATACGGGCACCACCAGACAGTTCCACGCTGGACAATTCTTGGTTATTACCCTCCAGCACCGTGCGATACTCGTTGCAGAATTCTGTGATAATGTTCAGGACGATATTGGCGCTGTTGCCAAGAAGAGAATCTCCGAGTTGCGACAGTTCGGCCGTATATTTCTGGAGCGATGAAGAAATTCTGGCCTTGATTTCCGGAAGGGTTTGCTTGATGTGCATCATGAGAATCTGCAATGATGAAAAGGGAAATAGTCAGCCTCCGGCTTCATAGTCAGGACAAGTTAAAAGGTATCCTACCAGATTCAGTTTCCTTGCCAAGTAAGGCGTTCCGCAGTATGAGGATTTATTCCGGTAGGCCTTGTGGCCCTCGAAGAAGTTCTTCTCGTGTTCTAGGGCGTAGGAAATCGGCCGCTTGTTCTCAATATCACGCTGGCCCCGGTTGACCACCGGGACGTATCCAAGACGCAAAGGAATGATCCTGCCTGCAAGAATATCCACGACGTCCGTCCCCTCGTCCATAAGATCAACCTTGGTCAACACACCGATTGTCCGCTGTCCCTCAGGGTCCACCTCACGCGCGAGCTTCAAACCGTCCGAGTTGGCCAAATCCTGGTTCGCCGCAGTAACTGCGAGGATGATGGCGTTGGGTTTTCCAATATACTTCAGAACCATATCCCTGATCTGTCTTTCGATATCCTTTGGTTGATCTCCAACAGGAACCTTAGTCAAACCAGGCAAGTCGACCAACGTCAGGGTGAGGACGTTCGGAGAATAGATACGCAGGTTGATTGGGGCAGGAGAGATACCGGCATTGCGGCCGACCTTGGTTTCGGTCTCACGAACGATCTCATCGCGAATCTTGTTGAAGTCATAAAATTTTTGCCCAGGAATGTGAAGGAATTCGCCGTACTCGTCTAGATTCGCCTCACTGTCCGTGGTAACAAGTTTGTCTTCCTTAACCCCGTTCGACTGCGGTTTACTCGCTGGTCTATTGATGAGCTGCAGAACGAGCGGCCTTCGAGTAACGATTCCGGAACCACGAGGGAGGCTGAAGAAAATGGACAACATCCATGATTAGCAAAACCGAAGAGTCGCGGAGAGATGCGGTCCACTTACAAATCCCGTCCGACGATATTTTCTAGAACAGAACTCTTTCCACTGGACTGTGATCCGACGACGGCAATCTGCGGCAAGTCGATGGGGTTGTGAACCTGGGAGAAATGATCGCCACATTAGTCCTGGAGAAGCGGTAGATGGAAGAGGCGGGAAAGGGTATGGATGGTCACTTACCCCCACTGTCGCAAAAACATCCTGCAATTTATTAACGAGAGAGATCAAGGTCGGATCGTTAACGTTTATTCTGCAAAGGCATGATTGGGTTAGTCTAGTCCAGACCGCGCGGAGAGCACGAAGGGAACAGGGGTATTGCGCACGAGTAGCCAGTCGCTGCCATGGCTGGCGAAGTAGAGCGTGGAGTAGCTTTCTCGGAACGCAGAATGAAAATTAAAAATCAATCAAAAAGTATGTCAAGCCTGCGACTGCCGAGTGCCACTTGGTGTTGCGGAGGAGTTGAGAGAGATATGGCGAGAAGCTAGGTCGGAGATGCGGCCAAGTGTTGTTGAGCTTTGGAGAAGGAGGGAAGACGGAGATGCTCGCTTCCCGATCAGATAAGCCACCACGCATCCACCGTGCCAGAGGTCTGCAGTGTGGACAGCAGCACGTCTGGTTCAGATTCGATTTAAAAGAGAAAATCCATCCATAACCAACTGCATCTACGTTCTCCATCTGCAATTACTGTCCTCCAGGGTCCGGCGGTGGCCGCGTCATGTGCTGTTCCCGGCTATAGCTGCTGCCTGACCTCGCCCATGCGCCTTTCTGAGTAACCCAACGCTTCTATTTCTCTATCATGGCTGTGGATTTATTCGAATAACATAGAAAAAGCTAAGAATCAACCTGATATGGCTAACAAATCACAATCTGCTATGCTTACAGGCCCGTCGATTATACCTGCCTATCCCATACACTCTACTCTTCCGACACAGAGGCAAACCTCTCGGACATGGTTTGCAGGATCTTCTCATACTATTGTAATGTTAGCAGGAGGCTCGCGATAAGGGGCGTTGCGTGCATTTACCTTCTCAGATACTGCCTTCTCATCGTCGGGAACCTCGAATTTCATGCTTCTCAAGGCCGTCTGGATGTCTGCAGTTGCCTCGCGAACCTTAGTCCAGCTCTGTCCCTGGGCAATAGCCCTCTGAGCTTCATCATGATAGCCCATAAAGGCCTTCATCATGTACTCCGTCTTCCAAAGGGGGCAGTATTGATCGTAGTCGCTGTAACCGTTCTGCTGCAGGAAATCATCCTTGACCAGCCCGGCCACATCCAGAGTAATCTTGTCTGAGTCACCCAGCGCGGCCTTGCCAACCAGCTGGACGACCTGGTCGAGATCTTCCGACTTGGTCAACAGTTCCTTGATCTGATCCCTTAGGCGCGGGAACTCAGGGTGTTCTTTCTCGTAGTATTTGTCCAGAACCGTCGTGTATTTACTATAGGAGATCGATGTGTTGATGGAAGGGAAATGCTTCCGTTGAGCCAGCTTCTTATCAAGACCCCAGAACACCTGGACAATACCAAGGGTACTGCTGGTGACAGGATCGGAGAAATCGCCACCAGGCGGGCTGACAGCACCGACAATACTCACACTGCCATCCCGCTCGGGGCTACCAAGCGCGGTGGACTTTCCAGCACGCTCGTAGAAGGAAGCAAGCTTGGCACCAAGATAGGCTGGGAAACCTTGATCGGCAGGCATCTCTCCCAGACGACCGGAAATTTCACGAAGAGCCTCAGCCCATCGGGAGCTGGAATCTGCCATCATCGCCACGTTCTTGCCCTGGTCACGGAAGTACTCAGCGATGGTGATACCGGTGTAGATGGATGCCTCACGGGCGGCGACGGGCATGTTCGACGTATTCGCGATTAGGCAGGTACGTTTCATAATGGGCTCCTTGCGACCCTCAACTGTGATAGAAAGCTGGGCATTCCGGTTAGCAGCCGCGAAGAGAATGTATGAGCCTCAGTAATATTAACAGGACATACCTCAGGGAAGTCCATCAAAACTTCAGCCATCTCATTACCACGCTCACCGCAACCCACGTAGATAATAATATCGCTGTTGGAGAACTTGGACACACTCTGGGAGATAACCGTTTTGCCGCATCCGAAAGCCCCCGGAATGCAGACAGTACCACCCTGCACACTAGGGAAGAGAGAATCCAGCACTCTCTGTCCAACAATGAAAGGCGCAGAGGACGATTGCTTCTCAGAAACTGGTCTGGGAACACGGACAGGCCAGGTATGCATCATACCATATTCAGTCTTCTTCCCGTCAAATTCAACCTCCAGCAGTTTCTCGTCAACTGTATAGCTTCCAGCTGGCGCTATCCGTGTGATGGTGCCCTTCGCGCGAGGCGGAAGCAGGATCTTGTGATCGTTCACCAAGCTGTTCTCGAAGACCGTACCCCAAATGTCACCACCGGTGATATGGTCACCCACTTTGAAACCTGCGGGTTTGTACTCCCATTTCTTTGTGCGGTCTAGCGAGTTCACGGAAATGCCACGGGGGATATAGATGCTTTTTGATAAGTCGGAAATCGCCTTGAGGGGTCGTTGGATACCGTCATAGATCGTTTCCATCAGACCGGGGCCAAGCTCAACGGAGAGAGGCTTGCCAGTTCTGGTGACGGGGTCACCGACCCTCAAACCAGCTGGATACGACAGATGTTACAGTCAGTGGCCGTCAATGATAGGGCGACGTGATGGTCATACCTGTCTCTTCGTAGACCTGGATGGTGGCCTTATCTCCCTCGATCCTAATAACCTCACCAACGAGCTGGTCATGTCCAACTCGGCACTAGAGAACACAGTATAAGTCAGAAGGAATCGCCATCTAGGCAACCCAAAACATCGATCGCAGCTTACCAGTTCGTACATGGCGCAGCCGATCATGTCTTCGGCCACCACAACGGGACCTGACACAGAGAAGATAGAGCCATGATGATCTTCGGTATCCTCAGCGCGAGCCATGATGTATGGGTTCGCTTGTTTTAGATAATGCAGGGAATAGCAGAGGTCGAGGAGCTATATTTGGTACTGGCTGGAGCTGATGGACGGGGAGGTGGGCGACTTGAGCGGTCTCCAGCGGCAGGTTGGTCCGAGCGGTGCAGATGCGAGTTAACCACGTCTGTGGGATTGCAGCTCCTGTCTATGTAGACCTGGTCCGGTGCGCAAGCATCAATATTTGGCCAATTGATTCGCATAGAGCACGAGATCCATATAGAACACTATCATACGTCCCGGGCTGCAATGGAGCCTCTCATCACCCCCCAGCAGTGCACATGACTTACATCACGTGATATTTATCTGTGTCAGAGCTCGATGGCCAATCAGCGGGCACGCACTGCTCTACCTACGGCGCTCTATCAGTCTCTTGTTTCTCTTGTTTTTTTAGGGAAGTTGAAATTCATGGCTAATTGGATAATAATATTCTTCGCAGGTAAGTCATGGGATTGATTGTTGGCCAGCAGCCAGCAGCACACAGGGTTACTGCATCTACTGACGATTACGTGAATCCAAGGCCAGTAGTTCGCTACCAATTGCTAAGGGCCACCTGTATTTGCAACATACGGGTGATCGCAATAATCCAGGAATTTGAACTTTGAGCTTGCACCAGAGGAGCATGGGGTCTTATGGCGCCAAAAATGACCTGGCAAGGGTTATAGAGTTCGATTATAAATCAGTGTCCGGAAGGGAGCTATGGATCACCTTTTTCATACATCCTTTTTTTTTCCATCGCCATCTTGGATTGAACAGAAACGGTGTACATTCTATAGTACAGTATAATACGGTGGAGCTACTGTATTTCGCTTTGTTCATTAGAAGGTCTAGGGAACGGTATGCAGGGTTGGCCATATTTGGGATTATGATTTCTGATGGCCATATCTGACAGTTATTTGCAAGATACTAATAACCCTTCACATTTTCTGTTTTGGATTCTGTACATAAGCATCCCCAGCATCGGACAAATTAACCAATGTGTTAGGTGGATGCGTTTCGGTGGGTGGAGCAAGGTCATGATTGAGGGATGTTGGCACGCAAATATGCTCTCACTGCTCAACAAAGGGATAAGAAGCGATCTCGTCTACAGGAAGCTCGTCTTGAGTATCTAGGAGGTAATGTTCAGTTTATGAATACAGTTGGGCAGGAGCATAACGAACTTTTCGACAACGGCAATTGGATTGTGAAACATCCAAACGCGGAATCCCAGAACACCTTTTCACTTTCGGCACAGTTATCTTCTACTGGAGGGGTTACATTAACCATCTCAGCATAGTTGGAATGAACTTCCAGGCCTGAAGAGTCATCTCCGATTGATTCTTGTGTCTGCTCCAGATATGATGCGAGTTCTGAAGGGCAGCAATGGCCTCCTTAGTGTAAGTACTTTCTGTGCCAGCAATGTCTTCGGTGACTTCTTCTGTTTTTCGAGAAAATACTGATACCCACATAGCGCACCTCCCAGCTGTATGTGTTTATCAATCTGGGACGGGTAATGGAGAATCACTATGGCCGCGTTGATACATACACGCAGAGAACACATTTAATTCGAATCTGATCCTTCTTTGGCATGTTGGTTTCGATGAAAAACACACTGAGACTCGTGGAACAGCATATTGAAGCCACACCAGCGTACGATGATATTGGGGGACTTTGTGATCGGTTCATCCATGCTGCGGATTTTCAAGTAAAGAGGTGCAGAGTCATACGCATCGTTAAGCCGCTTGTCAAGCTCGCCTCATAGGGCATTTGCTGCGGTGATGCCGCCTTATCTACGATGGTAGTAAACACTCAACTCACTCGCAATGATAAGGGACATCAGCGTAGGATCATTTTTGGATCTTGGAGACGGAAGAGTTATCGAGCTTTCATCGAATTCCACGTCCATTGGATTGCGAGGAGGCTTTGTATCCACTGTGTCCTCTGCCAACAAGCGCGGCAGACCCATCTAGAATGAAACCAAATATCCAGTTGCGATATAATGGCCCATATCTGCCGCCTCATTTCACCTTGAAAACAAATATCTTGGGATAGTCATCAGCATCACGCTGATAGCCCATACGCATAGCCAACCGCAGTATAATTCCCATCAAAATCCAGACCTCCTTGTTGCGAGTCCCCACTCTGAAAGTATTCAGTTTGCGTGTATAGGAGAAGAGCCTTAATCGTAGAATCCGATGGAGTAGTCTATTTCGCATCAATAAGGTATGAGGCTGCTTGCATTCGAAAAGAGTCCGCAGCCTTTTCAGAATCACCCACAAGGCCTGGAATCTCGATCTCCATGCCTTGATATACGCATATCGCGATACTCATAATGTGAAGGGGATGCTGATCCACGTAGATGATGTATCCGCTGGCCTTTCCCAATGTTGGACACAAGAGGCAGGGGATGTGTAAAAGTCTAAGAACTCACCTTCTTTCGAAAAGTCGGTTCATGCAGGATTACTGCTTGTGTTCATAATGTTAGAATAATGTAGCAAAGAAGCCACGAAACACAAGATAATCTACAAACTTCCGGTTCTATGGAATGGAAAAACCGCCGATCTTGATGGAATTGTGGAAAGCACTTCTTCTTTACCGAGGGCATTGCCATCCCAAGCGAGAGTGCTGAACCCTTTTTTGGCAATCCCGTTGCCGGAAGGTCTTCCCAGAATTAACCATCTGAGTAAATAAAATCCGTGATCTCCGCAATCTGGATTATGTGATTTGAAGTCAATCAGGTTATGAGCCAATAAGTAAATTTCTGTCGAGCACAAGCATACGCTCTCCCACAGCATCTTCCAATGTGCTCCGGAGACGTACTTCATAGCTCCATCCTTAACATGCATTCTTCCTCGAATAGCAATTTCCATTGCAGACTATTCTCCAGTTCATGATTGCTGTTTGAGGATGGTTGGCTCTCCATTACTAAGATGGATCATTAGAAGATGGACCATGGACATCTTCACCGAACCCGCGGGAGTTTGTGTCGTGCAATGAATCCGAGTTACCTTCGTCTGGATCCGGGATATGAATACCCTGCTGCGCATACTTTATGCGAAAGACTATGACCAGACATTTAAAATGCTGGAGCCGGTCGTTTAACTAGCTAGATGAGACCCTATTAGGTCCATTGCCGCGTGTTTGTGGTAGTGTATTGGCGGAAGTACAGAGCAAATTGCGCTTGACAACTACTACATGGGCGGAGGCAATCACATCGCGCCGTGTATTCGATATGAGAATATAGCCCAGAGAATATCATATTAAATAACCATTTCTTTTTATGTTACTGCTCTTACTTTTTCTGGCGGCAGGAAGTGGAGGAAAGGATGTAGCGAACCGTGGGTGGGCTTGAATGAAATGGTTGAGTTGCGGATAGGTTTCTCGCCATGTTGGATACTAGATATATATTCCTATAGCGAATATATATGCTTGATGATATTTGGATGGCATTTCTTCCAGAGATGGTGAAGACCAGGTTGATTAACAACAGCAGCTTAGTCTTGTCAGCAGTCCTGTTTAGGCTTAACTAGTTTGTTAACAGTTCCTAGGCCTCTATAATGTTTCCCAATACAGTCTAGCGTGACACTATCCATGCACGGACTGACCGTTTCTGGTATCTTGGCAGTCTTAAGGTTAGCATGTTCCAAATAAGGCAACCTTCCTTGGACTATCCTAATTCTAAGAACTCGTGCTATCGAATAAATAGTCCAAAGTCCAAATATTCCATTCATCCCCTCCTATCCTAACCGGTATCACTTTCCACAGCTCTTGTTCCGCTTTGAGCTCTACATCCCACTGATTACCGACGGTATCACGAATAGCGGCGGGGGAATGATAGACGCTGGTTTGACAGACCCAATCGTGGAGTTGCAAGAGTCTCTAGTCATAGTGCAATGGGGTACATCGAACATTCACGAACAAGTCCCTCTGCGTCTGGGGAGACACCGTCAGGAGCAGTCACTATTATCCAACATCAGCAAACAGAGTGGATAGCTCTAAGGGATCAATTGATTCACACCGATCAAGCAATCTTCTCCAATCTTCTTTCGATAGCATAAGTTAACCCTCTAGGTGATGAGGCACATCAACTCATCAAAGTAAATATCCCCAGCAATAGAAGGTTATCGTGCTCCTAGAATTAACTCCTTGAATAACAGGTGGCTCTAGGTGTTAGTCGCACGGACTTGACGATGTGAAAAGCCCGGCTGATGATGCATTCATCAGTAGTCTAACTGTCAATAAGTCCTCAACTCAATTTTTCATCCCATATGCATGAATGAAAGCCGCGAGGGAAAAGGACTTGTGCTGTTATTGCAGTCTGCAAGGTGCTCAAGCGCGCAGCTGCTTGTATTCTTTTAGACTCAACGATCGCTGTGGGCCGGTCCCACTCCGAAAATAAGGTTGGCTGATCCACAGTTCCCACGAGGTGGATGTCTTGTGGACTATCGGTTTTAATCTTGAAGATGCAATAGAAGAAATGGAGAGTCATTTACTTCATTTACGTGCTTTGGGGTTTTCTTTCTCAATGATGCTATCTTTATCTGACCTGATGTTGAAATTTTCTGTGTGGTTCAGTATTGCATTTGTTTTACCTGCTATTCTCTCACATCACCGCTCTTACAACCATCGCCAGAATGGACTACCGGACCACTTTTATGTCTCCCTTTCAGGTACAGATAAAGGCGTATAAGGCATCGATAAAATTTTATCTATTGTATTCCACAGAACACAGATGCAATTGATATCCTTTCTTGACACTCTTTGTGCCCTGGGCAGCAATCGGGGTTTCTGGTGTTTGTTTCTCAGTAGAAAATGCCGACGAATACAAGAACAGAACAAATAAACTAACAACGCCTCGACCATGCATTCAACACAAAAGGCAATGGAGGACTGTATGCACATCCATCCACCCAACGACCCTGCCCTGGTACACTTCCTCTGGGTTGTATTTCACCCTTCACTGCTGTCACTGTATGCACATGTTGTCCGATACCATGTTACAAAATGCTCCGTGAGGTTACCAATGGCTGGAGGGGTTTTGCACTGTTCAGATGTGGTATTTGTTCTACGAATTTGTTGTGTGCAAAATAAGAGAAGCTGCTCCACTATTTTGTCATGATGACACAACCCGGAATGAAATCATCGACAAAGCCGCCAGGTACTCAAGATCGAGACATTTGTTGAATCGAATTGAATATGCGGTATGCTAGGATATACTGGAAACACGTTGAACGATGACCGGAAGTGGCCTACTTGCGCCATTAGCTGGCGCGCTACAGGCTTGCCTCTCTGTATTGCTGACCATGTGCTGCGGAGTCGTAGTACGATGGCTACGGCTGATCCAGGAGGAGCCAATTGACGAAATGTCCGGCCTGGCGGTTAAAGTGTTCCTGCCAGCATTGTTGGTCGTGAACTTGGGCAGTAATCTGCATCTGGAGAACGCAATGAACTATGTTCCAGTACTCGGTATGGATTCGAATACCTTTGGACTTCAAATACAGAGGAAGAAGAAAAGAGGGTAACTAACGGAGAGTCTCTGCTGTACACAGTTTGGTCCCTGGTCTATACGTTTTGCTCCATCGGTTTGGTTCATGGCCTAGTCAGGATTCTGAAACTGCCCCATTGGGTTACCGCGACATGCGCATTTAACAACACAACTTCCCTCCCGCTGCATCTGCTGCAGTCTCTTGAGAGTGTAGGCTCTCTTAAACCCATCCTTCCGGAAGGTGATACGATGACCAGTGCGATAGAGCGTGCGCAGAGTTATTTCCTTGTTTGTGCTGTGGTCAGCAAAACTGCCGGCTACATAATTGGCCCCAAACTATTACAGGAAAACAAAGGAAATGGCAATGAGCAGGACACCGAAGGAGGACAAAGCAGCCAGGAACGGCAATGGCGTCAAGGGGACGGTGAAGATGATGGCCAGCCGACTGAGGAATCCGACGAGCAGACATCTCTTCTACGTCAGACAGCACCGAGACGGTTTTACAAAGCCACCAAAAGGGTCAGAGGCTGGGGACGGAGAATATCTTCCTATTTCCCGGACCGTGTGAAGCAGGAGTTGATGGCACCCTTCGGGTCTCCATTCGCCGATGTAGCCGTTGCTTCCGCGTTGCTCGGAGCCTTCCTGGGCCTCGTGCCTTCGTTGCATCGAGCATTCTTCAACCCAGCCGACAATGGTGGTATCTTCAATGCATGGCTAACGGCCAGCGTGAAGAACATTGGGAAGTTATTTACAACGTTTCAAATTTTCATAGTTGGCTGTACGCTTGGGGTAAGCTTTGAGAGGATGAAGGCCAGTAGAAGCTCGGGCAAGATCCCAATCCGTGCAATCATTACAATATTTATTGTCCGTATGGTTGCATGGCCGATGTGAGTTTCGTTAAATGGATTCTTGCTATATGGACTAATGCATGCAGACTAAGCATCTCTCTTATCTACGGACTGGCCAAGAAGACAACCCTCGTGCGCGACGATCCAATTCTCTGGTTCACCATGATGCTCATGCCTCAAGGACCGCCAGCTCTGGTCAACTCCGGCTTTGCTGAGTTAGCCGGTGTTTCCGAGCAGGAGAAGATGGCTGTAGCAAAGACATTGACTGTATGGTTGTCCTTGCAACATTGGCATGGAAGATGAACACTGACAAGTGCAGATTTTGTACGCGTTGTCACCGGCTATATGCCTTGGACTGACAGGGTCGTTGAAGGCATCGGAGGCAGTGGCGGGTCATCGGGGAATGGGTCTATAGTGGCCTATCCGTTGGGTTATTTTCCTGCAAGTACTGCATCTGTATATGTCCCTAATCACGGAGACTTTCTTCTTTAGACACCGCCGCTTTGATGAAGCAGGGTCTGGGTCCTATCCGTTGAGCGCGGATAGTGTTGGTCTTTTCGACCTTATGGGAAAGTGTAGGTGGCCCAGTTACATCTCTTACAGGTATGAAGATCAGAAGCTCCTATATAATTAGACAATTGAAGTTAGTCCTGACAGCTGAACTACTGATGAAATTGGACTTCACTAACGTTAAAAGCACTTTATTCCTGCTACTACTGGCTATTCAGGAGGGAAAATATTGTCTGCTTATTCTAGATGGCTATGGCAGCCATCTCACGTCTCAATTTGACTAAATATGCAATGATGAGAATAGTATTATTCCTATCCGCATGCCTACACCTTCTTCCCATAAGCTTCGGCCTTTTGACGTAGGCTGTTTCACGCCTTTAAAAAAGACATAAAGAAGCTTAGTGGAAAAGCAAACATGCTTAGGAATCAATCATATTGATAAGTTTGATTTCCTAAGACCTTTTCTGAAGCTCACAGAAGTGCTTTTAAAGCAAAAACTATTCAAGATAGTTTTGCAGATGCTGGTCTAGTTCCATTCAATCTAGAGAGGGGGTTTAGTTGAATATTCAACTAACATAAGTAACGTAATCCACTACCGAAGTGTGGCTATCTCACCATCACACCTATCACTACTACTATTTTGCTACATAATAACACCATGGATCCCCAACCAAAGCAGACACGTATACAGCTAGCATTTGAAACTTATAAAAAAGGTATCTTTTCTTCAATTACAACAGCAGCTGTTGCATTTGATGTTGCTCCTTTCAACACTAAAAAGCACCTTAAAGGAGCTGCTCTATGATCCAAAAAGATTGCCAACAGCAGAAAAGTATTGATACTGAATAATCAACTCTTTTAGCATAGATTCTGGACATAGGACAACATAGACTACCTCTCCAATTGTCTACTGTACGCTGTCTTGCTCAGCTACTAATATCATCATAGATTTCCTCCCCCAAGACTATTGGCGTGAACTAGGTGACTCACTATATACAATGTCATCTTGAGCTCAAATCCAAATACAGCTGGAAGTATTGTGTCGGGGGCACTACGAAACCCCGGGTCTCTCGTATTTCCTATCTTGGAACGCCGTACGACCGCGGACTCCAACATACTAATGTATGGTGGAGCCCGCTGCCGGAGAGTACTTAAGGAGGGTTTCCTCCTAGATAGTTACGAGAAATTGAGCATTCTTTTGGTTTCTAGGTTGCTTCACTAGTTTGTTTTTGTCATTGTTGTCATATAGGAGCGAGGCTCCATTGTTGTTGTGTTTCTTTTGTTATATCATTTCCTTACTAGATCGTTCAGGGTGTCCATCCCTGAGATCCCTCAATCACAACCCGGTTCCTGTCGCAGGGAACAACACACGTACGCCCCCCTTTACAATGAGCCTGGCTTGAATGGCTTCAAAAGGTGTTTGAGCCTGCTACAGTTTCATGTACAGTTGGATGATATCAGCTTCTTATTTTAAATAGGCATAGCAGTCATATTACAAGTTTATTTAATAAATTCTGCATTGAGAGAATGATAATTCTTTTATATTCACCACCTTCTTCTTCACATCTTCTTCGCCACTGGATGTTAGCTGTTTTAGGCCAACAAAGAAGTTTTCATCGAGGCTGAGTGCATGGCAAGTGGCTCGCCTCAACCACCGTTATTCACGCCAACCAGACGGTTCCACCCACCTTCAATGACGAGCAGGTGACAGCTGCTCTGGCAGATCCCTTCAGGGAACATTTTGAAGACCATTTTGATGGAGATACACCCAGGACCAATGTCAGTGAAGACTTCTCAGTACTCGGTACTAGTCAGGGCCGTCCATGCTCGTTTTGGTTTGTTGGTTGCATCGATCCGGATTTATGGGATGAGGCCCAGAGCAATAATCGCCTCGAGGAGATTGCTGGCAATCATTCAACCCGGTTCGCTCCGGTGATCCAGCCTACGCTGAAGACTGGAGTGGGTGCACTTTGTATCGCGGCGTTGACATTTCTAAAGTAATCTGTCGAAGGTTCCGAAGCAGACCTTAAGCTGGCAACCTGTATGAACCAAGTCTGTTCCTGAGACTAGAGCTTATGATGCCCCAGATGCAATAAAAGGAAACGAGGAAGTCTCGATATATGAGGCGCCATCTCCCATAAGACGATATCAAGATCAGATCGCTGTACAATGACGTAGCTACAGCTACGAACTGGGCTAGGTGAGATGATCTTACAACAGTGGCTTCCAACTTTATAAAGGACTTGTGATTGTGTTGGATACCATGAATCTGCTAGATACAACGAACAACCAAATGCGACATGGTATCACAAAATTATCGACCGCGAAATGAAACGTATATCCCAGAAGCAGAAGCAAGATGCGACTTTATAATCTCACTTCTACAGAATGAGTGCAGGTCAGCCATCGCATCCATCCTTTATTAAACCCAGTGCACCAGTTTCTTCCCAGCACGGGGTTAGAAGGGGACACATACTCCGCAGCCCTTGCAAGCACAGTTATTGGTACAGATGCAACAACCATTTGTACCTTGACAGGAACAGTCAGAGCTGCAATTACAACTCATTATAATTTTGGGGTTTAATGAAAGACTGAAAAGAAAGAAAAGGCCTCGAATGAACTTGATGTATAAATCTTTAAATCAAAGAACATGATTAAAAAAGAGGGAAGGAAGGACAGATCCAGGCGGTTTATATATCCTTCTCGTGGCGAGATAAGAGTCCGGGATTCTTGGTTGGCGGTTGGGATGATGTCAGGGGGTGTCATAGAGAAGTTTCCTATATTATATCATCATTTCCATTTCTTGAAGGATGACCATTAACAGCACTGTTTCAGTAGATTCTGGAATGTATGTCTAGGTTCATGGTATGGTGGTGGTGGTGGTGGTGGCAGTAGTGGCCTGGGATGAATGTGCTGGAAGTTGGCATGTATATAGTACTCTGTATGTATCGCGATTGTTCTTTGCCTTTTGAGGCAATATCTGTCTGGATCGATAAGCATATGGGAAGGATATGGGAATGCCTGCATGTATTCAAGGGGGCAATAAGTATAGTAGACTGGAAGTAGTGGCGGTGAGGACAAGGGCGGTGACCCTTCTGATTAAGCAATAATACCGTGCAGCAAGAACAGCTTCACTTGACGCTGCATCCTCCTCTATCCTCCTCTTCTTATACTCGCTATCAAGGCGTTCATTGGGCCAGGCGCTGCTGCAACAGAGGCCCAACGGTGGATATCTTCAGGCTCCCGGGTGTATGAGCTTGAGGAGCTCCGATAAGGCCTGTGCCGCATTCGTCACTGCTGGACTCGCGACTGCGGGCCAACTCGGGAGTTTCGCTTCGTTCTTCAACCTAATGATTAATACGGTCAGCTGGCACATTTATGAGTGATATGGTGATCATTAGACTGTGGTTGCCAATATCCAATATCGGCATGGGTGCTATGAGCTCAGCACGGCTGACTGCATAGAATTTGCTTCATGGAGCCGGGTCAGTCCAGATAAGAACCGCGAAGTGTATTCTGGTCATGAAGCATTATGTTTCAAGAGAGGCCTTGCTTCTTCCATTGTCGCAGTGGTTATTTGCCCCCGCAACTGCTCGTAGATCATTCAGTACGAGGTACTGGCGGTTGCAGACACAGCTTCAACCACCATGCTGGACTTCCAAATATCCGGAAGAGAAGAAACTGGAGATACCCCGTAGACGCGCAGTAGTGGTAATAATAATAACCCATCGACCGGAGGCTTCTTTGTTGCAGGCAGTGAGGAGTTCAGTTTACTAAGGCGACTGCATGGATATTACATCGGTCGCCCCACGAGCAGTGCTACGACGCTTTGGGATTTCGTCCTCACCTTCCCGCTCTCCTCCAACAACTCCTTCTCGCCACTCTCTCGTCTTCTGTCTGGTCATCCCATCCACCCACTTCGTCTCTCTTCGTTTTCACTGTCTTACTCCCCCAGCAATCGTCCAGCCCGCTTCTCGTCCCGCCTGCCAAGCCCCCTTCCCCCTCCCTTCAACGTCGCCGTATCAAGGAGCGATAACGTCTGCCTATCGAACCTGCAGCTGAAGCCGCGCGAGACAACGGCCGGACACAAAACACGAGTCTATCCCGAGGAGGGAACGGGCATTCACATCTGGTCGACGAGTCTTTGCTGGAATTGACGCCATACACGGCTCTCTGGTGCCTGTGACGAGCTCCCAACACGTGGTTGGAGCTGCGGCGAGTTATCTCTATCGGAGACCCGCCACCGATTGAGGTCTGCTCACCTGGTTCTTCCACAGAGCCAGGCCGGAGAGCAGATCTGAGTCTTCGACCTGGCACACAATCCTTCCTCGTTTACGCCCTCCTTGGACGTCCCCGACTCTCCAGACCCTTCTTATCCCAGTCTCTCCTTCACCGTGTTCCCGGCACCGACTCCCGGGACGTCCTCGGCCGCAGACGCTACCCCCTCGCTCTCCGCAGCTGACGCCAGCAACCCCGGTCATAATAATACGAGCCCTCCAGTCGGACATCCTGCTCTGCACACAAGTTCCCTCCGCCGCCGTCGCCGTCACAGTATCCCCGATCCATCCGATAACGTAATTGCGGGGGGTAGCTCCGGGGGAGAAGGAACAGGGAGTGATACCGCTTCCGAGGAACAGAGTACGACACAACAGCAACAAACGCGATCCCAACGTCTCTCGCCGCCTCCAAAGCGCAGGCGCCTGGCAAACATGCGGCCCGAAGATGGAGTTTCTTCAAATAACCAGAACGGTCTCTCTCAAGTCTCAAATGGCTATTCGCGATCTTTGTTCAAGAAAGCCCTCTCTTCCCACTCCCTAAATGGATCGTCCAACGGAGACTCGCAACTGAACGGCTCTTTGAAATCGCCCACTCCACTTCCGAGCTATTTTGGCCATGACCGAGAGCAGGTGACTCGAATCCTGATCCAGGGTCTGTACGATCTAGGTTACACTGGGGCGGCGTCTGCGTTGACACGGGAGAGTGGCTATGAGCTGGAAAGCCCGGCAGTTGCTGCCTTCAGGAGTGCGGTCTTAAATGGCGAATGGTCCGAGGCAGAGAACATCTTAAGCCAGGCCTTCCATTCCGATGGACTTGGAAAGACAGTCAGCAATGATGACGATAGATCAGCGAGAGGAGAGAAGCTGCTGCTGGCGGAGAATGCAGATAAGAATGAAATGCTATTTTATCTCAGGCAGCAGAAATTCCTCGAGCTCTTGGAGGCTCGAGATCTCGGCGCCGCCTTGATGGTTCTTCGAGGAGAGCTGACCCCTCTAAATTATGACATTGGACGCCTTCATGCCCTATCAAGGTATGAATTCCTTTTTCAGAATCATGTGCTGGCTCTCTAGGCATTCACTGCTGACTTACTCCGGGTATAGTCTTCTCATGTGCCCTGCAGAGCACCTTCACAACCAAACTGGCTGGGATGGCTCTATAAGCTCCTCCCGAGTCCGGTTATTATCAGAATTATCAAGTAAGTCAAGGGAAACCACGTTTCAACCCTCTATTTTGCTTATTCGAGTAGAATCCATATCCCCGTCAGTAATGATCCCGGACCATCGTCTGGCCGTCCTGCTAGACTATATCAAACGGACACAGATCAAGCAATGCCTATACCACAACACACCATCTACCCCATCTCTCTACTCTGATCACGTTTGTGACCGTAATGATTTCCCACTCCGGCCGACGATTGAATTGAGTCAACACTCAAACGAGGTTTGGTATTGTGGGTTTTCACACGACGGCACGAAACTGGTCACGACAAGCCGCGACCGGAGTGTGATTATTTACGACACGAGTACCTTTTCCGTGTTGCATAGGTTGACGGAGCATGAAGAGGGGGTGGCTCATGCTACCTGGAGTCCTGATGACTCTAAGCTAATCACTTGCTCGCAGGATGAGAAAGCCCGCGTATGGAGTGTAGAGGTATGCATGCAACGGGTCTTTTCTCTTTGGGGAGTTCGCTATCACTTGCTCTTTACATGCTAACATGCTGGGGAATTTCCGTGTAGACTGGCCGTTGCCTTCTAACAATTAATCATCATCGCCAACCAGTCACCGCGGCTGCTTGGGCTGCAGATGGAGAATCTTTTGTAACAGCCTCTCTCGACCTGAGCTCGCAGCTTTGCCATTGGAGCATGCGGGGCCAACCAGTCTATATGTGGGCAGAAGGCTTCAGGGTCCAAGATTGCTGCACCACCCCTGACGGGAGACGACTTCTTGCCGCAGATACTGGAGGGAAAATCCATGTGTACAACTTTCACACCCATGAAGAGGAGTATTGTCTGTCACTAGAGGGCACGGCAACCTCTGTTGCCGTAAGTCGTGATTCACGGTATATGCTCGTCAATCTCGCCGAGGGTCAGATACAGCTCATCGATATTGAAACTACAAATGTTATCCGTCGTTTCAAGGGACAGAAACAAGGCACCTTTGTCATTAGAAGCACGTTCGGAGGTGCTGCCGAGAGTTTTGTATTCAGCGGCAGTGAAGGTATTTTTTTTTCTCTTCCTCCCTCTCTCTGGGTCAGACTGTTACTGACTCGCTCAAGATGCCCGTGTCTATATGTGGCACATAGAGAGTGGTGATCTTCTAGAGACATTGGAAGGACACATTTCTGGTTGTGTAAATGCCATATCTTGGAATCCTACAAATCCAGGCATGTTTGCGTCTGCTGGAGATGACCGCCTTGTTAGGATGTAAGGATCTCGTTTCCTTGCATACCAGTTTTCTTCTAAGCTAACGAACGACCTGTCAGATGGACTCGAGATTACGACGTGCCAGGTGATGCCGTTGGCAAACGAAGAGCGGTATCGTCGAATGCCTTTACTCGTACCAGTGCCATCCGATCAACATCAAATTACTAATGCATAGCCATCCGGAAAGCATCCATGGCCCTTTCATTCTATCTTTCGCCTTTCATACTTTCATTTTTCTGGACACAGGTTTTGTATCAGGGTCAGGGGATGTTACGGGGGGGTTTTTGGACTGGCAGATAAACCTTCATTTTCATTTTTCACCTTTCTCATCCACGCATATATGGAGGTTTTTAACAGGTTGCACTTCGGATCGTCAGATACAGGAGACAGGCGCCTTTTCTTCTTCTTCTTCTTCTTCTTCTTTTTTGCTCTATTTTATACGTTATATGGTCTGGCTGAACTCGGTCTCTTCTCGCATTCATAGTTTATTTGAAATCTTTTTCCTATCTCATTGCCTCCCCCTTCGTTGCATTAGGTACTCACAGTGCCTTTACCTATTTATTCTACCTGCGTCTAGTAGTTTATATAGTTATTTGAAGGAGTAGGAGTTATGTCATCATCATTCACACTCAATTTTTCTCTTGCCTGCTTTTCTTGTCTTTCATGTCTTTCCCGTTCAAAGATTGTCTCTAGTCCGCGTTATTTATTGGCTACTATGATCATATTAAATGCTAGAACCAGAATATTATGAGAATTGGAGATTTAAAATGTTGGTCCATACATACGATCTTCCATCTGATTCTTGAGCATTTACATTTTGGGAAATTTAGACCTCAACGTATGCACGCCACTGACTAGTTTATCGGACTGGAACTTTCCCCGCCTAGATGCTGATCAGGTACATCTCATATGTACGACTTGTACCTTTGCGTTCACATCCATAGAGCTGTTTAATAATACCTTGATTGTCTCCTCCCGGTTAGCTGTTCTCTTAGCTGCTCTCCCAGTATTGACATCCATCCATGAATATTCAAATCGGCATATTGTGGTTTGCAGAACGTTTCTGGGAAGTAGGAGCATAATGCCGATTGAGTTCTGGGGTCCGTATGAGAAGGGCATCTTCATGAGCCCCATCCAATGCTGTTAATGCATTTATATCTGCTGCTGCAATTATATGGGCCTCTACAAGCTTTGGGTAACCATTCAGGCATGCCACTGCAAGAGCTTGGGAGAGGAGGTAAGGATACAAGCCAGCCTTTGCCACTTTTTGGAGCAAGAAGCACTCAATTCTTTCATGCCCTCTTTTGCAAGCGACGAAAAGGACAGGAGTGTTTATTGTAGCAGTGATGGCTGTGCACGAAGCAGGCGGCGAAACGAAGAGTACTTGCTGGGGTATCGAACTTCTACCAGTTCACTCCGTTCCATGGTGGCCATCTCTGCGGCCATAAGATCCTGATTTATCATTTCCAATCCACGAGGTACGATAGCCTGACGACCCCCAGAACAGCCGTCGATTAAAATATGAGAAATGAACCCGTACTGCTCACTAATAGTAGCATTGGTAGCGTCGCCCACTAGACTTCTTGCTTTCTTATACATTAGGAGCTTGTCCACCGTGGTCAGGTGACCATGGGCTGAAGACCTACCCTTTCTTTTGCCGAGAAACAGAGATAATCACATAGTCAAGCCCTGTAGATCTGAGTGAATTTTACCGCGGCTGCCACTTATTATAGCACTCAGCCCATCCTCAGGGAACTGCTCAGGGTTGCTCGATGAGCAAAAGGCGGCCAGGGATGAGCACTAAAACGGAAGGGAAGGCCTTGAGATGTCCAGAAAAGCAAAATACGCACGTAACGATGTAAATGCATCCAGGTTGGCTAGAGAACCGGATGCAGATTGAACTCAGGTCAATTTGCAAGTACTAGCCACTCTAAGGCGGGATATAAACAGAATGGTACGGAACAAAAAGAGGATCGAGTAGAGCTCCAGATACAGGATAAGTTGCAAGTAGAAGTGAATGGAGGCCACATTAGTAAACTTCAAGCGAGGCTCGAAGGCCTATGCTGGTTTCGACTAAGTATCTCGATATTCAATTGAACTCGGGATTTTCCCTTGGGATAGAATGGAAGATAAATGGGCTCGGTTCTTGGTCTTGGTCTTGGTATAATGGTCTATTCCGGTATCAGTCTGGATCCGAGGTTGATGACAATATATCAGATTAATGCCATGACCTACCATTCTTGTAGTATTTCCCCTTCCTCCACACTTGATTCGGCCTCTCTTTTTCTAGCTATCTGCCATTTCTGTTCCTGCACTAGATTTAGCGGGACAAGGCAATTTACTGGATAACGCGTACGACTTTTCGACTTTTCTCCGTTGAGACAAGCATTGCGTGTTCATTGAAAAAGAAAACAGAAATGTTTTTTTTCCATTTCATAAAAGTTGTCCATGGAACAATTTCATCCAGAGTTCAAATTCCCATTGAGGAATGCGATTATGAAAGTAGATCCGCAACTGGAGTTATGGTCAGTTATAATGCATATAAAAGGATGTTACATCGTACGAAATCCACTCACCATTCATGGGCATTTCGTCAATCTGAGTAGAATAGTACAATTCTATATCACGGAGGATTCTCACGTCATCGCTAGTGACAAAGTTGATCGCCACACCCTTCCTTCCGAAACGGCCACTGCGTCCGATTCTGTGAATGTAGTTCTCACGATTCGTGGGCAGGTCGTAGTTGATCACAAGAGAAACTTGCTGAACATCGATACCGCGGGCCCACACATCAGTGGAGATGAGAACACGGGAATTGCCCTGTCTGAAGTCTTGCATAATACTGTCGCGCTCCTTCTGAGGCATCTCTCCATGCATGCTTGAGACTGTGAAGTTGGCTTCTCGCATCTTGTCGGTGAGCCAGTCGACCTTGCGACGGGTGTTGCAGAAAATAACTGCTTGGGTGATGGTTAATGTGTCGTAAAGATCGCATAGGGTATCAAACTTCCATTCCTCCTTCTCCACCGCGATAAAGTATTGTTTAATGCCTTCCAGTGTCAATTCATCACGCTTGACAAGAACGCGAACCGGATCTGTCATGAACTTTGTGGTCATGTCAAGCACGTCGTAGGGCAATGTCGCCGAAACAACAACAACTTGGGTTGCGGGTGGGAGGTAGCGGTACACATCATAAATCTGCTCACGGAACCCGCGATTCAAAAGCTCATCGGCTTCATCCAGAACCAGCATTTTAATATGCCGTGTACGGAGGTGGCGACGACGAATCATGTCTGCAACTCTGCCTGGTGTGCCCGACACAACATGTTGTCCGTAGTCAAGTTTCCGAATATCTTCTCCAATATTTGTTCCTCCAATACAAGCATGGCATTGAACATTCATGTAGTCTCCAAGGGCCATGATGACCGACTGAATTTGAGTCGCAAGTTCTCGTGTGGGCGAAAGCACGAGTGCTGGGAAGGCCAACACTTCAGCATACGTACCGACGAAGATCAATAAGAAACTAGAAAGGACATACCTTGTGTCTCACGTACAACGGTATCGATAACCTGAAGGATACTGATCGAAAACGTAGCCGTCTTACCAGTACCCGACTGCGCCTGCGCGATAGTGTCGCGACCTTTGCAGATTTGGACAATCGCACGAGACTGTACAGCCGATGGTGACTCATATCCATATGCGTAAATACCACGAAGAAGGCTCTCCTTCAAATGCATGTCCTCAAAGGTAGGAGCAACCGTGACCTCCTTGGAGGTGTTAAACTCCATCCTGTCTAGTTTGCGCGGTCAGCATGGATATCTCAAAGGAAGTGGTCGCTGATGCCTACCATCGGCGCGCCTGTCAATTCCGTCCGCCATATTGATATATCTGTCGCTCAGTAATATGTAAAATGGGTATCTCAACCAATGCGTGATGGATTGGCTGTGGTGGATGTTAGGACAAACGTCGAACAACTTTGCGAAAACACGGGCGTTTTTGGTTCAAGCGCCACCGTTTCAGCACGTGACTTCGTCGCGGCAAAGCTCTGGAGTTACCGCGACCTAAGACTCTAAAGATATCACGCTGTTACAAAGACAGACAGCTCCTGACGTACATCGCCATCATGTTGCTAGAAGAGCAAAGGTTTATTCATGAAGACCTTGAGAGATTAGAGCAAGCCATCGCCGACCGCGTGGCCGAAGAACCGCGAAACGTAAGTTATATCTCCCTCGATTCTTCATATCTGTCGCAGGAGCTGAAGTGCTGTCGTTCTTCAGATCCGGGAAGGTTTAGCTCGCGATCATGAGATAGCTCGATTTTTGGATCGTATCGAAGAACAGTCGAAGAGACTACTCGAGATCTACAAAGATGCCGACCAGTTACGTCAGAAGGAGATACAGACGATCGGGACTGGGGACCAATTTGAGGAGTTTTATAGACAGCTTGCCGACATCAAGGATTTCCACAAGCGTTACCCTAATGAGCCAGTCGAGAACCTCGAGCGAGCATATAAGCGCCGTCAGCCGGGAGAAGGCGAACCCATCGGCTCAGAAATCGACAGGATGTTCACTGGCGAGGAAAGCTATGGACAGTTCCTGGATCTCACAAGCATACACGAAACTTACCTGAATTTGCCCGGGGTAAAGAGGTTGACGTATATTCAGTATCTCGATATTTTCGATGTCTTCACTCCACCACAACTCCCTATTAAGCGCAACAACAAGCTCTCCGACAGATACTTCAAGTATGTCGGGGATCTTGCAGCATACTTGGAGGACTTTATTAAGCGAGTTAAACCCCTACAGGATCTCAACAAGCTATTTGCCAGCTTTGACGACGAGTTCGAGAAGCAGTGGGCAGTCAACGAAGTCCCTGGGTGGACGGAAGAGAAGCCAGAGAATAGTTCCCAAGGACCAAAGACCGAGGGAACTGGCGAGGGTATATGGTGTGCAGACTGTGAGAAGGAATTTAAGAATGAAAACGTCTACAAGAGCCATCTTACTGGCAAGAAACACATTCGGGCTGCTGAAGCTCGCAAAAGCAATGAAGACAAGCCGTCACAGCCAACGCAGGGCGTCAAGTCCGTAGCCCACCGTTTGAAGGAGCGTGCAGTCGCTGAGCGTGAGCATCGTATCCGGTGCCTCGCAAAAACCCTCCAACCAGAGCGTCAAGCGACACGCATGAACGTCGAGCGGAAACAGGGCATGACAGAACGAGAACGCCAAATGGAGCTTGATGCTTTACTCTCCTATTCTGAAAATGCAGGAGAAGCTAACAATGACCAGTCCGATGACGAAGGGGATGAACGAATCTACAACCCATTGAAATTGCCGCTTGCCTGGGATGGAAAGCCCATCCCATACTGGCTCTACAAGCTACATGGCTTGGGGGTGGAGTATCCATGTGAGATCTGTGGGAATTTCGTGTACATGGGTCGTCGGGCGTTCGACAAACACTTTTCAGAGGCCCTGCATATCTTCGGTCTGAAATGCTTGGGAATTACTTCTAATACCAACCTCTTTCGTGAGATCACTAAAATCGACGAGGCTCTCAGACTCTGGGAGAAGTTGGAACAGGACCGAAAGAAGGATAGGGAGCTTCGTGATAATGTCGTACAGATGGAGGATGCAGAGGGGAATGTTATGCCGGAAAGAATATACATGGAGTACGTGCTCCTCCCCGCCTGCTCTCTGCTACTTCTGATGGATATGCTAACAACTCCCAGTCTCCAAAAACAGGGCATTCTGTAATCCTTCATGCCCAACCTAGTTTATCAGCTTCGCTGGCGGCATGGAGTTCGGCGACTGGGTCTGTTTGGTTGCTTTCGTGGTTAAGATGTCCGTCAACCTATTGATTGAGAAGTTTTAAAGAAAGCTTACGTGGCAAAGCTAAGCCATTCACATCCTGTATTCTAGAGATTGCCAGTTATATGACTGAGTGCATGTTGTCTTGGCACACTATATTCGATTGTGCAGGCAATAATATCACGTGTTTTCGTGAACCATGGAATAGACGTGGGCATCATTTGAAAATAATGTCGCGCCCCTTTCCACCCACATATATTCTGGATCAATTCTCTGATGGTTTGCTCTTTCTGTCTATTTGCTATCTGCTTCAATCATGCTTGTAGCATGTCTTGTGGTATCCGATATCGATTGTACCGGATCTACACGCTGATCCGCCTGGGAAACGAGCTCGTAACGTAGCCGCTTCCCTAATTGTCGAACTCTCACATGGGGTTCAAATTTGCCTACGTGTGCGATCTCCTTTCGAGCCTTGGAGACAACCGGATAGTTAAAGCCTCCACGGCAGCAAGAAGCAGCAATCCTGATATCCGCGTCATTGCGCAGTGGTTTGCCCAACATGGGAAGCGAATTCACAGTCAGAGCACGGACCGATTGGCTCTTCTGTCGTGCCTCTTCCCAGAAAAGAGAACGGACAGAGTCTATTGGTTACAGGATGCCTCGCTTGCGAGGATAGTCGGTCGCTGCTTGCTGCTTGGATCCTCGAGAAGAGAACAACTGGACCGCTGGCGTGTCTCTGGATGTGGTGACCTGGGACAATGTGTCGAGAAAGTGATGCAACAAGCCGAGAATCATATCCACGACGGGCAAGAGGTGACGGTTGAGGAAATAGACAACGCGTTGAACCAAATTGCCTCTCGATGTCGCTTTTCCGGTCCTCGAGTCAGGAGACAACATACAGCAGTGGACGTCGAAGAGGCCTTAAGACCTCTGTATAGACGCCTGAATAGTAGAGATGCGAAGTGGCTCACCCGAATGATACTCAAAAGTTACTTGCCAGTCGTCCTACCAGTGCCCTTTGTATTGAGGAGTTTTCATTTTCTCTTTCCCCATCTTCTACTCTTCCAGGATTCATTTGATGCCGCTTTAAGCATGCTGGATTCAGAACCAATGAAGTATTTTCCTCCCCATCCAGAGCCAGGACTTGCTCGGGACCTAGGTGCCATTGCAGTGCTCCATCTGACCCCACGGATTGGTACCAAAATCGGCCGTCCTGAATATTACAAAGCTCGAAGTATTAAACATTGCTGTCAAATGGCTGCTCAGCGCCGAATGAGTGTTGAAAGAAAATATGATGGTGAATATTGCCAGATACATATCGATCTCTCCAAGTCGAACCCTATCCAGATCTTTTCCAAAAGCGGGAAGGATTCTACGCTCGACAGATCTGGCGTACATGAAGCCATCAAAAGGTCATTGCGGATAGGGGATCCAAATTGTAGATTCTCGCGCTATTGTATCTTAGAAGGCGAGCTGCTTGTCTGGAGTGAGAAGGAACAGAAAATACAGGGCTTCCACAAGTTGCGAAAGTTCATATCACGGTCAGGGATATTCATCGGTACAGAGAATGATTCCCCGTAAGTTAAAGGAGCAGAACGACCTAGTCAAAGTCAACTTGCTAACTAGAACAGACCGCAGCCGTATGAACACTTAATGGTGATGTTCTTTGATATCTTACTGCTTGACGATGATGTCTGCTTGAGAAAGCCACATAGGAAAAGGCGTTTGCTTCTCAAGGATGTAGTACAGACGTTGTCTGGACATGCCGACCTTGCAGAGCAGGAGATAATAGACTTTTCTCGATCTGACGGTCAGTCTCGGCTCGAAAGGGCTTTCTCTAAGAGCATCGTGCAACGGTGGGAAGGATATGTACTAAAAGCATGCGATGACCCCTACTTTTCCATTTTCTCGACTGAAGACAAATCTTACTCTGGTCGATGGATCAAGCTCAAGAAAGATTACATACCAGGTTTAGGGGATACTGTCGATTTTGCATTAATTGGCGCAAGATACGATTCTCATGACATTGCCCTCCTCAAAGGGATACGCAAGATATCCTGGACACATTTCTACGTCGGCTGCCTTGTCAATCCCGAAGGTGTCCGCCAATTTAACGCCAAACCTGTGTTTCAAGTGGTTGATGTGGTCAATCGCAACTGCATGGACACACAAACGATGCAATATCTCAACCAGATGGGAGAGTTTCATGCTTGCAGCCCAGACATCAGCCACATCTTTGATATAAGTTGCAGTCAGGGAAGCATTCCCCCCATGGACGTTCTGTTCAAGACTCCCTTTGTTGCTGAAATACTGGGAAGTGGTTTTGAGAAGCCATCGGGCGCCAGGTATTTCACACTTCGGTTTCCCCGAATCTTGAAGATCCACTCCGATAGAACTTTTGAGGATGCGGTTTCGTTCGCGGAACTTCAGGCGTTGGCCAAAGACGCTCGCACTGCATCTGCGGAAGAGCAGTCACAGGAAATGCAAGAATGGGCTAAGCGTTTGAAATTGGCGAATGGGTACTCATATGCTGTCAACAGAACACCCAGCTTAGCATCCACAGCTAGTTGGTCATCTGAATCAGAAGGTGATTCTTGGAAGGAATGTTCTCCGATGGAATGCATGACTATGCCTTCACTGGATTCCGAAGACCAGGATAGGCAGAAGTTGGCTGTAGGTTCAACAGGCCTGCAGGACTACATTATTGAAGGAAATTCTTCGACCGCACGGACAACGACGACGACCACCACCACCACCAGCATCAGTGGAATGGAGTCAATGAATCAAGCTCCTGAATCACAAGGTTGTTTTGTGACGGACAGCCAAAATTCTCATCAAGGAAATGCTGAACCACAATCAGTCACTTCCTCGCACCATGCAAGGTTCTGTGGAGGGATGCCTGGTGATAGAAATACCAACCCCATTGACTTGACGGATGATACGGACTCCTTTGAATCACCAAAGAATGCTGTCGAAAGGTCTTACGTAGATGATGCTGGGCACCCTCGCTGTCGTATATCTCATATACTACAGTCTCTCATGCAACGCCCTGCGAACTTGAAGTCGCCACTCATCTCTATCCCAATATACCTCACAGGCCTTTCCTCAACTGAACAACACCAACAACAACTAATAGATCTGTGCCAGCTACCCGATAGCTCAGAAGCGACCTTCAGTTTCTCTGATTTCCTACAGAGAGTGTTGTCAGGAGAATCCAGAAACCGACTGAAATACTCAAACCCGCATGCGTTCTCCCACAGCATAACCCTCGGTTTAATCTTCATCGACAGGCAGAATCCTTCTTCTTTCTGCACAAACCTCTGCAGAATAAGCAACACTCTCGTGAACGCAGTCAGACATAATACTCCTTCCCTACCGTGTAGCGGAAAAATTTTCATTCTCAGTCTCGATATTCTCGGTCTAGGCGATGGCCTTGAGGACCGCAGATTCTGCCTTCAGTCTACATGGAGTAATATAGGAAAAGTCTACTTTTATGCGTCAGTTACTTGGGGTCCTGATTCCAGGGTTGCTTCCGGTCGTCTAGGCAATGGAAAGTCTGGCGAAGAAACTGGTGCTGGGAGAGCGTCTGGATCACTACGTCAAGGACTGCAGCTAGAAGGGCTAAGACTCCATCACCCAAATACGAAAATCAGAGTGGGCTTCGATCGACGGGAATTGAAGGTCCTAGGAGAATTTGCTTCGATTGAGCCGCTGGTTCATGCTGGTGGTTTCGAGCCTCGCTGCGATTGCGAAGGCGGTTCTTGACTACGCATTTTTGGATACTGAACCTCTAAAGGACGGACCGATAGGTAGTCTGGGGCTGTCAAAAAAAAAAAAAAAAAAAAAAAGAGAGAGAGAGAGAGAGCTTGTTGGAGTTGTATGTGGTGGTCTTCAGCTTAACTGATCGAGGAATAAATAGAAAGGACTAATGAAACTTAAGTAGACCCACCTAGTGGACAAAATTATAATACATGAAAACTTAATGTCAACATTGTAGGCATAAGTAGTAGACCGTCATCATCCATAGCTTAAACGCCTCACGCTGTAATAAAGGAACCCCCAAGAAACGAAACATGCAGGTTGATGCAAGGATGGTCATGGAATGTCGATGATGAAAAGCTACCCACCCTCTCTCCTCGCGCGGACATCTCTCATCAATGCCTTCGCCTCTTCAACCTCCACTCCATCCTGACAAAGTTCACCAGCTAACTGATCCGCGCGATCTAAATCCTCATTTAGCAATGACCATCGGGCAAGCCACAAGCGTGCTTTCGATGTTGTCGCAGTTACGCCCGTCCCTTGAGACATATCCCCGTCCTCGTCATTATAAGATGAATGCAAACCACTTCTGTCAGCACGTGTGATTCCACTCTCTGACCCATCGTGATCGTCATCGTTTTCGTTATCGGAAGAGATATCTTCATCGTCGCGGGATACTTGACCAGTTTCTTGCTGAAGAATAAGTTCCATGTAAGCGGCTGTTTCCTCTTCATCGCCTAGTCGTTCGTAGAGTGTTGCGATCTGGTGAAGGGTTTCGGGGTCAAGGATCTTGCGGGCCGGTGATCCAACGTGAGATGTGTCTTCGGCATAATAGGAACCTGCCACAAGGGCACGCTTGAGGGCTTTAATGCTCTCCTCGAGGCGGCCCATTTTAGTGTAGCAGGATCCCACTGCCTGCCACATCTTGGGATCGTATGGTCGCAGAGCGGCTGCCCGTTGGTAATAGAAGAGGGAGTAGAAGGACATGTCCAGAACCTCATAAGCCTGGCCTAGACCATACCATGCGCGATAGTCTTTCCGGTTGACGTCCACGGCACGACGATACGATTCGATTGCCGCATGTGTATTCTTCATTTCGATATACTCGTGGCCCATCAAGGTCCAGGCAGATAGGAAATTGCGATCCAATGTCAAGGCTCGTCGGAAGTACATCACCGCTTTTTCATGTTCAGATTTTAAGGAGTAGTAATTTCCGACAACGCAACAGGTTTCTGGGCGGAACTTGTCTGTGGCAGTTGCAACCTGGGCTATGAAGGCTAGCTGGGGGCGTGCGCCCACAACATAGAGAATATTCGAATAATGGTCAAGACCGTCCAGACGATGAGGAGAGCTGACTAAGATTTCAGTAAATATGTGTGATGCTTCATCAAAATCTTATCGATTCCAGAGTCAGTATATGAAATAGGTAGGAACGAGGACCACAATGAAATACCCTTGGAGTGATAGTAAAGAAGCGCCCTCTGCGTCTTGAGAAATGCACTATCTGGAAATATAGTCTCAAGCTCTGACAGCGCTTGATAAGTGTCTTCAGTAGCTTGATATAGCTCTTGACTGCAATGAACGTGAAAGATGAGAGTCATGATGTTCTGGGGAAGAAGATCCAGTACTTGTTTCAACTGTTGGGACGATTAGTAAAATTGCCATGAAATGTAGCTCATACTCAACCACATACATCTTCAGTGCTACCCAGTAAGTCGTTCAACTCCTGCCATGCGCCCCAGTGGAATGGGTTGAGATGAACACTTCGTATAAGCCACTTCTTCGCTTCTTCCTCGTTACGTCCTTTAAGTAATATAACTCCGTAGAGATACTCCAGCCAGCCCTGGCCACGATCCTCTAGACCCTTTTCACGTCTTTCGGTTAACCAGCCTTCAAGGCCTCGTGCCAAGTCTGGAAGTTCGCGGTTGACTGTCATTCCACCGTCTGCAGGACCCAGCACCATCTCAGTCTCCTCATCTTTTCGCTTCTCCCCTGCTAGGTATTTGGCATATAACGCAAGAAACAAAGACTTCTGGCTGAGCCTCGGATAAGGATTCCTCGTGCCAGAACTGCTTTTGACAGGCGACTCCTTCGCTTTGCCTTTATGCGGTGTCAACGACTGTCTTGTCTTCGAAGGGGTGTTCGATGTGCCTAGATGAGGGATAGGAGTTATCATTGGCGGAAGAAAAACTGCAGCGCATCGGTCATATTCCCGTGTATCAAAGAACGACTTTGCTAGTAGGTATTTGTGAGCTTCTTGTGCTTCTAGTGCAGCTTCGAGAGGGTCCTGAACTCGAAGGTAAGGGTTTTGAGGGATAGACGGTGGATCGGCAATATCCATAGGGGAATCAGGATCGGTATCATTATCGTCGAGCGGTATAAGGGAATTAAGCATTTCCGCGGCCCTGGTTTAAGTATGTTGTTAGTCTGGCGAACCCGAGCATCGGAAAGCAGGTCGATTGTCACCATTTTGCTGATTGATAGAGACAACGCTCAGAGCATTTAATAGTGGCTTCCTCGAGCCGGAATCTCAGCTCTCTGATATTGTCCTCCGTAAAATTGCCCTCCATGTTGAACCACAGCAAGCAAAGCTCGAGATCAGAGCCAATTAGTTGGGCTGGTGCAAAGGCTTCTTCCGTCTGAAAAAGGCAAATGATTCGGAGTAACGCAACAATTCAGTAATGAAAGGAGGCGACCATGCGCCTTCCGCTTATAAAATTAAAAATCACAGTGGAATCGCGGCTGCAGTAATACCATCCTCTGTGAATAGAACGCGGGATTCAGACGACGCGTCGCCGTCGGAGTAGAAGATGAAGCTCCGACTCGAAGTGCCGGAAGCTGTTCTCGGCTTTGAGAAGGATAATACCTAAATTTAGAAAGAGAAAGGACGGTCTTCGGGGGACAGGACCGTACGGAGGGCAATTCAGCGGGTCTGGATGCAAATATCTGCAATTAACTACCAGCTGTGGTGGAGGGAATCGAGGCATCTCCAGATGGATTGCCATTTTGGGAACGGGACAAACAGAGCAAACAGCCTCACCGCGGGGCCAACGTTGGCATTGTTCTTTTCCCTCATCCCACCTCCTTTTTCTTCTGGCCATTGCTCGTCTTCTTTCAATTTTGTCGTCCTTTAATTCCATTACCACTCTGTCTCTCCGTCTAACAATATGGCGACGACCACGAAGCGTGCTGATTTCGAGGCCGTGTTCCCCGACCTGGTCGTCGAGTTGCTTGCCCATGCGCAGAAGTATGGCCTCCCCGAAAACGCTATGGAGTGGTTTCAGAAGGTATGTACCCCTCTCTTTTCTTTTCAATGGCTTTTCTCCGATTCCAAATTATACTCACTGTTTTCAATAGGCGCTCAATGTCAATGTTCCTGGCGGCAAGCTCAACCGTGGTCTCTCCGTTCCCGATACCGGCCTCGCCCTTCTCAAAAAGCCCCTGACGGACGAACAATTCAAGCACCTCAGCATTCTAGGATGGTTGACGGAGCTCCTTCAGGCCTTCTTCTTGGTCAGCGACGATATCATGGACAACTCGATCACCCGCCGCGGACAACCGTGCTGGTATCGCCACCAAGGGGTGGGCTTGATCGCTATTAACGACGCCTTCATGCTTGAGTCAGGCATTTACCTCACTCTCAAGAAGCACTTCCGTTCACATCCTGCCTATGTCGATTTCGTCGAGCTCTTCCACGAGACCACTTGGCAGACAGAATTGGGCCAGCTCTGCGACTTGATCACCGCCCCGGAGGACAACGTCAACTTGGATAACTTCTCGATGGAGAAGTACATTTTTATTGTCACGTACAAAACCGCCTATTACAGCTTCTATCTCCCCGTGGCACTTGCGCTCCACTACCTCCAACTTGCCACGGAAGGCAATCTTCGTCAGGCTCATGACATCTTGATCCCCCTGGGCCAGTACTTCCAGATCCAGGACGACTATCTAGATGCCTTTGGTGATCCCGCTTTTATTGGAAAGATTGGCACCGACATCCAGGACAACAAGTGCTCGTGGTTGATCAACCAGGCTCTCCAGCGCTGCAGTCCCGAACAGAGGAAAGTCCTCGATACTGCCTACGGCCGCAAAGACAAGGAGCTCGAGGCTAAGGTCAAGGTTATTTTTAACGAGCTCAAATTGGAGAAGGTCTACAAGGAGTATGAGGAGAAGGCTGTTGAGGAACTCCGGACCAAGATTGCTGCAGTCGACACGTCGGAGGGATTGACGAAGGAAGTTTTTGAATCTTTTCTGGCCAAGATTTACAAGCGGACCAAATAGATTGACTGCCGGACCTTCTTTGTTATTCCTCGTTTACTTATCTACCTTCTCAGGATATCTACGGCCCACTAATTATCAGGTATACTCTGTATGTACATACCGTTCAATTGTCCATTTTTACTGATGTGACCACTATGGTTTCGAGCTGTGCTGTGGAATGAAGGACATGCAAAAACACCCCGATAGGGAGAGACGGCAATGGCGCGATGATGAACCAATACGGACTGTTTTCAGCATATATGATCATCTTCATTATGGATAGATATGCATCTTCTGTGGAGATGGAAATAGAATTTAATACATGCCTGCACAAAATGCCAGAAAAATGCCCTGGGTGGTATACGGAACAACGAATTGTAAACGACAAAAAAACCATCAATCATCATCAAGATAGAAGCGAAAGCCAAAACCATGTCTTCAAAGGCATCTTATCATGCACATGTAACTACAACTGATAGGGCCTCAAAGCGTCCTCAAGGGAATTATCCCGCTGACCCTCCCAGCAGAACGCATCCAACTCGACGGTCCTGGTAACCTCAATCCCATTAAGAATGAAGTGATCCTTCGGCGCCTCGACACTTACAATCGATAACGCCTGCGTATCGGTGCCGTTGAAGATGCTAGCAACGGGCCAGCTGGATTGGAAGCAGGGGGGCTGTGCGGCGCGTGGCGCGGAACCGAAGATTGCGGGTGAAGGTGAAGATGCATTACGTCCTCGCGTGTGGGACAGTAGACGGGGTATGTAGGAGGCGAGGAGTGCGCGGAGGGATAGGGCGTTTGTAGCGATCTAGATGACACGGTGTATCAGCCAGGTTCTTCAATGGAAGTCTACTTTGGCTAGAGCCGGTGTAAATGGGCACTTACCAGTCCCAGACCGATTTCGAGATCCCCTGCGATCCACGTCTGGTAGTCATTCCAGGTTGGATCGCCAGACTTGCCTGCTCTGACGAAGAAGTAGATGCGCAATGCCGCTGCGATATTGACCAGGATGCCGATCGCGAAGAGCGACATGGCGGCGAGTTTCTGGGGAGTGCGCATGGACAGTCTCATGATCAGAAGCATCGGGAGGAGCGTACATAAAAGGTCCGTTATGGAATTGACGATGCTGGTTGCGAAGATGAAGATGGCGCCGCTGAAACAGTGGTAAGGATAGTCGCGATGCAAGTCCCAGGACGCTTTGAGCGGTCTAGATCTGGTCAGCTTACCAGGTCTCCGGCAACCAGAGTCTCTGGAGTGCATGCACGATAGAATACTAACCGACATTGTAGCAGAGCAAGGAGAACGAAGAGCACAAGACAAAGGGTTATAAGAGCCATGGAGCAGACGAGCGCAACATAGTGGCCCATAAAGCCGGCTTTGGACGCATTTCCAACAATGCGCCGACACAACCAGAGCAGGGAGAGTTTTGTAAAACATGATGAGATGCTGAACAGGATTTCGTATGCCATGTTCAGCTTTCTATTCGCAGTAAACATGGACAGGGGGATGTCCCAGACATGTCGGTTCCAGCCGTACTTGACATCCCCAGCTGCCATGACGGCGTACATGGCCAGCGCAAAACACTGAGCGGGATAGGGTCAGCACGGCATGGTGGCTGTGCGAGGTTATGGAGATAGGTGTCAACGTACTGTTGCCAGAATCATGAAAACATCGTCCGCACCAAACGTAGCCGTGACCTTTAGGCGTGTGTATAGACGGAGAAGGAGCGTGATTATTGCCAGCGCGGAGAAGAGAATACTGCAAGCGAGGATCCCCGGGGGACGAGTAGGTGGATTGACATAGTTTGGATCGGGCCAGGAATCCACCCTGATCGTCATCGTCCTATGTTGTTGTCGTGGCTGTAGAGATGGAATATATAATGGATAGGCGCATGTATGGTCGTATTACTAGGTAGGCCTGCCTGTGCCGTGAGATAGGTAGCGAGGGCGGTCTAGGACGGCAGAACCTCACGTGTACTAACACCCCCCACGCACGAGCAGCCTACAAACTATGGAATCAATCTAAATACAGAAATCGGCCTCTATTCGGGCCTTCAAATGAGTGAATATATGCAAAAATAAACAGAGGAATGAAGGTTCTGCTTTAGCCAATCGAATGCCGTATATCAAAATAGAAAATATATCCAAAATGGGGGAGATATACGCGGCTTAGCTTATGCCAGTGAGTTGTAGGAAATGATCAAATTGTTCAGTTCGGAGAGGTTTGGTCAGGCCATCTGCTGCTTGTTCTTTGGTAGGGCAGGCCTGGAGTTTAACAATACCGTCTTGGATCTTCTCCCGAACGTAATGGTAACGTATATCGATGTGTTTGGATCTCTTGGTGGTGAGCTCAGCTTCAGCCATGGCGTGTGCACCTTGATTATCGATATAGAGAGTAATTGGCGGGCATTCAGTAGGGAGCACGTTGAGCTCGTTGATGAGGTTCCGGAGCCAAAGGGCATCTCGGCTGGCTTCACTTAGAGCCATATACTCAGCTTCGTTGGAGCTAAGTGCAACGGACGTTTGCTTGCGGCTTTTCCAGGCAATTGGGGCCCCGGCAAGCAGAAATATATATCCAGATACTGACCGGCGATTGCCTGTCAGTTGACCACCCCAATCAGAATCAGTATAACATCTGGGCATGAGGAGGTCAGATGTAATGGGTTCCGTGGCCTTATGGTAGGTAATTTGTCGGTTAATGGAGCCTTTAAGGTAGCGTATAGCGTGTATAAGGGCACGCCATGCCTTTTGGGTAGGTTTGGCGTGATATTGGGATAGTACGCCAACTGTCCGGCTAAGATCAGGTCGGGTTTTGGTGGCTAGCCAAGTAAGGCAGCCTACACCACGTTGATATTCTTTGATGTTCACTGTAGGGTCTGGGTCATCATCAATTATTAAACTAGGATCCATGGGGATCCCAACAGGGTGTGCTTGTGCTTGGCCAAAAGAGGCAACCACGTCTTCAGCATAATTGGCCTGGGAGAGAGTATATGTGGTCTTGGATTGAGAGGTGGCCATGCCAAGGTATTTGGTAGAGTTTCCAACTTCTTTTATGTCAAATTTAGCAGAAAGAGACTCCATAAACCAAGTGGCATCGTTCTCATGCTTAGCATAGACTTTGAAGTCATCCACATGGGTAGTCACATAGAGTTGGGTCTGGGTGGTATGGATCCAGAGACCAGAGTCGTATTCGGAGCTTTTGAAGCCAATTTGTCGTAAGAAAGCATTTAGTGTATCATACCAGATACGGGCAGATGGGATTAGTCCATAGAGGGACTGGCGGAGTTCACAAACCAGGTCTCCAGAGCCTTCTTTGAATCCCTGAACTTGGGTCATAAAGACACGTTTATCTGTGGGCATTTTTCCATTTAGGAAAGCAAGGATGGCATCTGCCTTTCGAGTATGCCAGCCAAGTAGAGTGGCCAGTGCTGTAAGGGTTCTAGTGGTATTTTCATCTACCACTGGGGCGTATGATTCCATGAAGTCCTTGTCAAGTAGATTTCCACGGATCACCCAGCGAGCTTTAGCTTGGTAGTCCCTTGTAATAGGGGTACCAGGGATTTCTTTCTTTTTGTATACCCACCGGCCAGGGATGACCTTGGTCCCTGGTGGTAGGTCAGAGCGGCGGATAAGTTGCCAGCAGCCTTTTTCTTTGAGTTGGTTGACTTCTTTTTGCATGGCTGCTTGCCACTTGGTGGCATCAGGATGAGATATAGCCTGCTTATAGGAAGTAGGCGTGTCATCTTCAGATGAAGGAGTGGTTGAAGCGGTGAGATAGGCTAGGGACATGCCTTTGGCGGGTCGAAGCCATATTTCCTGGTCTTCATCTTCAACGGGTTGGTTTGTATCTTCTTTATTAGGAGTACTTGGATCTTCAGGAACAGTAGCTTGTGGAGGTGTAGTTGTGGGATCCTCATATTCTTCATCAAATATAGTGTCATTGGTTGAAAAAAATGGCGTCTGTTTTAGGGTCCCACACTCTGTATTGTTGGCTACTGATTTGGCCGATCATGAAGCAGCATTTAGAATGGGAATCGAACTTGTTTATAGGCTTATCTGAGCCATGTCGATGAACCCAGACAGGGCAGCCCCAACGTCGGTATTTGTTGATACTAGTTGGTGAGTTGGTCCAGGCAGCCAGAGGCGATTTATATGGGCTTGGGCTGATTTTTGTGTTGGTATTGACCCCCCCAGGGATAGGTGAATTGAATAGGATTGTGGATGTTGGGAGGCGGTTTGTTATATCTGATGCATATTTTAAAGCATCAACCCAAAATCGCTGTGGTATATGGGGAGCGTCAAGCATTAATGTCCGAGCACGGTCAAAGAGTATGCGTATGCTGCGCTCACTGACACCGTTTTGCCAAGGGGAATATGGAGAACTTGGTTGCCATTCAATGCCTTCCTGACGGTAGGTTTTCTGCCATTCAGCTGAACAGAATTCATTGTCAGAGACAATATAGGCTGGGGCAGGGAAATGGTGATTCTTCATCTGTTGTAGCCAACCCCGAAATGCATCAATTGCAGCAGATCTTTCAGTTAGGTAGTGGACCCAACGGTAACGTGTAGCGTCATCAGTAATAAGCATCACATATTTGGCTCCTGTACGTGAAGGTAGAGGCATATCTAGCTTCTCTATATCTAGTGTTCGGCCGCCACCAGCAAGGTCTATGTGGACTCGGGCTAGTGGTGCAGTCATACGGGATCTTGGTGTTTTGCTGTATTGGCGAGTTTGCTTGCCCTGGATGCAGGCTTCACAAAGTGGTAGTTCTTTGGAACCTTTGATTTCAATGTCTGATGTAGGATCTGCGGCAAGGCGTAAAAGATCCTGCTGGTTTAAATGGCATAGACGGCGATGCCATGTCATAATTGGTAGAGCTGTTTTGGAGCTCTTAGTCTTTGGGGATGTTGTAGGTTTCTTTCTGGGAGGGTCCCCTGGTCGGTTGGCCTCTTTGCCAGACCGGGTGGTGACAAAGGCATAGGAGCTCTCGTCGGGAGAAATGCAATCTGATAGGATGAATACATTGTTGGTATTCAAAATGGCTTCAAATTCTGCACCAGAAGAGGTTGTGATTTGTGCTACTTGAGAGCTGGAAGGGAATTCGATACGAAAACCTTGTTTGAGAAGCATTCCCATGGAGATTAAGTTGGAATTGAAGGATGGAACATGTCGTACATCCCTAAGGATCAAGGATCCGGTTCCAATATCAATGACGACGGTGCCAATACCATGAGGTTTGGAAATCTTCCCTTGAGCATCTTCAATATAATCCGCTGGAGTAAGGTCCTCCTTTCTCAATGTTTTATAGGACGTGAAGAAAGCTTGATGGGGTGTAACATGGAATGAAGCACAGCTATCAAGATACCATGAAGCTTGGAGAGATTGGGCTGATTTAGCAATGGCTGTTTTTGCAGCTGAAGAAGTCCATGGTACCAGTTCATTGGTTTCTGCTTCAGAGAATGAAGCAGTGGAAGATTCTTTAGCAGTGTGTAAAGCACGAATAGCTTCAATAGTATTTTTATTGGCTCGGCGCCAATGCTCAGAGGCTTTCTCAGGGTTCTTGTAGAGGCAAGGCATTGGGTGGAAATGACCACACCAATCACAACGGGTCTTTGGTTTGCGTGAGTCCTGGTCCTGAGGTTTATATTTAGTGTTGGAACTTGAGGCGGAAGAGCTAGCAATGGGGTTAGATGCTTGTTTGGAATAGCTTCGTCCGGATAGATTCTCTCGTCGTCCTCCGTGTTGGGAGCAGGATTCACGGGCTTGGGTGCCCATACGGATAGAGAGTTGAGCTTGAATGGTAGGTAGGTCCAGATTGATGACAGGGCCTTGTCCAGTTGAGTATACTTCATCAAGTTTACTCTTAATGAATGCTTTGTTCCATTCGCGGAGGCCTATAAAAAATAGGTCGTGAATAAGGTTGTCAAATGATGCTTCTTTTATAGCATGAAGGCGGTCTACTATCCTAGTAAACGCAGATTGGTAGGATAGGTAGTCATTGTCTTTTATATAGAGCTCCTTGAGCTCTTTTATGAGAAGCATTCGTTCTTCACCAGTAGAACGTCCGAAAAAGGTAGCAGTTCGGTCCCATAAACCATGGGCTGATAGGTCATATGTGTTGCCCAATTTGTCAATGGCTTGGGCAGTCATAGCATGAAGCATTCGGGCTCTCATGACAGTGGCTTTGCAATGCCATACTTCAGCATCATAAGCTGAGTATCCTACTGGAGGTATATCCTGATGCAAGACTGTACTAGCGTTCAGGACATTGGCTTCTCTTTGAATGGCTGAACTCCAGAGGTCGTAATTATCATGAGACAGTGTGATTCGGCATCGGTCTGGTAGGAGCGCTTTAACTTGAGCTTGTACATGATCAAAAGGATCTTTTTGTACTGGATTTGAGGCTGGAATAGCCGTATTATTTTGAATATGATTGTAGGGAGTAGCGTTATGCCGGACTGTAGGAGTGGAGGATTGGGATTGATGGTGTTCAAGGGCATTAAAACGAGTCATGAACTGGTCCATCTGCTTCTGCATTTGTTCCTGCATTTGTTCCTGCATCTGCTGGAACAGAGCTGTGATGTCTGGTGTGGATGCCATGGTGTTGGCTGTAGTAGAGCTTTGAGCTCTAGGGGCAGTTGGGGTGTCCATTTCTTCAGAGATTACTGAGGAGGCGGAGGAGCCTATATCTGATGAAGGATCTGTGGATTCTGGCTGACGACGGTGACGTCTAGCGGTGGTAGGGGGCGTTCGAGGCACCACCATTTTGGATGGGATCGATCGAAGGATCCTGGGGTTCAGGGGCCGATTGTTGGCGGTCCTGGTGTTCAGAGTCGCTTAGAAGCGCTCGATTTCTGGTTTGACCAATGAGAGGTCACAATTTAGCCTATCTGAAAGGCTTTTTTTTAAGCTCAATATCGTAGAGCTAAAACGGGCTCATAACCTAATGGATAGGCGCATGTATGGTCATATTACTAGGTAGGCCTGCCTGTGCCGTGAGATAGGTAGCGAGGGCGGTCTAGGACGGCAGAACCTCACGTGTACTAACAATATATCATGATCATGCGAGCCACAGGAGCAGTATATCATTCATAGTGGTAGCAGACCGTCAGCAGCAGCTCTGCTACCACTTCATCAGATATAACATCGTGCCGTGGAACACCCTACATATGAACTTCCAGAAGCCTTGGCTCCAGGGGTGCTTATCAGCGGCATGAGTGCCGGGGAGTAACATAATATCATCACCTAATATGTTCAAAGACACGCCAGTCGAGCCTGTGCAGATGCGACATCAATTGTTAGGGTTCGCGTCGACCCGGACGCCCGTCGGCGAACGCGGCGCTTGGCGTTGGCTTGGACGGAGTCCGTCGCAAATAGATCGGACAAGAACTTCCAGAATGGCTGCGACTCGTGCTATATTACAAAGGGCAAAGACCCTGTCGAGAATACAAATGGATCAGGCCAGTGACTGAAGGCGGATGTGACGATCGTGCGGAGATCATAACACTCCAGGTAATAATGGCATGCATGCTACACAGTCCATACCACCGTCGATCGGGACTGATAAGGAAGGTCTTCCTTCTGCCAGCGTCATCTCGTGTTCATCAGGGTCTATTGATTATTCAACCGCAGTTTGGTTGGCAGGCAGACCCATACTGTGATCACTCGTGCATGAATGGCGACAGCCTCAAAGTCAAGTCCAAGTCCAACCTCGCTAATAAGCTTCGCCGATTGCAACCTCCATCTTTCATGCAGCCTTTAGTGCCAGATGCTGCGTCGTCCGGAGCGATCAGGCATGCCACTTAGCCATACGAAACTGCATTGAAAAACGGGGTTCAAAGGTCAAGGCGCTATATTGCTGCATTCAGTTACACAAGCTCCGCCAGGGAGAAGAGGGCTGTTTCCGAATCAATTGGAGGTAAAGATGCTAAGCAGAACCTCGGACGCTTCAGCTCAATTGTATTCAATCAAGCTTGTGGTAACCTGGCTCATATTACGCCAAGATGAGAGGGCCGGTGATATTGAAAGTTCTACGGAGACCGGCCAAGCTACTACAGGTTACATCGGTGGCAATGAATGTTGATGTTCTAGGATATCAAGTATCTGCATCGATTCAATATGCATCTGAACAAACACCGTGGAGGTTGCATCATCCATTGACCGGGAAAGCTGACCGCAATTAACAGATTTCCATACATCAACAGGAAAACCGGCATTTTACCTACCTGATGGCTCCGATTCCAAAATGAAAATGCAACATCCACATACAGCAGTCAAGAACGCAATTCCATTTGCCCAGAGCACCAGGGGATACACAGACCACCACATACGTGAGACCAAAAAGGCCGGGAACTGAATCGGAAACCTCGGAAAGTGCTCGAACCAAGGACACGGGCACGGGCACAGGCACCCGATAGGATCCGGTACAAGTCTAACCAGGACACTAGGGTCCCAGAGCTTGCGCAGGGCTATCGTATGCAGGGAACCGAGGGAGTATTCCCAGAAGGGGTCCTTGATGAAACAGCATAAAAGTAGTAGATAGTTGGTAGGAAGACATGTCGCGCCTTGACCCGTGATAGCGAAGGCCACGTGATTTTGAAAGATAACCCTCCGAGGAACGAGAAGAATATGCAGCGGACAATCCGTGGACAGAATGTTGGATGACGCGAAGTCACAGACCCTAGGGTAAATTCCATGGCTTCAAGATACCAAGACTTGTCGGCTGTTCAACAGCATCAAAAGACCTTGGCCTAGCACAGCCGGTTCGCACCTAGATGGATAGTTAACTAGCTAGAACAACCAACTCAGCAAGTTCGACCCCGTCAACAGAGTATTGACTATATTCTAAATTTCAAACCACCTGATACTGTTGATTAAAAGCATCTCCAAGGTGCTGGTGATAGCCTCGGCAAGGTGAAAGTCGAAGCAAGTCTGACTGACATGAGCTACCTCACCGTTTGCCCCACGGTCTTTCACAACTCCATTCGGACAGGTGACGGCGGTCTAACGAGGCATAACACACGTGACCTATAAAACCCTGATGAGGATATACTATTTCGGACAGGTGGATTATCTAATATTCCGGCCTGGGGATCCGGAGTATAGTTATATGTCCCGGGAGGGATGACCATACCCGAGTATCCCGGATCCTGTGAATAGACGTGAGAGCTAAAGCAAGAGCATTAAGCGCATCAATTAGAGCTTCACGATGTACTAGAGACAGTAGTATATCGGTATAGAGCGTTCACCACGATCCCTACGAATCCTACGGTATCCTTCTAGTATCTGATATCCAGACACCGCACCCCTGATCCACATCAAACCCCGCCACGCACGAGCTGACCTGGCAATGCTTATTCTAGTTTGCATAGTAAAAGTGGTCAGACTTCGGCGTCTTTTGCAGAAAGGAAAATGCTAAAAGTCGCCCTGGCATAGGCCATCTTGCATCGGCCAATCAGAAGCGTTGAATCAGAATTCGCGGGTTTCCCGATACGGTAATCATACCTTCATGCCGATCAGCTTGGAAGGTGTTGAAACGGTCAAATCGAAGAGGTTTTGTCAGGCCGTCTGCAGCTATCTCATTGGCACGGCAAGCTTTTATTCTCGATGATGCCTTCTCGGGCCTTTTCACGCATGAAATGGAAACGGATGTCGACGTGCTTGGAGCGTTTTGTCGTGGGGTCAAGAGGTAGCCATCTATAAGGCACCCTGCTCGTCAACTAGATATAGGTGGATATGGGGCTTCATTGTCATTTTCATGTGTAGGCGAGTTGTCTTACGGGGCGGTTCATTTCATTTGAAGCGTTGCTTGCGGAGTCAATGCCAGCTAGCTGGTTAGTTAACTAAGTTATCTAACTCAGTCAGCTACTGATCTAACGTTAACTACTTGCTGGGAGAACTATGAGAATACGAGTGTCATCTCAATTTGATTCATGTCATTTCTTCTGAAGTATAGGTTGGAAATTTAATGAAAGACGCAACTCGACGTCAACCACGTCAACCTGCTCATATATCCCAACATAATCGCCCTTGTAAGCACGGCATATGGATTGAGACTTTCAACTTAAGCTGAAGCACAAGCGCACTTGACCTTGATACGCATGAAACCACCCTCTGCAGCAACCTTCTTCTGCAGCTCAGCCATGCGCTTCTGGTCACCCGTAGGATCAGTCGACTCTTCGTCAAGCTTCCAGGTGAGGAGTTCGTTGGTGTAGTTGGGAACAAAGCTGGGATCAAGGACACCCAACCGCTTTCCGTAGCGGGTGACCTTCTCCCAGTCGCGGCGGACGTTCTTGAGGTCACGGCTGAGGTAAGCGTATGACCGGGAGTAGATCTTGCGGTTGACAGGAGTGTTCATGACGGGCTTGAAGTCAATGTACTCCTCCCAGGCCTTCTCCGGGTTATCCAGGACATAGTCCGTGGCGCGTTTGACAGCGCGCAAGAACTTCTTGACCTTCTCCTGGTTGGCAGCCAGGAACTTCTCATTGGCGATGTACAGAATGGTGCAGAAGCAGCAACAGCCCAATTCGGCGAGCTCATCGATACGGAGCATCTGAACGTCCGTACGGGGGCGGTTCTGAGAGGCAAGCCACTCCTCAATCTCGACCATCTGGACATTCTCGAGACCAATACCAGCGTCGATGTCACCGCGGATGATTGCCTTCGCGACGTTCATACCGCAGCGGACGGCCGTGTAGTCATCGGGAGTCATGCCGTAGTGGCTAGTCAGCTCATCGATTTGAATCTGACATCGTTGTTAGTGTATTCGGATACCAATCAACACCGAGAATCAACCCCCACCTTTCCAAACTCTCCGACGTAGCCAATACGCTTGCCCTTCAGGGAGCGGAAGTCAGTGGTGATACCACTAGACTTCAGGTAGATAACACCGGTAAAAGGCTCATCGAGCAGGGAGGCGATAGACTGGACCGGGTAGCCACGAGCTTTGGCCTAAAGGGAATCAGTCAGACACCGACAGCGCAGACGGGGAAAGAATACGCACAGCCAGGGTGTGGATCATAGCCTTGAAGCCCATATCGGCATGGCCGCTACCGATGATTTCGGTCACATCGGAGGGGTCATTGGGCTCGAGAAGGGCAACCTTGACGCCCTCCTCCTTGAAGTAGCCCTTGGCCTGAGCCAGATACAGAGGGGCATGGTACGGGGTGGCATGCCTTGGAGCAGATTCCACTTAGCTAACACACTCTAGACCAGAGAGCAGACAAAGTGCCTGTCTCAGAACACATGAGAAAAGCGAAAACCCTACCAGTTGGTGAGGAAAGTAATCTTATCAGTAGACATGGTGATTGGATTTCACGACGAAATCTCCGATAGGTTCTGGAAGGCCAGTCAGCAAACACAAGAGAGAACCCCCCCAGTTTCTCTTGTCAAGAGAACAGGAGATGGTGCAGGGGAGCACAATCAAAGCCACGCATGTCCTTTCGCTAGTATTATCTAGATCAAGTTATGACAGTATAATCTCAGAACAGCCGGTCTTTCTCTGGGACATCCCACGACCGAGGTAGACGGAATGGCGACCAGAGACAAGAGCCGAGCCGAACACCTGTCATACGTGTGCAATGATTATACCGTGTACAATACCTTGACCGTTAAACAAATTCATAGCGAGAAAGACCCAGGGATTGGACATCCCGTCTGCATGACTCCATCATGGGAGTGCTTCGTACCCAAGCAATTGGATGTGTCCGACAGTCGATAGATTGGGAAGAAGGAAGGATTTCCAGTGAAGGAGAGAGAAAAACGAGACAGTTGCGTTGAGTTGGAGAGAAGGCAAGACGGGTGGAAGAGGGGGAGGGGTACTTATATGACAACGAGCATGACAAGGTCCCCGCCAGACGAGCATTACGTCCCACTCTTCACGGACGGAGGGCGAGAGGCCCTGCAAGCATCACCAATACATGCTCACCGGGAAAGTTTAACTCTGCATTCGCCTAGCAATGGACTGCACGGGAAGAACAGCCGGTTCCAATTGGGCCTGTGTTGCTGCTGTCTGCTGTGCCAACAGGGTGATGCGTGTGCACTGTGCACGGCATGGCTTGAAGGACGTCATTCCAGTCATGGCGTTCGATTATTTCCACCCGAACTGGGGACTTGAGTTCCGGATCAGCCGGTCCAAGACCATTCAGCGTTTTACTATCGGCAGCACAATGACACATCTGGCGGTGCAGGTTGCTCCGAAGGCTCAGCCAGAGAGTGGAGATGCGTTGACTCGTAGCTTCAGAGCGTTGAAGAGAGAGCGTTTCAGCTCTCCAATTCCAGCATTTTGATTCAGTCTGAGCAGATACCTGGCAGAGATGAAGCTCAGCTGCGATTGAGCTCTTGGTAAACTTATTAACTAACATCTAGTTTAGTTACTTTGCATGTGTCAGGGAGCGCAAGCTGCCCTGTGTGCTCACGTGTACTCACGTGCCTACGGCCTGACCAGATGCAGCCTAGTGCCAGGGCACGGGCTGGCTCGTGCTTCGGGGCTTGATTTTCCCCGAATCTGCCCGATCATCCTCGCGCCTTTCCCGAATAGGCAACATGCAGGCAACATGCAATCCTGTCGGGTCTCGGGCTTGCAGCTGTTATCCAACTTGGCAAGCATCCAAAGCATCGATTCAGAATATTTCAAACACAAAGCGCTCGTACCATATGCAAGATAATGCCGGCCCCCAATTGCAGCCTTGGCAATTCCGGGATCTCCTTGCGCCGACTTCAACGTAGATCCCTAGCTCTGAAAAATTCGGCATCGGGATCGATCTACAACGTCCTCTCGGCTTCCCGAGGAATTCGGCCGTTGGGGGTCGAATACGCCTTTGCCTCTGTTGTGTTGTCCATACTTTGGTGGTTTTGATGATGTTTGGAGCGGGACAGCATGTCGGTGGTCGATGGCGGGTGTCCGGGTGGGATATATTACTAAAGAAAGCGTCGAAGATCGGGCTCCGTTCTTCGAGGCCGGCGTTTCAGACAGTTGGTGGAGGTCGCTTTCGCTGGGATTAGAGCCATTCTATTGCATTGATTTCTTCATGTGTCTGTTCATGGCCCAATGGATAGGATGGGGGAAATGCGTGTAGGCATATTCAGCCTGTTCTACTGACCTCTATCAAAGAACAGCCCAGTTCTGCCGTATGCTGGATATATTAGACAATACATGTACCAAAAGGGGAGTGTCTATACGACACTTCTCATGCGTAACAGACACAGTTCACGTTTAAATGTGCAGAGCATGTCTGCCAGATATGCAAGCCATATGATGAAACTCGACATGACGCTCGACGAGTGAGATGATTGTGGATTTGCCTGCGCCGCTTGGACCGACGAGTGCAGCGAATTGGCCGGGTTGGATCGTTAGATCCAGGCCAGGGAGAACACGGGTGTCAGGTCGTGCAGGGTAGGAGAAGTAGACCTGCTTGAAGACGACACTGGTGCCATCGCCGTTAGATGATACATTCTTCTCATGGGGAGAAGCAGCAGTGGCCTCAACATCCCCGTTCCAAGGCTGCGGGAGGGGAGCGGAAAGCTGCTTGGTCGAGCCAAGTTCAAGCAGATCCAGCAGTCGACGAGTGGCGTGGAATGCTGGGTTTCTCGCACCCGCTCAGCTTGCCCACGACGTTTCCAAAGATCACCGCTGATCCACAATATGTGCCACCGATGACCACTGCGTCGGCGATGGCGAGGACGAGCACAAACAGGTATGGGCGGAAGAGAGACCCCATAGAGCGTGCAGTGGATAAAGAGTTTTGATCCTCCTTATTCGGCTGTTCCTGCTCCTTGTTCTGAGCTGGGCTAGCTTTCTTGTCCTCGTCTGTGGCATCAGCCACAGCCGACATCTCCAGGGCCCCGGTTTTCTCATGGATATCGCGCGTCAAGGAAGCAGAGTGAGCGGAGGAAACTTCAGTCTCTTTATCACCTTCGCTGCTGCCATGGACGTTGAGATTCTGGAGACGAACGAGCTCAGCATAGGCACCGTTGGCGTTTATCAGATCATGATGCGTTCCTTGCTCGACCAGTTTACCCTGGCGCATGACGATAATATTGTCTGCACTCTTGATGGTTGAGAGCCGATGAGCAATGGTGATCACTGTGCGCCCGATTGACGCGTTCTCCAGAGCCTGTTGGATGCGTAATTCTGTCGCCGAGTCAAGCGAAGCGGTAGCTTCATCGAGAATAAGAATGCGCGGGTCCTTTACCAGGGCACGCGCCAGCGAGATACGTTGTTTTTGACCACCACTGATGAGGTTTCCCTTGGCGCCAACTAGGGTCCCATATCCTTCATCGAGCCGCTCAATGAAGCCACTTGCATCGGCCAGACGAGCGGCGTTCAGCACCAGGTCTACGATTTCTCGTGCCGAATCACCTCGTGCTAGGGAAGCTGGTATGGGATCCTGGCCCTCTCGCACTGCCGCAGCTACCTCAGCCAAAATGTTGCTCATCAGTACCGGATGTAGGTGCTTATGTCTGGGAGAGTTCACAAGACCCAGAGCGATGTTTTCCAGAATGGACCGGTCCAACAGGTACGGTTCCTGTTGCACGAGACTCATGTAGCTCCGGACCCAGCGCACGTTGAGTTCCTTGACGTCGTGACCATCTAGCAGCACTGTTCCCCCTTCCGCGTTGTAGAACCGGGTGATCAACCCGGCAACGGTGGATTTCCCGCTTCCTGAAAGGCCGGCGATGGCCGTCTGCCGACCGGCTGGGCAGGTGAAAGAGAGATCCTGCAACACGGGCTTGTCTGGCCGGGAAGGGAAAGAAAAGGAGACATTGCGCAACTCGATAGTCCCAGTGACTGCTGGAAGTACATGGCCGATGTCTTCGGCAGTGCCGTCAATAGCTAAAGGGTGCTCAATATCTGCTTCTAGCTTAGTGAAGGCGACGGAGGCGGCATCGAAGCTTTTCAGAAAGGGTGCAGCCTGACTGAGAATCAGAGAGGCATCTACAACGATGAGGATGACAGTAAATATAGCGCCGACGGACGTTCCACCGTCCGATTCCACGGCCTCAGCGATCTGTCTTGGCCCCTGCCAGAAGGCAAGACCATTGGCGGAGAAAGCGATGAAATACAAAAGTCCAGCCTGGGTAGCCATGGCGACGGATTTCCAGATCCCAGCCTTGAGAGTCGGATTCAAGATCTGGACGAATTTCTCCTCGAGCCGATCGTTCGCCGAAAAGGCATGCACCACCATCGTGTTCGAGAATGCCTCCAGCGCGACGGATGAGGCCGAGGCCATGCCCTCCAGTGCACGTCCGAAGAACTCCTGCACGTAGTATCCGCCACCCAGGGCCATTATGAGATACGCCGGTGCGAGGGAGGCCAGGATGCCAGCCAGCTTGGGGTCCTTGATGAAGGCGACTACATAGGCGGCGATGAAGAAGGAGATACTATTGATGACGATGCCGACCTTTTCGCCGGTACACTGCTGGATCACGGAGATTTCACTCGTCATCCGTGAGACACCTCGCCGGCGGGTAAGTTGTCGAAGAAAGCCGCATCCTGTCGGAGGATGGAGCTGAAGTCTTTTTCGCGCAGACGCTGAGCAAGCCTTTCACCGGAGAGGTTCCAGCAGAGAGTGTAGATGTAGATGAGGGCGAAATAGGCGATGCCGACGTACACGATCAGCAGGATCTTGTGGTCGATGTCCGACTGGTACGCGTGAGCCGTGGAGGGTTGGACCTCACATGTGGCCGTGTTGAGGCCGTCCACCAGCTGACCGAAGACAAGGGAGATGATGGGAAAGGGGACACCGGAGGCGATGGCAGATAGGAAACCAATGAAGAGGATGAGGAGATCAGTGTACGATGGGTTGGCGTAGACGAGCAGACAACCGAATGAGGTAGCTCGGCGCCAGACCTAGCACATTGATGAGTTCAGAATACGAGAATGAGAGAATAAAATAACGTACACTTGCTTTGGCCGGCACCTTTGCGTCCGTCGATGCTTCAGACGTGGCAGCCATGATACTCTCCTTGCCCTATCGTTGGCAAGGACAGACTGACTGACAGAGAGGTGCAGGGGTAAAAGATAATCGGTTAACCCTCAGCGAGAATAATTGGTCATTCCCGCTAGCATATGTCGACTTTTCCTGTTTTTTGCTTCTCTCTCTTTCATCTGATAAAAACCGATGTCGGATCGGATTTCAGCTGAAAGCAGGATGATTTTATCAGATCCGAACAGGCATTTCCAGCGGCAAAGCAGGGGGATCAGAGTATTACTGCCAGAGGCGCTGCATCTGCCATCTGATTAGGGCACGGTGGTGTACGGTATCGTATTACCGTATTATTACCGTAAACTAGCTACATGCAGCCCCACTGCCAAGGCAGCCGGAGATTGATAAGGGCAAGCCATCATGCACCAGCAGGCCTCACAGGGCCATCGATCATCGGTGGGAGGGCAATGTTTGTTGCAAATGCAAGCCGGTGAAGGTGACAAATGCACATGACAGTGTGATTTCTGACACTGCCTATAGACTTGTAGAAGGTACAGTCATTACAGTACTTTTAAGTTCTCAGGCGTAGATTATCTAATCTGATCTGATAATCTAATCGAGAACCATGTGGATTCTGCGAGTACTCCGTATTTGACCACCCTGGAAAACTCCCGCGCATATGTAGCTTCACTCTTCTTTTTTAAGGCATCAAGGCAAAATGGGCAGCCACGCAGCCACTGTCGCGATCCCCAACTCTGAACAGTTCTATCTGGCCTCTGTCTCCATAGTGGAGAAGGATATTATCAGATCGGATATCTGCGAGAACACTCCGCATGGGATGATGCTGGCACGAGGATAGCCCACCGGCAGACGGGGTTCAACCATGTTTCGCTATTCTTTTCCTGTGGGAGAAGCTCCACCTTATGTAAGCAATCAATCTAATCTGATCGAGTATTGTAAATACCGTAATGTATTTGTTACCTGTCTTACTACTATAAACCTCTGCCCTCCCCCTTTCCTAGCTGAATCAATTCGATTTTCAAATAGCCGTATATAAGGGATGGGAAATAGTAGATAGACCAGCCATAAACACCAGCTCTACCTACAACACACGTCTACTTCAAATACTTCCCCCAATTACTCAATATGACTAAGTCCCAACCAACCCTGCGCACCGCTCGCCTTGAACTCGTCCCCCTGGGCCCCGAACACCGCGGCCTCACGATCCAGCTCGACACGGACCCGGATGTCATGAAATACATTGCCTTCGGCAAACCATTCACCCACGAACAAGCCCTGGAGGTGCACCAGTGGCTCCTCGAGTCGGCCACACACGTGTCCGGGCTGGGCTGCTGGGCCGGCTTCGCAGGGGGAGACTTTGTTGGCTGGTGGATACTGGCTCCGTGCGAGGACAGTAAAGCGAGAGCGGCAACAGTGACACACAGAAATACAGGGCCAGCCAGGCTGAGTTTGGCTTCCGACTCCTACCGAGGTTCTGGAGACAAGGGTACGCGAAAGAAGGCGCCCGCGAGATGCTCAGACATGCCTTCCAGGACCTGGGCCTGATTGAGGTGATTGGCGAGACGATGACGGCTAATGCGGGCTCAAGGGCAGTTATGGCTTCTTGTGGGTTGAAGCATGTCTCGACTTTTTATAACGAGTATCCTACGCCGCCGCCGGGCATTGAGGAGGGCGAGATGCGATATGCGATCACCCGGGAGGAATGGCTGGCACCGAATTCTCTGTAGTTTACTTTTACTGTCGTCTGCCTCCCACTGGAAGAGTCTCTGGAAGTGATAGATAGCCAAGTCAAGTCTCCGAGACGCCATTAATTGATCTAGCTTCGTCCGGATGCAATGCACATGCGGCCTCTCGCCACTAAGACTCAGACTCAGACCATCCTTACTATTTGGTAAGATAATAACAATAATAATAATGCCGAGTGGTCATATAATAAAGCTCTCGTATTGATCCTTCTACCTCTTGTCCGTATCATGCTGTAACTGCTGTAACAATATTCTGTGGACCTCCAAAGACAGCTTGAACTTTCTTTTCTTTTCCTTTTCGTACTTCTTGCCCTATAATAATCCCTTTATCGGAAAAGAAAAGTCTTCCCAACGCCTCGGAAAGTGGTCTGTCTCGTGGTGCCTGCATTGAGGGAGCTATCTTCTTCCTCGCTCCACCTGGCCAGGGTTAAATATCGGCCCTTCGCCCGCAGTATTGACTACTAGCTCTTGACTGACTGCAAACAACTTGCATATTCGCCTTTGCTGGTTGGCTGCAATGGCAATCCTAAGCAAATTCCATACGATTTGTCGGCAACAAGTCCGCCAACGACCCCGATGGCATCATGGTCGACGACCCGACTGCTCTTCAGGTCAGGGCCGACGATAAGGAAGCCGGACATGCCCCCGTCGATGAAATATCCGCCGACAAAGAAGAGCCCAAGCCGGACGAGAATGCCCAGGCTGGTGTTCAGAAAATTGAAGCCGTGACTCGGACCTGGGGGAGGACGTCGGTGGACATCACCTTGGTACTGTATGTTCTTCTTTTCCTCGCTCCCAATGTCTACAGTATGGTAGCAGAACTAACATTACAACTCTCTTCCCAACAGCATCTGGCTTCTCACTCTGGTCAATAATATGAAGACGTCCATAGTCTACAGCTTGGCCCCCTATGCTACCAGCTCTTTCTTGGGCCATTCGCTTTTGACCGTCATCGGCATCGTGGCCAGCGCCATGACTGCCGCTGTGTACATTCCCATGGCTAAGGCACTGGACCTCTGGGGTCGTGCAGAGGGCTTCATGCTGATGGTTCTTCTCTGCATTACCGGCCTGATTCTCTTGGCTGCGCCCAAAAACATCGCTACGTATAGCGCTGGACAGGTATGCCGTAGCCTTTCCATCGTCACCGCAAGTACCCCAGCTAACAATTCAGGTCTTCTACTCCGTTGGATTTGGAAGTCTCTCCTACAGCTGGGACGTGCTCGCAGCCGATGCCGGGTTTTGCATTGCCTATCTATTTGATGCTGGCTCACAACATGCACAAAGCGAAGAAGCAGGGGATTCTCTTGACACAATGCTAACGATGGCCTTCCGAATAACCGTAATCGGTTTTATCCTCTTCGCTGGCGGCTGGGTCGTCTTCTTCCGATGGACCCAAAAATGAAGTCATCGAACTCACCCGTCCATTATGACCTCACAATGCAATCAGAACAGCAACTGGATCAAGAGACTCGAGTTAAAAGGGAGATCTCCTGTTAGATTACAGTAAGAACTCCAGCTATTTAGTCTGAGCTGTATGTGCTTAAAAGTACGTCTGCTGTCTCCGATGACATCTAGATCATGAGCCCTAAGACTTGATCGGGGATGCTAACTCCCTTTCTGACTTCATGGTCTAGCTTCCACAGTTCCCCAATTGATTTGAACCCATTCATACTCATACCACTCACCATGCCCCGAGGAATCGAATACGACGAAGACATCAGCCAATCCGAAAATCCCGTCCTCCAAGAAAACAGCAAAGTGCACGGCGTTAACTCTGCGGTATTGTCTACCCTACGTTGATGCATGGCAACCTGACCTGCTGTTCTCAAACTGACGACTCTAGAACCTCGAAATGAGCCGCGTCTACCGCACCGCGGAGCTCCCTGAGGCCGCGCTGCAACCGCCAGGCTTCCACAGTGGAATGGGCAGTCGGGGGTTCAAAAACACCGGATCGGGGAAGGGTGGTCGGAACCCGAGGACTATGGGTGAGAAGAAGGGCATGATGGCTCATAAGATGGATGGGACGGATCCTTGGAAGAGACAGGAGTGGAGTATGTAATATTAGCAACCAGTATACTTCTCAGAGGTATTATCTCGTGTGTCGGTTGAAAAACTAGGGGATTGGAGAAGTTCTTGTTGCTGTCTGATGCCTCAGGAATACCGAAGTCCACCTGGTTCTATTATATTGCAGTGTTTATCATCTCCAAGAACGACAGGATCAATCCAGGTAAATATCAAATGCCTAAACCCCTTGCTCTGAACTTGTGGAGTATAAGAAAATAAACATAGAAGGTGATATCCCTGCAGCATCCCCATGCTAAAGAACCCATGACAAAAGGAGAAAATAGAAGAAAAGAAGAAAAGGACTTGTTGGATCTTTCTGCAATTCCAGGAATGCCCACCAGACCTATGCGCTCTGTTCAAATAATAGTGCAGACCCGTGAAAGAAGGAAATATGTATAATGAAAATGAACAAGGCCATCGTATCCTACCATCACCATTGATTGTCATCTATGTCTTTTCGGCAGTGGATTTCGAAGAGTCCACTGCCCCATTCTTCTCAGACGTTGGTGCTTCCGTCTTCTTCGCTTTGACCAATTCCAGGAGTCGGTCACCCAAGTCATCAGAGCCTGCTATCTTGTTCATCTTCGTTTTGAAGTGCTCCACGTCGTTTTGCATCCTATAGTTTGACAACTGTCAGCTCGACTGTCTTGGTCGCATCCAAGATGTAACTCTTACCTCTGCTTGGCTGCCTGGCTCTTGACCGTCGCTTCTTCAAACGCTCGGGTCCATTGTTCCCGGTAGCTATTGAAGACTGGATTCATAATCATCAAGACGGTTGACTCTGGAAGATGTTTGCTCAAAACGCGATGTAATGTTCCCGTCTCCTTCGTCAAGGTTTCCATGTAAGGGTTTACCGCAGTAGGGCCTGCAGGCTTCTCCCAGTCAACCTTCTTCATTGCGTTGACATGCATTGTCGACCGAGCACTCATAATATCCACTAGCTTCTCGTGGATGCCAGATTGGTGGTCCTGGTATAACCGCTTCACCCTGTCAAATTCTGCCATTAATGGACTTGACGGGGAATGCCGGCGAACAAATTCGCGAATATACGGGATCAATGCAATAATAAAACTTAATGCCTGTGAAGAGAGGGCAAGATGTTTCGTAGTGATATTCTTCAAACCCGCGCTCCTGGTGGCTCCTGCGCCAAGGATAAGTTGCGACGAGCGGGAATTGAATAACTTCAGCGACTCCAACAAGCTGGAGGCAAGGTCCTGCATCATGTTGGGAATGTTCGCCATGAAATATTCAAATTCCTCGATGCTCTTCATCATCTCTATGGCTGATTCCGATAGAATGTACTTTTGCTCATCGATCACCGCACTGCGGACCTTTTCCTTTCCTGTACCGTTTGTAGACACTTCAGCTGGTGCTGTCTTATCCGCAGGTGACCATATTCTGGATGCCTCTATCCATAATTCGATGTCCTTTGTACTTGCGTCGAGAATTCTAGATAGGATAGCATTATCAGCATCCCCAAAATCCTTTGCATCCCAGCGATCTGCGTCCATCACTTCGACAATGCCATGTCGCTGGCCATCACCAAACATCGTGATGTAGTCGCGAATTTGGTTCCCTACTACTGTCTTCAATGCCGCACCGCTTCTCCCAGAGATGGCCTCGCACTCGTCGGCAAAGAGTCGATTGAGAGTGAAATATTTTACAAAGTCTCTCTTTGGCAGTTTCAGTGTCTGGGGAGTCCGAACCTTCAACACCTTGACAATCTGTGACTGGGCGATATCAACAGCTTGTCCAAGGAGACTCGACATGTCGAGAACCTGCAAGATTTCATCCTGGGCCATAACAGTTGAAGAAGTCCCATTCTCCGGCCCTGATGTTGCCTTTCCGTCAATGTTCGGTGTACTAGGACTTCTCGAGGATTTAGAACCAGCTCCTGGGCTCCCGAGACCACTTGCAAGATCGAGAAGCACTTTAACTTGAACGCTGAGCCTTCTGAGAGATTCGCTAATACCCGTGTATATGCGTGTAAACATGTTATATGCATCCTCTGCATCCAAAGCGCGAAGATTACGAGCAAGAATGGACGACTTTTCTTGTTGAGTCCGGTGCCGGTCACTCTGCGTCAAAACAGAGACCATCGATTCCGTGTCGTCATCACTGGAACTAGGTAGATGCTGTCGTATTAGGCCCTTCACCTCCCGCAGGACCGCCGTCTTGAAGGAGGTCGTTGCTGGAGTTATATGAAGCGCACGGGCTAGACCACTAAGTTGAGTGTGCAATCTTGACCGTAGTGTTTCGTCAAAAGACATATAAGCGGGTGAAGCTGAAGCCGCTGAGCGCTGGCCGCCGCGCTGTCGCTGGAATGAGTATCCCCACCGCTGGAGCGTGACGTCGGCTGGAACGCTCTGCACATGTTTTCTCAAATCGCTGAGAAGATCATCCAATAATCTACTTTCATAGCCCATCCCAATCCGAGATCTCAGTTGTGAAATATCGGCCGATGCACACTCCAAAGCTTTTACCTTGCGCAAGTCTATAAGCCTTCTCGACTGCCCCGAAGTTCCATCGTCTTCAGAAGTATGGCTAGATGGTTCATCACCAGCAATTAGCTTCTCAACGTCATCAAGGCCATCTGCAGCTTCCTCGATATCCCCATTTTCGACTAATTCATCGCATCGAGAGATCGACTGCACCACTTCATGCAATTGGGCGACCGCGTCTGCAAGCATTCGGATATTTTCTCGCCGACGGCGCAGAGTGACAATCTTAAGGCCTCCCAGTGCCATCTCTTTATCTATTTTCTGAAGGTCCTTCCGCAATGTTTGTATCCTTTCCACCGAATCAGCAGCCTCCGAGTGCAGCTCACGCAGCGATCCTAGCGCTGTGAAGAAGGATTTGGATGCATTAGAAATTGACGAAATAAGGTGCATTTCCACGGTATCCAAGTACCACGAGAGCTTCTCTTGGAGAATTGCGTTTGTGGCAAGTGCCTTCCGTCCCATGTGCGCCGGTTCGGCGACGGTTCCGTTCGCAGCCGTATCATCCTTCGCACCTCTTAACGGCGGTCTGATTACTTCTGACTTCTCGGACACGACATCGAACGTTCGCGGGTTCTCTAGATGGAAGTCGTCTTCAAAGTAAACGGGAGGGACTGTAGATAGAGGTGTGACTCCCAGACTGCGTCGCTGTCCACTGGAAGACTGCCGTATTCTTGAACCGTAAGGTGAGGTCGCGCGAGATGAAGTTGCGCGAGAGCTGGTCGAGATAGTAGACAGACGTCTTTCCCGTGACAGCATCGACCCCAAATCATCTTGTTTTGGAGGGGCTTTTGGTCCCCGCACTAAATCCCGATCCGCACTATTTTCTCTTTCCTGTTGAAACACATCGTACAAAGAGCCAACTTGCGATAAGTATGGTTGGAAGACCTTGGATTCCACATGCGGGATGTTCGTTAGCGTCACAGGCGGTATATCTCGAGAACTTGGAGGCTTGTAACCGGTCGAAGTCACCGCGGTATGAGGTAGCAATCCTGTCCGAACGATTGGGGGCTGAAGAAGGGTTGAGATCGCTGTACAGATGAATTAGAACCGCAACCCGGTGCGCAGATGACAATTGCCAATGAAGACAAACCATTTTGTCCGGCTTCTGCTATCGACTCATGTGGATGAGTCGAATCTAGAATTCCGCCAATGCTAGCAAGAGAACTCGCGGTCGACCCTCTCCTTAAGGGGTATCGTTGGGGCGGCGCTCGCGGAGAATCGATTTGGCTCAATGAAAACTGGGACAAAGAGGGAGTTGACACTCCTGATGCCAGACTATCTACCGACTTTCGAGGGCTCGTGGAGGACATCTTGCCTGTTGATGTGTCAAAGGGCCGTCTCCGACGGCCACCGTGATATCGTGTTCAATGCTAGCTAGGCATAACAGAAATCCGGGAAAGGACAGCTCAGAGCGGCAGCCGCTTGTCAATGCTCTGAACCAAAATCGATAAATAGCCACAGGACACACGAAAGTAAAGTGAGCGAATATCACGAATATTGTGGGAAAGTCAAGCTAACAACGTAAAGCCTCAAAACAGCTCAGCATGGATGCGATTAGTAGTACCTCTTCCCAATCCGGTAACACTGTTCCATATTTGGCATAAGCCCGATATCTCGGAATATAGATAATCCCCGATATGCGAAACTTTGGGCCTCAGGCATATTGTATGCCTCAGGCGTAATCACTTTACGCGTAACGCGTTCGTGTATTCTTCGCGTTTCTTTGCCGAATTAATTATCGCCAAAAAAAGCTTCAAGGTCGGTTTGTTCCTTGCTAGCAATTCCAACAACCACCATCCCTTGTCCTTCTTTTTCATATCACTGTCTTCATTATGGATAGACGAACCCCCTACACTTTGAGCGTCCTTGCGCCCAGTACAGACGGTGCTGAAGAGTCGCGCACACAGATTCAGGCTCTATTGCGCGAGTTCGTGCTAGAGTTCCAGCTGGATAATGCCTTCATTTACAGGTACTTTTCTCCTTCTTATACTTTATCATCAATCAAAGAGGCCAAGAGCTCGAAGCTGATGTACCCTGAAATAGAGACCAACTCCGTCAAAATGTCCTAGTAAAACAGTACTACTGTGACATTGACATCGCGCACTTGATCTCCTATAACGAGGAGTTGGCACACAAGCTCACTACAGAACCTGCAGACATCATCCCTCTTGTAAGTAGCTTAGATACGGAGTCATGTGCGTTGTTGTAGCTTGGCTTGCTAACTGGTACCGATGTTTTTGCACTAGTTTGAGGCAGCTCTCCAACAATGCACCCAGAGAATCGTCTATCCTTCACAAAGAGACATCATCCTTCCCACCCACCAGCTTCTTCTCCACTCTTCTGCATCTCATATATCCATTCGTGACCTAAATGCCACCAACATCTCTCATCTTGTCCGTATCCCCGGAATCGTGATTGGCGCCTCGACCATATCGTCCAAGGCAACGACTGTGCATATCAAATGCAGGAATTGCGAGTATAGCGAGAATATTCACGTAGAGGGCGGGTTCTCTGCACTCTCGTTGCCCAGACGCTGTGGTCGCAAGCCGCAGCCCGGGGAAGCTCGGGAAGAGCCCTGCCCGCTCGACCCTTATGTCATTTCCCATGAAAAGTGCCAGTTTGTTGATCAACAGGTCCTCAAGCTGCAAGAAGCCCCCGATCAAGTTCCGGTTGGGGAACTCCCAAGGCATGTACTCATCTCTGCTGACCGATACCTGGCCAACCGAGTCGTTCCTGGATCTCGCTGCACTGTCATGGGTATTTTCACCATCTACCAGTCGAAAGGTGGCAGAAAGGACGCCGCTGTTGCCCTCCGAAATCCATACCTACGGGCCGTTGGGATCACTACCGATATGGACCAAACCGTGAAAGGCAATGCTGTCTTCTCAGATGAGGAGGAACAGGAGTTTTTGGAATTGAGTCGCCGACCAGACCTGTACGATGCCCTCGCTAGGAGCATCGCCCCGTCGATCTACGGAAACTTAGACATCAAAAAGGCTATTGTATGCCTTTTGATGGGAGGGTCGAAAAAGATTCTTCCCGATGGGATGAAACTCCGTGGAGATATCAACGTCCTACTTCTAGGTGACCCGGGTACCGCAAAGTCCCAACTTCTCAAGTTCGTGGAGAAAGCGGCTCCGATAGCAATTTACACGTCCGGAAAAGGTTCCTCCGCGGCTGGTCTGACTGCTTCCGTGCAGCGTGACCCTTCGACACGCGAATTCTATCTTGAAGGAGGTGCAATGGTGCTTGCAGATGGTGGTGTTGTGTGTATTGATGAATTCGACAAGATGCGGGATGAAGATCGAGTTGCTATCCACGAAGCTATGGAGCAGCAAACTATCTCCATTGCTAAAGCTGGTATCACCACTATCCTCAATTCTAGGACGTCCGTTCTGGCAGCGGCAAACCCCATATTCGGAAGATATGACGACCTGAAAAGCCCGGGCGAGAATATCGATTTCCAAACAACTGTCTTGTCTCGATTTGATATGATCTTCATTGTCCGTGATGACCACAACCGCGCCCGTGATGAGAACATAGCACGACACGTAATGGGAGTCCACATGGGCGGCCGGGGTCTTGAAGAACAAGTCGAGGCAGAGATTCCAGTGGAGACCATGAGGCGATACATCAGCTACTGCCGAAGGTAGGCCATAATCAATTGATCGGAATGAATGAGCGATCTAATGCTAACACACGACCACAGCCGCTGCGCCCCCCGTCTCTCCCCTGAAGCTGCAGAGAAGCTTTCATCACACTTTGTTTCCATCCGCAAGCAAGTACACAGCGCGGAAATAGAGGCCAATGCCCGATCCTCCATCCCCATCACCATCCGTCAGCTAGAAGCCATCATCCGTATCACCGAGTCCCTAGCCAAATTATCACTATCACCTGTCGCCACAGAAGCACACGTCGACGAGGCCATCCGCCTCTTCCTAGCCTCGACAATGGACGCGGTGACCCAAGGCGAGGGCCAGGGCAACAAACAGCTCATGGAGGAAGCCGGCAAGGTTGAAGAGGAGTTGAAACGCCGCCTCCCCATTGGCTGGAGCACAAGTCTGGCAACTTTGCGGCGTGAATTTGTTGATGGCAAATCGTACAGCGAACAAGCTCTCAATCGGGCCTTAGTGGTTCTGCAAAGACGAGAAACCATACAGATACGTTCTGGTGGATCGCAGATCTATCGGAGAGGCGTCTAGTTCCGTTCGTTTTGTCTTGATTGCTTCTCTCTTCACGATCTTATGCATGCTATATCGGTACTGTCTATGTGCTATTTATGGTGGGGGCCGTACAGAGAAATGTGGAATCTGGCGGTAGTTTTTCTATTTGATTGAGGGCGTGGTGGATGGAACTGGTGTTTGGGCGTCTATTTTTCCTGTCTGCAGTAATCTCTGCAATTCCGTTGCTTGGCCATATAATGTAGCGAAAAAGCACACTCCTATAAATCCCGACAATGCTTCCTGAATTCTGGTTTCTGCTAAGAGAAGAATTCTGGGGAGTACTACTATGCCGAGAGAAATTAATGACGCTGATAACCCCACACTGTCCGGCGATACCCCGCCCGCCAAAATGTTGCCCACGACCTCTTCTATCGACGCATGGTAATAGAGTCAATTGAGTGACTTGAAAATTCTACAATTCAACTGCAGGTCAATAGCTTCGTTACAGCATAGCTCTATCTGACTCGGCTCAGTCAATTACGTTATCTAATACCTACGGAACGGTGACCTCTCTACCAAAGCAGCTTTCTGAACACACGTACGCACGCAACGATCGACCTCCCTTCAACCATCAATTGTTCACCATGGCACCTCTAATCCGTGTCATTGGCTCTCTGAACGCCGACATGGTATCAGTGACGCCTCGTTTCCCGGATCCAGGCGAGACGATCACGGCCTCCTCATATTTTACCAGCGCGGGAGGGAAAGGCGCCAACCAAGCCGTCGCATGTGGACGATTATCCCGGGCAAAACCCACCGCAACATCCCCATCGACAGAGAAGGACCCGGTCAGGGTCGAGATGGTTGGCGCGGTAGGGGGTCTAGACGGCCAGTTCCAGGCGTTGCTGAAGCCGACGCTGGAAAAGTCCGGGGTCGACGTTTCCCGAGTTCGAACTATTCACAACGCTTACACTGGGGTCGCTGTGATCATCGTGGATACTTCTGCAGGAGGAGAGAACCGGATTTTCTTCTCGCCTGGCGCGAATTACACAGGGATGCAACCCATTCCGGAGATACTGGGGGCCGGGTTGGCGGCGCCTGTGCCGGATGTTATTGTCATGCAGGGAGAGATTCCCGTGGAGACAGTCATCGGGATTCTGCGAAACATTAAAGCGTGGAAGGAAGAGAATAGAGCCAAGGGTCAAAAGGGGATTGAGGCTGGGCCTGAAGTCGTCCTCAACCCGGCTCCTGCACCGCCCGGGGGACTGCCGGATGACGTATACGATGGCGGGGTGGACCATTTGATCCTGAACGAGACGGAGGCGGAACTGATGATCCCGCCGACGGAGCAGCTGCTCAGGACTGTCCCTGATGCTGAGGGCCAAAGTGACCGAGAGAAGGTAGCTCGGTACTTCCACAAGATTGGGGTAACATATATCATTATCACACTGGGGGCCAAGGGCGTCTGGTACAGTGCTGCAGATTCCGGGAGTTCAGGGCCAGCAGATGGGGTCACGCGCTTTACGAACGAGATTCCCGCGTCCAAAGTCGAGAAAGTCGTCGACACGACGGCAGCGGGAGATACGTTCGTGGGGGCATACTGTGTCGAGGTGGCCCGGTGGCGCGAACGACGACGAGCGGCTGGTAAGGCGGGGCAAGATCTATCGATTGAAGAAAGGGTTGAGAGATATCAGAAGATGATGGATAACACGATGAAGTGGGCCACGAAGGCGTCAGCACGATGTGTGGAGAGGCAAGGTGCAATGGGCAGTATCCCCTTCGAGGATGAGATCTAAATGCAGCTATAGGGCTCGACTGGGAGCATGTACTAATACTATCAATTACGATACTATCAATTACGATACTATCAATTACGATACTATCAATTACGATACTATCAATTACGGCATATGCATATTGCTGGTCGTCTTCGCAGCTCCTATACTCGGTAAGAGTTGCCATTCTAAAGCGATAGGTCTGCGGAGTCTCCCGAGAGGCCAAGCTCTCCTCTGGGCACCTGCCACCGAGGCCAGCGCCTCCAGACTGTTCAATCTGCATCTGATAGTCGGATATCAATAACGCAGTGAGGGAGGGCGCATCTGTGACTCCATAACGTCGCGCTTTGTAATTTATGTAATGGAGGTACTATAAATACGCTGTGAGACGGAATCGCGTGTTTACATGGAATTTTATTGGAGGGTACGTGCCGCAACGCGTCAACACGTCTGGTATTTCTTTTACATCCGATGGTAATATATTATCCCCACCGAAAGGGTCAACCACTGCAACGGCAACGAAGCAGATCGGCGCAGGGGATGGTTTCGCAGCTGCTTCAGACCAGCGGAATCCCGCCTGCTGCGTCCAGCGACGGATCGTCCAGGCTAAGATCTAACACGACCACACGCTATTGATCCACGACAGCGCCCTCATAGGCTCGCTCGCCTTAGTACTTGCATTCCCATCACTTCTCGTCCAAGAATCACGGCCCTGGAAGTCTTGGAAGCTTCCTAGCGCGTCCCTACAGGCCTAATTTGGGAGTCGCTATATGCATTAGGCTCGGAGGGGCTGTTCAGCCTGCCCTTCTCAACGCCTCCCAACGCGAAAAGAACGCGCTCGGCGGCGGTTGTCTGTCCCATCGTGCTCTCCTCCAGACGTAGAAATTATGGCGGTCATCTCCCAGCTGAAACTCCCCTCCTTCCTCGTCTTCTTTCTTCTTCCCCTGTAGTTGCGTTGTACAAGAGACACAAGGCCTTTCTGGGTCGATAAAAGTGCCGTTCATTGTCTGGCTGGGTTGTCTCTGCCTTGTTCTCTGTCTCTTCTACATCTGTCGCTGCTGGTGTCGTGACATCCCAGTTGCATACTCCAGTCACCGTCGCGTTGTCTGCTCGCATTTGCATTTGCATTTAATGACTCACGGCTTGCTTGTTATTGCCTCAGGAGTGGATGGTATCTACTATCATCAACACCAAAGCGATACTACCTAGCTATACACTATCAATCGCTAGACCGCCAGTTCCGTCGATCGACCCCACAGGTGAATATTCCTGTTTCGTGTCACTTCGGCTTGCCTTTCTCGCTCGACGCGTTCTGCCTTCCTCCTTCTCAGCAATCCCCAGAAGCAACCAGAGCCCTGTCTACTACCCAGTGAGATATATCCATGGCCACTCTCACCATGTCTCCCACCGTCCGTCGGCCGTTTGCCAGTCTCGACCGCACGCGTATGTCGCTGTTGACGGCGAAAATGAACCAGAGGAACGAACAGAATGGTACGCGTTCTTTGCTATCTCTGGGCCTAGCCTGTCTGTCTTCGGCGCATTTTGATGTTAAATTGCATTCTAACATCATATTCCGTTCTAACAGGCTGCGCGAAGTCATGGAGGACCCAAACGGCAGCGGGGGATATTGAGAACGTGGATCCCGCTACTCTTAATAAACCTTCAATGAAGCGGAAGCGTGGCTCGGATGAGGATGAGCTTTCTATGAAAGGATCGAAAGAATCGCCCAAAACCTATCGACTAACCACCTTGCCGCTCACCGAGTCCAAACATGCTGTATACAAGACGCCCTCGACCCCTGCAAAACCACGTCATACCCTGAAACCTGCTGGTCGCTCCCCCAAGGTCAAGTCCTGCAAGATCTCCACTCGTCGTTCGCCCATCACCAAGGCTCGTCCCCAGCTACGCACTAAGAGAAGCGTGATCCGTCCATTTTCCATTGCGACAGCCTTGTCTAATGGCAAGCAGGCGACAAGGGCTCCCTCTGCTCCGGCGTCGTGGTTCTTTGAGATCCACGTTGACTCGGAACAAGATGAGATGACTAATCTCGTGCAGCACTCAACTTGCGTTCTCGACATCAGTGACGATGAGGGCAAGCAAAAGCGGGAAAGCCGTGGCAAGGAGAATGTCCCGCCACAGGAAGTGGGCATTGACCTTCCTAGGGCCCGTGAGCAGACCGGCGCAGCTGCTGGTGCTCACAAGAGGGATATGATGGAAGACCGATCCCCCTTGGCCGAGCTCAACGCTGCCGACTTTTACGGTGCTGGCTGCAATGCCTTTTCTTGTGTGATTATCCATGATGACTCCGAAAAGGCGGTTGGGATGAAGAAGCCTGCCCCTGCTCCTCTCCAAACCTCAGCTTCCCAGTTTGTTCCCAGAGCCGAACAGTCGGCTGTCCCCTCTATTGTGTCTCTGCTAGAGACCACTGCATCTGCGAAGAATGCTGCCAAGCCGGCTAAGTCCTCTAACGCCCAGTTCGAAATTCTGGAAGACGGTGCATCGGACACCGAGATACATCCTGCAACCACCCAAAGTACTACCTCCTAGTTTCAAAACTTCGGTTTCTCTGTTCCTCTATTCCCTGTTATCAGTGGTTAAGTGATGGCGTTAAGGATGGTCTTGTTAGGTTAAAGCAGTGGCGTTCCGTGGTGCTCTGGATTGATCCTTTTTTTATTTCGAATTTCCCATCTCCATTTCCGGGCCACTGAGGTATACAAGATCCATGGGAATCATTGTCAGATACCTGCATGTCTGAGACGTGTGATGTCTTAGGTACGGTGTACACTGAGGCTGGCTGATAGACTCTGGTCCTTATGGTGAGCGACTGGCGCACGGCTCAGTTGGCGTTCGCAGCTCTATTCAAGACGGTGATTGCATTAGGTTTTCTTTTAACTGGATACCCGTTTCTTTTTATTTTATTTTTTTACTTTTTTACTTTTTTTTTGCATTCTCCGTTATGGCCGGTTTATTGTCGAGTACCTGCACGTTTCGTTCTCTTTGCCCCGTTCCCTTATCTGTTGCATTGTACGGTCCACACTTTGTTCATGCTGACTCCCATTACCTACCTGCTATCGCGTGAAATGTTGATCACGCTGCAAGTCGCTTGTCTCTGCTAGTTTCAGCTTTCAGTTTCCCCCTCCGACGGCCTCAATTGTCAATTTGTCGTTCTTCTGCACTGGTTGCGTCCGTATTGGTTTGCAGTATGTGCATAGCGATGCTCTTTTTTTTGCCTAATGAGTGGATGGATCCGTGATGTCTGTCAGTATCAATGCCAATGCCCATTTCAGTACCTGTGGGATACGATTTTATGTACATACGAGTTTTCTGGGCTTCGTTCCTTAAGCTTGGAAAGCATTGGTTCCTTGTGTTGGTTTATTGGAAAACTGTTCGTTTGGTTGGCTTTTTGGATCGAGTCGTAGTAGTTACTGGCTAGTGGAACTGTCGGTATTCATTTCTTTTGGATATGGTAACAGGCTGCGTGCTCACGGCAATCCTAATCCATAAGAATATCCTCGTCGTCCTCATCACCTTCATTCTCATTCTCGTTGTCATCGTCTTCATCTTCATCCTCCCCCACCTGCTCCCTCGCCGCAACAGCAGCAGCAACCTGCGCCTCCAACAATTCCCGACGCTCAATCTCTTCCTCCTCCCCTTCACTTTCAGCTTCAGCCTCCGCCACGACCCCAGTCCACTGAACCCGTTTCTCTTTGTCCCCCCTCCCCCTCTCCACCGCCGCCTTCCAACTCGGCAAACTTTTGATCGTAGACCGCACCTCCGTCGCCAGCTGTGTATCCCGCTGACTAGCCACATCCGGGTCCAATGAGAATGCCACCAGATTTGTATCGTTCAGATCCACATGGTCAGGGAGAGTAAGGACCCGCTCATAGTCCTCTTCATGGGGCGTTTTGTCTTCGATTAGTACTTGGATTTTAGCCCGCATGACTGTTCGCACTTTCGCGAGGGTTCCGGAATGGTACCATCCATCTGAGAGGAGTTCGCATGTTGGACGGAGAAAGTCGGTGATGTTATTGCTGTTTCTTTCAGGGAATAGAACATGGGAGAGCTGCGGATCTGTAATGTCGCATAGCATCCAGAGTTTCCCGTCTCGAGGAAGTGGGGGACGTCCCGTGAAGATGTGGGAGTTGACACTAGTTATGTTATCTGATATGGTCGTTGAGGGGTCGGCGGCGGTGGTGGTTCCGAATGCTTTCTCTGATCTGGGGAATGTGTATCTCTTTCCTCCGCCGTCGCGAGCAACTTCTGGTTCTCGGGGGAGGATCTTGAACATTAGTGTTTGGTATTTGCGGGACTCTGGGGATGTGCGGGGATCGTGACCGAATCGGACAATTGCGTCTCTCCATGGCCCGGCGCGGAAGATATATCCTGTGTACGGGATTGCATGGCGGAGAGCGCTGCGCTGCTCTGCTGTTTTCAACTGGTTGCGGAGGGCTCTTCTCGTCCAGGCGGGTCTTTCCGCGAAGAGGGACTGGAGGACTGTAATGGTCTCTCGGAGAGTTTTGTCCAACGTTTCGATTTTGGGGAGATCATCGCTGTGTTTCATGGGGATAGATGAGGCGTCGTTGTCGACCATGTATGTGAGGATCTTGGTGGCTTGTTGGGTATTGACTGTTGTGATCTTGCCGGTTGTGTCGATGGATTGTTTGACGGTTGGGTTTTGCCGATAACTTTTTGGTTGTATTGTTGGTCAGCCCCCTAGCATCACCATCGAACAGAGTCTGCATGGGGAATACTAACATGTATCCAAAGGGGTAATCCCCACGACTGAAGGATGGAGGTGGAATTATGTCGACGTCTGACGTCGCCCCTCTGGTCATGTCGAGGTCGAATCGTTTCATCTTGTCGTCTGCCCGGTATTTGGTATTAGCTACCTAGGGCTTTGCTAGAATTAGTCAAGGGTAAACTTACAGTCATAGGAAAGAATCTGCTCGCGAAAACGATTGGTGAACGAGCTAGCCGTTGTCGAAAAGACAAAATCCGGCATCCCTAGCAAGTAGGTATTGATCAGAGACTTCAGTCTGTATAAGAGTATATTCCACTCACCACGAAAGACGTGAGTCCTATCGACCCTCCCCACTGCCTCAACCTGGTATTTGCCGACATTATCACGTAGGCTACGCAACAGATCATGAGCTGCCCGTCGTGAAGGCACTGAATGGCCAGCAGCAACAGCGTGAGGTTCCGTGAAGGGGTCATTTGAACCCTTCTTTCTCCTGCGTCCCGTCCGCTTGGGGACGGTTACTTTCAACAGGATGTTGTTCGCAGAGCTACTGGTGGACTGGACAGGTCTTGCTAGAGCATCCTCTGGACGGAGGGTGAGGTGGGCTGGGGCATCAGCCTTAGGGGGGTTCAGGATCTGGGGAAGGCGTTAGTTCACAGAACAAAAAAAAGTGTTAAAAGGATAATGAGGGTCGTGTGTTTCGGGATTTACCTTGGCGATGCCTGCATCCCCTTGTAGCGTTTCGATGGCTTTGTCGACATTCTTGATGATGGCTGGATGTTCGACACTGACGATATGCCGAGGGGGGACTTCATAGACAGGAGCTGCTCTTCCCAGTTCGGCTTGGTCGGACATTGTTTTCTATTATTGCTATCATTCTTTTTCCCCAGGAATACAACTTGGATGTCTTGAATATTATGGAGGTGGCCAGTGCGGTTGTCACAGATATATTTCAACCGTGTTTGAACTTTGAAGACATAACAGCCAACACAGGAGGATAAGAACCACCCCGAGACAGTGCAAACCACTGTCACTTGCTTGAAGACAGACAGTTGAACGCAGCAAATAAAGCGGCTGTTTTCTGATAATAATAATACGCAGCAGATGCGTGTTGGTCATCCCCATCGCGACGGATGACTAACCCGAAACACACGTGACTTTACAGAATGCCCGTCTTTCCGCTTCACGAAGAAAGACAAGAAGCAGAAAGGGAGACGAACACAGAAAAGCAAGGGTCTTAAAAGTGTATGGTTCAGTGTAGGCTTTGAAACTGTATTAGGCTGCCAGGCACAACCCTGCCTGCGGCCTCTATCCCCCGCTGGCCTGTATAAGGGATGTCCTTCCTGGCTCCTTGCTCTCCCCGGCGTGGATGAGCCACTCCAGGAACACAATCAATTTCCTTCCCCTTTCTAATCACTGCCCCGATCCCGTCCACCAACAACATCCTCGCCGCGTGAATCACTCTCCTCGATCAGTCGCACCCTGTCCATCTGCGTGCCTGCTCAACTTCCAGCGTGTCTGTTCCCCATAACGTCCATTGCGCCCGTGAGTCCCTTAGTACGGGGCTGACCACCCCCCGCTCCCAGCCTGCCGCTAAGCGACACGGTTAAGACGACGCTCAACGCTCGAGCTGACCCCGTGAAGCTACCGGACCCTCCTATACAGCGCCCTCTCCTGCCTTGAATCGCTCCTCAATTGCCACACCCGGTAGTTATCAAGGTGAGCACTGCTGCAAGCGTTCCCTTTGTGTTGCTGTCCTCCGCCGCCAGTGGAGCGTACGTGTTCTCGGTGCGCCTCCTTCAGAGCAGCAGTCGGTCCCGGCTTCACCCCCAACGCCTCTTTCCCCTTCCTTCCAGCATTCTTGACATGCTTGTTCTTGATCGAATTCTCTGGTGAAATATCAATGAGTGGCATGCAATCAGTAAATCTGATCAAGGTTCTGCTTTCTATGGTTATTCGTTGGAATGCTAATGCGGTGCCCTTCCTGCAGGTCGATCGGTATAAACAATTCCGCCCTGCATCCTGGCTCTCCTGAATACATAGCGTCGCGCTCGCCGCTTTAACAAACCCATACCTCCTGCTGGTTTGCGGCTGTTCGCTGCACTGGCATTGAGACAACTGCGTCTAGTGAATGTGGCTGGTTTGATCCGTTCCGAGAGCCGACAATGAAGGGTTTCAGACAGAGAGTAGTGAGTTGCCCGCTTTCCATCCATCTTAACCTCCCATAATTTCCCGCATCACCTCGGTTTCGCGCCGCCTCTGCTCTCTTCGTCGGGAGTTGTGGTTTGTCGCAGTCTTTGCTTGGCCGGAGCATAACCCACGTGCCGAAGCGTATTCTAACTTTCTCTAAAAAAAAAAAAGCATGAGCAATTGTCGAGGGCGAAGGATGCCAATAAGTCCTCCAAGAAGTCGAAGGATTCCTCACACTCATCTCAAAATTCGTCCTCCCATGGATCTTCCCATGCACAACAACAGTCCGCCTCACCGAATCACACTACCCCAACGTCGTCCTCGACATCGGTGAACGAAATCAAGGGCAAATCGGGTACAATGGACAATGGCTCGCCGGCTGGAATGAATGCCACGGGCATTGCCCAGCAAGGCGCTGTTCCACAGTATATACCACAAGTAGCAGGCGTGGCTGGTCAGCCTGTGAATAATGGCCCGTCAACTCCCAGCAAGCAGGGTCAACAGCCGGCACCCCCAAGCTTGATTATTAGCCCAAGTGGACCGGTAAGGCTTCCATTTCTGTCGCCCTGAGAACTACGTGTTTTCCTTCCATGCCAGATAGAGCTGACTGGTTCTCTGTTACCTGATTCTAGCAAGTCCCTCTCCCTGGTGCCGCAGAGACGATGCCGGGTGACTTGGCGCCTCCCAGGAAGTCTCTTATCTTTGATCGTTTTCAAGGGACCCCCAAGGATATGTCCGAAGGCATCCGGACCCCGAAGCGCCAGCACTCGTCGCGGTTCGACATCTCTGACCAACGCCAGAGGGAGCTTGAGAAGCTTCCGGGCTTTCATGAAGTCCCCCCAAACCGACGCCAAGACCTCTTTATGCAGAAGATCGACCAGTGCAACATCATATTCGACTTTAATGACCCCACTGCGGATATGAAATCCAAAGAGATCAAGAGACTGGCACTCCATGAACTCCTGGACTATGTCGCGAACAATCGCTCTGTCATTACCGAGCCGATGTACCCGCGGGTCGTCGATATGTTTGCCAAAAACCTCTTCAGACCTATTCCTCCGCCTGTAGCTCCCCAGGGGGAGGCCTTTGACCCCGAGGAGGATGAGCCCGTGCTAGAAGTGGCTTGGCCTCACATTCAGGTGGTCTACGAGTTTTTCCTGAGATTCATCGAAAGCCAGGATTTCAACACGAACGTTGCTAAGGCTTATATCGATCATCGGTTTGTTCTGCAGGTATGTTTGGTTATGTTCAGGTCGCTTATTACCTCTATGGCTTGAACAGTGTTCTTACGATTGGTATCTATCACAGCTACTGGAGCTATTTGACTCCGAGGATCCGCGTGAACGAGATTTCCTGAAGACCACCCTTCATCGGATTTATGGGAAGTTTTTGAACCTACGGTCATTTATTCGCCGATCTATCAACAACGTCTTTTTCCAATTCGTTTACGAGACAGAGCGCTTTAACGGCATCGCGGAGCTTCTTGAAATCCTTGGATCCATCATCAATGGATTCGCTCTGCCTTTGAAAGAGGAACATAAACTCTTCTTAACCAGAAGTTTACTCCCTCTACACAAAGTTAAGAGTCTCAGCATGTACCACCCTCAGTTGGCATATTGTATCGTCCAATTTTTAGAAAAAGACTCTGCTTTGACTGAAGAGGTAGGCCGTCTCATCATTCAATTTTATCTCCAAGTTCTGTGAGGTCTGATCTCTCTGTGCAGGTTGTTCTTGGCTTGCTTCGATACTGGCCAAAGGTGAACAGCACCAAAGAAGTCATGTTCTTAAATGAAGTGGAGGACATTTTTGAGGTAATGGACCCTGCGGAGTTCGTCAAAGTCCAGGAACCTCTTTTCCAGCAGCTTGCCAAATCAGTGGCCAGTCCGCATTTCCAGGTGCGTGTTCTGTGAATTCCCACTCCATGCAAGCGTCCTCCGACTAACGAGTCTCCCACATGAAAGGTCGCGGAGCGTGCTCTCTATTTCTGGAATAACGAGTACTTCTGCAATCTGGTCAGCGATAACGTGGAAGTCATTCTCCCTATTATGTTTCCTCCATTGTATGAGAACTCCAAAGGCCACTGGAATAGGTGAGTGTGACTCTTTCGAGCAATGTGCTGGCGACAATCTCTAATCCTAATACCGTAGGACAATTCATAGCATGGTATACAATGCCATGAAAATGTTCATGGAGATCAATCCTCAACTTTTTGATGAATGTTCCCATGAATATAATGAGCGCCAGAACAGCGCCGAGCAGCGTGAAAAGGCCCGGGTAGACCGGTGGGATAAACTTGCCGAAATGGCCAAGGACAGGAAGAATGGGATTCCGCCTCCACCTCCAGCCCATCCTCCAGCTGTTCTGGGACAAGTCGATGAAATTGATGCATTGGCCGAAGAGAATGAGACACGGCTTAACTCTTTGAAGATACAAGATGAGTCCAGCACAACAAAGGAGAGAAGGAGGCTTCGTGACCTTTCACAGAGTCCGGTAAGTCTTGCTCAATTGTGACCTTTACAAGTAGTGTCTGGTCAGCGATGTCTTTATATGACAGCCAACGAGTACAATGCCAGCTCCCTTGTGCCTTGTTTGTGTTTTGCTAAGACGCCATGGGGTTGTTTGTGTAGTCACCGTGATTCTAACGTTGAAACGTCCGTTTGCTCCAGAAACACCGCCGTGCATCAATTGGTGGTTCCAGAAGGCGACGAAGTGGCAGTGCCGGCGAGACCCGATTGCGTGGGGAGCGACGACGGTCTGGCAGTGGATCTGGTGCTGCTATTGCATTATCGCGAAGCAATTCCACCAAATAATGCAAGGAATACGGGCTGATAGGCGCTTCTACTTTTTCTCTTTTTTATTTTTGCGACGATGGCATAGCGACTACGAGCTGCGATGACGAGAACTTTCCCCGATCTGTTCATTATTTCCCTCCAACGCTTTCTCTTCCACCCCACCGGTAATGGTCCTTTTCTTCTTCCTCCCCTATGCTACTTTGTGTACATGGCCTGGAATGTATCTCTGCTCGCTGGTGCCTTGATGAGGCCAGTGATGAGCGAGCAGATGTTTTTTCAAGTTGGATTATTTAGAATCGTGTTTTGTTCGGGTATGGAAAACTGGTGTGAATGGCGTTTCCATGCACCGACCGAGATGTCGGTGAACTCTTTTTTGAGCATTAAATCTTCAAGTACCTGCAATAAAGCCTCGAATATCAAAAGCCCCTTCCCGCTGCGGATTGTACGTACGATGCTGCAGCTGCACCTTGATTACTAATATACATATTAATAAGCATATGCCGAGACGGACGTAAAAACTATTTTCTATACTTTCCTAACTAGGACTAGTGCATTTGTTCGGGGTCTCTGCGATGCCCGCGTTCTGCTGCTTTGTTGCATTCTGAAGTTCTTGGGCATTTCCCAGCGCCTTATACTTGACATCCTTCTCTACCTGCCGCCTCATCTATCCGCTCCTTAATGTTTTTTTTTCCCCTACGATTTGATTCTAATTGTATCAATTTGAAATTGAAAGGTGGAATATTCTACACAACCGCTCCTTTGATCTCATTTAATCCACCTTTTGCGGTAGCGAACGAGTCGAGTTAGCTATAGCAAATAGCTAGTTATTGCTCCGCATGGGAATTGCGATTGTTTGAGGGGATTGCGCTGGCTACTTGGACCATAGCCGGCCGGGTGGCCTGGCAGTGATTGAGGCCCTTAATTGTACTGAACTCTCGACCTGGTCCACTGCCATATCGTCATGGACCGCAACATCGATATCTACGCCAGCAAGCTGAGCGACGAGAAGCTCGGTATGTGCCACTATACCTTTTCTATTTTTACAATAGTTCTCTTTATTATCCTTCACTTGAGGATCGCCGAGGCAGAAACTGGTTGAAGCTGTTGCTGCTTTGTTGGCGATATTCGTTGCTTTTTGACCATCACTTACTGGCATGCTGATTGCTGGTGCTTGTGCAGATACGAAGATAAGGGCCAATGTCGCTGTCGAGTTACGAGATAGTATCGAGCCGTTATGTTCTGGTGCAAGTTACCCAATGTTCCTGGCCAAGTTATGGCCGGTGTTCAAGAATATCCTGAAGGGTGATCCGGTGTTCACGAACGTATCATTCGAACAGGTGAAATGCTAGCGATCCTATTCATGGTGGAGGATAAAATCAACTGACTTGGTTGGGGGCTATATAGAAACTGCGTAACTGCGTTCTCGAGACTCTCCACCGGTTACCCATGGCCTTACCAGACGTGGAACCGTACGCTGGCGATATGGTTGATTTGCTGATGGAGCTTGTGCGGGTTGAGAACGAGGAGAATGCCGTTCTTTGCATGAAGACAATCATGGATCTTGCGCGGAATCAGGCGAAGGCGACCGCTAATAGGGTTCAGCAGTTTTTGGAACTCATCCAGGAGATGTTCCAGACAATGGAACAGGTAGTTCGTGACACATTTGATATCCCAAGCCAGACGACGAGTCACCCTCCTGGTATGCCTTCGACCCCCGGTACAACCGCTCAGAACTTCCAGTCTCCACGTCCGAGTTCACCTGCCACTTCCGTATCAGATCTTGGGCCGGAGCAACAGCCGAATAACATCTTGCTTAGAGGCATGCAGTCATTCAAGGTTCTCGCAGAATGCCCAATCATAGTGGTCTCGGTATTTCAAGCCCATCGCAGCTCTGTTGGACCGAATGTGCGACTTTTTGTGCCTCTCATAAAGAGTATTTTACTTTTGCAGGCGAAACCCCAGGAGAGAGCACATGCGGAAGCGGCCGCTCAAGGGAAGATATTTACTGGAGTGTCAAAGGATATCAAGAACAGAGCCGCATTTGGCGAATTCATCACGGTACAAGTCAAGACAATGAGTTTCCTCGCGTATCTGCTACGCATGTACAAAGATCAGTTGCAGGATTTCCTTCCCAATCTCCCATCCGTTGTTGTTCGTCTTCTTCAGGATTGTCCAAGAGAGAAGTCCAGCGCCCGCAAGGAGCTTCTTGTGGCCATACGCCACATTATAAATTTCACCTATCGCAAGATCTTCCTTGACAAGATTGATGAACTTCTTGACGAGAGGACGCTGATTGGTGATGGTCTTACGGTGTATGAGACAATGAGACCTCTTGCGTACAGCATGCTCGCCGATCTGATTCACCACCTACGCGACCACCTTAGTCGCGATCAGATCCGCCGGACGGTCGAGGTGTACACTAAGAATCTCCACGATGACTTCCCTGGCACTAGCTTCCAGACGATGAGCGCGAGGCTCCTTTTGAATATGACAGAGAGGATTTGTAATCTCGAGGACAAAGCTGAGGCGCGGTACTTCTTGGTCATGATTCTCGACGCCATTGGCGATAAATTTGCTGCGATGAATCATCAATTCAATAACGCAGTGAAGGTGTCCAAAGCGTACAAGGCATCTAAAAAGGATCTAGAACCTGCTCCAGAGCATTACCTTGCCCACAAAGATCAACCTCCAGAATGGGATGAAATCGACATATTTACTGCGTCGCCCATCAAGACTTCTAATCCTCGAGATCGTGGGGGGGACCCGGTTTTTGATAATATCTACTTGTTCAAGAATTTGATCAACGGTTTGAAAAACGTCTTCCATCAGCTCAAGAAATGCAATCCGGAACATATCCAGATCGATCCTAACAGCGTGCCGATAAACTGGCCCGAGGTGTCGTACGGCTACAATGCAGAGGAGGTGCAGGTTATAAGGAAGCTCTTTCACGAAGGTGCGCGTGTGTTCCGCTACTATGGTGTAGACCAGCCCCCTCCTGAGATCAATTACAACACTCCTTTCGACTTCCTTGCTAGTCAGTACGCTGCGCCGCCGTCGCGAGAAGAGAAAGAGCTTATCGAGAGCTTCGGGACGGTATTCCACTGCATTGACACGGCAACGTTTCATGAAGTCTTCCACCCTGAGATCCCATATCTCCACGAGCTCATGTTTGAGCATGGTGCCCTGCTTCACTTGCCCCAGTTCTTCCTGGCCAGCGAAGCCACATCACCTGCGTTCTCGGGAATGGTGCTTCAATATCTCATGGACCGTATCCACGAAGTTGGGACTTCTGACATTACTAAAGCAAAGATCTTGTTACGAATGTTCAAGCTCTCTTTCATGGCTGTGACGCTTTTCTCCGTGCAGAATGAGCAGGTCCTCCACCCCCATGTTACAAAAATCGTGACAAAGTGCATTGAGCTCTCCGTTACTGCAGAGGAACCCATGAACTACTTTCTCCTATTGCGGTCGCTGTTTCGTAGCATTGGTGGTGGTCGATTCGAGCTTCTGTACAAGGAGATTCTTCCCCTTCTGGAAATGCTTCTCGAGACGTTCAACAACCTTTTGCTTGCTGCTAGAAAGCCGCAGGAGCGAGATCTCTATGTTGAGCTTACCCTCACTGTCCCCGCTCGTCTAAGCCATCTTTTGCCGCATCTTAGCTACCTGATGCGTCCGATTGTCGTTGCCTTGCGTGCGGACTCCGATCTTGTCGGACAAGGTCTCAGAACTCTCGAGCTTTGTGTGGATAATCTTACTGCGGATTACTTAGACCCCATAATGGCCCCAATTATGGATGATTTGATGACAGCTTTGTGGGATCATTTACGTCCACATCCATACAACCATTTTCACGCTCATACGACCATGAGAATCCTGGGCAAACTTGGAGGTCGAAACCGGAAATTCCTCAATCACCCTCCGGAACTTTCGTTTCAGCAGTTCGCAGATGATGCCCCGAGTTTCGACATCAAGCTTATCGGACCCAGTGAGAAGCGGCCGTTCCCCGTCGACATCGGTGTCGATCTGGCTATTTCAAAGTTGATGGAAGTCCCGAGGACTCCTTCAGCCAAAGCCTCGGACTCTTACTACAAGCAGCAGGCCTATCGTATGCTTAGCTCGCAACTAAAGCTTTTCATTGGCTACGAGACACTTCCAGAAGACTTCGCATCCCTCCTCCGCCTTGAAGCCAATGATCTTTTTGAAGGAAAATTCGGTAATGTGCCCGATATATTCGAGAAGTCAGATAGATCTGGTTCTATTCCAAAGAAACTGGCTCAAGAGGCAACAATCAAGAAGACTGTGAAGGCTTGTATTTTTGCCACTACGATCCCAGATCTGGAGCAGACAGCGACAGCATTTGTGGCGGATGTCTTCAGACATTTTGCTGTTGTGGAGGTTGGCCGGGCACTCGCTCAAATCCGACATACGCGCAGGCCGTTTGACGTCAACAGCGGGGAAGGACCTCTGTACCTTGACACCCGGGTTCTGGCAGAAGCTGTCGTTGATAGCCTATCTTCTGATAATGCCCGAGTTCGTGATGCAGCCGAGGCGGCAATGAGGGTTCTAAGGGACGCTGCTGCTATTATATTTGGGGCCCCTGAACGAGCTTCCAAGCTACCCATTTTTCAGCATCTCGGCCGCACGTTCTGCCATAGTTGTCACAGCGAGGAATGGTTCACGAAGGCGGGCGGTAGTCTTGGAATCCACATTTTTGCAACGAAGATGGATCTTGGAGATTCTTGGCTATATGAGAAGCAGGCTGAATTTGTCCGAGCTCTGATGTATGTCATCAAGGATACGCCCCAAGATCTCCCAGCAGGTACACGACTACGGGCACAGGAGACTCTGAACTTAATTCTGCGGACATGCAACAAACATGTTTCCAAAGATGATTTGAAAAATGAGAAGAGTCGTCTCTTTTCTATCTGCGGCTTTTTCGTCTACGAGCTCTCCCACATGAACAAACATGTCCGTGAGGCGTCCCGAAAAGCTTTTGCTACTCTGGCAGATGTTCTAGGCTGTCAAGTGCATGAGCTTATCTTCCCAGTTAAAGACCGCCTGCTAGCGTCGATATTCAATAAACCACTGCGAGCTCTGCCGTTCCCTACGCAGATTGGGTTCATCGATGCAATAACTTTCTGCCTGAGCCTCCATAACAATATCGTGACTTTCAATGACCCTTTGAATCGTCTAATGTTGGAATCCCTCGCACTTGCTGATGCGGATGATGAGTCGCTAGCGTCCAAACCCAATGAGTTCAAGAATGCGGAGATGATTGTTAACCTGCGCGTGGCTTGCCTCCGCCTCTTGTCCATGGCTATCGGTTTCCCTGAGTTTGCCAATTCCCCGCAGAACACTAGCCGTGCCCGGATTATTTCTGTTTTCTTCAAGTCCCTCTATTCTCGATCACCAGAGGTTATCGAAGCTGCAAATGCGGGTCTGAGAGACGTACTTACACAGACCAACAAGCTGCCGAAGGACCTACTGCAGAATGGCCTTCGTCCTATTCTCATGAACCTGCAAGATCCGAAGCGTTTGAGTGTCGCTGGTCTGGACGGGCTAGCCAGGCTTCTCACGCTGCTGACCAATTATTTCAAGGTAGAGATTGGAGCTCGTCTCCTGGAGCATATGAAGGTCATTGCGGACGACGCAATCTTGCAGAAGGTGTCCTTCAGTCTTGTCGAGCAGAACCCTCAGATGAAGATAGTGGCTGCGATCTTCAACATTTTCCACCTTCTTCCAGCGGCGGCAACGAATTTCATGGAACGTCTCGTCAACAAGGTTTTGAGCCTCGAAGAGACGCTCCGCAGGACTTGTTATAGTCCTTTCAGGAAGCCAATTGTCAAGTATCTAAACCGTTACCCGAAGGATAGTTTGACCTTCTTCCTGGGCCGCTTTAAGGACGAGCGTTACGGACGATTTTTCGGACAGGTGCTTGCAGACCCAGAAAGTGAAGCTTTACGTTCGGCTGTGGTTGCGGACACTGCTGCGTTTGCCACTGCTGCTTTTGGGGAAGAGACGGCTGATGGATCGAACACTGCTGCCATAAATGGTATCTTTGTTGCCCACTCGGTCTCTTCTTACGCCTCTAGCAAGCAGTGGCTTGTCTCACATCCAGATTTGCGGAGAAAACTATTGGATTCCGGCCGTCAACTTCACGGCAAGCTACGCGGAAACAAATTGCCTTCGAATGAGCGACTGAGAGTTGAGCAGGCTGGGGAGCAGCTGTTGAATATCTTCACTATTTACCTCGCAGAGTCGCTACAAGATTTGGATTTCCTCTTTGACATAATGGACGGGCTGTCTGCCGAAGAGCTAAAATTCACCCTGGCATTCCCCAAATTCATCTACCGGCATATCATATGCAATGAATCTATTGATTATAGACGGTCCGTTATCATGCGTTGTTTGGACCTCTATGGCCAGCGCTCTTGTTCGCAGAAGATGAAGACTTACGCCTTCCGTCACCTTGTGAATCCTATCTTTGCGATGGATGTCCAGAACACATGGAACAGTCCTCCCAATAACCCAAAACTCATGGATAAAAGCATGACAGAGTCTATCCAGAGCCGTTTATGGAGACCTCAGCTGGGTGACATAAGTGAGGAGTCTAACCAGCCTCGAGTTGACCACTCTCGTATGGAATTGCTCCAGCTATCCGCTTTGTTGATCAAATACCACCACCAGACCGTCCAGGATACGCGGAAAGACATTATAAAGTTCGCGTGGAACTACATTAGGCTGGAGGATATCATTAACAAATATGGTGCCTACGTGCTCATTAGCTATTTCATCGCGCATTATGATACCCCGTTCAAAATTGCAATCCAGGTTTACGTGGCCCTGTTGAGAGCCCACCAGAACGAGGGCAAGGCTCTTGTTACTCAAGCGCTCGATGTTCTTGCTCCTGTGTTGCCTACAAGGGTCACACCGGCAACAGGGAGCACCCAAACGACAGATACGCGGTACCCATTATGGGCTAAATGGCCTCGACGTATTCTGGCTGAAGAGACGGCCAATTTACAGCAAGTCATGTGTATCTTCCAGTTTCTCGTTCGGCAGCCGGACCTTTTCTACGAATCGAGGGAGCATTTCGTGCCACTTATCGTGCCGTCTTTAATCAAGATTGCGACGCCTCAAAACTCATCCAACGAGAGCAAGAAGCTTGTGTTAAATCTCATTAGCCTTATTTGGCATTGGGAAGAAAGGAGGGTCAAGGGCGCGAGACATGAAACCCCCAATGGTACTGTCGAGTCGCCAAATGCGAAGAAGCGTAAGCTCGATGATATGCACAGCACTCCTGCTTCTTCCCCAGCGCATCTTCCACCAAGCTCACGCGAGCGTTCCGAATATATGGTTCCTTATGATCTTCGAGCAGCGTTAACCAAATATCTTATCACATTCATTACTACGATTCCCGAACGCTTCCCCGTCCCGGCTGCCAAAATCCGGGAACTTCCCTCCTCCAGACCGCAACAGCCCCCCACCTACCCAACTGAAATGATTAAGAAGGCTATGTTTCTGCTTAGGAGTCTCCTCTCACCGGAATACTGGGGGGATGTTGATGTAGAGCTCTACCAGAAGGCAACGGAACCTATTCTGGCTGGAGAGAATGCTGACAAACCGGACGAGAAACACACCACCTACATAGTCAACGCCTTACAAGTTGTGCGTGTACTTCTTGCTTCCAAGCCCAATGAATGGGTCGTTCCTCGCCTGCCCTTGCTGCAGAGACTCTTTGAGAAGCCGCTACGCTCGGATAATCCGGAAATTCAAGATTGCTTGCATGGTTTTGAGGAGGAGACGGAAACGCCTTTCAAGTTACCACCCCCTGTGAAGCGCGCGTTGGATGCTTTACCTGAGGATCAACCTGATGAAGAGGATGTCATGGATACCGAAAACTCGCCGTCTGAATTCGTGTCGTATCTGTCCACCATTGCGACGGAAACACTTTCTGCCAACAACTACGTTTCCAGCTTAAATATTTTGTGGACACTTTCCAAACACAAACCCGCCGAGATGGATGCACATATTCCTCAGGTCATGAAGGCTTTCTCCCAAAAGCTCGCTAAAGAACACGTCGCGGCCAATGTGAATGGCCAAGTCCCTGGACAGTATCATCCCAACGTCAAACCCGCGGAATTGGTACCGGACAATCAAGAGTATGAGATTGGGGTTGACCTTATCCTCAAAACGATTGACTTAATTTCCATTCGTATGTCCCATTTAGGGGAACAGCGACGTCCTTTCCTTAGTGTTCTGGCGCAGCTGGTGGAGCGATCCCATAATATCAACCTTTGCAGCAAAATATTAGACATGGTGGAGGGTTGGATCTTCCATTCAACCGAGCTGTTGCCGACTTTGAAAGAGAAGACGGCGGTCTTACATAAGATGCTCGTTTTTGAGTCTCGAAGCGACCAAAGGATGCTCAAGAAGTTCCTGGACCTTGTGATTAGGATTTATGAGGATTCCAAGATCACTCGGACCGAGTTGACTGTAAGATTGGAACACGCATTCCTGATTGGTACTCGGGCACAAGATGTCGAAATGCGCAACCGATTCATGAACATCTTTGACCGAAGTCTGACCCGGCTGGCCAGTTCTCGACTCAGCTACGTACTTACCTGCCAGAACTGGGACACTCTCGCCGACTCTTTTTGGCTGGCACAAGCTACTCATCTGATCATGGGATGTGTTGACATGACGACACCTGCTAGATTACATCCTGAGGATTTCACAGTCTATCCAGTTTCATTTCTCTTCAGTTCCGCGGAGAATGATGCAAGGAAATCAGATGTGATGGTGGACAGCCAGTTGGAAAACTTCCTATCTGATTTCAAGCGATTCGAGGTGGAAATAGGCGATGTGAAAGTCCGCGACATCATGGAGCCTCTTTGCCAGCTTCAGCATACTGATGCCAATGTCGCCTACAAGCTTTGGACTACATTGTTTACGATTTTCTGGTCGACATTGTCTCGAGAAGACCGTATAGATCTAGAGAAAGGAATGGTTACACTGGTTACGCGGGAATACCATCATAGGCAGCTTGACAGGAGACCAAATGTCGTCCAAGCCCTGTTAGAAGGTGCTGTCCGTGCCAAACCGCGGTTCAAGATCCCACCTCACGTCATGAAGTATCTGAGTCGCACGTATGATGCCTGGCACACCGCTGCGGTCTACTTGGAAGAATCGGCAATCAGTCCAGTTATTGATACCCCAACCGTTCGTGAGAGCAACTTGGATGCCCTCGTTGAAGTCTACGCCGGGTTACAGGAGGATGACTTCTTTTACGGCACCTGGCGACGACGTTGCAAATTTGTCGAGACTAACGCTGCCCTTTCTTACGAGCAACAGGGGATGTGGGATAAGGCTCAACAACTGTATGAAAGTGGCCAAATAAAAGCTCGCTCTGGAGCCATGCCATTCTCGCAAGGCGAATATTATCTATGGGAGGATCATTGGTTGATCTGCGCCCAGAAGCTTCAGCAATGGGAGATCCTCAGCGATTTCGCCAAGCACGAAAACCTGAATGACCTTCTCCTCGAAGCCGCTTGGAGAAATATCGAGAACTGGCAAAGCGAGGCAAATCGAGAACAGCTTGAGTTGCTTATCAAGTCTGTTTCCGATGCTCCAACACCCAGGCGTACGTTCTTCCAAGCGTTCATGGCGCTTCTCCAGTGTCATTTCAAGAAGGAGAGCAACCAAGAATTCAACAACATTTGCGACGAGTCTATCCAGTTGTCTCTCCGCAAGTGGTTGCAGCTTCCCAAGAGAATTACGAACGCTCACATTCCTATCTTGGAACATTTCCAGTTACTGGTTGAACTTCATGATGCTAGCCATATTTGCAGCAGTCTGTCTCAGACCAATGAGAGGAATTTGGATACGAAGTCTGCTGAACTGAAGCTCTTACTTGGAACCTGGCGGGACCGCCTTCCAAACCTTTGGGACGATATCAATGCTTGGCAGGATCTTGTTACATGGCGTCAGCACATTTTTCAACTGATCAACGCTACGTATCTCAATCTTCTGCCTCCTCAGACGAACAATGTTGCAAGTAATTCCTACGCTTACCGCGGCTATCACGAAACTGCGTGGATCATCAATCGATTTGCTCATGTTGCCCGCAAGCACCAGATGCCCGAGGTGTGTATCAATCAGCTAAGTCGTATCTACACACTGCCGAATATTGAAATCCAGGAGGCCTTTTTGAAATTGAGGGAGCAGGCCAAGTGCCATTACCAGAATCCTAAAGAACTGAATAGCGGCCTTGATGTTATCAATAATACCAACCTCAATTACTTTGGTGCCCAGCAAAAGGCAGAATTCCACACCCTTAAGGGCATGTTCCTGGCCAAGCTCAATGACATCTCCGAGGCAAACAAGGCTTTTGGGCTCGCCTTATCCCACGAACTGCGACTTGCGAAGGCATGGGCTGAGTGGGGCCAGTTTAGCGACCAGCGATTCAAGGCAGATCCGACCGACTATGAGTTGGCCAGCAACGCGGTTAGCTGCTACCTGGAGGCTGCAGGCCTTTACAAGAATCCTAAATCTAGGAAGCTGCTCAGTCGGATTCTCTGGCTTCTGAGCTTGGACAATGAGGAAGGCCGTGTGGCTGGTGCGTTCGAGAGCTTCAAGGGAGATACGCCTGTGTGGTATTGGATTACTTTCATACCACAGCTTCTTACTAGTTTATCCCACCGCGAGGCTCGCCTATGTAAGGCTATTCTAGTGAAAATTGCGAAACTCTATCCGCAGGCCCTCTTCTTTTTGCTCAGAACGAACAGGGAGGATATGCTAAGCATCAAGAGACAACATGACCAAAAGCAGGAGAAGCTGAATCGTGCCAGACAACTGCAAGCTTCGCCGAATATGAAGCCTCCTGTTACAAATGGCGAAACTCCTGCAGCCCAGAATACCCAGGCTACAGCCAATGTCAATGCCAACGCTACAACCAATGGCAACGCAAATTCGAATACACACCCACAAACACAGAGCAATCAGCCGAACGGACAGCCCGCAAACAGCCAAACCCAACAACCTGGTCAGCCGCAGACAGTGACTCACGGCCAAACCCAAATTCAAGCCCAAGCCCAAGTTCAGCAGCCTACCGCTCAGGGTCAGGTTTCTGGACAAAATCAATCTCCACATTCAGTGCAGAGCCATCATCCGGTTCCAGGTCAATCTCAGGCACAGAATAATGCAGGACAGCAGCAGGCTCATCTACAGGTCCCCCAGCAGCATGCAGCCCAGAGTCTCGCACAGGCACAGAACCTGAACGGTACCGAGTCGGAGAAGGAGCCTCTCAAGAAGCCTTGGGAGTATTCAGATGAGATCATGTCTGGTCTCAAAACAGCCTTCCCGCTGCTCGCTCTGTCGATGGAAACCATGGTTGATCAAATACATAAGAATTTCAAATGCCCTCCGGATGAGGATGCGTATCGTCTTATTGTTGCGCTGCTCAATGATGGTTTGGCCTACGTTGGGCGCATGCCCGGCTCGTATGCACAAGGGTTCAAGTTGCCCCCTGCAACGGAAGCCAATATCACCCGATTTGCAGAGACGATCCTTCCTGCGCATATTCGGAAGTCATTTGAGGCCGACTTTGTGGCGAAGAAGCCAACCATGTATGAATACATCCAGAAGTTGCGTCGCTGGCGGGATAAGTTCGAGGAGAAGCTCGACCGTCGACCACACTCCCAATTCCTGGAGTCATACTCGCCGCATCTTAGCGAATTCCGATTCCTGAAATTTGATGAAGTGGAAGTGCCCGGCCAGTACCTTCTACATAAAGACAAGAACCAAGATTTTGTCCGTATTGATCGTTTCTTGCCTGACATTGACTTGGTGCGTGGGATCGGGGTCTGCCATCGTCGTTTGAAAATCCGTGGCCACGACGGCAGCGTACATTTGTTCGCAGTCCAACATCCAGCGGCTCGTCACTGCAGGCGTGAGGAGCGTATTTTGCAGCTGTTCCGCATCTTCAACGGGGTTTTAGCAAAGCGCAAGGAGAGCAGGCGACGCAATCTGTACTTTCACCTTCCTCTGATGGTGCCATTGGCCCCCCATATTCGTCTGGTCCGCGACGATGCATCGTATATTTCCATGCAAGGTATCTACGAAGATTACTGCCGGCGAATGGGTATGAACAAGGATGATCCTGTACTTTTCACCATGGAGAAGATGAGGTCGTTGGCCGAAACAAGACAGAATGTGAGTTCTGCAGCTCGAATCCTGCACATGAACGTGACTAACTCTTTGCAGCGCACTCCCGACCAACAGCAGGTGCTACGCACCGAAATCCTCACGGCTATCCAAGAGAAATGGGTTCCCAACACCATCATGTTGGATTATTTCCAAAAAACGTACCCCAACTTTGCAGATTTCTGGCTCTTCCGCCGGCAGTTCTCGTATCAGTATGGGGCCGTTGCATTCATGACATATATGATGCACATGGGCAATCGGTATCCGAACAAAATATCCATTTCGCGCGCAACCGGTGACATCTGGGGCTCAGAGCTTATTCCGGCAATCAATCCGGCCAAGGCGGTCTTCTACAACCCGGAGCACGTACCTTTCCGTCTCACTCCTAACATCCAGACGTTGATGGGACCCATCGCTACTGAGGGTCTCTTCTCATGCGCTGTGATGGCGATTGCACGTTGCCTGACGGAACCTCGTTATGAGCTGGAGCAGCAGCTAAGTCTTTTTGTACGGGATGAGATGATGTTCTGGGCTACGGCACAACATCGTGGCGTCCTCCCTGTGCACCAGCTTCGCGAACTGGTTAATAACAACAGTGATATCATTGTTAATCGAGCCATGAGCCTTGCTAGCCCACCAGAAGGCAACTTGCCAGCCAACCAGACGACTATCGATCTGATTTCAAGGGCTGTGAATCCCCAGTGTCTCGCGGCGTGTGACGCTTTGTGGATGCCATATCTCTAAAAGGATTTTAAAAAACCCCAAAAAAGAAGTCCAAAGCGTGTTGTGCCGATTCTTGATTTATGTCTTGCCTTTTTCCTCTCCTTTTCATTCTTGGTTCTACCTATCTGTGGGCTTGGTGAGATCTATACGGCGTTATTGCTTGGGGATGGGAAACGAGATACCTAGGTTGAGCAGTTGATATCTGCGTAAGTTTGACTGGCAGAAAGGAATGGTTTATTTCTACCGAGTTCGTATAGGATAGCGAGGCGCTCTGGGAAGGAATTGTTTAGTTTTTAATATTTCCCCCATTGTTTCATTTTGTGATACTTGCCTATTCATCACCGTTTGGCCTGAAATGAAACTTGTCTTTTTTTGATATTCAATTTTATGGTTCTGGTTGTTCATGTATCATAATGTTGCATGCTTAAAATTTCATCAACTTGACTATCTAGCCATACTCAAATGTCTCACATCCCATATCCCTAAACGCCACAAAGACAATCGCTAAGTTGAAATATGATGCCGGGCATTTCCCGCAGTGAATGTCTAAAACCATTATACAAGAGACGGCTTCTTTTTTATTCCCAGACCATTTATTAATGGCTTCTTGGGCTTCTTGACTCTCGCGAACGATGGGGGAGGAGGAACATCGGACTTCTTCTCCGAAGGACCAGCAGCAGCCTTCTCCATATCCTCCTCGTCGACAATCCTCTTAACACGTTCTCCCCGAGCCGTCATGAACGCTCTCCTGGCAGCTTCCTCATCTTCCCTCTCGGCCCTTAAGCGTTCCTCATCAACTTCATCCCTCACAACAGCCAAGGCAGCATCACCGCCCTGCGCTTCATTCCTCTCGATTCGTGCATTCCTGGTCCGGATCTCATCCAAGGCATCCGCAATCGCCATTTCCCTTTTGGAATCGAGCATCTTCTCCTCCAGCTCCGCCATCTTATCCCTCTCCAACCTCTCTTGCTCCTCGTTGGCTTCTCGTTCTAACCGATCGAGCGTCTCCTGCTCTGTCTCATTGTAATTCTCCGCCTTCGGATCCCGCCATGGCTCGAAGTTCCTTTTCGCCCCCCTCTCACAGACATAGTCCATGTTCTTCGGATCCGTCTTGAAGGTGATCTCCGCGCTGCACCGTGTGCATCTGATGTAGAATCTGTAGATGGAAATGGAAAGGTATTTCTCTTCGGTTGTCTCTTTGCGCGCGTTGAATTTCCGGCCCTTGTAGATGTATTCTCCGCATTGTGTGCATTTCATGGAAAACGGCGCCATCAGACGGACGGTGATGACTTTGGGTCCGGTCTTTCGGAGGTGTTTCGGCGTGCGCTTGATGGCGCTCGGATCGAAGTCTGGGGGATAGTACTATGCGAAGTAGTTAGCAAGTGCCACTGGTCCATGTACTGCGGGGAGATGCCATGAAGCACACCTTTGTGAGCACTTTACGTTCTGACATTTTGGCGTTCTTGCCAGACTATGCGGCTATGCCTGAGATGTATGCGGTTGTATGGGGCTCAAAAAGATGAGTTTAGTAGATTGCAGGTTCGGTAGCGAGTTAACAGGAAGTTGTTGTTGTCTTGAAGAATGAGGCTCAGAATCGACGAGGCGAACAGTCGCGTCACGTGATGATACCGGAGCAACCATCGCGGTGTTTCTTTTACGCGTCGTTGCTCTGGCCGAAGAAGCTGCGGTTGCCAGCGAAAAGAGAGAGCAAGGTTGCAGAAGAAAGGAGTCACCGTGCTCCATCCGGCACAGAATCAATTAAACGCACAGGCAATATAGTGCATCGACATCCTCACATCGCGCCTGCAATAGCGACGGTGAAACAAAACAGGTCTCGAATCACCGGAATCCTCAACTCAGACGCATTATAGGGAGCGTCCCCTTCGATTAACAGCTTGCTTCTTTATTTCAACAATTGCGCGCCGTGGAATTTGTGTCTTTTCGCTCAATTAACAGCCGATTAGCCTCACTGGGTCTTCTTGCCAAGGAACTCGAGGGGAACAGAACGAATATTCCTAAAGACCCTTCGACTCTTCGCTTTATGCCCCTCTGCAACCTATCTGGCCTTCGAATGTCGTCTGCCTTTTCTCCGACTTTCTATCGAGCCTACTGCCACTGATCATGGAGAAGTTTTTACGTTCCTGGAGACAGGATGCGCTCAATCGCGGCCAGCATGATGCGGCGATTTACATAGGGGATAAAGTGCTCGCCTTGACCAGTAAGACATTCCTCTTTTGGGAGGGGGTTAACTACGAAGAAGTGATGTAGGGGGTGAGACTGATCAGCGGTTTCTCAGACAGCGACTCCGATGCTTTTTGGCTAGCCCAAGTGCATTTCTCCAACAACAACTACACGCGAGCGCTGGCGTTGTTATCGCGCCAGGATCTCATTACCAGAAGCACCGCTTGTCGATATCTCGCTGCGCACTGCTACATCAAACAAAATCAATTCGACCAGGCTTTGTCGATACTAGGCGATCACAATCCCACACACTTATTCCGCTGCAGCAATAGCCGTCGCAAGCTCCAGCATCTTAACAGCCGCAGCCATGTCACTCTGCGCAACGGCAAAACGACCGCATCTCGATCCGGCCGTATAAACAGCAATGAAGAGCGGGAGCGGGAGGATGCCAGCAACATCCGCTTTGAGGCCGCCATGTGCTACCTCCGAGGGTTGTGCTTCGCCAAGCAGAATGCCTTTGACCGCGCCCGAGACTGCTACAAGGATGCAGTCCGCATTGACGTCCAGTGCTTTGAGGCTTTTGATCAGCTCATGAAGAACTCCCTCATGTCCCCCGCGGAGGAATTGGAGTTCTTAGAATCGTTGGATTTTGATTCTGTTTCCAGTCCGGACCCGTCTGTCTCTCAGGAAGCGGCACATTTTACTAAGATGCTATACACTACTCGTTTATCGAAATACTCCTCGCCTGCGATTTTATCAGATGCTACGGAGACCCTCTCTACCCATTATAATCTCGCAACTAACCCTGACATTCTCCTATCCCGTGCAGAAGCGCTTTATACCCAGTGCCGATTCGCCGAAGCCCTCGAGCTAACTTCGTCCATTTTGTCGAGCTCGCAGCCCTCATCGGAGCTCACAGTAACACCGCATCTGTCAGTCCAAAATCACCTTGGCCATCCACCTGCTGTGTATCCTCTCCACCTGGCCTGTCTCTACGAAACGGGGGCAACAAATGCACTTTTTCTCCTCGCGCATACGTTAGCTGACCATGCACCCGAAGAGTCATATACCTACCTGGCTATTGGAGTCTACTATCTCTCAGTCTCGAAGATTGCAGAGGCACGACGCTTCTTTTCCAAGGCTTCCTTATTGGATCCGCATTCGGCCCCAGCATGGATTGGGTTTGCTCATACGTTTGCCGCCGAAGGCGAACACGATCAGGCCATTGCTGGCTACAGCACAGCTGCCCGACTATTCCAAGGAAGCCATCTGCCACAGTTGTTCCTCGGGATGCAACATCTGGCCTTGAATAACATGTCTCTCGCCCACGAGTATCTATCTGCCGCCTATGCCATGTCCACTGGCTCTGCATCCGGGAATGTTCCCGTCATCTCTGCGGAACCGTCTGCCGGGCTCCCTTTGCTCGGGGGTGATCCTTTAGTCCTGAACGAGTTGGGGGTTGTCCTGTATCACCAGGACCATCTCGATGCCGCCGTAGAGCTCTTCCGTCAGTCGCTCAGCTTGGCTGCATCCCTCAATTGTGAAGCAGGCGCCTGGGTAGCTACACGTGCGAACCTTGGCCATGCATTGCGACGTATCGGGCGTTTTAACGATGCCTTGGCAGAATTCGATGAATGCCTTCGCATCGGTGCGGGAGGTGCAAGCATGGGCTACAGCCCGTTTCTCGGTGGTAGCGGCGGCAGTGCAGCGGGTGTATCTTTGTCGTCGGGCGTAGGCGGCTACGAGGATCGCGGTTTGATCGGTTCACTCCACACATCCAGAGGCCTAGTCTTGTTGGAACTGGGCCGCACCACGGACGCAGTGACCGCGCTACACGAAGCCGTGCGTGTCCTGGGAGCCAGTGGAGGCGGTGATGCAGCGGGGGGGGCTGGCGTAGCTGGCACATTATTGTCGCGTGCGCTGGAGATCTGGGCCCTTGAAGGACGTGAAAAGGACAAGTCACCCCCTGAGCCGGAGCTACCCAAAGCGTCTACATCGGGGACTCGGGGTTCCACAAGGCCTCGAGACAAAGGTAAGGGAAAGCAGGCCTCGGAGGATGTGACAAGGCGGAGAGGTTTGTCGGCTAGGCAAGCGCGGCACGAGGAAGAATATGACGCTACCCAGCAGGAACCAGAATCAGGAACTTTGGAGGAAAGAATGGAAATGGAGCTCGATGACGAAGCAGACGGTCTATTGCGTCGGGCTATGGGTCGAGTCAGACCCGGCAGATCCGCTCGTCGGTACGGCCAGAAGGATCCGGAGACACTGGCGAACGAAACCCCAACATCAACAGGAACTCATATTCGACCTTCAAGGTCAACAAGAAACGGCAAACACAGACCGTAACCATAGCTGCGGCCGTCTGGACACGCCTCTGTGGGCACAACATGTCATTAACGAACTTGGGTTTTGGGATTTTCAATTTGGGAACGAATGCGGCTTTTTGGTTGTTCGCTTGGGCGGCATCCCATGTTTATGATATTTGTTGATGAACGTGCTTCTTTGGATGCATTGCGACGGCGTTTTCGTGGCATTAATTGTCTACGGTGCTGTGTCAAAGGCATACATATATTATTATTGATAACGTACTTCTTCCTATGCGAAGAGTGTAGATTTTGGTCTCTCCTTTCAGATTAACTTGGAACGATACACCCTTGTCTTCCCAAGTGAGAGTGGTCTCGAGTCAAATAGGAGGCTCAGTATCTTATGCAATGCCAGGGATATCCGAACGTATTCCTGTATATATAATCTCACATGTTCTATCAGCAAACCCAAGTCTCGCCAGCCTTTCCGTAACGAATGCGCCTTAACAGGAGGTTTTCAAGACTATATATATATATATATCCCAGGAAAAAGAAAAAGAAAATAAAACTCCTTTTCTCCCTTCCGATCTCGTTGAGTAGGAATAAGACAGACAGTAATGGAATTGATAAAATGAAATGAATTCAATGACTGAACTGCTGATAGACAGACGGACGCCTTTTCTTCCAATCCCTCGCACAAAACCCGATTCCCGCACAATGTGGACACGTATGCCATGCCTTTTTTGTTCTTAAAATAGGTAAAATAGACGGAAGGCAAAAAAAAGTTAGACGGTGATAAGAAGATAAATGGAAAAAGAACAGGTCACAAAAGATAAAAATCATCCGAGACTTCCAGTGCTTCCCATGTCATATATATATGTTGATCATTGAAACTAAACGGAATTATACCGCTTGAAAAATAAAGAAGTGACAGAAATGGAATAAAAAGGGGGACCAAAAAAGGCTTCCTGTTTGTCCTTACTTCTAACCCCACAGGGGCGGATGGATGTACTCTGCTGCTCGGTCCAGGAGATTGGGAACTGTCCATTCCCCGCTCGTTGAGCTTTCCGGTGTTGGGGGTGGAAGAGATCCTGTCGTGGGTGTTAAGCCACTTTGTACGGGTACGAGACGCGCACTCATCGTTGTCGGACTGGCGCCGGTTGTAGGATATAAGGTCGATGCCCCACTAGGGGCAGCCGGTCGTGAAGTCTGAGCGCTAAAGGCACTATTCAGCTTCTGAAGAGCACGAAGAGTCTTGGTGAGAGGTTTTGCCCATTGAGTTTGCGGATCGGGTACTGGAACAGGCGATGTAGCATTGACCGCAGACGGACTAATACCCGAGGTGGACGCATTCGCGTCATATCCCTGAGGCATGCGCTGTACGTTAGCATCCGGATGGCCGTCAGCTGTCTCAAAATCTCGTTCAGCATGGGCACGTTCTGCAATAATGACCTCCAGTTGTCGTAGTAGACTCCAGATGCGTGGATCGAGCTTAGATTCCTCGATCACTGCCAGAAGGAACGCTGAACTAACGGCTCGTTGCATCGTGATCCAGGACCGTGATGCGTGTGAACTGATCGTATGCATTTCAATATACGCCTCAACTGTGGCCATCAGATTCGAAATGCAGTCCGCACGCATTGCCGTGGTAGCTGGATCATTCAAGTCCACCGTGGGTTTGATAGCTGGCCGGCAGAGTTCGGAGGTAAAATATGATGCATGTAGCTTCAGGACTACACGCTCAAGATGCTGTGTCGCCGTAAGACAGTATTTACGGTCCCGCAGATGCGGCTTCGATTCGGTCCAAATCTTTTGAATGTTCTCCTTGTATGCTTGGATCGCCTTAAAGGTCAACTGGGAATTGGGGCTTAACATCCGGCCACGGACGACTTCCAGAACCAAGGATACGATCCGCGTGAGAGTCTCAAAGTATGTGCGTTCTCCGGGTTGTGAATCTAATCGGTAGGCGATGTTTGGCTGACTGACAGCCGTCGTGGATGGTCGATCGTAGGATAAGGAGAAATGGCTATCTTGCCATGCCATGGACCACCTACATGGAGTAAGTCAATATTTCCGCTCCCTAATCCCATCCCGGAAAGAGAAGAACGCACCAAACAAATCGTCTATGATATTGCTCCATCGGTGAGAATCGACTCGATTCGACGTGCAGACCAAGCGCCAATCCCATTCGCAGTGTCATCCCTTCAAGAGATTAGTTTAAAAGAGTTCACTTAGGGGGGAAGTAGACAGAAAACGTACCAAGAAGAACATAGGAGACACCTGGATTCATGTTGTAGGAAAGTACATTTCCGATCACGAGTAATGTCTGTATAGCTTCGACAGAAGGTTGCGATAGGAAATTCGTCATTCGTAGGCATTGGTAGGAGCAGCAAACTAATGAATTTTTTTTTTTTTTCAGGTAAGACCATCCATAGAATAGGAGCGCAGTAGACAAAGGAAAGAGACAGCGCATCATACCATAAACTTGGGAGGTCAACTCTCTTTCCTTGGCAGGCAAATCAGACGATTGACAGCCCGATGCCAGAACCGCAAAAAGCAGACCCAAGTAGGCTAAACTCACACCGAATGCACCTTGTGTTGGGTCACTATCAGTATGGTAGATCCCACCCATGGAGGCTCTTCTTTGTAAGAGAAGGTCAAGGCTGATTTCAAATTGCTGGAAATTTGGCAAGACTGGGTATATTGCACCCGCAATATCCCTGTAATAGAAGAAGAATCTAAAGAGAACATGAGTTAATTTGCAAAAAACTTCGCATGGTTCCCAGGAGGGGGGACGAACTCCTTGCATTGCTGATCGCTCGGGAGCGCACTGCACAGTGCATGGACATCGAAGGAAGACATATCAGAAGACCACAGGTCTACAAACGGATATGTTGCAGACTCATTATCAAGACCAAGTTTGGGCAGGATTCCACCCTCCAGGAGAGCCTGGAGCTGGTCTGATCCAGACTTGTTGTTCAAAATATACGCTAGGACGGATCGCGAACCCAAGTGTACTGTGCCTTCACCTAAAGTATTCGCGGCATGTATTCCTTCGCGGTCAGGGGATGAGCCGATCTTGGAGCGAGCTCCATCACCACCGCTCTGTACACTGCCGGTTTCTAAGGCCGAAGCTGGGATGTGTCCACCTTCGTCCACTTTCTCCATGCCCACACGTAGGTTCGATATAGTCCTCTCCATGTCCTTTAGCCTTTTGCAGACGTTTTCCCATTCTTCGCGCGGGATTGATACTCGTCCAGGTTGGGCACCGGGACCAGAGCCTGCAAGTGCATCGTGCCGACCCGAAGGAATTTCTGATTTCACAGGATGGCCATCGTGACCGATCGCCCCTATGTGTTCCGGCAGCCCTGGAGCTGCTGCTCCAACAGGACTTTCTCCGAAAGCTGGGGAGTCAGGAACAATGCGCTTCTTCGAGGGACGCTCGTAGGAGCAAAGATCTGCATGATCGCGCTTGACACAGCCATCGCAGGGTAGGTTTCGATCACATTTCACTTTTCGCGCATGACAAGGGTAACATGCTTTAGGTTCGCGAGCCTTCCGTTTTGTGCGGATAATTGCATCCACTTGGGACTGCGGGAGGTCCGAGACGGACCTGGCTGCGGCTGCAGCCAGCATGTCAGAGCCGGAACCAGCAGGCGAGAATGAGGACATGGACGATTGATATGGCGATCCCATAATCCGGGGAAGATGTATACTGATAAAAAATTTCTGTTCTTGCACCCCTTCTTTTTTCGTTTTCTTTTCTCCTTGCCGATTACCGTTGGGGACTTGGTAACGGGGTGATTTTCATTCGACCGAAGGGCAAATACGAGATGCGGAGGTTCCGTCCGATATGGGGAGGGGAGATGATCAACTGCTGCAGCACCCGACTGTCGCTCGCTTCAAAAAAGGGTGCATCATGCCATGGCCGATGCAATCCGACTGAGGACCAGAGAACCGTTTCCTAAGACAGATCGACGGGATTCTTGTCAACTGGCGACGCAGAGTCCCTGGATTTGCGGCGCGGAGAACAGGAGAAGTCGAGAAGGGGAAGCGTCATGCGCTGACTCAGCGTTGTGTTAATGACTCAGCACGGCTAATGGCAAATCACGTGAGCATCGCGGAGTCGCGTTTCGCTTCGCTTTAAAGGACCTTCGGTAGTCGAGGACCTTGACTTCACTCGATCATCATTCGAGCAGGTCTCTCGGGCTATTATTCTTGTCGTCACCAGTCCAATTGAAGCAGGAGAGTCCATAGGATTGTGTTCCTCGCGCATCCCTTCATCTTCTACCAGCGCTTACAGTCTGTTCTAATCATTGAGCTATCCGTAGATACTCCATAATATCTACGGTATTTGTGACAGACGGTACTCTTGAACCCGTGCGTATTACAGATATGTGGAAGCACCTGGATGCTAGGAGAAACAGCCCAACCCAGTACACGCCCAGTACGCGAGTCATATGCAGAAGTGGCTTGCGGATCACTTCTCGGTACATGGAGATCTCGGTATAGTTGTGGAACCGGCAGACGAACTTTGATGTTCGCATCCACTCTCTCCGTATCAGGGCCCGTCGCAGCTGCTACCCGCCACGTGTTCTCGTTATGATGCCGGGCAAATGGCATTTCCCAGGCCAGTTGAATAGCCAATAACGGGATATATAGAGCCCCGAGCGTGGAGCTGGCAGCAGAGGACGAAGCGTGTAACGCAGTATATACCAGTTCATGCTTGAGCTGGTGTCGCAGTTCTTGGACACATCCACCGAGGTAACACTGGGCGTGCGGTATTTTGGATTCAACCGGTTCCGGATGGTCTCGGAGATGCGAGGGAAGGGGTATATTGCCATGCGTGGCAGGTGGTGTCCTATGAATGTTCCCCTGAGTTTCCAAGAAACTTCCATGACATCTCGATACGAGCTGAAAATACTCGAATTTCACCAATGCCACTGTCGCCTCGGGGCAAATGACCTGTGCCTGGATCATGGCGAACTGGACGTGACTTCGAACACCACCTCATTATGGACGAGTGACAGCGATATCGGTAAACTCACATCAGCCTACTCGAACTGATTTCTGCGACAGCCGGAGGGATATCAGCTAGAGATCTGGCCTTGTATGCCATCTGGACAGGGGACATTGAGGATGCTAATGAGGCACATAGCAGCGGATATTCCTTTCAGCAGTTCACTGCAGAGCCGCATTGTTTCAACTTGGTTGCTAAGGACACGAAACCACGCTGATGTTCCTATCCATATCAAACGACATATCGCGGAACGAACCGAACGACCAGGCACTGCATCCTAGCTAGCCGTTGCCGTTAGCCGAATCTGTATGGGCCTGGGGATTATCATTAGCAAGACGCGATCCTGCCCTAACCATCTGAGATCAATCTTTCCTTACTTACCCTTGAGCACTCCGTTTCCGCTCCAGAGATAGTCATTAGCCAACCCGAAGACATGTTCTTCTACGCCTACCGCCATTTCTACGGAGCACACCGATTCCCTTCCGCGGAAGAGGAAGAACGACGATGATAGTCGGTAATAATAGCAGTGACTATTAACAATCGAAGAATAGATACGTAACAAAAAAAAAAAATCCCCGACGACGTACGACTACCATCGCCTGATTTCGGTGAATGCAGCCCCAACCAGCCCGGTTCTCTTGCTATCTCAGCTTTCGTGAGACATGAGACTATTGGATTCTAGATCCGGCACATGGTGATGTCAGTCTCTCACCGGCCCACACTGCACCACAAGGAAAGATCGATTCGAGCGACGCTTCGCTTCGTGCGCCGAGTTCCCAACAGAAAGGTATTGTATGACTTCAGTTACCCTACCCAGTCACCGGATTCGATTTTACGGACGCAGAAGAAATCCTGTTCTCGTATTCAAAAAAAAAAATTTTTTTTTCTTAATTCTTTAATTTTACTTTTAAGGTGCATCGTATTGGGTTAATTGCCGGTACCGATCTATTAATTAGATGTTCTCTCATTGCATCCATTCCTTTCATCCGATTTCCGCATAAGTTACAACTATGGTTGTGCCCTTTCTCTTCCCTTTTTTTTTTTTTTTTTTTTTTTTTTTTCATAATTCTATGTCATTAGTTAATAGTTATCTATCTATCTATATTAACATCAAAACATGGATATATGTACTGTGCTGTAAAATCAAATGAAAAGCCCCATGCCATGAATAAACTCCGAAGCTTTTTTTCGCCAATGCAGATCATGCAAGTCATGATGACACACGGGTTCCAAGAGGAAGGGAAGAAGCGAGAAAAAAAAGAACCGAAGATTAGTATCCTAAAAAGGATAATAATATGGGAGAAAAACCATAGAAAATAGTGGGTATTAAGAATCTGACTAGAAGCGATTAAACCTGCTTCTCGCCAGCAGGTTCCTTCTCCACCTCGTCGTCGTCACCGAAGGCGTAGCGAGAGTGCTTCCGGATAGCAGCACCCTTGAACCAGAAGACGAAGGGGATAGCGCAGCAGGCCAAACCAATAAAGGCAAGGAGAGTACTGGCCCACTGGTAATTAAGACGGTGGTACATCTGCTCTGTGAACAGAACAGCGCTGGCACCCCACATAGATCGAAGGAAGGTTTTCGCAGCGAGTGCAGAAGCTGCCTGATGTTGATAAGTATCAACTGGTTATGTGTTAGAATATATCTCATACAAGAAAGTGTAGGGGAAAAGGACTTACCAAGATAGTTGTTGGCAGAGTTATAGAGGTAAATGAAGCCGAATCCGACGGGCCAACCTCCAATGGCGGGTCCGAACCAGTGGATACGCGGGTAGGAAGTCCAGGCGAAGATAAACAATCCGATGGGGATAAGCCAGCAAGAAGCCATCATAGGGATCAGACGATACTCGGCCGGTGGCTTGCCTGGGCACTTGGAGCACATCCAGAGGTAATGCTTGTTGATCAAAGGAGAAAAGAAAGCACTCATGACGACACCGATGGCGAGCGGAATGAACATCATACCAGTGGACCCGGCACTCCAATGCTTTCCTTCTTGGTAGACAACGGGATACCTAAGGAAATACCGTTAGTATGCGTGCGTACAGGCTTCCCTCTAAGGAGGATCAAAACTTACGCAACGAAGAACATGTAGAGCAATCCGTACAGGACAGACATGTATATGGAAATGAACAACACAATAGGCTCGAGGAAGAGAAGAGCGAAGGGTCGGAGAAGGAAGATCTTCAGCTTCTCACCCATAGACCGAGAATCGAGCTCTGTCTCTGTCACGTACTTCTGGTCGCCCGTTTCCTTCCTCAGTTTCTTTGCTCTCTTGGCCAGAATGGTGGGGGCATATGTCTCAGGGACAGTGAACGTGATCAGACACCAGGCGACACCAGAGAGAATCAATTGAAGCCAGTAGAGCCATCTCCAACCAGCAGCGTCACCCAGGAAACCACCGGCCAGAGGACCGATGGCGGGACCCATGAAGGGCGCAGCACTGAAGGCGGCCATAGGGACACCTCTCTCCTCATTCCTCCAGAGATCAGCCAGGGTACCACCGACGAGGGTCATTGGGGCACTGAAGGCAATGCCGTCAATAGCTCGACAGGCAAGGAGTGTGCCGATATTCTTGGAAACGGCACAAGGAATAACGAAAACCACGGCGAGGAGGAGCGTCGATGCGTAGATGACCCGACGCCCCAACATCTCGGACATGGGAGCAAAGGCCATAGGTCCTGAATCAGGTAAATGGTCAGTTAGCTGCATGCCAAGACTGAAGATCCTTTGACTCATATGATGTCAGGGACTGAACGTACCAACACCGAATCCAATAACGAACAAAGTGATTGTCAAGAACGCCACCTCCCGGGAGACATGGAAGGTCTCCGCAACACCTTCGAGATCGGCGGTGATGACACTACTGCAGAAAGCGACGACGAAACATGTGAAAGCGACAACCATGGTGATGTACCACTTGAAGAGCTTGGACCAATTCTTGGGATTCTCTGGATCACCCTCAGTGAAGGTCACCAACTTCCAATCCTCCATCTCGCCCGTGACTCTTGACCGGACCGGTTTGATGATCTGACCCTCCCTCGTCTCCGTCGTATACTCCTGCATGTCGGCCTCCGCAGTGACCTGGCGGTAAGGCAGGTCGAGAGGGTCTGCATCATCGATCGAGTGCGTCCGCGACGCTCTGAGATTCTCGCCATCGGCACCTCGGAGGCTACTCCGGGTGAAGGGCTGTGTTAATGCTTCTTCTGCCATCTTGTTGATGTATTGTATTATAGATAGGAATAATACGGGGTATCGATAGAAAGGGAAAGGAATGTCAGCAGTTACTGCTGGACAAGAGGCATAGCACTGCTAAGAGAGAGTCGAATACTTTGACCGTGGTAGTGTTCCACCTGGAGGGAGGATCCAGGTGGTTCTTATACCTCTCATATCGCATTTTCTCTTTAGAGTTTACTGTGAGCAGCCGTGGGCCGTCTGTGGGCCAAAGCAGGGTACGGGGAGCCATGAATTCGCCATGATCAGCACAGCTGCAGAGGAAACCAATCGCGGCCGGAACGCTGGCCGAGAGGAGGGAAAACGGCAAAATACAAATTCACAAAGGCCGCAGCGGAAAGCCTAGAACAGGCTCGGCATAAGTTTAGCAGGCGGCGCTGCTATTATGATTCGCTCGCGGGCGTCGCAGCAGCTGGAATCAGGGCACTGAGATACCGAAAAGGGACAATCTTTGACGCCGTCATTCTTGCCTGTTCGGGCCGGATCCGTCTCGGCTGTCCCTCGGCTTCCGGAAGCCCGGTGGCACAGGCGCTAGTCCAAATATGGCAACATACTACGATTGACATTGGATATCTGAGATACACTGCAATCATTGTTAATATGTCCTGCGCTGAGAATGGCCGTAATTCGATCTTAGCTGCCTGCTTGTGCAAATGCCCAGACCTCTTGGCATGGCAGCCAGCGCTTTTTCCCGCCCGTGAGAACCGATTCTCTCGGAAGTTGGCAGAGAGATATGGGTAAACGGAAGGCAATCACAATTGAAACAGTTGAATGCTATCATATTATAGTTTCAGTGTCTTCAAATAACTAGACCCACCGATGTGCAGTATTTCGCTTCTATTATTATTATGGCGATTATGCGTCGATGCCATCATACGTCCCTATTTACTCCTGAGTACGTACCACTACTACCATGGATGAATGAGAAAGGTCGGACCTGTCTCAAATCCATTAGTTTGTGACTGATAATAATGTAATGTAACAATAGACTATGGATTAATATTGTCAATCACACTAAATGCCGCATTACCAGACACGAGATTATCTTTAGACCATATCAATTATTGTCATAGTTAAATATTGGATATATTATATTTTCCTTGCGAAACTTTTTTTCTGCCCAATATGCGAGCTTCTCAGCCCAACTGATTGATATCGCGTATATAGAGTCGTCCATTGTCGTCTTGGATTACCCTTAATACATCAGGGACCAATGAGGGCCAACGAACCGAAACAAATTGACAAATACCAGTGACCCCCAACGCTATAATATATATTAAATATTGACATTTTTCTAGAAGAGAACAGACCGGTCAGTATCAAAGGTGGAACCAAACTCACCAGAGGCCGTTAACTGCCCTATGCGCTGCATGATGAAAAGACACCGCCACTGTTGAGTTTTGACATCAGGGGAAACCAATCTATTATATTATTATCTAGATGCAAGGTCTCTCTCGGCAGCTCTGAAAGGATCTCTGGATTGGTAATCATATTCAATATATATTTAGCACTCATGGGTTGGATTAAAATATATACCTCGGGCTGCTAGTCCAGTAACGGAACTGGGAACCGGGGTGTAGACGGGGATTGAGGTATATTATCTTGCATATTCACGCCGAGAACTTATCTTTCGCAATTACTCCCCATCGTTTCTCTCTAGAAGAATGGATACCCAATCGGCAAGAGGGTCCAGGTTATTTCGATAAACCCACGCGGAGTGCCGATAACATGCAGCTACGAAGCACTAATATGAGGGTCTTCCCTCGTGCGAAGAACCCGCCAGTGTACTTAATATACGAAAATGGGGGCTAGCTCGCCTTGCCGTTGAATGCAGGAACCAGAATCGAGTATTTCAATCGATATTCTGTTATAATCTGTAGATTCAAGTCAACATAGTTGTCGATAACCTCTGGGCATGGACCATGACCATGTGGCTGTCACGGCATGCTGTACGTACGCTATCCTTACCTATGACTGCAGCTGCGAACCAGCAAATTGTCATAATAAAACCTTATTGCAATGGGTTTCTACATACATTCCTGATTTAGCAGCTTCGAATTAATCTTTCCTTTCCAAGTTTCCGGGAACGCCAAGTGGGTCCCTTCCGCTCGGAGCGTTTTCCCCAATATGGTCATATACCAGCACTGAAACGGCAATTGCGGGGTAAAATGCGCCATACCATAAACGGCAACTAGTTTCGCTTTCTGATTCTAGAATCACGGTGTACTCCTACAGCGTAGGCTGCAATAATAGTAATTTCTGTGTAATCTGCTTCGTATACAGGCAATAATAATGATGCCCAACCAGTTGCTATTTCAATGCAAGGCAGAGCACATAATTAGTCAGCCATTTGTGCTACGTACATACTTTTATGTATATAAGTCATTGACACGCCGACTTGACTTGACTAGATTGCATCTTGTACCAACCTGGTAAAACTTGGCCTGAGCGCCATGAGCAAATGGGTCAAGGAACTACAGAATGCATTGCATACTACTGACATCAACATGAAGTTAATCGAGTCAGTTAACCTATCTGATGGGTTGGTCCCAGTTTATCCTGAAATAAGTTCTCCATCCTGTTCGCGTGACAGCTGCCGAGAGGATACCATACCAATAATATTAGCGACTAGATGGACACGAGATCTGTTCCTCAAGGTTCAACGTTGTTCGTCCACAATAATAATGTCCACGCCCTTGCGGCCTTTTAAGGCTTTCAGTCAAAGCGCCCTTCGGAGCACTGACACGTGACTGATAATTTTCAGCCACGTGCTGATAACGCCAAACGGGCTTAGCGCGTAATTCCCTGTCCCTCCTCTTGGCGAAAAAAAAACCAGCTTTGCCGGTGACGAACTCGTCCAGCGTCAACGCCGCTCTCCAACCGCTGCTTCTAAAGGGCCTGTGTGCCTTCTTCTACGCTCTGGACAACAGGAGGGGTATATTTCGATGACCTTTGCCCTATGAGGCCTGCTGATTCCCCTTAGTTTCGATACTCAGTCCGACCGACTTCCTTCCACGCGTTCCGATCGCCCCTCACTCTTCGTCAGGATGGACACAGCCCCCAACGAAGACACATATCTGGCCATTCCTGGCTCAGTGGCATTCTCGAAATCTCGAGGCCGTGCAGTTGCTGCTAGTATCGGCGTCCAGGATGTCCGGGCTCAGTGGATCCACTACGTCCACACCTCGAAACCACTGGATGAACCCCAACGTGCCGTTTTAGAGCAACTTCTCCATTATGGTGATATCACCGATGTTCTGCCATCTTTCAGCGATGCAGATGGCTCTTCCGTTACCTACTACGTTTATCCCAGGACTGGAACCATCTCTCCATGGAGCTCGCAGGCTACTGGCATCTCCCATGTCTGTGGCTTGAAGAAATGCGTCAAGCGTATTGAGAGAGGGATGAAGGTCTCCTATCTACTCTCTGGGTCGGAGGGACCGAGACCTGGATTTCTAGATGTACTTCATGACCGCATGACCCAGATCATCAGCAAGGATGAACCTGATCTTGAATTAATGTTTTCTGAACATGCCCCCGAGCCTCTCGAGATAGTCCGTCTTCACGGAACCGGTAAGACTCCCTTGGAAGTTCTGCAGGAAGCAAATAAACGTATGGGTTTGGCACTGGACCAGCCCGAGATCGAATACCTGGCAGAGGCATATGGACCGAATGGCCCTCTTGCGCGGGATCCCACTGATGTTGAGCTCTTCATGTTCGCACAGGTGAACTCGGAGCACTGCCGTCATAAGCTGTTTAACGCATCCTGGGTGATAGATGGCAAGCAAATGCCGTACAGCCTCTTCTCTATGATCCGCAACACACACAGGAGGAATCCACAGTTCACTGTGAGTGCCTATAGTGATAATGCTGCTGTCCTTCAGGGAGGAGAAGCTGCTTTTTGGGCCCCTAACCAAATCACTGGAGAATGGAATCATATCAAGGAGGTTGTCCATTTTCTTGCCAAGGTCGAGACTCACAATCATCCAACCGCTGTCTCCCCATATCCAGGTGCGGCAACTGGCTCTGGAGGAGAAATCCGTGATGAAGGATCGGTGGGGCGCGGTTCAAAGCCAAAGGCAGGTCTTGCGGGATACTGTGTCTCGGACCTTTTGATTCCTGGCTTGAAACAGCCATGGGAGCTCGATGTTGGCAAACCGAACCACATTGCATCCAGTTTGGATATTATGCTAGAGGCGCCTATCGGTAGTGCAGCATATAACAACGAATTCGGACGGCCATGCACGCTGGGATATTTCCGCACATTGCTCACCGAAATTGAGACCCCTGATGGTCAGATGGAGCTAAGGGGCTACCACAAGCCAATTATGATCGCTGGTGGTGTAGGAACCGTCAGGCCTCAACATGCAATCAAAAACCCAGAGGCTGTCATGCCTGGCTCATACATCGTCGTTCTTGGTGGACCTGCCATGTTGATTGGCTTGGGCGGAGGCGCGGCATCTAGTATCACCTCTGGTGAAGGATCTGCCGACTTGGACTTTGCCAGTGTGCAGAGAGGAAACGCCGAAGTTCAGCGGAGAGCGCAGGAAGTGATTAACTCCTGCGTTGCCATGGGAGCTGACAACCCTATCAAATTCATTCATGATGTCGGTGCGGGTGGGTTGTCCAATGCTCTTCCGGAGTTGATTCATGATGCGGACCTGGGCTCCACCTTCCACCTCCGTGAGATCGATAGTGCCGACAAGAGCATGAGCCCGATGCAAATCTGGTGCTGCGAGGCGCAGGAGAGATACGTCTTGGCAATTTCTGAAGAAGGCATGAACAAGTTTACTGCCATTGCTCGGCGTGAGCGCTGCGGTTACTCCGTCGCCGGTCGCGGATCGGATGATCAGGAAAAGCGACTCATCCTGCTTGATAGGGATTCTAAGGAATACCCTAAGCCAATTGACTTGCCACTGTCTGTTCTCTTTGGGAAGCCTCCGAAGATGACGAAGACCGTGAGCTCCCGGAAATTAGAGTTCCCCCGTGTGGATGCCAGCCTTACGATGTACCTGCCTAGTATTTCTGCGCCTGCAGAAGTTCTCGGCGAAGCGATTAATCGCGTTCTCTCTTTGCCTGCAGTCGGTTCCAAGTCATTCCTGATTACGATTGGTGACCGGACGGTTGGTGGTCTGACCGCCCGCGACCAGATGGTTGGTAGATGGCAAACCCCGGTCTCTGATGTGTCGGTCACTGCTACAGCGTTACTCGCTGGTCTGAGAACTGGTGAGGCAATGGCCATGGGTGAACGACCAACATTGGCACTGATTTCCCCAGCTGCCTCAGCACGGATGGCAGTTGCTGAGTCTCTAATGAATATTGCTGCTGCCGACTTGGTTGACCGTCTCAGCCACATCAAGTTGTCAGCAAACTGGATGTGTGCCAGTAGTCATCCTGGTGAAGGGGCTGCCATCTATGAGGCTGTAGAAGCCATTGGACTGGATCTCTGTCCCAAGCTTGGTATCAGCATTCCCGTTGGAAAGGATTCCATGTCCATGAAGATGAAATGGATGGATGAGGAATCCAAGCAAGCGAAGGAAGTAACGGCTCCCATGTCCCTTGTCATTTCGGCTTTTGCACCTGTCCAGGACTACCGGAAAACTTGGACACCTGCACTCCGCCACGTTGAAGATGTCGGTGAAACAGTGCTCATGTTTGTTGATCTTTCATTTGGCCGCAAGACTCTGGGCGGTTCTGCTCTCGCCCAGGTTTTCAAGCAAGTGGGAGATGAGTGCCCTGATGTGCGCGATGTCGAGATATTTAGGGATTTCTTCGACGCTGCTCAACAGCTACAGGAATCTGGCATCGTTTTGGCCTATCATGATCGTTCCGATGGTGGTTTGTTCACAACGCTTGCGGAAATGATGTTTGCCGGACGATGTGGTCTTGAGATTATGCTCGACAACATCTGCCCTAGCTTTGACCAGCGAGATGTCATCGAGACTCTGTTTACCGAGGAGCTTGGTGCCGTGTTCCAGGTCCGCAAGAAGGATGAGACCTACTTCCGGTCCTGCTTCGCCACTTGTGGTCCCCCTCCCGGCCTGATCAAGAAGATTGGACGTGTGTCTGAGATAAAGAAACAAAACATGACTATTTACCATGGTGCAAGCTTGGTGTATCGCAATTCCCGAACTAACCTTCAACAGACCTGGTCATCAACCTCGTACCATATGCAGAGGATCCGTGACAATGCTGCATGCGCCGATCAGGAGTTTGTCAATATCCTTGACGATGCTGACCCGGGTCTGTCATGGAATCTCACGTTCAACCCCAAGGAGAAGGGCTTGCCTATCTTGACCAGTCTCACGCAGATGTCTCCTTTCAGCAACAAGCCCCGCGTGGCCATTCTCCGTGAACAGGGTGTCAACAGCCAAGCGGAGATGGCTTTCGCATTCAGCAATGCTGGGTTCTCTGCCATCGATGTGCATATGACAGATCTCATCACAGGCAATGTTTCTCTCTCGACATTCGTCGGTCTTGCAGCATGCGGTGGTTTCTCATATGGTGACGTCCTTGGTGCCGGACAGGGCTGGGCCAAATCTGTTCTTTTGCACGAGAACCTCCGCGAGGAATTCAAGACATTCTTTGAGCGCCCGGACACATTTGCGCTGGGAGTCTGCAACGGATGCCAGTTCCTTTCCCGTCTTAAGGACCTTATCCCGGGAGCGCAAGACTGGCCCAGCTTCGAGCGAAACGCTAGCGAACAGTACGAAGGCCGTGTGTGCATGGTCCGCATTAGCGATCCGGATCCTTCTCGTCCTAGTGTTTTCCTCCACGGCATGGACGGCACCTCAATGCCTATTGCCGTCGCCCACGGTGAGGGGCGTGCGTCTTTCTCTCCGTCATCAAGCGTCACGGCACATACGTTCGTGACGGAAGGGCTCGCACCGATCAAGTATGTTGATAATGCCACCCTGAGGCCGACGATGAAGTACCCCTTCAACCCGAACGGCAGCCCGGAGGGTATTGCTGGTGTCCGCACCCCTGATGGCCGTGTTCTAGCTCTTATGCCGCATCCGGAGCGGACGGTGCTGGGAGGCATCGGTAGCTATTTACCGGATGAAGCAGAGAAATGGGGCGACATTGGGCCATGGGGACGTGTGTTCTACAGCGCGAGAAGATGGGTTGGTTAAGTTGAATTGATGCGGGAGTCTAGGCTTAATGGTTTCTAAAACTCCTATTTATTTTGTGTACTGGGATTTATATGTATGCGCATTGAGATTTGGGTATAATTTTAAGTCAATGACAAAGTTCCATGTTCTACTTTCCCTTCACCTTCTGAGCCAGTCGATATGTACACTCGCCTTGTCCTACGAATCAACACGACGAATTTGAGAATTAGCGTCAAATACATTGTAGGAATTCATCAGATTATGCCCTACGACACTTATACTATACATGTTTTCAGTTCAAGACACAAGGACATACACGTACATTCCAAACCACCCATCAAATATAGACATAACAGAACGGGCCATCAGTGGTGCTCATCAAATCTCCCACCGGGATAGGGTTGCCAGCAGCATAACCCAAGTCAATGACGGTATCCAAGGTGGTATTAGCAGAAGGCGGCTCATTCATGAAAGTGCCTGTGCCGGAAACAGCATGCAGCCTATTCTTCCGATCGAGCATCTGCCAGATCCAATACACCCTATCGATCATACCGTGATGGTGCCAGAAGGCAGGATCACCGGGCGAAACAAACAGATCGCGACCAGGATCACCGCCCATACTATAATGACCTCCACCGTGGACACCGATATTGCCACTGCCCGGAATACCCTGCATGGTCATCTCAAAGTCCCAGACATCATCGTTACCCAGGATCAAGCTCACGACAGCGGTGGCATTGGCGTACGTCTGCGTCACGGCCGTCGTGAGATCTCTCTTCAGACACCGGGGGTTGTAATCCAGCGGGTTCGACACGGCCACTGACTTGTTTCCAGGCAATGTGAGCGACGCCGGACCCAGGTTCACGGTGTAGTTGACGAAGGGGCCAGAGGTGACGCAGCCACCGCCCGTGCCTGGTGGGATGAGGATTGGGGGGAGTCCGTTGCCGCTGATGACCACGGTGCCTTCGTTCGGGATGTGCTCGCCGTTGCCGGACATGGAGGTCATGCTGCCGTCGAAGACGGGGTAGTTCTCCAGACCTACTTCTGCAGAGCGGGGCCAGTCCCAGTATCTATATGGTGTAAGTTCCTTGTTCATGTTCATGTTCCTTTGGCGTTGGGGATGTTGGGCTTGACTTGGACTCACGGTAGGGTTCCCTTATAGCCGCATTCATTGCGCAAGGCCTGTTCGAATTCCCAGATGAACCATCTATGCCATGTGAGGAAGGTGCCCTTGTTATCGTCAGCATTATTCGGGGTTCGCCAAAGAGATACGAGTAACTCCATACAGTATAATGGATCTGCAATGTCTGGTTGATATGCGTCGCGACGAAATCATCGTACCGACTCCTCGCGCCAGGGACAAGGTCCGCCGGTGTCTTGGACGGCGTACTCTGCAAGCAGAGCACGGCATCGATATAATCTACCTTTTCATCCTTGGAGAAGAAACTCCTGTTGAGGCAATCAGCAATTGAACGCAATTGCCAAGGCATAATAATTAATTTAATTACCATTCTTTCCGGATCTGCAGGTTTTCGGGAGTGCACCCGCCCCGCCGTCTCCTCTTGGTCTTGCTCGACGAGCTAGACAGGTTTTCCTTGGTGATATTGTAGGCATAGTCGGCCAACTGGCTCAACTGGGCCGCTGCCTCAGACGTCGAAGTGGCAGCAGAGGTAGGAAGGGTAGAAGTAGCGGTTTCTTGGGCCAGAGAAGCAGCCGCGAAGGCTGTGACTCCAGCGAGGGAGAAGAGGGAGAACCTCATTATTGTTGTCGTTCCCGTACAGAGTCCGCTGTGGAAATTTTTTGGGAAGCGTATTCAAACGGAACAGGGTCTGCTTGGATCTTGGAGCTATCTAATATATACACAAGACCTGACCTGACACTGGCTCTGGAGTGACTGTAACCGAGAGACCCCTTTTGCATGGAGCGGAGAATGGGCAAAGAATATGGAGTCCTAGCAACCAATTAGCCAGGGGAGAAATCCCCTATCAATCCCCGATCTTCTAGTAGACTGAACGGTTTGTAGTCGGGCAAACTGTTTCGCAGAACAGTCAGTGTAGGGTCGGCCATTGTCGTTCCAGTGTTTTCACTCGTGCCGAAGGACCCAGTCATGGGATGATTCGAACCATTCGATGGATATTACTCCGAAATGCATGTAGTATCGACCATGCCCCATCAGGGCTTCTAGCTCCCTCGTAATAATGGGACTTAAAACCGCAAGCTGAGGAATGACTAAGGGGTTATTATGGACCAGGGCATCCGGGCAAATGAAACGCTGTCGCCAAGACAGGTCATGAAGGAGAGGTCTTCTAACCCCATTTCGTACCCAGGCCATCTTCGTGTTCTTCCCCTGTGGGTTCATGCAAGCTGTAACGGCTGCCAGTTTTGTTTAGAAGAGGGGGAAAGTGGCATGTTTGACTGTTATCTATGCATGCATGGCTTGAGTTCTGAGCTTATATGCATGACGCAGGGGGGCTGTTCTTTCGTTATGAGGCATCTAGGGGGAACTCGGCTAAGATGTAGTCAGGTTGGTGGGATTGTTGCCCACTAATTAAGGTTACACTGGAGTAAGACCGCGACAAGGAAGAATAAGATTAGAAAGACGATTGTACCCTGTTGATTAAGCGACGAAGAGACCCATGCACGCCACAAGGAGCAGTAAGCCCAACACGGATATCCACCTAGGTCCTCAGCATCTATATTGGATTGTAGTGCTTAAACCGCGCATCCTGCACATCCCTCATTTATATCAATCAAATCGACAGTGACTATTAAAAGCTGCGTGCTCTGGATGGAAGCACGCACTGTTAGACACCCTGCCCGTGCAAAGCGCGAGACAGCTGAGGCAGCGGGGACAGTTCAGGTCGACGGAGGGTTTCCGCGTAATTTACCGTAAAAACCGCCAAGTGGGTCTCGGATCTGTAGATAGGGCCCTACTGGGGGACAGTTCAGGTCGACGGAGGGTTTCCGCGTAATTTACCGTAAAAACCGCCAAGTGGGTCTCGGATCTGTAGATAGGGCCCTACTGGGGGACAGTTCAGGTCGACGGAGGGTTTCCGCGTAATTTACCGTAAAAACCGCCAAGTGGGTCTCGGATCTGTAAGGTTTATGGACTGGACGGCCTGGTGACATGGATAGGGCCCTACTGCGTATATTTTTTTTATTTATTTACCTTTGTCCACCATGCAGCCAGCCAGCCCGAGCCAGGGTTCAATCTGATCCTCTGCAATGTAGGAGCTTTGGAAGCTGCGTCGAGGCATCCCCTGGTTATTCTTATTAGTAGTAGTACAATCCTGTTCGATCGTTCCCAAGTTAAAAAATAGATCTGACCGATCAAGAACCATTACCGCCATAGCTTCTATTTTCTACTGCTGTATCTCACATCGGCCCTACAGCAACAGCATACACGAGTGATCTCTTATGCAGCCGCCACCACCACCACCACCAGCTCATCCTGGCGGGCTTGGTCTTCCCAATGTGGACCGCGGTCCCGACATCATCATCGCAACCACAATCGTCACAATCGTCGCTTTAATCACGGTCTTTGCACGCTTGTACGTGCGGGTCTTTGCGATCCGCAATGTTGGACTGGATGTTAGTCTTATCTGCGCCTAAAAGCATGTCAGGGTATCGACAGGAGTCATACTAACCTATCTTGGCTCGTAAGGACTACACAATGCTGCTGACAATGGTGCTGGTAAGGGCCCTAAAACGCTAACCCAAGAAGCAACATGATCACCAATGCTTGTTATTGTGATACAACGTTGCTAACTCTCCCAAGTCCTTCACAGGTTGGGTGGTCACCATCTTCGAGGTCAAAAAAGGAGCCGGAAAACACCACGTTTACGTGGGTAGTCCTCAGCAGATTGCTGACGCGTTGCATCTGAATTTCGTAACGCAGGCTATCTATCTCTGGGCCATTGGGCTGGTCAAGGTTGCCATTGGGTTATTCCTTGTTCGGTTTGCATTGAAGAAGAAGTATAAGATTTTCATTTGGGTTGTCATTGGTATGCAATCGTCTCATCCCTAACTGTCATGCAAAATGACTGACTGCTTGTTGTATTCTATTCCAGTTGCGATGGCCATCTACACGACGATATGCTTCCTTGTATGCAGCTGCCATTGCTTGGACTGTGAGACTCGCGTTTAGCTGACTATATGCAATATGTATACAGACCCTCGTCTTCCAATGCCACAACATCAACACCGTCTGGGACATGCGTGTTAAGTCCAAATGTTTTTCTCCGGTCCAACTACTCACTCTCAGCTATACAAATACCGGTAAGACCACATCCACCAGAAATGATATCTGTCAATCAAGCTGATGCTAATTCGTACACTAGCCCTGAATATTCTCACCGATCTCATCTTCGCCTTTCTTCCTGCTATCATGTTCCGGTATGCATTGCATTCTCCAATGATCCGAATTGAACAGAACTAACAAACCGGAATGTATATAGCAACCTGCAGATAAACCGCCGCCAGAAGATATCCCTGGTGGGTATTCTTAGCCTAGGTGTCTTGTACGTTCCTTCTACATATCCTCTAATATCTGCAAGAGAAGACGAGCCATGCTAACAAAATATGTTCGTCAGCGCCTGCGCAGCGGCTATCGTCAAACTAAAATTCCTATCAAACTACGGCAAGACCGGCGATGTCCTCTGGGACTCAGCCAATATAACCATCTGGGTCGTGTACGTTTCCACCCAAACAACTCAGCCGGCATCGACAAACATGCTGATATAAAGTAGAGTCGAATGCAACACAGGCATAATAGCGGGCTCCCTCCCAACCCTCAAACCCCTTTTCAAACGCTTCCCCTCCACCTACGGCTCCAACTCCTACCGATACCGATCCTCCGGACAGAAGAAATACATCTTCACGACCTCCGGCCGATCCGAAAACCATGGTCTACAAAGCCTCTCCCGGAACCGCGATGTTGGTAGCCATGCCGGGAAATCAGGATCGCGATCGCGGTCTCAGTCCGGACGGGGGATCGACATCTTAGACATGGACGGTGACCTGGAAATGAATGCTCCGGGTGGTAACGTGAAGCAGGCGAATCTTACTTTTATCGAGTCAGCGTCTAGCTCTGGTAGCAATGACAACGATCACGACCCTGACCGCGGGCATGTCTCCGATGGGCATAGTGAGCGGGGCATTCTTCCTTCCGCGGCTGCGCCGGGAGTGGGGATTGTTTGTACGACGACAACGGAGGTGAGGGTTTCGGAGCCTGCCGATGAGCATAGGATTGTGCCTACGTGGAATGGCATGGGATATCATATGCGATGACCATGCAAACTTCTAGTAATGAGGGCAATATTTAGAGAATATAAATGTAGAAATATCCGTATATAAGCAAGCATTATACGGAACCTGGGATTTCTCTCTAATGAAGATGCATCCAAATACCATGTCATATAAAGCAATAATAAGTCGACTAGATTGTCATCAACCTCATAAACCAGGCGTATCCAACGGGCCCACCAAGAACGCCAATGCAAGAAGCCGCAACCCGCCAAAGGAAAGCCATCACATTTGTAATTAGTAACCGGCCAGATAGGCACTGTTCAGCGCCCGAGAAATTGACTTATACCAACACAGCACCTTCCCGTCCCTTCCTCCATTCTAATTTCTCTGCTAGAATTTCCCAGCTCTGCTGCCCATTGATACGGCCGACACCCTTGAGGCCAGCTACCATAAAGGATGCAAGCTGATCAAATTGATCTTTGAGATCTTTCAATTGATGTAGGTAGGGAGACTCGTGGAACGAGATACCAGTATTGTTTCCCTCATCCACATCACTGTCAATATCACTGTACTCAGAACCCAAGTCTCCTCCGTCTTCTGTTGTTAGCCCCTCTCCATATCTGCCTTGTCGGAGGTGCCGGGCTGCACTCCTGCCGCCGTCTGATCGGCCGAAAACTCGACCTGTCTGGTCAAAATTGTTCTCCCCGTGATGAGTAGCTTGTATGTCTGCGAAATGAACACAGAGATCTAAAATGTTGATAACTGTCTTGTAGATCGGCGTCAGGTTCTCTGAAAGCAAAAGCTGCTCTTCCAAGGACGATATATGGGACCGATGAGTGGCGATCATGGCGTCGATATCTTTCGAGGCGGACAGGGCTTGCTGCATAGAGTGCATCGTGGTCGAAATCACTAGGTCTGTCATATGGCTGTATAGGACATTGAGAAACCACAATAGATTGTGCCGAAGAGCATATCCAAGCACATACTTCTTCTCCCCGCCATTGATAGCTGCATGGCTATTGCTGCTTCGTAATCGTTGCTTTGCCGTCAAGTACCTAGCCCGACGAATTTGCATAAGGAAAGTGAAAATACGCTGGTAGGTCAAAATAGCGTCTTTAGTGATGACGTTTGCTACCGGCCAGGGAAGGGTGTAATCAATTGAAACAGCTCGCAGGACATTAACCGATCGGCTGTTATTTTCGAAATTCCAATGTGATCCCTTCTGCGACCGCACTATGAGCCTACTGGGGTCAACGAAAGGAACGGTACTGAATGCGCTTTGACCTAGTTCCGTCAACAGAAACCTGTCATTCCAGGCGCCTCGCCCTCGATCGATCAGTTCGAATATTTTATTGTCGAAAGGACTGAGAACACTCATATCCCGGCAAAGATAGATCAATTCCAAGGCTTGGAGGGAGGCCCAGAACCCACAGCGCTCGCAGAGCTCGTTTCGCAAAGCATCCGATGCTGCCGAATAGTTCGTATCAACCAGCTTTTCGAACGCAGTCTTCAGTAACTCGGAAAACGGAAGATAGAACGGTGTAGACAGTCCTGGAGGGTAGATATCTTCAAATACCAGGGGCCTCCACTTAAGACACACCAAGTTCTCCGGAAGCGCATCCAACTGCCGCAAGAAGAATACGGTCTTCCCGGTTGTAAAGATCTTCTGGGAAACAGAGTGGAGAAATTTTGGAGTACCCGCAAGCAGAGAACTTTCGTCCAGCGTATACCAGTCATGCCAGAGAGTCCTTAGATCACCACCTTTACAATTCTTGACCACGAAAAACGACCCCTCTTCGGAGTCCAACTGTCCGGTTTCCATCCAAAGCCTGATGGATCTCGTATATGTCTCAAAGCAAGTAAAAAACAACCTGGCGAGATATTGGAACTCTCCATCAGCTCCCGTAGCTTGGCACATACAAACCAACTCGTAGAGCAAGTTGAGACACTGGGCAGGTTCCTGAGAGGCATCCTGGTTTAGACTGGAAACAAGATCAGCTAATAACAAGAGCAGTCTCGATTCACGCCGCACATCTTCTAGTAGTTGTAATAAGCTGACTGATACTGCTGGACTCTGGCAGAGATGCTGCGCTTCTATCTTTGACAGGAATGCGTCAAACTTGCGTAGACAGTCTTCAACTCCCCGGTGGAAGGTTTGCACGTAGGGAATCGATTGTGGGGCCTGTGTAAACCGCCTTAAAGTATCTAGCTTGGCTCCTATCAAGCTAAACAAGCGCAGAAGTGAAGCCAAAGCGTTATTCGGCGAGTGAGAAAGCGCGTATCTTCGATCTACCTCAACTTTTTCATCAAGCCTCCAGAACAAAGACGTCGGAAGGCCCTGCAGCATGAAGATTATTTGTCTAATGATCTGGGCTTCTGTTATGACACGAGAATAATTTTCCCAGTTTTGACGAGGAGTTGATTTATCCTCTGTCTTCCAGAACTGAGCTTTTGTGATAGAAGTAATCAAGTTCTCATCTTCTCCAGAAGAAAATACTTCTTCCGGTGCAACATATCCATCTTCCGGTGCTACAGGACTCTGGGGCAGAATCCTTGGGACAGATATTTCACTTGACACAGTTGAAAGATCGTCATCTGAAGTTTGTGCACCAAAGTCTATGTGCTCCCAGATGTTTTCATCATCACAATAGGCGGATTCAGAAGCCTCCGAACCTGGCCCAGTAAGTTGTATTTCGGGCTCTGAAGGTTTCGACGCTTCAATCCGATCGAGGTTCGAGAAGAGAGCGGGGCGGTCTGAGAGTTGCAAGAGTAGAGATAAAATCTCCGGGAACCATGTACTCCGGTGCTGATCCAGCTCCTCCAGACGGGTCCGAAGAGCGTCGGCCAGCTCATCTCTACCAAGGACTTGGAATTTCTCCTGGAGACCCTCAAGATGTTCGGCTACCGCGAACTGGTCTGTGCGTCCACGAGCGCCGGACTTGATGGTTTCTTCAACACGGCGTTTGAGAGCCCTAAAGCGCAATGAATTCTGGGATAAGTTAGCATAGCCCTACAGTGTTATCAGAGAAGAGATGTCCAAGTGCCTTTTCCGAGAAGGTGTTCGTGACAACTTCGATGAGCTCGTCCGTCAGAGCGCTAATATTGGCGGCAAGAGCCATTTTGAAAGATTCTGCAAGCGCTCAACTTGAAGTTCGCAAACTCCTCATGAACAGAGACCTCGCCCATTGCAACGAGAAGAGTATGCGGGATTCACGGGAGCTGCCTTGGAGAAGGCCATGGTTACGCACTGCATGCCTCGCGCTGCTTGAAGCCGGATTCTGACGTCGATGCTCACGTGGCAACGCGCTAAACCAAGATTGGAAAGGCGGCAAATCCTCCCAGAACGGCTGGCGCGTCTCGAACTTTTGTGGAGGATCTCCAGACCAGGAGTTATCCCTATAGACCTTCTCTGCGGTCTGCTACGAACCTTGTTGCTTTTAACGCCGAAATGGCGATCGCACGACCTATCCGGATGCTGAGTGCAGCATCGATCATCCTCTGTCTTTTTCTTTTCTTTCAAATCCGCAAGGAATCTCCATCCTTAAGTACGAAGCCCGGAAAACTGACAAATGGCATGAAGTCGGATCCGCTTCTAGAACGTAAGTTTCGCCTTTCTATTTCCTGTTTATTCGCTGCTCTTTTCTGCCTGATACTAACTGCTTCTAGCTACTGGAGAACCTTCAGGTCGCTTATGGCGAGTTGAAGGTAACAATTATGCGCCCGATAATACTAACTCGGCCCGTACCAACGCTGCCCTAATCTCCCTCGTACGTAACGAAGAGCTGGATGAGTTGATTCCATCGATGCGGGATTTGGAAAGGACCTGGAATAGCAAGTTCAATTATCCATGGATTTTCTTCAACGATAAGCCTTTCACAGAGGAATTCAAGAAGCGGACACAAGCAGAAACCAAGGCAAAATGCCAATACGGTAATACCCTCCATGAATGAGTTTTCTGGTGAGCCCTGATGTTAATGGCTGACTGACATATTATCCAGAGCTGGTACCTAAGGAGCATTGGGATGTCCCCGAGTGGATCGACATGAAGCTCTTCGAGGAGTCGGCCAACATCCTCGAGGAGAAGAAGATCCAATACAGCCACAAATTATCATACCATCAGATGTGCCGCTGGAACAGCGGCATGTTCTATCGACACCCTGCACTCGAGAAATACCGCTATTATTGGCGTGTCGAACCCAAGGTTCAGTTCTTCTGCGACGTCGACTACGACGTGTTCCGGTACATGGAAGACCGCAACCTGACCTATGGTTTCACGATTAATCTCTTTGACGCTCCCGCGAGCATTCCGACTCTCTGGCCCACCACCCAAGAATTCCTCGCTGCACATCCCGAGTACTTGTCTGAAAATAACATGCTGGAGTGGCTGACAGACAGCACGCGGAGACCGGACCACACGAAGGAGGCAAACGGATACTCCACCTGTCACTTCTGGTCGAATTTTGAGATTGGCGACATGGAGTTTTTCAGGGGCAAGAAATACGAAGACTACTTTAACCACTTGGACCGGAAGGGCGGTTTCTTCTATGAAAGATGGGGCGATGCACCCGTTCATTCGATTGCGCTGGGCTTATTTGAGGACTCGGCTAAAGTTCACTGGTGGGTTTGCTGTGGCAAGACATCGAGGTCCAAGTTCTGTGATAGCGACTGACTTCGCATTCTCATTGCAGGTTCCGAGACATTGGGTACCGCCATATTCCGTACTTCAACTGCCCTAACTCTCCCAAGTGTAAGGGATGCACTCCTGGCAAGTTCTTCGAAGGCGCGGATTTCTTGGCCAAGGAAGATTGCAGGCCAAACTATTTCAAATACGTCGGCACCCATTGAACGCGCTCAAGGGAACGAGACAACCAAGCAGCCTCGGGTATATAAAAATAAGGATCAGCTCCGTACCACTGATGTCAGTTCGTCTGAGGATTCCAGCAGTTGCCGTGGCATCCGCTGAACATGTTTATAAGCATTCCATCCAACCCATGGACTACATCCACTCCTCGCAACGTTGTTAGTATGATATGCAACCGCGCGACCCTCACGATTTTGCTCTATAACCACATACCCCCATATTCATGATATAAACTGCTTGATAAACTTTATGGTGGGCGTCGGAATGACTGGACTTTTTCTCTTTTCCTTTTCTCTTTATTTTCTGGCTGTGCTCGAAATTTCCGGGGTTAGATATATTATTTTATTTATCTTTTGATAATTTGATTCGGGTTTGTTTTTCGATCGGGTTCGCATTGTACCGTATTTTATATCTATTGTGGCATGTTTATCAATCTAGGATTTCTGAATACTTGTGTTTTATCTTAGATAGAATACGGAGTGCTACAAAGACTATCATGGTGTTAGAATATATGGCTTGGTCTATGCAATAAATAGTACACCTGGATTCGAGCGCTTTCATTTATGGTGCTGTCTGAAAGATAGGTAGGTGCACAGTTCGCAAGCGAATGGCTGATGTTCGCTCAATGAACAGAAACTTTGCCTAATGAGGAATGAACAGAGGGGATAAACAAAATATTCGAACAGATTAAATTTTATCAAGACGATTTATCTCGTGTTTCTATTTCTTTTTTCTTCTCTATTTATAATAGAACGAAGAAGGCAGATAGCAGAGCCAAAATTAATCGGGAAAGGTATGGACAAAGAATATTAATTAAATAAAAGAGACAAGTGTCGGGGTATAGACCCTTCCCCGGACGGTTTAGGAAAGCTGATGGAGAAGATGGAATACGTCATCCAGCATGAAGGCTGGGTCTGGGGCCTTTCCAACTACATTCCATTCTGATACGAGTATGTATACAAAGATTGTTCCTTCGTTGACCATCGCAATAAGTAAGCCTATCCTTCACATTGCAATGCGCGCGCGGGGGAGGTAAAGCAAGGGGACCGACATTTACTCCTCGTTGGGGTAGAGCTCCTCGCGAAGAGCGACACCCAACTCCTTGCGTAGACCGTCGAGCTTCTCGAGGTATAGTTTGTACTGGTCGGGGGTTTCGACCTTGGCCTTGATACCTGTGTGGAAGAAACAACATCTTAGTTTCGAACAGCGCAAGGAGAGACCTAGATTGGAGATATGTGCGTACCTTCAAAGACACGGACGGCGGTGGGGAAGTCATTGACACGGCGAGCAGCCCTCAGGGCAGCAGAGAGAACCTCAACGGACGGGACGAGGTCATAGGCAAAGCAGTTGTTGAGATTTCGCTGTGTTGTTCCACAAACAGGGGTCAGTTAGCAAGCTGAATGTTGACCATCGTCATCTGCCAATAACAGAGCCGCTATTTCATGTACGTGCACGGGTTATGCGCGGGCGGCTTACCTGGAGCTCGAAAACATCCTGGACGGCGTCGAATTCCTTCTCGAATCTGCAGACAGGCCATCAGTTAGCCTGGTGGTGTTCAGATGGGAATTGGGCAATCCGTATGGGGAACAGTCGCCTTCCCGGGATAATGTTTCCGGCTGCAGTTCCAACCACGCCAGACCGAGGGTCATTCGGGTTGTTCACAGCATCCCATCGGGTTCAATGGCACGCTGGGGGAATGCGATACCTGGCAGAGAATTCCTCAAAGGTCTCGTCGTCGTGGGCTCCAGAGAGGCGCTTGCACGTGGTGCTGAAGTTGCTGGCGCGGTTAACAGCCAGAGCAGCCGGAACCTGCACCCGGGACCGGGGCAATTGGGAAGCTCTGAAGACGCCGGAAGGGCGGACGGCGCGTGTTGCGAGACGGAAAATAGAAGTCGACGACATTGTGCGATGTAGAGCGAGGAGGGCCAGCGAATTGGCGTGCTGAGGGGAGAGAATTGGCTGGGGAAGGAGAGAAGCGGGACGGTTGGAGGACGAAGTCAGAGAAAGACACAGTCCAGGTTAAGGCAAGGATTTCGCGGGTGGTGTGAGCTCTGCACTGCCTGAGGCGCCCAGGCAGCAAACCCCGTCCGGCCGCTCCCGCCGGTCAGGTGGCCTGAGGCTGTAACGTGACATGACTATCGACCTCAGGATGATACTGAGTACTGAGTACCCTGCCTACGACTTCTACATGGAATCTCTGGCGATTCTCTTCATCATTGATATACACGTCTACATCCCATCATCCCCAGATCACCTGTTCCAACAATCGCTGTTCCGTCCCGTTCGAGGCCGGTCTCAAGACCAGTCAAGGTGACACAATTCGGTTGTACTCCATGGTCAAACAATCAAGCGGGAGTCGCAGATCGATTGAAAATGAGTCCAGTCAGAATAATTGAACCGTTCCAGGCACCGTCTTGAATGACCACCTCCGCCAAATCTAGCCATGACTGCGCAGGGGAGGACACATCAACAACCTCTCAGCGCTCATACCCGAACGAACTTTCAGCGCGCAAGTCGGGGAGATCGAGCGGAAGATCAAGTGTCCTACACGAAATAGTGACCGATTCACCAATTAGGACAACAAGCGTGAAAATGACAGCACTGTATGATCCATCAACAAGGTTGTACACCTCCCGGTGGGAAGACTGTGGAAAGTTCTGCCTCAGTGCAGCTGGCCAAGTGCAACCAGTAGCATTGCGCTTCAAGCCATTTTGCTTTGCGGTGGATTGATTCGAGGGATTTTGACCTGAACCATGCTCTCACCTCGCGCGCGGCCAACAGGCTTTGAAGTGATGCCCATATTGACTGGATCTTCTGTATTTGCACTTATTGTATGCCTTCATGACATTATTTATTCATGTCCGGACAGCCATGCATGTCGCGATTTTAGAAATCAGGAGCCAAAAAGTCATGTCACAAGTAGCGACATACGTGTAACCGTGTATCCATACATTTCTGTAATTTGGCCGTAAGTAGTGTAAACATGCCGTGGATAGTGTAACTGTGTCTTATTCCACCGTATAACAGCATCAAATGCAAAATAGCTGGTGTCTCAACGGTTCAACCTCTCAACCTCTCAACGGAGAGGAGAATAAGCAGGGCACGTGAACACTACCCCTTTTTGTGCTGATATAATCGGCGCCAAGCCTACTCGGGCTTCCACGGACGCGCCGGACAGAAAAGACCGCCAGAAATTCGCTTTTTTTTTGGAAGTCGAAGAGAAAGACATCGTCCCCTCCTCCACCGTCTCTATCTCGCTCTCTCCTTCGGCGTTTTCCGTTCTCATCTGTCCTTACTCTTCCCCTTCCTCTTTCTCCTCCTTTTCATCGCGTCTCCACCTCGGAATCTTCTTCCTGTTCACTCCTTACGGCTCCGTCGGCGTCTCCACTCCTTTTGGTCAACTCAACGGCCAACTGTCCTCTATCGTGCAGACCGTTCGCAGCAGACAATTTGAATCTTATAGGGTCTCGTTATTAACCTGCGGTCCGGTGCTCGTTGTACCGGCGTTGATTTTGGTGAATCCGTAAAGGTCTCCTCGGTGCATAGCGCGTCATGGCCTTCGAAAACATCCCCTTGCCATCCATTGATCGCCCGTTCGGCATTCAATTATGGCCCATCTTCGACAAGGCGTTCGAGAAGGTGATGGGTTATCCTGCAAGCCAGTGGGAATTCGTTGAAGGGGTTACCCCCATGTCCACTTTCAAGGAGACTGCCACTTCCCTTATCGCCTACTATGTCATCATCTTCGGTGGCCGCGAGATCATGAAGAAGTTCCCGGCTCTGAAGCTCAATGTGCCATTCATGATTCACAACTTCTACTTGACTGTAATCAGTGGGACTCTCCTGGCTCTGTTCATTGAACAGCTCCTGCCCACCATATGGAGACATGGACTGTTCTACGCTATTTGTGACTACGATGGTGGATGGACTCAACACCTCAGGGTTCTGTACTACGTAGGTTGACCAGTCATCTCATATAAGAAGCTAAGAGGGGAATTCTAATCATTTGTGTGCAGCTCAATTACCTGACCAAATATCTTGAACTGATTGACACGATCTTCCTGTTCCTCAAGAAGAAGCCTCTGACTTTCCTTCATACTTACCACCATGGTGCCACTGCCCTCCTTTGCTACACCCAGCTGATCGGGTCGACAGCCGTTCAGTGGGCTGTGATCTCGCTGAATCTGCTTGTCCATGTCGTCATGTACTGGTACTATTTCCAGAGCGCACGCGGAATCCGCATTTGGTGGAAGGAATGGATTACGCGCCTCCAGATTGTGCAATTCGTCATCGATCTTGGTCAGTCTAATAATAACAAGAGAACAGGCATTTAGACTCGTCGCTAACGTGACTCTAGGCTTTATCTACTTCGCTTCGTACACTTATTTCTCCTCAACTTACTTCCCTTGGGCTCCGAACTGGGGCAAGTGCGCCGGAGAGGAGTTCGCTGCATTGTCTGGAATCGCTATTATCACCTCTTACCTCGTCCTCTTCATCTCCTTCTACATTGCCACGTATAACAAGACCGGCAAGGGTACTCGTCCTCGCCGCAACACTGGCAAGCAGGCTGTGATCGACATGAAGGACTATGAGGTGCCATCTATCAGCGCAAATGCCAACGGCTCAGCGACCAATGGAAATGCCAAGACAAATGGTTCTGCTGTTTCCAGTGGCCGAGCAAATGGCGGCCCTGTGACGCGGTCCAGGAAGGCCTGAAGCATTTGTGCGAAACGTGTCATGCTTCGTGTCAATCTGAGCGCTCTACGTCTCGCATGCATGCCCGGTGGTACTAGATGCTCGAGAAGACTAATAACGCCTGTTAACGAATCAGCCCTTCCGACTGTGAGCTTCATCTGCCCGTTGATGACTTGGCACGACCAGTATATGTCAGGAGACCTACGAACGGTGGTCGGTGGATTCTTGACTGACAGGAGCACGATTGAGTAATGTGGTGTATTTTCTTTCTTTATTTTATTAAACAAAAAAATTGGGGGCCACAACGACACTTTTACTACTACTGTTTAATTGACTACAGCTTAACGCAACCGGCCGTCTTTTCTTTTTGGGTTGATCACCGCGACGGGCCTGAGCGAAGAGCCTTACAACGTGCAAGATGACAACCCGAGGCAGGATCATTATTTATTGGCTTTGTGGAGGGAAGAGGGAGAGAGGAAGACAGAGGGGAACCTCTATTCCCGCCTAGAGTACTGCCTTGCTTACCGCAGTCTCCCTTTCTACTGGCTTGCCTTTTTCTTCTCATCTGTCTTTGCTCTGGTGCCGGCGACTGCAGGCGCGTTTGTTTCTTATATTTTTATTTTGGATCTTCTCTGTCCGCTGTCTTTTTACAACTTTTTTCTTTTCTTTTCATCTCATATTGTTTGTTAATATTCATTTCTTTCCAGTTCCCCCGTTAATTAAATATCTATAGATGCCTTTGATATAAAGATAAATCTTAGCTAGTCAAGTTTAATGTACAGAGTGTTAATGCTGGATGTGATACCAATAGAAACGACTACTATCGCATATTCTGCCGCCGATTATGGATAATTAAAGCAAGACAGCCAGAAGGAGTGTTGAGCAGACAGGTAAGAATAAAAACAAGGAAAGGTGAAACGCAATAAACGACCAGCGAATGCAGAACCCCACCAGCCTGAGGCAGACATTTATTGATAGCTACACTACACTGTGTCTTGCCTGCATCGCAGTGCATATGCCGATTCATGCCGGACTCGGTATAAGCCACTAATAATATTGCTGCGCTATTCCTATATCATATGCCAGGATTGCATGCATCCAATTCTACCACTGAATCAACACGGAAATGGATCCTAAATACCAAATAGTCTTAGAGACTTCGTGCACAGTCCCTGTTGGGTCTAGCTGGTTCTGCCGACACTGGTGGAATTGATCCATCCAGAATCGTTCCTCACGCGGTGTAACTACTAACTAGCTTCTAACTACTATCCTTTCGGGAAACGGGAGGAAGTCAGTTATCTGTCGATCTATCACATTGTGTGGGATTCGTTCTATTTTCACACGAGTATATCAGTAGCTTAATTCTCTTTCTTTTTTGAAGTGCTCGTCATGGCTGAAGAGTGTTCTGTGTGTCTTCGACGCGGACACGCTTTTCTTTTCTCTCGTTCGTTCGCTTCGTGTTCGTCGTTCGGTTGAAGGCTGTTCTTTCTGTGGTCTTTTTAACTTACTTCTATTTAATGCATAATCGAGTCGAGCAGATGGAGGCGTCTACAGCGTTGATTCGCTGTGCGAGTCGGCTGGGGCAAAGGGAAGTGCATATTGGCAAAGATACAGACTTGAATTGTCCGTCCTGTCAACACGAGCAGGAAGAGGAGAGAGAGGAGGAGAAAAAAGAAGAAGAAGAAGAAGAAGAAGAAGATCAAAGCTCACAATTGGCGACGCAATGGCTCGATTCAGACTCAGACTCATCGTCGGAGTCTGATCTTGAAGAAGAAGAAGAAGACACCATGCTCGACGGCATAGATTCACAGCCCGAGTCTATGAGAACGATCAGAATAAAACGCAGCATTGATACTGCATTTGCCGGGGATATCGATATGGACATGGACATGAACATGGACTTCGTTGAGAGTCCTCTAAGCTACAACCATAAAAGGGCCGGGATGATCGAGTCACCCTCCGGCAGTCCGAGTTTACGGCTTGATTCGCACGAACTCCTGGATCAGGACGGTCGTGTCTCTCCTTGCTTCCGACAGTGGATCAAACGGTCTGTCCCGAATCTCTCGACGTGGGTGGATTGCGACGCTGCGCAGGTGTCTACTGCGGAATGCGTCACGTACACCAAGCCTCCTGCACGACCTAGCTTGATCTCTATCCAACGAGGTGAAGGACGACGAGAGTCTGCGAGAATAAGATTATCACGTCCACGCGGAATCAGAATATCGTCCAGTCCCGAACCTGTCGAAGCATCTCCATCATCCACGGATGAAGAGCAACTCATTCCCCCCCTAACGACGGAGCAGCTCGAGCAAGTAATAGAAACAAGTACCATGCTCAGCGTCCCATCCATGATACCGCTCCCTCCTTCTCCCCAGTCGAAATCACCGCTCTCACGGTCTGTATCCTTTTCCGGAAGACAATCTCCGGCTCCTTCTCAGGCCGAAAGTACCCTGAGTAGTACCCTCAGGTTCTTCTCTTCGCGGCCATCGTCTCTCCTGTCTCCATCCGTCGAGGGGTCCGACAAGGACAAGGACAAAGCCAGCCCGCAGAGACGTATCTTACACTTACAGCCCAGGAAGGCTAACAGTCAGAGCTCGTCTGATCGTCCTGTGATACGTTCGCTTCTGCCCCGCTACTTCTCAACGCCGGTTTTCAGTAATCGATCCGGCGCCAGTCCTGGTTCGGGTTCAGGTTCACCCGGCAGCCTTCGCAGCATGCGGTCTACGTCAAGTCTTCATTTCCATCTATCAACGAGGATAGCAAGGTCTGATGGGAAAGAAAAAGAACCCCCGGCTTCAAGACCCCAGTCCGCTGATGACACTCGGGCAGAAACTGCGAGTGAGGGCGACGACACATCGAGTGAGAGTACATCGAAAGAGTACAACTTCAGGGGGGATAATAAGCTTATGCCGCCGACGGCAAAGTGGCTGGTGGACTCTGTGTTCCGGCGAAGTAACAAGGGGCATGTAACGGCCTCGAGCTAGTTTATTCAACTGGCTAGGCCACTCCACGAGTACATGAAATCTTGAAGAAAGGAAAGGAAAGAGGTGGTGTGGCTCCTGGTGGTCTGTTTACCTAGGGAGCTCGGGGCGAAATAACATGGGTCCGTGGTGTGATGATGAATAGGGCGGTGAATGGTGGCAGAATGAAGTTGGTAGACTAGGCTGCAACTTCTGCAACTTCTAGTTGCTCGCTGTTGATGCTGGCTGAGGCTATCCAAAGCAAAGCCCTATATCGGGCCCAGCCCATCACAGGACAACGGTCAAGGGAGGTCTACTCATATCCATACACGTGTATATCGTGAAGTCTTGTACAATATTTTTTCTTGTAATCTATAAACATCGAGCCTATCCAAACGCTGCATGTACGGACGGCAGATCCCAAGTCACTCGTATCTCGGGCCCCGCAGTCCTAAGCAATTTTAAGAAATTAAGAATCCCTAAGACAGGTCTCACTGCCGAAGTCTCCCAAATGCCGAGATTACATAATTCCAGCGCCAGGCAATGACCTATGGGTGCTTCGGAACAGAGCTGAAGCCACCAGTCTATCGAAGCGAGGCAAAAGCAAAAGTAAAAGCATCAGGAAGGATCTGCCCTCGTATTTGACTGACAATCTATTTTCCATGGTTCGCTCGCCGTTGGACTGCCAAGAAGCACCATTGTGCGAGCAACGGCGGGAGCTGTGCCGGATTACATTTATTGATTAGTATCCATTGCCTAGTTGCCTAGTTAAATGACCGCTGAGCCTGGCAGTCCGGCGCAGTAGTTATTTGGTCCATGAAGAAGCGCCGTGCCAGGGTCCCGTGGCGTCCGGTGGGATGGAACTTCCACTGACAAGTGAACGGCCACCCAGTGTGCACACGGCGTCAACTATCGACCTCCGGGCCATCTTTTCTTTTCTTTTCTTTCTTTTTTTTTTTTTTTTTTTTTTTTTTTTTTTTTATATTTTTCGACTTATGCAGCCTCGCGGGGTTCGCTGTTTACCGCATGATACTGAGCCCCAGGTCGAACGGCGAGTGGTTGTCGAGTCTCTGCCTCAGGGCTGGGGGTTCGCGGTCATGTTGGTTAGTTCGGCGCCTGTGCCCTCTGGGATGCACATGCACGAAAAGAGGTATGACTGCAAAGGGGAACGATGCTCCCCATAGATAGGTCGGCCCCCTCTTGTCGCCAATACGGACGTTTTTTCGACCCTGCTTTCTTCATCCCTCTTGCGCAGACCCGGTTGCTGCTCCGTGCTACCTAGCTGCTCTCGTCTTCCTTCTCGCCTCGTAGCCCGTCTTCCTTCTCGCCTCATACCCGTCTTCATTTGGCACTTGGTGCTGCACCATCGTCACCCGTTACCATCCCTCTCTCCTGTACCTCGCCCCCCGCTCGCCGATGGAACGTCGTGCCGGCCTTCCGCCGACGAAGCCGCTTGGGCGTCCTGCGCAGTCACAGCCGGCCCCGGGATCATCAGTTCCGGAGTCAGAGGCAGCATCAGCCTCGACAACCCCGCCTTCTCGCCTGGAGTCGGAATCACCGTCAGCTGGACAAGGACAGGATGGCCGAAAGCGTGTTCGGCGATGGCATCAACGTGGGTTCACTGGGTGTCTGACCTGTCGTCGGCGTCATGTTCGCTGTGACGAGGGGTCTCCGTCCTGCAACAACTGTCTCCGGCTGGGCCTCAAATGAGACGGGGCTGAGGGGAGGATGACATTCAGGACGTACGAGCCCTTTGCAAACCCTCAGGAAGCATCCTCCGCATCGACTAAAAGGCGTGCAAAGAGGAATGTGTCGCCAGCGACTACGGGCCCCGCGGGTCAGAACCTTACTGCGGTTGTGGAACCGTCGTTGTCGTCGTCCTCCGTCACGCCATCCAGGGCCCGACACCGTAGGGAGGACAAAAAACAAAACGAAGCTATGGAGGAGAGGGAGGACGAAGGTGTCAGCTGGAAGGGGGAGAGAGCAGGTGGAGAGGAACACAAACAGGACAGAGAAAAGGCGCATCGGTATGACGACAGCAGAACAATTGCTTCCAGGAACCGACAGGACGTGCCACGCACCCAGGAACTCTTGGTGCCGGCTTCGATGGACTCCAGCGACGGCCGATACTTCAGCCATTTCATCGACCGTCTCTCCACATTGTTGATTCTGGACGACAGCTCTGTCGACCGGAACCCCTTCCGCACACTCTTCCCCGAGCTCTCCCGGTCGTCTCCCTTGATGATCGATGCCATGCAAGCAGTCGCTGCGCTGCATCTGGCCAATACATCACAGGCGCAGCAGCGCATCGCGCACTTCCAGAATGCCGTCTCTAAATACGACGGGGTGGTCAGGTCATTCCGCACAAGAAGCAACACCTCCGGCCAACAGCTGCAGCTGACGGACCTTGCCGTTTGTTTACTGTTGTGTCTCTTTGAAGTGGGTTGGGATCTTCTGTCATCTTCTTGTTCTCTCCGTTGCTGACGTGCCAGATGTCTAGATGATGGATTCCCAGTATCACCACTGGCTGGTCCACCTGAAAGGAGCCAAGGGCATTTATCGCACGTTGTACTATCCCAACCAAGCGCATCATGACTATGCCCGAGCAGCCCGACGGCAACCCGATAGCCCCACCCAAAACTTTCTTGTTTCCATGCTCTTCTACCTGGACGCGGCGGGGGCGTGTGCTGCCAGCGACGGCACCGTGGTCGTTGGGAGCTACTGGGCGTTTGACGGTGGTTCAGAGTTCCAAGCGCCCGGCGCTTCTAGCAGCTGTCGCGGGGCAGCCGCCAGCCATTCCTCCCTGGCGGAACTCCGGCAGTGCTGGTGCGCGATGATGGAGATCCAGGCGTCGGTCAGCGCATTCGGCGAAGCCAAGCAGCGATGGATGCCTTTTGAGCAGCAAGACCAGGCGTACAAATGTCTCCTCGACCGGATGGCCGCGTGGAGGGCGAACGCGTCCGAACCCCTCCGACGGCTGGCGGGGCTGGACGGCAACAGCCTCCAGCAGTACGAATACCAGGACATGATTGAACACGCGGGATGCGTGGAGGCGTACGAGAAGGCGACGATCTTGTACCTGCACAAGATTCTCGGTGCTGGTCGGCCGGATCGTCAACCGGACGCGGTGGTGGTGGATGCGCTGGTCGGTCGTATTCTCCTGCTGATCGAGAAGCTGGCTACGGGAGTTCGGCAGCTGGCAGTGGTCTGGCCGCTGTATGTGGCCGGGCGAGAGGCACGGCAGGAATACCAGCAGCAGTTTGTGCGGGAGAAGTTGATGGAGCTGCAACTATATGGGTTTAAGGTGCGCTTTGTTTTTCTTCGCTATATCCCCTGCCCCCTCCTCCCCTCCCGACGGTACCATCTCCTCCCCAGCATGCAATGCGAGGAGGGACACCAAGGAGAAAGGGGGGTGTTCAACGAGTGAGAATTGACCGTTTCCTTGACGTGATATAGAACCTCGAAAAGGGACTGCAAGGCCTGCAGGGGATCTGGTTTAAGAGACGCATGTTCCCAGGGGGATGGGTTGAGACGATGGACGAGCTGAGGCCACCGATGGTTATTCAATGAGGCTTTTTTTTTTTACGCCCGCGGTGCTCAGTGCTGGCTTGGCCTGCATGGGCACGTTCCAGCTGGTTCGTGGGGAGATTAGGCACTGCTTGCTGACAGGCTTGACCCCGGGGGAGGGGGGAATCCCTGCGACATGCATATACGGCGCTGGCTGTTTATGATTGGACGCGAACTCCTTCACTCGATGGCATCTCTAGTTGCATCTGGTGTTAGAATATATCAATCTTGCTGCATTGGATGGCTAGCGCAACTATGCTGGACAAGGACGTCCGGGAAACGTGGGATGGCCGCCGCCACTGCAGAGTAGAAAGTCGGACCGTTGCTGAGATCTACAATGGAATGGATTTACTGCTGTAGATCTATCGATCAATGCAAGATTAATGGGCTGGCTGGGGTGTAGAGTTAGTTCGACAGCCCGTTCTCCTTCCTGACTGATTGCCGCGGGACATGGGCCATGATTAGGTGCGGCGTGTTACACTACGCGGACTAGGCAGTATCATCTGCTACCAAGCTCTAACTCTAATAATAATAATGGCCGGCCACGGCAAATGCTCGATATACCTGCCCAGTACCGGCGGGCCGGCTGGATGGGATGGCGATTGTTCGCATTCGGGCAAAGGACAAACAGAGACGTCATACGAGGGCCCAGCCCTCGTCATACCATGATGGGCATACCATGGGACAGAAGACGACATGAATATGAATTCTCCCGTCCGTTAGGGGGTTTTCATGACTCCTTCGGGCCGAGACAGCAAAGCTTAACCTCGAGGCGCGCGGACAGGCACTCATTACTCCGTGCTCTGTACGCGCCATGTACCGCGCGGTACATGGACCATGCAGGATTTCAGCCTTGCCAGTATCCTGAGCCTGCATCCAGTCAACTGGTTCCAAGGATCAATGCTTCATACTATTTAACTACGACTGCGATAATGAGTCAGTGCGGACTGGATCACATGATCCCTGCCGGAGGACGGTAGCCCGCTTTGCAGCGTATAAGCTACATCCTGCACAGCGCAGCGTAGGATTCTGGAGAAATGCGAGGACGGCAGTGTTCGTGTTCGTAATGTGGATGGAGGGAGAGAATTGGACCGTAGAACCTCTCTCGACGTTGCTGGACATCGCTGTTGGGCAAGACACCCATCCTGTTCGGTTACCGGGTATCTTGCACGTTCCTTAGGCACAAAAAATATCAAACCTTGTTGAGTCGGAAGGAATTTTATTTGATTTTATTTTTATTTTTATTTCTTTTTTACTTCGAGGGTGAGAGAAAACAGCAAAGCTTCTTCGCTGGGCGCACTGTCACGCCATTTTCATCAAGCGATATATTTACCTTCATTTTTCCTGTCCATCCTCCGGCCATCTCGGTTCCTTATTACGAAGGCAAGAAACGGCAGCTTGAAGATGGCACCGCAACCCGCACCCTTCGAGCCCAATGTGCCCCCCGACGAGTTGGAAGGGGACAAGGCTCAGGTTGAGTCGAAAGACGATGCCGCGTTGCTGCAGACCATGGGCTATAAGCCGGTACGGTGTCCTTTGCACATCCCCTCTTAATCCCCTCGTCAAGCGCCTCAGCTCAAACCAGCGTCGCATAGGTCCTCCACAGAACCTACACTCTGCTGGAGAATTTTTCAACGACATTCGGTATGTTCTCTGTCCTTCGGGAAAAGACAATGCTAAGAACGGAATCATAGCGGCTCTCTACTTCATCGGCGGCGTCAGGGTCACCTACAGCACGGGTATCGCCGCCGGCGGTAATCTAGCATACTGGTGAGCAGCACGCCTGCAAACATGCGGGAGATCAAGGAAATGAAATGTGATTCTCACATCCACAGGACGAGCTACCTCGTCACCCTGGTTTTCACCTTCATCACCGCTGCCGTCATCGCAGAGGTATGCTCCGCCTCGCCTTCCGCCGGTTCCATTTACCTGTGGGCCGCTGAGGCCGGCGGGCCGCGATTTGGAAGGCTGCTCGGCTTCATCGTCGCCTGGTGGAGTACGACGGCCTGGACGACGTTCTGTGCCAGTGAGTCGGGATGAGAAATGCTGTGGCGCCTCTCCTGCTAAACATAGGCAGGTAACACGCAAGCGGCGGCAAACTACATGCTCGCGGTAGGCATCTGCCATGCGCTGAACCTGCACGGCTCGCGGCTGATCTGTGTCATCGACAGGAATTGACCGTATTCAACGTCGACTTCCCGCAGGATGCGGACGACGTCAAATTCCGCGCCGTCCAGTGGATCTGCACCGAGATTCTTCTCGCCTTGGCTGCGCTCTTGAATTTCATGCCCCGTAGGTGCCGAAGACGGTCTCATTCGCACGCACTCCTCGACTGACTGACGTAGCCAAATATTTTCGATGGGTCTTTTACTTTTCGTCGTTCATCGTCCTGCTGGACTTCCTCATGAATCTTATCTGGTTCCCCATCGGCGCTCACGACACCTGGGGGTTTCGGTCTGCCCATGACGCCTTCATGTTGACCTACAACGGAACCGGCTTCGAGGCGGGCTGGAACTGGTGTCTCTCGTATCTTGCCACCGCTGGAATTCTGATCGGCTTCGACGCCTCGGGTCACGTCGCAGAGGAGACGAAGAACGCTGCCGTGACTGCCGCCCGAGGCATCTTCTGGAGTACCTTTGTCAGCGGCATTGGGGGAGCCGCGGCGATTGTTTTGTTCTTGTTCTGCGCGGTTGGCTTCTTTTCCCTCCCTCCCCCATATTCTCACTGCGGTTGCTGATGCCATTGCAGCCGGACCCAGACACTTTGATGAGCTTCGGTTCGCCTCAGCCATTCGTACCCTTGTATGCCGTGGTGCTCGGCAAGGGCGGTCATATCGTGATGAACGTTGTCTGCATCATCGCCTTGTGGCTGGTAAGTGCTCGTTTGCGTTACACGCAGTATCCCAAATCTCCCTATCAGACGGGGCATACCCTGACCGGCTCGTAGAACACGGCGATAGCCATCGTCGCTGCATCCCGACTCGTCTTCGCAGTAGCGCGTGATGGGGTCCTACCGTTTTCCGGCTGGGTCTCCCGCGTCAAAGACGGCCAGCCCCGAAACGCCGTCATCGTGGTCTGGGCCGTCGGCGCCATTGTTACCTGCACCATTCTCCCATCGAGCGTCGCTTTCACCTCCCTCGTCTCGGCAGCCGGTGTTCCTAGCGCCGCGGCATACGGCCTGATCTGTCTCGGCCGACTCCTTTGCACGCGCGACCGGTTTCCAACGCCGAAATGGAGTCTAGGAAAATGGAGTAAGCCGTTCCAGTTCATTGCGGTCTTTTGGAACGCATGGGTCGTGGCTATTCTGTTCTCCCCGTATGAGTATCCTGTCACTGGACAGAACCTCAACTGTAAGGACTGCCTCTCCTCTCTCCTCCCTCCGTGCAACACTGGATCGACAGCTAATGAACCAGATGCACCCATCATCATGGCCGGCGTCACCATCTTCGCCCTCATTTCCTACTTCGTCATGCCAGAAGAGGCCTGGCTACCGAGGAACCGCATCTCGCACTTCATCGACACCAAGGGCGTCAGCATCCACGAGACGGTCGACGAGGTCGGTGCGCGCTCCACTGCAAGAGAGGCAACATCATCATCATCATGATGTTACAGTCATATAATCCCACCTGGTTTGTACAATATAGTATAGCATTTGGATATACAGGTAATTAGATACCCCCGGGACGGCTACAACTGGATAGATGGTAGATTCGACAACTTGGGTGGTATGGCGAGTAGGTATGATATTGAACGCTTGGAACGAGGCGAGGCTTGGTTACTAGGCTTGGCTTCATTCGTTCTCGGAAAGGAGGCAACGGAACAGCCTTGAATTAAGCACAGGCTATTGCCTGTGATGACTCTAGTTAATCTGCGATTTAATAAGGATTGGATTACAGTAAGTGAACGATGCCCTTGTTCACGTTTAGCAGGATCCAGGACAATCCTCTTCATCCACTCCATCTACCACCTTTTCCAACCTCATCATGCTAGGACAGAAGCTCTGTTCTGTTGACTTGAATAATATCAATGCTGAATTCCAGGGATCGATCCCCTTTCGGCCTGTGGCTTGCAGTCCAGATTCGTCCCCTCATCGACCTAGGCGCCAAAGTCGTGGAATCTACCAAATGGCCGGTGAGGTATATACGTACCTGGGGACTGATCTACTTCCTACGTCAGAAAGCCATGGTGTGAGGTATAGGTCCTTAAACAGTGCTATTCGGCCTTGTAGATGTAATGGTTTAAATATAGAATTCATTTTGGTACTAGATACACGAAGAATTCCTTGGGAGGAGGAAGATGAGACAACGGCATGCCAGCGACAAACAGAGCAAATAGAACAAACAGAACAGATGAAGCAAAAGGGACAGACAGAACAAATGGAACAAACAGGGCAGGTAGAGTACTTAGACGTTGGCCCTGAGTCGCCCTATGCCTGGGCGTAGCCCATGGCTGTAAAGTCCATGTTTCTGCTTTGTATCGCCCTCTTCATGAGTAAAGTCAGTGATTAGAACGGCTACAGAGAAAGACTCGGCTGTTCTGCTAAAGATACCTGGTGATCTATCTATGCTTCTCCACCTACCTGCCGTGGACACAGACGGCTCTACTGGCGAAAAGACAGCCATTCCAAATCCGCTCGAGCTGGAGGTACGACGTTTGACACTCATATCAATGGTGACTTGACTAAATCGAAGGGAAATTACACAATGACCTAGGTAAAATTCCAAGATATACGATTCCTGGCTCTATTTATATAGATTATAGCAATATCCCAGGGCAATGACGTGATCCCATATTCCCCGCAGATTAATTGAAATTCAAGCTAAATCCGGAGTATCAGACGTGAAAATATATACACACATATATAATGTATATCAGATCCGAACATCACGTAGAATAAACAACATGACCTCCTGCTTTTCCCGTATCCCAGTCATCGACCTCTCCCTCGCCTCTTCCCCAACAGGCCGGGCAGACCTCCTCTCGCAACTCCGCCATGCCGTCACGGCAATCGGCTTCCTGTACATCTCCAACCACGGCGTCCCGGAGAAAGTCATCACGGACCTGGTAGACATCCTTCCCGTCCTATTCGCACTCCCCCGCAAAGCCAAGGATGAGGTGGAGTTGAGCAATTCTCCGCATTTCTTGGGGTACAGCAAGGTTGGCGCGGAGATGACGGCGGGAGCCAAGGATCGGAGGGAACAGTTCGAGTTTGCAACCGAGTTACCTGATAGATGGGGAGAAGCAAGTGGCAGTGGTCGACCAGGATATGAGAGGCTGAAAGGTCCTAACCAGGTACGTGTCGTGTGTGCTCTCGTCCCAACATCTATCTATACAACTGACAGAACAGTGGCCATCCCAACCCCCCCATCTTCGACGCATAGTAGAAAGATACATCGAAGAACTCACGAACCTCGGAACCCGCTTCCTACGCCTAGTTGCAGAATCCCTCTCCCTACCCGCAGAGACCTTCTTCCCCTTTCTCTCGGAGCAGCACCGTCTCAAACTCGTCCGTTACCCGGCATCAGCATCACCGACAGGATCAGACACAGAATCGACATCCACACAAGGCGTAGGCCCGCACAAAGACTCCTCCGGCTGGTGGACATTCCTCCTCCAAGCCTCCCCCCCAAAGGTCAAGGGCCTCCAGGCCCTCAACAAAGCCGGCGGGTGGATCGACGTCCCCGTCATCCCGGGCACATTCGTCGTGAACATCGGCCAGGCATTCGAAGTCGTCACGAACGGCATCTGCAAAGCCACCACCCACAGAGTCGTATCCGGTCCACTGGAGCGGTTCAGCGTGCCCTTTTTCCAGGGCGTGCGGGGAGATCTTACCAAGGCCGAAGCGGTGGGGACGCTGCGGGATAAGTTCGCGTCGATGGGTATGCTTGAACCTGCGGAGAGTGAGGAGGGGAGGAACATCGATTCGGCGTTTTTGAGGGGGAAGTATGATACTTGGGGTGAGGCGCAGTTAAGGACTAAGATACGTAGTCATAGGGATGTAGGGGTGAGGTTTTATGGGGATGTTTATGAGAGGTATATTCATGATGATTGATGCTTCTCTTTTCACATTTATATAAGATAAGATTGAATTTCCCTACCTGCATAGTGAGAGGACATAATCCAGCTTGCCACTCCTATTGTACGCCGGCAGGCAGCAGATACATGATGGTGAACCAGCTGCCAAGCCCTAAGTAGCAGTGCATGCGCGCAATCGCAACGACGCAACGAGGATTTCGGTCGTCTATGGGATTGGCATTGTGTTTGAGGCTGAGATCTAGGATTCAGTGAGGAAGAAGCAGAATTTATGGGAATAGGGAGATGATGAGGACACAAGTGAGAATCAGAGTGCAGAAACTGATCCTATCTTGCTGGAAGGATGTGCCCCAGGCCATGCTTCTCCAGGGAGAGATATGAGCCCTATTCTCACATTACCGTGTGGGATGCTTCTTCCTTGAATTCTTCCTTGGCTCTGTTGTTTATTGTGGCCGTTTCTATCGTGCTCTTGTCTGTTTGATGAGGATTTATTTACGAGGGATGTTGGATGGAGTATTGGGGTTTGTTCAGCTCAACCAGTTCTGTTCATCTGTTCTATGATATCTAAATCAACACTTCACCTGCTCCTCAGCGATAAGGCTGAGGATGAGGCGCAGAAGAAGGAGACCTCGCCCTCTTGACCTTCTCAAAAATATACCCCAGAACCCCAGACTCCGGCCTCATGATCGTTTCATGCGTCGTACCGGGAACCATCGAACTGCCGTAGACAACGCATTCATCGTCTACCCTGTCATCTCCCTGGAAGACCTTCCTCCAAGCATTGTCGAAGTATTTGCCGCCGTGACGCCCCGATGTCTGATCCGACTCGGCGAAGAAGGTGTCCACGTTTAGCTTATTTACGTCGTGTTTCCCTTGTGACTGCTGCTTCTGCTGGTATCCCTGCTCTCTCTCCTTGAGTAAATGGACAAACTGCTCATAACTCTTTATTTCCCCCCAGATCCCATCATCCCCGCGCTTCAGGCAGAATTGAGCCTCCTGTGCTATTCCGGATACATTTTCCTTCAGCGCGTACACGAGGATCTTCTCCGACACGGCTCGCGAGTGCTCCGTTTTGCTATCGAGGCCGGTCGAGCCGTGCTGGGTCCTAGCATGGGATACGTAGAGCGGGAGATGATATAGCTTGCATCGTACCAGTAGTTGATCACTCGGTTCGGCAGCAGGTTGCCCGTGGCGGAGGTCAGGGTCCTCGAGTGCGCGGGATGGATCCAGGGACTGATGAGGGCAATATAGGGGTTGTCAGGGGGCAATATGTGTCGAAGGGAGAGGATTGTGTTGAGGACGTAGATGACGCCCGAGCTGTGACCGATCAGGGAGATGTGAGTTATAGAGAGGGTTTTGAGGATGGCCTGGACGATGTCTAACCCGTTGTTCATACCGTCAGTAAACAGGATATTCCACTGAGACCGCAGTGTCTGGTGTATGAACAGACCCAACCACGTCTTCACCTTATCCTCGATCTCAACCCCCATCGTGCCCCCAATACCCGGTTTATCAGGCGAGATCACTCTGACACCCTTCTGTTTCGCCAACTCATCGCTCTCAGCAAGCGTGTACCGGCTCCCGAATAACCCCCCGCACCAGATAATGGCAGGCCCATCCTCGCAGCCAAGGTCGGAGTACGTGACACGCAGCGCGTCGAAACGGCCCTGTCGGGGATCCGGAGGGAGCCAGAGGGATCGGTGGAATCGGATATCAGCGAGGAAGGTGGTAGCTCTGGTTGGACATAAACACAATTCTGCGAGATTAGTGTCTATTTCAGGCTTGTTTTTCCTATTGCTCTTGGACTGACTCTTTCTCCTCGCCGGTGTCTACTTCTGCGCTGCGGCGATACTGCAACTTCTTCATCCAGATGTTTGTGCTGATACCGTTTTTGTCTAGAGCGTGAGTGGGCTCGAATTCCTTTTTTTGTAAAAAAAAGGAATTCGAGTGTGCATATGTGAGAGCTGTGTGGTATACTGGTCTAGTCAGTTCTACGTCATGGAATACCTGCAGAAGGAGGCCCATACCCCTAAGGAAAAGGATTGAGTGGTAGGTAATGCTTGCATCATGTTTTCTCTCATTAAGAACCGGGTCAGCAATGCTTATATCCCATTGCAGTAGACTTCCAAAAACTATACATGAGTCTCACTTGCATGGAACACTCGACATGGTTGCCCGGAGGCCTGCTATTCACTCCTCTCCTTTATTCACTGCAAGCAGTTGATAAAGAAAACAGAAAGGCTGTATTACATGGATGTCAATCTTTGAATCCAGCTACAAGCAACTCTATCTCCAGAACAGTCGGCAGCAAGTAAAGGCGATGGCCACAACTGCACCATCTTGACCAGTCGAAGAAGACCATCAGTGTATCCAGCAGCAACCTGACAAGTCTCTCTTCTGGAGAAGCAGGAGGCAGTCATGGGTAAGTCCTCTTCTGCGGACAACAGCATGTCAGGAGTTATTTTTGCGGTATCCATCGTGATGCTAATCCTCCCTAGAGCCACACGCCTCGTCCAAACCTCACCCATGTCACATCCAGAGCTACCGCACATCACTCCTTTTCGGTCTGAACAAGGGATCGCGGAGAGTATGATAAGGCATACAATCCTCCCACCACGAAATGGCTTCGATGAACACACACGATTAAACACGGCCCGTCGTCACGGGGCCCTTCCTGCAGTGGGCTATCGAGGACCAGTTCTCCAACGGCCGTCGACCATCTTTCAACTGCAATGGACCACAGATCAGGTGGAAGATGGGGACGAAGATAACGGTGGGTATGGGAAGCTCCACCTTCAAAGATGTGAGCATATGGATCTTCTTATATATCATTCATGTCTTACTGACCTATTGCACTGCAGCCTGGAGAGCCGTGAAGGAAGAAGCCGTCCGGTCCACGAGAACAGCAATGGCAATGGTGGCAATGGGTGAGGAGTCGGACTGCAGAGATATGCCGAAAACAGCGCAGATTGTGGATGAATTTGGCGCTGGCCTACGGCTTTGCTGTGTGTGACTGTTGCAGCCATAAAGACAGTCGACACTGCCGATGCTAGGCCCTAACCAAGGGGTTTTCACGTGGCGAAGAAAGCGAAGGGCAGATAATCAGATCCTGTGATTGACTTCTGCTATTCCAAAAAGTCCTCTCTGACACTCTGACAGGATAGGGGTTAAGCATAGGGTCTGCAGGGTGTGCGATGGCTAGGTATGGGAAGGTACTGTGTTCTTCAGATGAGCGACTAGCCAGGCCTTTTGCCCGTGTATTGAGCATTGCAGCTGGCCATCCTCACTAGTTGGGTGTATTGAACCGAAAGGATGCCATGGCGCGGAGGACTTTCCAGCATGTTACTCGGGTCAACAGCATTGGATTATTCTGATCTATATAGGAACCCATACATTGCTCAACTGGTATCTCTAACCTAGCCCGGCATGAACTTCAGTTCTTTAGCAAATACGATTATGGCAGTCAATAGGCCCAACTGCAATAACTCATTTTTTTTATGGAGATCCTCCACGGCTGGGTAATGCCCCGTGAGGGCTCTAGGGAGTATGGGAAAGTGGAAACGAAACGCGGTAGTATGGCATAGGGCTAGAATAGGATTACTACTCCGTACTATAGACGTATATCAAGCCATGAAATGTGAACATAATTTCTTTTTTTTTTTTTTTTTTTTTTTTTAATATGAAAAGGCAAACTAGGTACAAGAAGTCAAGCTCTGTGCGTACGAGGTCAAAGTGAAGTAGATAACTGGGAGGCGAAATGTCGAAATCCAAGAATTGAAGCTCGAGTTTGCGTTGACTCTGCCAGCAGACAGTCAACACAACAAGAAAAGGTTAAAGCACAAGATTCTCCTGGGAATATATCAAAAAGATGCGGAGCATTTCGAGTATCATAGAAAGAAACGAACAGATAACCCTCATTGACTAAATCAAGCATGCCTCTTGTGGAAGTGAGCATGTCTGTGACCATGCGAGCGCCCATGCTCATGGCCATGGCCACGCTTTCCAGGTTGCGCTAACCCTGTAACACCACCAACAGGCTCAGTCACAGTCGTAGAAGTGGTAGCTACTGTCCTGATACTTCCGGTTCCGGTGCCGATGGGCTTGCCCTCGCCGTCTATCGTGATGATGATCTCCTGCTGCACATAAACGATCTCCTCGGCCACAACACTCTGGATGTATTTGGTTGTCACGGTGGCTGTTGCCGTGGTTTGAGAACTCGTCGTCGAGGATGTGAGCTGCTGAGCCAAAACGACCGGCGTCGGTTGAGCAGACGACGTCGGGGAAGTCGGGGGAGTCGGAGTGGAGGTTTCTTGAGACGATGGTGACGGGACAACTGAAGGAACGATCGAAGGAACGATCGACGTTGCTTGGGATGGAGTCGCGTACGCAACGGGGCTCGCATACGCAGGTCCTGATTGAATTGCGATGCCGCCAGGGAGACCGTTGAGATGCATGTAGACATCCTCCGATTGCAGCTGTTCGGGAACCTGGAATTTGCACTTCCCCTGCTCTGCGTCGCTCTGGATATCGAAGATATGGCAGTCAGTGACTTCGCCGGACGGGTTGGTACAGGTGTCGACGGCCTGCTGCAGGAAGTCGGGGTCCCAGCCCTGAATAAAGTCGCCGTGATAGCCGTATCCCGTTGGATCCCCATTGGCAATAACGAATTCGCCTTCTTCATGCCTGAATGCAGGAGTATTCCAGATGGTCTCGAAGAAGAGCGAGACAAGGCGAGTCTCAAAGCCCGCCGGACAATCACCAGACATGACCGCTGAAGGATAGGCCATGTGAGACTTGTGGTCGGGAGAATCGACGTCTTTTCCATTCCAGCAGGATGGGAACATCAGCTCGAAACGGACACCGTCCGTACAGTGCTCATCCATATAGGCCTTGCTGGGTAGGTAGTGTCGGTAAAGCGACGGTTCTGCCGGCTCATTGTAGTTCAGGCAATTGAATCCAATTGCTTTCTGGCGGAGGGCATCCTGGGACGCCTGCACACCAGACCACGAGGACTTGGGAGGATCAGGGATGGGCCAGGGGAAGTCTCGCTGGAAGGTATCGCCAGCTAGCATGCGGAAGTTGTTCGGGAATGCCGTGACGTTTTCTCCGTACAGAAGATAGTAACTGCATCTATCAGCAACGTTTTCTCCGTTCGAAATGGCATATATAAAGGACACCTACACAAGCATGCCACCGTCCTGTTCAACCAGTTCGGCGCTCCCATTCGCATGGACGAAATACAGCGCAGGAGCCCAGTAGGCCGACTTGTCTTGGGTGACCGCGCAGGATGTACAGTCTGACTGCCTCAAGCTGTCCTCCGTGACATCCATAGCAAAGCCTACAGAGCGGCGCTTAGCCTTGGACCAGATGCAGCCATGAGAGAAGGGAAGAGACACTTGACTCACCACCGGAGCCCTGGACGCTGTGAACATGGTAGGATGGCATGCCGGGGTCTACCAAGGGATCCATTCTGGCGACACCAGCGCTTCCCCGGCAAGGAAGACGCCAGAAGGCCTCTGTCAGCCCGGCGAATGAGGCCAGGAAGGCTACGAAGCGTCGTTTGTGCATGCTTCTAGCGCGAAAATGGGATGGACGGCCAGGAGTTGACGAGATGACCGAGTGAGTGAAGAGACGACAGACTCCCACGCACAGCTGTAGAAGCCAAAGAAGTATCAAAAGGAGCGGCGCACACCAGGCGTCAGGGTGTGAAAGAGGAGGTAGAATCCAGTCTTCCTCGAGGAAATGGACGAAAATGGCCTGTCTCTTCGGATGGGTTGCAGAAGGGCGCTTCCGCCTCCTTAAGCGCGCACACAACCGAGATACGACGAGATACGACGAGATACAAAGAGACACGAAGAGCTACAGGTGCAGAAGCCGCCCTAAACCAAATTGCGAATTGAACGAGCGAATGGAATGAAGCCACAGGCCTCGAGTGCGCCGAAGAGCGAAGGGAAAAGACTGCGGAGAGCGGAGACTAGAAGATGAAGAATACGAAGCCAAGGGAAAAGGTAAGAAGGAGAAACGAAATCATGTTGAAATGACCGTTCATTAATATCAGAAGGATCATCCTGGTTATCTATTTATTTCTTACTATGTGATTATTATGAGATGCGCGCCTAATCAAAGCTGCGTCGCACGAAATCTGCCCTTGCATCCCCTTCATTCTTCTTCCTCTTCATCGCTTGAACGCCTCCAATTCAAGCTTCCATGAAATCTTCGAGAACAAGCATTTTCGCACCGCAGGAGGCTGGAATCCACCAGATTTGTCCCGATGAACACCCTTTCCCCCTGACGATTCCGGCATCAGATTCAGAGATCGCCGTGGCGCCCGATCGCAGTGGAAATGACAGGGCACGAACCTCAAACACGCTATCACATTAGACCCTGGACTCCGATGGAGACTCCGTAAGGGACCGTAGCCAAGCTTCCGATCGATGCTTGCCCACTTCATCGGTATTGTTAGTGATAAGCTCGTCTACATCGTCCGAACACTTCCTGCCAGGTTGCGGCAACCTGACGATGATCTCCGGAAATGGGCATCAACCTACCTACTCGGTATCAGAGCGGATCATAAGGCGAAGGACGCATCGTTTACCATGTCTCCAATTCTGGAATCATGCATGTACCGGAGCCGGGAGCAAGAGCTATCAGATGCATGTCGCACAGTGATGTGTCACCTCCGTATTTTGTGGCGGATGCTATACATCTCTGGTTCATGAACAGCGCGGGCCTCAGTCCTCAGTCATCACGGTGATCACTAGCCCTTAACAGCAACCTAGAACTGCGCCTGATATGCATTCCTACTCAGGGCCCGACTATTACAACCATACGCCACCTCAATCTGCACGCTGGCAAACCGGCGATCGTAACTGTTCCGCAGAGGGCATCCGTCTCCTGCAGCGACTACAGAAAGAGCGCAGATCCATGCAGTAAAGGTCCCGGATTGATCTGTCGTCCGCCGGGGCGCAGCAATCGGTGTATAGTCTCTCGATATGAGACCGAATTGCGCGCCGTGTCGATGAAGAACAAGGTGACCGTCACATCGTATCTACCAGCGTGCTGCTGCTGCCCGAACACCGCGGTGAAATCGCCCTCTCTGGGCAGGACAGACGATGAACTGACCCTTACTCTGTCGGAAATTCCACGGAACGCTGGAGATCGTCGGTTGTGATGTGGTGAGGCCACCAGTCGATGTATGGGTGGAAGACTGTGCTGTGAGGCGTGGATAGACTCGAGAGGTATCGGTACGCCAGGTTCACGTACGCTGGCCTTCGTTCATTGTGCCAAGTATGTATACTGTGGTATACAGGTATACATACTTGGCATTCGTCAACAAATTCATCCTAAGTACATGGTACACCATACCCCCAAGTCTGTCAATTTCATGTGCCGGCCTCCCTAGCCCTGCTCCCGGCACCAGCACTCGCAGAGAATGCCCACTCGTCTGTGGTATCTGTTCCAGGAATTCAAGATACACGGAAATGCCTGCTGTCGTTCCTCGTGCCCTTCATCTGCCCAGTCACGCACAAAATGCTTCATTGCCTGCGATACGCTGGTCCGATCCCCCAGTTGGTGACTCTTCTGGCGAGTTGAGTCCCACTTCCCACTGGACCGCTGGAGATGCTGCAGCAGATGGGCGTGTTGCTCCTCGAGTTTACTCTCAGTGACTGGCTGGCCACTGAAATGGTGTACATGTCATGTACTACTCTACTACTTACCTCGAGCTGGGAGAAGTCGATGGCAAGCCCTGCCCAAACGGGACATGCAAGCATCACGACGATCCCCCACAGCATGATGGTATATGATTATTGCTCGAAAGCCTCTAGGGATCATGTAAAAGCACATTCTTGAATTGAATTTGAGCGTTGAGCAGACACCCGCAAGGTACTTAGCGCCAAGGAGAGGAACCCTATGTCAACCCACGCAGACATAAACCTCCGGCCGTTGACACAGCCATTGAGACTTCCCAGTGTGCCTTGGCATATTACTTGGCGGGCGGGCGGGATGAACCGTGGACCTGATGACGCTTGTATAACTACCTCCTATAGCCTGACTTGCTCTCTTCATGTAACCCGCCGTTGAGAACCTTGGTGATGCCAAGTGCATTCCGCACCCCTTGGCATTATACACCGGGATCCATAACCACGGAGGAAATTGGATGGGACCGTCGACCGAGGGGAAGGTAGATTGCCCCCGTGGCTAATAGATATAAAAACCACGATCCGTCCTGCGTAGGGCCCCAGTTCCTTGTCTGACTTCAGGCTGTCACTTGTCACTTGGGTTATACGTACAGCATCAAATCCTGCACGGGTTACAGAGTCATAATGAAGTACCCTTCACTTCTCCTTGCCATTGTGGCCCTGGCCTCTTCGGTCCGGGCACAGGAGGACCCGGGTCCTTCGCCAACCGCTTCAGTTGGCTGCGAACCTCACGGGGATCACTGGTACGTCGATGCTATTACATTATCCCGCGTAATTGTGTACATCTTAACCGGCTTCAGGCATTGTGATGGCCCTGCCACTCCAACATCCGTCTCGTCCATCATCACACCCGCTGTACCTAGTCCAACGGAGTCTGTGGGCTGCGAGCCCCACGGGGATCATTGGCATTGTGACGGTCCGGCATCTACTTCCGTCGGCGAAAGCATCACTGCAACTACTGTGGTGACTCCGACGGTGCCTAGTCCAGTCGAGTCAGTGGGCTGTGAGCCTCATGGCGACCACTGGCACTGTGATGGACCGGCCGAGACAACGACGACAGCGGCTGAGTTGAGTGGTTTTACGACTTTGACTAGTGCTACTGCTGCTGCCACATCTACCCGGGCGGATGAAGGAAATGGTGCAAAGGTTATGAGCGTTCAAGTTTCCCTCATGGTTGGGTTGGCGGTTGTCATTGCAGTGCTGAATCTCTGAGGACATGTACCATTAGCAAGCAGTATCTTAGGAACATTTCACTTTCACGGAAACTCATTAGAACAAGTGATTTCTTCCCTCTGCGCGGATGTTTCACTGGACTAGGGTTAACATCGTAAACCCTACACAGACACCGTCCGGTTGATAGCAGCTTCCACATCTTTTAGTCCATGGTCAAACAATGTCAATGCCAAAATGCTTACTGTAAAAAGTCAACCAAGATCTTGGAATCGAGGATCTTGGAAGCATCGTCCATCACAAACATCTGATATATTCCGCGCAGTCTTGGCCAGTGTTAGAGTTCTTTAGCTGTGGAAATCTGAAAGGAATACAGCACCCAAGACTTTCGGGATTAGGGACCTTGAAGACATTACTTATTTCGACTATCTTTGGCATGTTCTGGGGTTCTTGGCTAAGGCTACGGTGCTTGGGCGAGATAGGACCTTTGCAATAGATCATTGGCATTTCTGCCTAATTGACCAATTTAATGACTTCAAAGATGCAATTTGCTATGAGTCCTTCTAACTTGTAAAGCGAGAGCCCGTGAAACTCTTCCAATTAGTTTTGCCGTCTTGGACATAGTGGACATGATGCACACATACCATGTACTGTAACCACGCCACTGCTGTCCTAGAGCTGTACTAACCATGGCATGCTGACCAGTCAAAGCAGATATACGACGCTCTACAACTACAAGAAAAGTGTGCGTGGATGTTATTAGTGGGTAGGACATGGACTCTACCTAGATAGACCAAGACTGTATTGAGCATGAAACGGAGACTGAATGTAACGCAACCCACGGATCTGGTCTAGATTGAGTGGCTTCAAACTTGTCTTGTGTCTGTCGTCTCAAGACAAACCGAATCACAAGAAGTACACTGGGAAACACGGTGAAATGACGCCTCAGACACTCATTATACCTGGTTTCCACGGCATATCCGGCGAGGAAGCCAACATCCTCTGCTTCAGACATAACTAGATGCATATCATCCGTGTAGCAATACGGCAATCAGCAATAATCCGGGGTAATGCCATCGATTCCCAGCGCTCTCCGGCACTCTTCGAGGCTATCATTTTGCGTTTTTTCGTACAGTTCGAATTCGTCGGCTGTGGTAACCCCCAAGCTCTGTTCAAATCCGACCCGATCTGGTTTCCCTTCCGTCATGAACGATTCTCTCGAATCCCTCTTCAAGTTCGATGTGAAAATCCCCGCCGCGGAGACTGGAAGGAAATCCTCGTAAGTGATTGGGTCATAGTCTACGAAGCCCTGTTCGAGGAGTTTTGACAGGTCTTGCTGTCCCTTTTTACCTTCACCATGCTTGAATGCCTCCAGCCCATTCGTCGTGGGTTTGTATCGGACGAAAATCAGACCACGGCATCGGAGCTCGGTCCAATCATCTGGATATTCGTGGAAAGTGGACTCCAAGACTTCATCGAACGGCGCAGAACTGTCGTGTGCTCTTAGATATGCCTCAGACAGAAGCCGATCGTACAGCGCCCGACCCTTACGCGTCACTGCGGCACCTCGCTGCTCGATTTCACCGAATCGTGCCGTATGAGTGCGGTCCACCCAGCCGCCTTCATCGCTGTGGAAACGAACAGGCTCTCTGAGGGCCTTGAAGCTTGTTTGTCGGAGAAGAATCCCGCATTTCTGTCGTGGTGGACCTTCCACCCGTTCCTTCGCAGGGATGCCCCTTTCGACCATCGTCTTCTGGACCAGGTCGATATCCAGCGTCCTCGGAGTGAGATGATTGATATGCGCGCTTGGGAACGAGGCGATATCCGCGACCATGGCATGCTCCGCATTCAACCACTGGTACTCGTCGAAAGTAACCGTCGCTGCGGAATGCCACTTGAAGATCTTCAACGCCTCTGCGAGTAGCTCATCGGTTTCAGCGGAGCTCAGTGAATGATGCTTCTCCAACTTTCCGACGAGTTCAAGCAAGCGGTCGCTGAAGAGATTGCGTTTTGAGAGGATCTTCTGCACAAAGATCCTGATCTCACTGGACAGGAGATCGTGTCGCAGAAGAGTCGTGAACACTCGAAATGGGTGTTTCTCTAGGGCTTCCGTCTGCACTGGTCGGAAAGCCGTCGCGTGCAAGGGGAACCCGACTACGCTGAGGTCGTAGTAGCCGACTGGGTACATTCCAAAAACCGCAAAGAGACGTCTGATAGTCTGGAGTTCATATGGGGTACCAAGTCGAATGGCTCCATGCCTCTCCACCCGATGTCTCGGTGGTAATTTATGTGAGGTGTCTTTAGTTGAGGGACCCGTGCCCTGCGATCGTATTGATCGAGCACGAAAGACATTATTATCAACATGGTCGACGATGTCAATTAGGTCGCCATAGAGAGGTACTTCCTGCTTGTACATTTCTGATAGTGCAGAACAGAACCTAGCCCTAGCGGAATCAGGGTTCCAGTTGGTTTCAATTCCAATTGCCATTTTTAACTCATGCTGTAGGGTGCTGAGCGAAGTCGTGTAAATTGATACAGGCCCTCATAACTGCTTGCATCCGTATATCTCTGGCTATCGCGGAGGATATTACTATCGGACTAGGCTCATCCTGGCTCCAGTCGGAATGAAGGAGATAAGAGACCTCCACCCCGCACGTAGCCGTCGGGAACTGGGATGATAGCATCGGGAAGGGGGTAATGGCATACATACAATTCGGGTATCTTCTGTAGTTTGTCACAACATAGTTGATTTCCCTGTGTGACTTTCCTACTTTAGTGAGGTGAAGAGCAAGAAAGAGTACACAAGAAAAAAAATAATAACATGACAAGGACGGGATTCGAACCCGCGCTCTTTCGAATCAGTGGAGAAATTCCGCAGACGGGTCTGCGGATTTCCTAAAACTGACGCCATAACCACTCGGCCACCTTGCCAATATTATGTCATCATTGGTATCGCCAAGCAGTTCTAAAAGGCAGCTAGAGTGCACCATCTTCGCTTCGCACACTGTACGAAAACGCTCATGGGTGAGGTAAGTCTTCGCAGAAAGATACCTAAGTAGTTTAGCCATGTGTACAAAAGCTACTATCACAGTAAAGAGGATAGATACTTCATGGCTGATGTTAGTGAATAAGGAGGCAAAAGCAAAAAATAAATATATTTACGTAAAAAAATATCTAATGTTTAGATTAGAGAGAAAAAAAAAATAAGTGTGGACGAGCCGCGGATCGAACGCGGGGCCTTCCGTATGCAAAACGGACGCTCTACCACTGAGCCACACGCCCTGGTTTGGTGACATTTTAAGCAGAGACTACGATTATCACAGACTCTGAACGTGGCACCTCCTTTTACTTTGCCAGTTTGGGTGTTGTTAAACCTCGCGGAATCCTAAGTACATTTACTTGCTTTACATGATGAGAACCTTTAAATACATTTGGACGTACACCTGTGTTCTTTTTACCGCTAGTTGGTTGTTGTTTTCCGGACGTGTGTCTAGGAGTCGATATATATGTACAGATGGACTTGAAGTCAAGTATGCCGTCCAGGCGAGATGGAGGTTTCCTATTTTCTTTTCCATGCCGGTCCGTTAAGTTACGACCACCCGCGGCAACAGGGCGCGCGAACAACAAAGATGTCGATCAAGGGGCAGGATTGTGCCACCTGTTATGTTGTCTGATGCACCTCCTATGATAGTCCCCATTCTATCACTGAAGGGAATTACCAGTACTGTTGACTAAGTATCTAACAGGCATTAGCAATAAGATAATGTGTCACCTCCTACTAGTGCTTGCTATGATCCTTCATTTGCCAGATACCTTACCCGAATGTTCATGCAGCCTACTATTCTGACACAGGTATCAGATTTCCCCGGACGGTTTACGTGGTTGACGCTAGGGAAGCTCCGGCATGTGGGATAATGCACTAGAGCCCCTGTATTGGTGACTTGGCATATAAAGCGTATGTGCCACAGATCAGTATATTGCCGATAGATCACCTTGTGCGCTCCAAATGCCTACCCGGAGAGAAAAGAGAAGTAGACATTTCCGACCATTATTGACAGAATGGCGTGCATTGTATACACCGCAGATGCCTGCATGTCATCCCGTCACTCTCACACTCAACCTTGGATAGGGCAGCAATGTGACAAGTTTGAAGTCCGACATACTACTTAGTTTCCACACTTCGGTAATTATTTGACGGGATGCGCCGCCGCTTCCGCATATGGGGCGTGTGGGCCTTTTTTTTCCATTCTTTCTTTTTCCATTCTTTCTTTTTGGTTCTTTTTTTTCCCCCTCACATTCCTGCCATAACTCGGGATCGGGATTCCAGTACCGAGATTGCCTTGCAATCGGGATGCCGACCCTTCTGGTAACGGACGAGTTATTATCTTTTCTCTTTTGCTTCATTCCAACAGAAAATGTTTCACGGATTGGTGACGTTTACAGCGTGGGAAAGGTTCCACTCCCGGAGGGAAATATGATCGTCATAACTTCAAAGCTCAAGCGAATCGGCCAACCAGCTGAGACCTTGTAGATCAACGCCACTGATAAAACTCGTGGAGGCCCGGGAGAAAAACTTGGCGCTGGGATTCATTGGATTGAACCAAATATCAGCGGCTCAGTCCCGCTCCTGGGTTCCTGTCTTCCATGGCAAAGCCAAGGAGAAATCGAAATTGGCCAAATCCTTTTGTCCACATTCGCTCCAGGCTTATTATCACCTCCACCCAGTGGATAATAATGAATAATGAATACTTCATATGGGAAACATCCACAGTCAGACACGGCCGCGTGTAATCGAAAACCCGCAAGGCAAAGAAAAAGAAAAAGGAGTGGGGGGAGGGTTAAATCACCGTGTTAAATGCTCGGGCTTTACCACAGCTGTTCCTCATTATTGATCGCATTTCAAATCAATACCACCCCTCCGTTCTTACCTGTTTTCCATATATAATAGCTCTGCCTCTCACGCCCCTTCTATATCCTATATTGTCAGAGACCACCCCGGGTCTTCTTAAAAAGACAGCCACCAGCTGAAAGAATTACTCGTTTCTTCATTGGCACGACGGCGTCAAATCCTCATTATCCATTCATTCTGTTGGTAACCCGGCAAGAAAGAAGGAAAGAGGTACCGGAATTCGCATATTGGGTCCTGTAGTCCTGTTTTCGCTGCTTCGTATCATCTGTGTCCCAACGCAATCCTCCTTGGTCTTGTGTCTTTTCCACCCGATAGCAACAACAGCCCGACCTGATTACTGCCCATCGACATGCCCATTAGCGGCCCTGGAAGGAGATCAAGAGCGTCCGATAGCAGCAATTTTCTCAGGCCGGTGGCGGCAAATACTGGAATTTCGGGGGTTTACAGGAGCCCGGATGCAACAATTACCAGGATCGGGTTAGGTCCTTATACTGTCTCAAAAGAATCCGCACTCAACGGAACCCTCGAAGCGAATCAAACGCCCCCTGCGACTCGACATATTGTTGAACTGGCGACTCCATTTGTTGCCCACAGCGACAACCCCGTGCAACAGTACGTCGAAGCCTGAGTTTCTGATAAACATCTTCTCTTCTCTGGGATAATGGGTGATATAGACCTAGAGAAGAAGGCTGCATATGGCAAGCCAGCGACCGCAAATAATGGAGGGCTTGAGGCCTTGTCTGGATCTTCGGACTCGGACATGAGGCAAGAAGAAGTAGGATATGCAGAGGATTTGCAGCGCAATTTCTCTTTATTATCCCTCATCGGTATTGCTTTCTGTATGTCCAACTCATGGTTCGGTATTTCCTCATCTTTGGTCACTGGAATAAGCTCTGGAGGAACAGTGCTTATTGTCTATGGCCTTTTGTGGATCTCCCTTCTCTCGCTCTGTATCGGATCATCACTCTCAGAATTGGCAAGCGCCATGCCAAACTCTGGTGGGCAATATTACTGGACCAGTATGCTGGCCCCGAAGAGGCTCAAACGATTTTTCTCGTATATCACGGGCTGGTTCGGGTATGCAGGAGCCATCTTCGCATGCGCTAGCGTGTGCCTAAGTCTTGGGCAGGGTGTAGTGGGCATGTGGCAGCTTGGACACCCCGACTTGTATGTCTTCCTTAAATTAAAATCGATCCCAACTGTCTGTAAAAGGCTAACACAAACGACAGTGTTCCCAAGGCGTGGCATTCGGTGGTTTCATATCAAGTGATCAACTTCTTCTGCTTCCTGTTCAACTGCTATGGGAAACTGCTGCCTGGAGTCGCAAAGATTACACTGTATATTTCACTTCTTTCCTTCGTGGTGATTCTCATCACGGCACCAGCTTGTGCCAACCCACACGCTAGTGGAACTTTCGTTTTTGCTCACTTTGTCAATTCCACCGGATGGAAATCGGATGGCATTGCATTCATTGTCGGCTTGATCAATCCAAATTGGATTTTTGCTTGCCTGGATTCAGCTACCCATCTGGCAGAGGAGGTACCGCAGCCCGAGAGAAATATCCCCATCGCCATTTTGGCCACTGTTGGAATCGGTGCCTTCACTTCATGGTTCTATTGTATCGCCTTGTTCTTTTGCATCAAGGATATGGACCAGCTGATCAACACACCCACTGGTGTCCCTATCCTGGAGCTTTACTACCAAGCACTGAGGAACAAGGCCGGTGCCATTGTCCTTGAGACCCTGCTGGTAGTGACGGGTATGGGATGTCTGATCGCCTGCCATACATGGCAATCCCGTATCTGCTGGTCTTTCGCCCGTGATAAAGGTGTTCCAGGTCACCAGTGGCTGTCGCGCACCAGCAAAGTTATTGATGTCCCGATTATTGCTCATGCGGTTAGCAGCATCATTGTTGGCCTTCTTGGTTTGCTTTACCTGGGCTCGTCCACTGCTTTCAATAGTATGGTCACGGCCTGTATTACGCTATTGTACCTGTCCTATTCATTTCCCATCATCTGCCTCTGGTATCGTGGACGCAAAAATTTCAAACATGGTCCCTTCTGGCTAGGAAAGCTGGGTTTAGTTTGCAACATAGTTACCTTGGCCTGGACGCTATTCTCGCTGGTGATGTATTCTTTCCCGTCGACCATGCCGGTGGCACCAGGAAGTAAGTTCAATTCGAGAGAGTATTGGAAGGATGTCTTGGCTGACCCGACGACAGATATGAACTATGTTTGCGTGGTGTACGGTGTGGTGGTAGTGATCGCCCTTGCGGACTGGTTTATACGAGGAAGACGTGAATTCCAGGGCTGCAAAGACGTGGAGGTCCCATATTATAAATAAAGCGCGTTCAGTTCGATGCATCTAGGGCTGCCATATCCGACGAGCTAGAAGCTGATTGATCCAGAACATGTCGACATGTCTGGAGATGATTCCTCTTCGATGTAAATATAGATAAAAATACAAAAAGCATGTACATTTATATGTATCTGTAGGAGAAGCTGGCAGACATGTGACCCGCTATGCCTGTTATGGAACTCGAAGACGCAGCGAATCCTCCTGGGATTTCTTCATCTCATCCTTCTTCATCTCCGGAATCTGGACAATAAACGGCTCTATACCGTATTATCGTCTTGAATCCCTTACCTATTGTTCGCCACCTCAAGGATTCAATTGCGCAACTGCATTGAGTCCGACTGCCCTGATCCCACAGAAACCCAGAGGATCAGTCGAATATTGAAAGCCAGTTTGTCTTTTTCTTCCTCTGCTTTGGAAGCTATTGTTCCTGAAGTAGCGGATTTTTATCAGAAAGTCCGCCCCTGCGGGGAAATTTATTTCAAAGTTAAAATTTTTTTTTTTTTTAATGGCCCGCCGCGATCTCACCGGAAGAGATCCTGGCTCATTGTTTGATCACTCTCTGTCTTTCTTTTCAGGAAGTAATTAATTAACATTCCCATTTTGCTCTTTCATTGCCCCTTTCATCGAGAACGCTGGTCTAACTGTGGTCTCGATACTGGTCCGGCGTAGGCAGCGCTGCTTGGCATTTATTGCTTTGTCCCCTACATTCGATTCTATCCGAGTGACATCAGCAATCAACTAGCGCTTCCGGTATTTTCTTTCTGTGATACCAATACAGGCTCAGCTATTATCTGACCGTTCCGCCGCACAGGTATAGACAACCTAGAGACGGCATACTCGCATTGGGATATCTTCAGCTCTTCTACCCTATTGCATACTGGATTCTTTTCATCTCTCAAATACACCAAAGAATCTAAACAATGACGATAATGGAAACACCGATCCCGGAGCTGGACGAGGAGCGTCTAGCCAACGAAATCCCAGAATCGAGAGTGCTGATTATCATGACTGGCGGTACCATCTGTATGCGACAGTCACCGGCCGGCCTTGTTCCAGCGAGAGGATTCCAGGATGCGTGTCTTGCTCGGGTCCCAAGTTTCAATGATGGTTCACCACCCACAGTGATAGATGTGGTTGCCAACACAGCCGGGGAATGCGAGAGCCATGTCAGTTTGCGAACGCCCAAGACAGCCTACGGTCGACAGGTACGGTATACGGTGTTTGAATTCAAAGAGCTTCTCGACAGCAGCTCCATTGACGCCAAAGGCTGGGCTGAGATTGCTCAAACGATTTATCGAAACTACACTCATTTCGACGGATTCGTGGTCTTGCACGGCACTGATAGCCTGGCATACACATGCTCTGCACTGAGCTTCATGCTGCAGAGCCTAGGCAAGCCCGTTGTCCTCACGGGCGCGCAGTCACCGATGGCCGAGCTGCAGAATGACGCTACAGATAACCTGCTTGGATCTCTGGTTGTGGCTGGTCACTTCATGATCCCAGAGGTGTGTTTGTATTTCAACTACAAGCTGTTCCGCGGAAATCGAGCGACGAAAGTATCCGCCAGCGATTTCAATGCGTTTGCGTCGCCAAATTGTGCACCATTGGCGGTGACAACGTCAATGCGTACGAATGTTGACTGGGAATTGGTGCATCGGCCACGGAACCTGGAGCATTTCAGCATCCAGACGAATCTAGACACCTCCCACGTGGCTTGTCTTCGCATTTTCCCCGGTATCACGCCAACCATGGTCGATGCCGTGCTGAAGCTCGAGGGACTTCGGGGTCTGATATTGGAGACTTTTGGTGCGGGAAATGCACCGCACGGCCAAGACAATGCGATGATGAAGGTACTCGCGGATGCTATCAAGAGGGGAATCGTCATTGTCAACGTCACCCAGTGTAGGTTTTAGTTAATCCCCTCCACCCCCCAGCCAAGACTCGATAAAAGGTTTCATACTGAATATACGCCATCAGGTCTCAGTGGTAGTGTCAGCTCTGTCTACGCTCCCGGATTGAGTCTATCCCAGGCCGGTGTCGTAGCAGGTCTTGACATGACTTCGGAAGCGGCATTGACGAAGCTAGCATATCTTCTCGCACTTCCAGGCGCTACCACCGAATCTGTAACGAGAGACATGTCTGTTTCCCTCCGCGGGGAGTTGACAGAGGTCTCGCAGCCAGTATTCCGCCATCCTGATGGTATCCTGCCAGAACGCGTCCAGGCGCTCACGGTCCTGGGGTATGCCATTGCGCAAGGAGACCTTCAACGGGTGAAGGATATCATGAAACCCGGAAATCATTGGTTACTGAACGATGCGGATTACTCTGGGAATACGGCTCTGGTGAGTGATTTTTTTTACACCCACATTCTAGTCAAGAAGAGAAGAGTTATCATCTACTACTGCTTATTCTCCAGCTGACAATTATATTCCCACAGCATATTGCCTCCACATCCCCCTCTGTCCAAATTCTCCACTACCTCCTGATCCAAGGTGCCTCTGTCCACCTCCGGAACCGGTCGGGAAGGACGCCGCTTTTCCTCGCGGCCAACGCAGGCTTTTCGGAGCATGTGCTTCTCCTCCGCAAGTCCGGGGCCCACCTTCATTCCGACGAACGGGCAGCAGCAGAACTTCTTGCCCGTCGAAGACCGGGTATCTGGGGTCTAGCAGGAGTAGGGATGATGCGCGTCACGGAGAGAGAGATAGAGGATGGCGAACATGACAGGGTAGGAGAGGATGATGGTGGTCATGATCAATGGGATCAGATGATACAACAGGGAAGCGGCAGGGCGATCATGGTGGGATCTGCACCGTCATAAGCCTCATAAGCCCCTCTCCCCCTTTGCGATTTCTCATTGTTAGATTCATTTTATTTGTTTGTTCCTAGCGAAGAGCCACACCAGATTCATGGATAGACAGGATAGACATTTATAGAGCTCTTGCAAGAAAGCGACGAGCTCACAACGACACTAATATCAATTGAAATTTATAGGCTTAAGGCATGTATGATGCAAGAGAAAGGACGTCTCGGAATATGCTGTATCAATCTCTCAGCCTCAGCCATTTACAGTCTGACTATATATCAACAGAGGGAGAGAACCATGTACATAAAACATGTCTTCAGCAGGGACAACAGGTTGGCAGAACTACATTTCTCTCCATCCCTTGGTCCAAGATAGTAGCCCGCCTTATAGGGATCTTGACCGATCCACCCCATTGAAGCCATCGTGCCCCAACACTGATATCCGTGGGTATGCAGGTGGTCTTGGTCTGGGTCTTCCTCGCATTTGATCCCCAGCAGTCATCCGCGAGCACGTACTATATGCAGCCGCTGTCGTCCACCCCGGACGAACTCCCATATGCGGACGCGTATTTCATGCGGCAGACGGGCGATGAGCAACGGCTGCTCTTGTTTCAATGCGCATTACATTACAGCCGTGGCTTTTTAAACAAGCCCCAGATCCTGCGTGGATTTGGTTTATTATTACTGTCCGACATTTCCCCGTCCGGTGAGGTGAACTGCGCGGCCGTCACGTGGGAAGTGGTTTTGTACCTTCTCTCTTTGGCTACTTCGGCTAGATCCTCTGCATTGCCGCACTTGAGCATTTTGACAAGCGGATCATTCAGGGATTATTTATGAGGTGTTCTGCTAACTTTGTCATGAGAAAATGCAGGTTAGGAATGATTGAAGGGGAAGAAAATGAATGTGGGTTGATTGAAGTTCATCAGGCTGATTAGGCTGTACTACTCGAATAGCCTCATTGTCGTCCGCAGCAAGTCTGCCTTAATGTAACCGGAGCAATGGTCCGGTCAACAGCTTGCTTTATCATGTTTCATTGACTTTGGCAAGACTTCCGAGGTCTTTGCTAGAGTTGAGAACCGGGATCCTGCAAGGGAGTAGGTATCTATAGATAAAGGCATAGGTCCTTGACCCGATGTCTGTGTCAGATGGGTGGACGCGAGAGCAATGGTCTCATATTTTTATAGCAGAGCTAGACCATTATCCTAGATATACATTGACAGCCTCAGGTACTACTGAGTGAAGAAAAGACATCCAGCACTGCTTATGATAACATAAGCATCCATCAAACCAATCCCCAGCCAGAACGCCTCCCGCGGAGATGCTCTTGCGCACTAATATGAAATCCAGCTGCAGGATTCAGCACAGATGAAACTTTGTTATATTGGCAATGAGGGGAGAAGGCGGGGGAGAGGCCTGAGGGACGTCGGGATTCGGAAGCCTTATGTATTTACAGTAAAGTAATGAGAATGCAGCTTTCTGCATTGTTCGTAACTAGTGGATTGTGCTGATCTACGCCATGGCATCTACCGCAGGGGACCAGCCACATGCAGCCACAGACACAGCGCCAAGAATCCCCAAAGATCCAGCCAAGAGACATGGATGTCATCCTTCAACATAGCATAGCTTGCATCATTCATGGCCCACATTCCGATATCATGCATAGATCATGAAATTGTCCAGTGTCCGGCGTAAATTGTGATGGTAGATGCAGCAAACTGCACGATCCGTGAAGAAAATTCGTTGGACTGCCCAGACGCCAAATTAGCCCCATGAAGTAACGCAATTATCAAAGCATGGACAGGGCCAGCAAGCGAAGATCAGAGGCGACTCGGGTATAAAACTGGCATTTCGTCACGGGCCTAGGGCTGTGGACAGTTGGGCCGTTAACCGACGAATCCACATGCAGGCCGGAAGGAGGGTCCACTTGACGAGCGGAACTCGAGGGAACCTCCCATTTGGCGGCGACATTTGATCAAGTAAGAAGAATTGACGGAGGAGATGTGTTTCTGACAGGCAAATATGATTGCTGGCTGGTAGTGGACATAGCACCGTGCAGCTACAGCGTGCGACGGCGGTAATCAGTAGCAATAATCAACGAGATTCTCGAACGGCCATAGAGAACTGATGGGAAGCAAGCAAGGAGGACATGGGAGAGGAAGAGAGACGAAGAGCGGAGGGAATAGCAAAGGGAACTGGAAGAAGCGGGAAAAAGCAACGAGCCCACGTGAGGCGCACGTCTTCGCATCTGCAGCCAGGCGTTGTTCTGGACGACTCAACGCAACAGTTATTATTATCTCATGGATACGCAGTGTGCATGACCTGATTGTCCAACGAAATGAGAAACTTTGTCTGCTAACATAACAGACGAGTCCTCTTGCACCATCGAGTCACCGGACGCTGTCTGCTGCCCGCTGTCCGCTGTCCGCTGCCTGCTGTCTGTCGCGCTGCACGATGATATACTCGCAGAGCACTCCATCCCCTCAACATGCTCCCGTGCCAGATCCATCCCCAGTACAGCCTCAATGCTCCCGATTGCCCTCTCCCAAGGACGTGGTCCATCGTGAGGTACGCATCTTGATAAGTCTGCAAGGTCTGCAGGAGAAGCATCAACCGAACGCGCCAATGAAGCTTCCTGGGCCACCGAGACTATTGAAACTTCACAAGTCTGAACGCATCCCAAAGCGACAAGCCCGGCCAGTTACGTAAAGCAAAATATGCTCAGTGGAGGACGGAGAGTGAAACCAACCGGCGCAAGGAAGAGGGAAAAATGAGAAAAGAAGGGGGAAAAAAGAGCAAAAAATATGGATCGACGCACGTTCTAGCTGGTTCACATCGCCCAACTCGGGATGTGCTTCCACCTCGTGCGCGCCATAGGGCTTCTCTGGAGGTCTGGTGGATGCACGACGGGGCGATGGAGCTGCTGCGGTCTCCAGAATCCAGAGACTGGAAAGCAAAAAAAGCCTAAAAAAATACACAGAAAGAATGGACGCCGACGAATAATATCAGCCCAATCAACACGCGCTTTCTGATTATTCAAAGCGCATAAATCAGTGTTTTCCATCCTCCAGCCAACCCCGGACTTGCGCGTTGCAAGACACGGACATCCCTGCATTGTACCATTGTCAATCACTATCGAGATATCTGCTGCTTATCTGGCGCGTCCGTCTCCCTTTCTCCTCCCGATCAGACAACGGTCTTTGTCGACAAGTAAGAGGGATTGCGACATTATTCGGCACGAATCCTTGGGAGCAACGGAGTCTGCGCTGTGCTGGACTCGGCTATTTTTCTCCCTCCTGACACCTCTGACTCTCGATACGAACGCTCCAACGCCTCGACTCAAATTCAACGGGCATTCCATTCCAGTTCAGAGTCAGCTCGACTTCACCGTATTTCTCCGGCTGCTTATCGCCCAGAAGCCCCTCCAGAGAGGCAACCGCACGAGGTATCCGCAACCTTGTCTGATCGGACAGCGAAAATTGCATACCAGTGATTTTCACCCAAAATAATTAATTACGTTTTTCTTCCCCCGCTGTCGCCATTCCGCATATAGATACGATTACTGCGACTGCTGTTGCTCACCCAACTCCCTGCTCCTGTGTATTCTGTCTCCTCACTATCCTGGTCGCCGTCTCAATAATCCATTATTGCACAATCGCCTGCCTCGGTCACGAGCCTCTAACGGCTTCAATTGCGACGTCGAGGAGCTGAAAGGACCTTCCCCCGCAGCCTCGTATACTCGACTATATCTTTCCGATCCCCCTTTCTCCTTCTCCCTTCCCCCCGTGCTGTCATAAGGAAATTTCCTTCGTCACTTGAAACCCAGAAGATCCTCTTGTATATCGTCCCCAAAGCCCGAGTCTCTCACTGAGCCAAAACTCCCTTGGGCTCGCGCCGAACCCATCGGCTGGTGTCCGGCCTTTCCCCCTTCTACTCCTTCATCCAGTCCTGTGGAAACACAACTTCCTTAATGACACTACCGCGCAAAACAATCGCCGTCGTCAACGCTACCGGCCGTCAGGCTGCGTCCTTGATTCGTGTTGCGTCCGCCGTGGGGTATGCGGTTCGTGCCCAGGTCCATTCCCTCAAAGGCATCATTGCACAGGAGCTCCAGAGTCTTCCCAATGTCACATTGATCCAAGGCCCGTTACTCGATAACCCCCGCCTGATCGATTCGCTGTTCGAGGGAGCCACTCTTGCCTTCATCAACACCACGTCTCAGGCCGGAGATGAAGTTGTCATCGGGCGTGCGCTAGCGGACGCCGCAAAGCGGGCGGGGACTGTTCACCATTATATTTACAGCAGTATGCCAGACCATTCTGTTCATGGGCCGTGGCCTGCGGTTCCCCTATGGGCCCCCAAGTTCGCCGTTGAGAATTATGTACGGCAATTGGGGTTGCCGGCGACCTTCGTGTATGCGGGGATCTACAACAACAACTTTACCAGTCTACCCTACCCCCTCTTCCAGATGGAGCTCATGCCGGACGGTAGCTTTGAATGGCATGCTCCGTTTGAACCGGACACGCCGCTGCCGTGGCTAGATGCAGAGCACGACGTCGGGCCCGCATTGCTGCAAATATTCAAAGATGGTCCGAAGAAGTGGCATGGTCACCGGTAAGCATATGAGATTCGTGGGCACCAGCCCTCATGTGAAACCCACTGACTGACAAATTGGGACTATGGCAGAATTGCTCTCACTTTCGAGACGCTCTCCCCGAATCAGGTCTGCGCGGCTTTCTCCAGAGCTCTTGATCGCCCCTGCCGATACGTCCGGGTACCCAGGGTCGAAATCAAAGTACATATTCCTCCCGGTTACCGGGAACAGCTGGAAGCAATCGAGGTCGTTTTCGGACAGTACAACGCCCCTTACTTCCCTCAACCGGAATTCTCGCGGCCTGCGGCTGGCTCGCCCAAAGGATTGGGACCGGCAAATGGGAAAGGCGCCGGGAACGGAGTCATGCAGGGCCCCGGCGGAGTGGTCTCGCTGCGGGTAACGGACGAGGCACGACACCTGTGGCAGGGCTGGAGGGATATGGAGGAGTATGCTCGAGAGGTATTCCCGATTGAGGAAGAGGCGAACGGACTGGACTGGATGCTGTGATGGATTGCCTGATGGCGAGCAGCTACAACGATACTCCGGTTGAAGACGGAATGAGATACGGCAACTCAAAAAAACAAAAACACTCATCTACTCTTAGCGTATCGCCATGGTCGATTTTACATCATACTCTTCACTCATCTTACGAATCTCTTAACTATCGATACCGTTAGCGAGCTTGCGTGATCCCTTGGACGAATTCTCTTAAACCCGTTCTATCCCTGGTGATAGTCCATTATCACTTCGCTTATTCAGTCCTTGCAAAAGATTTAATACTCCGGTTCCTCCTTATGAATACTAAAAAACACAAAACGGACGTCACGAATTCGCATCGCTATTGTCACGACTCTAAAAGTTATCTGCTTGGTTTTCATTATCTACTATGGTTGTTTCCCCCTTCGAAGCAGGGGTTCGGTGTGATTTGGGACTTGGATTTCCTGCTGTTTTACCGCGGCCTTTTCCGTCTTCATACACTCTTCTATTTCCTTGCCTGGGTTTCAGATAGCTATCAAGCTAATAGGATTGGGGGTGGTATGGTGGCTGTTTGTCCTGTTGACCGGATGGCAGACTTGAGAGGGAATAGATTAATGCCTAGGTAGTGGACATCGAGGTGAATGGAATTGGAACCGATGTCCGTCAGGCAAGTTGAATTGAATCGAACGCGTAGAAGTTTGACGCGTCGTATTTGACTATTGAACAGTATCCCCGCATTTTCGTCGGCAAGAAAGAAGGCTAATTTACGAGTCGTGCATGAGAAAAAGCAATATCATGTAGTAGTATGTAGTACGGAGTGCGTAGTAAAAAAAAGCAATAACTATCGAAGGAATACATAGGGGTATCTACCCATGAGGTGTAATATCTACCAATAGCTTGCCACGCGAGCGAGTAAACCGGTGATTTGACTGTTTAAACCAGCAAAAATCCTGCGCTGAAGCTCAGACTTAGCAAACAAACAAAAAAGAGCAATCAAAAAGTACTCCGTAATTTGCAAGATCAAGGTCTAGCCTTGCACTGAAGCAGAATTTGAAATTTTTTATTTGTACTCCGTATTTAGTTTCACTCAGTTAATCAAATTCTCATTAATCATCAAATCAAAGCATCACAGAGACATTAAAAAAATTTTTTAAAGCAAAAAAAAAAATAAAATAAAACTTAATTTCGCCTTACATTATCATACATCACAGCTCCATCCCATCCCATCCATCCATCTCCTTTTAATCCTTGCTCGTTCATCCTTTCTTAACTTTCTCTTCTCTTCGTCTTCATTTCCTACCGTTTTCATAATCCAACTGACTTCATCTTCAATCCAACTGGTTCAGTTAAGTCAGTCAGTTACCATGTCCGCCGATCAATCCAAGTCGCTCTTAGAGCGCGTCGAGATTCCCGCTGGTCTGTCGCCGGATTCGGCGAGGAAGATTGCGCATCTGGAGGAGGAGTTTACCCGGGCGGAGGTTGAGATGTGTATGCTCTTTCCATTCTCCATTTTATTTACATTCGATTTAGTCAATGCTTTCATCAATTGATGGATATTTTATCTAACTATTACAGTGCGCAAGTCCGTCCCCCTTCTCCGTCCCCTCTACGAAAAGCGCAATCAGATTATCAACACCCCCGACGTCCAGTCTGACTTCTGGATCCGCGTCTTCTCCAACGCTCCCGCCGAAATCGACGAATATGTTCTCCCCTCTGACGCTGCGGCGCTGGGAAGCCTGACCAATCTGACCGTCGAGCGGTTTGAGGTCAACGACAAGGGTCAGGGTGAGCCGCGCAGTCTCCGGTTTACCTTCGAGTTCCGTACTGGCGAGGAGAACCCGTTCTTTGAAAATGCTAAGCTGGTAAAGGACTTCTACTGGCGCAAGCAGGTCACCAAGACTGCCAAGGGGAAGCGGAGGACCTGGGAAGGTCTTGTCTCAGAGCCCGTCCGGATTAACTGGAAGAAGGACATGGATTTGACCAAGGGCCTGTTGGATGCTGCTTGTGACTTGGCCGATGCGGAGAAGAAGCAGGGAAAATCGAAGGCCCGCAAGGACCTCCCCCAGTTTGAGACACTGGTGAAGAAAGTCGCCGAGGTCGAGGAACAAGCTCTAAACGCCGATGATGAGGATGAGGAAGATGATGAGGATCCTTTGGCTGGGAAGAGCCCTGCCGGCGTCAGTGTCTTCGCCTGGTTCGGTTACCGTGGAAGAGACGTGTCCGTGGAACAGTCCAAGGAGGCGGAGAAGGAGGATGAAGAACGACGGGCTAAGATCGCCAAAGGCGAAGAGGTCGACGATGATGAAGACGACGAAGACGATGAGGATGACGAATTGGCCGATGAACTCGAAGATGCCGAAATCTTCCCTGATGGAGAGGACTTTGCTATTGCTCTTGCCGAAGATCTCTGGCCCAATGCCTTGAAATACTATGGTTTGTTCTCCATGCCCAGTGAAACTTAAGACGGACACACGCTGACTCTAGCAGTGCAATCGTACGAGCTTGCCGAGGATTTCTCTGACTTCGACGTCGAAGAAGAGGAAGAGGAGGAAGATGATGAAGATGATGAAGAGTCGCGTCCTCGCAAAAAGACCAAGGTCTAAGCGCCCATCCCCGTGTATTCCACGGATCTCTCATGAACCTTCGTATGCACATCACAACGCAATCAAAAGAATTAATAATAGAACGAGCACGAAAATCAGGAGTCCGATACAGAAGGAGGACATAGTGTCTGTTGTACATAAAAGCAATTAGCCGATAGATTGTTCCTTTGTTTTTCGCTTTTCTGGCTTATAAAAGTTTGCAATGAAAGCTTACCTTCGTTCTTTCTGATGATATATTTCATCTTAGCCATCCCGTTATTCAATTTCCCTCCAACCCGATCAGCCAAGCTATCAACCTCAGTGATCATGGCATTTTGGTCCTCGAGCTCCCTTCCCATATCATCTGCCTGCTGTCGCAAGTTTCCGACTGTTCGGAAAACCCCATCAAGTTGTTCATCCTGCTCATTCATAAGCTCCACCTGTCTCTGCTGCTCTAACGCAGCATAGTAATCATCGCCTCTTTCCTCCGCTGATGGCGACAGCATACTGTCGAATTCTGCCGGATTCGGTAACGCAGATCCTCCGGCGCCAGGTGCCCTTCCTCCTTTGACCACTGCGGTCTCGACGGTCTTCTGCATCTCCTCTCTCATTTTCTCTATCGATCCTCCGACTTCATCCACCAGTCTCCGTCGGCGCTGCACCTCCTCTAATTCCAGGCCATATCGGTACGGATCGAGTTCGATGGCACGAACGCTCTCGACGAGATCTTCTAGGTCTGCGCTGAGATCTGTTAGGGTTGATTCGAGTTCCGAGCGGGCTTGTTGAAGTTCGGGGTTGTCGGGAGATTTTGCTAGTGAGCGGATGCGAAGAAAGGAGGAGAAAAGAGGGCGGGCCGCTTGGAGGGTTGAAAGAACATCTCTGTATATCCAATATGAGTATTGTTAGCGTGTACTTGGCCTGACTTGGTTGTTGATGCTCTCTTGCTTTCAAGGCCAGGAAGGACGAGTCGGACATACGCTTGGACTTGGAGAAAAGGGTCTGCGTTATCCATTGTTTATGACACGAAATAAATACAGGGTTGATAGGTACGTAGAAGAGAAGCTGGGTTGTTATCTGAAAAGGGAACCGCTGTTGATGGTGTTGTGTTGTTGTGGACTTGTTGACAAGCCGTTACGTATCTGGAGACGGGCCCAGCCATGAGCGCCCGCTAACCCAATCCGTCAACTGGCTTCTGGAAATTTAAAGCCGAAAATTTTGGAACAGAGACATTTCCAAAGTCGGTCCCTGGTAGCGCCTCATTTTCTGTCCCTGGCTCCCTGTCCTTTTGTATATCATTCGTTCATTCTCGCAGAAAGTATCTTCGAACATTTTAGGTGCTTTATGGCACTGTCTGTACAGTTATCAGTCTTCCTGTCGCTACCAAACTGCTGAAGTGGACTGCCACGCAGAGTAACCAGCACCGCATGACGCGCAAAGATCCCCTTCCGCTCTCTGAGGAGTGGACAGATCCTGATGTTTACGTGGACTCTCTTTTGAACTTTGCGACTTCGTCAATTCTTTTCCGGAATCTCTGTGGTGGGGTGCATATTCTAGACTTTCTGACCAGAGAACCCGATCTCTACACATCTCTTTTACCGGAAGATTGGAGAAATTTCTTCGACCAGCATGACATGCACGATATTTTATACCTCTTTTTAAGAGAAGACATTCGATCCATTGGACATGCAGACCAGGCCCCGCCTACAGAAAACGGCCATGGACAAGATGACGAAAACAAGTGGAAAGGAGGTCTCTTGCCTCCGCAAAGCCTCTTGGACTATATTCATGACATTCGAAGGCTGAGCCTAAGACGTGAATTTAATGCTCCAGCTCATTATCCAAAGGAACCGACAATCCCCAGACGGCTTGCAGTTGGCATGAAGACCAAAAAGCGTCACGAGGTGGAATACTTCTCGAGATATGTCGATTCCTTGACTGCAAGGGTTTCTGAGCAGCGTGGCGAAGATGTCTCTCACATAGTGGATTTTGGATCCGGTCAGAATTACCTGGGCCGCACGCTTGCTAGTTCCCCGTATAATAAACATATCATTGCTATCGAACGGAAACACGAGTATATCAGTGGTGCTAGGGGCATGGATGTTTCAGCTAAATTAGTGAAAAAGGAGAAGGTCATAAGGAGAAGGGAGTCTTTACCGCAACGCAAGCGGTCCAAGCCGTCTGTGAATCCTCCTGGAGAGGAGATGCAGGAGTCTTGCGACGCCTGTATCGACGTTCCAAAGACAACTGCAGACATTGTGAACGAGAATGGGAACGAGGATGAAAATGGAGAATTCACTGTGATCAACGTTTTTCGTGGAATCGATCTCGAGCCAAATGAGCTAGCTGGCCCTCAGACTCGTAATCAAGAGAAGCCCGTTGCAGCTGACGAGGAAGAGACGTCTCTGAAAGGCGCTATAGATTATATTGAACATGACATCCAGGATGGATATCTAGAGCCTATCATCAAGAGTGTTATCGCACCAGATAATGCCGAGGCTCGATCTGATTCTCAGCGATCCTTTGCTGCAGCCATTACCTCCTGCAATAAAAAACCAATCGATGCACGAGTTATGGTGGTTTCCCTGCATTCCTGTGGCAATCTTGTCCACCATGGAGTGCGCTCTCTGGTGCTGAACCCATCTGTTGTGGCTGTTGCTATGATCGGATGCTGTTATAATCTTATGACTGAGAGGCTTGGGCCTGCCACATATAAACTCCCTGTTCTCCGATCTCTCCATCCTCGTCTCGCTGAAACTGGAAAGGCATACGACCCCCATGGCTTTCCGATGTCGAGACGTCTTGAAACCTTCTCACACGGAAGTGGCACCGGCATGAAGTTAAATATTACCGCCAGAATGATGGCCGTCCAAGCCCCTTACAACTGGGGAAAGGAGGATAGCGAAGGGTTTTTTACACGTCATTTCTATCGAGCTCTTCTCCAACGTATTCTGCTAGACCGAGAGGTTGTCCCTAAGCCCACAATCCCTGCAAGCCCATATGATGCTGACCTTGATTCATCCGGCGGCACTGCGCTTATCGTGGGCTCCTTGCGGAAGTCGGCGTTCACTTCTTTCTCCGCCTACGTTCATGCTGCCCTTGCAAAGTTAATCCGCCATCCCCAATATGGAGAAAAAATCAAGGAGAAAATGGCCGATATCTCAGAGGAAGAGATAAGTCGGTATGAAACAGAATATTGGCCAGCTAAGAAGAATCTGAGCGTGACCTGGAGCTTGATGGCCTTCAGTGCTGGCGTGGTCGAGGCCATTATCGTTGTTGATCGCTGGCAGTTCCTGCGTGAGCATTCTTCTATCAAGGATTGCTGGGTTGAACCTGTTTTTGAGTACAGTGAGAGCCCGAGGAACTTAGTTGTGGTTGGGGTCAAAGAATGATTCCGGACAGCCACCGGCATTTGGACGTTGGAATAGTTTATATTCTATGGAAAGCCGGGTTGAAGGCTATGGCCAGCTATCTCGCTGACTGCTGCTTCTGACATTTGCACCTGGCCTGCCATTTCAGTACATGCCATAACATGTCAGTGTGTGGAAAGGGAAGTTTCCCACCCGTATTTGGATATTTGTTCCCCTTTCGCGCTGGCCATCTGGCTCAAGCCAAAGTCAACTACCAACACAATCGTCTTGGTGTTTGTGAAAACCGGCACGCGGTCAATTTTGGATGGGAATTGCTTCCCAAATTCTTCGTAGAAGGCTTTTGGTCCCAAAAAAGGGATTTCGTGCCCCGAAGACCGACTCATTCTATCCTATCGGCAAGCTATTCAGCTGCTCCTGAATTATGTTAAGGATACCAGAACTGCGATTGGAGACATTCCTAAATGCCATGCTAAAGAAATGGCTATTCGATTTACTGTAGCTATGACTGGATACATTGTCATTCTTTTCCCTTATTCATTTAATAGACCACAATAGCCTGAGATGGAAATAGGGCGTATCCAGGCTCGTAATAATCCCACTGCCTTGTCAAAAGAATGACCCGATGGATGATTAGCCCTAACCCTTTGCCCTTTGCCCTAAGAGATACCGCAACGGGCTATCGGAATCCGCGGACTCCGATATCAACTGCGAAGCAACCTCAAATCCCCTCCTTGCCCGACAGTTACTCTTCGGACAAGGCGTCTCGGCCAGCACCGCTCCAAATATATATTTCTTTTCCCGATATGGAGACCGGAGGTTCGGACGCTGAAAGTGTAGGGACACTTGGCACTCTTAAGCGGGCGGTTAGTATCCATCCCCAGCGCTTCATGTCTTTCTAACAGATCAATAGTGCGACCAATGCCGTTATCGGAAGGTGCGTATGAGATATAAGGCTCTATCATTGCCATCAATTGGACACGCCAATGCTCTGTTTCCAATCAGCGATTCATTTTCTGGGATTTGTCTAACCACGAAACAATTGCGTCCTTGTCCCATGCGTAGATTAAATGTGACAGACGCTCGCCATGCTCGAATTGCAGAAGTTCAGAGATAATCTGCCGCTCTACGGGAGCAGGCCAGAAGCCCAAAGAGCAACGACGACGGGTTCTGATTTCTAGTGAATAGTATGTACGCGCTATATGTGCCATACACCCTGTTATGTAACTGACTTCTCCCCATTCAGCGAGAGGAAGATCGACCTTATCGAAAGGCGTCTCGCCGGTATAGAAAAAGTGCTTCTTGATATTAAGCAAAGTAGTGGCAATGCTAGTACGGGCATGAGTCCTAATACAGCCGAGTCGTACCATGCAGCTTCCACATCGAGTCGGATGACTCCCTCTGCATCCAGTATTGCTATAGATCAGGACTCTAGCCCAGCATTTGAGGGATACTCATCTCTCTCTGCACAGTCCGCTTATGCAAGCCAGTTTCTTGAGACAGCTATATCTCGAGGTTCTTTCAGGGAGGAGAGCCCGAAGATGGCCACGGCGTTGTCGACGCTTAAGCAGATAGTCAATATGCAGAATCAGGGACCGCAGGTTTCGTCCCAAGAAGTGCGTTTTCCAACACAGAAAATAGGCTCAGGGGATGGTGATGGTCATGGAATAAGGGATTTGAAAATGCCTCCTATGGAGGCTGTTATATCGCTGCTGCGGAATGTGAAAGGTCTGCTGAATCTCCCGACCCTATTTTGCTGTCGATATTGACGATATCTAGAAAATCCTTCTAATACTTCACTCTTTGGAAGCTACTACTCATTCATGACGCTGGACGAATTTACCGAGAAATGCCGCGAGGTCTATTTTTGCACAGAAGACTATTCGCCCGCGACCTTCATCATGGTTAATTGTGGCCTCTGCAACCTCTTCCTTGAGCTCAGCTTCATGGTTAGGAGCAGTCAAACCAAAGAAGCATATCAGAAATATCTTCAGATATGTAAATACAATGTAGAGTCGGCCCTGGCGGGTCTCAACCTGTTATTACCCGCGACAAAGGATAATATCCAAGCACTTACATTAGGCGTAAGCATTTACCTCAATATGCCTTTTAACCACGGCATGGGCTGAACTGACTTACATTTGATTCAGGCTATGCATGCAATTGAAATTTCTAGACCTTCTTTTGCTTGGACCCTAACTTCGACAGCAGCTCAACTCTGCCAGGCTCTGGGTTACCACCGTGCCTCTTCAATGGAGAATGATACGCAGAAAACGCGAGAAAACAAATTGCGTACTTTCTGGACTTTATACTGTTTAAACAAAGCTCTATCTCTGCGTCTCGGCCGCGCTTCCGTGATCCAGGATTATGATATCTCGCTCCCCTCTGAGAACGAGGATCTCACTGCTGCGGGACCCTGGAGAGCTGTGGTGCCATTATGGATTAGACTGGCCATGATACAGGGGAAAGTGTATGAGTTGCTGTATAGTCCCGCGGCGCTGTGCCAATCTGAAGGTGAACGGGTCGCTCATGCTGAGAGGTTGGCAGCTGAGATGAGGTTGGGGGTTATCGAACCTTTTGAGGTATGTCATGTCCGCTTCTGCGAAACTTTGTCGAGAGAGAAGCTGACGGCTTGAATCCATGATTAGAGACTTAGTATAAATCCAAAAGACATATCTGATCTTGACTCTCTCTATCTGAGGTTTGACCGCGTCAGCCGTCTTTCCGTTTTGACATTGATCTACCGTGCAATTCCACCTCAGGGAGATGCCCATTTTACGTTCACAATGGACTGCATCAAGACCGCTCGAAACGCACTCGAAGCACATCTGACCTGTATGACTTCACTGAAGGAGAGTGATGAAAGCCTTAAATGTTCATACATGCATTGGTGAGTTATGCCCATAGAGACAGAAAAGCTCATGACAAATGAAAAGAAAAGAAGCTAATAAAAGAGAGGTATACTAAACAGGACAATTATGTACGCTCCTTTTGTCCCATTCATAGTCATTTTCTGCCACATTATCGAGTTCTCGTCTAATAACCCCAACACTGAATCGTCGACGCATGCTGCGCCCAGCAGCGCCGAGGTCGAAGTCGACCTCAATCGTCTTGAAGAATTTGTGCTCTCCCTTGAATCCCTTACAACGCTGTCCGAAGCAATTTTCAAACTCCACCGACTCTGTCAGGTGCTATTTAACATCGCGAAGTTGTATACAGAGGCTAAAACTAAGGCTAAGATTCAGGCCCAAGACCCAGAACTGGGACAAGAACGAAACATGGGCGATAAGGGACTTGTGGAAGTAGGGGAGGAGTTTGACATTTATCTATCGGCCCTCGGATTTGCACCTGGCCAGGGCTCTGCTCCTGTTGGTCTTGCAGCCGGCTATGGTTATTATGGGGTAGGTCTTGGTGGCATGGAGGGAATTGGATCATTTGCGATGGGAACAGGCATGAGTATGGGAATGAGCATGCCAAACTCGGAGCTAGAAGGAAACTCACACCCTCATCATGCACATCTCCATACGCATTCAGAAACGCATCCCTCTGCCAATGACGGCGATGATAATCCTACCAGTGTCACACCCTCAACAGCATTGTTCCAGTCAACACAGCTAGGGAATTGGTTCTCGGGAAACAGATATATGATGGGGTTGTTAGAGGAGGATCTGTCGCAGTTTGATCCGTCGTCTTGGTCTTAATACGAGGTATCATCTTTGCATGCGAATTCCCATTTGCAATATTCAGAGATCTTGCTCATATTTCGCTCTAGATATCCATCGCTGATCTAATTACAACCCTGTCAAAAGGGCTGGTAGATCATGCTGTAGAGCTGAATCGCTAGGTTTTACGGTCAATCGATGTCTCCGATGGCATATGTATACATGTACGAATGTATACTGCCCTATCTGGGATTGAACCAAATATTATGATCCAGACAGACATATTGAAGCCAGCACGATTGCCGCTGGTTTCGCAGCCTCCAAGATATCAGGAAGGATATCAAGATAACAGAACGGCCGAGGATCAACAACCCCCACAGATGCTCCTCGCCGCTTGAGATGATAGAAATGAATCTGAAAATGCCAGAGTTCCATCTGGACTGCGACGCCAAAGAACGAATCGTCGATGAAATGCGATAAGCGTGCAAGGGGTTTGCATTCTTCCAGCTCATTCAACCACGGCGTGTGCCCATTGATCTTTAGCGGTCTATTGTGAAACAGGGCAAGGGTTTCTTTGAACTTTTTCTTGAGATCAAGGAGAAGTATAGCATAGGTGAGGTCTTTCAGCGTACACATACCCTAATTGATCCTCTCACAAGTCAGTATTTTGCTTGCTTGCCCTCTGCTTGGCTTTCCTTTCAGACCGTCCTTTCATATAGGAGAGCATGTCTGACACCTGACTTTGCTACTTCTTTTTCAAACACATCCTGGATAAACTCAACCATCTCATATAAGTATAAGTTAGGCTTCCCAAGTAGATAAGCCAGCTCCGAGACGAGCGTAAGAAATCAAATCCCCTCGCTTCCAGAATATCCGAGGAAAGGGACCTGCATCTGAGCCTTCCAAATAGTTTCCGACACAACGATGAAGGAGCCTCGCTCCGTTCTATACGATGATGACGATACTAGCGAAGCAACGTAGAAACCAAAAGAATGCTCGATTTCTCATAACTATCTGGGGGGGGAACCCTCCTTAAGTATACTCCGGCCGCGGGTTCCATCATACATTAGTATGTCGGAGGCCGCGGCCCTACGGCGTTCTAAGATAGGAAATATGAGAGATCCAGGATTTCGCAATGCCCCAGCACACTTTGATGTAATACTAGGTCCTGTGGACGAAATAACAATAAAAAATAAAACATGCAACAGCCGGGATTCGCTGGTGGTCACCCACCCAACTACTAACCGGCCGGCGTGTGGCTTAAGTACGGCTGAGCGGACGGGAAGCCCTGTTTTCCACACCCTGTGGTCGCATGTATTAGATATGTTAAGAAAAGGAATTATATACGGTCTTAGCTGTGATATTGCATACAATCTCTGCTGTTGTGGATTCAGCTGTCTGCTCTGAGAATCCATCACGTCCATTGTTCCGTGAACATCACAGGCGGAGGCCGCGGCCCTACGCCGTTCTAAGACAGGAGATAGTAGGGAAACCGGGGTTTCGCAGTGCCCCCGCACAGGATTTGCCATAATCAAGTTAGGATGTGATATCTCATAAAGAGGGGGAAATATATAAAAATAGAATAAGAAGAATGAAAGACATATAGAAGACAGAATAGTAGGAGAGGAACAGGCAGAGAAGTAGATGACAACTGGGTAATCAATAAAAGATAAACAAATAAATGACAGACTGAATAGTAAGAAGGAATAGAGATCTTTTTTGAACCCTGGGGAGCCCTAGCTGGAATCAAGTTCATTGTCTTCATAGTTATCCTAGCTCTTTCGTGTCAGGTCAAGGTGTCGAGAGTCTCCACATCTTGATCACTGGTCCGAAACCTGCAGCTGCAACTCTTTTTGTGTCAAGTGTAATGTCAAAGATCCTGGGCGTCTCATCTTCTGTTGAATTCTTGCTAGCGGAACTGTTCACTGTCCTGTCGAGCCGAAAGCCATGGGTTTCCAACGTGGCTCGACACTCCCACTCACCGTTCTTCCGCGGCGCCCAGTGTCGGATTGTGCTGTCGAAGCTGCCTGTGACCACGCCACAGATTGCAGAACGCTTACCAGGCACAAGACGCACAGATCGAACAATGTTAGTGTGGCCTCGAAGACAGGTGACCTCGGTGTCCGTTTGCGTGTCGTATATTCGGCAAGTGTTGTCTGACGAAGCTGATACTATGTAACGACCATCGTAAAGCAAATCAGTTATACCGCTTGTGTGCGTCAGAATCTTGCGAATGAGCTGCCCAGTTTGCAGGTTCCAGACTGCTATGGAGCGGTTGCCAAACCCAGAGATGGTGATATCACCATCAAGAAGCACGCTATTCACAGCTGCATGGCCTTCTTTCAGCGTGGCTAGGGGATGATAGGGCGAGATAGGAGCCTCTGTCTCCATGATAGAGGTGTGCATGTAATTAGGAAGCTCTGAGCCAGGCAGTGCTATTGAAGCTCGATCCCAAAGCTTGATTGTTGTGTCTCTGCTCCCAGTCACCAGCAGCCTGTGATCAAAGGCAAGGCTGAGAATGGTACTTTCATGAGCATTTTCCAGCCTCTTGATGGCATTTCCAGTGGAGAACTGCCACACAAGTATGCTCCTGTCGGCACTCCCAGATATAATAACATCCTGGCCAGGACTGTCGTCAAAATCCAAGCATATCACACTTCCCTCATGACCCCATAGTGGTCCACGTATCAAGCGTTGTGTATCAGCGTTCCACACTCGCACTGTCTTATCGGCAGAGCCAGAGACCAGGTATGAGCCTCGTAATTTGATGGTGTAGACTAGTCCACCATGACCTTCTTCTGGATGCGCCGGGTGAGGCAGCTGTAATTCTTCACTTCTGTGCAATTCCCAGGCGCCTGCCATGTTGGCAACAAGTATGTCAGTCTGATGTGGATGAGCTCCTGGAACACACTTTGAGGGACTATATACTCAGCATAAGGCTAATGAGTTGGTCCTGCGTTCTCCACTTCCACTCAGCGCCTCTTCGCTGCCGTACCCGGTGGTACAAGCCGCCCGGTGGTACAAGCCACAAACTGCGGTCGACGCGTACACCTCGGCTCAGGGGAGTGGGGTATGTGGATGGTCGCTGTGCTAGTTTGACTACCCATGCCTAGCCACTGCTCCCTAGGATGAGCGCCAAGTCTACTAGATCGAGCAGGCACGACTGCCCATCGCTTGAGATCAGAATGAGAAGTAGGCCAGTTCTGACCAGTTGACCATGTATTGCAGCTGTGCATCGCAGCCGTGCTTTGCAGCCACCTTCGTGGATCCTTCGCTCAAAAACATCATGGGACCGTGACATCAAAGTCTATGGACATAGCTCTCCTCTCACGTGCCAGGGCCCTACCCAGGGTCCGCTCTTATGGGTTGGATATGGGAAATGGGAGCCAAAAATGCCGCCTTTCCCAGTCCATGCATAGGCCGAGCGATGTCCCCAAAGCTCGAGATTAGAGCAATTCTGCCCCTTTTTCGCTCTATTCTTCTTCTTTCTTTGGGATATAACGTATATGACAATAGAAACCCAGACTGAGCATCAGAGTTACTAAATTCCAATACCACAATTAGATTTGAGAAGCGTGTCTAATTCTCAGAATTCAAGATTGTCTTGGCATTCTTAGCTCTATTACATAAGCAAACACAGGAGATCGAAGAACGAATCCCGAAGAACCAGTTTTCCATCAATCAGGATTATATCAATATATCATCTTGTATATAATTCCTTTTCTTAATACGTCTAGTACATGCGACCACAGGGTGTGGAAAACAGGGCTTCCCGTCCGCTCAGCCGTACTTAAGCCACACGCCGGCCGGTTAGTAGTTGGGTGGGTGACCACCAGCGAATCCCGGCTGTTGCATGTTTTATTTTTTATTGTTATTCCTGTATTACATCCAAGTGTGCCGGGGACCCTGCGAAATCCCGGGTCTCCCATATTTCCTATCGTAGAACGCCGTAGAGTCGCGGTCTCCGACATACTAATGGAGGGTTTCCTCCCAGATAGTTACGAGAATCGAGCATTCTTTTGGTTTCTAGGTTGCTTCACTAGTATCGTCATCGTATAGGAGCGAGGCTCCATCGTCGTTGTGTTTCTTCTTTTATTATATTGTTTCCTTACTAGATCGTTCAGTGCGTCCATCCCCGAGATCCTTCGATCACAACCCGGTTCCTGTCGCAGGGAACAACCCACGTACGCCCCCCTTTACAAAGGCTAACACACGCACGAACTGATTATAGTTAGTGTCAACCACTGCTGACATGCTTGCTTTTTTTTATTAGAGCAGCGCATGCTTCTGGTGACGTGGCCAAATCGTGGCGCGGTCCGAGGGATCAGTTTTGCTTAGGCCTTAAGAGTTTACTTTGTTTCTTGCTGATTCTCTGAACCCCCCTTTCCGCAGGCAGCATGGCGACCCTACTGGATCACCCATTTTACCCCCCGATCTCAATCCTATTGGCAGCATAGCCAATACGATGAGCATCTCTACCCTGCTTGGAATTTTCGCTGTTGCAACCGCTGGTGTTATCGGACTCAGCTCGGTTGTTCTAAAGGCAGTAAAGCCGAACATATCGCAAGCAGACAAGATTCTGGTAGGATGCTTTGTCTTTAGTAAGTTACCTTGGCCACAGTATCGCCCCATTGGGCTGAGCGGATAACATATTTCATTAGGTGGATGTATACACTTCATTCTGGAAGGGTACTTTGTGTACAACCACAAGACCATGCTGTCAAAAGAACCTGTGAGCTGTAAACCGTATTGTTCCTGAGGTACTAAAAGACACAATGCTTTCGTCAATTTAGACCACTTTGGGCCATATGAACCGGATTGTGTAGGAGTTACACTGTGATGAAAATTCGGAAAGGAGAGGGGCCGAAGGATGGATATAAGATTTAGAGCAAGGCGCGAATTTGGTTGGGGATCTTGGGATAATATGAAGCAAAAATCTAGCTCTCAAAAAGAAGTTCTATCTTATAAATCAGTAATAATTTAATGAAGCAGATGTCCGTTGTTTCTTTTAGACACAATTTAGATGCTAACAAGCTGGCTTCGCTGGGGCGACACCTTATTATCAAGGGGCCAATCACAGATTCCCGATGCTCCCCACCTACGATCTTGCACCTACCGGCGGGCGCTAGCTGGAAATGGGAAAGCGCCAGATGCCGATAGTGTGGTCCACCTCCACTTTCTCCTTTCCAGCTAGCCCCTTCCAGCTAGCGCCCGCTGGTATATCCGCTCGATAGAATAAAATACACACACACTTCACGAAAGACGCACACCGTTGCCACAAATTCAAGTTTACATTCTTTTGGCTCTACAATTGAGCTATATATAGGGCATGAGGCCCTATATTTCTTCTTCTCTTGTTTGCTTAGTGGTGTTGATTCTCTATATCTTTCCTCTCCTCCAGCCTATATCGATCGCCTCTGCTTTCTATTGCCTCCAAAGAGCTGCCACGGGACATTTTCGGCGTTTAAGGGATCGTCGTCGATCGCAGCTTTCAGTCTCTTTTGAGCCCTTTCAAACACGTTAGGTTTGTCTCAAATTTCAAACTTTTTCGCCACCATGGCATGGCAATACCCGTCCGGGCTGGGGGTTAGGAATGTTGCTTGCTGTGAGGCCTCGGCTCGGCCACCAGTCAGCTTCACAGGGAGCAGCATGGGCATCTCATACTCCGCTCACCTCTCACTCAGGGCATGCTCAGAGGTACTCAGGGAGCAGGGGGTGAGCATCAAAACAGAAAGGGAACGTTTATAAGCCGTCTAGGAATTCTTCGCAAACTCAGGGCCAACGCCTGAGTACTCTGTCTGTCCTATTTGTTCCATTTGTCCTGTTTGTTACCAGATCGCCTATTTCTTTGCTTGTACACAAAGCCATCGCTAAACACCTCCTGTTCTCTTCCTTCTCTCACGGAATTCTTCGTGTATCTAGCGTACAATAAATTCTATATTCAAACCCTTACACATGCCTGCGGTTGAGCTGATATGGTGCTGCACTGGTGAGGATATGGGGCAGGCACTCAGGCTAGATTGCATGAGAGTCGAATATGTTGAAACCAGTATTCAGCCAGTTTGGATGATTGGTCCTGATGCCACCTCTTACATAACAGAACCCCAGAAATTGCCTCGAGCTTTTGTATAAAAGATTCTTTGGACACAGTGCAAGGAGTTCTAGTCGGTGTGAGGCAGTTTTGCAGGCCTTGATCGATACCTGGTTTCCACAAGCACCTTTTTTAGAAGCCCCAATGCATGTTCATTGTCCACGGTGGGACTCAACTTATCGTGACGTGGGAACATGGCGTGGAAGGCTGCCATGGCCAACCCTTCTTTGACCCAGGAGACTCTGGGGCCTTCGGCTTTGCAGGAAGGGGGAAGTGGTCGGGTTGTTATTGGGCGGTTGGAAGCGTAAAGATGTCACATATTTCACTTCGATTGAGGCTGTGTTTGATGACCTCAAGACCATCACCGGTGCTATTGAGGTCCGCCTTGCCCGATAACTCTGGAGATGGATTCTCCTGTTGCCTTGCTATTGTCGCATTTTCCCTTCCGCTGATGCGGTTAATATTGGTCTTTTTGGCTGTATATGTGTAAGGGCTGATGGCGGTGACGGCGTGAAGAGGTAATCAATATATGATGGTTGCTGAAAAGCCGCTGTTTTTGGCATCACATGTGCCCAAAAACGGCAGCGGAATGGCAAAACGAAATTCCTATGTGAGAATAAAAACCACATATGTAGTTTACCAACGACCAAGGCTGTTATAGACTGAGCTACACAAGAATATATCCATACATATTTACAGGAAAAGATGGGAGATATTCCGAATACAGCGATAAATCTGATTACTCGCTCACAGGGACTCCCCATCCTCCTCCAGGACTGCTGATCTCCATCATCTCTCCCGCGTCCAACGACAACGCTGCTTTACCCCCCAGTGACATCCGTTCAAAGTTAGTTCTGTCCTCGTTCCATCGGTACACAAAGTTCTTCCCCACGCTTCCAGGACGTCCACCATTCATGCCGTACGGTGCAATGACGCGACGATCACTGAGGATGCTGAATTTCAACGGAATCCTCGCCTCAATGAGACGCGTCGCCCCATCCCCTCCATTGAACAGCCCCTTCCCTCCAGACCTGCGGTTGATGGCTATTTCCCGCACTAACACGGGCGTACGTTTCTCAATCACTTCTGGATCATTGCCTCTGGTGTTCGTCGAGTGTGTCTGCGTGACGCTTTCGCCGTGCCATGTGGGCCCGGCACCGCACCCACCAGATACCGTCTCACCATAGTTCCAGCCAGGCTCTATAGCGCCAGTCACTGGGTTCTTTCCGCCAAGGCCCCAGCCGAAACTGCTAGCACACCCGCAGAAGGCGGCACAGCAGCCGAATGCACGCGAATGGCGTCGATCACACGCTGGCTCGCAAGGGTGCTGCCGCATATGGCGACTGCGGAGCTCGGGGGCAAGACGGACCCGTTCGGGATTTGTATGTCGATCGGGGCCAGGCAGCCGTCGTTCAGAGGGATGTCAGCGTCTATCGGACATCGAGTTGTGTATATGACAGCCGAATGCGTTATGGAGATAGGGCAGTTGAAGTTACCCCACATCTGCGGTCCTGTTCCAGAGAAGTCGTAGACGGCAGAGCCTGTTCGCGGGTCAATGGTGATTTTGCCGTCGTCAAAATAGTCGACTCCAGTCAGAGGCTCCGGATGTGTCTGTGCGACTTGTTTGTGGAATTCTCGGACAGCAATTTCGGCACTCGACTGGATAGCGTTCATGTAGAGATGGACGACCGGCAGAGTGAATTCTTCACATAGTTTTTGCAGGTGTATTTCTCTTTGATTTGACGAGATCTGTGCTTTTATGTCGGAAATATTGTCATCAAGACGGCGCGTTGGGCTGCAGCCGGGGAAGTCCCCCGCCCGTATCAAGACTGCGCGCACATCTTCTTCCAGAAAGACACCGCTGTCGACAATCTTCATGGACCTGACGCTGAGCCCTTCTTCCCACAGCTCTTTTGAGTCAGGCATCATCGATGTGATCCCCTTTCCACCGATATCAGTGTGATGCCCACGGGCTGCCACGTAAAAGGCAATCCTTCTTCCAACGAAAACCGGCATCACAGCCGCAAGATCAGGGAGGTGAGTTCCACCGCATTCAGGGTGATTGGTGAGAAGCACATCGCCAGGTTTGAGCTTTCCGGCCCAGAGATTGTGCTGGTACTGAATTGCATATTGCATGCTTCCTAGATGGATGGGGATATGTGGAGCATTAGCTACGAGCTTGCCCGTTGGAGAGAAGATCGCACATGAAAAGTCGAGTCTCTCCTTGATGCTGGTCGAAATCGATGTGCGTTGCAGAGTGTTTCCCATTTGCTCTGCAATGGACATGAAACGGTGTGAGAAAATCGAGAGCTGAATCGGGTTAACAGAATCTGTTGAAGTTGGGAATCACTCCGGCCTGGATCCTGGTGCGTCCCATTCTTCTGGGAAGTGTTCTCAAGGACAATATGCTCCAGCAAAATGAACGCATGGAACTCAGGCTCCACAAAGATTGTCTGGGTCGAGTCAATGATTAAGGCAGGGCCGGTAATCGCAGCCAATTTTGGGACGACATCAAGCTCATAAATTGGTACTTCCTGCCATGATCCATTGATAAAAACCTTTTGATGCCCCTGGGACTCTGGTACGGTACTGCTGGTTCGGACTTTATCCAGCAGACGGACGGGAGAGACAGCCTGCTCTACCTGGCTGCTACTGCTGCCATTTCCACGGACTTTTATTGAATCAATTATGATAGGCCGTTGTAAAAAAAAGGCAAACTCTCTTAAATGGGTGGCTCTGAATGCTTCTCCATAATCTTCGTTGTCTGGTTTCGAGATCTCAATATTGGTATCAGTTCCCTGCTATCTCAGACTGAGATTCATCGAAGACGACGGTGTTAGGATTAGCCCCCTGACTGACGAGCTCAGCTCGAACCTTCTCCTTCAACCTCTCAAAATGGCTGCGAACTACTGGGAGCGTTTCCGCCCCAAATTCTCCGACATAGGGCTCGAAGACTTCGTGTTGCAGCTCAGCCTTTGAGATACCGACGGCGGAGAGTATGGACGAGTGCTTATGGATCAGAATTCGCTTTATCCCCAGCTTTTTAGCGATGGGGCATCCATGCTGACCGTCTGCACCGCCGAAGCTCACTAGATTGTGCTTGTCAGGAGCGAAACCCCGTGCTTCAGTTGAATTGCGAATGGGTCGACTCATGGCTTCGTTGGCTACATTGATGAAGCCGAGAGCCACTTCTTCCGGGCTTAGGCTCTGGTTGTTTTGTAAATTTATCTCCTTGGTGAGCCCGGCGAATCGTGAAGCAGTGGTCTCATAGCCCAGTGGCTGATCAGCATTCTCACCAAATATGGCAGGGAATGCGGACAGGACCAGTCGCCCAAGGAACAAGTTGGCATCTGTGACAGCCAATGGACCTCCTTTCCTATAGCATGTCGGACCAGGATGAGCTCTGCACTCTCAGGGCCGACAACCAGCATTCCGCTTCGTGTTGACAGGATCGATCCGCCTCCTGCGGCTACGGTGGATATATTCAGCATCGGAGTTGTGATGGTCCTTCCAGCAATAGTGGTCTCCGTTAAGAAATCATATTTCCCATCATAGAGGGAGACATCTGTACTTGTGCCACCCATGTCGAATCCAATAAGGGGCGTTTTATCAGCAGGGTCGAAGCAGGATTTTGCAATGCCGACAACACCACCAGCTGGACCACTAAGAAGGGCCTCATTGCCGCGGAATTTAGATGCAGACCTCAACCCGCCATCGGAGCACATAAACTCGACCCGTTGAGGAAGGACACTGAATCCTCGTTCAAAATCTGCAATATACTGCTGAACTATCGGGTAAAGATAGGCCTCCGAACAGACAGAATTGCTGCGCCAGAGAATTTTAATGGCTGGACTGATCTCGGAGGATATTGTAACATAACGAAATCCGATTTCTCGCGCGATTGCTGCCACTTGCTGCTCATGATCAGGGAAGAGATATGAGTTCAAAAAGGCGATAGCGATGGAAGTGTATCCATCCTGGTGAAGACGCTTTAGGCTTTCCCGTACCTGGCTAACATTCAAGCGTTGGACAATGCGGACTATCTCGCTGCTGGCGGTGCGAACCAGTGCTGGATCGGTCAGCTCTGCGGTCTTGTCCAGGGGGAAGGGATTCAGATCGTAATCCTCCGTGGTAACCCTTTCTTCCACTTCAACAACTTTATCATGCAATGCTCGCGCTTTCCGCACATTCAGATCAAACAGCTTGGGCCGGGTCTGGTCTCCGATGAGACAGACGTCCCGAAAACCCTTTGTTGTCAAGAAAGCAAATTTCTCCCCTTTAGATTGCAACAGCGCATTCGTCGCGACGGTCGTCCCGATCCGGCAAGATGCAATGCGCGATCAATCTAGGGGCTCTGATTTGGGGATGCTCCAGCTTTCAATGACCTCCAGCGCTCGTCGAATAGCCTCCGTTGGGGCATCGCGGTAGTTCTGGGGATCTTCCGACAGCAATTTGAATACCAGTTTGTCCTGGCCTGCAACCTTGACCAGGATATCGCAAAATGTTCCTCCCCGGTCTTTTCAGATTCGCATCTTAGCCTCAGTTGACAGTCGACCCGGAGGACACCCGATGGTCGGATAATGTTTGATATTGACACTTACCAATGGAGATATGAACATCTGGCGGTGCCATGCTTTCTCTTCTGAGTATGAGGAAGGAGACAGGATGATATCGACCTCGCCATCACAAGTCGAAAACTTTTGTAAGTTTCTCCCTCCAGAAAGAATGGGACCCTGTGTTTAATTACTCGTTCTTCGGGGCCCAAAGGGGTAATTTCGTACGGGTTTCCTCCGACAATCTCGATCAAGTCGAATTAGGAGGAATTGCGCAATACCTTTTTTTTTTTTTTTTTTTTTTTTTTTTTTTTTTTTTTTTTCAAAAGGATGTCAGACTACAATACGTTAAATTCTTTCATGATAGCCAAGATGGAGAGGAGAGACAGCGATAAAAGGGTCTTTTTTGCCTGGCTCCTTGACACAGAATGGCGTGGTCCCTGAAAAGGTCTCAAGGAGACACAGTTGAACCTTCAGACCCCGGTAGCAGGATCAACATCGTCGATAACGAGAAAAGCACAGCCAAAATAACCACAGCGATAGCTAGTTCTGCAGAGCACTCGAGTCTCGACGACAATCATGACGCGAAACGGCCATTCCACGACTGGTTCCATTGGCATGAGCCAGGGACCTCGAAAGAAGAGAAAGTGCTCATCTTCAAGATCGACTGGTCCCTCCTCAGCTTCAGCTGTCTGTCCTTCTTCATCAAACAACTGGACGGGAACAATGTTTCGAACGCCTACGTCTCCGGCATGAAGGGGGACCTGGGGTTCGGGCCGGGAAACGAACTGAGCTGGATGAACACGTATTTCAACATTGGGACTATCATTGGCGGACCGTGCTCGAATATGATGCTCACTATTGTCCGGCCTCGATACTGGCTACCCGGCTACCCGGGTGCTTGCTGCTATGGTCCTTCTTCGTGCTCTTCGCATACAAAGCGAACACGGCATCGCAGCTGTACGGCCTGCGGTTCAGCGTCGGCCTCTTCGAGTCTGCAGCCTGGCCGGGCATCCAATACGTGCTTGGGTGCTGGTACCGGAAGTCGGAAATGGCGCGGCGAAGTGGCCTCTTCGTCATGTCCGGAGTGCTGGGACAGATGTTCTCGGGCTACCTCCAGGCCGGGCTGTACAAGGGCATGGACAGGTGACTGGGGCTAGCGGCGTGGCGATGGCTATTCAACTTCGACTTCCTCCTGGCAGTTCCCGTGGTCATATACCGCTTCTTCTTCCTCCCGGACACACCCTACACGACAAAGGCCTTCTACCTGAACGAGTGGGAAAGGGAGCGCGCTCGACAGCGCATCGAAAAAGAAGGCCGCAGCCCCAAGGGCCGATTCAGCCTGGCGGTATTCAAACATATCCTGGTCTCGTGGCAGCTATACGCATTCGCCATCGCCTACAGCCTCTGGACGCTAACATGCGGAAACTACGTGATGCAGTACTTTGGCATCTGGCTGAAATCGGAAGGGAAATACTCCATCCCATAGATAAACAACATCCCAACGACCGTGGGCGCGATTAACTGGTTCTTAATGGTGACGACGGGGTACGTCGCTGACAAGCTGGGACGGCGCGGCCCCTTCTGCTTCGTTGTCGGCTGCCTCCTCACCTTCTGCTACGCGGTGCATAATGTCTCGTCCGCGAACGATAAGCTGCGCATGGCCGCCTTCGTCCTGACGGGCTGCTATGGATGCTACACGCCGCTGCTGGCGGGGTGGCTGAATTCCGTCTGCGGCGGGGATAAGCATCTGCGGGCCTTCTCCATGGCGTTCATGGTTAGTGTGGGTATGGCGGTTGTCATTCCCCGGCAGCAGATTCGGATGCCGAGTGGGCAGGCGCCGGATTTTCAGAAGACGCATGGATGGATCGGGGCGTTGATGTTTGTCATTGCGTTGGCTCTGTGGACTGGGTTTGAAATTGATTTTATGCAGAGGGTTTGTGAGTCGAGGGGGCTGAAGTGGAGGAGAGAATCTTCTGAAGAAGAGAAGTCCGGTCAAGAGGAGGTTTAATAATGTTTCTTTAATAAGATACTCCTATTGGCCTAAAAGATGTTTATGATACCTATCTATGTAGTATCTCGAACGTTACTCCAGTCAACCACTGCAATTGACACATCATCAAGTAGCGAAGGAACTCGCTGTCTCGAAGGGTTACATCTAGCAATGGATATCGTGTAGGTGTCACTCATATTACGCACATCTTTTCCAGCAGCAACTCTCCGAGTGACTCTTGATGCCTCGTCAGCGCTCTCTATGACCAGCCATTTGCCCCCAAACCCGGGGGGAAAAGAAGTATGGCAAATGTCCGTCCTTGCTCATGAACTTTGTAAAACGATCAGCCGGTCAACGAGATGAAAGCAATAAACGCCACCTACGGACTCTGGGACACCGGTGGTCCCCAAACAGTGCCCGATCGCCCTCTACGGTGCCCAATTTGTTCGATGACATAGAGAATTGTTGGGACAGCGCCTACCTCATCCTGGGTGGAGGGTATACGTCAACGTGGCGCAGGGGATGGAATCTCTGAACAACGGGTGTGATCAACCGTGTGATCAACCTCAGGGACTCAGGGCAATCCACGAAAACGGAAAGACAAGCATTTTTGCAAGGGGTTCCACGGCCTTGCGCCGAATGAGAACCTTGGACGGTTCGTGAGCCCCTTGCGTGGACGGGATCCACTGTTCGTTGGACTTTGGGCTGAGTCATGGAAGCATCTCGACTGTTCGAGAGTGCACAGGGCAGAGAGGTTGGAATAGAGATATTGGCGATGAGTGGCCTGTGATCTGTCAATCTCAGACACGAGTTCCCACGGTAGCGCGTAGAACGTGTCGCTGGAGACGGTGTCTCTCCGTACGGAGTAAAGGGTGAGCCCACCGCATCGCCGACTCGCCGCACAAACCGTAGGCACCAGAAGTAAGGGTCTTGATGGAGCGTCGAGTGCAGAATCTGCACTGCAAATTCTGCATCGACCAATCCAAAAAGTGACCAGTCCTGCCGGGGAACTGGAAACGACTGATCAATCATCGCCCACGCACTGCGGAGAAGAGACCCTCCGAGTCCCAGCCTTCTTAAGGTTCTTTTGCCGAGGGGCGAAGAGGGTCACAACGGGGATGGTAACCCGCTGAAATGCCAGAGTGGGGAGTCGTTTCAGGAGTTTCAGGAGGAAATAGTATGCGACGGCCTATCGGAGGGCGTCAGACGGGTTTGCGAAGGGAAGAACCATGGATCCATCTGAGCAGCTGGTGCTGCGTTCTGAAGAAAAAGTCAGCGATGGATACTCCGTACAATGCGGTTGTTCCAAGGATGGATCTTACGCGCTGAGGAAAAGACAACCCGCATAAGTGCTGGATGATGTGTCTCTGAAGCCGAGCTGAATGGCGCGTGGGACTCGCCAAGTCAGGAACCAACGCCACAACTCAGCTTGTTCTGGAGGGAATTGGACGCCTGCAGCGATGGTGCGACAATCCCTGCTGGTCTTCGCTTCTCCACAATCGCCTCTGACCTTCTGACAGGTTGCAATCGGGCGATCATGAAACGCGCGTCGGTGCAGAGCGCAAGCAGGAGAAGATGCATCGCGCTGCCGTGTCACAGCCCAACATTTAAGGGCGCTGTCGCTCTCGTTTTCACTGTCTTCTTCCTCTCCTTCTCACCACGCTGGTCCGCGCAGTTCTTTTGTTCGACAGTCCTTTTTTGGCTTTGCTTGACAGGCTAGTTCCTGCTCGTCCTTCCTTAGGTCTATCGCTTTGTTTGCCTGTGGCAGACAATCCCGACACTCCCTCATCTTCGTCAGCTTCGTCAGCTTCCTTTGTGTGTGCGACAAAAGCCATTGTCCGTCGGCTCTGTTCCATAAAGGTATTGTTTTACTGTTCCGAGCCCCTGTTGTGCCTCTTTGTCGGGTTTCTTGTCTGGTGTTGAAACAATGTCCCTTGTTCTTGCATGCCCTTGTGTCCAAAGACACGTCTGTCGAACTGCATATAAAAACACATTCTGGATATCCCATGGCGTCGGATTTCAAATCAATTGCCATGCTGACTACCTCTCAGGAATCTTGAACTTCAAATCAGTCCCTACTGCGTCTGACTCGTCTGGTACGATCAGAAAATTCACGACAATCTTTACACTTCTCATCCTCGACTGTCGAACTGTGTTCACTCGCCAAAATGTTCTTCAAGTCCAGTCTCGTGGCTGCTGCTCTCCTGGCAGCTTCTGCCGTGGAAGCCCACATGATGATGAGCTTCCCCGTCCCCTACAGCAAGGACACACTCACCAATTCCCCTCTCGCTGCTGATGGAAGCGACTTCCCCTGCAAGCTCCGTGACAACGCTTTCGAGCCTCCAGCTGAGCCAAACGAGTTCCCCGTCGGCTCCACGCAGAAGCTCACCTTCGTCGGAAGCGCCACTCACGGCGGCGGTTCCTGTCAGATCAGTCTGACCACCGACCTGCAGCCCTCCAAGAGCTCCGAGTGGATGGTCATCAAGTCCTTCGAGGGTGGCTGTCCGGCTAATGTTAACGGGAACATGGCCGGCGGTGCTAGCACGCCCGACCCATACGCTTTCAACTTCACCATCCCCGATGGTATCTCCCCCGGCAAGTACACCCTCGCCTGGACCTGGTTCAACCGTATCGGAAACCGTGAGATGTACATGAACTGCGCCCCTATCACTGTTACCGGTGGCTCTTCCAAGCGTTCCGCCGATGTCGACACCCAATTCGACAAGCGGTCCTCCTCCTTCCCTCCCATGTTCGTTGCAAATATTAACGGCTGCACGACCAAGGAGGACGTCGATATCCGCTTCCCCAACCCGGGTGACGACGTAGCGTACCTAGGTGAACCGTCCAACCTCGCACCGGAAGGCCAGCCCGCTTGCACAGGCACCCCTACCTTCGGCGGCGCAGGTGACACAGCCGGTGCCTCCGGCTCTTCTCCGTCTGGTTCATCTAGCTCTGGATCTGGATCTAGCTCTGCCGCATCTGTCCCCTCCTCATCCGTACAGGCACCTGCCCCAGTCTCCACGACCCTCTCCGTCGTCGCCAGTGCCACACCAACAGGAGGCGTTTTCGCCCCCGTCCCTTCCCAGGCTTCTCCGTCTTCTGCCTCTTCATCCGTCGCAGCCGCCGCACCGACGTCCGTCGTCTCTCCACCATCCAGCACTCCGTCCTCGGCAAGCATCTCCATCCTAACCGGCGACTGCTTGCCAGAGGGCGACTGGAACTGCATCGGTGGTACTTCCTTCCAGCGCTGCGCGAGCGGGAAGTGGTCCGAGCCCATACAGCTCGCAGCCGGTACCCAGTGCGCAGTTGGTCAGGCCAAGGAGTTGAAGATTTCTGCTACGTCTGCTTCTAGTTTGAAGCCGCGGTATATGGCTGGTATGCGTCATAGTCGGAGACACGTTTCGCATGAGATGGTTCATGCTTGATTTGGTTCATCCATGAACATTTGGTTACTGACTGAACTCTTATCGGCTGGTTTCGGTGGAAAAAGAAGGTATCAAGTGTCTCGTTGGCAATGTTTGAAATAAAAACTATGTGCATAGCTAGCTATATTTAACATGGATAGGCAGGGCAGGTCTGGGAAATTAACTTGGTAGCGTGATGGGAATGTTATATTTTTCTTCTTCACTTCTTTTATCCTCTTCGTGGCCTTCTTGGTCCCTTTTTTTTCATTTCTTCTGAATTCACTGTCTTCTTACGATTGGTTGATTTCTCTGAAAATCTTGACATGATATGACTGATAAAAAGAATGAATTTAACCATTTGATCTTCTTGATTCCTAGTAAATATCTAACTAGTCGAGGGTTAATGATAATGATGATAAATGATATATGTAGGTAGGTGTCGACAGGTACTGTATGCCCCCTGTGCAAAACCTCTCTGTTCCCATCCTTGCAACCAGAACCATTGTTTTTATTTACTCCGTACTTTATCCTATGAAATAGGGTCCAGATATGAAATATCATTCCAAAGAGCGGTAGGCTCAGCGGGATTCAGAATAGTAGGTGGAGGTAGGCTAACTCGTCTCTTCATTTGTTAAGACGTGGTTATGATCCTTTCCACCAAAATGAGCTTATACCTGTTGGTTCGTTGCAGATGGTTTGCTCCAGATGGCGATACTCTTCTCAATAAGAGCCCGCGAAAGGATATTCAAGGGCGATCATCTTCGGTCAGTCACTTAGATACTTGAAGCGTGAGAAAGAGCTTGATTTATCGGGGCCCAGGAAAATCCTAGGTAATGATGTCCGACAGAATCAGAGACAACTTGCAATCTTCTGCAGCTGTTAATGGGCCAAATGACGGCGTTGCTAGTGGTCGGCCAGAGTAACCCTCCCTTTGGGAAGAAAATTTATTCGATCCGAGAAGAAAACTGACCAAACAGGACTTCGATAAGTCAGGTACCAGCGAAAGATCTTTCAGTGCAGATTTCAGAGGCTGGATCGATCCAGCCAAAACTTGGTAATCTGAACGTTAATAAGGTGGTTTTGAGATTGATAATGGACCATGTCAGAGTTATTTCAATCCATTGCTGGACAAGACGGGTGAATCATGAGAACCATCACTTATGCAGAGAATGTCATCCTCAGAAACACCTGGAAGGCCCAGAGCCCGAAAGAGTCGTTCACGAGGCAACCCTCCATACAGCAGATCCTGGTTAATTGCCCCCCCGGTGGGATTCTGTCTCTGGGCCGCGTTGCCGACACGCACACGCGTATGTAGAGGCGTTCCATCCAGAATCCAGCCCGCTTTACCGGTATCATGGCGGAGACAGTCAGCCATGAGATCAATCCGGGCTTCGATGTGGGAGGCGAGCTGCAACGAACTGCCCCAGTAGTGACCGAGTTCTTTGATCGTGTCCAGACCACCCTGAAGGAGCGCAATGCAGTCCCGTAGGTCGGTCATTAGACCGGCAGCGCTGACAGCGTCCACGGCAGTAAGGATGATGTAACCGAGGAATGGATTCAGATGTGCTGCTTTCAGGGAGAGGAACGGCTCACTGTGGGAAGATCGCGCAGGGCGAGAGCGATGGTCAGCTGTGCAACGGGCTAGAGAGACGCAGATGCGCAGGATCTCCGCGGCGTGGTGTTGGGCATTATGGATGTATTGATCGACTGTTCCGGATGGGAGGTTTCGATACCGAACATATCTGTTGAGCTTCATTAAAGTAACGTGGTACAACAGATGGACTGAAATGAAAGCATCCCCTTTCCTCATGCGGATGCTTCTCTCCAGATTTTCCGTTGTAAATGTCAAGTTCTCGGGAAGTTTCATCGTCCATTCTCCCGCACGCCAGACGATTGTCGTATGGAACTCCTTGAAAATTCTTGCATAGGCATCTGCTGGAATGTGAGGTGAGTAGAAGATGTGCTGCGACACGTCACTCCAGAGTGTCACAATGCTTATTAAAAAGGCCATGAAGCTGAGCCCTGAAACATCTCCTTCCTTTATCGACGATGCCTCCTTATTTAAAAAGTCCTGGAAATACGGCACCGTTCCGTATTCCTGTGCTTCATATATGTCTTCCCGGCACGGTAATCTCAACAGGGCGGTTTGAGACGGAATGAAGACGGATGACGGAGCGTACAGAGTCGTAAGGCGCTAATTATGTCAGTATCTCACATTGAATTAAGGGCGAAAAAAAAAAAAAAAAAAAAAAAAAAAAAGAAAGGGTGCAAGCCGACTCACTTCCACTAAGAAAGCAACCCAAAAGGTTCGCCGACGGCACTCCAGCAGCGCTTGAGGATGTAATCCATACTCGCAAACCTGAGTCTGGCCAGCAGTCACGCCCCCAGACTCGATATTATAGCATAGCCCGCAGACTGTCCGTACTGCTCCACCGATCGAATCCCAGGATTTGACCAAGGCACCTATGGCATAGTACCATAGACTTAAGATGATACGGCTCTGGGCTAGCTGTAAGGTGAAAAGATGCTGGCTGTGTTCAATGGCGTAGCGCGCAGTCCGGGAATATCTTTTCAGGGCCGTCAATTTATCTGGACGGTTGGAGAAGACAGAGCCCAGCGTCATCATCGAATAAAGCAGCATTTTGTCGGCAAGCGATTTCGTCCGAGAGGAATTCAACCACAGGAAGAATCGGCCACGCGGGAGCATGTAGTATAGTGTATCGTTGACATAATTGAAGTATGTCTCGATATAATGAGTTGTCAATTCGGGATCTGCCTCATATGGATCCGTGTTCCAATCGCAGGTGAGCGGATCGTCACGATCCAAGTGCTTCACTTCCATCAGAAGCTCTGCGAAGTCCGGCGACGCATAGGACCCGATGCTTTCAACTTGATGCTGGGGAAGTTCCAGGGAGGACCGGTTAGACCCTTTCAATCCCGCCTTGTGTCCTATTTCCCCATCCGGGGCACCTTCATGGACACCGTCTGGTGCAGATGATGTGAATATGGACGACTCGGATATGGGAGATGGCCCACTCGGAATAGATGTTGGGCTGTTCGAGGTTCTATTCACGGAATGGAAGGGATTGGGAGGCACCGAATGGCTGTTGGAGAATGAAGAGCGACTATCTTTTGCATCCGACCTGCTCGTTTGCCCAGCCTGATGGGACACCTTCACGGCTCGGTGACCCCGAGGTCTCGAAGAGCTATTAGCCGTCGCCCAAAAAGGGGGGTTGGTTTCATTTACTTACGCGTTCTCAAACCTGCAATCTCTTCCGGACTTCTGACACTGGTCACATCTGGGAAGATTCGGTTGGCACTTGATTTTCTTCTCTCTGCAGGTCAAACAGGCCTGGGCCAGGCGCTTCCTGGGCTTGCCAGCCTTTGTGATTCCCCAATTGGCGTTGACTGGCATTCCGTCGATAGACTTGGGGCAATGCGAGCCGTCAGCGTATATGTAGCACAAACCTTCTCCCTCTATGTATCTCTCATCGACCACATGAGGCCGGATTGGAGGTTTCTTCTGGGTGTGATTGCCGGTTGCTAACCCGGAGTCGGCATTACTAGACTGCGAGATGCCCGTATTCTGCTCTCCCTCATGATGTTCATTACTGAAATAGAGATGCGAACCCTCGTGAGAAATCCATGATAATGTACTCAGGTTAGTTGCAGAGAGCGGCCGCGATTTAGCCCCCGAGTCTTGGAGAGCAGCGTCCGACAGCAGAGGCGAACCCCCAGACTGGCGACGCGGGCGGGATTTCTGCGGCGAGGTTGAGTCCCCGAATATGAAGGCTCGAGACAACTTGATACTAAGGCCATGATCGTGGTGGTGAGCGGGTTGTGGGAAGTCCCTGGGAGGAGAGGGTTCGAAGGGCGGGGGGTAGTGAAGTGGAGGGCTCGGGGAAGATGTATGTGTGAGCAGCTGGCTGACTGAAGGTAAGGGTTCATTTCTGGTGGCGGAGGATCGGATATCGTTGGAATGCGGCGCTGATGGAGAATCGCTGCGCTCTGCGGGTGCGTAGTAGGAGAGGAAGGGTTTCGTCCCTAGGGGCAGAGAGGCAGCAGACGCGCGAGGTGGCGGAAGCTGATAAGGAGGGCACCCTGGCAGCAGTCCGTTAGCCGAACGGGCATGGCTCTTGACAGACTGCCCAAGGTAGAACTGTCTAGGATGGGTGACATACCCCCGAAAGTCCCGGTAGATTGAGCGGACATTTGTTTGGCGGTTGGATGTGAGGTGGCAGGCGGGGAAGGGTATTCAGACGATGTCTTCCTTTTTTTTTTCGTTTTGTTTTTCTTTCTTTCTTTCTTTCCTTTTTGAGGCAAGTTTGAAGCACAAGCGGTATGAACGATGCAAACTTTTTGTTGGAAGGAATCTGCTGCAGATCAGAGACACAGTCAGTTGATTCCGCGGCGAGATGGTGGTAGCCTTGAGGGGTGCAACACCTACCGCGCTATCTTCGAATGGCTTTCCTTCCCTCTCAATGAAAGCAATTACTTTTTGTTTTCACCCTTTCTGCTGGATTCAACAGGGACGAATTCTGGGATAGAACGAAGCGACGAGCGAAATGAAGGGATAGTCCTCCGTCTCTTCTTCCCCATCGCCTCCCTCGAGGGCGTGGGGCGAATATCAAACAGATCTACCACTTGGCTCAATAAAAATCCCACGCAATCGTACACAGACTGCCGACTGAACAGAGAGCACAGGCTGATGATGACGGTGTAGATAAGGCGGCCCCTGACTGATTACTCCCCATCCCCATGCAGCCTTTCCCGGAGGGCGTCCAGTGAAGCACGGGCAGGCGTATATGGAAGAATGGCCGTGGCGGAACGGAACCGGTGAATTATGCAGAGCGATAGAGGAGGTGGAGCAAGAGCATGGGCATTCTCTTTTCTGTGGATTATAATATAAAGAAAAGGAAAGGAAAAAGCGTTGGATAAAGTTGGAAAAAGAAAGTAAAGAGAAGGGGGGAAGAATGAAGAAGTTCCTAGAAGGCGAAGCTAGAGTAGGAGGTTAATTAAAACAGATATGGCCCCTGCCCGATCTCAAGAAGAAGAGCCTTGGGATTTGAGATAATATTTATGATCTTGTTATTAAAAAAAAAATTAAGTGCGAGACCATCGGCAGGCTTCGGAGAGGCGCTGGGAGAGAGGGATGTAACCGCGCGGCGGCCCCGCTACAAGATTGCCGTGATGTGAAGGCAGTTAGTCCATGGCTACAGGGGAGATCCGTGTGAGCTGACAATAATAATGACAGTAGCAGCCATGGTCCCTTGAAGGAGCCGGGAGACGGCATTGCAGCAGGATTACCGCGAACCCTGGACTAGGAATAGGGTGTATACCGGTGTACTTAGAAGTTACTACCTAAGGTAGTCCACTGTCGGCACTCGCTCGCAGAATAAGAATAGTACGGCGTAAGATTGCATGATCCGGCATAGCGGCAGCCGCTGGGGGCGAAAGGCACTCCAGAGCTCCAACGGCTTCTCCCTAACATTGGCCGCGCGCTTCGGCCGAAGCACTGCAGAACCCCAAAGTTCCAACCTTTTTTCCTGTCGGATCTGTGCGCCATGGAAATACTGGAGGATGTGCTATGTGGTTATGCTATGTGGTTACTCCAGACAAGAAAAGCCGAGGGTTTCCATGCTCGGAAGATACTACTGCAAATATTAGATACCTACTTCCTAGGACTTGACCCCGGCATCCGTATTACTATCCCAGCACTCCAACCTCAGGATCACAACAGATCTTGGATCCGTATGGCTCGACAGCCACATGGCAAATGGAGCCTTCTAGTCTACCATGATCTGCAACTACTCCTCCTGTCAAACCCAGTGGCGCGATTACTGTCTAGTCTAGTTATATCCTAGGCCATTAGCTAGGCGTTAGAACTAGCAGCAATGATGTTCTCGAGTCAAGAGAATAGAAAGGCTGACAACGTCATGATCCTAGTCACACAACCCCGCCATCCGAACAATCCCCGAGCAAAGCGAAACCGGGTTGATATTCGTCAGTCAGTGTACCTACTACCTGGTAAGTTAGTCGGGACTAGGTACCACTACCTGATCAATGTTGGCATGTCCAATTTGCCTTGCCGGAACCAACTTGCCGTGGGTGGTAAGTGTCCCTTCTCCTCCTCTTATTGGGAGGCATCAACTTAAGCTGCATGACAGGTCTGGAAGTACTATTGTTATTCCTGGGAGGAGTATCCCAATACGATAACGCACGTGGTTCCCTTCCATCCATGGATAATACTGTACACTCTGGTTACTGACAAATCTATAATACTCTGTCAACTACATATGACACTCCTTACAGAATGTGTACACTGCGGAAATATATATGATGCATGCAATGATACATCACCACATGCACCACGACAAATCCGGAAGACAACCAGGCGGCATAATGCCTACATGTACACGGCCACCTCCGATCCCACCTCCATCGCCAAGGATACCTGGAATCCCTGCACGGACCGGCAATTGGTATCCGGGGTGCTGCTACTCCAGAGCACCGCACTTCGCCAGTTCCACCCTCTCAATATTTAATATAGTTGTATATTAAATATTGATGTTAAATATTGCTCTTTTAATACCTCACTGCACCGAGCAATACCCTTTTTGGGAAATGCTGCTTTCCTAGTGCCTACCCTACCGAGTATATCCAAGTCACCTCACCTGCCTTTTCGTAAGCCGATGGCCGGCATAGCTACCTAGTACCTAGTAGGCATCGGGAGGTCTATTTTATCCGTAGGTAGGTACATAACTACTTAAGTATTGTAATGAAATTCCTGTTATTCTGTCATATCAATCAATCACGGTATTCAATATTGCCGGTGGCATACCGAGTCTACGACGGGTACAACCCGAGCGGCCACGGTTGATTGAGCATTCTCAACCCAACCCACACAAATTCCCATGTCAGCATCAACATGCACATCTTTTCAAACTAGTGCTCCTCTATGCTCGAGGCTCTATAGGATCTGCTGACGGACCCGTTCACCATTATCCCACCCACTGGCATAAGGAAACTATAGCTCCAGTACTCCATATGATGCAGCTCATGGCGGTGACCGGTGACCGGTGACCGTGACTATGCTAACATGATCTACATTAGGTAGTCATACATGTAGGATTATATCCAGGAAAGTAAACAATTATGGGGCCATACTCCCAGGCAGCTTCGTTACAAGCTCATGAGTTACTCCTCTATTATCAGTGCGAGTACTACTGGCTTGACGATAGGTTAGAGGGAATAAATAGATGCGGATTTCTTTGATCTGTGACACACGCACTCTTTCAAACTCCTCTAGCTCAGAAAGCTACACTACAGCTACTGGATTGAAAGATGTTCTGGTAGGAATAGAAAGTAATATCAAACGGAATGGGTATTTAGAAAGTAGTTATAATTCATTCACTACCTTTTTTGTTAACCGAAGACAACGAAAACTCATATCAACCAAACCCGTCCACCATAGGCATCCTAATCTTCATGCAAAGTGCTAACGAAAGTCTCAGCGGCCCGGGTAGGCTTGGCGTGTTCAACACCCTTCTGGCCGAGCTTCTCCTTGGAGAAAGCTGCAGCGTAGGGGTTGAGTCTGAGCATGATCTGCTTGTTGCGCAGAGGGTTCTTCTTCTGCACAACTGCACGCTTGGTGCGAGCCTCGCCCTTAGGTGCGCGCAGCACGGACTGGATTTCAGAGGAGTTGATCAGACGAGTAATGTCTGCGTTGGCAACAGTGTTGGAGGGCAGGAGGAAGTCCTTCTTAAGGGCGGAGGGAGCGGTGGTGCTGCCGTAGACCTCATCGAGAGCCTTGAAAGCAGCAGAGGTCCAGACAATGAAGCGACCCAAGTGACCACCGGGGGCGAGCTGGAGGAGGTTGAGAGCGTAGACAGAGGAGGTCTCAACACCGGGGATGTTGCGGAAAGCGCGGACGAGCTCCTTGCCGTCAACCTCAGGGTTGTAGACAACGAGAGGACCACGGCGCTGGCGGAAACGGCGGCTCCTCAGCTTACCCTTACCGGCGCGCATCTTCTTGGACTTCTGGACCTTAACGAGCTCTTCACCGGCACCGACAGCCTGGAGGAGCTTGATGGCAGCCTTGGTCTTGGTGAGAGCACCACCCTCAAAGGTCTTGGATTCAACAACCAGAGGGACCTCAGGAACAGAGGCAACGCGGTGACCACGGGCGAAAAGGAGGGCGGGAACAGAGGAAGCAGCCAAGGCGGAAGCGGTAGCGAAGCGCCTAGAATTGGCACAATTGTCAGTCTACCTGAAAAAAATGTCCGTCTTCAAGAGACTGAGAAACTCCTACTTCTGGCCAAGGTTGATCTTGCGGTGCCACTTTCTCCAGACCTTGGTAGGAGCGAACATGCGACCAGAGCGGCACTGGTTACCGAAGGCAGCCTGACCAGCACGGTGAGTACCACCACCAGAGACACGAGGAATACGGGCGACAGCACGGCCTGATTGACAGTGGATATCGTATCAGTATTCCCAAATTCATAGAAAAACCCAAACATGAAAATTCGATCCCGTCAAGAATTTTTCATTTCCCCCTAAGATCTCTTGAACGTACCGGTACCCCAGGACTCAGCAGAGGTCTGTTCACCAGCCTTCTCGCTCACAGCATAGGGCTGTCTCTTGTTCTTTGCCATGCCGGTGTGAACCTGCCTGTAGCAACCATCAGTTCCGCATCGAAAACCCTCGAATTTCAAGACACGCATACTGGACAATATCCGAACGGATGGGCGCATTGAAGACAGCGGGAAGGGGGTAGGTAGCCCCGCTGGGCTTGCCCTCAGCCGTGGCGATGGTGACGGTAGGTCGAGACGCCATTGTTGTCGACGGATGTGCTGGTCGTTGTTGTCGTTCTCGAGGACTGAGATCCTTTGGAGATGCGCTGTGGATTTTCTCGCTTAGGCGGTATGCGTTGGTGGGTGCGGAAAGCCCTAAGCCCTCATTTCCATTTTGGGTGCCTCTGCATATCCACTCCCGTCTCCGTTCTATTTACTACATACGTTATTATTTACTACTCAATATGCACGTCACGACCAGATATCCATTCAAATTTCGTCCATAAAAAGTGGCTCCAGGTACCGACGAACCCATGCAACCTTGCCTTCTGACGGATCCATGATCGCAGCATAATGCGTCGTTTCGTTCAACACAGGATACTCCGACAGCCACTGGATCACCTCGCTCTGTTTAGCGAAAATGCCATCTGCTTCATCTTCTGATCGTTGAGATTCCTGCGCTCCTTCCGCCTGATCAATCTTTCGCCTTAACCTGACAGATGCACGAGTTCTTCCTGCAGGATCGAAGCGGCTCCCTGTTCCATCCATGGTACTATTTTCTGGCTTCTTAGCGCGCGTGGCCTGGCGAACCTTGCGGTCCCATTTGGCCTGCATGCAGCCCAGTCGTTCAGTACTCTCTTCTATCAGATCGGCAACAGTTTGAACCTCTGATGACATGACCCCGAGGCCTGTGCGCCGTCTTCTTTGGTCTGCAACGGTCTCCGGAGACGCAGAATCTGGCTGCTGGTCGTGGTTTGTGACGGCGATGAAGGATGATGAAGACCGTACAACGGCACTTCTGTAGTCTTTCTCCATGACAACAGTGGTCACCCCGTCGCTGAAAGTCAAGTATGCAGCTGTTGTAGGCATCTGCGCAACTCTTCCTACCAGGTCGTCGATAGATTCCCATATAGCAAGGTGTTCTTCCTTTAGTTTCTCCCGACGCGACAACGGGGATATCGACTTTGATCGCTGACGCGGAGTATGGAGGATGCACTGCCGAAGAAGCGACGAGATTGATTGTTGCCTTCCCAGAAGGATAAGCAAATGGTTGAAATAATACCGGACATTTTTACGAGGATCGTGGACAGGTCGGAAATTCAGGGATACGCTGAGGCCCCTTCTGACGCCGGTCAAGATCCCTGTGAAACCGACATAGGTAATGCTGGTACCCAGCACTTTGTTTACCTCGGGACTCCTGACGTACTCCAGCTGGACGACCAACTTCCGGAGCGGATCCATCCCTTAGTCAAGGGTGCGGAAATGTAGCATCTTCGTCTGTTCCTGTTTCACCTTTACAGCACCGCTGGTGCATCCCATCAACAAGTCAAGTACCACATTGAAGGACACAAGTAGGTACATCTCTATCCCGGTCGCTCGACTGATTCCTTGGAGCTCCTCCGTCTCTTCATCCGCGTAGAGTCTTCGCTGGCAGAGACGAGCGACCCAGTGAACCATGCCCAACGGTATACTAGGGTGGATGGAAATTAGCAATTCATCAAAGAGACCGGTTAGAGACCGCATCTGGTCTCTGTAGCGCATGGCTAATTCGACATATCGCTCGAAAGGAGGGAGTGAAAGATCTATCCTAAAGACAGGGACAGCAGATCCTTCTGCATCCGCCGCTGAAGCGTCATTCATGATTAGAGAGATGTATGTGAATTTGAACTTGAAAAGATTATTTCTTCCATTAGATGGATGAGTAGAAAATCCCCTTATTCCTATGCCATATGACTAGTGAGCTCGTAAGAGCGGTCCCGGAGGCAGTGAGCGTAGAGGTAGGTAGCTTAGCCAACACCTAGGCAATGCTACTTACTGCACACGATATGAAGACCTCGATCGAAGAACTTAATACCGAAAATTCTCGTTGCTCCCTCTTGTAGACTATCTGACTGCAGGCTTAGAATGCTATTAATGTCAGTGGGGCTGACGCCTAAGCTCGGGGAAAACACCGAAGAACCGACAAAACGAAACGCCTAAACCTTTCCGGGGTTCCCCTGGTACAACGGGACCCCTACCAGAGAAGCATACTTATTGAAGCTAATATTTATATAACCAAAACAATGCCAATACCAATGTGCTCGACCTACCGATTAAGCTCCGATAAAGTTAAAGAAGGCATCAGAGACGAGGCCAAAGAAGACTACCTCCATATTTTGGGCTAACTCAATTGGTTAAGCATCAAAACACAGCCAGAAATATATTGCCTTCACCGTCTCCTGGCTGTAACGGAAGATCTCCAACCCAGCCCACAAGACAAGAGCAGCCAAAGGCCTTCTTTCATATCTTAACCGGAAACAGTATAATCGCTTATGGAAGAATCCCAATCAAGTTCAGCCAATCATATATTGTGATGCCGCCCATCAAGACAGGGGCCCAAAACAATCAATTGAATCCACACTGACAGTGCCAATACCATCAAGATAGCCACTGGGCACACCAGCTACGATCCAACTACTAGATGGCTTGATGACCACTATTTCCAATTGACTATTTCCACGAAGCAATTAATAATGGCAATATCATTCTCTGCCCTATTGATGGCATGGATAACCCAGATGACGCCCCTAATCAATCCCCTTGATAAGATGACATTCAATAAATTCAGGGATCTTATTGGCTTAGAACAAGAGAATTATACGAAGGATATTTTGGAGCCAAAAGATGCTGGATTTAAATGATATTCCCGCCAGTACTATGGCATCGCTGAGGGGAGTATGTGTTGTTGATGGGAATCGAACTCGCGGAGTTGGTGGTTGTCCTAGCTAGGGAGTCAGCGCCCGCTGGACTGTGGTGGTATATGGCCAGGGCGGTTCATTACGAATCATCCCTGTCAATACGGTGCTTGGACTGTTAGCCACGGGGTAATTATATCATCTGAACATCAGTAGTTCCGTAAATATGTATGTACAGGCCGTTGGAATGTAGAAAGTAGAAACTGGCCAAATTCGAAGCCGAAGATGAATCCCAAAATGGCCAGAATCAGTCTATTGCGGAGATGCGGATCGCGCGTTGTTTTTCCGACGTCATCGAAGGAAAAAGAAAAACAGGACACCAAAAAAAGCGACACTTCCGCAACAATAATCCCACAACTTGCGATCCCCAGACGCTCTCGAAATGCATCCAAATAGCTCCTAATCGCAAAAGAAAATGGGCTGTGTATCTCCATTTTATTCATAAAAGAGAGAAAAAGCGAAAGAAATAACCAATGCCGCCATCTCCCTCCACCGATGAGAAGCAGGGAAGCGGTTCAGCCTCCGCGGATGGCCGCAGAGAGCCTGCGACGAACGGCTATGGCTATCATCACCAGGGACCAGAGGATCTAGGAGGCAATCCGGACTCCAATGGCGATGAAGCTTTTAATGCAGACTACAGCCGATTGATGAGCTACCCAGGCGACGACGAAGATGCCGACTACTACGGCTTACTGGGGTTGGCCCGCAACCCTCCCCCAAAAGACTCTGAAATCAGGTCGGCCTATCGAAACCTCACGCTCAGTTTCCACCCGGACAAGCAACCGGCACACATGCGCGAGGCCGCAGAGAGGCAGTTTAATAAGATCCACGAGGCATACGAGACCCTCATTGATCCACACAAGCGGACGGTGTATGATCTTCTAGGCGCGGACGGTGTTCGGGAAGAATGGGGTCCCAGAGGTGCTATGGGCCGTCAGGGAGAGGCGGAACGACAGCAGGTGGGCGTCAAAGTCATGACACCGGAGGAATTCCGTCGTTGGTTCTTGAAGACCATGCAGACTCGGGAAAGGAAGGCTGTGGATACTATGGTCAGAAGCAGGGTATGTAGTCTAGCGTTTTGGCGTGTTAAGCTCAAAAATTGCCCATTGTCCGTTCGACCAATATTCTAATGCGAGCTGTGTCAAGGGCACCTTGTCATTTACGGTGGATGCGTCAGACCTGATTTCTGTTGACGAGGACGGTGATGTCTATCTCTATGCTCCCTCGCTGCGACTATCTGAGTATGGGATGGCATACAGCTTCAAGACTCCTATTCCGAATCCAGCGAGTTGGTTTCGTGGCAAAAGTGAACCAACTGAAGAATTGCAAGAAGACAACAATCCTACCGAAGCCGACGATAATAACAATCTGGAAATGGTGATCAATGCTAGCGTTGCTGGAAAATTACAACAAGGAAAGCAGAAATTCGTGTTTGAATATGAGGATGGAACCCAAGAAACACGGGAGGTATATATATCTAGTTCCCCTGCTACAATATCAGGGCCAGCGTTGACTTGTTGTAGGTCCCTATACCCCTGGCACTTATTGCAAAGAATTTGACTCTAGGAGCCAATATCAACTATGCTCTTGGTGACGTTGCGGGCAGAAAGGGGCTGGGAAATAAACGACCGTTCTCATTCCTCAATGACACAAATGTCTCTGCAAGCGCCCTACTATTACCTGCTCCGGCACTTGCATTCAGTTTTGCAAAGGCTATCGCACCAGTTCCCAAGGCGAAGCCTTTTAGTGTCAACCTCAGCACCACCTTTTCTGGATCAATCCTCCAGCGCTTGCCAGAAATTGGACTGAACGTGTCAAGAGCAGTTGGCGAAAGAAAGATAGCGTTTTGCTCCTGGTCAAGCGGTACTCTCCTTTGGCCTTCTGCCAAACCAGAAGAACTTATTTTTACGCAGCTGAGCAAGTTCCAGCTCGGACTTCTGTCATTTCCGGCGAGGCCAACTAAGCCTACGGGGCCAATTGGTGGGGAAGAGGAGGACGAGGAGTACCGGGAGATCCGGCGCAAAGAGCGAGAAGCCAACAAGGCCCGAGAAGCCTTTCAATTTCAGGTTGAAGCTTCCCCAGCGGGCGGCTCCCTGTCCTTCAACTATTCACGCAACATCTTCTCAGGAAAACCGGCCGATGAGCTTGTCCGGTCCGAATGGAGCCCTGAAGGCCATTATGGCTCGTTATTAGAGAGCGAACCGCGATCTGTGCGGCTTGAAATTTCAACCACCATTGGGCTTGACCTGGCTCTTGGATGGAGTATATCTGGGATTCGTCAAGTTGGCGAATTCACGCGAATGGGGCTGGATATCGGCGTTGAAGGGATGAAGGGCCTTGTTGTGTCCGTTTCCTGGCGGAGGCTTGGCCAAAGAATCAATATCCCCATTGTGGTGTGCCCCGTCCAGATGGTCAACATGGATGTCGCCGCTATCGCAGTTATCTTTCCCTGGGTAGCATATTGTGCAGTGGAATTTGGGTTCATTCGCCCACGACAGCGGAGAGAACGTCGACAGGCAGTCGCACAGCGACGGAAGAAGTTGGAGAAGCTGATTCCGCAGAAACGAGCAGAAAGCCAGCAAACTATCGAGCTCATGACAGAGCAAGTTCGCCGACGACAGGCGAGGGAAGAAGCTCAGGGAGGCCTTGTCGTGACCAGAGCGGAATACGGCTACATCCCTCCAACGGAGAGGCGTAAGGACGCCAGCGCTGAGGCTAAAGTCGTCGATGTGACGGTCCCCGTAGCTGCGTTGGTTGATCGCAGCCAACTAATTATCCCACGCGAAACAGTCAAGGTGAGAGCTATATACTCCGTAAACAGGTCAACGTTCTGACAAAACCTAGTTCCACATTGTTGGATTCTACGATCCTGCACCACTCTTGCCCAAGAAATTGAAAGTTTGGTATCAGTTTAATGGAAAACAGCATTTTGTGGAAGCGGATGATTCGGAGGGCATAACATGTCCCATGCGATCCCATTTACTTCGCAGTTGAGTTGAGAAGAGTTGTGTCTCTTAAATAATCGTCATGATTTACTATATAGATATACTTCTTTTTTATTTCTGCTCACTTATCCATTTTCACCTCTCTTTGCTCAAGCGGCATCATTACCATGGAATGTTTTCTCTATATTTGCCCTAGATCAGATCAAGGGCCCTCAAGATGTCCATAAACGATGCCTTCTCACGGATATTGTTGGAGAATCCTAATTCTAGCATATGCTCTCACCCTATTTTCTGAAGTCCTCTTTGGGCGTCTCGAAAGACCACCAGTAGCTCAGACATTCAATGCAATCACTTCTCATTCTGTGTCCTGGTTCCTTATAAAGAATGTTAATCTCCCCATCAGCCACCCGGTATGAGATTTGACTATATGAAGTCTCGAAGTTGCACTGGCAGCCTCCATGGCAATGAGCACATATGGCAGATCCCCCTGTTTCGGCATAGTATTTATTTTGTGAACCTCTCTGAGAAAGACTGAGCGGATCCTTCACCAGCTGCTCTTCTGACCTGCTCTTCACAGCTTCTGCTTTTGTTCTGCTCACTCTCAGTCCCAGCTGACAACTTTCACCTCCATACTGCATCTCACCACCCTGTCAGTCTCCATCTTCCCTACCCCTTTCAGAAGAACTCGAGCTTTCCTCTTTTCCTCTGTAAAATGTCCGCTGAAAGATGCGCGAACGAGAACACTACGGCTCCTGAGCACCCCCAGGATCAGGCTCAGTCCGGAGAGTTCAGATGCGTCGAACGTCAGTGTACTCCGCGTGTGTCTACTTATGCCGTTATCAGAGATCGTCGGGGGTTCCATCGTGGTGGCCGCACAGCTGGCATCTCTTCTAATAGTCAGACTTCGCCCTTTCCATCTTCCGTCCACGTAACTCTGTGGCACTCGGTGAGACCCGCCATAGAATACGATTTCAGCTCTTTTAGCTCGGGTACGTTGCTTCGGTTTCTCTCTTGCACGGTCGTTGATATCATGACGAAACCAGCTGACAATAGAGCATAAAATCAGCCAATGCCATCAGACCGTTTTACTACGTCCCACTCCCGGTTGTCGAAGGACACTTGCAAGATAATTATGGGGATCGCGATGGCTGTCAGACTTGCCTGGCCTTGTGCAATGGGGTACTGTGACTTGAAGGGACCTATTCACAACAACTGCCAGGAGACACCAATTTGCATTTCTTTGTGTTTCACTTTGCTTTGAAAAATCTAAAAGGGAAAAAAAAGGACAAAGAAGAAAGAGGGAAGTTTCAACTAGGTCACTGGCTGGTAATCGTCAAGTTGTTCCCGAGGCAGTCTCATGCTGATCCCTGTAGGGTGTGAGATAATTTATCACTGCAGTTATTGACAAATGTGCCTCAGAGGATGTATGTTCAGAACAGCTATAAGCCTAGCAGCATGGTCAAAGGAAAGAGGTGTAGTGAACAGAGGACAGACACAGTGAGCACACGGTTACCTCTCCTCTCTCTAAGGCAGACGAAATCCGCCAACCGCGTAAATTAACAGAAAAGCCCCAGCCCATCCAACCTCAACCAACGGCCCTCCCACTATCTCCTCCCCATTAATTCAGACCATCCCACATATCTGACAATGACGTCGATTGCAGAAGGCCTTTTCAAATCTCTTCCCAAGCCAAAATATACCGGTGAAAGTGAAGAAATCCCTCAACATGCGCAGCCCCGTGGTCCACGGGTCCTGGGCCCAGGTCAACTTGACGAAACCCAGGTCGTTCTAAGGGTAAGCAGTGAAGAACGGCATCACAAACCCAACATGATCCTACTCTAGAAGACATAGCTAATTTTATTTTTCTTGCGACTCTCGGTATTATACAGAGAACTGGCCCTCCACCATATGGAAACCGTGCAGGATGGCGTCCACGAGCACCGGAAGATTTTGGCGATGGTGGCGCGTTCCCTGAGATTCTCGTAGCACAATATCCCCTTGACATGGGCCGGAAGGGCAAGTCTACTACGTCAAACGCGTTGGCTGTGCAGGTCGATGCGGAGGGTAAGGTCAAGTACGATGCGATCGCACGACGGGGCCACAGCGACAACCGAATCGTACATGCTTCCTTCAAAGATTTGATCCCGCTCCGGCAACGGGTAGACATGGGTGAGGTATCGCTCGACCGACCGTCTGAAGAGGAAGTCGCAGAACAGATGGAGAAGACGAAGAACGCATTGGCGAGTCTGGTATCGGGGGCCGTGGCGGCGCAGAAGCCCAAGAATGTCAAGGGTGGGAAGAGGGCCGAACCGACCTTTGTGCGCTATACACCTGCGAACCAGATGGGAGACACTAGCCGGAAAAATGACCGTATCATGAAGATTGTGGAGCGACAGCAGGATCCTATGGAGCCCCCGAAATTCAGACATAAGAAGATTCCTCGAGGACCGCCATCTCCCCCTCCTCCCGTTATGCATTCTCCGCCTCGGAAACTTACCGCGGAAGACCAAGAAGCCTGGAGGATTCCTCCGCCGGTATCGAATTGGAAGAATCCCAAGGGTTATACTGTTCCGCTAGATAAGCGTTTGGCTGCCGATGGCAGAGGACTGCAGGACGTTACGATTAACGATAAATTCGCCCAGTTTGCTGAAGCTCTATTCACAGCCGACAGACATGCTCGAGAGGAAGTGCGACTACGCGCCCAGATGCAACAGAAACTGGCAGAGAAGGAAAAGGCCCAGAAAGAAGAACACCTCCGTGCCCTTGCTCAGAAGGCACGCGAAGAACGAGCAGCAGTGGCCCCCTCCAGCCGTCGTGAATCACGCGCCCGCTCTCGCTCACGAAGCGTCAGCTCAGCCGCGTATTCATCGCGTTCCGCAACTCCAGAGGAAGAAGAAGCCGTACGAGAACGCGAAGAACTCCGCCGCGAACGACGACAAGAAGCCGAACGGCAACTCCGCCAATCCCGCATGGGCACGGAACGACGCATCCAAGCCATGGCCCGGGAGCAGAACCGCGATATCTCCGAAAAGGTGGCACTGGGTCTGGCCAAGCCCACTCAGAGCTCCGAATCTATGTACGACTCGCGTCTATTTAACCAGACCAGCGGACTAAACGCTGGGTTCAACGAAGATAATCCCTACGACAAACCGCTCTTCGCCGCGCAGGACGCTATCAACAGCATCTACCGCCCACGGGCCCAGATAGACGTAGACGACGAGGAGGCAGCTGAGGGCGAGATGTCGAAGATCCAAAAGACAAATCGCTTCGAGGTTCTAGGAAGGGCGAAAGAAGGGTTTAGAGGTGCCGCCGAAGCTGATGTAAGATACCCTTTCCCTTGTATACAGACAAAGCTAATCAAATTTCCCTTTCCCCCAAGCAGCAACGTGAAGGACCAGTGCAATTCGAAAAAGACACAACCGACCCCTTTGGCATCGACAGCATGATCGCCGACGCAACTAAAAGCTCCAACTCAGGAGGCGGACAGAAACGCTACGGCATCCAGGAAGTTGAGCGGGAGGATCGCGGATCCAAGCGCGCAAGGGTCAGTGATGATGAATAAAAGAAAAATTAAAAACCTGGGTCGGTGTTGTCTTCACTTTACATTAGGGCGTTCTTATGTAGAATGACAGATTATTTTTGTGGGGTTTTCGGGGTCATCCGTACTTACTGGAATGGAAATTGAATATACCCGTATTATATATTTTCAATTGCTTGTATGGTTGCCTATGTACAGGGTTTCCTATGCCGCTTCTTCGGTTTGTTCCCCCCCGATCACTGGGTACATCTGAGTATGCCCTGAGTGTAGCCTCAATAAAATGCCACCAGCTCCAGGGTCTTGGGCCACATCATTGTTTCAGCTTCAAGACTCAAATAAGCAGACAGATATTTGTACATAAGCTTCAATGAAATCAAGAAAATGACATGTAAGTGGCAGAAGGCAAGGTAGGTCATGCCAGCAGGCAAATCAATGGAAGACTATACAATGATTGCTGTTAGCCAAGCTGCCATAATCACAGATTGTCACGGAGCTCAACCAGACGATGAATAGGATGCTATTCAGCTATCTAGGCAGCTATCAACGAGAACTTCAAGCATGAAGAGGAAGGAAAAGGGAAGAGATCTACGTGAAGCTGGACGACGTACTCCTATCCACGCGCCACGCTAATCCAAGTAAGGAAGCTCACGTGCTCGTCCTGGTCTACATGGCAAGGGCCCTGACACAGATCAACAATTGCAATTTAGGAAATCAGTTGGTTTCTTCTTCTCTTTTGCGCAGTGGGGAATTGAAGTGAGTAAAAGTTGTACTCAGTACAGCGCTGTATAGCAGCTAAATGCTGTATGTCCCAGCTGGAGTCCGGAAGGAGAGATGGCAAGTGTTAATTAAAGACCGCTGAGGATAGACAAAAAGCATAATAGGAAGGGAAACGGACTTTTCAAATTAATAACGCTCCAATTGGAGTGGGAGGTGAGCACTAAGAGAGGAAAGAGAATCTAATGCAATAAAGGAGAGTGTGGAGAAAAACTGAGTGGATGGCCCAGAGAGGGAGTGATCATCTAATTTATATCTGAGATGCTATGTGTTATGGAGCATAGGGCCAGGAAAGGTAACACAATGTACAATATACTCAGTATCCTTGGAGAGGAAAGAACGATTCAATTGAGAATATGAAGTTCAGTTTTTTTTTTCCCTATCTCTCAATATCTTCTATTCATATCCTCATTTCCTTTAGGGCCGGATCTCAGGTTGACTCGAAGGGTAGGAGGTTGGGTAATTGCCCCTGTTCAAGTAAGGTAATGTAAAAGAGGGGCGTACGTGCGGTGTTCCCTGTGAAAGGAACCGGGTCGTGGTCAAGGGATTTCGGGGTGAAGGTGCTGAGGCGATGTAGCAGTACAACGCGGCGTGAAGCAACTTAGGAAGGAAACAAAATAGGTTAACAAAAGGAAGAAGACAATAAAATTGGAGTTGAGCTCTGTACTATGCGATAGTGACAATACTAGTGAAGCAAATTTGAAAATGAAAAGTACGCTTGATTCTTTGAAACTACCTAGGAGGCAGCACGCCTTAGGTATCCTTTTGCTATGGACTCCACCATACTCGAGTATGGCGGAGCCTGACCGTCCATCACAGTACGAAACATGGGGTGAATGTTGGAGTGAACAGCAGGTAAGATGTTGTGATGATCCACCCCATGGGACTACAGTGTTGATGGGTGTCATGACGCTCAAATCTAGGAAGAATAGAGAATGCTGTCCAGCTATCTAGGCAGCTATTTCACGAGAAGATCACGCATGGGGAAGAAAGGAAGATCAGTACAACGGCCAGCAAGTATCTCCTGTTGGTTCCCATAGCCATCTCCTTCCTGGTTAGGGTTAGCCCCTATTAGTCAGCATAGTCATGGAGACAACCAAAAATGAGAGTGGTTATCCTGGATTGGGAGAAGTCAGGCTGGTATCCAAGTTACTGGGAATATTGTCTAGCGGTTTGTGCATTACAATGGGACAATGACTGGTGTCTTTGGCTTAACAAAGATCGGATCCATTTGCCTCCGAAGTTGCCTGGCTGCAAAACATTACGTCTAGAACTGTGGTTATGAGCATAAGAAACAAGATCTGCAATTTTAACTGGATTAAAAGTGAACTACTCTTCAAGAGCGCTCGCCTTTGTCATGCCTCAGGCACCAGTCCCTGTAATGAAAATGAAACACCGTCTTTTTAAGTATTTCCAGGAGTCCTCTAATTCTAATGACAACATTGAGACATCTTTCCTCGAGGCGCTCATGGCCTTCAAAACTCTTCCAATCGCACGTAAAGACCTGGCTTTCTTGATTCCCGTGAGGAGTCAGCCTTCCTGGTCATGCTTCAGCTTCAGATAATAGTTCAAGAACCTGTGGATATCACCAGGAGTTGCTTGATGGAGGGCTATCCCTGCGTTCTTCCATCTCGGACGAGCATCAGGCTCAGCTGCCTTTGTGCGACAATACCTCAAAAAGGGTTAGCATTGGGTGTGTTACAACATCCTGGGCGCCAGTGGAGTTTCTTGTGCCGACACTGTTCAATCTGGACTCTTCAGTGTTTGGTTTTCTTTGACTGCCCATAACCAAGTGGGATGTCCCTAAGGTCCTTATCTATATTGTCGTCCGGGTCGTCACTAAAGTCCGGTAGGAGGCCGGTGTTGGATGGCTCTTGTGCTGAACCTTGAGGGTGAGAGGCCGGCCGGCCACAAGGGGGTGAATGTGGAAGATCCGGTTCAGTCAGTTCTGTCATTGACATTCCATCCAATATATCTCCCGAGTTGAGCTAGAAGGATACGTCTAAGGCAATGGCCCCCGCGTCGGACTCATCTCCCAGATAGAAAATATCTCATCTATTTCGATTCATTTCATGCGGTGTGATCCAAGAGAAGCCAGCAGAAGATGAACCGTGTTGACACTGAGATATGATAAGAAGAAAAGGTGTCTGCACTTGAATTCAGATGCCGTATAAAGATGCTAGGGAAACAATACAGGATCGTACTGCTCTCGTGGGCTTGTGAAACTGGAGACTTGAAAGACATCAGAGGAAAATGGGGACGCTTTTATAGACCACTCTGATCCATAATGGGGAGAAGTGGCCCCTAGCGCCAGCAGCAGCTGGAGCAGCAGGCTCATTTTGGTGTCCTCACGATGCCGCAGAAGGGGTGGCCGAGTCGAAAATAACAACCGAAGCAGTTCTCGGGTGAGACGCAGTTGGCGCTACGGTTACAGGCAGTGAGGAGTTCAGTTTACTAAGGCGACTGCATGAATATCACATCGGTTACCCCACAAGCAGCAATGCTCCCTGATCATGTGGCTGTTCAGTTAGGTCAGTTCCACGCAGGAGAAGGCTCGCTCCACTGATCGTTGTGCTGATCTTCCTTTCTTCCCCATGCTTGATATTCTCGTTGAATAGTATTCTCTAATTCTTAGATTGAGCGCCGCTACGGAAAGCCTTCAACCTGTCTAGCGTAGATGTATCCAATGAATAGATAGATCATTGACCATATGTAAGTAACAATCTGCTAACATCTGATAATCTTAGATATACATCAATGAAATGTCCAGGAAGTCCTTGAATAAAACAACAAAGATAAATACAAAATAGGTCCTGTTATCCCTATCATGTATTCAATTGTGATAGACATCATGATACCTCCCCTTTTTTTCTGGTTTTCCATATGTAAGGATCTGATCCTAACCTCTTCATACCCATAACTCGCGATTAAACTTAAAACATGGATGCACCATGTCAGTGGCAGTGTATTTCATGAAACCAGGAAAGAAAAAGATAGAAAATAGCAATATTAACCAAGAGGGAAATCCACATAGCAAAAAGACCAAAAACAAACTTTTTATGGTTTCCAATCTCCCAGACCAAACTCCAATCCATCCATGCAAGGAATTCGAGATGAGGTAAAAATAAGATACAAGAAACAACAGGCTGGAAAAAAAAGGAAGGAAGAAAGAAAGAAAGAAAAGAAGACTGTAGCAAGAGGGATATCGATGCGCTCAAAAGCTGAAACTGGGTAAAGGGATGGAAAATTTTTCCTTTTTAGCAAAGAGTGCGTTTCGATCATCTGAAGTGTAGAGGTTTGACTCCTTTTTTTTTTCTCCTTTCCTGGCTTCAACTCCCTCCAAGTTTTTGAGATGCATATGCATACTTCATCCTTAATCGACTGTCGTGATATTTTCGAGACAATTCGTGTACTCAGCCTCATTAAAATGGTTCAGGCTCCCGAATTTCGCCCTCCAGTGCATCCACAGCACGGTCAAGTTCCGGCTCACCGACGATGACGGTTCCAGCTCGAGCGGTACTGAGAAAACTGATCTCGACGGCGTCCAAAGAGGTGTCCAAGTCCGGTTCAAGATGATGTGAGGATGTCATAAGGTCACTACTGGATGATTGCCGTTCGTAGAACGAGTTAGACGAGACGAAAGACTGGGCCATGTCTTCCGGGTAGCTAGGGAAGTTAATAGCATGGGCCTTTTGGGCATGCGTGGCTGCTGCCAACCGGCCAGCTACACCACAGACAATGCCCGTCGCCTCGAGAGGGAGGTCGCGCAGATCGAGAGTAATAGGTACGAGAACATCCTCCTTCGACCCCAGCAGGACACTTGTTTCTCCCTCCGGATCCACGAGCGAGGAAGGATCGTCCGAGAATCGAGGCAGGAGCCGCTTTTCAAGCAGGAGGGATGCTGCTGGGTCAGTCGCTGTTAATGTCAAGGACAGGAATCGGGGATTGTCCACGAGTAATGCTGTGGTAAGGGCTGGGCGAAGGATGGATGTGGAACTAGAGTTGCTGCTGTACCGGTGGTGGGCTGCGCACTGTACCAGGCGGAGAGATTTATCCACCGACGGCACGATGTGATGTTTTCGTAAAGAGCAAAATGTGCGAGTCTGCAGCTCTTCCAGTGTGGACGGCGGTGGTGTGGGAGGCGGAGAGTTTTGGCTGGTGGGAGAGCGTGGTGAGCCGAGGCCAAACCCGTTGCTGTTGGAATGAATATGATTGCCATTGACAAAAGCGTCTGTGGACGTTTCGAATTGAAAACCACGCTTCTCCAAAGCCCGGATAACCTGCGCTTTGGAACGGAGGGGAACGACGATGTAGTCCGAGAAGTAGGTTGAAATGAAGAATATGGAGCTGCGGGAAGAGATCTATCAGCCCTGCCATTTCTGATCGGATCATACGAAGGGGAGAGAGGATGGAAAGGATCAATTTACATTCCCGCCATAGCCAACGGGCTTGTTAGTTCCAGTACTCGTTGTCCTGCGTCCAGACCTTCACCGTAAACCTGCATGGCGATGTAGTCATCTTCGCTGATAGATACGCAGTTCCTCGGAAATGCGTTGACCTTTCCAAATTGCTCAACCAGCGGGGCGAAGTACCGATCAGCCAGATGCCTCGGACACATCACAGAGCACTCGACAGGGGTGATAGAAAGATTTAAGAAGGCGGGCTGGTCATCGTTGGCATCATCCGTCTGGTGGCCATCGATGGGAGACACCTCATGGAACATGAGCTGGAGGATTGGCTGAAGGAAGTAGGGGTAGATATCCAGCGGGATATGAACCAAAGCCAGCCTGTCGTTCTGCACCACGACCGTTGATATCAGCGAGATAAATTTCAGACTTGCAGCTAGGAATAGCCGCTTGGGGGAGGAAGGACGGAAAAGAACGAGAAAGGGGTTGGGTTGTTTCCAGTGGGACAAGAAAAGGCTGTAGAAAGGGATGAACTCACCAGGAACTGGACCTGGGCAGAGATGAGAGACAAGGACTGCTCCATCCTGGGTAGAGAAGATGGGAAATAAGACTTGAGATGGCGATGCAATAACTTCGCAGGATTGAATGAATAGCAGGCAGGTCCAATATGGCCGTGATGACGATTGCCACGATAAGAAGCACCCAGCTGGAGACAGAGGTGTAATGGATGGTGATAGCTGTGAACAGGATGCTGAGAAACGGGAGTTCACAGAAGAAGCCTGGTTACAAGGCTGGCTAAGCTGACACTGATAAGAAGGACAAGTCGTGTGATGGATGCTCAAGCTTAAAAAAAGCTCATGAAAGAGGCATCTGGAGGAACGAATGGCACCTGAGGGACAGAGTGGTGAGCAAGAATATACTCCTAGACAGAAGCAGACGTACAATGAGCATGATTCGAAGCGTGCTTTTACGCCATCAGCAGCTGAGATGGTACTATGACCGCAGATCAATGGAGGGTAAGGCTGACGTGATGGCAGGATGAAGCTGGAGGTGGAGAGTAAGTAGTAAGAACTTAAGAAGTATGCAGGAACTGGACTGCAGGATGGAGATGAATAGATGGAATGAGTCAACCGGAGGCAGGAATGATGGCATACAATGCCGGTGCCGATATAGGAGAGCAGAACAGGATGGGCAAAACAGAAAGGACAGAAAGAGGAAGAGGAAGAAGGAAAAAAACGAAAGAGAAAATCGCAGAAAAAGAGGTTCTTCAAGCAGTGATGGAGAAGAGCATTTTTCAGCAGGGTCTAATAGTAATACCACATTGTCAGCACTCTTTTTGCAGTACTACGTGTGCAACTCAAGAAGAGAAAAAATAATAAATAAATAAATAAATAAAATAAAACGAATAAAGACAAAAAAACGAAAAGGTCTCCACAGCGTGCTTAATACGTATCAAATGAAGAGCGATTATTGAGGATATTAATATTGCATGCATGGATGATTGATGGCCATCACAGAATCTGTCTATCTATCTGCAAACTCAAAGCCTTCAGATCAGCCACCGCGCTAGGCGCCCAAGCCGACTGAGTGTTTCCAGGATGCAAAGTTAAAGTGCGCCCTCGCAAATCATAATCTTCATTTCATACTGCTGCTGGGACTCGATGATCGTCTGGCAGCTGTCCTGTGAGCGTGCCTTGCTTGATTCCAGGGTGAGTGAGCCGAGAATGAGAATTTGAGAATTTTCAGAAAATATACAACAACATATTGATATACTACGGAGTATATGTATAAAAATAATAATAAAAAATAGTAATGCCATCAAATAGGCGGTTATCAGAGGAAAGCAAAGGATAGAGAACAGACGGCAAAAGCAACACCAAGAGGGGAAAAAAGAGGGGAACAGTGCCTCCGTGCGCAAAACGCAAAACCAAAAACACCAACGAACTGACTCTCATCTGCGCCTGCAGCGCTTCCAAAAACCCTTTCGGTTGTCGGCTCCAGCTCGTTGCGGGAGATCGACCTGGACATGGACAGTATCTTGCGTTGCCTCTGTTATGGATGTTCCAACTTCCTGCACGACATACAATTCTTTTTAAGAGAGGGTCTATTAGACTAGTAACGGTGTATGGCCTGTTATTTCTGGGCATGTTCTGGAGTCATCCCACTTTGCTAATTATTATTCAATTGCATTCGCATATTAAATGCTGCTGGGAGAGATAAAGACGACCCCATTCTGATCCGTTGAACCTTTCGCGATAACAGTATTACTAGATATTAAGCTTTCATTAAAATAATGCTTCGGAATCTGTCCGCTCACTCGACCCATGGATATTCTTAGGATATTATCATTGAGTCCTAGGTACGGAGTAGTTTGATATTAATCGATAATCCTCCGGATGGACATAATCTCGTACATTCCCGTCTTCAACACACGATGCTTCTCCACTTGGTCCCCGCACTTGCCCTCGACAACACCAACGGCTCTGCTTAATACTTGTCAATCCGATAGGAATTCTCCGGACTGGCAGCATAGCATATATTCCAGCGTGTCATTGGCATCGGTCTCGCTGTCGTAGCGCTGACATTGTCGAGTGCGACTGTGTCATACGTGACACCATACACACACACACCATGCACACGCCCTTCAGGCATGTCCGCAGATATAGTGATGAATCCGAATAATTTTTTGCCTTGGTCATCATATATGACACGACATCCTTGTGTTAGACCATTAAGCTCCCGCAGCGTGGCAGGTTTCTTCAACCGTACACCTTGACCGTTCCTGCATGAAATCTGGTCAGCACAGCAATCCTACTGGCCAAGGGAAGGGCGAGAAAAAAAAGAAACTCACCATCAGAACAACCACCCGCCCAGCACCCTCCTTTCTCATTCCAGGCCACACAACTGACCACCTTAACCCCTTCTCCCGCAGCCACCGTCGCCACGACCTCCCCACTCAGTACATCCCAGGCGAAAACATGCGCCTGCTCGCCCTTCTCAGACTCACTCCCACTCAGAACGACGGCGTCCCCCTTCGCAAAAACAGACCGGATCCTTAATTCGGTATTCCGGTACTTTGCAGCCGCTGCCGCCGCACCACGGCCTCGTCCTTCGCCGCCGCTATCCGCCCCCCCAAACGACTTGAGCAATTTCCCATCCGTCCGGTCCAGCATTCGAATCCTCCCATCCAAAGTAGAAGCGAGCAGGGCATTCCCATCCGCAGAACAGCGCACACTCGTCACCGGATGCGCCAGAACATCCACCGTCGCCCGGCCTATGCGGATGTCGTAAACACGCACACGACCATCATAACTCCCACTCGCAATGGAATACGTAGGCATGTGAACATGCAGAGAGGAAACAGTATCACTCGCTTCAGTAAGCGTCTGGATGGGCTTGTGAGAATTAGACCGCGTATCCCACAGATTAACCGTAGTATCTGCGCTACCTGCAGACCAGTTAGCTCCAATAATTAGAATGGAACAAAAATCTTACCAGAAACAACTACTGCATCTCCTTCACCAGCAAATTGAACCGCTTCCACCCGTCCACTATGCCCACTCCATCTCCGTATCGTACCTCCCTGCTCAACATCCCACAGGAAGACCAACCGATCCCCACCAACGCTAGTAAACCGTGAATTGTCCGCGGCAACAGCGACATCTAACACAGAGTACCCATGTGCTTCATACTTTTGGATTGGAGACGTCGTCTGCGTGCCTGACAGGCTACTGGAACTAGAATTCGGAACAGCGCGCGACAGGTGGATGGTGCGATCGGAAGAACCTGTCAGAAGGTACGTGCCGGGATAGCTGGAGAAGGTAACAGCGTTCACAGGCCCTGGTAGAGCGACACGTCAGACAATCAGGTCAGCAACAGTACGCGCGCCCTTGTAGGACGCGATGTCTAGGGACGTTTTGGGAAAGTCGCTTTACCATTATGGGTTTTGAGCGTGTGAATGGGCCGACTAGGGAATTGCGTTGTTGGAGGCATGGATGCCAATCAGGCCAGATCGTGTTCGTTGACAATTGGGGAATACGCAGAGATGCAAGCGATTCTATCCGATGGTTTGAATTCATTTCGAAGCTGTCGCGATAGGTCTGCGCTCTGACGTCCACAAGTGCCGTCTCCACCACTCCTACGTCACGGTCTACATTCCGTTTTAACTTTCTAGTATGCACATATTAGAAAAAAAATATAGGGAATTAAGTCTGCGTTAACTCGCTACACTGAACGGGTTATTACAAGGATGTAAAGGGACGATCGCTAGTAATTAAGGGGATAAAATAGAAAGCACCGTCGGACATGCCCTCCCAGTGCGCACGCAATAGTGTCTTCCCCGAGAACACAAAAGGCCGACAAATAGGGTAGTCAGAAACAAAATAGAGTCGAGACAGACAAGCAAATTTATTCTCCTTTTCACCGCTGCACCCGAGTCCACCATCCCGGCAGTGGTCGGATTCGAAACACCTCTTAACGGCGACCGTGGCTCCGGGCGGAGGAAGTCTGCAAATGCTCGATTTCTTGCTCGAGTTGTTTGATTCTGAGACATGGCCAGTCAGCTATTGAAACCGCAGATCATAAAAGAGATAAACATACGCAGCATGGGTGGATTCCAGGTCTTTGTTGAGGCGGTCTCGCTCGGAGATGAGCTTCTGCTCCCACTGCCGGAATCGTTGCTCCTCGACCTTGACCTGCTCCGTGAACCTCTTGCGCAAAGCTTCCTCTTCCTCCTTGAACTTGGGGTTGTCGAGCTTCCTGGGCCGCGCTTCGCCGAATTTTCTTGTCTCCATCTGCTGTGCACGGTAGGCCTCGTAGTGCTGCTCCTCGGTTGTATGAATGAGATCAAGCATGTGGGTACGGATCAAGATCGAACGAAGTTTCTTGAAGTCACAGTGGTCCTCATTCTCAACTTCAGCTACACCCCAGGAGTATTGGCGACCCTTGACAACACGAGAATCTGCGGTCTTGACATCCTTCTCGGATCCAATAACCGAAAAGGGCATGGCAGCCATCAAACTACGGGCGTGTGCAGCAGCATGTTCATCATCTTCTTCGATCGGTGGCGTGTAAATTTTGATTCCCTGCGCTTCGATAACCGCACGAATCTAACAGAATTCAGTATCAATCGCAGAAGTACACGCTACCGGTTAACTCACTCTCTGCTTGAACCGTGCTAGATCAGAGGGGCTAAGGGTATCGGCCTTCGCAATGACGGGTATAAGGTTGACACGGGTACACAGGCGCTTCATCACCTCGATATCGAGCGGCTTCAAGGTGTGCCCAGTGGGCCTAATGAAGTACAAGCAGCAGTGGACACGCATGTCGATCTTGTCCTGACGACGGGGCTGCTGCTCTTGCAGCATGTACGACTCGTGTTGGTCATCGAGGAACTCGATTATGGGTTGCCAGGAATCACGGTTGTTGACATAGTCTCCGAAGCCAGGGGTATCAATAACAGTCAGGCGGACTACACAAGGAACGTTCTGTCAGCCGGCGATATCCAAACAGGCAGAAGCCTTTTAACGACCTTAACGGACCTTTGAAGAACTTCTCCTCCAACTCAGCCTTAGTAATTTCGATTTCAACCGTACGATCGATCTGTTTCTGGTGACGGCGCTTGTGGTCCGCATAGTTCTTAATCGTGGTAGAGAACAGCGTGTTGATGAAAGTGGTCTTTCCCAATCCCGACTCTCCAGCAACCTGCGAACGTCAGATCGCGTGCTCCCTCTCATCATCTTCTCGGAGGACTGCTGAAACTGACCATAATAGTAAAGGCCGCACCCCTCTTAGCGACAATCTTGTGTCTGTATTGATTTAATTAGAATTTCGCCGCATTCGGATGTCCGACGAAGGATGCCTAACGAGGGATACATACCGCTGGTTCGGGAGCTGTTCGAGAGGATAAGTTAATGCGAATGCCTGACATATTATTGTTGGGAGTGGTTACTTACGTTGGCAATGCCAATGGGAGACGCTGACTCCGTAGACATGATGGTAAAGGGGGTGCAAGGACACCTATAACGAATGGAACAAGTAGGGAGAGGAGCTCAAAGGTATATAGCCCAAGAACAAAATAGAAGAAAGGGTAACGAGGGGGCAGCGAAAAGAAGGATAAGGAGAAGGAAAACAAAGCTGTAAAGGGATAGACGGACGTTGGATTAGGTTGGAGAGCTGCTGCGAGCCTGAGAGCTGCTTCCTCGACTTGTCGCTGCCCCTGAACGCTGTGGAGAACAAGCGAGAACTGTCACTAAGAAGGCGGGCGAGGTCAGTACCGTATCGTACGGGACGATACCATACCGTACTGTAAACGACAAAAAACGCTAGTCTTACTTAGGACTAGTTTCGGATTAATATCTTATCGCGCTTTCCGTCGCCCAATCCGGAAATATTCTGAAGTCTCAAAAGATCTGGAAATTTTTTTTGAACGCATCGCATCGCTGTGGAGCTGGAGCTGTCTTCCCAGTATCTCAGCGACAATGAAGACGGATTTTAAGGTGCGTATATCGCTTTTGATTTAGATTCCCAATGCGCCAACTAATTCTCGCTGTCGATAGTTCTCCAACCTGCTGGGCACGGTCTATCGCAAGGGAAATCTTCTCTTCACTCCAGATGGAACGTGCCTGCTTTCCCCTGTAGGAAACAGGGTCACAGTCTTTGACCTCGTACAGTCAGTGATTTCCAGGACAAGTATATTAAAGTTGAGAAACATAGGGCCACTATCGTGCTGATTTTTCGTGTTCTACAGTAATACTTCCTATACCCTCCCATTTGCACATCGCACGAATATCGACCGTCTCGATATTTCACCTCGAGGAAATCTCTTACTTTCCGTTGACGAAAATGGTCGTGCCATCCTGACGAACCTCTATCGCAGAATTGTGATGCACCATTTCTCTTTCAAGTCTCGAATCTCCGCGCTGAAATTCTCACAAACTGGTCGGCATTTCGCAGTAGGCGTGGGAAGACGACTGCAGATATGGCATACCCCTTCGACTCCAGGCACTGACAATAACGGCGAAATTGAATACGCGCCATTCATTCTGCATCGTGATCTTGCCGCCCATTTTGATGTGATTCAAAATATTGAGTGGTCTAGCGATTCGCGCTTCCTTCTCACAGCCTCTAAGGACCTTACAGCGCGAATATGGAGCTTAGATCCAGAAGAGGGTTTCGAGCCAACGGTTCTGGCGGGGCACAGACAGGGGGTTAAAGCAGCATACTTTTCAGCGGACCAAGAATCTGTGAGTGAAATTCAGTTGTCGCAGTTAGGGCGTCTTCTTACCGAGTCCTTTAGATTTACACCGTCAGTCAAGATGGCGCTCTTTTTCGATGGGAATATGTGACCAAAAATGATCCGGAGTCTATGGAGGATACTTCGGATGCTCGTTGGAGAATTGTGAAAAAGGATTACTTCATGCAAAATGATGCCAAAGTCAACTGCGCCGCTTTCCACGCGGAGTCAAATCTTCTAGTTGTGGGCTTCTCGAACGGCTTATTCGGCCTATACGACCTCCCAGAATTCCACATGATCCATATGTTGAGGTACGCTGAATTTGCCCCTTATCTCAGGACAAAACTGACTGAATGCAGTATTTCTCAGAGCAAAATTGACTATGTAACAATAAACAAATCTGGCGAGTGGCTGGCTTTCGGTTCATCGAAGCTAGGCCAGTTGCTAGTCTGGGAATGGCAATCTGAGTCGTACATCCTAAAGCAGCAGGGGCATATCGATTCTATGAATTCTCTTGTTTACTCTCCTGATGGTCAGAAAATTGTCACCACATCTGATGATGGTAAAGTTAAGGTCTGGGATGTCAGGTCTGGCTTTTGCATTGTGACTTTCACAGAGCATACAAGTGGAGTGACGGCATGCGAATTTGCAAAGAAAGGAAATGTTCTATTCACAGCATCCCTGGATGGCTCTGTGCGAGCATGGGATCTTGTCCGTTATCGGAATTTCCGGGCATTTACAGCGCCATCTCGGTTGTCGTTCTCCTCTCTTGCGGTCGATCCCAGCGGAGAAGTTGTCTGTGCTGGGTCTCCTGATTCTTTCGACATTCATTTGTGGTCTGTTCAAACAGGTCAATTGCTTGATCAATTGTCCGGCCACGAAGGACCTGTTTCATCTTTGGCTTTCGCGGCGGATGGTAACCATCTAGTCAGCGGCAGTTGGGATCACACTGTCAGAATATGGAGCATATTCGGAAGAACGCAGACCAGTGAGCCTTTGCAGCTGATGTCCGACGTTCTCAGTGTGGCTTTTCGGCCCGACGGGAAGCAGGTCGCTGCATCGACTCTTGACGGCCAGTTGTCTTTCTGGTCGGTTTCCGACGCTATCCAAGAAGGTGGAATTGAGGGTCGTCGAGATGTGTCCGGAGGACGGAAGGTATCGGATCGCCAGACAGCTGCAAACGCTGCTGGGACAAAGTCATTCAACAAAATCACATATAGCGCAGACGGCAGCTGTGTCTTGGGTGGAGGTAACAGCAAATACATTTGCTTGTATGATGTAAGAACTGGGTCTTTGTTGAAAAAATTTACGGTCTCGGTCAACACTTCGCTCGATGGCACGCAGGAGATTCTGAACAGCCGTGACTTGACAGAGGCTGGGCCGCGTGCTCTCATAGACGAAACAGGAGAGGCATCGGATCTCGAAGACCGTATGGACCGCACCCTCCCAGGTGCGAAGCGTGGTGATGCTGGAGCTCGCACTACGAGACCTGAGGTGAGAGTCACTTCCGTTGGCTTCTCCCCGACCGGGCGATCGTTTTGTGCAGCCTCCACGGAAGGTCTTCTTATCTACAGCCTCGACACCGAGTTCGTGTTCGACCCTTTCGACCTCGACATATCCATCACCCCATCTAGCATTCTTGCTACCCTTGACGCTGCGAGAAGTTCCACCGACGAGGACGCCAGCTTCCTCAAAGCACTCATCATGTCTTTCCGTCTTAATGAGTCTAAGCTCATACGCGTTGTCTACGAGGCAGTCCCCCCATCCGATATACCTCACGTCGTTCGCGAAATACCCACTGTCTACCTCTCTCGACTTCTCCGTTTTGTGGCCTATGCTGCAGAAGAAACCCCCCATCTTGAATTTAATCTTCTATGGATCCAGTCTCTCCTGAGCAGCCATGGCAGGTACCTGAAAGACAACTCTGGCACATTTGCACCCGAACTTCGCGCCGTGCAGAGAGCCATCGATGACATCAACCAGAACCTCAAGAAAATGATGGACCAGAATGCCTACACTCTGAAGTACCTTATTTCGAAACCTGTGCTTGGCAGTAACAATACCAATGGAGTTCTGAAGGCAATTGAGAACGGCGCTGACTCTGCCATCGTTAATGGTGATGATGAGCATATGGCTGGTGTTGATGACAATGACGATGACGGGGAGGGCGAGTGGATTGGCCTTGAGTGAGCTATTGATATGGTTTTCTTTCTTCTTTCCCCCTTTTCATATTATGTATATACCAAGACGTTTTGCATCTGCGCCTGGCGTTCCTCTTTGTATAGTCAATATACCGGGAAAGACCTTAAAAGGTTAGAAAAGAGTTAATAGTGGGTTTCCCTGATCAATATCCTTAGTCTACTATGAGTATTCTCACTATGAGCAGTCTCTACTGGGAATGCACTTGGTCAAGATTAGCAGCTGTAATTGTGCACTGCCTGCCAAACTTCATCATCACTTTATTCACAGTAAGCAAGCATCAGTTAATGAACGTAGAATAAGCCATATCGGAGAGTAGCAATATCCATAGAGGGTATCCATCCATGCAATGCACTGAAATATGTAAACGGAAACCCATCCACATTAATCAACGCCAGGGGAATCATTCAGCAGACATTGAACTATAGCACAGTACTAGCAGGCTATAAAGACAAGAAATAGTCCATTTACTTAGGAACTTTCAACAGCAGCAGCACCTCTTCCTCGAAATGAACCCCTACCTCTGTGTCCGTTTCCGCGTTCTGAAGCGCGGGAATTGAAACCACCTCTGCCACGTTTATTGCGGTTCAAATCCTGAGGAGGCGGCACTTGAGAATAATTCTTCGGTCTGAAGTTCGGGTTATTTTGCACCACACCAGCATTAGGGTCACCATTGTCGACAGAGATATATCCTCCTCTGGTGTAGGTCGTGCCACCACGACCACCACGGCCACCATCCGCACCCCGGCCTCTGCTGCCTCGCTGCGGCGGATGGGTCTGTTGCCCTCCACCATTCAGGTGTGGCCGGAAAGGTAACGTCGTCTGCACGGATCCTTCATTCAGACTACCACGCCCGCCACGGAATCCCGAGGTAGCGCCTCTCACACCATTCTGGCCAACAATGGCGCCCCGGAAAGAACCCCTTAATGGAGGAGGAGTCGGTGCATTTTTCAGCTGACCCTTTCCACTTGGGCCCACCGGAGCACCATATCCTGTATCAGTCAACGGCGACGGCTGGAGTTGAGCTTGATGGCTTGCGGCAGCCCGTGTACCGGTAACTAGCTGTCTGTAGGTGACGTTCAGAACAGAGAAAGCCGGAACTGTTTGTCCTCTAAATGGAGAGCATCTATCCCCTAACGTCGTGCCGCTCATGAATGATACGTCGAAGACAATGTCAAGCAAAATTGTCCGTGGCGTTCGTGTGATCCCTACCACAGTTCCCCGTGTAGCAATGGGCACTTTCCCGGAGTCTTGAGCGTAAACAACACGATCCCCCAGAGAAAACTTCTGGTTTCCAAGTCGTTGTTCGGCATCCGAAGGCTTGAGGAGTGCACTCCGAGGAACTCCTCTGAGCTTTTTCGGCTGTATTTGTAATGAAGCGCTGACAAATCGATCTGCGTCTTGTTCAACTTGTTTGACGATATCAGAGTCAAATTGTTCCGCATCTAGAGGGACCCTCTCAAAGCTCTTTGACTGGATTTCCTTCAACCAAGATTGAATCTCCTTCATTTTTGAAATCGCAATCTCTTCAGGATAGAAATCGGTCGGCTTATAGCGGTTCACCTGTGGGTTGCGCTGAATACCAGCGAAAAATTCCGGGAATTTGATCATATACTGCACGATCAAATCAACGGCTTTCTGGCTGAATTCCCAACCAGATTCGCCGCGATGGGAATATCCGAGTACTTTCTGTTTCTTCGCCTCGAACTTCAAATTTAACCCAAGGTTAAAACGTTGCCCGTCAACGTCAACTGAAAACGAAGAAGTTATTTTTGCCAACACCAGGGGGTTAAGGCGAAGATTTCGTGCAATTGCATAAGAGGGCATGTATGGGGAAAGCCTTGAGGCTTCCCTGGCACGCTCCTTTCCAAAATCCGGCTCTCGGCCCTTCACGGAAGCTATCAGTCCGTTTACTTTCCCATTCTCGTGGCCGGTGATATGAACTGGTCTGCCATAATTGAATTCTCCTAGGAAAAATGCCCTAGAGCCCTGCGGAAATTCTTCTTCAATGGGAAGAGCTTCCCGTTCAATAAACCGTTCATCAGGGTTAACCACTTCGTCGACAATCAGCTGAAGAGCATAGTCCGTTTCCTGCCCGGGAATTTCGGCGAATTCCTTGATAGTAGCACCCTCGTCGGTTTTGATCAAACCTTTGAGGAGCTGAATATGTACCATTGATTCAACGGGGCCGGTGATGATCCCAAGCCTTTTACTATAGAATCCTTCAATTCTTTCGGCCTTCTTCTGCCACTGATCGATTTCGAATTGGTTGTGAGGAGTGGAGGCGACCTGCTGCTCTCCCTCGGGGATTGTGTAATCAAACAATTCATCGGAAACTCGGACCACAAGTGCCTCCTGCAGGAACGGATACCCCACATACACTCGTTGTCCAATCTTTGCTTTCGCCAGCTCGATGCTTGATCGGCTTCCAGGATCCAGAATCGTGACAACCATGCTCTCATTGCGACTTTGTTGTTGAAAAACAGACACCCCATGGAAGCCCAGTTGACCGACATGTGGTAAAGTCTTCAAGCTGGGGAAGCCAGCAAGAGCGGATGCGCCTAGTTGTACACCATCGACCAATCCAGCATGCGGCTCTAAGCCATCCATAGCGGGCAATTCAAAGACGTTCTCGATACAATGGCAGTTGGGAATATCTGGAAAGATGCCCGGGAGAGAGGAGGGATAAACGTATGCCACTTCCGGGGAATATGTGAACTTCAGACTAACACCAAAGTCGTTGCGTGCTATTTCTTCGGGAGTCAGAAGATGTTGCTTTGTCGCGATTGCACCCAACAAGCGTTTCTCATCAATGAATGGAATCTTCACGACAGCCTCCCACTCCATCTTTTTCCCGTTCATGTCAAGTTCAAAATCACGAGGATAAAAGTCAATGATCGGAGATTCCGGCGATGTCATCAATTCTCGGAATGCTGCGGGCACTATCTGTTTGCTTCGATCGGGAAGGACACCCATGAGCTGTTCAAATGGTCGGAATGGTTGCCCGAGTTCAAAGTTCGTATCAGCACCGAGGCCCTTTTTCACATCTACATCATGTTAGTAACAGCAAAGACAAGCACCCGAAATTGGGACAAACCAGAGATCATTGGAGCGTAATGATATCTGAAGAACCATGGCCAAGATGCGATGCCTCTGTAATAATAGAACAGCACCCATTGCAAGCCTTGGACATAGTTCTCGGTCAGTTTTTTCATTTCCTCTTCATTATCAAGGCCCCAGCCAAACTTTGTCTGATAGTATTTGTCCTTCCACTCCTGGAATTTTCTTTGATATTTCTTATCCGCCTCTTCCTGTACTTCCTCCGCCGTAAGTTCTTGAACCTTAGCATTATCGTATTTTTTGATTATACGGCGAACGGCCATAGAAGCCTCCTCCTCTTCCTCCTCTTCATCATCATTGTCCTCATTTGTGGGTATTTGAAGTCTTATGAAGCGGTCACCGTTGCCATCAGTGGGAGTAGTGCACTGCAATCGCAGGTCGCCGGCAAGTTGTTCCACAAACTTACGATCTGCGGCTGGCAGTGTCGTTGGTAGATCAAGAGGCTTTGTTTCAGAGGCCTTTCCGGGCCGGTTGAAAACGTATTTCTTGATTTCTTTCAATATATCCTTCTGCGCGGGAGTGATTGTAAGTCCTCTTGATCTAGATTGATCCTCCGCAAGATCAATACCATTTTTCTTCGCCCGCAGCCACGCAGCGTCAGAGTATTCAGCTTCGAAGAAACGGTATTCAACGTCACTGAACGCTCCAATAAGCATACCCAGCCGCTCCAGGTTGATGACACCCTGGTCATTGATATATCCTCCCATCTTAGGCAAAGTATCCTTGTAAATTTTGAACATCAGGGCCAATGCGCCCTCGTTGATATGAAGGTTCGGTAAATTAGGTAGGAAATCATTTCCAACGAAGAAAGCCATAAGAATGAAGTCGTCAATCACCCGTTCCATGTCGAAAGGGAAGCCGAAAGCACCCTCCTGTTGCAATTCTTGAAACTCTAGCTCCAAGTATTCCCTGACCATGCACAGATGCAAGAGATAGAAGTTCTGATGCTCGAGTTCTTTCGGCTTCTTTTGGACTTGCCGGCCGAATGTTACCTCTTCACGAAGAAGGCAAAAATGAGGATCATGACTGAGCAACCCCAGCATAATCAAATCTGCATCGAGTCCATAAAGACAGTGTCGAACGTTGGAATCATATCCAGGCTGCGCCTTCGCACGGCGAATATACTCCATAATCTTGTGCTCTCCCTCTCCAGGTACCTCATGCCCAGAAAGTACAATATCAACTCCCTGCCAATCTTTATCCTCAGATACCTTCTTGCTGATGAAATACTTCAGCTGCTGCGTCAACCGTGCCATGAATTCCGTGCCGGGTGTGATGCAGTTACTGTCGAATGGATCCTCCTTGGGCATTTCAATCCCCTCCCGAATAGCCTTCTCTTTCGCTACCTCAGCATCTAACGCTGTTCGAAATCGTCGGGCGCGCTGCTGATTCATTTTTGCGCGCGGAGCCACACCGTCGACTGCCATGAAGAAAAGCTTCTTTGGCTTTATTTTCCCGTACAGATGCTCGATATAGTTGAATATAGCAATAAACATCTTGTCTTCCGTCATACGGAAAGTTGGCGAATCACTGTCCTTGTGTGTACAGTTGTGTATAATACCATTCATGTCGAGGTATAAGCAGTCGAACTCGGGTATGCGGTTCTCTGCGATCAACATTGAGATCGCGGGATACCGCTCGCTCAACCAACGGAAAAACTTTGGAACACCCATGATGAATGTAATCCAACAAATATTAACACAATTATGTGCGAAGGGCTAAGGCAGGGGGCACGATTCGTCGTTAGGATATAGTCGTTAGAGCTCTAAAGGATAACCCAAGTGGAAACGAAGCATTGAAACCAAGCAATGCAAATAAGACAACTGGGGAATTGTCAAGTGCTCAAGCGATAGGCACGAATTAGAAGAAGAAGAAACTAAAATGAAAAATCTCCAAAGAAAAGGAAGGTGAAGTAGTTGGGTAACTTGACCGTGGTTGCATGAAGCAAGACGGAACAGCTGACTCAAAGCGGCGAACTGGAGATCCCCGGACGTTATGTTCTCCCGAATTCCGATTAAAATCACGTGCATCTTCCTGAACGGGACTAGGCCCCTTTGGTGTCCATTAACGCGCTGCAGATGGCGAGTCGCGTACAAAAGTAAGACCTGCAAGCAAAGCTCTATCCACATCTTGGTATCAAGCCCTCTCTTGCTTGCCGGATTCCCCAGCCATTCTGGTGCTGCCATCTCACTCCCAGTCTTCCCCCGAGTTCGTTAATTTATTTGATTAAGTGTGGAAATTTTCTGGTAATAATGGATCATTCTGACGACGGTGGTGCGACACCTCTACTTGTTTGGCCTTAATTTGGGTGAGCCCTTCTAATTCTCCCTACAGGTTTCATTGAGGAGCAGGAGGAGCAGGAGGAGGAACGCACCGAGGAAAAGATCATTAATGAAGGTACGCGGAATTGACTAGTGATAGCTATAACGTGGACTAAACTAAAGAATTTCGCAGAATACAAGACATGGAAAAAGAACGCGCCCTTCCTCTATGACATGATTCTGAGTACCGCATTAGAATGGCCAACTCTTACCACACAATGGCTACCTGACAAGCAGGAGTATGCAGTTTTGTTTTCATTCTCTCCCTGAAAGACAATCTGACCACTTTCTCCAGGGTTCCAGACAAGCCTTATTCCACCCATCGCCTATTGCTTGGGACGCATACCTCGAGCGACGCCCAAAACTACTTACAAATTGCCCACGTGCAGCTTCCCAATCCCACTGCTCCCAACCCCGATGACTATGATGAAGAACGTGGAGAGGTTGGAGGCTATGGCGGCAACTCGAAGAAGGCGCCAATGGAAATCAAGTTCAACATCGTGCAGAAAATTGACCACAAGGGTGAAGTGAACAAAGCCCGATATCAACCTCAGAATCCGAACATCATTGCAACCATGTGCACGGATGGGAGAGTGATGATTTGGGACCGATCGAAACATCCTAGTTTGCCCACAGGGACAGTGAACCCTCAAATGGAACTTCTTGGCCATACGCGTGAAGGGTTTGGACTTAGCTGGAGTCCGCACACTGCTGGTCACCTCGTTACTGGCAGTGAGGATAAAACAGTTCGCCTTTGGTACGCAGAAGCCCTGGCCTATAATACTGTATTCTGGTATTGTGTTTCTAAGACGCTAATGAACGAGCACTCAGGGATATAACTACTTACTCGAAAGGCAACAAAGCCCTTAAGCCTGTGAAAACCTATACTCATCACTCTTCGATCGTCAACGATGTTCAGTACCATCCGCTTCACCCATCTCTTATCGGTACTGTGTCCGATGATATTACACTTCAAATTATCGACATTCGCGAGCCAGACACCACTCGCGCTGCCGCTTCTTCCGAAGGGCAACACCGCGACGCTATAAATGCCATTGCCTTCAATCCGGCAGCGGAGACAGTCTTGGCTACCGGCTCAGCGGACAAGTCAATCGGCCTATGGGATCTCCGTAACCTGAAGACCAGACTTCACGCGCTTGAATCACACGCAGACTCCGTAACGTCACTGTCTTGGCATCCTTTCGAAGAATCTGTGCTTGCAAGCGCAAGCTATGATCGCAAGATAATATTCTGGGACCTCAGCCGAGCCGGTGAGGAGCAAACCCCAGAGGATGCCCAGGATGGACCTCCGGAGCTGTACGTACTCCCTGGATGTTTTTGGTCTTTTATTTTCCTGCTGCCCCTCACCTTTTTTTTTGCTAACCCGATTTCGTACAGTTTGTTCATGCATGGTGGCCATACCAACCGGATTTCCGATTTCAGCTGGAACTTGAATGATCCGTGGGTACTTTGCTCAGCGGCGGAGGATAACTTGTTACAGGTCTGGAAGGTCGCGGATGCTATTGTGGGTAAGGATCTGGAGGATGTACCAACTGAGGAACTGGAAGCATGACATCCTTCCTGCCGAGTATGCAAGAAAGAGACACCGAGAAATACAGCAATTCGATACCTCTACGATTGTATTACCTTGAATTGTTCAGCCCTGGTAGGGAAATAAAGCACTTAGGTGTAAGATGGTGTAGCCTCCTTAACATTCAATTAAATTGACCTGTTCATTTCCCAAAGGTCATGGTCAATGCCGAGCGAAGGGAAAAGAGACTCATCACCACACTGCTCTTAGTGCAGTTTTGGTAACTCAAGTGACTGTTAAGATGTTTTGTGTGAATGGAAAAATCATTCAATGCAATAGCTCAATCATCGGTCCGGACCCAATTTCAACACACCACGTAAGTTCGCCCATATCGTACACGCCGACAAGCTCGTACCCAACAATTTCGCCAGAAGGGCATGGAAATTCAGGGCCCTTAGCAGAAACCAGTTCCCAGTACGCTATATCGTGATCATTAACGACGAATCTACCGACGAAGTCGTCACGATTATTGCTTCCTGACGGTTTAGAGCCTGACCCGGTAGTCGGCTGGAGCGAGGTGAACACATCGACACGCTTCGGAGTAGTCGAGGCTTCGGTTTCGAAGAGAAACTTGCATTTCCTTTGTGCCCAGTCACATGGCACCTCGAAAGCCACCAAGGTTGTGATCACAGTTTTGTCGCCCTCGATATTTTTGATACAGCCATGTTTCACACCGGCTTCTGTAAGCCCAGTGGATACGTCATATAAGGACGTAGTATTGGGGTAAAGGATGTTTTGAGAGCCATGGCATGTTGGAGAAGCTGACGCTGCGATGGTGCAGCTCGTGGTAAGGAGTGCCACGGCATAGAATGGGAACCTCATATTGACGAGTCCCTCAGGAAAGACTTGACTGTGTTATTGGTGATAAGTTGAATGAGAATCGCAGGTTGAAGGATGATAGTAATAAGAGAAGAAACTTGTCCCATCTCTTAGATTGAGGGTATTCCTCATGCCTTGACAGACAGGATACAACATAACACTTATACTTCTTCTTGGAAAACTGGAGACTAAAGGTATCACCAGGGGTCTCCTTCCCCGGAAACATGCTCACATCCCATCCTGTTTATCAGTTTGTCAGAGGCAGGAAGGAAGCACACGCCAATTGATATGGTTTGTAAGAATATCAATCACTTCACTTTTATTATTCCCTGATGAGTAGTTTGGCAAATTTTCGGATACATTTCCATTGCAGCTAGTACTGAAAGCGAGCTCCTATCACAGCCGCTGCCCTCCGTTCATTGAACATGAACATGGAGGCCATGGATCCCATGCATTGGCTGCAGCACTATGCGAAGGTCAAGAGCCCAAGGCCCTCATCATATCATCAACATGTTCGTGTCACCATATCAAGTTGCAGCTGGAACCAAACTCACACAGGCAAGTCACACGGTGGCCAGAGAAGTGAGATGACATGCAGGGGTGATGCTTTCCTGTTTAACTAGTGGGGCACATGTAATGCTTATCTAAACTGTATCACATGACCACCCCGCCAAAGCGGTATCGGGCAACACGATGAAATCAGACGGCAGTATTTTCATCAGATCGGAGGCTAATTTTGCGATTGTGACTCCGCAATCCATGTTTCCAAAATGTCTGTGACTACCACCGTCTCTCATCTCTCACTCAGGGGCGTTAAGCTGCAAACTCGAGTCTAGATACCCTATTCTATACTTATTGAATCTCTACCATCTCATCTCACATAACACCATCTGGACATTGTCACCCCCCAAAATTTGCCTCCGCAAGTATGGGCTCCGGGTCATCCCCTCCTCCAGGGCCAAAGCCCAAGTCTGCTATTCCCTCACATCTATACAACGGTGGTTCTCCGTTGCACCAGTCTACCAGTGCGGTGCATGCTAGTGAACGTGATAGCCTCAATTCTTCTATTCGCTCATCCTTCAGTGCTCGCAAACCCATCGAATTCGACTCCCCAGGTACAGTGACCCAGTCCACTACAAGCGATGTCATCACCGTGAATGGTGCCATTCGCAACCCGGTGGCTATCAGGTATGCTATATTTTTTGTAGTATGGGCTCGTCGGCTTTCACGCTGACAGTTGTACTTCCAGGCCTACCTTGCGTGATCCTCCTCGAGACCCGAGAGACCAAGGCGGCCCATTGACTCCGCCAGCGACAGTTAGTCGACCAGCGAGCCCATATACTCTGAACCCACCAATTGACTTTGATGGGCTCAGCTGGCCCTGTATGTGATTTCACTAATCCCTATTTGGCCGCATAACATTATCTAAGATACCATCCTTGTCTATAGGTCCCGGAACAAGGGCACGGTTGGAGTCAACCCCTGAACAGAATGAGGAGCGAATTAAGAAACTATCTGGAGCTGTGAGGACTATTCTGGAGTGTATCGGGGAGGACCCTGAAAGAGAGGGTCTTCGCGAAACACCCGAACGATATGCGAAGGCCATGCTTTACTTCACTAAAGGCTATGAGGAGAATGTGCGCGACTTGGTCAATGGTGCCGTTTTCCACGAAGACCATGACGAGCTGGTTATCGTGAAAGACATCGAGGTATTCTCTTTGTGCGAGCATCATATGGTCCCCTTCATGGGCAAGGTGGGTTCTAGGTTTCCTTCCTAGTAAAACGCAATGCAGGGCTTTTGTCATTAATCTGGATTTTTGTTTTAGATGCACATCGGATATATTCCTGATCGCCGTGTTCTCGGTCTTTCAAAACTCGCTCGCTTGGCAGAAATGTTTTCCCGGCGACTCCAAGTCCAGGAGCGTCTTACAAAACAGGTCGCTCTGGCGATATCTGAAGTCTTAAAACCAAGGGGTGTTGGAGTTGTGATGGAATCATCACACCTTTGCATGGTTATGCGTGGCGTGCAGAAGACAAGCAGCACCACAACAACCAGCTGCATGTTGGGTTGCATGCGGTCGAGCGCAAAAACCAGGGAAGAGTTCCTAACCCTTCTAAACAGCCGGAGATAGCTTTATGGATATTCATTTTGGAATATTATCGCCGGTACCAGTTTAACAGTGGATATTATATAGTCTTCATGCCTTCGGAGTTATGGGGTGTGACCTTTCAACAGGTTATGGGGATTTTGCATTCTACAGTATCACGGTGTTTTTTCTTTCTTTCTTTCTTTCTTTCTCTATTTCTTACCTGAATGTTTTGACGATCTCAGATTTCTTCAACAGCCATTTCCTAACATTCCTGACGGCACAGACGCTCTGCTCTCTCTCGCAGTTTCCTGGAAGAGAGCCGACTCTCAGTCCGCTTTGAGGTTATACTTTGTGGAAGAAAAGTACAAACATACCGTCTCTTCTCAACTAATGGGAAATTCTTTTGGTTACATTGGGAGTTAATGAAAGGGGAAAGGGGGTTTAGATACATGGCGGGTGAGTGGTTTCAACACTTGGTTCTGAGTAGAAAAAGAACAGGCAGTTTTGCTTTATGTATAGTCCTTAGAAGTTTCCATATAATTAAAGACATGTGCACAGCTTTGCTATCATTTTGTAGGAGTGCACGATTAGATATAAGGTTGCATGCATCTGCGAAGGCATCGATATATCGATCTATTCCGACAACGGCAGTACACACTGGTCGAGGATATGTTTGATGTCAAGTCCTCATTCACGCTTCTGAGTATTTTCTACGGGTTCAGCTTCTAGAATATACGGTTCAGTTATAGAGAACTGTCCGGTCTTCGCTCCTCAAGAGGTAATACATATCCTTGTCTCTGGTATTCGTGACTAGATTCCACCCTCATTAGATAGGTGCAGAAGGAGGGGGGGTGATTAGAGAGGGACAGAAATTGCCACAGTATAAGGCCACTTATCATTAGGTGTTCATCGAAGACGATATTCACTGTCTCAATGCGAGAAGAGAGTTGAAAGGAGGCGGAGCACGAGGCCTGTTGCTAGGAGATGAATGCAGTGTGGAGTCACCAGAGCTGGAGAAACCCATGTTTGCCCTAGCCTCTAGGAGATGAACAATAAACATTTCAGTGAATGAAATGTTTTAATTTCTGTTGCATGTCTTGTCTGAAAACTTATAATATATGTGTTGCTGATTGTCTGCATTCTTTTGCTGACAACACCTATCTCGACAGAGCTTGAGCCATCACCGAGTTTTCTCTTTCGTCCTCTGTTGACTGCTGAGAAAGAGGAGATGTACTGCGCTGCCCAATAAAGGTAAGATATATGTGCTCGAGTACGTGATAATTTAGTCGCGTTGCTCTTTATCCCTATTGCTCTATAGCATCTGTGTCATGTCAGCCTTAACATCTACATCATTTATAATAGATAACCTTCTAGCCAACATGTTGATAACTTTGCTGACAAGCATAGTGTTTAATCATCCAGCTGATTCGAGATATTCATCCTGCTTGACAGAATCCAACATGCCCAATTCAGGACACGAAGATGTTGACGCAGCCAGAGCTCTGTTATCCTTGAGCCATCGTCACAGAACGATCGAGGAAGGGACTGCCGCTTTGAATTTGTCAGATGTCCAGGGCCCTGCTGTGTCAGACCCAGGCGACAATCTTTTGCCGGACAGTGGGAGCGATGGAATGGGAAGTGACTTTATAACCGTTCAAGCGACAGCCTTTAGTGTTATATCACGCGATGCGGCTCATACGCGTGGTCTGTCTGACCCTACCGGTGCAGATACGGTCCAGCCTGGGGTCAAGAGATCTGCTACTGAAGTCCAACGCGTCGGTCCACCAAAAACTCCAGTGAACACCAGAAGCGTTCGGCTGCGCGTATCGAGGTCAGCGCCCCGTCCATCGACCCAGATGCGTATTCCATTTGACACTGCCACTGAAACCCTGACTCCGCCTCGTGCTCGTGTTCAGAGGTTTGATATGTTGAACAGGGACGTCGAAGCTCAAAGAGTCCCCCAGACAGATAATATGACCGCTACTGGTTTAGCACAGCCACAAAAAGTATCCAAAGTCCCATCGCCTTCTTCCATTGACAATAGGAGGCTGCTGAAAATGACCAATGAACAAAGGCTGCAAGAATTTCTCATTCGACAGCAGCGTATTGCTGGCATTCCGCCTGAGAAGATGATTTTCATAAGAGATCAACAGCAGGACGGACAAGGTAGAGAGCTTGCAAAGCCACCACCGATAGTACAGATTACGAATCAAGGTGTGTTCACACCGGAAATACCACCAGCAAGATTCACCGGAGTTTTTCATCCCTTACCAATGGACATCGATACCACCACAAGCGTTAGGCAACCCGAAACACATGGAGAGGAGAACCAAATGAATGATGTGGCCCAATGTGAAGCTGCAATTAGCCAAGAGACGAATGTACTTCACATTGTTCAACCCAATGCAGCAGGTGATAACAGCTATGTCGCCGGCGCACAGCAAGCTCCACAACAAGACATTGGAGATTCTTATGTCCGAGATAAGATGCCTAAAGTGACATTTCCTATGCAGCACTTAACACGAAAAAGTCAAGATGGCCTGAATGCAAACCTCACTGACTTGGTGAAGAAGAATAACCAAAATACATCTGGATATTCAAGAATGATGACCAAGCAACATGTCGAGCAATTGCAGTCTCAAGACCTGTCTCAGCATCCTGCTGCGACAATGACAACTTCAGCTGGCAGTGCAAGTTCAGGCGGGGTTAAAAACCGGACAGAAAACAGGATGCGTCCATTCAATATATTGCATGCATTCGTCCTTCATTATCCAGATGTCGTCTTCGAAATTGTGCGTCACCTCGGACTGGGAGACATCCTGAATTTGTACGAAACTTCCAAATACTTTAACCAATTTGTGATCGTTAACAGACGATCATTTATGTCAAACCTGGCTAAAGCGAGAGCTCCCGAATCTGCTTCGATATTCAACTATCGTTGCTACCGCATCTTCACGATTCCAAACCCCGAGCATCCAAATAGGAGTGGTGTTGACCCAAACTTTCGGTGGGTGGCAATGACCTGCAATCGCGAGAACGTAGTCCAAGATATCACAAGACTCATGGAAGAATATGGAGTGCCGCTACCAGGTCGCTGTGGGCTTGTGATAAAGAAGCTCTGGATGTTGATGGACATCTGCGACAATGGTCGCCGAATTTGGACCATACGTAACAAAAACCTGTGGCCTGACACTGATTTATTCTTTGCGACTCTCTTCTTTTTCAGGCTTCAAATAGTCCTCGAAAATCGGCCCGTCAGGGTTGGCAGGAAGGGCATACGACGTACCATTCTGGCTCAACCTGATTTCACTCTATTAAGAGACACACTCAAAGGTACTGCACTGCAGACTCCGCTTGAGGTGGTTAGGGCATATATCAAGTGGCGGTATAACCCCTTGCCTGACCAAGTCGGTAAGCCTATTTTCGGTGTGGATCCAAAGGATGTCGGGGCGCTTCAATTCGAAGGATATACCAGGGCGGATAACGGGGCGCAGAAACTACAGACACCAGACGAACTTGTATTGAGGGAAAGCGTACGGCGAAAGCTGAACATGGGAAGACTTTACATAGAGATATTATCCCGCTATGACGACCCTCCTGCACGACGTGAACCTTCATGGGTGGAAGAAGTACAAAGGGAATTCGGGGATGGGTGGGAAGACGACGTGGTGTTGGATTGACCCGAAGTCGATAAACGGTTCTCTAATCTCTCCCCCTCTCTATTTGTTCTGTTAATATTTTCATTGCCGTCTGCCAGATCGTCTTCTAGTTTGTCAGTGGCGTTGGTTGTTCCAGATATCTGAAGCTATAGTAAGCCGGAAGAGACACGGTGGGTAGGAGTCGGATAGGTCGCAATGATAATTTCTGCTTGCTGAAAGAGGTAAAAAATAATAATAACAGGCCATCTTAAAAATAAGTTCCTGCAAAAGCCACAATACAACAGTTTAGCGTTAATATCATGATGTTGGTAGTTCTCTGTACGAATACCTTTACGACTGGTCCCGTGACCACACCTCCTACGTGGGAAACAGACGAACGTCTTCAACCACAACCTTGACCAAATCACAGTTTCCACCCACATTAGCAAATCGCCTGCTGTACTTGTGGTTCGGCTGCATTTATTTATCAGACGACATCCTGTTTCGACTTTTCTAGTAATATCCTCCCCCCCCCTTCGGTAGATGGCAGACGTCGAAGTCGAGCGGTCGCACAACTATCCAGATCCTGTTGTGCCGGAGGATTTTCAATAAACCCCCATCCATCCCCATCTGTTTGACGCACATGTCAAATTATCTGCCGGAAATGTGATTCTCAGAGATGATGTTTGAACCCTTGGGCCCAGTGCATTTGGGGTTGCCTGCCCACGCGGGAAGTATGGGCAAGTAAGGCGTTGGGCACACTTACAACAGACCTCTCTCGGCCGTTGGTTAGCATCCTCCGAGCATGACACAGGAGTTTGATACCTATTTGCTTTTGAGTCGCTAAAGCTGGTCTGTAGCTTCTCTTTCGGAGCTATGAATCAGGTACGCACTACTCCTCTCTGGCTCGACGCTACCTCTAGGGACGCTGAAATTCAGGTGGATGGCGAAGATGGTGATATTTAGCTGGGCAATCAAAGTGATAGAAGCTTGCGATATTGGTAGCGGGTTTACTGGTCTTTCCCTGGACGCGTCTATCACAGATTCTGTGGTGGTGCTCCCTAAAACCAGGTGACATTTGGCGCTTTTCCAGGGCTGTGATTTGCATTCAGTAAACAAACAAATGTCGCCAAGTTAGTCGTGGACAAAGCGACATCTATGTCTCTTGGGAAGAGCATCAAATGCGGGTTACCCGCGCGTTGCTATGGACGACTTATCGAATAAGCCGATATACCAATGTCCCTTCACATCCTGAGGTGACATCGCGTTATTGTGCAATATTTGATTCTACATCACTTTCATGCTCACCATATTTACCGGCTCTTACGTATCTTGACCCTTTTAAGCGCCAGGTCATGGATGAAGAGTCAATTTTCCAGACCAGGTACCCCGGGATCTGCGCCGGAGAGATCCGGTGGCCGTCTTTGTTTTGCCATTTGCTTGCTTTGCTATTCTGCACCTGTAGATAGACATTTGTGTTGAAGAGGAAGTTGGTTTTCAGGACGAGAAGTGAGCAGGCAGGGCGCTCTCACCCAGAGAATAAAAGCGCACATTGGGGACCTGACAAGCAGAACGGCGACAGGGAGAAGGGGAAAGGGCCCGAAGAAGCCAGCCTTGCTCGGCAGGTGCCAGAGCTTAACCAACAGCAGTTCCATCGGACATGAAGTTGCTTTGCGTTGCGGATTCGGGGTGTGAAGGCAGATTGTCGCCACGGTTGTCCGAGGCGAAAGCCGTGATGGCGGCATATGGTGTTCGCATGGTCTTGCCTTGCAGAAGTTCTCCTAGCAAGAGAACATGGTCCCGATCCGCTGGAGCTTCCCAAGACTTGCGAGCAGCGATATTTTGGGTCTGCAGGCATCAAGGGTTTCAGTTGCCCCTTGAACCACAGTCGTAGAGCCGCGTTGACAGCCATGAAAGGTGTAAGGGAGCGGAACATACTGCTTGCTCCCTCCCGCGGATTTCTTAATCATCATCCAGTAGAACCTTTCTTTGGATCCAGCTCTTCGTATAAATAGCTTGGATTAGCAAGAGGTACGTATACCCTTGGACTTTTCTTCTGGTTCCTTGCCAGCCTGTTCACTTTTATTTGGCTCTAACAAATCTTTTCTCCATGCAACAACAGGTTTATCTATTCACCTTCAAAGCTCGGAAAAACTGCCCTTCCGCACAAGCCGACACTAATCTTCTGTGAACGCGGTCAACACACCCCCAGCCAAAAAGACAGGCTTCACCGAACCCAGTTCACCACGACAGGCAATCTTCCAATTTCCAACCCTGGCCTGTCCTTCCCCTCCACATCTTTCTCCCTCTTTCAGTGAAGCCAGATGCAGCTGCAGAAGCGTTCATGGCTGGATCCCGTTCGAGTCCGGTGTTGAGAGACGACTGGAGGGTTCCAACCGACACTAGAGACCGTCAAGGAAGAGGCAAACCTCGAGGATCAGACCGCGATAGAGGCAGGAGAAGGGGTGGTTGGAAGGAACGTCACATTCGGTCTAGGGACACCCCGTTCGATCGTCCACCACAGTCGCCCCCGCCGTCGCGTTCTTTTCCGGGCCCTGGTCGTGAAGCGCCTCGCAAATATCGCGAATCTTCCCCTAGTGGTTCTGTTGCTCGTGGGTCCCCTGGTCCTCCCCCACGAGGATTGAGGGAGGATCAGAGGGTAGACGTACATTCATCGTCAAATTACGAAGATTTCGAACGCCACCGTTTTCAAGGAGAAACAGGCTTTGAAGGGGGCACAGGAACAAATATCCAGAGGTGTGATTTGCCTTCTGTACTACATCCACCAAAACGCAGAAGGACTCGAAGCCCTTCGCCGCAAGCACACCATAATCCCACCCATTATCGTCGGGGTCGTCCTTCCAGGCGCCGGGGAGATCGCGATAGGAGCCCTCCGCAAAAGAGACGCGGCCGTTTCCCAGGTCGCGGTGCATTTCCTCGAGGCGAACCTCGCGGGAGGGGACGTGGTGAAAATTTTGATCGTTTTGGACCCTCGAGACGGAGATTTTCTAGGTCCCCTGTTCGTGGCGCAAGAACTCGCCCGTCCCCTCGTGGACGACTTCGAAGCTCACCCACTGCGGACTATAGTGATAAAGACTCACTGTATAGGTCTCCATCTCGTGACTCTGTCCAGTCTAGGGGTTCGAAACTGTCTGTTTCATCTCGTGCCTCGAGAAACGACCACAATATGAGCGAAACTAGACCTATCCGTTCCATAGTGGATGAGTCTGCCCGGTCCCCTTCTCCTTTCCGTCCAATCCCGAGCTTTGACTCGGACGATACCAACAAGCCTACCGGTAAAGAATCTGGCCGGCGAGAGGCATTTCCGATGCATGGAATGCGAGCCCCCGATGTTCGCGGTGACCAACGCTCCCGACCTGTAAGACCACATGCAGATTCAGGGCAATACGCGACGTCGCCACAATATGCCCCATCAGTTGATTCTCGCCATGGATCCCCTCAGTCTGTTTCTTCATATTCAAATGGAAGAGGTTGGGCTGGGCAGCCTCCATATCATATGCAGCATAGGTGAGTTGGCTATCCAACCCTTCTCCACAATGTCTTTTTGCTTAACTGTCTTCTATTACGAACTAACATCTGTGAAAATTCTTTCTAGTAATTCTCCATACCGACAAAGCAATTACCAAGGGCAAAGTGCTCTGCAGGGTCAATATTTCCAGAATCAACAAGGCCAGTTTAACGGTATGAAAATCATGCTCAGTCATCTTGCTCTGGCCGTGGAGGATATCGCGCTAACCATCAAAATCCAGACCGTCGGTTCTCTAGTACTGGGCCTCAAGGCTACAACAATGGGCCCCCGCCGCGAGCTCGCGGGCATTTCAGTAATCTTCAATGGACTGCATCAGGTTCTAGAAGTCAGAGTCGCCAAAACAGCCCCCTCTCAACATCAGCACAACAGCCCCAGAGTCCTCCACCCCCCTCCACAACCGATGAGCGGATGTCTCCTGATATCAGAGAAGGCGATCATCCTTTCAGATCTTTAAATAAGGATTCCCAGGTCGAGGGCGAACATTTGAATCAGCGCTCGGAAAATGGTGATTCTCAAAACATTCCACCTCATTCTCGCCAACCCAGTACATCCTCCAGTCAAAACAAGGGAGGGAAGTTTAGCTTTGCTCTCAAATCTAAGGCTGCGCCTGCGCCCATGCCTAAACCGGTTCCGGACCTGGCTCAAAGGATGCAAGCTCGTGTCCCGCCACCGCGAGCTGCTGAACCTCCTCGGTCGAAAATACCTCCCGGGCCAAGCCCCAAGTTTAAGCGTGATACGCGCTTTGACCGCCACGATCGCAACCGTGAAGGCCACCGTGACCGTGGCCGAGACTGGCATAGGGACAAAGACGGTCGCCGAGATTTCCGAGATCCGCGTAACTTCCGTGAATTTAGAGAAGGATTCGATGGACGTGATTTCAGGAAAGATGATCGACGCTTCGGGCATCACGAAGATAGGCGAAAGGATAGACGGCCGGACTACCGCGGCGAGCGCCGTCTGGAGCCTACCCCCGAATTGACAAAGCGGACGAAAATCATAACTAGGGTGAAGCCACGCCCCACTCTTCCTGATGAATATGCTAAGTCTGAATCGGTCTATTATCGAAAGCCCGGCAATGAATCGGTCATCGGCGCTGGTACATATGGAAAGGTCTTCAAAGCAGTCCACATATACACCAAGAAGGAAGTTGCCTTGAAGAGGATACGTATGGAAGGAGAAAGGGATGGGTTCCCTGTCACAGCAGTGCGCGAGATCAAGCTGCTTCAACATCTCCGCAGCCACAATGTTGTGAGCTTGCTGGAAGTGATGGTTGAAAAGAATGAATGCTTCATGGTATTTGAATACCTCTCACATGATTTGACGGGACTCATCAACCATCCAACATTTACTCTTACCGCAGCCCATAAGAAGAACCTGGCCAAACAGATGTTCGAAGGCCTCAATTATCTTCACCATCGAGGCATTCTCCATCGTGACATAAAAGCTGCGAACATTCTCATCAGCAACAGGGGTTTACTGAAACTTGCTGATTTCGGGCTTGCCCGCTTCTTCTCCAAAAGCCGCCAGCTCGATTACACCAACCGCGTGATTACCATATGGTATCGGCCACCGGAACTACTTCTGGGTGAAACTAGATACGGTCCATCGGTTGATGTTTGGAGTGCTGCCTGCGTGTATATTGAGATGTTCACGAAGAAAGCTGTTTTCCCAGGAGAAGGTGGCGAGATCAGCCAACTAGACAAGCTTTACAACTGCCTCGGTACGCCAACTCGGGCAGAGTGGCCAGACATCGTCGAGATGCCCTGGTTCGAATTACTGAGGCCGACTGAGCGGAAAAGCAGAGTCTTCGAGGACCTATATCGTGAAATTCTAAGCCCGGCTGCTCTGGATCTTATGGCCCAAATATTTCGTTACGATCCTGCGAAACGACCAACTGCTGAGGAGATACTTGCACACCCTTACTTCTTATCTGAGGAGCCTCGTCCTCAGCAGGCCGTTGAGTAAGTTCGACCCTTCAATTCGAGTCACTTGCCCTTTTTTTTTACTAACCAAGGTCCAGATTGGAAAGTATCGACGGTGATTGGCACGAGTTCGAATCCAAGGCACTCCGCAAAGGAAGAGATAAGGAGGCTCGCCGTGCTGAATACAACAAAGAAAAAGAGAAACGGAAGGCTTGCTCCATGGCTGTTGCGAGCGAACGAGAAGCCAAACGAACTAAACCAGATATGGGTTAACGGTGCAACAATGCTATTATGTGGTCCTAATGGATGCTGGGTTCTGTACAGCTGATGGGTATCGGCCGCTGGCAGTCCACTCTACATACGCAGGGCTACGCAAATATTTTCTTTTGACGTCCTTCCGAGTATCTTTGGTGCTTGATACGGCGCAATTTAAGGGTTTACAGCTGATCACAAAGGTCTTTCCATGGATGAGGAATTATAAGGCAGGGTACAATATTTTGTTTAGCAAATGTGACCATATTTTAAATGGGTTTCCTCTCCTTCAGATGTATGGAGACACTCGAGTGGATTTACAGTGCACTTCGTATAACACGTCGAGGACTTAGGAAGCCACCTTCGGGACAGGGTTGGTTACTATTTAGAGCTCGACGAACGCTCTCGTTCGCTTCTCGGAGCTGTCAGCTAGCTGTAGACAAACATAGAGATTTGCCGGGAAAAGAATGGGAGAGAAGAGGGATGAATTAAATAGTCAGACTTTGCCATTGGACCTCACGCTCGACCAGCTAGGTAGTAGGCAGCGGTTGAGCTAGTCGGCTTACCAGAGCTGAAGGTATCTTCATAAAGGATTGAGAGTAACAATACACAAGAATAGGTACGCAGCGTGTGGAAAGGAAGACAGGAACGTACCAGGGCTATCCTTTTTTTGTTCATTCTCTAAACATGGAGCTTGAAATCACGACAGAAAGCAACAAATTCCGCATATTTATATTGTATTATAGCAATTATGATGAACTTTCTGCATACAGATGAGAGGTATGTCCCGTCACTCAGGTCATCACCGCATCATGGTAGCTTGGAGAAGCCCTCGTGATGATGGTTTTAGGAGCGAGTTCATTTTAAATAAATGATTAATCTCGACACACACATCGGAATCGCCAGAGCAGTAGGGGAAGGAAAACGATGCAGCCAGCGATGATTTGAGTTGGTGGTCTTTGGGTTTTAGTTGAAGAAGAAAGAAGAAAAGGAAAAAGGAAGGGAGAAGAAAGAAGAAAAGGAAAAAAAAAAACAGGGCTCGGTGGAGGCCTGAGGGAAGACGGGGTCCGATTGGCCAGCCGCCGCAGCTGCAGAGCTCAGCGTAAATTACGGTATGTATTACAGACAGCATGACGGCCATGTATTATATTCCCCGAAGGGAATTGAACTTCATCTGGACAAAAAGAGCCCGCATCATTCTTGCCCACTTCTAACGACTCTCCCCTGTCTCTCCCAGCATCTTCTTGACGAAACAATTCACATCCTCCTGCTTATATTCTCTCAGATATTCCTTGTGTCCTATCTGTCTTGGTCAATCTACATTCTTTGTTGCGTTTCGCCTTTGTCGCCCCTGTCGTACACAACTCCTTCGTGCCCGCGCGTCCCTCACCTGATGACCGCTCTCTTTTAAGCCTACCTACTTGATAACGACATTAATGGATAACGCAAATTTGTGGACCCGGAGATCGAAGTGAGTCTTCTTTGTCGGCTTCCTTTCTTTATTTCGTATCCTTCTTTTCGACATTTGGGAATTTTCCTTGCGTTCGATTTTAGTACTCATACTTTTATCTCATCCTTTAAGCGCCTCCAAACTGTCTCTCTCTACCGGGGGCTCTGACGGTAAAGAGGGCGCCACGCGCGGTCATACGTCGAAGCGCTTCGGTCAAGATAGCTCTCACAACAGATCGAATCCATTCAACGCATTATCCCCGCTGTCAGGCGGCGTGTCCTCCCCATCAACCAACGCCTCGTCCGCATTCGGCTTGGGTTCTGGTGCGTTTGCGTCCTTCAGTACTCCAAAAACCCCCGGTGGCACGTCCGATCCAGCGCCGTCGAAGGCCTCTAACGAGAAACGAGACCGTCAAACGGAGCAGGACACTTTGTCAACCGATAACGGGAAGGAGAAGAGCTCGACAACATCGTCCAGGGAACATCCATTGAAGTCTACGTGGGTCATCTGGTATCGCCCACCTACACCCAAATATTCTGATTACGAAAAATCGACTGTCGCGTTAGCCACGATATCGTCTGTGGAAAGTTTCTGGAACGTGTATTCTCATCTCAAGAGGCCTTCCCTCCTCCCGACTGTCTCGGATTACCATATCTTCAAGAAAGGTATTCGTCCTGTATGGGAAGATGAAGAGAATAAGAAAGGTGGGAAGTGGGTGGTCAGGTTGAAGAAAGGGGTGGCAGACCGATACTGGGAGGATCTCCTTCTCGCCATTGTGGGTGACCAGTTCGCTGAAGCTGGTGATGAAGTTTGTGGTGCCGTTCTTAGCGTGCGGAGTGGAGAGGATGTGTTGAGTGTCTGGACGAAGATTGACGGGGGGCGCAACATCAAGATCCGGTATGGAGCATGAGACGTCTCAGACTCATGAAATTCTTGCTGACTTCCACCTGCAGGGAAACGATCAAACGGATGCTTGCCTTCCCGGCAGATACCAACATCGTCTGGAAAAGCCACGACGATAGCATTGCTCAACGCTCGGCGATTGATGAAGCTCGTCAAGCAAAAGCAGCTCACCACCACCATCACCACCACCTGGGACCAGATCGACGAAGAAATACGACCAATGATGATAATGCGGCGGATAAAGGGAAGGTGATGACGTCCTAACTATACCCATCTGAGCCTGGGTATGGTCCTGTATAGTAAGACAGAAAAAGGAAACGGGAAAAAAATTTTTTAAGAGAGAAACGAACTTTCATTGGGACGCGTCTTGGGTCTGGCTGGGGGGGTCTTTAGGCGAATTATGCATCTGCTTCTTTTCTCAAGGCTCATACAAGTTATTATTGCAGAAGAAAACGAAAAAGCAAAAACAAACAAGCAAAAGCTATGCGATTGCTTGTACTACATCCCAGGTTATGGATGTAAGCCTCATTAATGGTGAATGTGATCTGTGTCTACACAGCACCTCTCTACTAGTGTCCATCTGCGCTTTCTACACCCAAAACCAATCAGGAGTATCGCATGATAATTTGACGCATATGCGGCATGTCCCTCAATTCGGACGACAGCATGACAGGAGTGGCGAGACCGTAGCGGCCTGTAGTAGACGGTTGTCGTCGAGTTGCGCTATTGGAAGTCCCGTTCTTTGCATCATCAATCATCGAGCAGAAGGCGGTCTCGTTTTCTGCCTGCTGCGGGCTCTCCTAATTTCGACTGGAAAAAAGCCCGTGCCATACTTTATCTCCGACTCCAACTCCAGCCGGCTTGCAGGTCCGGTCTGTCTGAGGCATGCCTATATTGTTTCGAATCTCCAGCAGTTGCATTTGCCTCCAGCCGAGACACTGCGATTTTGCCAAAATACGTAAGTTGCATCTTCTATCTGTATGTCTCCGTCCGCGTGCAGCCCGCCGCAGACTTGTCTTGATTGCCCGCCTGCGACTTAGTTTTCCAACTATTTTATTTTTTTATTTCTCTCGCTCGCTTCCCTCCTTCTCTTCTTCTTTTTTCTTTCTGGTTGTTTATTCGTTTTTGTCTCCCGCGCTTTTGATTGCATAGTCAGCGTTTACTTACAGTTGTGATTCTTTCCAGTTTCGACCGTCCGCAGTTATGCCGAAAGGGGCTTCAATTCACTCTGAATGAAAGTGGTCCGATTCCTGCGTCATACGCACACGACCGCGGCAGAGCGTCCACATCCACCTCCACGGTTACTCAGTGAGCTGCGAGGATGAGTGGCCTGTAAATATACCATGCCAAGCCCTATCCTGTCATGCTTTACGCGCCGCGGTACTAATATGATTGATTTTCATACTTCTTAGGCCCGCGCACGGAAAAAAGCAGACCACTGGCCGAGATGACGAACGGAGGCTGTTTCCCACTTACGAGTATGGCTCATTCACTGATATTCCTTGAGGAATGATCGTTATAAGTATGGGGGGCTTATTTGTGGGTTGTTATAGGAAGAGCTCGAATGCCGTGCCCATCATCCCAGGAGCTACGTTTCATACACCCAAGAAGGATTTGCAGGTGTGCTGTTGCTTCTCTTGTTTCCTTGCTCTCTTGGGTTGTTGCTCTATAACTAATACTTGAATTTATAGAGATTTGCGTCGTTAAGACCTGTAGACAAGATTTCGAGCGGTCATAGTAATATCCGACAAAGTGAACCGGTTCGTGCGGCTGGAAGATCAAGAAAACTCGCTAATCCGGAAACGAACTTGAGAGGCTATGCGGCAAACCGTGAAAAGGGTGTCTCGCATGTGGAGAATTCAGATATCGAAGAACTGCCTCCTAGGCCTCCTAAGCGTCGGCGCCGAGACGGCTTAACTGCAAACTCGATGGTGGAGAACGAGTCTGTGGCGACATCACCCGTTACTCGGCGCTCACCCCGTCTGTCTTCGCCTTCTTCTTCTCTGTTATCGGTGAAATCAAAAAGGGGGCCTTCTGCTCAGTTAGAAGAATACCGGGAGGTAGAGAGAAGAGTGACTTCGCATCGGCCTCAAAACAAGCCCAGGTTTAATCATCAGCGGCCTTTCTCTTTTGGAGATGATTCCGACGAGGATTGCTTTACACGAAATGCCGGAAAGCAGAGGCGCTCCATGGGGCAGAATATACATGTCGAAGTGTTGTCCGACCCTGAGCGACCAGTCAAGTCTCCCAAACATGGAGTCCTGCAAAGTGTGGAAATTCCTCACCGGAACACTGCTTGTGAAAAGAATTCGGTGCTGTCACCAATTCAAACGCCATCTGTTATCCATGATCACAGGCGGCGGCTCTCAGATGCGAGGGAGAGTCCTGATGAACTGCAGGGTGAAGCAACCGTTGGACCTGTTCCCAAAACATTGGACGAAGCCTGTAAGGCAGACTCCAGGAGCCCCGAAGTTGCACGTAAAACGGAAGTAGATATCTATGTTCAGCCGTCGACGTCCGACATTTGGCGAGAGGCTTCCTCAGGCCGTCCCAGACGTGAGAAGTCAAGACACAAAGACGCGGGTCCAGCGAAGACCGGTCTCCACAGCCGATTATTCGAAGCTTCTTTATTCCGCTTTGGGACTGTGGAGCGACGTTCTTCTGATGGGGGGCCCATTGCAATTTATGTCAACGATAATGATACTATTGGGCTTGCTGAGCCGGACAACCAACTTGAAGGTGCATCGATTTCACTTCAAAAGGTTCGAGAGGTAGTTCGCGGGTTGAGCGACAGTCATAAGATTAGGTTGAATCTCTCAAGCTCCTCAGGGACTGCTAGGCAGATGGACATAGAATTGTCCACAATTAAAGACAAGGACGATCTCTGTTCCATATTTGCAGGGCAAGATGTGAAAGTGCAAGATAAGCCCGGGTATGCAACAATCCTTTCATATGGAATGAAACTTTCAGTTTTACTGCCAGACAAGGCTGACAGCCTGCTAGTGAATGGATGGACAAGTCCTTCAAGAAAAGTAAAAATGAAATGCGATCCATTCGTTATTCCAATGGGGTGAAACGACCTTGCTCTGAAAATATTCCGGATTCGCTCCCCCAGCCTAGGGTTGAAGTGACCAAACGCCCGAAGCTATCTGCTTCCCTTCAGAATGACTCTTATAACACTACTGTCGAACCATCATCCACGTTGAATCGAACTCCTTGCGACTCTCAAAACCCCCAGGCGTCTCCTGATTTAGCAAAGGGGACTTTCGATCCTGGCCCTCATAGCCACCCTCCTCGAAATGATTCTGATAGTGGGGTCGAAATTCCAGTGAAGAAGTCCATTCCAGATTCAGCCCATTTTCGACGGACCAGGTCCGCGAAACGCCGTGGCCCGTCAACTTTCGTCTGGTAAGTGCTAAGCCTCTTTTATTAGGTGGCTTCAACTAACAGATCGTAGTAGTGATGATGACGACAAACAGGCCGAAAATGGTAAGGGTGAATCTCAGCAGAGGTCTGATGTCGGCAACAAAAAACAGAAGTGGCAAAAGTGAGTTGCTTTTCGAGTATGTTGGGTATTATTGTTTTGTTTGTTCTGACAACCCTTTTTCATATAGACCACTTGTCTATCCGCGCTTTGGGAAGAAAAAGGCAGAAATCGACTATAATGATCGTGAACGACTACGAGATAATGAGTTTTTGAATGACAATCTGATCGGATTCTACCTACGTTTCCTCGAGGATCATCTGCAACGCACAAATCAGGAGGTCGCGAAGAGAGTCTATTTCTTCAATTCTTATTTCTTTGCGACACTCACGAACCTACCCAAGGGGAAACGATGTATCAACTACGAAGCAGTTCAGAAATGGACCCGAAATGTCGATATCTTCAGTCACGACTATGTTGTCGTTCCCATCAATGAAGCTGCGCATTGGTATGTCGCAATAATATGCAACTTGCGGGGTCTGTTGCAATCATCTCGCGAGAATGTGGAGTCTCGAAAACCCTCTGCCGATGAAAATAGACATCCGCAGGTCGCAACTGAGAAAAGCGATGGCCCCGATACATCAGAGTCCCTTGCTGAGGAGCCAGCTGCGAATGCAAATGAGGAGGTAACTCGCCAGTCGCTTGCTTCCATGACTCTCTCTGACAAGGTGGCCACGGAAGCTTCTGATAATGCTAAGAGGGAAGTTTCCGCTGCGGACGAGGATTGGCCCGGGGACAGCGAGAATCAAAATTCATCTCCCACGGTTTTTCCGCCCCATGAGAATTTAATCGATAAAGAAAACTCCAAGGAGCAAGCTGAACCTACGGTATTGCCACGGCAGATCCGGAAAGGGAAGAAAAAGGGACGAAATACGGGCGCGATTGATCCTTCCCAACCGACCATTATCACATTTGACTCGCTTAATTTATCCCGCCAATCAACAGTTAAGGCCCTTAAAGAGTATCTTTATGAGGAGGCCAAGTCGAAAAGGGCAGTTGAAATCGACGTCAGTTCGATACGTGGTTTCAAGCCTCGGGCTATACCGTTGCAAGACAATTACTCGGATTGTGGGCTGTACCTGTTGGCGTACATTGAAAAATTTGTCCAAAATCCGGACGCCTTCATTAGAAAGTTACTCCTGAAAGAAACAACCTCAAGCGTTGGCTGGCCTGATTTAAAATCCGGGCACCTTCGCCGTCGGCTTCGCAAGTTCCTTGACGATCTATATGACGAGCAGGAGCGGGTCGGCCAGAACAAGGACAATGAGAAGAATACCTTGGCGGATCAGAAACAAATTTCTTTTCTCCTAGGGCCACCTGAACCCAATCGATGTGAAATTGGGGAAAGATTAAGTCCTAAAGAAACGCCACCCAACGATGCTCCGGAGAAGCATGAATCTAAGACTGACAGACTTCCCAAGCAAACTGATCAGAAAGAGCCGCTTCTGGAAGAGCGACCAGGTACTGCTGATCAGTCGTCGAAGGAAGTGACAACAGGCAACTCTAATCGTACACAAGACCAAGAAACGGGCTATACCCACAATATCCGGTCGGAGCCGGAGCCAGCACCGCGTCCAGAAGTCTCCGCTACAAAGCAGGTGTCCGATCTGGAGGTCGTCGAGGTTCCTGACAGTCAAGAACCTAGCCATGGTCAGTTGGACTCGTTATCTCCCAAATTCAATCATCATACCAAGGCTAGCTGTCAGCCAGATACGGTGGTTGACCTGGAAGAGAACGGTCCGGTGGGAAAGGAAGATGCATTCGATATCGAGAGAAATGATAATGCTTCTGGGTCGGAAAAGAGAGCTATTCGAGACAGCACCCCTGCACAAAAGTCGGTTGAGGTATGCATACCTGAGACGCCTCCATCCTCGGAGGTTGCACAAGACTCCCCTCGGAGGAGTCCAAAATATTCGAAGGATAAAAATTAGAGACGGGCCATGACTATTATGTTTTCTTTTGCTTTTCTTCCTTCACTCGGTCCAAGGAGATTATTTGCATGGTAATAGACGCCGGCGTTCTGGGTGATGGTGCATGGAGGCTTGCTTGTTGAAACTGGAGCGGTTTGCAGGATACCAGCATAGAAATGGTGTTATGGAGCACAAATACCTGTCTCATCCGGCGTATGAACAGAATCAGCTACTATTAGAGAAGTGAAATAGTCTGCATTGACGCGTTGTCGAGATATCCCTATAGAGATTGCCATTACCAACCTTCCAACGCCGTTCCCACAAATATATCTATCCGTAGCCATGCATCATGACCATGCTAACACTTGAAAGGCGAAATGAAAAGAACGACTACCACTCACTTTCATCCGCCTGAATCCACCAAGCCATCTTATCCCTCTTGAATGACTCAAAATCCCACTCTGCCCTCTCCAGCCGCCCCATCCCCTCTGCCCAGACATAGGTAATAGCATCCACCTCCTCTCCTTCATCCGCGAACTCAGCCCCAGCAGCATCAAGCACATCCCTCAAATGCCCATCGGGATTCTTTGCAATACTAGCCTCCTGTCGCCCCCCGACACTCAACGTCTCTCGAAGCACGCGCACCTTGACCGGTTTCTTGAGGTATTCCGATCCTTCGTAGATGTCAAGCCTATGCAGATCGCCATCCGTTAGGCCTGAGACAAGCGTCCCTAGGACATATTGGTCGGCCACAGGTGTTGCTGTTTCAGACCCATTTGCATTGCTGCTGTTGGAAGCATCCTTCTCTGCTCCGGTTGATAACACTGGTACAATGCCGGGATAATCAGCTCCCCGGACACGATGGCGTTCGTACCCGTGCAGGATGGCAGGTTTGAATGTTAACAGTGCCTTTTGCCAAGGTTCTGGGTCTGGACGGCCGTGTATGACCCTGTGAAGAATTTGGGGGGCCATGAGGGTTCCTTTTTTTGTTTGTTATATATCTGTTGATGCGGGGATGGATATGGATCGGTTTATTTACCATAGAAGAAAAGAGTGTGGTCTCCCATCTTGAAAGAAGGCTTGGGGAGGGGAGAAGATTTATGGATTAGACAATTTATTATTCAGGGACTCGATTTACCCTTATGTTAATTAATAGCCAGTATGGTCATTGTTATTAGGGAGGGATTGATTATCGTGGTCTATGACGGGGTCGATCGTCCATGAAATCACTCCGCAATTAATCAATTAGGAATCTTATCATCGATCATCATCGGAAAAGGACACCTCTTTGTCTGACTTCGTCCGGACGGGAGCTGGTACTTTTTGGATTTACTTCAGGGATTCTTGTCAATTTGTTAAATCTCTGGCTTGTTTGTTTTCTCTTTCTGTTTACCTTTGATTTCTTTCCTTCCAACAAACTCCGACAATATGCACTCCTCCCTCAACCGCGCGCAGGCCGTCTTCAGCTTCTTCACCACCGTAGCTATATTCATTGCCGGGTTCACTGCGCTATCAGTCCTGTTGTATCCTACCGATGATGCAAAAGCCAGTGTTCAAGTGAAAGATGTGCGGGTGTATGTTTATTTCCTCATCATGACAGATGCTCTATCAAAAACGCTCGATCAAAACTAACAAGAATATCAGAATCAAAGGAAGACCGCATTACTACTCGATGAAAAAGGAAGAATACGCACACATAAAATTCGATCTGGATGCAGGTACGCGAGCAATGGCATGGAAACCACATAGCAAATTCAATTCAACTAACTCCAAGAAAAAAAAAGACCTCTCCCCCCTCTTCAATTGGAACACAAAACAACTCTTCGTCTTCGTTCTAGCCTCCTATTCCTCTTCCGACAACGAGAAAGATAATGCACAAACCTCCCAATCCATAATCTGGGACACCATCATCCCAGCCCCGGAATCCCCCTATTCCTTCAACTCACTCCGTGAACGGTTTCTGCCATCAACGTCTACGTCTACGTCTTCATCCCGGCGATCGACACTAAAGCAGAAGAGCGCGACGACGGCGGCAAAGAGCGCCAACATCAAGAAGGATACACGCGGCGCACGCCCCGGGGTCCTCCGTCTGAGGAACCAGAGACCCAAGTATCAGATTAGCGATATCACGGGCCGCATGTCGGAGAAGAGGAACGTGACGCTGTCTGTGGGGTGGAACGTGCAGCCTTGGGTTGGGGGGTTATGGTGGGGTCCTGCGTCTGGTTCTGTGCCTCACACGGCTGGGTTGGTGGAGGAGAGTAAGAGGTTTGATTTTCCTGCTTTGAAGGAGAGAGGGAGTCAGAGTCAGAATCAGAATCAGAGGTCGTCTGTTGCTTGATTTAGGTGCGGAATGTACATGTCAATTTGTTTATCTGATTGATACTTTTTTAATGTCCGGTAAAATTGATAGAGTTGGGCATAGGTCTGTGCTTTTATATTGTATACCATGCTAACCTCTTTAAACTTCTTTGTTTTAAAAAGGAATGAATCTGATAATAAAATACATTGTTTCAGAACTCTGTACCATTCCAATACAGCATCCACGCTCAATGTTGAACCATAACTGACGATAAACAAGCAACCGACCCTTCTTCACCAGCCACGGCCGCTTTGGACTCGATCAGAGAAGACACCGGGTGCACGGATACCCCTGGAAGCTGGGTCTTGATTCCTATACCAGACATATTCGACGTAGAATGCATGGACCCAACCAGGGAAGTATCTATGGGATCATGAGTAATGGGGGTCGTGGATGAGGAATGGAATGGAGACTAACGCTAGTATGGTAAGAACGATATTGATCAGAAAGTCAACACTGAAGCCAGAGACGAAAAAGACGCCGAGAGGAGGTACTGGATGTATACGAGCATCAGTGTGGATTCCTTTCTTTAAGACAGCTGAAGGTCAGCTCACATAGCAGAGTAATGACAACAAGAATAATCAAAGTAGCGCCGTCCGCCATCTTCAATTGTCGCAAGTGATCAATCACTCAATGGATTCAATTGTAGCCCGACTGCTACCTGTTTCTCAACGAGCTTTTCTCGAATTGGACGCAGCAGCAACAGCTCGATTCGGTTCCCGTGATGAACCAACAAGACTGAATACAAGGATCACGAAAAGTAGAACGAAAATCTGAACGGGCACATTATCAGTGCGCCTCATTATGCCTGCCGGCGGTTGAGGTAGGTTATTGTATACTCCGGACTGGGATTGCATAACGTCAGTGTGCCAAATCAAGAAGGAGGGACCTAGATATATGTCGTAGTGGACCGGAGTGACGACCAGGGCACAGATTGACTCGACCGGATTTACTCGACCAGAGGATCTGATGGCTGGCGTGATGGTGGTGTTGTTGCTGGCACTCGTTCGGAAGTCAAGTTGAGGTTGAACTGATGTCACACACGATCACGGGTTTGCCGATTACGGTGGTGGCGCCTCAAACATATTCGTGCGTGCCAAGGTTACTATTCCGACTGAAATCTGCCAACAGTTTACTTCCATATTGAAATAGCATAAAGATACTTTTTCTTGCATATCGTACCACTCGTACTAGCTGCGCTGTATATGGATTCGTTATTTACCTGCATTGGGATTCTTCAAACAGCATCAATGGCCGCCCGTGTCGTCACCTGCTCGTTTTTGTTACCCAGTTTCGATATCTGCAGGAATGCATCCACTCCGTAGCCTTCGAGACTGTGCAGTTCAAGACTGCCGGCCCAGTATTCCGCATATACTCTGCTCATCGGCAATCCCATTCCTAGCCGGAGATTAGGTGATCGAGAAGTCAAAGTGTCCAGCGAGCTTTCCCGGAAAGTCGTTCTATCCGCATCCTTCCGTTCTTCCGGCACTGTTAGCTCCTGCATGGTAGCCGCTAACGCGGGGACCTGCCCCAGATTTTCCAAGCGTGTTTGACTTCGAGGGCCTTTGCAGAAAGACCACAGGAATGGGAGGATCTCCCGCGGGATTCCACCTCCCTGATCTGAAATTCGCATGATCACATGCTGAGGTGCCTCGCATATCAGCACTTCGATTGGCGGTGGCTTCTGGGGGCTCTCCTTGTACTTTTCGCCAACAGCCTGGATCGAGTTGCGCAGGAGCTCGCCGATAATATACTCCAGATGGCTCAACATATAAGGAAAGGTGGTCCCGAGGTGTCCTCGAACCGTAATGTCTGGGATATTATCCGTTCCGCAGCTCTTTCTCGTCAGGTCCTGTGCCAGCTTCCCGCAACGTTCAACGACCTCCTTCGCATTGCATTTGAGGAAGACTTCTCCCACGAAATCTGCATTCGGGTCTGTGCGATCTTGAGAGTCGGGGAAATGCCACGGAGAGTTGAATGTCTCTGTCAACGCTAGATGTTGCTCTGCGATAACACGGCGCGAGATTCTCTGGTATGAAAACATCAGCTTGATTATTCCATCATAAACAGAAGTATCTATTTACCGCTCGTAACATAGTATTCATAAACCGATCCATTTCATCTGGAGCTTCCACAAGCTCGCGGCACTGCAAGACGCCCGTCGCCAGATTAGGAATCACCACCAGATGCTCTTTGAGCATCTCGTGCAAAATGTCACAGAACTTATCATTTTCTGCTAGGGTTCTAATCTCTGGTACCGCTCGGAACTTCTCAAACGCTTTGTAGTAGAGCTCGTATACGAGGGAGAGATGAGGATTCGCCACGACCACATACGGGAGCTTTTGAATATCACGTAGGCGATGCGCGATTCTGATGAGAGAAAGGCATTAGCGATTAGAGCCTTGCAATTGGGAGCTAAACATGGCCTGATCTAACCTCGTTGGCAATTCAGTCCGCACGTAATTCGCGGAACTTATAAGTCGCGGCTCTGTCAGAGTCCGCCCAAAGAACGTCAGTTGTCGAAGGCTGATAGGCCGAATGTCGCGCTCCACCCATCTGTTTGTAACATAGGTCAGCCAGAAGAACTGAGACGCATTGTTGTTCTTGGGGCCCGTACTCATCCAGCGAGGAAACCGGTCTCCATGGTGGCGGATTATGCGACTGTGAGGAATAGAGCCGCAGCGACGGTGTGCTTCTCCGGAAGAAGGCATGCCAGCATCGAGCTGGATGACTCGGTAGCATACTGCTCTGCCATGCACTCGAGCTTGCCTTAAAGCGATCTCGGTTTCAATGCAGGAGCCCGTGTACTGAGATTAGCCTCTTGGAACATGGCTTCCTAGGAATTAGCATTCGGACAAGCCAGAACTTCTCATATTAGGGGATGCCATGACCAGTACAGGAGGGTGCGTTTGATTAGGGAAGAAAAATATGAGTCTAGCGTGGGCAAGGCAAAATTACATCGGGAACGCAAAGAGCAGGCGAGCTGACATGTGACTGTGTGTCTTTTGCACGATCTTCGATTAGTTATTTTCTTTCATATGTAATAAAGCCAAGTCAAGATCTTCTCTAGTTATTAAACATTTCGAGCAAATGAGTCATACCAGACACAATCACTGTCCTGCCAGCATGAGCAGAGGCTTGAGAGATGTACTCCATGATGTAATTAGCGGTCTTTACCTTGCAAATGAATCACTGATGTTCCGATGTCTAATCAGAGGCATTCCGGTGTGGTCTTGTGGAATGAGAGTCGATGCTTACTATCCCACTGGGCGGCTATTCCAGGACTGCGATCTTGATGCAGGATCCCAGCGAGAAAGGGATGCGAAGGAGCTCCGAATCAGTGAAGGGTTTGTGCAAAGCGAAGAACAGTGTCAATGCGCCCATGTAAATCGACCTCAATCCACCTCCAGGAATACTCGAAAGCTTGAAATATGCTTTGAATTTTCCAAATCTGTCGAAGTAGATCATATATAGACTCCTACAGTGGTGTTTGTGCGACATGGACTATTATACACAGCGCTGTAGGCGTAGCTGTAGCTTAGCTAGCACATGCGTCCACCAAAACAGGATCCCAAGCTTGGATTCGCACCAGCTTGAGGAGACAAGGGGACGCGATGAAGCAATAAAACCAGACAAGCGAACAGAATCCACATATACCACAAGGCCCAGGTCGCCATGGGCACAAATAATTATTATAATATTGAATAATTAATGCCTGCAGACAGGGGATCGTCAAAGCCGAAAGGTGCAGACTCCGCCACCGCTCGCTGTCTCTCCCGCTGCTGCAACACGTTATACTTGCTCTCACTTACTTCACGGCTTCTCCCCCCGCGTCCGTCTGCTTCTTTGTCAAACTCCTTGCGCTTTCTGGTCAATCATCACTTATTCGCCTTTCTTCTACACTCCCACCTCCTCTGTTAGCCCCCAGAGGGAAAAGAAGGAACAGAAGAACCAAGAAAAATCATAAGGGAAAGCGGTAGCCTTCGGATCCAGGCGTGCCGGAGGCACTTTTCTTGATGGACAACGTAAGGCCTTTTGCTCTCACGCTTTCCCATAGCTCCAGCGGACGTGATAGAACAAAGTGAGGTTTTGAAGAGGAAGTTGAATCCAGATCCGCTGATTCGCAAACCGTTTCTTCGCAGGCTACGGACAATGACATGCTCGTCGACGAATACGAGCAGTATCACAATAATAATAATGACAGAACGGATGTCGTCGTCGTCTCTCGCTCCGGTTCAGAGGAACTGGAGCAAGAGCAAGAGCCAGAGCCAGAGCCTCTAGCAAATGACTGTACGACTTCCCTCCCAGCATTTTCACGTTATACCTTGCCCTTCTGCCCTGCCCCTCATCCCACGTCTACCTAGACCAGTGGAGGGAACCGCTGGAAGATTCTGCGGAGGGGCCGGTTTGTTATGCGCGCGTCTTCTTTTGTTATGGAAGCTTTTCGTCGTTTGCATTGATCTAATACGAGGTCTGATGTCTAGATCCGGCGATGATGGCACGATGTCTTCCCAAGATCCCAGATTTGGAGACCGAGGATGAGGCATATCACACATGGCACATCCAGGACTGGCGAAAAATGAGACATAAGGAGCATGGTCCGATTTTCCAATGCGCGGGATCCCCATGGTGGGTTTACATTGTCGTGCTTCGCGACAGCTTTTTTTTTTCCCTTTTGGATATGCTATGGTTCTGACAATGGCTACAGGCGGATCCTATTCTTCCCGTACGGTAATCACGTTGAACACGCTTCATTTTACTTGGAACAAGCATGGGAGAAGGAACCCCCGGAGAATTGGTACGCCTGCGTGCAGTTTGCATTGGTCCTGTGGAATGTGAATGATCCAAGCATCTATGTTACGCACGGTACGCGCAATCTCACCTACACGTATCCCACATTTATTTTTTAGCTAATTCAACTTGGTAGTCGCCACGCATCGTTTCAATGTCGACGAAGGGGACTGGGGGTTCACAAGATTCTACGACTTCCGAAGACTATTTACCATGCCATGGGAGGGCCGAGGCACTCCACTTGTGCAGAATGACGAAGCAAATATTACGGCTTACGTCCGTGTTGTTAAGGATCCTACGGGCGTCCTATGGCACAGCCTTCAGAAGTATACACGCCCACCCTCCCCCCGATGCTCTGTCCTATGCTGATTGTCTTCCAGCTACGATTCCAAGAAGGAGACTGGTATGGTAGGGCTGCGGAACCAGGGTGCAACCTGTTACCTTAATTCACTCCTACAGTCATTGTATTTTACCAATGCATTCCGGAAGGTATGGGCTTTCCAGTTGGCTCTCTGGGATACTTGATGCTGATATCACTCTGTCAAGGCTGTCTATCAGATCCCTACCGAAAACGAGGCCACACGGGAGAACAGTGCCTGGACTCTCCAGAAACTGTTTTATTCCCTGCAGACAAGCGACCTTCCAGTCTCGACTACGGAGCTCACCGCGTCTTTTGGCTGGGAATCGCGACAAATCTTCGAGCAGCAGGATGTCCAAGAACTTTCGAGAAAATTGATGGAGCGGCTTGAGGAAAAGATGAAGGGCACGCCGGCCGAAAAGGCATTAGCTGAACTGTTTGTTGGGAAAACAAAGACTTACATTTCTTGCATCAACGTCGACTACGAATCCTCGCGTATTGAAGATTTCTGGGATATCCAGCTGAACGTGAGAGGAAACAAGACACTTGAAGACAGCTTCAGGGACTACATTCAGGTGGAGACTTTGGAAGGCGAGAACAAGTACGATGCGGGTCAGCCGTACGGTTTGCAAGACGCCAAGAAGGGTGTTATCTTTGAGAGCTTCCCACCTGTCTTGCATCTTCACCTGAAGCGCTTTGAATATGACATCAACCGTGATGCGATGATGAAGTTGAATGACCGACACGCTTTTCCTTTGGAATTTGATGCGAGCCCTTATATGTCTAATGATGCCGACAAGTCGGAGCCCTGGGTGTATCAATTGCACGGTGTGTTGGTGCACAGTGGTGACTTCAATGCTGGCCATTATTATGCCTTTATAAAGCCCAACAAGGAAGGGTTCTTTTACCGATTTGATGACGATAAGGTGACCCGCGCAACGGAAAAGGAGGCTCTTGACGAGAACTTCGGTGGAGAATATGAATTGGCCAATGGAACGCCAGGAGTTAGACAGCCTTATACTCGAACTTTGTCTACCAAACGATCTATGAACGCATACATGCTCGTTTACATTCGTAAATCGAGATTGGATGAAGTTCTCGTGCCAATTACCAAAGACGATGTCCCTTCACATATTGGTGCGCATTCCCTTTCCATTTGATCCTGTCTTGTCCTAATGCTGACCAACTTTTATAGAGAGGCGACTGATGGAAGATCGGGCGGAGATTCTCCGTAGGAAGAAAGAGAGGGAAGAAGCTCACCTTTATATTCAGATTGGAGTCTTAAGTGAGGAATCCTTCAAATCTCACCATGGATTCGATTTGACCAGTCCTGATCTACCTGCCGGAGACCCGGCGCTTCCGAAACAATATCGAGTATTAAGAGCCAAAAAGATCGGTGAGTTCGCAAAGGAATTGGCAGAAGAGAACGGGCATAAACCGGAGCAGGTCCGTTTTTGGATCATGGTAAACCGTCAGAATAAGACAACACGCCCAGATCAGGTCATTAGGGATCCGGATCTTACTGTTGAGGAGGTATATAGCAGGTTTGGGACGAAAGGTAACCCATTCCGTCTCTGGATGGAAGTAGGCAAGCCTGCTGCGGATGGAAGTATCTCTTGGCCCGACAGCAACACTTCAGTCCTCGTGTTTTTGAAGCATTTCGATGTCATCGCGCAGACTTTGACTGGTGTTTCCGCCGTCTACGTTCGCAAGGCTCAAAGAGTAGCCGAGCTCGCACCAACGATTCTAGAAGCGATGAACTGGCCCGCTGGCACCGAGTTCATGCTCTTTGAAGAAATCAAACACACGATGATCGACCTAATGAAACCGAAACAGACATTCCAACAGTCGGAGATCCAAGATGGAGATGTTATAACATTCCAGCGGATTGTCAAAGAATCAGAACTCCCACCCACGGCGCTGTACATGGATGCGATGCAGTATTATGACTACCTCTTGAACAGGATGAACGTGAACTTTGCGCCCGTAAAAGCAGGAGAGGGCGACGAATTCACCCTAACCCTCAGCCGAAAGATGACATACGATCAGTTCTCGAAGAAGGTTGGCGAACATCTCAATGTTGACCCTACACACTTACGATTCGCGCCGGTCATGGCTAGCACCGGGAAACCAAAGCAATTCCTCAAGCGGAATATCAGCCAGAATCTGTACCAAATTCTTAATGGTCAGTATGGTGCCTATGGGTATAGCATGCATCGCCCGGATGCCCTCTATTATGAAGTCCTTGATATGAGCCTTAGTGATTACGAATCCAAGAAATGTCTCAAGGTGACTTGGCTTCCAGAAGGTATCACTAAAGAGGTTAGTTACTCACGTGTCTTGGACCGTCGCACGCTGGGAATTGTCCATACTGACTGGTCTACAGCAAGTTATTGAGGTTCTTGTATCTCGAAGTGGGACGATTGCGGATCTTCTCGTTGGGTTACAGAAGAAGGCGAATTTGGATGACGACACAATTCGACACGTTAGAGTGTTCGAGGCGCATAGTGGAAAGATATACAAGGAGCTTAGAGACGACTTTAGTATAACCGGGCTCAACGAGTTTGTCACATTATACGCGGAAAAAATACCGCAAGAGGAACTCAACATGTCAGAAGGCGAGCGCCTTATCAATGCTTTCAACTTCGATCGAGAGCCTGGAAAACCACACGGCGTGCCCTTCAAGTTTGTTGTGAAGCCTGTAAGTGCTGATAAATGGGTTTCTACATTGCATCTGCCGTTGCTAACGTCGGTCATCAAAAGGGTGAGATCTTCAAAGAGACGAAAGATCGGCTCTCTAAACGCACCGGCATCAAAGGGAAGCAATTTGAGAAGATCAAGTTTGCAGTTGTCCCTCGGGTCATGTACTCAAATCCACGATATCTTGAAGATGGTAAGCATGTCCCAGTTGTTCCCGAACGGGAGCCCGTTCCTAACCGTCTGTCATAGGTGATATACTGTCCGACATAGCCAGCGACCCGGACGACCTCCTCGGTCTCGACCATGTAAATAAGAGCCGGAGCTTTTGGAACAGGAGCGAATCTTTCTTCATCAGATAGACTGCATCGGAAGTCGACGGCCCCGTGATTGCATGTGGGTGGCGGATACTGTCTATTTTCCAAGACAGGTGTGGCACGGGCGGTTGTAGACGTAGTAGTATACATGCCTAGATGCAGACATGGCTATATTGAGAGATCTTCGAGCGGAATGAAGAACCTGTTGGTAGCTGCCTTTTGACCTGACTCCTGGCATGGGCTCCGCATGCATTGGGGTTAAGAAGTCATGCGGTGTTTCTTGTACGGGAGGCAGCATATTCTCAGATTACTCGAATACTTTCTCCTTTCTAGAAATAATGATCATGGAGTGATGGTGATAACTTGGAACGTATGCTGGACAGTGGTATTATTTGTGTTGCTATCTGTGAGCTCGGATGCAAACAAGTCAAACATCCCAAAGACAGATTGCACCAACTCGCCAACTCCTGAGACTGAGTTGTCGGAAGAACCTCAGTCTGCAACCATCGACCCTCATAGCCACCTCAGGTGGATATCCCTTCAATTCTCACTCAGAATGCGCTTCATAGCATTGGCCATTGGCCTCCTGGCCACAATGGTGTCGTCCGTAACGGCAACCGCGTTGACCTACAAGCTCGAGGCCAACGAGAAGGCCTGTTTCTTTGCCTACGTTGACCAGCCGAATACGAAGGTGGCCTTTTACTTTGCGGTACGTTTTATTTTTTTTAACTTCACTATATCGTAGTGTTTGTCGCGCGATGATTGGGATCATGTTGTTGACTCCTGTTTGTTATCCAGGTTCAATCCGGCGGTTCTTTCGATGTCGATTACTCCATTATCGGACCAGGCGATTATGTTGTTACGGAAGGAAGCAAGGAGCGCCAGGGCGACTTCGTATTCACGGCTCAGAGTATCGGGGAGTACCGATTCTGTTTCAATAATGAGATGTCGACGTTTGCAGAGAAGATGGTCGATTTCGAGATCGCAGTATGTGCACATGATCTATGTCCCTTCCCTACATGATATTCGAACTAAATGGAACCGGATCTGTTTACAATCGTTATTTGTCAATAAGCTGGCATCCTAATCCTGTTACAGGTCGAGAATGAAGAACGTGCACAACTCCCCTCCCGACAAGGAGCTAGCCCCGAACAAGCGTCAGCACTGGAAGAGTCCATCTACAAGCTGTCAGCGCAGTTGTCGACTATTTCGCGGAACCAGAAATACTTCCGGACGCGTGAGAACCGGAACTTCAGCACTGTTCGGAGCACGGAAAGACGGATTTTCAACTTTAGCGTGTTGGAGAGCTTGATGATGGTGTCGATGGCTGGGCTGCAGGTATTTATCGTGCGGTTCTTTTTTCAGGGGGCGAGGAAAGGTATGTTTATTCTTGTTTTGCTTATCTGATCATATTCTGACTGGGTTATAGGTTACGTCTGATGAATACGAGATTTTTAATGGCAATTTATTGGAAAAATGGCGTGTATTAGTACAAATATAGCAGTATACCTATCTAGTTTTCTTCTAGGTATCATCTTCAACTTTAGTGATTACGGCTACGGGAACAGTGATGTCTATAGCTCTTGCCTTTTGGAACGAGACGGGTCAATTCGCGGCTGTGGCCCTGGACGATAATAACGATCGGGTCGATCCGTCAGGTCTAGGCCATTGCCGGCAATCTTGCATGAAATAGCTTCTCGTGATATCTTTCCAGGGGCGGTCTGTCAAAATAGGTAGTTGGATAAAGTTGAATGTTGAGCTTAGAATGACAGCATCACGAGATCCAGTCATTTATGCAGAAGGTCAACTGGTTCGGGAAAGCAGTGAAAACTAGGGAGTAATAGTCGGGACCAGGACAGTCCGGCCTCTCTCGACACAGGAAAAAATGTGACATTATTGTCTCAAATACTGGCCATCTATCTGTACCAGAAAGAAAAGATGACCGTGGACATCACCCCATCTCATCCCCCAATGAGACATGACATGAGATAATGCGTTGTTTTTATTAAGTTTCCTAGACTGCACACTTAACGCCCCACTTCCATCCTAGGGCATAAACCGGTTCAAAGCAATGCAATTCAGAATAGATAGAATAGAAAATCGGCGATTGCATCTATCCGACAGCTTAAGCCTTGCAGCCAGTCTTTTCGATTGTATGCAAGGACTGGACCTTCCCTTTGTCCGTCCGACGGGAAGGGCCTAGGCTATGTAGATCGACAGGACCGGGGTGTGGGTGTGAAGGATCAGATTTGCAGTGCAGCTCCAAAAGTGCGGAGAAGATGACTTTCATTACAACTTCAGGCTGGAGCCAGACATTATTCCTTGCGAAGAGAAAGAGTTCTTGATTACTTTACATACAAAGTTCTAATGAGAGAATAAAGAACTTAAGAAGCCCAGCAGATGACGTTACATTATCCTAGTCTGGTCTGGTCACATCCAGGGGACGCTAGTACGGATCGGGCAAGGTGTGTGTGGTCTGCCAGTAAGCGAGAAAATAAAATAATGGCGCGGCTGACCTGGTGAAACCCTAGGCTTGTACGTATATGGACTATGATATCATTAATTTAAGAAGAGTCTGGTAACAGCTGTTTTGAGTATATCGGTGTTGCTGTCTGTGATTTCGGATCTATGCAAGAGAGCATGAGGTGAGAGTATTCAGCGGGAAAGGAGAGTAGACAGCTGATTCGAATGGAATGGGGTGGTGATGATGCTGGCAATGAATAGGATCTTTGTCTGTCCATGGACGTTCGTCCACAATGCAGGAAGGAGTAGGAATAGGACACAGTGGTCATGTGCTACTTGTTAAGAGATGGTGGTCTGTGGTATTTGCTGATCCCTTTTTCTACTTCTCGTACCGACCACTGATGGATGAGTGGATATAATAATCTTTTTTGTTGTTTCCTTTTTCGAAGGTTCTCCTCGGAAACATTGAAGAGACTCGATCTCTTTGGACTCGATGGATCGGGGGAGAGAGAGCCCGCACTGCCCCGTGGGTGATGCATATGCAACACATGTCGATGGCAAATCAAGGGAACCCTGTTTCACTCGGAGGTATACGGAGCAACAGGCTTTAAAAAAAAAGAGAGAGAGACAAGATCCACCGTCTCAGAAATGTCGGCGCGAGCTTATGATAATTGGCCTGCACGGCCATCCGCACGCAGAGTCCTTGACCGGCACAACTCACAGGCCCTCAGGAACGTCATTACAGCTAGATTGACTTTGGGTCACCTGGAGCAGAGAGCTCTGCCATGTCCTATGATGTGCTGTTCCCAACATTCCAAATGCGCCTGGTTTGCGTGCCGTGAAACGTGAGCCTGTCGGTGAGAGGCTTAGCCTCCTGTTGCTTATGTACTTCGGAATCGGACCTTGTGGTGTGCATGGATCCCTAATAATTACAATAGTCTCTTTCTTTTTATTCTTTAAGAAAATAATCTGATTGTTCCTGAGGAACACTGATGTCATATCGTTTTATGGCCCCGACTCGTACCATTTCATTGCGCTGTAGTCTGTACACTTTGTATATAGACTTGACTTGCCTTTGACAGCATGCTTGTATCCCGTCTACATTCTTATCCTAATACCTATAATAGTCTCCATTCAATCTAATTATATACCACACTTGCTGCTGGCGTCCAGAGTCTTCTTCTCCTGGGCTGCAGCCTGCCTCTCAAAACATCGAACAGCCTCTACGAACTCACGTGTTACCATCGTTTGAGAAACTGAACTTGATATCCACACGAAAACGATACCCCTGTCCCCCTCCCTCTCTCTATCCTTGTCGAACACATTCGCAACCATACAGTCGAACAAGAACAACTCGCTACCACTCCTACAAGGGAAAGAGAGCCTCCATTCGATCCATCCTCTTTCACTTCCTTCCCCTAGTCTCCATCCGAACCAAACTAACCCGATCGGAACAACCATGGGCTCCTTAGAGGGAAGACCGAACAAAGGGAACGTGTACGAATCCATAAATGGAACAACAACAAGAACAGCAAGAAGAAGAAGAAGCGACGATATCTTCCCGCTTGCAACAGTCCAGTGTCCGCATGCCTCTGTGGCGGATTATCAACGCGTCATGCTGAAGCATACCAAGCGGCAGATGTCTATATTCATGGATATCGATCTCGACTTGGACATGAACGATAAGGGAGATGACGGCTCCGAGATCACTAGCCTTACTTGTGGTAGCAGGACTAGTGATAGCTGTGCTGCTGGGAGTAGTTCCAGTAGTTCCTCTTCGTCAGGGAGTGGTCGGGATGCCAATGGTGATTCTGGCTCTGCTGGTGCTACTACTGCTTACCCTGCTGCGAGAGACAATGTGGGCAGTCATTCTACGACGTGATGTTGATGTGATATGAATGCTGCATACTTGTCTTTTCTTCGTATTCTTCTGGTGAGTCTTTTTGTTCCCTATTTTTCCATCCGAAAAATGATCCATCTAGGGCTAGGGGAGTAAGGAGCCCTTTTTTTTCTTTTGATATATTCGATTACTCCCCTACCTTATGGCCTTGCCCGGTTACCTATCCTATGCTATCTGCATCTATACCCTTCTTCTAATTAATCGTTTAAACCTGGTTCAACAAGGACCAACAGTTTCAGTTTCTTCTCCAACCTCCTGATACCACCTAAAGGCTTGCTTGTTATTGACAAAAAAAGGGGGGGGTCCTCCTAATTCCGTCTCTTTGCTGAGGTCCATGAGTCCCATATCCTTCTTCCGCCAATTTTCTTATTGCTTTACCTTGATACTATCTGCTCGCATTGATCTATCTCCGTCTCTATCCTTGCCTTACTTTTTATGACCTCCAGTACGATCGCGATGTCTCTATCTATCTCATGGCCCGATTTACGAACTGGGACTGGTGCTGGTCGCTGCGAGAGTAGATAGAACAGACAGAATGAACTAGTTGAGAAATGATGACGATGATGATGATGAATTAATCGTGCAAGTTGCTTCTCTCCGTTTCTTTGGGGTTATTTTTCTTGTACTCTTTTCTACGAAATAATGTTGCTGTGATACCCTATACCCTAAGTAGTCGTAATCATTAAATCTCCGATCTCCTGGGAAACACCTATTTACCAGGTATCCCCAGAAATTAATGACATTTAGCTAACCACGTGGGATAATATCATCCCGATGATCATTCCCCGATCCAAAAACAGATGAGAATTGTTCGGAAGGAAATCCATCCCCCATCACTTTTGATCGCTGACCTTATGCTGACCCGACCCGAACGAAGAACTGAGCTCAGAATCTATTACTACATTGAAAGTATATCTTCCCCTCTCCTCTCTCCATCTTATCTTGGTATCTATATATATATGTATGTACGCGTGTGTGCGCGTATGTATTTTCCATAAAGGTGGGAAACGTAGCAATAGGGTTGTTTGTTTGTATATATGTAGATGAGGCTGGCAGGGACACGGCTTCCAAGCTGTTTTGTGTCCAGGGAAAAAGCCATGTACTTCGACTTGACCTGTAGTAACTCGTTTATAATACCTAGGTATAGATTGGCACTTGTGGCTCCGTTCGGGAGTAAAAGATTGTTCAGAGATCCTCTACAACTGCTAACCAGAACTTACGGATACGGGCCAAAAGACAATAAATCATCAAGATAACATATTATATTAATACTCAACGCTAGTCTGCTGCATCTGCTCATCTCCATCCCCGACCAGCAGGTGGATATCCAGGCTGACCCCAGGAACCACCAGGACGTCCAGTGCCAGCGCCAGCGTGAGGCTGCGGGAAATGATACGAACCCGGGGGCATCGGCTGTGCAGTTGGGAGGGAAGTCGGCAGAAACGGTCCTTGGCCTGGGAACGAAGGTGGGAAGACAGGAGGCATACCCGTTCCCGGCCCAGGCGGGAAGCCCATTGCCAATGGAGGAGGAGGGGGGGGCCAAGGACCGTTGTAGTTTGGTGGGCGTGGCGGAGGAGCCGGTACCATACCCGGTGCCAAAGGTGGCGGCGCGGCCGCTAATTGATGCTGTGATTGGCTGTAGTTATGGCTAGGAGGGAACTGCACGTTTGCTGGACGTGGAGGAATGGCAGCTGGAGAGCCTGTAGATGGGCGATTATCTGTTGGGGGAAACGGTCGAGGTGAAGCTGGTCGTGGTGAGTAGGATCTTTCTCGGGACTGTGGTGACCGTGACCGTCGACGCGGGGGAGTCGGTGATTGAGAGTAGGAAGAATAACGCCGGCTCGTACTACGCCTGTTCCGACTCCATCGGCTATCATCGCTTTCTGCACTATCACTGTAGCGTCTGCTTCGTCTACGTCGGGCCACGCTGCTGCTGTTTCTGCTCCTGCTTCGACTTTGGCTGTGGCTCCGACTTCGTGAGCGGGTACGACCATCCGAGTTTCTCTTTTTCATCTGTTGGCAAAAGGCACGAGACCACCCGTAGTAAGTCTCGCCATTGATTATCTCGCCAGTGATCTCATCACGAATGATCGTCTGACCTAGCTCGTCGATGTCGACAACACCTTCCTCATTTCCCCGGTCGTCTTCCGGCCCATATATTCGATCGACGTCTTTCAGGAATGCCTTGACAGCCGCGACCAATTTAGCATCTGCAGGACCCGCTAAAAACTGAAGTGGTTTAATCGAGTCTGGACGAAGGGGAGCAGTAGAATTCGGAATCATGTGCGGAATAAGGTTGCCGGCGGGGAGGTCGTAATAAGGCATGGAGGGATCCCCATGAGTGGCGGGCATGACGAACGGCACGGATCTGGCATCGGATCCCTTCGTAGTACCCTTGCTACTCTCCTCCGTGTCAACGGAGGCTTTCACAGCGCCCGCCAAGGCCGAATTTCTGACCACTTCCCGGAGCTTGTTGACGTAGTCGGTACTGTAGTAGCCGTGCTCGCTCCATATGTCCAAGAGCTCCTCCAGCCGTCTATGATGTTTGGGGTTCTTCTCTCGATCGTAAGATGCCGCGTAACCCACGAGCTGGACGATATACGGCTGCAAGGAACCACTCAGCGTCGAAAATCCAACGGCGGTGTCGGCATGATACTTGGTGTGATGGAATAGATCATTGAGTAGATATAGAATGTGCAGCCTTTTCCTCTTTGCTGATGTTTTCTGACGAACGCCGGCTGTCGGTTTCGATGACTTTGCACTTGCGTCCTCGGCGTCGGCGAACGAGGCGGACAATGCGACCAGGTATTTACCCAGAACGCCCACCCTGTTAGATGACAGGACGACATTGTTCAAAAGCCATGATTTGCAAGTCTAATGCCATGCCAAGAGAGAAGAGATGAATCATTTAGTAAGTCCAGCGACGCACAAAGGGAAGGACAAGCAACGGATCAGACCTGTATATTGGCCGAGGAGCAGTGCGACAGCGCCCTGTCGAGGGAGGAATGGAAAGCAGTGATTTCATCGCGGGCCACAGATGTGGGATCAGGACGCAAAAGCCCTGCAGAGAGAGAGGCCTTTGCAATGGCGATTTGATGCGCCGCCATGTTGGGCGATAGAAGTGTTTGATCAGAGGCTGTTCTCGGAGATTTGCTTTGAGAGTTGAAACTTGATAGTTGTAAATCACGTGATCATAGTGATAGCGTAACCGCTCTAGATCTAGGGAACTTCTTCAAAAGGAACTTTAACATTTCAGTGTAGTTCCATGGAGTTCCCTAGATTAGAAGACGAGACTCGCATGATGTGTCTAATCGAGCAGAGTGGTCTGCAGTCAAGTGGATAGCAAGTGTCATCCTGTGTACATTGTTCCTACTAGTGGGGAGAGGACACCACGCATGTAGATAGGGAGAACGCTTGCCAGGTATTTGCGTATGAATAACCACAGAATCTGTTTGGTTCTCCTGTCTCCTATCGTACAAGATCTTGCTCTGAATGAGCAGAGGGTTCCATGCATCAACATTATAATTGTGGTGATCCAAGAATCTGTATTTGTTTGCTGCTTGCAGCTTAGAAGTGCATGGACTGAGAGCCTCAATCCCATGTTCCAATCCGGTAGTTTTTCCACGAGTACCCCATTCTTCGGTAAGCCCAGGCTCCTGGGCGTGCAGTCCTCCACTTGTCTTTGCCTGGAACCTAGTGCGCTACTGCGTCATGCGTATGCCTGGGCAGATCAGCATATGTTCTAAATATATTCGCAATGCGGGGCCGCTTTCAAGAGCCGATACGTAATTATCCCGGCCGACTGAAGGGTATGGGATCGAAGAATAACCGGAACAAAAACCGATCGATGAAGAGATCGATTGAGATGCAAGTCAGGTGACATCTATGACAGCCGCTAGCCAAAGCACCTGGCCAATCATATAGTGGAAGTTAATAATCAAGGGGTTGGCCGCTTAGATAACCAGCCTGGAGTCGGATATAACCCTCCCACGATCAGCACACTGGCTGGAAAGGCAGCAATTGTCTGTGCCCAAGGTTCAAAGCTCTCCATACCATGGCAAGAGTCGTCACAGTGGTCAATAGTCATCTTGAGGCAGTTATTACTGCGCCGAGCTGCAACCCGTACAGCATGCATAGTGATGCAAGTCAATCGATCTATGCCGCTCTCTCGGCCGGAACTAGCGAGGTTTGGGGAACGTTCGGACATCTCTCTGTGGCGTGAGGTGGTGCAAGCCTCGTCCGGGATATCGGGTGGAGCCTGCCGATGTTTATCACGCAAGCTTGGGCGGCAATGAGTTTATCTCCGGATTATTCTCTGCTTGCTCAGCACCGCATCTGCAGCGTCAAACTGAAGGTGTCCGAGTGAGTGGCGTTCAACCCCTTTCTAGGTATGGAATCTAGATACCGCATCAAATGAGAACTGCGGTATTTCCTAGTCCCCAGTATTAGCCTCTCTGAGTCTGGGTGAGAGGGGCATTCCAGCCTGAGGCATAACCCCACTGCATTCTCGTGGTAGTATGACTCTGCAATCGCATGTTCCGTAGGACTGCCAGGCCGCAGCCCAATATATCAAACATGCTTTCCCTGCTTTTCGTAGTCCAGTTCGAAATCAAATCTAAACTTCGGATTATTACCCTGCTCTACTCTACCCCATACCAAGATCCCAGCAAGAATCACTCAGGGCAGCTCCTACAGTCGATCTATATCCGTTCCACCTATAAAGTGATACCAAGCGTGCTCTGCTCTCTTCTATCTAGCAAAACAATCCAACGCAATAACCCATCCAAACAATCATCATGACCGTGCTTATCTCTGGACAATTCCTTCGTCCTACTGTCCGTTACTTCTCCGTCCGCCGCCCTCAACCAGTGACTCGCGCCTCGCGTGCCGTCACCATGTTCTGTCTAGTGTCGGCCGTTGTGATCCCTTTCATCCCTCCTGCCATCGAGAGTTCTCGTGAAAAGAGAAAAGGCTATCCCAATCACAACAAGTAGGGTTACTCTTCTTTTTACAGTCCGTTCTGCAATGAAGCAAGCTCGAACAAAACTGACTTTGAGCCACTCAGGCCCCTTCCTCCACTCTGCTTCCATGCCCGCTAGGCGGTGACCATCCAGGCACGTCGTGGGGAAACTCAAATCGTCACGATCCTTTTTTTTCACGATCCCTTTTTTTCGACACGTTCAAGATTCACTTCTACCTTGTTACGCCTTTTTAATTGCTGTGGATAGCGAATGGGGCAGGTTTCCTTGTTCGAATGGAGTTTACCGGTCTATCCCTCTTTACAACCCTAGTTCATTCCTCCTCACGCGGCTTCTCGACGGTTCTCATGGCTGGCCAGCGTTGTTGCTCTCTTTTACTCGATCGGAGAGTGAAGCATGCTCTTTCTCTCGTTTTGCTCTCTTTGATGATTTCCATGTCATGCATTTGATACACTGGGATTCGGTTGAGTTCCCTTCGGAGTATGATAGAGACGGTTCTGTTTACAGTTTTACGGAGAACTTATTATGACGAATTCACTTTCATCTGTGCAATATGCTTCTCCACAACGTAAGAGCCGAAGTAATATCTGTGAACTGGTCATGGTTCACTTGCTATTTACAATAGATTGTCATAATCTGGATTTCGGTTTTGGCCATAATGCTTTTTCTTCATTTTTTCTTTTTCTTTACTCCCCTTCTAAATATACATGAATGTATCCCAGACGCTCGCAACCTCCATATATCGAACAGCGCGATGCGAAACGGGATACAGCCGGTCAAATTAGAGCTGAACCAGCATCCACAACAAATACACCGTAGATAAACAATGCCGATAGGCTCGGCCCGGCTGGTTACCTAGCTAAACCGGTTCCCCTTGGGAGGCCGAAACGGCTCCGCAGCTTCATACTTCCCCTTCTCCGACACCCGCTCCGTTTCCGTGAGGGGATCATGCCGGGTCGGTGCAGGATCGCGCGCTGCCTCCGTACTAGGCGATGCTGTATCATCCCTCGGGGCCTGCTGTGCCAGATTCGCCCGTTTCAGGCTCGGATCGTCTGTGGGTTTCGGTATCTGGGCTGATTTGCGTCGAAACTCCGCCTCCTGGGCCGCTAGTTGCGCCTTGCGCTTGATCTCGCTTTCATACCGGGCGGAACGGTCGGCGTTGATGGATTTTTTGGCGTAGTAGTATGCACCGCCGCCGGCTGGTTGAGCAGGTGTTAGCAGGAGACCTTTTTTACGACCGTAGAGGAGAAAATAATTTGTTGTTTATTTATCCCTCGGACGTATTAGAAGAATTTGCTTATGACATACCAACACAGAGAACACCCCAGCCTACCCTATGGATAGTAAATAATGCCCCGGGGTCAGTGAAACGAATTCTTTCAAGGGTAGTCGGAAGGATTCATCGTGGATACACAGTGTTCGGCTCACCAGGTTGATCTGATCTAAAGCCGGTTTTCGGAAAATAGAATCAGTGAATGTAGTTCTGCCATAAATTGGGAATCAAGATAAATATATGTATACCGTGTTCATCTTGCTAGTGGTCCAGGAAGGTCCGTTGAACTTGGTCTGGAGAGGGAGAAGAACAAATTTGAGGCCGAAGTGAGTGAGTTATGGGTACTCTAGTCTGTAATAAGAGCTAATAAAGCACTACGTCAACGGATATTGGCGCCAATCGCTACCAAGCGGCGACTACGGCGGTTTATTCTCGGCTGCGAGAGCGAAGCGTCAAGATTCCATCTCGGATATCCATCCATCTGTCTATCTATTATTATTATCGCTAAGGATCTATTATTTCTGTCGTCCTTTACTCCCTGTTAGTGGATTTATTGTACTTGCTATCCGAGCAGTACTGCGACTCTTTCACTCGTTCCCCAAAGTCGACTGGGACTAGGGACTTTACACTCCCTAGGCCGGCCTTCTTGAAAGAAGATATCATATTATCATGCCGCCAGCTAAACGCAAAGCCACAGATAGTATGGCTACCTGGTGATATTCAGTGGTTGGCATGAGATGGTTTGCGAACTGACACTTCCTTTCTGAAAGGCGGCCGGTCTAGTAGAGCTTCAAAACGTCCAACTCCTGTCCCGGATGCAAGTATCGACAGCAGTGATGAGTACTCGGATTACGAAGATGACGCCAGAGAGGATCGTCTGAAAGGTAAACACTCTTGTGCTCGGAAAGATTCTGTCCGACTGTTTTGCTGACTCTCACCTCTCCGAAAGGTGTCGTTGAGAAATTCTCCATCGACAAGTTCACCTCGAAGCAAAAGGATGCCCTCCACAGACAAGACCCTCACTTTGGTTACAAGGATTTTTCCTCCCTGCCACTCAAGCGCGATCATGAGAATCGACCACTCTGGATCGATCCATTGAAAGGGACCATTACCCTCGAGAGCTTTTCGCCGCTGGCACCTCAGGCGCAGGATTTCCTGACAACTATCGCCGAACCCCTTTCCCGTCCTACCCATCTACATGAATATCGGTTGACAGGCAATAGCTTGTACGCAGCCGTCTCTGTCGGACTCTTGCCTGCTGATATTATCAACTTCCTCGACCGCTTATCGAAGACTCCACTCCCCGAGTCCATCAAGCAATTCATCACCGATTTCACAAAATCTTATGGGAAAATCAAGGTGGTTCTGAAGCATAATCGCTTCTACGTAGAAAGCACCGACCCGATTATGCTGCAGAAACTGCTACAGGATGAGGATATCTCGAAATGGAGAATACAAAATTCAGAAGGGATAACCCAGCAGGCTGCTCCGCAAATGGGCGGTCTTGTGATTCCCGGAACGAAGGATGCTGCGGCCGTAATGCAAGCCGGCGAGCAGAAGATAGCGGACAAGCCGAACAATGCGTCTAATGGGTCCAATGATATTTTCGGCAGCCTGCGTGAAGACGAAGACGACGAGGAGCCAGCACAGGTTCATAGCTTTGAGATTCCGACCGACGCTGTAGAAAGTGTCAAGGCCCGATGCCAGTACATGGGTTGTCCGGCTCTCGAGGAATACGACTTCCGAAATGACGAGGTTAATCCCACATTAGACATCGACCTCAAGCCAAATGCTCGGATACGGAGTTATCAAGAGAAAAGCTTGAGCAAGATGTTTGGCAACGGACGAGCGAAGAGTGGTATCATCGTCCTGCCGTGTGGTGCTGGGAAGACCCTAGTGGGTATCACAGCTGCTTGCACGATCAAGAAGGCGACTATGGTCCTCTGCACCAGCTCCATGTCCGTGGTGCAGTGGAGAAACGAGTTCATCCGGTGGTCGAACATTGATCCAGGCGATATTGCGATCTTTACATCTGACCACAAGGAGAAGTTCCGCCGTTCTACAGGTATCATTGTTTCGACTTACTCCATGGTGTCACAGACTCGTGCTAGGTCACACGATGCGCAGAAAATGATGGACTGGATCCAGCAAATGGAATGGGGTCTTATGATTCTGGATGAGGTGCACGTTGTGCCTGCATCGATGTTCCGAAAGGTCACATCGGCTATCGGGGCACAGAGCAAGCTTGGGCTGACTGCGACGCTGCTGCGTGAGGATGACAAGATTAAGGATCTGAACTTCTTGATTGGACCCAAGCTATATGAGGCCAACTGGATGGAACTTGCCGAGCAGGGCCATATTGCCAAAGTCCAGTGTGCTGAGGTGTGGTGTCCAATGACCACTGAGTTCTATTCCGAGTACATGAGGGAGAAGTCCAGGAAGGCTGCGCTTTTGTACATCATGAATCCCAGAAAGTTCCAGGCCTGCCAATATCTAATCGACTACCATGAGAAACGGGGTGACAAAGTCATTGTATTTTCTGACAATGTTTATGCACTTGAGCGGTATGCACTGAAGCTAAATAAAGCTTACATTTACGGTGGCACGCCGCAGAATGAACGCTTGAGGATTTTGGAAAACTTCCAACACAACGAGCAAGTCAACACGATCTTCCTTTCCAAGATCGGTGATACCTCTTTGGATCTTCCAGAAGCCACCTGCCTCATCCAGATATCCTCTCACTACGGTTCTCGCCGACAAGAGGCCCAGCGACTGGGCCGAATTCTACGGGCAAAGCGGAGGAACGATGAAGGGTTCAACGCATTTTTCTACTCGCTTGTTTCTAAGGACACTGACGAGATGTACTATTCATCCAAACGGCAGGCTTTCCTAGTCGACCAAGGCTACGCATTCAAAGTCATCACGCATCTTCAAGGGATTGAGAATTTTGAAAACCTCGCGTACGCCACCCCAGCAGAACGCCGGGAGCTCCTCCAGGAAGTCATGCTCCAGAACGAAACTTCTGCTGAGGTCGAGCAAGTTGTGGATGATCTCTTCAGCGCGCGCTCCAAAGGACCCAAAGGCAAGGGTGCAAGGAATGGCGCTGTTAAACGTAGCGCTGCGACCCTCAGCGGGCTTGCTGGCGGTGAAGATATGGCATATATTGAATATAACAAGAGCAGGAACAAGCAGTTGAAGGACAAAGCGGCCCACCATCCGCTGTTCCGGAAGATCGAGCGGGAGCGTATGAAGAGGAAGAAGGAGATGAATGAGATGATGCGGTAGACTCTTGCTGTACAGCTTTTCATCGGATCTCTTATGCCTTTGTCGTTTAAATCTCTCAATCATGCCTGCGTCCACGATTTGCAAATTTTGGGTACTTTATACAGAGAGATGTAGATACAGCATTGAGAAACGACCAACAATAATAATACAAGTTTACCAGTCATCTCTAGCAATTACCAAGAAATCTAAGGCGCTGTAGTGCTCCGATGCCTTAGTATTTATAAGCAGGTATAGATCTCCGGGTATGACGTCCTTCGAACGTGAGCAGGCTTCCATGTTGATATTCAGCAAAGGTTCTCCCCGTTCGGTAAGCAGCCAGCTCATTTGAAGCCATATCGTCAAGTAACTTCAATTGTATTACTATATGACCTCTCATAAAACGATCCAAGCACATGTCATCTGCCATCAGAGCTTCCCTAGCATGTACTACTACCGTTCAGACCTCGTCTTCAATGCGAGCTGCCCATTCTCTCTTTAATCATAATTACCAAAGAATTACTCTCTGCCCCCGCTTGTGCTATTCCGTGGTAGCAAGGCGCAATCTGCACGTACTGGTCGTCCCTTCATTACTATTATCACCAGCACCAACGCAGACCAGCGCATCAACAACAACAACCATCCCACGACCTAGTATATTCCCAACAGCTCCAAATCTCAAGAAAACAATGGCGACAGTGGCACATCAAGCAGCATCAGAAAAAGATACAGAAATAGGAACAGCAACGAAAATTCATCTCTCTCCAATATCAGACACGGGCATCTTCAGCACCAAGATCCGTCCCGACTCAGCGGAGGTAACCAGTGCACTCCTCCAGGAGAACCACGAAGAGCACCATATCTTCTTCAACAATCTCGGATTCCACAATCATATCGTCCATCATCTTCTTACGATCTATGCTATTGGGGCCTCACCGGAAACGATCAAAGCTGCCTATGTACGGGGGAAGAGTTATCAAAGACCGGCCATGCCGGCGAACGAGGGCATCGTGAAGGAGTTGTACATCAAGGAGCATTTCATGAGGTATTTGGGTAAGGAGGAGGTGTATGCTGAGTTCATGACATTCTTTGAGAAGGAGATACAGGAGAAGGGGGTGAGTAAGGTTGTGAAGGATTATTTGTTTGCGGGGGATGATAGGGCGGAGGCGTTGTTTAGGAGGCTTTATTCCGGTACGTTCTCATAAACGTTCATATACGGCTTATAGTGTTGACTCGTTATTTGTCCATTCAGGTCTTCTACATCCTTTCATCCACCTGGGTTTCGCGATTGAATTTAACCAGCCTGCCATTTTGGCTGAGGCGTTAGCACAAACTGCCGTCCATGAGGACTATATTGCACCTTTATACCTCGTGCCTGCCGAAAAGGCTGCAGGAGGGGTTGGGAAACGGGGAGAGAAGACTTTGTTGCATATCCTGGATGAAATACACGCCGACAAGAAACTGGCTAGTTCGGCGCATTGGTCAGATCGGAACAAGTTTAAGGATGGAGTTATGACGAGAGCACCGGACGAGATGATCAAATATGCAAGTCAATTCACCATATCTGGAGACCAACTCGAGGAAAAGAATGCAGAACTCGTAAATCTTGCTGGTGAGAATCAAAGTTTCCCCCTTTAAAGATATCGGTTAGTTCGACGAAGACTAACCCGTATATTCCTTAAAACAACAAAAGTGTACTTCTCCACTGCCTCCCAGCATCCACCAAAGGAGGTCAAAATCGACTTCTTTTATTTGCATTGTGTCACCTCGTCCATCTTCTTGTCCAAATTCATCTCACTTCCGTTCCTTGACTTGCACTCCAAGACCCGCCTTCTGGAGTGGAAAGGCCGCATGGACCTCATCATGTACGTGTCTCGCGGTGCACCCGATCTCTCGCTGCAAGATGTGGTACGGCATCCGACAAGCAAGGACTGGAACACTATCTTCTCTGAAAGCGCCAAGCACCCCAAGGATGACAGTCATCTGTCAAAGATGGAGAGAGCCGTTGCCCATGGCGAAAGAGTATGCCGACCTTTCGAAGGTCGAGCTAAAGAAATCGGATTGATGATAACGGGTGATATGTGGTTGAAGATTGCGAATATGGGTAAGATACTTCTTGCTCAGCTTTACTTTTACCTCTTTCATATGTATTGTCCTTTGTATGCGATATACTTATGAACTGTTTGTAGTGCTTGACTCGGTCACCGATGACGATAACCATCCCTTATGGGTGCGCTCAACTGGCTTCGATGAAGCGTGGGAGGAATATCCGGATCGGCCACAAACTTGAATGCATTGTCATCTTGGTCTAGACAATTAAGGTTAATAAAGGTTCACAGCATAGCATCCTTTTGCTGTGGTCTTTTCCCACTGTAGCTTTTTTTCTAATCCTGCAGGCTGAACTGGAGCTCTGTATCTGAGTAGCCCCGGTTAGTGGAACCGGATATGACGAGTGGCTAGAGTTGAGACTAAATTACCAGCAAGCAGACCCAGCATTGGCTTGATTATATGACAAGGGCCTTCATATGAGAGCTCCGGTGTAAGGTCTTCTCTCCTAGTAAGGGTATGAGATGAGGATTATCCATTTTGGGCCTGTCAGTCGAGAAGGGATGTTTGCTCTGTTTGCCTCAAATTAATCACGTGATAATTTCCATGCGTTTTCCCCGCGGTTCTACGCCATAATTTCCACCTCACGACTTCACACTGTCTAGGAATTTATATCAAAAAGCTATCAAAATACCATGGCAGGAGATAACGATCAGCCAAAATCTCCCAGCGGCTCTGAGAGGAGTTCATCTATATGGCCCGAAAATGACAATCCGTTCATCGCTTTCCGGCGTTTCGCCGACGAGCAGATCTCATCAATGTTGCAGTCCGTTACGGGACTTCCCTCGATGACTGCACGCCCAACAGGAGCTCTAGAAGACGGAAGTATTTACAAAGGAACTAGTTTCCGAAGTGCAGGTGATGATGACCGAGGATCACATCCATCGGTCTCCGGGAACGATAGTAACAACGACAGCAGCTGGCCTGGAAGATATCCAGGCAATACTAACTCGTCTCGGAATGATGACAAGAACAGATGGTACCCTTCGTCTTCATGGTGGTTGTGGTCGGAGTCCGAGGACCCGTGGCAGTCTCATCCTAGAAGATGGCTCCATCGACCCTCTGACTTCTTCGGTTTCGATTCCTTCGATAAGTTTTGGCTCGATGATCGCTTTCCCTTCCCCTTTGGTCGCTTCGATATTTCCCACCCCTTCTTTACTGACCTGATGGGTGATTATGAGGGATCCGTTGCCTGGCCGATGACCTACCTTATGTTTAGTCCCTATTCGCCTTTATATCTGGAGCATCGATCTCTCCACGACCGTGGTGTTTTCTCTTCCATCATGTCTTCTCTTAGACTTAAGTCTGACAGGGAACCTGGCAAACCGCAATGGCGCGAGGCTTTCGAGGATCTGTTGCGTCTGGAGAATGGGAAACCCATGCTGGATCAAGATTCAACGGCTGTTAGTAAGAGGGAGACCGGAAAGGAGTGGATTGAGGGCCTAGTGGCACGGGGCAGCCTTGGAAACGACTGGAAATTTGTCCCTGGGAAGGATAGCCAGCCTTGGTCTGGCTTTACCATTGAGAGCTCCAACTTCACCGAAAACAACCGCCCTCAGCTTGAAGCAGGAGATGCCGATCGAAAGGAGCAGTCAAGCCAGGAAGAGAACAAGTCCATAACAGAAGCGGATCTATACGAGCACTTTCTTGACCACATAGAGAATAAATTCTTCTCTGAGCTCACACCCCTGAGACGTGCTATTCTGGAAGAGAAACAGAGAAACCAAGAAAAGCGCGCCGAAAACCAGCCATCTTCTAATAAAGTTGTCCGCGACGGTGCCAGTGACAGTTGGGTAGAACAATTCCGTGGAAAGAACGAAAACCCTGCCAAGGAGTCTACACAGATTTCGAGCTTCGAAGAAACACGGTCGACAGAGTCAACAGGTCTGCCTAATGTGGTGTCTACCATGTCATCAACGGAACGCATCCAGCTCCCCGACGGTTCAATGCGGACCAAGATCGTCAAGACTAAGCGCTTTGCGGATGGTCGTGAGGAAACCAATGAATCCGTTGAGGTTACCAATCCACCTCGATCAGGTGCGGGATCTGTCTCTGACAGAGATGAAGCGGAGAAGAGAGATGGGCCTAAGGGCGGTTGGTTCTGGAAGAACTGATTAACATTTCTCTTCAAGTTTCTAGGATGACAAAATTTTTAATATTCTGGTGATCTAATCTGCTACGTATCCCCTTGTCTCTCTTTCACTCTCTTTCCCTCTTTATGCATATTTAGCGTCTCGAGCATATGGTTGGTGTTTCTTGCTGCTGGTTGGATTGTATATCTTCAGAATTCTCTCCTCTCATTAGGTACAAAATGAAATAAACACAAATTGTACACCATACTATATATCCTTCTTACCAGACATTCTTACAGCGCAATTCTTGTTAGAAGAAGGTTGCATTTCTCGAATATAGGCCTTGTTTTCTTTCTTTCACATTTATAGGAGCAAAACGGACTTCTGTTCATAAGTGGCCGTCCCTTTCTTCATTCAGACTTGACATTTTTCTCTGCTTTCCCTGTAGTGAACCCTTTTGACTCCCAGAATTTAACATTCTCCTCCATCTTCTTGTATGCCCATGTGAAAGGAGGGTCTACAGTTGATTATCAAAATTAGCTTATCTTGCAATACATGCGTGAGTGGTAGAATAATTAAACTTACACAGAAATTGACGAAGGTCATGCCTATTATCCTCGGGAGAGTACTGTTCAGCATGATAACTAGGCGTCAAGACAGTCATCTTGTGCCGGTTAATGGAGTAGTAATGGAAGAAATGGCGAGTCTTCTCGTATATCTCCCGAGGACTGTACTCGTTGCCCCAAAGGTGAAGCAGTTTCTCGTACATTGACCACGGACCCAGTTTGGCGACTTTTCGGAAATATCCGAAGACAGAGAGTTCTTTGTAAGTCACGCCCATATCGGCTTCATCTGACTGGACATAGGTAGCGGTTATGGGTTCCAATTCTGCAGTCGGAGTGGCATTGAGGAAGCCATCGAGAATCGGGAGGTTGAACGAGTCGCGAGCCCATGCGATGAACTTCTTCAGGTCGACCTTGCTGATCGAACCAATTGGGTTCAGCTAAGTTTGGAGTTAGCGTTGGGAAACCGGTTGAAATTTGGATAGTTCTCATATCCAGGGTCTTATTTACTACTTACATCTGCACTGCTGCAGTCATATTTTGTGAGGTAGCCACGCAAACTATGCCAGGTTAGCGAAAGGAAAACGTACGCACACTCGAAATTCAGGAACACCATACCATTCGTCAACATTGGAGGACCCAAGAACAAGTAAAGAGCCGCCTCCAGGGCGCTGGCGGACGGTGGGCAGCAACGACGCATAAAGGTATGCTAAGACCATCCTCAAACGAGCTTGTAAATTCTGCAATGCTATATTCTCTGCCCAAGAACCACCATGAACCTTGAATTTAGGATGAAAGTTCGCCACAGCACTGAACATGTTGATTACAGCTGTTATGATGCTGTCAAAGTTGAAATCAACGTGGTATGATCCAATTTGTTCAGCAAGCTTTTTGGATCTATCCCTAGTTTCCTTGCTAGAATTTTGGGTACCCATATAACTAGTGTGGAAAATGCGGCTGGTTGCAGTTAGCAAAGGTAGGCACAAAGATGGTACTGGCCAGAGAACGTACTTGCAGAGTTCTTGGGGTGAACTTGGAACCCAGGTCGAATCTTCTGACTCGCCAGAGATACGACGGGCATCCCGGATGACCTCTTCATTTCCTTCGGAGATCGCTTTGATGACTTCCCTGCACATGGAGTGTACAATAACAGCCGTGGCGCAGCTGTCGATTCCCCCACTGAGTGGGAGGAAGAACCCAGCAGAACGACTCCGGCGAAGGTAGTCCCAAAGCCAGCAGGCAGGTCCAAGAGCAATTTCTTCTTCAGGAGCATGATACCGTGGTTGAAAAGCAGGCGAAGGTCCCATATTTGGCGCCTCATCTCCTTCAAGGCGGCCTAGCCTCACGTCCAAATCTAAACGTATAAGGGGTGGCTGCCTAGATGCTTGCATATTCCTGCTCGCCGTAGCACGGTACGACCGAACCTTTCAGAATTAGCTGTTAAGTAACCAAGAGTAAGACTAAATGGAACCCGAACCTCTTCGATGTCGACCGTAGCAGTCACAACCTCTACGTCATTCAGAGAAAACTGGGATCCCTGAGCCACAATGTTGCCATTGACGACAATCATTGCACACCCATCGTAGTACAGCCTGTCGCCATCACAGCCTTGCTGGTTTGCATATAGGTAGACCCCTCCTCCCTATAAAATGTAAGCACTGCTGAATGTTCTACCATGATAAATGTGGCGGTGTTACTAGTTTCGTAGCCTGTGTAATAAGATTAACACGGGTATCGAGCTTTCTCAATTCGTGGTGGCTTCCGGACGAGTTTGAGATAATCTCCACGCCTTTATTATTCAAGTTAACCCTGAGAATTAGATCTGCGCAAGGTATTTAACTTACCACCGAGGCCGTAAGGAATGTGGGGACTAGTAAAGAGTCAGTGTCATCAGAATTGTCATTCTGAACTGGAGACAGGGTGCATACCCATCAGGGGTGAAAAGCTCTTCGCAGGTTTCCAGTCCAACGCAAGTATCTCTGGTGCTTATGACTGCATCCCCAAAAGGCACCTTGTATTGGCCGGTGATCTTTCCCACAATCTGTTCCAAGTAGTAATCTTCCACTTCTCCTAGGCGCTGCCAAGGGGTAAAATACCGCATTTCTCTATAATTACCGTCTGCAAAGGTCACATGGGAGAGGTTAGCATCAGATCTTGGATAGTATCTGGAAATAAAAAACTGGCTTGAAGGAAGTGTAGGATTCTGCGAACCATTGGCAAGCCACATTTTGGGACGAATAAGGACAATTTTGCGGTTGTAGAATATTACGCTGTCGGTGATACCTATATCAGAGTATGTCCAACCGGATAATGGTAAAGAAGATTAAATCAACCCACCTGCAGTTATACCGGACATTCCTATGTCTAACTGGCATGCCCACGGTAACCACAATATCCTGACAATCGGGGTGATCGATAATCCTCGCCAGCATTTCCCATGAGTGAAGAAAGGTATCACCCTCAAGAAAATGATCCAAGAGACCGTATCCTATAGCAGACAAACGTATTATTCTCCATATGGCAGCCGAATATCTTAAGTGCCCAACTATCCATTACCTGTTATCTCCAGCTCCGGACCAACCCGCATAGTAGCCCCAGCTTCCTTGGCTTTCCGGATACTCTCAATAATGCGAGCTGTATTTCCTTCAAAGTCGAGGGCCCATTGATTAAGGGAGCTGGGAAGTTCTCAGTCGAAAGAACACCTCCAGCGAAGGAAAAATAGGTTAACGGAGATGAGGGGTACCATGTTGCGAGAGTAATGAGACGACCCATCTTGAATCACAGCCTAAGTTGATTCTCAACAAGAGCAAAATACTAAACTCCATCAGAAGGTGATTAGCCGACATGTGAAGTCCACATGCAAAATTGAACCAGGTCCTTCATGAGAATTGCCGTTTTGGATCAAATCTCCGCACACTTTCTTCGCTGGAAGACAGGCTGTTCAGGTGAAGCAGGCAGGCAGTGATAGACATACCAGGGTTTTGCAAGACTATGCAATCACGTAAGTCCTTCCTAGCCTTCCAATCTGCTTGAAACGGCAGACGCAGGAGATATCTGTAGCAGAATTCCTGGTTCCTAGGCGGAACTTCTTCAACATGACGCAAGTCACGTGTGCGGGGGAACTCCGGAGGAAGATCGAGAGGGGCTCATTATTACTCCCTTCAACATCTCCTCAGTCATGGCTTTGACCTGAAGCTGCGCTCTTTCGTTATAGATAGATAGATCCCGACGATTGACGATATAGAATATACCTTTTTCTTTTACATTCATTCCGGCTGCTTACACGCAATTATGGTTGCTCATGCCCCGGCTCCCAACCCGATAAACTCCCAAGCAGAATCCATGCTATCCCGACATTTTGGCAAGGAGACTGTGAACTATTTCTCCTGTAATTATCTGGTCCTCAATGCTTCTTTGCAGTCTTCAACCCGTGGCCAGATTCCCGTATTGTTCAACTGACCTTTCCAGGTTCATCTGTAAATCGACTATCTTTCCTCCGCGCAGACCATGCTTTTCTCTCCGCAGCATTCAAACATCCAACTACGCGCTTCATTCTTATGAAAGACCTCGCGCCTCTGACAAGGTCAATTTCTGAACTGCATTATGCTCGTTATGATGATGTGCGCAAGTTGATATCCGCAGAGTCATTGAATAAGTCCGAGGCGGACATGATCAAGGAGTATGACTCTCGAAAGATACACCCGCAAGCCATCTTCCTTGGGATGGACGAAAGTCACAAGGGCGAAGGTCTGACCTGGAAGGTCTATTCGGGAATCCCATATTTTGCTCTGGATGTAACGCCAAAAGGGTCCGACGAGCAGCAGGCGAACGCGAAAGATCTGATCAGCCGCATGGAGGCACAGGGGCTCACTTTCTTCAAGTCGAGGATGCTTGCGTCGCTCCCTGGGGATCAAGGTACGCATAGATGCTTCTGCGGAATGGTAAGAAAGTAGCTAATTGATTACCTTACTAGCCGCCATCTATGCGCAAGCTCGTGCTCTCATCGATTGGAACACTCGTAACACATACTGTGGAACCTGTGGGAGTACCACTCTCTCTGTACATGGAGGAACGAAACGTGCTTGTCCGCCAACCGATGCTGCCTTAGTTGCGGAGGGGAAAGCCGCAGAGCGACCTCTATGCAACACACGGACTTCTATTTCCAATCTCTCATTCCCCCGCACCGATCCGACAGTCATCGCCGTCGTCCTCTCAGCTGATGGCCAACGAATCCTGCTCGGTCGCTCCAAGCGTTTCCCTCCCAACTGGTACTCGGCCCTGGCCGGCTTTATGGAACCGGGAGAGTCCATCGAGGATGCAGTCCGAAGGGAGGTATGGGAGGAGTCAGGTGTGACGGTCTCCCGCGTAATCATCCATTCTTCGCAACCCTGGCCGTACCCGGCCAATTTGATGATCGGTGCAATCGGGCAGGTCAGCGACCCGGCTTATGAGAAGATCTGTTTGGAGCATGATGCCGAATTGGAGGATGCACGATGGTTCCCCATGGCTGAGGCCGAAGAGGCTTTGAAGCTTGGAGCAACTCTTTTAGATGGAAGCCCGCCTCCTGAGTATAAGGAAGGGGGTCTTAAATTGCCACCGCCGACGGCGATTGCAAATCAACTGATTAGGGCAGCTGTCGACATAGAACATTTGCTTTCCGAGAAGCACTCCAAGATGTGAATGATGGGATTGGTAGTTACCATACTGTAAATGAGACTTGGAAAGCAAGGAAAATCATGAGCTGGTAGGCCGCCACCAGGACGGATACGCGGCCATCCTTGGTTATGATTAATTATAAAGATATGGATAAATGCTAATATTGTACATCGCAAAAACATATGGATTGCGTGAATGCAATAACAATGGGCCATTGTAGAGGCGAAACGAGAAGGAGAGATATAAGGGGATAAGACGAGTCGCCAGGTATCCAACACAGACAAAACAACCGTAGAAGCGGGAAAAGGTATTCCAAATAAACCACTCATATATCTGCGTACAAAGTCCCATCTCTGAGACGATGTATGCTCTCTTTATCGGACAGAGACCCAAGGTCGGGGTATTTTCTTCCGCCTCTTAGCTCGTGCATATTTATCCTCCTAGGGGTAGTGGACTTTCTGCTGCTTCGCGAACCTCCAGACGATGAGTGTGAATCCCCGCGTACCCTTCTCCACGTTGAATCATGACTTCCCAGCTCGCTAGGCGCAATGCTGCTTGGCGGAGTTACATCCATACTTGCCTGTTGTACGGACAGCTGAAGCTTGCGATCCGCGATCATGGCTGCTCCATCCTCCTGATACCATCTTTGCAACGCTGAAGAGTAGGAGCGCTCTTCAGCACCATATTCAACAGGTGGCCCGGTCATCTGGGCCATGTTATCTGATTCATTGAAGACAGCCCAGGCACTGGTGTCAATGCTGACAAGTATCATGGAATGATCGAAACTCTTGACCTTAAAATCGCGAAGAAGAATAGCATCGCCCTCTGCCACAGATGGGAGTGCTTCTCTATGACGCCGGAAGATCTGGGCGGGGAGCAGAGTGCCCGCCATAGACGGATCAGTAAGCTGCACCGTCAAGAAGTAATCTCCCTTACCGGAGTCAGCCCGGATTACTTCAGAAGCTTCATGTACGATCGAAATCGTATCGGTCAATGCGTTGAAGTGATCAATAAGAGCGGCAAGCGGAGCAAAGTAGGAAAGTCTGCTGCGAAGGCCACGCGTATTTCGATATGGAGCATCAAGTTCGTCTTCAGAGCTCTCGGGTGTTTCACTGAGAATTTCACGAGCAACATCTCCGCCGGTTGCTTGTTCATGAATGTTGACGTACGTCGAAGAATTCTGTTTGATTTCCAGCTCCTCTTGAGAAAGAGAAACTAACGAGGAAGCAGAGATTTCCCTTTTTGTTGGCGCTATAGTCTCCCCTGCTGAAATAGCAGGATCACCAGAAACTGGTTGGTTTTCAGGCAATAACTTGGCCTGAGACCACATTCCAAGGTCCACATCGGCTCCCTGGGTATTCTGCATAGGAAGCATGCTTTCAATCGCAGGATCTGAAGCAATTCTGTTAATGTCCTGTGAAGTATCCAAGGAAACTGGCTGTTGGTTCTGCGTTTTCTGAAAGGGCCCATCCTTTATCATACCAGCAGAGGGTTGTTTGGGTCGTGGAGATGAAGCGCCGTCAAGAAATAGGCCGTAACCGGTTTCTTTAGTAGAGCTTGAGATATTGGGAGATCGAATTGACTGAACCTCGACCATCTCGTCATGTCTTTCCTCGCTCTGTTCTATTTGCTTCTGTGGACCTGATTCAGTTTGGAATAAATCCGGATCTATTGTTAACCCAACGTCTCCCGAATCAGCCCCTGAATGCGTGGTAGACGGTCGATCCAAGTCTGCAGAGTCGGTGTGTTTAACGATCGTCTGTTTATGACTTTGTGCAGCGTCTGTTTCTGTTATGTTTTCGCTCTCTCCAGGAATTTCCACTTCTTCCTCAAAACCTGGATGTATTGCAGGTCGGTCTTCGATATGGGTTTCAGTTTCCCCAGTCTGATCTTCATTGATCTCCTCTACCTTCTTTTCAGCCCCCACAACATCCTCTTCGTCCACCATTTGCTCATTTTCTTCAATTCCATCCGCATGTTCTTCCACGGGAGACGAATAACCCTCAACGTCAGAATCATTGAGATTGTTGTCAGAGATATACTGTTCTTCGTCGGGCCTTCGGGGAGAATTTGAAATTTGCGAATCGACGCTTTCTCGTGCAGAATGCTGTATCTGAGCAGGTACTTCATCCTCACTATCACTATCCAACACGATTACCTCCGGCACCACTGTCTCCGGCAAATGTGGCTTCTGCTCCCCATACAGTTGGCTGCGACTATCAGATGAAACCTCAGAGTCGACGTCATCTTCATCTTCATCTTCACAGAATTGCTCAGACTCATAGTCTTCTTCAATATCCTCCTCGTCATACAGCTCTTCCTCGTCCGTTTCCTCTCCTTTCTCATCGGCGTACTGACCAACCCTCTCTTCATGATCGACATGTTCGCTGGGTGAGCGTGTGTCAGAACTCACTATTGAGCTTTCAGTTTTATTCCCAGGCCCTGTTTGAACTGGACCCTCCCTGTAATATCCTCCGACTTCGATATCACGCTCGAGATCTTCCTCTGCATTGGATGCCTCTAAGGAAGAAGAATGCATTTTAATCTTCTCGGCTGCCTTGTAAGCTTCAGTATCCAATTCTCCTGTATCTTCTTCCACATCCTTCTTATCGATGTCAACCTCATTCCCATGCTGCATTTCGAATGACTGAAATTTCCCACGGGCTTCCATTGGCTCTTGTTCGTGCTCATTGGCCTCTTCATAAAACTCATCTGGTTCACTCTCTCTTTCCGATTCTTTCTCTTTGTCTTCATCGTAGTCGTCCTCCAGCACACCCTCTTCACGTTGTTCTTGAAGTTCCTCGCTTTGCTCTGATATTTCCTCTTCTTCATTTAGCTCTTTCTCATATACTTGTTCTTCCTGCTGTTCAGTCTCAGGAGCTATTTCTCCTTCCATCCGCTCCGTATCTTCAATCGATGCTGAAGACGCCGTTGTTCTCTGAGAGACGGAAATTGGCAGAACCTCTGGTTCAGTAGAATCTCCAACAACTTTCATGCTTCCCTCATGCTTCTTTTCAGGGGCCAATGTGAAGCTACTAGTCTCAAACGTGGACGTTGTGCCCGCTAGTTGAGAAATAACGGCCGAGTCTCCTGGCAGAACTGGGGGGTTGGTTTCACTGGTAGTTTTCATTGAACCCCAAGCTATTTTACCATCCGTCTGCGGTAGAGAACTGTCTGGTTGCATTCTGAAAGCGATGCTTTCATCTACTTTTGTCGCACTTGTATTAGCCATTGGAGGAGCGGCCTGGTCGGAATTAAATGGTTCCGAGGTAGTAGCTTGAGCGAAATAACCACTACGATTGTTAGACGTTATGAGAGGAGATGGCACAGGAAGTCCAGGAGAAGGTACGGGGGCTAAGCGCGGGGTCTCTGTTGGAAGATGGGGAAAGTTCTGTGATAACTGATGCTTGTCAAATGCCCTTAAGACTCGAATAGCATCAGCGATGGGACGTTGGGTTTCCGGGAGGATCGGTTGCTTGAAAGTCCCTTGGGACTCGCTTTCAGCTACTCCGAGAAGCGGCCGTTTCTTCGAGACTCCTTCGTCTTCCAGCTCCGCAACAGTGGTTGCATCCACGTTACCCGGAACGGAAATGTGAGTACCAGCTTTGTCTCGGATGCCGCCAGCTGTCTCATCCCGCATGTCCTCTTCTCGAGTCGCCTGTTCATTATCGTCGTGACCATCAAGAATCTCATCAAAATTTAACGGGGTTTCTCTATCGCGAGGGCTTTCCGGTTCGTCGATGATACGCCAATCGCTTTTTTGCATGCTAAACCTCGGTCGTTTTCTTCCCTTCCCAGGAATAAAGCCATCTTCTTCCGCGAACGGGTCGAATGCTGAGTCAACTATGCCACCAAGTGATGCACGGGAAGATCGTACAAAAGCTGGAGACTCCCAAGAGCCCAAGCCAGGTCCCAAATCAGTTCCTTCTGTGCGGTCTTTAACAGCAATGGGCGTGGCGGGCGGGACGTGCTCATCATGTCCGTTGTGTGGCAATGGGGAGACTCTGTCGACTTTCACCGTCGCTAAAAATTTACCGGATCGAAGGATCTTAATACATATTTTAGTAACTGCAGGACTCCCGCTAACTTGGACAGACTTACCTCAAGAAACACTGAGGTATCAAAGCGTACGTCCCATGTCACCCTTCTGCTTGGGGTTCTCGTTGCATCTTCGCTTTCAATTAGGCTCGAGCCTCCCAAGCTAAGGACCACCTCATCCCCAATTCCCACTTTAGTTTCCGCGACCTTTTCCGCAACAAGTCCATGGAAAGTGGTCTTGACCTGTCCGTTCGAGAGGCGGAGTCGAAAGTCATGCTCGGATAGCAAGAGACTGAGAGACTTTGTTGATGAAGAATACGGCCATACAAGCGATACCACGGCACGGATAGAACAGTCAGCTAGATGCTCCTTTGTCGGTGAGAGCTGTGATATGGGTATAAGAGTCGACTGAAGGAGCTCGGACTTCTGACGCTCGTCATTGCACTCCATCGCCGTTAGCGCTGACTGGGAGATAAGGGAGAGATGAAAGCAAAAATTATCACGGATAATGCATTCTTATATGGGAGAAAGACGCGTAGTTTCAGATCATGAAAATGTCGATTCTTAAGATGTTGATAAAAGGCTATGCGATAGTAATGTGTTGTCAAACGACGACACGAAGATTTGATTCCGCAGTTGCATCACGGACTGGTATTGGATGTGTAATATTACATACAATCGATACCATAAGGCAAACAGACTAGCGGCCTAAGGCTCCTTTTATTTTTATTTTTTTCTTCGGCGTATAGTTATTAGGCATGAGATGGATAACTAACAATAATAATAGTCAATCTTCCCATGGTTGTAACTATGATAACTGGATTTCTTCATGCCAGTTCGTCCGAGGCACGCAACGGACTACAAATTGCCCAAGCAATTTGTCCGCATAAAATCCACATTTTCACCTGCATCCATCATCTTATGATATCCAGATTCCAGACATCTTTTGACTCGTTCGAGCTGCCATAAACAGTGGATAGCAACCTGTCAATTTCCCATAAAATCACGAAACTACTAGCACGCAATCCAGTGGCTTACAAACGTGACAAACTCGCTGTGGCCACTAGACTACGCGAAGGATCCTGGAAATTTTATCTCCAGGGCTAATATATCTAGCGTAGATAACAGACGCAGTGGTACGAGGAGCTCTTCCAAGGTTCCCGTTGAGATTCGGTTGATAGCGACAATCCTCCCTCGTTTCCTTCCCATTCTCTTCGCCTTCCTGACGTCTGCTTGGGATCGAAAATGTGTGTTACCAAGATTCGCCGCATAGCTGTTATCGGCGCTGGGCCGGCAGGTCTTGCTTCCGCCAAGTATGTGCAGCGCCGTCTACGATAAACATTATTACCCCTCATAATAATCTGTTATCGTGTAAAAATCCTCCTGCTCACCAGCATGTAGATTCCTTCTCGCCGAGAAATTCTTTGACAAAATCGATGTCTTCGAGCAAAGGAATTCCGTAGGCGGAATTTGGAATTACTCTCCAAGCTCCTACAAGTCAAAGATCCCGACGACCGCGCCGCAGCTCAACCCCAATGAGCCACCGGAAGAGCCCATATGGCATGCGTCAGGAGATAGCCATAGTGCTCGTGAGGCATTGTTTGTGTCACCGATCTACAGGCAACTGGAGACCAACATTCCCAAGGAGTTGATGGCGTTTTCCGAGAAGCCATTCCCTGCTGACTCCCAGCTCTTCCCCAAGCATCCAACAGTCAAGCAATATCTGGAAGAGTATGCAGAAGAAGTGAAACATCTTGTGCAGTTTGAGATGCAGGTTCTCGATTTGAGACCGGAGAGCTCCGGCGCTGACACTTGGGCCTTAACCACGAAGAATCTCCGTGCGGGCACCAAGAAGACTGACATTTACGATGCCGTTGTTGTCTCTAATGGTCACTATAATGTTCCTTATGTTCCAGATATTGCGGGTATTAAGGCTTGGAATGAAGCATATCCGGGGGTGATCTCACATTCGAAGCTCTACGACTCCCCGGAGGATTTCCGGGATAAGAAGGTCGTGGTCGTAGGGAACTCTGCTTCTGGCGTTGACATCGGGGCTCAAATCAACAAATTCAGCAAAGGGAAACTACTGCTTTCTTCCCAGTCCTTTGAGTCTGCATTCACAGGCACTACTACCGACACCGAGAAAATCGACTGCCCAGAAATCGTGGAGTTCCTACCGCCAGCTATCCATAAACGTGGCATACGATTTGCAGATGGTCGGATAGAAGAAGATGTCGACGCTATTGTGTTCTGCACCGGTTATCTGTACTCGTATCCATTTTTATCGTCCTTACAGCCACCTGTCGTGGTTGACGGTAGCAGAACTCTCAACGTCTACCAACAACTTTTCTACATACCGAACCCCACTCTAGTATTCCCGGTCTTGGCACAAAGGATCATACCATTTCCCTTGTCAGAAAATCAAGCAGCAGTGTTTGCACGCGTATGGTCTGGACGTCTAAGTCTTCCATCCCGCGACGAGATGAAAGCCTGGGAGGATGCGACAATTGCGGAGAAGGGTGATGGGAAGGCATTCCATGTACTTCCGTTTCCACAGGATGCTGACTACCTCAATTTCCTCTATGACTGGGCAGCAAAGGCCGAGAAACGCCCGGGTCTTGCAAACAACGGAAATGGAAAACAAGGGGCTCGTTGGGAGGAGAAAGAAAGATGGATGCGAGAACGCTTTGCTGATTTCAGGAGGGCATTTGTCGGAAAGGGCGAAGAGAAAGGCAATATCAAAAGCCTTGAAGAGCTCGGCTTTGACTATGATCAGTGGAAATGAAAGCAAGGCCAGAGTCAATAGTAACTGGGAACCGCTGATTGCTGTTTAGGAAGGGATAGATAACTTTGGACACTCTCACCTTCGGCTGGACATTTAGACCCAAGATAGATATTTCTAATAATTGACTTGTAGATTGAATTGTCCGTTACGGGGTACACTATGCTGTGTCTATCACTTCCTAGATTTATTATCAGACTATGCTGGTTGTCTGATAGCAGAGACGATAAGTGTGGGCTGATAAGTGTGTGCTATCACGTGCGGGCGATCATCCGCAGTAGCTTTCCCTGCCCAAGTTAAATCACCTTCACATATCTTCTTCAGCATACTGGCCTTTATTTTCCAACAACAGGCTCTGTTGAAATCAATCTTTCTTTATATTCTTTTAGCTAGCATTTACACTGAGATATACTATACAGATTCTCTTTTCATTTTTTTCTCTTTTTGGTATCCTCTTCAATATGGGCTACTGCGCAACTTTCACTTTACGCGCATAATGCCGCGCAAGCGCAAAGCATCATCTCCTGTGTATACAAATCGAAACCACGAATCCAGGAGAAAACGGTGGAAAGAAACATACATCCTATCTTCCAGTGAAGGCGAGCAGGAAGTCAATGAAATAGGAGGCGAAGAGTATCCTATTAACTGCATTCTTGACGAAGACGATACAAGGTATTTGATAGACTGGGAAGGACCTTGGTCACCAACTTGGGTGAGTAGGAATAACAGTAGTCTATATTAACTTGTGCCCGTGATCCTCAAAAGCTTCTGGTAAGAGAAATATGAACTAACAGGATTTCAATCGCTAATAGGAACCGAAGGAGTGCGTGAACGACGTTGCTCTTGAGGTTTGGGAGGAGACTAAGAGAAAACGTACTGCAGAACGGAAAAAGCAGCTATCTGAGATACCTCAAACGCTGTCACAACTCTCACACTCGGTGAGTCAAGGTTCGGGGCATCCGGAGCTCCCTTCCGCCCGACGCCAAACCGAGGAACGTCAACCTGCCATCCGATCTGCTTCTCCATTGTTTATACCATCTGAAACTGTACCAGAAGACCAGTTCTCAGTGACTGCAGATCATCCTTTAAAGAAGAACCCTCATTCGGCCAGTGCAACTACTAACCTAGCAGGTCCCGAAACTAGTACTCAGGGCAGGAGACCTTCATTTGAGGCAGCCTCACCAAGTACCGTCCCCGTTTTCGAGTATATTCCTCAATCTCCTATTCCAGCTGAGTATCAGCTACCGGGAGAATCAGCAGAGCCTCCTGCAGGGCTTTCCACTCTCAGTAGGGACGGTAACTTAGAGCAGCCGGCCGCTTCGGTCAATTCCCGGATAGTGGAGGCTACTAAATTGAGTGGTCACAACATTCGACGGCCTTTGCCTTCTGAGGGACAAATAACCGATCGCAAGGAGCTTGTTGAAATCGCAGAGACACCATCCGCCAGCCCGAGCGAGACTTCACGCATTAACTTCGAAGAAAAAGAAAGTGTCTCTCAAGTGCCATCTTGCTTTCCAGATCTTCGTTCAAACTCCAGCAGCATAACCTCTCTAGTCTATCCACTTAGTAAGTACTACGGTTTCCCCATATAGAGGTTGATAGTCTATTGTTACCAGTAAGCAATCTTGGTTTCTGGCATATAATAGGAGGGAAGTCGATCAAACGCCTTCACTGACATGTATGTAGGCTCCAACACGTCGTGGGTACATACGGGCGTTGGACGGCTTAGGTCTGTACCTGAGTCGATTTTTTTGGACACTTCTCAGAAATCTGGAAACTCCGATTCTTACACTGCACTGAGGGGGTCGGTATCCCAGCATCTTGCTATTAACTTCTTTACCAGAACTATGGATCCCCCGAGTCGGAGCAGAGAAACACCCTCATTAGCCGAGACCATGGAGAAATACAGCCATGTTGAAGGATCTACTCCGAGGGAAAAAATGAGAAACGCTTATGCGCAACTACGTGCTAGACAGCAAACCCCGAAGACATTACAGACGCCCGGCGTTAGCGCTACACCGTCTTCTGCTGAGGATATCGAATACTTGGCCCCGGCACCCGCAGCTGATAAAACAGCCCCTCTCAGTGTTAGGGCTGACAAGGAGCCTGCTTCACACATCCAAGGTGCTTCACGAGCGGGAATACATCCTACAATTGCGGAGCCAGTGATACACCCAACTCAAATTGAAAATTTTGATCAATCCGCTGTTCAGACTATTCAGCCAAGTGCGTTGGCCGTCAGCGATGTTGAGAAGCCGCACCCAGGCGCAGTTAAACTTGGCCCAGCAGAATTTGCCGTCCCTCTTCCCATGGATTCTAGAGTGAAGGATGATTATGACCAGGTCTTGACAGAAGAGGCTCAAGACATCCAAGAGTTTTTGACCAGCTGTGATGTCAGCTCTCAGATGCGTGATGAAGACGTGAGTGGTTCACGTCTTCAGAATAATTGTGTCAAAAACTGATCTTTCAACAGCGTGAGCGACTCATTACTAAGATGGATAGAATAACAAGACAGTTGAACAATATCACTACCCATCCAGATCTGAACATTGCCACCCATATCAAAGATTCAGAGCCGGACTTAGAAAAGGAAGCCTCATGGGCTGAATATTCCAGCGCGAAATTCCTATTTCTGGGCTATATTGTGGAACTTGCGAATAATAGCGATATGCACTTGATTATCATGGTGCAAGGCGGGAAAGGTCAGCAGATCTTAGAGTGCTATCTTCTGGGCAAGGGACTTGTATATACCAGACCTCGCGAGACCATGGGAGGTGGAACCAATGTTGAGCTTTCCATGATGAAAGGCTCTCTGAGCTTTGGGATTCAAACGACTCAAAATACAGGTGTCCTTGAGACGTACAAACGACCGTCCGCTTTGATTGCGCTGGATTCAACTTTTAACGTGAGGAGTCCTTCCGTCGAGCATATCCGAACGACCTATGCTCAGCATGGGAATTTGCTTCCCGTCATCTATCTTCTTGTTGCCAACAGTAGCGAGCATATCGGGCGTTGCTTCCCTGATTCGACCGGACTTGAACGACTCCGTCTACTTATTCGATACATCCTTCGACTACGTGATGTTGTGGGTGATCTTCAGGACGATGCCCTAGGTGTCCATGAAGATGCGGATGAAATTCTATGTTGGCTTCTCTCGGAAAATCCCAACGCGAGCTGGCCATTGCCTGCCATCGAGGCCTTGCAGATTACGGAATCTGCCCCCCAAGGACCTCCCCTGTCCCAATTATCCGTTGCTGCGACACCGATCCAGAAACGCATATCTGTAAGTTCCACCTGCTATGTCCTTTAGCCTTTTATTGTTTGCATTAACAAATAAATAGGATGCAGATGGGGATCAGCCGACGTTGAAGCGGCAGCGGATGGAATCGTCCCAATGCTCTAGCCAGTTGACTGAATCTTCTAAACCTTTCAGTCAAACTTGGAGCAGAAATCTGCATACATTGGAAAAAAACCTCGTACAAATGAAGAATGCGCATGCTGCTGAGATTATTAAATTACAAGAGTCGTTGAAGGATGCTCAGCGTCGGTTGCGAGAGAAGGACTCAACCTTGGAGTCTCTTCAACACCGCTACGAGAGTCGAACAAAGGAGTTCCATAGAATTCGAAGGGAATGCGATCGTCTAACGGAGCTGAAGAATACTTCTGAGCAGCGAATAGAGAGGCAAAAAGAGGAAATCACTAAGCTGAAAGACGAACGCACTCAGTTAAGGCATGATCTTGAGACAGCGAGAAGTTCTTTGAAAGTAGACGGTGGAGGTGTGGCAGAATTGGAACATGCACGAGAAGAAATCCGTCGCCTGGAGAAAGAAAACGCAAGCTTAACGCGAAAAGCAGATTACGAGAAGAATCAGGCGGAATATACTCGGGAGCAATACCAGACTGCATCTACCGTAGCCGCACAATCTGGGAATGAGATCCGCCAGCTGAGAGAAGAGAACAGTGAGCTGCGACGCAAAGTGGCCGGTGAAGTCTGCCGACTCAAGGAAATTAACTTGAAGAATGACGAGTCTGTCCATCTTTCACGTATCGCGGAATTGGAAGTTCTCCTTGTATCCCGCGAGGATTTGCTATCTAGGAAGGAGGCCGAGCTACGCGAAATCCGGAAGAATCGTCCTTCGACGCGTTCGACAAGCATTCAACCTAGGAGCCCGAAACTGAATGCAAATAGTCGTCCATCCAGCCCAGGGTTTGTTAGCAGAGGCAGTAATCTGAGACACAGCTCGGAACCGGGGAACAACAACTCATCTAGTTGAGAATCTATCGTGAAGATCAACCATGGGATTGACATGCGGAACTTAGACCAAGGGGCTTTGATATAAGGTGTTACTTTTTTTTCTTGATTTTCCTTCTGCTTGCTTTTTCTTGTTTAAACAAGCATACGTCCATAGATCTGGGGAACTTGAAGATCTCTCGGATGGTCTTCTTTTTCTCTCGTCCCGATCTGTTTCTCACTACGGCGTGTTGCATTTATTAGCGCTCGATCTCTTTTCGAATTACTGCCACTGCTATTCTTTACGTGGTCAGAAGTCAACGAAGATGGCACTTATCCACGTTTCTTTCTGTATTCCAAAGTTCCTCACCACCTAGGCCCCGTAGCTGTATGTTCCCCAAAGAGTTATATATCGATCTGTGCTTAATATCTATCTGAACTCTCACGTATCTCATTTGTTAACAAGAATTAAATAATTTCCAGTTATGATATACGTGCCAGTACTGCAGACTACCATGCCTCAAAGTATCGAATTGTACTATGGACCTGGCAGCCAGGTACCTTGGAGAGCACAGATGAATAAACTATGCAGTGAAAGGACGATTCTGCATGGCAGAACAATTACCCTTTGAAGTGAAGGCATGGATATTCGATGGTTAGCAGCCACGGAACACAGCCAGGACAACCCATGGATCGAAGACGGGATCTCAAGCAGGGTTCCTTGGGCCTAGTTCGATAACCGATCCAGGGAACAGATCTCCCTCCAAGCACTATAGCCCTCGCGTGCCAACACGATTGTACAGGGATGGTATTGCAGTGCTGGCAGTAACACTGGACAACCCTTAGCTGCTATCCGAGAAAAGAGCAAGAATTTAGTGACTCTTGAGGTGGTTTTGTGATATTCATGTTGTTTTTTATTTTTATTTTTATTTTTAACTCAAGATCATTAAGCTTATCGATAAGAAAGTGCCCCGACGGCACTAGGCCAGAACCGGCAGGCGCGTAAACAGTGCAAACCAAAACAACCTTCTTTGTCTTGCATCTCTCTGCCTCTGCCTCTCTGCTTCTCTTCCTCTCTTCATCATCCTCTCTCGCTTTCACGCTTCAAGTCATGTCCTGTCTGTAGCTTTTCCATCTATCGTTCCCCCACTTGTCAGTCTGTCTTTCCGCCGTTCCCTTTGTCCCCTTCTCTACGGGTCTCCCCTGTTTCTCCTCCAGTTGTCTTTCGTTTCCAAGGCCGTGCGTCCGCTATTACCCAAGATCCCTCTTCCATCTTATTACTAACTGCGGCCCCAGCCTTACCGAAATAGCATCCGTCCCCAGCTTCATATCTCTCCAGTCAATCAACTTTCTCCTGTCTTTATTATTACCCCTGCTCCTTTTAATTTTATTCGCATATGCTCATTTTTATTATTACTGAGTCCCTTTCCAATTTGTCGTTTATTTTCCGACTCGATCGTCTTTACCGCCGTGCCTCTCTCTCCGGATTCCGGCCAGGATGGCGCCCACCGCACCTCAGCTGCCAACCAAATTCCCCTGCTGGTGTCGCGCCGTCTACTCGTGGGGAGGAGAAACAAAGAAGGACCTGGGCTTTGTGGAGGGGGATTTAATCGAGTGTCTGAATGCTGGTGATGGACAATGGTGGACAGGTCGCCTACGCCGCGATCGGCGTATGGTTGGACTCTTCCCATCCAACTTCGTCGAGGTTCTCGGGGAAGAGTTCGTACCTGTGAACCGGACGACGAGTCCGATGGTAAAACCAGCCTCGTCTCCCATCACAAACCCGATCTCCGGCCCCAAAAAGCAGAAGACCGTCTTTAGAAAGCCCTTCCAGGCCCACAAAGAAGCTATGGCTCCTGGGCTGGCTCGGAGCTCTACTGCCGTATCAAGCTCGATACCCAGAACTCCTCCTCGAGATGGCACTATCCCTAGAAGTGTGAAGCCTTTACGCACCAACACAGCTCCGTCGACAGCTAAGCCGCAGACGTTTAATTCTAGGCCTCGTCCGTCACGTTTATCAAGAGCCCGGTCCCCGTCACCTTCGCGTGCAGTGTCCCCAATTCCGCCGGAACATACTGCACCGCCGCCTACTGTAGTACCGGCGCAGTCCATCTCATTTCCCAGGCCTGCGTCCCGCAATAATCTTCCCCTGGAACTTGAACAGCGCGAACCCGTGGAGCGCGAAGAATCCCCCCGCCTCCCCCGCCTCCCCCTCATAGAGTGGCTGTCAATCGGCAGCCTTCGCCTATGCAGATGCGACGTGCACCTAGTCCCTTGAATATGAATGACCGTTATGTGACTATGTCAAGAACCCCTTCTCCTGCCCCCCCATCTGAGATGAATGGACACACCCCGTCACCCCTCAGAGATGCTATGGAGGGTGTCATGTCCTCACTAGAAGACATGGAGTTATCTGGAAGGACTTCCCCTCCTTCTCCGCAATCAGATCTAAGCAATCCATGGTCACCGGACGATTATAACAGTATTCATGAGAGAGCAGCTTCACGCAGCGGGGCTCGATCTTTGACGTCTCTGGGTTTTGAGAGGAGTAAAGATCACTACGGAGATGAAGGACAGATCCATCGAAATAACAGTCTTTACACTCATGACAATTATCTCCTAGACGGTCCACCCCAGCTCAATAACTATGTGCAACGAATGGAGAGCAGGCTACGACAAATGCAGGAGCAGAGTCGAAGATCTTCGCATGAAATACATTATCCAGAAGAAGATGATGAGGAACCTCCGCCGCCGCCACCGAGAAATGTCCCTTACCGCGGAGGATACAATTCGATTCCTGTTCGCTTCTCAGCCCCGAGGCATCAAAGATCAGGATACGAGATCCAAGAGGATATCCTCAATCGTTCTGCCACAAACAAGTCAACTGCTACTTCTTCAACCGGCGTACAGAGCAACTATACCAGTATGACAACGGGCACTGATGAGACCAGCCAAAGCATGATGAGCGGTCCGTCCGCTGGTGGGTTTAGTGCTACAAGCGCAGCAAGTTACGCAAGAAGAGGATCAAGTGTGCGACCTAATACAGCTGTAGTCACCTCCCGCTCTCGAGGTTTTAGTGATGTCTCCAGGATGTCAAGACCAGAGACCCCCCTGACCGGTATTTCTTACCACTCCAGTCATAACACCTCTCGGCAGGGTGCTTCGTCGGCCATTCCTTGGTCATCCACTGGTGATATCAGCCCTGAGGAGTCGGCTGGTGTCTTTGGTGGTCTTTCTACCCCTAAAGCAAAGAAACATGGTTTCTTCAAGAAAATATTCGAATCAGCAAAGACCGGGGCCGCTAGTGCTAGGAACAGTTTTGTCACCGGGCAGGGGTCTCTTTCGCCAACAAAAGGTAGAATTGCAGACACTTTTGTGCCGGAGAATTCTGGTCGTGATGCAGCACGAGATATTGGCCTGGGCGGTGGTTCTATAGACTGGGTTCAAGTCCGACGGGACGTTAACCGTGCGATCTCCCCAAGCCGGCATGAGAGGGTTGAAAGGGCTGAAAGATGCCAGATGATGGACTATCCTGTTATCTACGCGGTGGAAGAACTCCACGAGACTGCCGAAGGCGACGAAAGCATTGATGGACTACCAATCAGTGAGCCTACGGATTTCTGCGCGGCTAATCTTCCCCTCGTTGACAAGAGCGCTCGGTTCGTGACCAATCTTCCTCCAATGATTAACCCGGTTACTCTCTCCCAAGCCTATGTCTGTCGACCTTACAAAACAGATGTTCAGCGACTTCGTGCGATCTTCACTTGGGTTAGTGAGAAAATTGCCTGGGATGAGCCTATTGATGAAATGGATGTCGATATCAAAAGGGTCCTGCACACTAAGAGGGGAAGCCCTCAAGAAGTCGCGATTCTCGTTCAAGAAATGTGTGCAGCAGTTGGTCTCCATGCGGAGACGATTCAAGGCTACCTAAAGACTCCTGGAGAGCTTTTCGAGTTTGACAGCCTGTCACGACCAAATCACTGGTGGAATGCTGTTCTTGTCGATGGCGAGTGGCGGATTATGGACTGCTCTTTGGCGAACCCGACAAACCCCCGGAGAAACCAATTCGTCACTATTAATTCTCAAGCGGCTGAAAGCTGGTATTTCCTCGCACGCCCGCTTGAAATTTGCTATACACACGTGCCACTCTACCCCGAGGAGCAACATATTTGCCCACCCATATCGCCAGACGTCCTGTTAGCTCTCCCTACAGTTTGCCCGCCTTTCTTCAAGAATGCCATGCAGTTTCCCGATTATGACACCAGCCTCATTCGTATCGAAGGCTTGGAAGTCATGCAAATTCGCCTTATTCTTCCACCAGATGTAGAATGCGCAGCCGAGGTTGAAACACCTTTGTTCGCAACTGACGCGGATGGTGACTTCTTTGAGAGTGGAGATGTTGTGCGAAAACGTGCCCTTGTGCAGCCTGACTGGCTGAACGGTCAGAAGCGGTTCACGGTCAAGGCAGTTTTGCCTGGCGATGAAGGCCAGGGAGTCCTCAAGATATACGCAGGCAAGAGAGGACTCATGCATTCATGCCGAGACATCCCGCATCCTCTTGCCCTTGCACTCCCAATTATACAAACTGGGGAGAATCCGCCATACGATTTTGTATTGCGTCATCCAACGCCTCATGCTCAACGCCATGACTTGTACATCATGCAGCCTCAATGCTCCCGACTTGCGGTCAATAATACTTTTGTCTTTGCCGTTCGTCAACATCCATCTACTCCGATCTCTCCAAGTGGAAACGAGTCGAATGGTAACGGGCGCCTTTCACCATCTGTCTTCATGCGGCCTGCTAGCTCCCTGAGCATGGTATCCAGTTCTGCTGGCGGTTCTGTTGTTTCCAATGAATTCTCTGCATCGACATCTGCCATATCATCGCGATTAGGCTCGGGAAGAGAGAAACCTGCGAAGCTCGCCATCCAATCACCGTCTGGCAAGATCATGAGGTTGACTCGAAAAGCTGATCACATGATCTCGTCCACAAGCACTGCAGACTCCGCAACAGATGTTACTGCCGATGGTAGCATCTGGGAGACAGTCATAAAGATCGGCGAGCGTGGTGTCTGGAGAGGACTTGTCCTGGCTGACCGAGTTGCCAGATGGTGTGTCTTCTGTGAATGGGAATGCTTCTGATTTTGAGTTTGATCTTGCATGCCCGTGCCCACGTATTATTACTTTTTATGATGATGAATCTTGATGCCCGATGTCTTGACTCTATGGTCTATGCATACTTCATCTTTTTATTATTATTATTATTTTTTGTTGTCTCTCTCCTTCATAATTACGACCTTCTTCCTTGATTCAAATTCATCACATTACCGATAATAATGGGCACAACAAGAGGAGTTAAGCTGACTTTACTGGAGTGAATTTCCTATCTTATTGACTTTGTTTTTCCTTTCCTTTTCTTGAATTTTGTTACATTTGCTGGCGAGTCGAGCCTAGTCATGTCTTGGGAATTGCATCCACATCCGCATCTGCATCTGCATCTATTGGACTAAGGTTCAGGATCCTCAAAAGCGTTACATTATTGCATGGGGTCTGTCTACCTTTGAGTGCATGCATCTGGATTGATTTCTTTTCTTTCTTGTTCCAGCCACTCAATTTCCTAATATGTATTTTTACTGTAGTATCTTGCTACAGCCTACAGTCATTGATCTTCTCACTTAGTTTCTTTTGTCTTTTTCCTCTGGCCAACTGATTCTATTTCAACATGGACATGCAATGCAACCTAGCGTATGGGCTCAATGTGTGTATGTTGTCAATTTATTGGGCATGTATGTGTGGAGTTATTAGGGAAGAAAGGAATCTCTTAATTCCAATAATTCTTGTTCGATCTCTACCTGTTCCATGTATCCTGTTTCGATTCGCCCTTTCTCACTCTCTACCTTCTCTCATTGTCCATTCCTCTCGTGTACATCTTCAACTTAGATCTCTTCTAGATGGGTGAAATTGAGGAAGTCGGGGGAAAAAGCGAGAAATACATAGTAAAGTACAAGGCGTTGGTTCCAATAACACCAACCCTTCGGGAAATATCGACCTAGATTAACTGATGATCATGTTGGCCATTTCTTTCTTCCTTCTGTCTTACAGTCCCACTTGACTGATGGAAACCGGGCACCTTCATAGAATGCATAGACGGCGTTTACCAGACTGCTGCGCATGGACTCTTTGTCCTTCCTCAACTTAAGCCCGGGAACTGCATATTGGACAATACTGGCTTTACCGGATCTCATGAATAAACATATCCACTATCTAGGAACACACCATACCTATAAATCACAGTTTCGCAGCCTCGCCCCTCAGCAGCGGCGCCACCTGTTTCCGACTTTTCGTCAAATCAGTCTGCTCCCAGACATGGCACCAAATAGGAGGAGAGTCCAGATTGAGAAGAGCTGCAATCTCCTTCATTTTGGGATCCGCTGTATGCGGTACTGGCGGCCAGGACGATAGCCCGATCTCCGACCCCCCTCGCGAAGCGAAGGATCTGGAGCATTCCTCGCCTGCACCAGAGTGCAGTGAACAGAGTAGCAGTTCCCGTCTAAATTTTTTGGTCGATGCATCAACAAAAGCTGTCATAATGACAACAATATCTAGACCTTTTGATGCGGAGAAGGACCGCAAACCGTTCAGGAAGGTCTGCGGGGTGCCGTCAGTCTCACCATTACCATCCGGTTCAGTTGTGGCTTTGCTTATGATCCATGGGATCGGTTTAACGCAGGAACAGAAACCAAGCTTAATGACACCTTTCCCTTCTTTAGAGGAGGATATCTCTTCAGTCCACTCCTTGTAGTCTCGATCCAGTATTTCGGGAAACGTCAAGAGATCAAGACTGTTCTGTTTCGTCTCTTGAACTTCCCGGAAGAAAGCATTGCGGTCCCAGGAGACTTCGGCTTGCTGGATCTTAGATTCCAGGAATGAAACCGCGAGACGGTCTACGCCCGTCACCTTGCCCTTTGCAGTGAGATTGGTCGTATCAATAAGAATAGCAGCCAATGCAAGTTTTGCAGCTTGGGCTTCTGCCGTAACCGTCGTAATCGCAGAATCCCCAGCAGCCCAAAGCCCCCTTTCCCTCAACTCACGCGCAATAAGGGACGTGCAAGATCCCGGTCCAGGCTGAACAACCAAAGGCTGACCCTCCGGCAAAGAATCAGCCGAAGGAACAAAACCACCCTCATCAACATGATGATCAATACAACCCAGGACACGGAAATCTACATTCGGAAGTGATTCCAACTGCCCCGTTCTCTTCCCACTTTCATCTTCAGAACGAATAGGAAACGCATTCCAATCGACCATGACCGTATCCAGAGTGCACTTTGGTCGTCTCTCCGCATCAAAATGCAACTTCAAGTCTGCCACCGTCAGGATATGCTCGTTGAATAGCTTTCCTGTAGACTGATCATTTTGGCTGTCCCATCTCTCGCTCTCTGTTGCGGGGGGATTGTTCGTAGACAGCCACAATGCAGCTGCGAATTCTGGTCGCAGTCGACGCAATTCCGGGCCAGACGGGACTCCTGGGAGATTGATGAGGGGGATGTGTGGTCTTCCACGGGAGGACGGTAGATGTCCATTAGCGAAGTAGGAGTAGACAATGGCGGAGATGATCGAGTCGAGGTCTGCAGAGGGATTGCCCAGGACGTAGACTGGGGCAGCTGAGGGAGACAATGCGCCAGCTACATGTTGGAAGTGAAGATAGTGGGCTTGTTTGAGGAATTGAAGAAGATTAAGCCGTATAGAGTGAGTTTCGGAAGCCATACCGGGCAGGCAAAGAGGAGAACAGAGCTGTTCTTCAAGTATTGAATTCGGCTTTTTGAAGCTTGTGAACTGCCACCGCCTTCAGTGATGACGACATGCATCTACATGCAGCTTCTGATAGAGTTTAGAGATGATAGTTAAAACAATTCTCCTTTGAATCAATCCGCAAGCTCGAGCTAGTGTTACATGTGGTACTCGATCAACGAAGCAATGAAGAACAAATCAGACACCTATCGGACGTCATTGTATAGGTCAATGAGAAAAAGTGCAATCGTTGGTTGAAGAACAGGCCTCCACTGGAGGTCAAGTAATAAGCGAGCTCCCAATGAGGGAAATAGAAATATAAAAGCTGACAGAATGAAGAAACAAGGAAGCATATCATAATACATCACTCACTCACACACGCACACGAACTGTCTCGTCGTATCTCACGCACGCCATCTTCATAATACACCTGTTCTAAGGAACGATAGTAATCCCGTAGAAAATAAAAGAATTTTTAGCGAAGAAAAAAAGGGAAACAAGGAGAAGAAGAGATACGGGCGGGAGAGAAGTATGGCCATCAACCTAGAGTCTGCAAAGCGGGAGCACACCCTCAGGACTCAATACCAGACACGGAACACCATTAACATTAGCAAGGGAAATTAAGAGACACATCAACCCAGGACATCCTTCTCTTAAACGCCCGCAAAATGCCATCTGAGGACTGACACAGATATGTCAAAGAAGTAGATGGACGACGACCACATATAATTACCGTTCGCATGCCGCCAACAATTCCCTCTATAATACGACCATAACAAGTATGAAAGTCGCGGAACCCGAAAGAAATTAGAATGAGTCACCAGCCCCCTCCCCGCTGCTTTCCACATGGCCGTTCATCATCCCATTAGCCCCGGTCGCATGATAGTCTCCATCATGGACCGTTTCAGAATGGCCTTCAGCCTTGCTCGCATCCAAGACTTCTAGGGCCTCATTCGCATGTGTGTTCTCCGGCTCCGGCTCCGGCTCGGGCTCAGGCTCGGGCTCGGCATCTTGGTTCGTTAGGTCTGCGAACACATCGTCCAGGTTTGCCCTAGGGCTACTTCCAAAAGGGTTACTGCCCTCGACATCCACCCCCGGGGGACCATCATTATGAGTCCGATTGAATCTCGGGGGGCTAAAGAGCGACGTATCGAGTCCTTGATGATTCGGAGTCGGAGAGTGTGGAGGGAATGAAGGAGAATGAACTGCAGCATGAGGCAAGAACGCTGAAGACTCAGAAGCAAATGCCGGTGTTGATTCGGCTGCAGGAAGGGGAAAATTTGCGGTAAAGGGATACGGCTGGTTTTGTGTCTCCGGCATAGAGGTTAAGGTAGGGATGCTGCCAGTGGATTCTGAGTGATGGCTGCCACCAGGGGTCTGGGAAGTTGGCACTGAGAGCGCGGGACGCGTCGCTTGAGACTCCGACGACTTTCGCTTCGTATGATTGGTAAACTTGGAGCGCAGGTGAGGCGGGAGATCTTCTGGGCGCTCGACGCCCAACTGAGCCATAATCTTCTGTTGCTTCGTTGGGCGGGGCTTTCGCGTCGAAAGAGACTGCTCTAGGATTGGAGGCGGCTCCGGCGCAACCGGCGCCCACTTATGGATCTCTTGGCGGAAGAAATTAGTCTCGTATGCCAGAAGGACTTCGGCGCCTTCGATCTTCCGCAGATAGAATATCAGAGTTGGAACTTCCTCTGTCGTCGTGCAGGCAGCGTTGGTGAAACTTTGCAGGAAGTCACGAAAAGCGGAAGCTTGATTGACGATATTTTCCAGTATTTGCTCTTCGTCCGGTTGGAAAGGGAGCGTCGGGATTTCAGCCTGCCATTCTTGGAGATCTTCGAGTTTCGGGCGAGCAGCATCGCGAGGAATCTTCCTGCGCCAGTCACAGATGGGACAAGTGTATTTGTCGAATTCCTTGACCTTACCCCTTGCGATCTTCAAGCATTTTCCGTGATACCTACACTCGTGTAAGTAACATTCGGAGAACGGTCGGTGCATAGAGACAGGGCGTGGAAGACCTACCATTCATGGCATATTTCACATTCAATCATCATCCCTGCCTCAGACTGCCTGCAGATGCAAAAGACATCCCGCTTCCGCGATTTCCCGCCCCACACATTGTTATTATTCTCCAGGAGACCCTCCGGGCTATTATCGCGTGAAGCAGGCTCGACTGGGGGTCGACACCGATCTTCCAAGTCGAAGCAGTGGACATTTCTTTTTTCAACATACTCCATATGCGATTTTAAAATATGTAAAGGGGCGTTGGCCTTGCCAAATAATTTCTTTCCTTTCCTCATCCAGTCCTCGTGACGTTTTTGTTCGCGTTCCAGGTCGATTGCACCTGTCGGCCGGCTATTCAGTTCCTCAAGGGAGTCCATGAGCTCCTTTACTTCCTTATAATGAGGCCGTTTTCGAAAATCAGAATCTTTGCTCCTTTCGTACAGCTGTTGGATCCGTCTCTGGGCTTCACGTTGCTTGGTCAATATCGCATCTACCGCAGCAAGTGTCTCAGGAGAGACCGGAAAGCGAGATGCCTGTGCGGACAAAGCCTCAAGCTGCTGGTAATGAACTGCTTCTACTGACATCAACTCCTTGGCCTTTGCTTCCCAGGTTTCACCATGGCGGCAGAGGTCCTTGAAATAGAGCAAGTGGTCATTGTTTTCCGATAAGCCTAGTTGTTCACCAGCCAGTATGAGCTCTTGGCAGTCTTTCAGGGTCATGTATTGGTCACGCTTGCGACGTGCTTCATCATTCCACTTCATTTGCCGGAGAACATGCTCAAGTCCCTCGACCTCGGGTATGTCTACGTTAAAATTGCGGCCGGATTCCACCAGTTCTTCCACGTCCTGGATCGACCGTAAATGTGGATTCACAAGAACAACGTTAACATCCTGGCGGAATTTCTCGATCTCGCGGGTTTTCTCTTCCAGAGCCGCCATCTGTGGACAGTCGAAGGAAAGTTTATCAGCTTCTGCAAGAAGGGCGTAGATATTTTCTACTCTTCGAACTTCACGGTCACGTTCTTCCAGCTGCGAGGCTTTGGAACTACCCTTGCGCCAAGCTTTCTCATTTTTTCTGCGGTTCTGCTGCTTCCGAGTGATGTAGTTGTTTGCTTCTTCAACCCACTTATCGCAGCGTTGGACAAAAGCGGCAAGATCTTGTAGGCCAGGCAGATGGTATGGGATCTTCTCACCTTCACTTAGTAGACTATGTAGGACCTTCAGTTGGGGCTTGGGCTCATCCTCTAGAACCTTGTCGAGTTTCTCACTCCACACCTCTGGGATCCTGGCACGGTCCTGGATCTTCTGTGTCAAGCTCTTCAGGGCATCGTTGCTCAACCGGCAACGGAAGGTATGGTCAGAGCCTAGTAATCTTTGCGCTAGAGGTTCACCGCAGCAATCGTAAGTCTCAACATGCGACAAGCAGACGGTCTTCCCGGACTTGTGACAGCGGAATTGAGTGAGGTAGGTATAGGCCTTGCAATACTGGCATTGGTAGTCATCCTCCGGAAGGTCAACCTCTTCAACCAAGAACTTTAGCTGGCAATCCCCAGCAGTCGAATCGTTTTCGTTACCGAAATTGCAGTTATGTGGGGATATTCCTTTGTGACGGGCAATAAATGCTTCCCGCTCAGCCAGTTCTCGATTACATACTCGTTCGAGAGCCGGAGCCAACCATTTAGCCGTCTTAATTGACGCATCGCGGTTAGCAGCCGTGAGCAACAGCTCATCATGCGAGAAGCAAGGCTGCCTTCGAAAAGCTTGAAGACGTTCGACGCCAGCCGCGCCAAAAGGCTCCCAGTCTGCAGGTGCAAAATTGACTGCTTCATTGAAATTAAATCCATGATTGAAGCCGGCATGATAGGCTTGTGGGAATGTAATCACGAATTGCTCCGCCCTTTGGTCGAGTGCATACACATTGACGCCGGCCTTCCTCAGCTGATCTGGTGGCATCAATGTCACCAGTTGGAAGAGGAGATCAGGCTGGCCTTCGAAAAGCTCTGGAACAGCCTGGCGCATAGCTTCTTCGAATGCTTCCGCATCAGAACCAGGAATTCCATACCAAGTTTTGGTAGCGCCGAAGTGCTGGTAGTTAGCTGAATAGGAGTAGTGATCCTCGTTGTGCCAGCAGAAAGTAGAGAAGCACATTCCCACGTATACCCAAGGTACTGTCATGCCAGAGATGTCGGTTTTGATATGGCGGAAAAGTGACTCTCCGTGGAAGGGGAGAACATTCAAATTCCATGGATCAACCGAATAAGGGTCAAGAGGATTCCGTTCAATGGTCGGAAACCCACTACCGTGCGTAGTAGAGTGAATATCGGCTCCGTACTCAACCTCGACTGTTTCAGTTAAGCTCTCAACAAGCCTCCAAAATTCGCGCTCGACGTCATCTTCTGACACCTTTTTGTGGGTGTTGGTTACAGGGTCAAAAGGCATCTTTGATGCGAAATAATTATCCTTGAAATTGTTTGCCTTTTCCTGAAACTGCTTGAGCGAATATACGCCGCCTTCCTCAAATCCGAATTCGCCTGTCCCCACTAAGCATTTGGGGCAGTGCCAGTCATACTCGGGGGTGTGGGTAAGTGGAGGATCGAGGCAGTACTTATGATACCCATTTTCACAGCCGTCGCAGAGCAGAATAGACGAACGATCATCTGTCTTGCCGCAGGTTTCGCATTTCTAACTGTTTGTTAGTGCCGCAATACCCGATGTTATAAGAAATCTCGACTTACATCGCCATTTTTCCTGGTACCACTATGACGATCGCGACGTGGGGCCGGGCGAAGGAGACTCATGTGAGAACCAGCAACCGTTGGTGGAGGTGGTACATCTATAAGCCAGTGGTCAATGAGCAACGCTTGAAAGGGTGGCTCTTGTTGGATTTCTCCGTTGAGTGAAAACGGCGCCATGCCTCAGAACATACCTTTCTTAAGTCGCTTGCTTCGCCTACCACTACCACCATCTTCACCATTTTCTGTCTGGGAACCGCTAGGTAAGCTATCGTGGCTAACTGCACGTTTTATTGGAAGGGCTCCATGGCCATTTGTCGTGGAGCCTGAAGATTGAGGATGCTCAGCAACGCTCCTAGGTGTAGGAGAGGCAGTATCTGCTTCGTGCTTCACGGCCGGGGCACTATTCACCGCAATGAAGGATGGGGATCGGTTAACAGCGGTAAAGCCACCGGAGCTAGCATTCACAGCCGTAAATCCCGACCCAGCAGTCGGTGTAGGTGCGTGTTCCGCTGGTGTACCCGGCTTACTACTGGAGCTGTCAACTTCCATTGGAGTGGGTTTACTTGAAGGTGTTTGGGCGGCGGGTGAGCTGTGGTGTGAATTAGACGTCGTATTTTGGTTCTTTGGTGGAAGCTTTTGGCGAGGAGAGGGAGTAAATGGACCACCGTGTTCCAGCTCGAGCTGTTGCTGCACACCAGGCTTGGCCAAGCGGAGGTACTCCTCATACGGTTGAAGCCATCGCTGATAGGAGTTCTTGAGTGATGTGGAGAGGGAGGACATGATCTTGCCGCTATATCCCAGGTCGCGCCCGATTTCCGCCCATTTCTTCAGTTTGCAGACCGCATCGAACCCACCGCGAACCTCCACAGCCTTTTTGAGTTTATAAAGATCCAAAGGGCGCTTGTCAACGCTGGGAAATCGGTTGAGATTGGTACCATGCTGCTTGTGAAATTTGGCAAGCTGATCGAGATAGTTCAGGTTTGCACGGGTTCCTGGGTTGGTGCTGTGAGTAAGCTGGGGGGTCTTCCCGGGAGTAACACCAGCGGGATGCATGGGCATACCTCCTTCGACCGAGTTGAGTTCCTGTCGTCTAGTCTTGAAGTGAAAGCGCTAAACCATCACAAATGCAGATCGTCAGTACCACATGCGGACACGCCGGACGAAAAACAGCCATGGAAAAATAAAAAGGTTCCGAAGCAGCGTTGGACCCACCTCTGTGTCTACCGCAAACGGAGGTTGCCAATTCTCGGGAGGAATGATTCGGCAGATCCCGTATTTCCTCCCCTCAGGCGCTATCTTCTTTATGTACTCTAGAGGATCCTTGAATTCCTCCTCCGTTGGGCGGAAGGTAGGGGCCTCCGGTAGACCATGGGGACGAACTCGCTTAAGGGGTTCTCGGGGGGCTTTAGGCTGCCCCCGTCGCTCAACAGTCGACAGGTCGAGAGGTGCAGATCGACGAGCACTCAATGGAACATTGTGCGAATGCGACGGATGCGTACTCGAGGTGCGGGTGGTCTGGCGGTTAAACGGCGGCTGCGAACCTGTCGGAGTCGCTCCGGCAGCGGAAGAAGCCGTCATATTCTTCACAGAGTTGTGGCCGATGTAAGAAAAAGGGAATGGCGTGTCTACCGCGGACAGAAGAGCGCGAGAATCTGGCGCGAAAAACGCATGGAGGACGACGGGGCAAAACGGGGAAGGAACGGTAGCTCAGGTAGGGCACAGAAGCCAGGCGACAACGAGGGCGATGAAGAGGAAGGATCAAATCCAACGAGGGAAGCCGAGAAATAAAGCGAAAGGGGGCCTATCTACTGGAAAGTAGCGTGTCGAGGCACAGAGGGAGAGGGAGGAGAAAGAGGTGGAGGGGGGAGAGAGAGGAAGAGAGAGAGGAAGAAAGGATAGTAATAATAATAATAATACAGCAGCGAGTCGACAGAGAGAAGAAGCAGTAATAGTAATAGGCAGATCAGACAATATTACCAGATAGTCTGAACGATCGTGTGGGTGCTGACGGGTACCATACGGTATGGTATTGTACAGTACCGTACAATACAATACTATACAGTACAGCTGAGCTGCGCAGCAGAGAACGTGACAGGTCAAAGATCGATCCACACCTCCTCGCATGTCCGAGAATTTAGACATCCAGCAGGTTTTAATAGGACTTTCGAGCAGCTAATTATATATTAAGGCTTACGTATGATATTTACTACATAGTTCCCGTCTGTGAAAGGGACGCTGTGCCTGGATAATCCATGGAGCAGCCATACTGCGTACTCCGTACCCGTACTATACTGTCTCGCCGGCGTGTGAACTGTATCGTCGTACCGTGGACAGGGCCTAACCCATCTCCGGTTAGGCCTTGTGTCTCGATCGGCATCCAACTTGATAGCATATTACAACTTCAGGCCTGCGAGACGCCCTGGATGCAGTCGGTTATCACTGTCCTCTTTTTTCTTGCTTTGCGACAGGGAAGACAGGGAGTTGGAATTGGCGATAAGTGATAACTGCGTGATGAACAAGACAGAAAGCCAGTAGGATCTCCATTGTACCCATTATACCCTGGATTGCCATGCAAAGCTTTTTAGCTTCCTCTTCCCGATGTTTGCTTCGACCTATGAATGTACGGTGATATCAACACTCCCCGAAGACTCAATCAACACCACAACTCTACCATAATGTTCTAAATCAAGTAAATAATCATCATCACGGTCAATGGATTCCCAGATCGAGTACCGGAAGCCTATCCCGGCATTCTACTGCTGCTATCTCCTTCGCTCCGCCGTGCGACACGGCTCTCTGTACATCGGCTCAACCCCGAATCCGGCGCGGCGGCTTGCTCAACACAACGGCATCGCTAAGGGCGGTGCAAAGCGGACATCCACGGAAAATCTGAGGCCATGGGAAATGGTAATAGTTGTCGAGGGGTTCATGAGTCGGATTGGAGCATTGCAGTTTGAGTGAGTCGCAACCTTAACGTTGCTAGATGCATCTACATGCAACTTATCTCAGCTAATTCAATTGATTAATATAGATGGGCTTGGCAGCATGGGAAGGAATCGCGACATATTGAATCGGATGCTGCTGCACCTTGTAATTCGGCAGGGACTCCAGAGCTCGATATTAATGTCAAACCGAAAACAGGGAAACCAAAGTCTCGGAGACGATCATCCCGACCCCGGTCATTGGCAGCTCATCTGGCTAATCTGCATCTCCTGCTGCGGTCTACGTATTTTTCAAGATGGCCATTGACTGTACGGTTCTTCTCTCCGGATGCCCACCGCGTGTGGCAAGTCTGGAGCGAGAGAGTCGATGGTTTCTTGCCGGATCATATCGGGATTGTCTTGGACGGAGATTGTGGCCACGAAGACGTTCAGCCCAACCGCAACAACACCCGAGTAGGAAGCATTCAACAAATACAAGCTGGCTACACTAACATTCAGTCTTATCTGGAGAAAGCTATATTTCTGCTGGATGATCCGCAGGGACTATGCTGCAGAATATGCGGAGCGCCAGTTCTCCCGAAGAATGAGCCGATAGTTGTATGCCCGCAAGAAAATTGTCACTGCATGAGTCATCTCACATGTCTATCGAAAATATTTTTAAACGAAACAGGTGACCCAGGCCAATTCGTACCGACACATGGTTCCTGTCCAGCTTGTAAAGAGATCGTCCAGTGGCCATTGATCATGAAGGAACTGAGCCTTCGAAGTCGTGGAGGGAAAGAACTGCACGCTGTGCTAAGAAAGAAGAGGAAGGGGAAAGACGATGGTGATTCTGCTGCTCCTGGGAAAGGAGATTTTGATGGGCGTTCATCAATTGTCGAGCCCACACCAGATAACCACCTGGAAACAAGAGAGCCCCTTTGGGGACATTCTGTGGAGGAATCAGAGCTAGACGATGATTGGACTGAAGGATTGGATATGGAGTCAGATTCTGACGCCGATACTCGAGTCAAGGAATCTTCAAAAGGACATCCATCGCGACTAGAAATCGTGATTGAAGACAGCGAGGAAGACGATTTGGAAATACTAGACGTCTGAAGTAGATCCATTAAGAGTACTTCATGAACGGCAGATCTACTCCTTACTGGAGCCACATGGCAATGGATCCAGCTTCCTCAAAGGCCCAATGGCGCCTAAAGCATTGATACGGTCCAGAACGTTTCTCAGAATATCCTGCGATACTTCGTCGATCGACCTTCCAGCATCGATTATACGGACATCACCACTCTCCTGCAGGTCAAATACGGACTGGAATATCTCACGCACGCGATTCTGCATTGTACTATTCTCGTATCGCTCAACGCCAAATCCACCGCGCTTTGCCGCCTGTTCAGGCGATATATTGAGAAAAATACATATATCAGGACGTGGTAGACCAACTTCCGGTTGCCATGCCCACTGAAGTGACAGACTGGGGTTCGCCTTTGCAGCTGAGTAAACAGCCCCAGAGTACGAATAGCGATCCACAATCAGGCTGACTCCACGGGAAATGTCTTCTTCAATGCTCGTAGCAATTTCCCAGCGATTGGCAGAGAAAAGGAGGTGGATGGAGTGGTCGTCTAGCTGCGACTGGCCACGTAGGTAACCATCTATTAGCTTCCCAATGGGCGTTGTCCTGTCTGGTACAACTGTTAGAATTACGCAGAAAATTGAAATAATACATGGCTTGAAATTGAACTTACCAGGGAATCGAATGTACTTCACAGCATGGCCTGACTGCTGTAGACTGTCGCGTAGTATTGCACATTGGCTCGATTTTCCTGCGCGATCAAGGCCTTCGACGACGATGAGAGCCCCGCGTTTCCCATGTAAATCCTTCGATGCCTCCTCCATATCGCACGCCTTAGAATTGGAGGTATGACCTTGTGCAGATAATGCAAAGACTTCCTTGTTTTGGGTCTGATAATATTAGTTCGTTATCTTTGAGCTGGCGTTGTGACCGTTAAAAGATGCGAGGCGGAGAAAGAAAAGAGTCTCCGGGCGACTCGCATTCTAAATAATTATTTTCATTTAGCAATATTAATCTTTCTCCCACCACTGTCTCGAACCAGGGTTTGCAACAATGGGTTCTGAAAACCAGTATCCAGAGGACATGGGCAAGATCAATTTCAACTTCAGTGTTCTGAGTTCAGCTGCAGACCCCATTCTTGCACCTCGATTGGGACGATTGAGTGTCGTGGGCAGAAAACCCATATCCACGCCGCACTTTATTCCACTCACAACGCGAGGGGTAGTGCCTCACCTCGCCCATGATGTGGTACGGAGGCAGACATCGATATCTAGCCTGTTCATCGGCTTAGAAGATTGTATGTGCTTATTATTCTCTTGCTTGGTGTGGACCATTTTCGAGGAATGCTAACAGCGCGTGGCCCGTCCGGGGCTCAGGTCAGTCATAGAACAAGCGCCAAAAGAACCCCCGATATTCAAGGTACCTACAGCTCCTCATGAATCGGCTTTGCGCAAGTTTATCTGTTTGCCGGACGATACGTTGCTATTCTTGGGCCCTCGACGGATCCCGTCTGTCGTTTGTCCGCCGGCGAACACGACGACGTCAATCTCAGTGATGACCTCGGTAGGATTTAGGCAATTGGAGGCAGATCAGTACATCCAGTCAATGCAACGGCTGCGACCGGATGCAGTTATTGGGATGGCAGATATAGTCTTGGGGAGGAAAGCTGGTGTGAAGCGACGAGGCAAAATGGTGGATAGGACTCATGCCTACACAAGAGATGCTACAGAGCGATTATACGGAGATGGAGTTTCTGCAGAGGACTGTTCAAAGACGGCTTACTTTGCTCCAGTATTGCCATTAGACAATGCAGAGCAAACGCTATATCTGGACGACTTAGAGGATGACTTGAAGCAATTCGTGTCTGGTCTGGCCTTGTACGAGTCGGCATCACTTGCAATCGTTCCTGAATCGCTAGGGAACCTACCAAGATTGCTTTTTAGCGAACCTGCTACTCCACAGGGTGTCTTGCGTGAGATATCGTTGGGGGCAGATTTGCTCACTATTCCTTTTATCGCAGCTTCATCGGATGCTGGCTTAGCCCTGGATTTTACATTCCCTGCACCTTCTTCGATGACGGCGCAAGAAGAAGGTGCCACTGCATCTCGTCCACTAGCGATAGACCTGTGGTCCCCCACTCACGCAACAAACACATCACCTTTATCTGAAGGATGCCAATGCTATACATGCCGAAACCATCACCGTGCGTACCTCCGACATCTCCTATCCGCGAAGGAGATGCTTGCATGGACCCTCCTCCAGATCCACAACTACCATATCATGGACTTATTCTTTTCGAACGTCCGAGAGAGTATTATCCAGGGTACATTTGAGCAAGACGTCCAGGCTTTTGAACAAACATACGAGTCAGCGCTTCCAGAACCAACTGGTGAAGGCCCAAGGTACTGTACTCCAATATGCTTTCTTTCTATTACTTTATCAAAGCACAATCCGAAACTAACGGCACAAACCACAGACTCCGCGGCTACCAGCTGCCTGCCCCCGGGCCAAACCAACCTCGACGCTATCCTAAAGTTTTCGGGCGTCTCGACGACGCAGCTGAGAAATATGCAGAATCGCAATCGTCTGTCGCAACTCCAGACGCGGGAGCGGACGAGCTACAAGAACGTGGATTTGCAGAGAAGAAAACGCCATGATATGATATGGAGCTGTCTCTCAGTCAGCTGACTCGCGTTTCTGCTCAAGAGAGAGTCAGAGAGAAGAATCAGTCGTTTATAAATAGAGCCTGTGGCTAAATCAAGGCTTTCTCCCACCATCAGCGGATAGATACGGGGTGGTTTTTTTATTTGCTAATATGTGGTCTCCATTATGCATTGTGGGACTTTTATTTCATGTCTACTCACTTCCATGGTGTGCGGTGTATGTTTCTGTTTGGAATCTTGGGAAGGCGAAGCTTCAGTGAGTAGCTATAGACAGATCCGATGATCTTTTCTGAACGTCTAACAAGATAGATCTAGATATGTTATGAACATCAATTGATCCTAGATTCTCTCTCTAACCAGCCACATTCCTTCATATTGATTTAGACATAAAATGCAATGCCATAAATTACAATCTTATAAGAAAAGAGAGACAGCCCCCATACTCTAGCCTACTGAATGTTGATCTGACCTAGTGGTCTATAGGATCATCCCCTGTTAACGTCTTCCACATCCACTTGAACTCTTCCTCTTCCTCCTTCGATCCCGGCTTCGTCCCGGCACCAAATTGTTGACCGACAACGCAAACCAGCCAGACATCGTTTTTCATTTCATCGATGAAACGCTCCGTAGCTGAGCCACGGGGGTAGATGCGGCGCCACTCATCCCATATCCGGAACGCCTCCTCACCCCAAGCACGGAAACTGACTTCTTCAATGATTGTTGGGGTGACAATTTCCTTGCTACGGAAGACGCCCCAGGTGACGGCATTGACGCTGCTGGAATTGGCGTCCAGGTCGACTTCGTCCCAGGACTGAGATGGATGTGAGGACTCGAACTCACCGGCCGCATTGGTGGCAAGCCAGGCAAGCTTTTCCTGGGCTCCTTCCTTCTCAAAGATCGATTTAAGGATGTTCTTGTAGTCTTTGCTGGGGCAGAAGAATTCGACAAACGGCTTCTGGAAGACAAAGCCGTCGCCCTGCGGGCCCCAGCCGAAGATGGGGTGGTCGCTGCGGACAGCGTTCGCGGCGGGTTGTGAGGCGAGTGTCCACCAGCCTCTACCGTCAATCAGTTTGAGTAGTTCTGGTTTAATGAGCTCAGTTTCCGCGTTCAAGCCTCCGCCATCTTCCTCTGCTCCGCCTTCGGACCAGGGGACAATATACAGTTCTCCAGAGACGTGGCGCCGGAAGATTGTGTTGATGTCTTCACGGGAAACGGGATAGCCCCAGAGTCGACGAGCAACGGAAGATGTGACGTGCAATGAGGGCCCGTAGCCATCAATTTCTCCAAACGCAGGTGAGCGTGCATCACCCCATCGTCCGTTAGGAAAGTCATCCCAAGTGGCCTCTCTGCCAAGTGACCCAAAGCCTTCGGATATCTGAAGTGTCATGTTACGGTTTGGTGGCAGCGCCGGCACTCCAGCACTGAGAGCAGCTGTCTCGTGTGCAGCAACATCTTTTGAGAGACCGTCAGGAGTAAGCTGTAACTTATCTACTATAACCCGGTTCTGCGGTTGCGAATTTATTGAAGAACCCCGACGTCTGGCCAGCGAACGTAACTGCTCCTGGTCTGGAAGGGTATCCAGAGTCGACGAATCAATGGCGCTATCCTCAGCATCTTTGAGTTCAGATACAGATGGAATAAGGTTACAGCGTTCGATAATAAAGGTCACTGTCTTTTCAAGATTGAGCGTGTAGAAATGGAACCCTCGATTGACGGGACAAGGGATCTTCTTGATGCCTTCGACTATGCCACTGAGAACATCCACGCCTGCACTCTTGACAGCGTCGTCATCATTTTTCAATTCATCGAACTTTGAAAGAGTTTTAGGCGGAATGTGGACGTTACTTAGTTTCGTTACTCGGGTCAAAACCTTGTAACTATGGACAGGCATCAGGCCGGGAATGATTGGAATAGTCTTGAAGATGCCCGATTCATGGTTTCGTAATAAGTTCTCGAATCTCCTGTATGCATCAAGGTCATATGTCAATTGGGTCATTATGAAGTCGGCACCGGCCTCTGTCTTCTCGATCAAGTAAGGCAGATCATGCTCTGGCGACTGAGCCTCGTCGGAAGATTCAATAGGATGACCCTCTGGATATGCAGCGACTCCTATACAGAAGTAATCTCCATATTTCTGCCTGATATACCGCACTAGGTCCACCGCATATGTGAAGTCTTTGTTGCTGTCATCCTCCCCATGCATATTATACTCTTCGCTTCGCGGCTGGTCTCCTCGTAGAGCCAGAATGTTTCTGATCCCAAGCGCCTTAGCTTCTTCCAATGCATCATCAATCAAAGCCCGGCTCATGTTCGTGCACGTTAAATGTAAGCATGTTGTTAGTTGAAGATGACGCTGGCAGATCTCCGCAAGCTCCAGAGACCTGGCAGCTGTGGTCCCTCCAGCACCCCAGGTAACGGTGACAAAAAGCGGACGAAGACCCTGTGACATACGCTCTAGACGTGCCTGGAGGTTTGCAAGACCCTAAAAGGAGAAAGAAACCATAGTTAGCTTTACCACGTCATTTCAATGACTATCGAGAAAGCTGTCGCGGGGTAGATATGACAACCCCACCATTTGGGTCTTGGGAGGGAAAAATTCAAGAGAGAAGTAGCTGGCATCTGGCCGTAAGGCCGCTATCTTCTCTGTGATCTTCTCCATGTTGTCCTGATCTCCCTAACTTGACAATAACTGAATGGGTACTGGAGGAATCGACTCAAGGATGTGAAGATAGGCCGAGCTGGAAAAGACAGTGGAGGCAAGATTTAATGTTTTTCCTGGCCGATAACCGGACCTGGAAGACCGACTGGTCCTCAAGGCGTCATGCCAAACTGCAGTTCACAGATCAATAATAATAATGTTGATTGTATAGGATCTGGAGAGAAAGACACCCAGAAAAAGGAATGTAGATTTACTCTATTATCCCTGCTACTGTCCTCGTTCTTATTGGAGTCAACCCAGTATCTTCAAGTCATGCTTTATCGCTGCAAACACTGCAAACAAACAAACAGGACAAACTTAACTATGACAATGTTGCAGTGCAGCTCACTCTCTTTTTCTACTAGGCTCAGGCAAAAGGGCATCTCATTAATGACAGGACCAATACCGCTAAGATCAGGCATAAAACATCTCATTAAAAGTCCGATGCTCCTCCAAGTCAGCATCCTCCCGTTGTTGCATCTTGAGCTGAACAAATGGTTTCAAATCGTCTTGTTCTTGCTGAATCAAGAGTCCAATACGATCTTCAATGGCGGTGAATTCACCGTAATGCACTGGATCGATAAATTTCCAGTAGATATCATCAAATCCGAAGCTAGATGTAGCTGCAAGGCAGAACCAGAATTGGCCATTATCTAGTGACTGTGCCATGTGGGGGGAAAGGCGTTCAGATTCAAGGAGATTGCCATGCCAAATCATCTCATTCTCTTCGGCCTGCAGAGCATGCATAAAAATTTGCTGCTGAGGAAGATATTGCTCCAAAAACTTAACAGATCACCATCTTTCCAGTCCTCTGGATGCCGCAAAAGTAGCCACCATGGTGAGCAATATGTCATTTCAGCCGGAGCAGCATAGCAGTACTCCCAGTCAATGACACTGCGAATATTCAGGTCAGAGTCAACAACGATATTTGACGGACGGAGATCATCACAATATAATGAAAACGGCCCATGGTTATAGGTAGTCGAGAAGTTCTTGGCGATTCTGAGAAATAAATGCCGTGCAACATATTTTTTTCGACAATCCGCCTCATCAGTAACAGCGTCATTACGCTGAGTTCTAAGATGGTGGCTTTCAGCAAGTGCAGTGCAATATTCATTGGCAGTGGCAAAAGCTTTCTGAGGCAGTTCCTTTGGGGGATAGTTTCCACATGAAACAAGTTGATTCATGTCTATTGTGACTGCTCTCTTTTTCACACACCATTTCCCAGATTCATCTTTACCCACTGCCCCAATGTGGCTAAATTTGCATTTCGACAACTCAATCAAAACTTTAGCCATATTGCGGTAAGCTTTGGAAAGGATCGCAGTGTCAATATCTGGGTGTAACACCATTGGTGCCGTGGGTTCAGATGATCCTTTCAGAAATTCTGACAAGAGCGTACCCTCCTCAAATGACAAGACCAGGTATGGGCCTAGATCGCAACTTTCGGCCATGATGAGCTTGGGAATGGGGATTGAGGTGTGGCGAGAGATGTATGTCATTATCGCACACTCATCATTGGTTTTTTCATAGCGGAACGTGCTTTTGCCGAAATTGGAAAGCGAGCAATACAGTAGACTCCTTTCAGCCTGTAGCAACAGTTGAAGGAGCCAAGAGAGAGGTACTCAGGTTCAATTTGGACTCCAAATCGCTCCTCAACTTTGCTGACAAGTGTAGGGATCTGCTCCTCCAACTGCTGACACCAAGCAAGGCCTATAAAGAGAGACTTGTGGTATTGTTTGTCGTCGTGAAGCATCATTAGGTTTCTCTTCGTCCTTGTCGGCGGGTAGTATAAGAGCGAAGGCGTCTTTTGCAAGTCGGTCTATTCAAGGGACAGATCAGACACTTCATTGATCTTAAAGAAGTTTGATGACGCCGGGGGAGGGGGGCCAACATACATATGCTTGCTTCAGGAGTATGGCTTACTCCTGAAGGTGCGCGCGTACGTACCACTGGGTCTTGAATCTTGGTAGAGGTATCAGATTATAGTGGTAAATGATGGTAATGATTCAGGTGAAGATGTCAAATAGATTATCAGCTAGCTGAGATGTTACGAAAGCCACCTAAAATGAAGCTATTCAATCCTCTATTCTCTACACCTCAAGAGTCCCTGTTTCGATGCGTTGCAGGATTCGGATTCGGATTCGGATGTATTCATACACCGTCCAGCCACTTGTGCCTGTGGCTATGCGGGAACTGCTCCGCCACCACTTGGCCGTCGGTGCAGTTGATGATACTATCATCCTATATACATTTGCTTAGCTTGAGGACCTGGCTCCGCTAGGCTTATGATAAGCCTGGGTTCCCCAGGTTCTCTTCTATCTTCTGTGTACCCAAAGACCTCAGTGCTCTGCCTGGATTATTCCTCCTTGTTTACGGCTCCAGATTGGAGCCCTGTGCATAGCATGAATTTGGCTGCCCGAATTGCCAGTCTGGGCGTATTCAGGATTGTCTTCATGTTTCCTTCCCCTTCCAGTCTTCCTCCTGGCTTTGTCGGATATTGCTCACGTGGATTCCCCAAAGACAACAAGAAACAGCTCAATCATCACTGGTACAGTAACAGCTATTACACTAAATCTCTAATCCATCACCACTCTCCTCTTGGACTGCTTCAAAGTCCCCCTCAGTTAGCTGAGTCGGCATTGGGTAATAGGAGTCCTAGAAGGGGTCAGCCTTCGGTTAGATTGTGAACCCTGGGACAGGTACCAAATGTGATTCCAAAAAAGCCCAAAATCCTGGAGGGTCTGCATGAAGTGTAAACACTTGACCAGTCTCCTGGATTCGTATGCCTAGGAAGACATCAGCTCCACACATTTTGCTATATTGGTAGGTCTTCTTCATCAGGCTTGATTTACAACGGGCTCTTTTTTGGTGAATAGACCTTCTGCTAGAATGTGTCACAACCATTTTAGATCACAAAACAACAGTTCGGCAAGGAAACACATATCTTTCTTATATAAATAATCCACTGCATGAAAAAGCATCAGGGAGAAGTTACAAATATGCAAAGGACCAAATCCTGCTCTTATATTACTGTCAAGCGCCATTCCTTCAATATGAAAAAAAAAAAAAAAAAAAAAAAAGTGTTACAAGAAAATAAGGAGCTTAGGCCACAGTTTTTTCATTCAAAGTGTGGCAATCTCTATTTCACGGTGTTCAAGTCCTGGGGAACCAATTTTACAACCAGATCCCATTTCCAATCTCCCAGGTACATAACATGACCAAGCAAATAATACATTGACCTGGTCATGCAAGTGCAATCTTAAAATGGCTGCCTGATTTAAAAAACATACCCTTCCCATTTATTACATAACATTGCTTGGCCCTTGGTTTTCCTCCCATTATTATGCCCAATTATTCAGGTGTTGACTTTGCCAGCAGTTGAACAACAGGCAATCACAATATTTCCCCCCTCCCTTTTTTTTTATTTTAATTCATTCGAAAAAATGATCTTGATAAACACATGTTCGATGGTACCTTTTGTGGGCGAGGACTAATCTGATCGTCTCTCATTCATCACTCTCTGGTTAGCAGCGGCCGTGACAGTCATGCAGTATTTCCACTCTAATAATGGTAGTTAGAAGGATTGTCAGCTATGTTCAAGTATTTGAGGGATGACGGTTGAAACTATGAGGAGTCAGCTATCCCTTTTCCTTCAATGGATGACCGGGCAAAAGAGCGGGCAAAAAGAGTGGGCAAAAGAGCAGGCAAAGGAGTGAGCAAATTGCAACTGGGCAAATGCTGGAGTAAACATGCAGCTATTCCAGGACCTCAGTAGTGAACCACTAGACGCCAGTGATCATGAAAATGGTTCCTGGAAGTACTACTATCGAATCCCTAGCGAACTCGATGCGTCTTGTAGCCCCTAATCTAACTTGTCCCTCTGGTATACCAATAAGGAGGAGCCGGTGCCCCTTAAAAAGGCTCTTAAAAGTTGAAGACTGATTAAGGAATAATCTTGTCATTTCTATGCTAGATGCCCTCATTGAAAGGAGGGCTCTATTTAATCCGGGAAATCTTCAGTGGAAGTCCAGAATGCCCATGACCTAGCCACTAGAAAAGAAAAGAAGAAAACTAAAGACAAAAGAGAAGAACCATAGGGAAAAAAGACAGCCCCCAGGAAGAACAACGCCCCAGAGGAAAAGAACCCAGGGAGAACGATATCATCATCATCATCTCAATTTTACGTCTGACCCAGCCGCTTCCCGCAGCTATGCAGATAGTGGTCGAGATATTTGCTTATGTACATGAGTGTCTGACTTCCCATGATAGTCAGGTCCTCACTGGGCCACCTGACTCCTACGTATTGCTATAAAACAGGGGGCAAGAGGTCCCTGGGCAAAAGATCCCCAGGAGACTAACAGCTTCCTGTCTTTGATTCCGCAAAAACTCGACAAGGTTCTTTGTCCAGATGAAAGGATGAAGCCAGTTCACAGACTTTCTCCAGGCAAATTGAGAATATCAGCTTCTGAGCTGCTTTGTCCAGCCAGTGTTTAGTGATCTAGTCAATGGTTGTCATGTGCTACTTACTGTTGTGACTCGGTTGCAGAAAGGGGGGAGTTGGGTGAACATTAGTCCAGGAACACTGCCACATATGGCGGTTATTGGTTACATCCCTTAGATGCCCATTGTTGCCGCAGGCTGGTCCCGCTAAAAATGCTCTCTCTGACCTGTGAATCATGTTAGCCAGTCGGCCAAAAGGAAATGCCATTATCCTCCAGCCACAACTGAGCTATAGAGGACCGCCAACTAATAATATGTCATGGTCATTGCTGATGATGGCTCCGCTGAGGGGATAACATCGCTGGGCAACGCCAGATAACTGACAAGCTAATAAGCAACTAGAACTGCAGTAACTCTTGTGGGCCTGGCCCTCAGCCAGTGTTACAACCGAATTCAGACTATTATCAATATAATTAGATACTGTTGAATCAAATACGAGAGACAACAACTTGATTCTCTATCTCTATCCTACGAGGATTTGACCCCTTTAATAGCTTCGTAATTATCTAAATTAGGTTCAGGAATAGCAGGGATCGTGAGATAGCATGATCAAGAGCTCATACGATCTGCCGTAGTAGGGAGCTGGATATGTATACGGTCTTGGCACCGTATTTGCTTCAACAGATACAATATCATGCCTGAGATACTTTGGATGGGGCTTGTCAAGGTACGGGCTCGCAGGTGGTCAGAAATAGATGGTTAGGTAGTTGATACTCAGGCTAGCTACAGGATCTCTATCTATCAGCTCCAGGATGCAAGCAGGCTGGTACAGGTGGGCTCGATAGACAGGACGTAGCTCAAAGAGCTATAAACAAGATCAAGGGGGGCGTACGTGCGTTGTTCCCTGCGACAGGAACCGGGTTGTGATCGAGGGATCTCAGGGATGGACACTGAACGATCTAGTAATGAAACGATATAACGACAAAAGGAAACACAACGACGAAGGAGCCTCGCTCCGCTCTATACGATGATAACGATGCTAGTGAAGTAACCTAGAAACTAAAATAATGCTCCATTTCTCGTAACTATCTGGGAGGGAACCCTCCATTAAGTACTCTCCGGCCGCGAGCTCCGCCATACATTAGTATGTCGGAGACCGCGACTCTACGGTGTTCTAAGATAGGAAATATGGGAGATCCGGGATTTCGCAGTGCCCCCGGTACAGTGCTATGGCAGTTCTTATATAGGATAAAATATATAAATATCATGCTAAGAATAAATAGAAAGATTAAAAATGAAAACAC